CTTGGAAAAATTTTGAGCTTTTTGGCAAAGTGTGGGACTTTGGAAAGGTTTCGGGACTTGGGAAAAGTTTGGGGTTTGGCGAAAAGTTTGGGCTTTGGGAAGCGTTTGAGCCTTTGCAGAAAGTTTGGGGTTTGGGAAAAGTTTGGGGTTTGGGAAAAGTTTGGGCTTTTGGAAAAAGTTTGGGGTTTTGAAAAAGTTTGGGCCTTGGCAAAAAGTTTGGGCTTTGGCAAAAAGTTTGGGCTTTGGCAAAAAGTTTGGAGTTTTTGCAAAAGTTTGAGGTTTTGCAAAAGTTTAGGCTTTGGCAAAAAGTTTGGGCTTTGGGCAAAAGTTTGGGGTTTTTTGAAAAATTTGGCCTTTGGCGAGTGAGATGAGATCCAGTCCGGTCTCGGATATTATTATACTTACGCTACAGGAATTGTCGAGGACGAGGATGCGAGGATGGAACACGCCAATCTCCTCTAACAAGGATAGTGATAAGATAACGGACTTAGACCATGACGGACAGGAACCCTCGACGGCCAAGAAGGGTGAAGAAGCGACCAAGAATGGTGAAGAGAAAGCATCTACTGCGAGCCGGGACTCTGTATCGCGAAAAGGGGGGGATCAAACCTCGGATAAAAAGGGTCAGGAAACAAGGGCATCTGCACCTCATCATGAGGACTCAGCAAGTAAAAGCGATGGAGATGCGTCCAGAGAGGAGGAGCAAAAAGCAGCTGCTTCCGAAGCAAAAAAAGACACTCCGGAAGCTCCCACCAAAGAAAATGGACTTGTTGACGGTGAAAAAAAAGTGAAGGCCGAGTCTGATACACCAGATCACGCCTCTGATGATGATGCTGAGAAAACCGAAAAGGACGCAGACCCGTCTAAAAAAGAGGTGAAGGACGAGAAGAACGATCAAGCGAAGGATCACGACACTGAAGCTCATGACGACACAAAAACAGAGTCGAGCTCAGACCACGACGATGCTTCCGCCTACTCCCAGTCAACAACCGGCGTGTGTGCGGCCCACAGTGTATACCACTACAGACGACTTTTGCTCATCGGTATATGCAGTTTCTTGATTCTCGCAGCTTTGATTGTCGTAACCAGTGCTCTGGTGACGTGCTTACGATTAGGCCTACCAAAACACAATTTGGCCCACATCATGCCGATAGCGGGAATCGATCCTCGCGATAGCATCAGCCGCAACTTCATGGTCGCTGCGGCACGCAACAAATACAATGGGGACGGAGATGAGGAGTACTAAGATGATGTGTCACGACCGGTGGGTAAGGGTAACTGCAACTGAAGGTGTAGGAAATTCATCTTCTCTCAGAAATGCCAGATACAAACATGGCTGTACAGATGTTTCAATCCCATGCAGAGATGATGATGAATACGTTCTTGGAACCAGTTTTCGCGATATTTTGAATTTTATTTTTTTTGTGATGTGTCAACAAAGTCCACAGCTGCACGGCTACGAAAAAGAAAGAGAGGTAGATGAATCCGGCTTCATGAGCAGATGAAATGCTTGTCAATCTGGTTGCTCAATATCCTGTTCCTGGTCGTCGCTACGAAGCAGCATGTTGCCTGTAGTAAACAAGCAACAGCAAGAACGAACCTCCGAATAATTTGAGTTCAACATCTTCAATACATGAACATGCCTTCAACTAACGTTGCTGGGGGACGTCCCCCCCATGATGAGGCTTCTGCGACTGATGTAGCGTCTCCGAGTAAGTCGCCGTCGCCTGCGTGGAATAGCATTCTCATCGCTGAACTAGAATATCGAGCAAGGCAACTACGGAGTACAAAAGGTACCAACGACGATGACGAAAACGACGGACTGACTGGAAGGTCCCTTCTGGAGGGTGCTGCTCTACTCCGACAACCTGATAGCAAGGATGTGAAGGTAAGTCGGAGTGGCGCAGTTTTAGGCTTACCGTTTGAGAAAGGTAGCAGCGTTTGGTCGCTGACGCGGGACATAGTCCGTGGTGAGGTGGAACTAACATGTCCAGGACTATCGGTTTTGGCATCTTCTACACTAGCGCCAGGCGCTAATCCTGCACACGTTCAATTGGAAATTGGTGGAGCAGGTGCTTCTCCCAAGAAAGTAAAAGACAATCCGTTGGCATCATCCACCCAGAAGAAGACTACAACAGCCACTTCTAGAAAGAAGTACCTTGACCACATACCTCGAGAAGAAACTTGCGTCCGTAAGTGCTTTTGTTGGAGAGTCTGCGTTGAAGATCCACAGCTCCGAAAAGCCACGATCGCGAATACACCGAAGTTTGTGCCTAACGTCAAGAGGTGTCGCTGCGTCGATGTCTACGATGGTGATACGATCACTGTAGTTGCGAAGACGTCGATGTGCAATAGTCCGCAGCTGTTTAAAGTACGGTTGGCGAGGATAGATACTCCGGAAATGTACTTCTAGCACTTTGTGACTTCCACAAGAAGAACTGTTGTAGCTCATCAACCGCATCGGAAAAATCATCAAGACAAATGTTCCTATTACGAGTAACTTTCAAATTTTCTCCACAGGAGAGGCTCCGGCGTTACTCCTGCTGAGAAGAAGCTAGCGATAGCCGCGAGAGACGCGTTATCAGAGAAAATTTTGGACCGGATCATTCGACTAGAGAATGTACAACTCGAAAAGTATGGACGACTGCTTGCTGAGGTGGTGTGTCTTCGAACTGGAGAAAACTTGAACGACTGGCTTTTGGAGACCGGACACGCTAAACTCTACGACGGAGGGACGAAAGATAGGGAGTGGTGACGGACATGATTTCCTGAGCGCATTGTGATTTTGACGTTGTTATCACTAAAATGAAATAAGAAATGATCACTGCTTGTGCTGAACGCGATTGCAGCATTGATGCTCATATTTGAGGCTACTCGTCGCCACCTCGCCACGGGAAAGGATTCCGCGACGGACATTAAAAGCACGAGGAGCTGCGAAGTTGTGTCTTGTTTATCTGCTCGAAGTCGAACGCTCATATTACTCATAGCAAATGTAAGGATCATGGAACTGGACGAACTATGATCGAGGTGACAGTTATAGTTCATGAATGGCTAATGTCGCGTTACGACATCCATTTCCATAGGTCAAGAATAGAATATTCAAAAAGTAGTCGGCAACATGACTGTCGTTTCTCCTGTTTCACATGCATCATCTTGTAGCAGGGTGCTCAGATTGCCGCGGGGCAATCAGTACGCGGCAAGGAGATCTTTCTCTACTACCGCGACACAACAAGCTGCTGGTGTCGTCCAGATCGGCTACGAAAACCTAGAAACCTTAGCCGTCACGCTGCTTCGAAAGAGCGGGTCCAAGGCTGATGAGGCAGCAACGGTGGGTAAAAACCTCGTGGAGGCTAATTTGAAAGGTGTGGACTCACATGGTGTAGGTTACTTGCCTCGTTACGTGCGGAGTGCGCTAAGTGGCAACCTCAATGTTAATGCGGAACTGGCGGAGAATTCTTCTAAGCTACGATGCTTCATCTCGGAATCTTATAAATATTGGAAACGTTGGAGTTGGTCTACGTCTTTTGTAGACCACCACAGCATTTGCAGCTCGTCCTCTAATGTCCTCCGGAACTGCAAATAATGGTCCAATCCTCCGTTTAGATGGGCAACTTGGGTATGGGCAAGTCCAGGGTCTACGGGCTATGGAGCGTGGAGTCGCGGCTTGTCGAGAGAACGGTGGACTTGCACTGGTAGCTTTGAAAATTATGGAGAAGATTTTAGGAATGGCATGTCATGTGATTGAGTAATCCCATAGAACCATGATCATGCTCATCTTCTCATCTACCATCGCCTCCTCTAATACCAATTGTCACCATCTTGGCCGCATAGGTGCTTACGCTGAGTACTGTGCTCGCAATGGTTTCTGCTCCGTGCATTTCACGAATGTCGCTGGCCACGAACCCCTCGTAGCCTCAAGCAATGGCGGCGAAGCGAGGTTGGGTACGAATCCGTTTACTGTGGGGATTCCTGGATGCTCGAGTTCGAGTTCAGGATCGGTGGAGCCAATCATCCTAGACTATGCGACTAGCGCCATGGCTCTCGGAAAAGTCCGCGAGTACATGGGACGGGGCGAACAGGTGCCGTCGGATGATATTCTGCTCGACACAGAAGGAAGAGTTAGTCGAGACCCGAAGGTCATGTTTCCTCCGGGGAATAGTACGGTGAAAACATCCATCTCGACAACTAATAGAACAGAGGAAAATACTAGCAAGAAGATGGGAGCTCTCCTTCCTTTCGCAGATCACAAGGGGTACGCTCTGTCTTTCATGGCAGAGGTCTTAGGCGGCATTTTTACTGGCGGAAACACGATTCATCCTAAATTTAGACGAGACCAAGGCCTGATCATTAACAGCATGACGACCATCATATTCGATTTTCACGCGGTGTCTGGTACAGACTTGCCGCTTGGTGACGAAGTAGCTCAACTAGCTGCGTTCATGAAGGAAAGCAAGTTGCGAGAAGGAAACGGAGGAGAACAGATCCTGATCCCTGGTGAAAAGGAGTCTCGCACACTAGCAGACAGGAAGAAAAACGGAGTTCCTGTCAGCTTGGGCACACTGCGCGAATTGTCTAGTGCAGCTGCCGATGTGGGCATCTCGGAAAACGAGGTGAGGACGATGCTGGGACTCTGATGGCAGATGCCGGGGGAATGGATGTCCAACGATAATCGAGAAGGGCTGCATGGCATTCATTTGGCAAGAACTGCGATAAGTGATCATGATAGTCTAGAGGATGCTTACGACGTGTAGCAAAGGACAGTATCTGTAAACTGTTTAAAAAATGCTCAGTGCATAAACTGTTTAAAATAATATAACAAACTACAAGGAGGTCGTGGAAATTGATGTCATGGTCTAGAAAGAAGCGCAGTGCATCATGTACCAGGTCCAGGTGGACACATCCTCATATATGTTCAAATGAATCAGTAGTTATTCTATCTACTTCTTTGTTCGTGCTACTGAGGAGAACAACTCTGAGGAAATTATGATTGACCTGAGGGTGAGCGTGAGGTAGAGGTTCCAAAGAGTAGATCACGCGGTAGTTCCTTGTCTGCAATGGTCGGACTGCTCCAACTGAGCTTCTGCATCCAAGAGCTTAGATTGAGACAACATCACGAATATGGATCATCACCATGCGGAGCGTGAAGTACTATGATTTTTTTGGGACGGAACACAAACCATTCGCGAAGACGCGCGGTGAGGAAAATGCTAGGAGCCGGTGTGAGGATCACTAGCAGAACTCCATATATTCCACTGCGTTTTGTGGCACGGTATTTCTCTTCCTCTGGCCAGTACAGCTACAGTGTCCGTTTTTCCGGTCCTCCCGATGACGAGCACCAATCCCCTGAGCAAAAGCGTATTCGTGCTGAAATTTTGGCTACAAGGCCAAGCACCGGTCTCAATGGACCCTTCGGACCCTGGCTAGCAGCACCTCAGATAGCCGATGCGGCTCAGAAACTCGGCAAAGCATGCCGATTCGACACGAGCTTGCCTCTTCGCGAGTCCGAGTTACTCATTCTCTTTGTCGCGGCTTCAACCGGAAGTTTCCTAGAATGGCAAGTTCACGAGCCAGAAGCTCGTAGAGCCGGAGTGCCGGAAGAGGTCATAGAGGCTTTGAAGGACATGAGAAAAATGAAGGAGATTGAACAAGTAGTCACATCGGAAAGTGCTAGTTCTTCTTCTTCTTCCTCGTCGTCCACGTCAAGCACAAGTAGCAAACCAGAGAGCCTGAAAAAACCCTGGTGGCAACCAAGAACGCTGGAAGATATCAATTCTTCGAATGCCAGTAGTCACGAAGCCACCTCCGCATCCTCGACGAACAAGGGAGGAGGGGCTTTGAGACCGGGCCTACCGATCGAGCGAGCAGCCGTTGGTGGGCCGTTTCCTGCGGACGACGAGTCGCAATATGATAAAGCTGAAGATAGAGACGAAGTGCAGGAACAAGAAGTGTCGAAAGGCTCTGATACAGCACCATCCCCTAGTGTTGAGAAAGATTCATCGACCACTACATCTTCATCATCAACTACCTCCTTGGCTGAGTACAGCAGGATGCGTGTGGGCATGTTTGCACAGGCTATAGCAATGTCTGATTTGTTAGAGCTGGGAAAAAAGAAAGATGCGCATGCGGTAGGACAGGAGTTCTTGTTGACTGAAAGGGAGCGTTTATTACTCCGCGTCGCGTATCAACTACTCTCTACGCACAATTTGTCAGAGGAGTTGTATGGCGAAGCACTTGAGACGCTCGAGGGGGAAAAGACTCTTGTTGAAGTTGTTTCAATTGTAGGCTACTACCATTATGTAGCACTGACATTGAATGTGTTTCGGCCGCCTATTAAGTAATGACTAGACACCAGCTCCTACTACATGCATGACATTTTCGTTTCATCCAGTTTTTTTAGAGATTGATACAACTTTGTCCTACTTTCTTTTGAAGGAGGACGCAAAAAGAAACACAGCGCTTGTTCGTTTCCTTGGCTTGTTCAGTGTCCCTTGAAAAGCAGCAGAAAAGACGTCACTTAAAAATTCAGTATTGAAGAAGGAGAAGGTGAGAAATGGTGCATCTTCACCACCCAAACAAGAAGAGCTCGAAGCAAAGAAGGAAAAGTTGACTCCTCTCTGTTCATCAACCACTTATCATCTGAACATTCTACAAATTCTGAATTCTACATTAGGTCGTTATCGCTCGACGTCGAGCGCACATTCAATGAGAAGATCCGCACCCGGGCCTGGTGTGGCCCGGGTGCAGATGTCTCACGACAGGATGAAACCATTTTTCCTACTGTTGTTGTCGGCCTCCGCTGTCTCGCCTCCTGTCGCTCCAGCTTCTGGCACGGTCGAAGTGCCTAGCGCTATCGCAGCGTCTTCGCCCGCCTCGAGCGACGAGACTTCACTAGAAGCAGTGGACGCATCGATGGTGCATGATGACGTTGCTGAAGAGCAGGTTGAAAAGAGGTCATCTGCACAAGTAGAACTACCCGCTAGAGAGGTGGGTATAGAATCAGCTGCTAGTACTACTCACGACGAGCATGAGCACGTTGCTTCTATCGTCTCAACGTCTCCAACTAGGGGCTCTTCAACAGCCACATCGTTTGCTGCCAAAAAGCAATCGGTAGTCCACCGTGAAGCTAAGCATGATTCACAGCAACATCATAAAAGCAGGAGAAATAGTACTAGTCAACATAAGAAAATTAAGAACAATAAGCAGCAGCATCATCTTCAACATGTTGAGTTCGACGAACATACTTCCAGAGAAGCGAAGGCAAGTGCATCTTCTGGCGACTCTTCTAAAACCGAAATAAGGCCTGATGACGCGAGTGATCTTCATTTCTACAAGGTGAGCTTGTCCGAAGACGGGCGTCATCATCACGTAGAAGGACCACACAAAGACCATGGAACGAAAGTTCGAAAGCATGAAAAACATCGAAGACATCATGTTGAACCTGTTTCTTTGATAAATCAAGCAGGAGGTGACAGCGATATTTCTGAAATTATCGGCCAGCAGGAGGTGAAGATGAAACACGAATCAGGAGGGAAAGAAAATAGCAACCACCAAATAGAGGGGGAGAGCAGACCGAATGAACAACGTGGTCACTCGATACGAACAACTTCATCTCTTCGTCGTGTAGATACTGAGGTCGTATCAGACAAGGATACTGGCAGTAGCTCTACTACGTCTGTCATCTCACATCAACCGACCGACACCGCCTCTGAAAGTCGTGGAGGTGAACAACAAAGGAAAAAGAGCAATAAACAGCAACAACAAGATGCGGCCCCGGAACGACGAGACGGCGAAGAAGGACTAGAACAGCCAGAAGCTTCATCGAATGATGATCGAGAATTTCATCAGCAGTTGAATCCCAACGACCAATTTAACGCGGAGGAAGTAGAAGATGAACCTGACAACTCATCATCACCTGTCCAACAGGTGGATTCAGTAGCCAAGCACATCGCAACACAGGCTTTACGTCTATCCCAGCGCGCGGAGACAGCGAGGTCAGCTGTTCGCAGTGCGGCGGCTAAAGCCGCTCGTCTACGAGAGGAAGAACAAGAGATTCACACGGAAAGAGAACGTCTGGAATCCTCCATTCGGAAAACAGAACATGCTATGCGCTCAATGCTGGAAGGGCTAGGGAATGTAGTGGAGAAAAGTGGGGGAGGTGGTAACGAAGATGAAGTAGAAGATGCTCATCGTCAATACGATGTCGAGGATGAAAGTGGAAGGGACAACATGGCTCCTGAAGAACAAGAGTACGACAATGGACGAATGGAAGGCGATGGTGAATATGCAGTTGATGAAGCTAGTCCTCGGGACATCAACTACAATCAGAACTTCGAGAACGGAGAGGATGAGGATCAACAAAACTTTGTTCAAGAAGGTGGAATGCAACAAGCACTAGATGAAGAGGGCTTCTCTGAAGTCGTTCAAGAGGATCCCGATAGGATGCCATTTGAAGATGCCGAGGTGGAAGATTTTAGTCGAACCTCAAGTTCAAGACTTGCAAGAAGTAGGAAAAATAGTAGTAGAGACACCAACAGGAGAAGCAGGAACATCAATCAAGAAGTGGATTCTTTTGATTCATTTGGAACTTCTTTTGTCCAGACGCTGTCTTCTAGTAAAAACACTTCTTCGTCCACGTCCTCTTGGGGTTTAGGAACCACTCTAGAGCATCTAGCAGACATGCGCGCCAGAGCTTCGCAACTGAAAGAAGCCGGTGGAGGCAACAATGAGATAGTGAAGAACCTCGCGGATGAATTTGAGGTCCTAAAAAAGCGAGCGGAGGAATACGAGCATGACTCTCTAGAGTTTCAGGCTCGACTGGAAGTGTTGAGGGCTTTCCTAGATGGCGAAGACGAAAGTCTTGAGCAAGCGAGGCAGAGAATAAGCAGTACATCAGAGGGAAAACAAGATGAGCAACAACTTTTGGTGGTGCATGGAGGTGCGAGTTCTAGTTCTAGTTCTAGGGAAACTACGAAACAGCAAAAAGCCACTAGTACCACTAGTGCTCCAAGTCCAATCACGACTACGAAGGAGCCAGAAACTACTACGTCTTCTACTACAACTACTAGCACAACATCCACCAAAGAGCAGCAGGCACCTGAGACCACGTCGACAAGCACATCAACTACTACAACTTCATCAACATCGCCATCTGTGACAACGACATCCTTCCCGCCGCCTGAGCCGCTCGACGTGCCAACGACGAACATCGCTTTGCTGAGCACACGAGACAAAAGCGTAGCACATCAATTGATGTCGTCGTTTCTGGAATTATGAACAAAGACGCGTGTTCTGATTTAGCAATAAGAATAACTAGAATCATATATTCATTCTATATCTGTAGGTACCATGCACTTCGTGCTCATTTACTTGTTCTTAACATCTACTTGTTCTAACAGACCCGAATGGAGTCCAAAAGCATGCGCCAGACCCCAACGATTATCGTGACGAACACCACGACGATCTTGTTCGTCTTAGTGGACAGAGACACAAGAGGAGAAGCAAGTTTGCACCTCTTGCTAGTTTCTTGGTGGAGAAGATTCATGTGATGAAGCACATCAACAAATACGCGAAGGACCATCGCTTAGAACGCGACATGGAGCAAACACTGGCGTCGGTACTTGATCTTTGTTATCAACTATAAGTACCTCCTATGTATAGTGTAGCATTGGCGTTGATCTTCGTAGTCATCTGGTTCTGGAATACAAGCAATCCTGCTTGTTGTCTCTCCAGGCCCCGGACAATGATGAAGAATCATTTTTCCGAATGGTTCTGGTATTTTTGGTATAGCCTGAATTTGATCCTGCTAAGGGAAAACAAGAAGAGAACCATTCAGGTTACCAAATTCAGGCTATACCAAAGACCAGAACCATACAATCACGGTCCGCACAACACCACCACCCAATACGTTGAGGAAAATAATATGAATGGTTCGTCCTCTTCTATGTATTGTATAAACTACATCCAGGATTAGGATCTTCGTAGAGTTATCTGGAATACGTCCCAGTGTCGCCAGCCTGGCATACAACTGCTTGTTGTCTCTCCAGGCCCCGGACAATGACGCCGCCCATATGACAGAACGATTGGCTGCCGAACTAGAAAGAGCGGAGAAGTTGATTGATGCGGTTCAATCCTTGCGCGTGCGAGCAGTGGGCACAGCCGTCGGCGCTGCACGTCTACGCAAAGAGACAGAGACGGGGTGGTCAAGGTTCGAAGAGCAATTTCTGCATTTGAAGGAATTGCTGTTATGGTGCTGGGTGATACTGTAGTCGTTGTAATGTAATTGTTGCTCAGAAAAAATCGGCAACAGTAACAGAAGATGCTTTCTTAGTATAGCTATGGCTGACATATAAATGTTGATGTGTAGGATAGGATGGGATTATATTGACTTTCTAATTTCCCGCGATTCCCAGGCCAAGGCAGAGGATCTAGAAAAGGACCACGCGGCTTCGAATGGCGGGCAGAATCAGGGCAATAGTAGGCAGAATCAGCATCAGGGAAATAGCCAACAGAATCAAGGCAACGACAGGCAGACGAATGCGGCAGCCACCACGTCGGGTAATGGAACGAGTCACAAGGGCAGCCTCTTGATGGAAGTAGAAGACGACGACACGACAATTCAAGAAGAGCAGGCCCACAGTGAAGCTGTGCTGGATGCTGATGCGACGACTATGTTCCTGCAGATCGAGGATGAGCAGGACAAGGAGGCCCAAGAAGAAAGGCATGAAGAAGATGACCATCAAGAAGAGCAGAAGCTAGTCAGAAGAAGAAAGCGTAGAAAAAGTGAACGAAGGGAAAGAGCAAGACTAGAGAAGAAAGAGAAGCCTAGTGGTCCTCCAATATTTGAGCTCGAAAGACACGAGGAGCATAAGCTGGGGAAAATAACTGCAACTGGGCGTTCGTCCAACAGCGATGACCACCTTGATCACCACCAGCCACCTTCATCTTCTCAAGCGTCTCAAGCTCTACTAGAGCGGGACCTCCACAGCAACGAACGCACCACGACCCAGGAGCCTAGCACATCTTCAAGTCCTCTCCGTAGTGTGTTGCATATTCTTGCTTCTTTGACCCCATCAACCTTACGTTCGGTTGCTAAACAATTGGATTCCGCATGGTTTGCTGAAGACCGTACTAGTACTTCTTCGTCCGGAAGTAGTACAACTGGAAATAAGATGAGAAGTGAAATCAAGCTGCGGTCTAAAATAAAAGAAGCGAAGCCTTCCTCTCTTTCGTCAAGAGATGCCTCAACTGAAACCGCCACAACTACACCCCCAATCGCACATGTCGCAGAGCCTCTAGCTTTTTTGAAGTTGAAATATCTAGATGAGACAACCCCAGTGTCGAAATCCGCTGTTGAGTATGACTTGCGAAATTCAGTAGTCAACGGGATCATCTGTGCAGGAACGCGTCCGTGCTTGGCGAAAAACATCCAGGTTTTTGACAACGGAGAGTGGCCGGATATCAGAAGGCAACTCTTGGCCTTGGGAAAAGATGAAGATGATGTGGAAGCTTGGGTATTATAAGTGAAGGTGTAGATCTAGATGTACAACTAGAAGTTGGTTACAGGAACTATCGCTATCACGATCACGATCTTATTTGGTGAAGAATTTTCACGCTCACACCATTCATTCCTTCTCAGGGCCAAGCACTTTCGGATGTGTTGATGGTAGGGGATGACGCTGCAAGTACCCCATCAGGTCAAGCCACGACCACGAGTCTAGCAGCAATGCAGAACTTTGTAGATGAAGGCGATACCGGAACAGGTGATGCGGAAGATCAACATGTTGATCCTTATCAGAAGTTGCCGAAGCGAGATCACCAACATCACACGGCATCGAGAAGTCATGACCACTCGAGAAAACACCAACATCACCTCCTCAATAAAGCTGACCACTCGAGAAAACAACAACAAGAGTCACGATCTTCTTCTACCTCATTACAACAGCTTCTACGTTCTGCTGGTTCTGACACGGCAGCAGACGCAGCTGCGGAGTTCGAGGGGTTGACTCAAGCCAGTGCTTCTTACCTAGTTATTTTGAAGCATATGGCAGAAATATGGAGTCATTTCGAGTGGGAGACACATGCCGACGACTTGCTGAGGATGCTCAAGGAAACGCGAGAAAACGTCCAAGAGACCGATACCTATACGAACACTTTCATTGGAAAAATGACGGAAAAAATCGTTTTTATGAATGGGATTCGATTTCGTTATTCTTATATATCGTTTGAAGAATTTCTCTTCCCTTTCTCTAGTACTACTTCTATCTTCTTGAAAACACTCAGAGAAGAGTTGTCAGAAACGCCACACAATCACAAGATGATCATTCCTTTTTCATAACCTCCCTCGTGAACGAACACCACGCGACCGAGGCAGTCGAGACGCTGAGCGGCATGGGGGTCCACGTGGGTGCCGTAGAATTCCGCTTTTGGGGTGCTCATTGTCATGATACGGATACCATCGTGCCTCAAATTCTTGCGTCGGCTGGAAACGACGCTGTTCTTGCAGACAAGGTCATAGAGCGGCTTGGGTCCATATACGGCTGCAGGATACCGTTTCAGAGCTACGAACGTACAATCTCTAACGGTCAGTCGTCGACTAGTTCCAAGGCGTCGCCAACTCTTCCTTCCTCGTTAGAAGCGCACTCATCCTCACTACATGGGCGAGGCACATCAAGTAGTCACCATGGTCACAGAAGGAGCACAGCTTCCAGAAGTACCTCCTTTTTGGAACTAGCCAACGGGTCCGAGGAACGTGCCATGTTACAGTCACTGATGGAAAAAGTTATGGCAAAGAGTCAATCGTTGTTCTTGTGACAAGAGTATGTTGATATCTTCCTTGAACTTCAGCACTATTTTTGGTGAGTATTGTGCGTATCGCTTGAAGATGTAGCTACTTGGGAAACCAACGTCGTGAAGACTCTCGCCTTTTTGCGCTAACATCTTTCACCGCACAACATCAAAGAGCCACTCAAGAAGGACCGATCCTACTCCGGTCGCCCATAGCGGCCTGATTTTTGTCGCTAGGATTCAAGTGAAGGAAGATCCGCAGAATACACCCACACAGACGTCGAACTCCTACACCACAGGGACGATTCAGACGAGCAGTCACCTGTTTCCCGGTGATTACGTTACTCACTGGCTGACGCAAGAGAAAGCCGCACTAGAAGAGAAATTGGGACCTTCGTGTGAGTCTTTGTTATGAGGAGGTAGACATTGACATTCATCGTTGTTGTCACAGAGAACTCTGGCATCAATTCATAGGCTGGATACTTCATTTTGCGAGGTCAGGCTATAAATTGATTAGACAACATAGTGGTAGTACTTGTGTTTTTTAAAAATTACTTTCTCTTTGTTCTTCCACAACCCAAAAAATCCAACCTCCTTGCTCTGCAACTCCCTCTAACACAAGGCGCCTGGGGTCACGATTCAACGTCGTTTGCAAAAGACGAACCCACTGTGATATCGGAAGTGGATGCCAGCTGGGCTGCTAGGGTAGTGCCGGGGACGGATGGGAAGCTAGATTATATGGGTAACGTTTTCGCGCCAGGGTCGACGAAAGTGAATCCACGTACGTCATACAAAGCACTGTTCGTCATTTTGACAAGTTTTAGAGACTTCACGATCGCTCATCTGCAGCTGCTTATTTGAATTCCTATCAATCTGATTTCAATCTCACTCTCTGTCTTCCACACACTCACTATTAATTAGATATTTCAGTTCTCTCCAGCGTGTCGTATTTCCGCTATATGTGTTACACTTCAGTTCTCTCCAGCGTGTCGTATTTCAGCTATATGTACTACGAATTTGGCGCGATGAGTGGCGCGATTATCGTGTGGATATTCTGCACGGTGATAAGGAGATGGAGGAGAGGACCTGACTTTGTCACACACGAAGAAGACCTGAATTAAGGCTCAAAAATGTATTCCAACACTTCTACAAGCGGTCACTTCTTTTCGCAGTTTCCTTCTTGGGACTCTGGAGAATTGAAGGGAAGAAATGAAATGCTTTGCGCTCTAACTGAAGAAGCCTCCGGTGGCGTATATGTTCGCTGAAGACCCTTATCATCGAATGTACGGACGCGGCTGGTATCGGGTGGTTGGTACTGAAATTTTAGACCCTTGCACTTTTATTTTATCCCCGGTTTTTTTGAGCGCGTAAGCGTATAGCTTGAGTTGATCCATGGCTCCTCCACTTGCTTCAGTCCTCATATTCACGCGGGTGTGGCTTGTGTGATGGCCTTCCTGAAGAGCAGCGGAAACCTTGACCGGCCGAGCGGCGCTCCATGCAAGGCGCCAGCGTGAAACGAGGGGAGGGAACTCGCCTGCGCTGCTCTCCGCCCTCTGCGGCCTCGAAAACGTCAGCCGCCGCGCTTCCCCTCCTTCGCGGGCTCCTCGCTCTTAGGGTGTGCGCGTTCCTGAAAGACCACCGGGCACGCTGCAGAAGTGGCGAAGAGCAAGAGGAAGCTAGAGGACACGGCCAAAAATCAGAAGGACCAAGGCGCAACCACGTGGAGGCCTTCAAGCGTGGCTCCCTGCTCGATTTTGCCACGCGTCGCCGCCGGGAGGCTCGTGGGTCCGCGGGGAAGGGCGCCGCGCTTGCTTTGAGTTGATTAGTCACAGCCAGGCTGTGAAGCGCTAAAGAAAAGAAAAGCGCTCGCATGACGCACGCGTGAACAGAAGTGACGTGCTCGGCAAGCATGGGGGCAGGCACTCACAGGGCCTGGCTTTGTGTGGGCCGCGTCGTCGGCTGCAGCAGGCAGGGGCCGACGCGGCGGCGTCGGTGCTTGTTACCCGCCCAGCGTGAAGAAAGTCTTCCCCCCGGGGCGGTCGGAGCTAGATGCGCCGTGGGAGGCTGCAGGGGAGGAGCAGATAGACCCGGAGGAGTGTCACCCGGGCAGGGGGTGCCTGGTTGGTGTGTCTGGCGTTGGTGGCTTCCTTTCTAGTTGAAGATTCCAGGGCTGACGCTTCAGAGGGTGCGCGGGTGGCCATACATGCACAGGAGAAGCTTTCTCGAAGCATTCGGTGCCAGCTTGTCTCGCTGGTGTCGGAGACCTTGCGCGCACGTTGGTAAGAAAGACGCACGGGCCGCGGAGGAGATGACTGCGACCCGCATGGTGGCACGATCCCTGGGGCTGCAGGCAGGGCATCACTTAGCAAACAAGCTTAGAAGCAAGGGCCAGCAGGATGCAGGGATGGAAGTCGCCCGCGAGCTACTCCCAAGTCACTCGGGGCGCGTGTGTGCTTGGGAGTATTTATTTAGTGTTGTTATTGCTTGGAGTGCTTGGCCGCCCCTGGCTGACGTGAGGAACCCTTCCAGCCGCCTCGTCTCTGCGCGAGGCCTTTCGGGTGCGTCGTTTCTCGAGTCCAGTCTCGGCCACTTTCTTTGATTTTTTTGAGGCGCAGCGGTTCAAGGGTTGCCTACCAACTACTAGCAGCACTTCCGCTCGCTGATCGGAGGACTTTAGAATCAGAATCAGATACATGTGATCACCTTGAACTCGATCTGCGTTATTCACCACATCGATCCATTTCTCTCCCTTTCAGATAATCACTTTCTGACATGGTTCGATGTAACTGGGCCTGGAGGTTACCGCGCACCTACATATCGTCAGCGGCAATGTGAGGGTTGTTGTTTTACACTCTACGAGCCGATAGGTATGTTTGCCTGTGACAAAAGGGTTTTTCCGCCCTTTCTGTTTCTCTTCTGCTGTCCGTCGTGTACAGTAACCAACTATGAAGGGTGCACCAGTCTCTCGCTCTTCCTCTGGGCAGCACAGATGCTGGCGATTACGAATGTATGAAGAGAAGACTGGTATCTCTTTGAAGACTGATGTTCTTTTTTCCTCTCTCTCAGTACAACTACTCATATTTATTTTGGCACGATCATGATCATCATCATGCGTCTACCGGATCTTATCGTCTTCTACTCAACAAGACTCCCACGCACGACCCCTTGCTTCTGTGAACCCTCCTAGCACCCTTACGCCCTCCTTTCATCCGAATTCTCCGAGCTGATGGTCTATTCCGGGATCTTTCCTTCCTATCTCGCTTTTTCTCTTCCTGTCTGGGCGAATGTTCTAGCGGGTTTCGTAGTGGCTTCGACGTACCGTCCTCTCCTTTGGCCTTACAGACCCCTTGTCGGCGCAGTGATGACCACTGCTGCTGCTGGTTATGGAATGGTTGGATTTCTAGGCCATGCACTGGGCAATAGACCTTCATCTTAAGTATTATTTTTCCGCACATGACAACGACGAGGCATACTGGACAATCAACTACGAATGATACCTCTTTCCTTATCCGTTCTTCCTCCCTCTTTCATTCTCCCGCTATCCAGACCAACCTCGTCCTGGATGATGACGATGCTGACGTTTTGGCGAATAAGGGGGGACCGGATATTAATCCGAACCTCTTGTTGCATAAAACACAGCCGGGGGATTCCCTACTCTTAAGGCTGTTGTAGCTAATCCATCTTTGGGAGCACCCGTGAATAAACGTATGGGGGAGTGTCGCAAGGGAGTGCGCAGGTCTTCTTTACTTGAGATTGCTACTCAACAAAAATGAATTGTTTCAGCCTTTAATGCTCGGGGTTCGAGGGCCGACGGATCACCATCATCATGCAGCAGATCAAAGTAGAGAACACCGAGAGAAGCTTGGGCTGAGGTGATGAATACCAAGAGCAATTTGGACTGAGGTGAATTGATATTCTAATTATTGACCTACGAGTAGAGAACACAAACACTTAAATCATTGTGATTCTCGTTAGCTTATCCATATCCACTTAGATTGTACAGATGGTTGAATAGCACGAGCAACAACAAATACGAAAGAATCGGAGAAAAGCAACTTCGTGCAGATTCAAAATTTTGACTCAATGAGCAATTCAAGCAAGATTCGACTTCGAGTACCTAGTACAGTAGTATTTTTGTGCAAGCGCGGTGATTCTTGTTCTGTTTCGATACGACTACTAACTAGTAGGAGTATTTTTTTGAAAGTAGTGGGTCTCTGAGTATTAAGACACCTAGGAATATAGATGTCACAGTCATTTCGAAAACAGGACTAAAAAGAAAAACAGGAATAGATCAATGCGAGCCTAGCTCTAAAAAACTGGGAATCAAAATTTTGATGATGAAAGGCAAATAGAAAAGGAAATGTTGTGAAAATTTAGTTGTTATCAGCATCTGCTCCTCGAACTCGACGTGGCGGGGATCCACTCAGCAGTGACTAAGATATCGAGATCCAGCATTATTTATGATTTCAACAAGACGATGATGTTGAGAATATTTGTTTGGAGGATCCACAGTCAACGTCAACCCCGTCTCCGAACGAAGATCCGTAGGAGGACCTGACTCTGGCAGCGGAAACGATCATCGTGGTCAAATCTGCATCAGATTTTTAGCATATTACCATGCAAAGAAATTCATGTGCTAAAAGTCGTAGAGGAATGAAGATTTGATGATGTGGAAATGCCTTCCATTCTGTTTGTTTCTTCCAGGGATTATAGACATCGTTCTTCATAATTAGTTTGACAGCGAACTACTCACTTCGTTCTTGCATGTATCTTCAGCGACTCAACATCATAGTACCTTTAACATGGGCAATAAGGCGAAGAAGCGACAAGCGAGGGATCGCAGCGTCGTTGTAACTGCAGTCTCCGACGATCCTTATGGGCTCCCGACAGCGAAAAAAATCAGAATAGATGTTCAGAGCGACTTGCCCGCCGTCGGCAAGAAAACTATCCAGGAAAAAAATGAGGACGCATTGGAAAACTCACGAACAGAAGTTGTACGAGATCTAGAGCAGCGACAGCAATCAGCATCAGACCACGCCGACGCAGTAAACGATATAGACGCAACAATCACGACGCTAACCTCCTTGCTCCTGCCAGAAAATGTCGAGAAATTTAGAAGCGACAAGGGCTTCAAACAGTTGCGCAAGGTGATCTTCGACGCAGCTGCAGTTTTGGCTGGGATCGTGCCCTCAACTACAAAGACTTCAAATACTAAGAGTCCTTCGAACCCAACTGCCTCGAACAAGTTAGACTTAAGTATTAAACTAACCACTGTACTAGCCAAGCAAGCGGATCCATTACACGGTGTTGACCTTAGCCGAGCCCCAGTGTCAAGGTTGACGCAATTAGTGACGGACTTGCTGAGCAGTGCTCATGACGCCTCCTCTCCAACGCCATCCTCATCCGCGTTAAACGTCGACGACATCAACGAGGTAGAGAAGCTTCAGCAACTCGCAGAAAAGGTACTGCGTGAAGGCTTTATTGCGCGAGAAGAACAGCCAAAGTTGGGAGCATTACAGCGTTGGGTTCGCATGGTGGATGCGGCGGGGTGTAGTTTGGAGAATGATGAGTCCTCCTCCGACAAGAAAGTTGTCGGGGGCAGTGTGGTTCGAGGAGAAGGAGCAGTGCTATTGCCTTCGGTCTGGCCAGTCATGCATGCGATGCTTGCCTGCTATTATGCGAAGAGCAGAAGTGGAAATGAGAGTGCACCAGATGAGAGTAAATGTAAAATGCCCTCTATGCCGAGACTCGAGGAAGTCAGAAAGCACCTTACGAGCGAAAGTTGTGAAGAGTCAGCTTGTCAATCGCTCAGCACCCGTGACGATTGTTTGCTTGAGATTCCGGAATGGCGTCCAGCAGGTTCTTCAACTTCTTCTTCATCTTCTTCTGCATGTTCTTCTTCTAGAACGGTCGAAATCAAACATCCTCCAGTGAGTTCTACTAGTTCTGAGGCACTTTTTCGCGTCTGTCATGAGGAGCCTGGTTCTGCAAGAAGGCCTCCAAACAAGTACCCTCTGAAAATCGTAACGGAAACGTCGAAAACTCTTGCGGATGAGATTTTTGAGAAAGAAAGCGAAGAACAGAATCAGGAATTTTCAGTATCAGATTCAGACAAGCACAGGACGGCGGCTACGTCTGGTATGGGTATCGAAAAGCATCCAGTGCCTTTTATTCCAGGCGCTTTCATGTTGAAAAACGTCTTATCGCAAAAGGAATGCGCTCAACTACGTGCCTTTGCGGAACAAGCGGGGTTCGAACCTGATGAGCCTTGTGATGCTAGTGGCGAAAGCAAAGCGTCAAAGTCTAAGCTAGCACATGCTTGTGTCTGGATGGTGTCGCAAGAAATCGAACGCACGTTATGGAATCGAGTAGAGAAGTTTTTTCCTAGTACTAGTAGTGCTGGAGAAGGTCCAGCTGCAAAGGTTTCGCCCAAGAACACTTCTGCAAATGACGACGTGCAGGACGAGGCAAGCGAGGAAGACTCAACACAAAGTCCTTTTGGTCTGAACCGCCGACTCCGTTTCTATCGGTACGTGCCTGGCAGGTACTATCGACCCCACATCGACGGCGCCTGGCCTAGTTCGGAATTTCATTCAGAGACTGGCAAGTACTATGAAGTTGGAAGAGAAGAGAAGTACGGAATTGATAGTTCTACTACGAATGCGATGTCTTCCTGCTCTTCTTCCTCTAAACAAGCAGGGGAGACAGAAAAGAAACCAGTATCTAGCACTTCCCGATGGACATTCCTGGTGTATCTGAATTCCGACTTTTCTGGGGGATGCACAAGATTCTTCGTGCCTTTGCAAGAAGGTCAAGAGGTGGACTCAGCACGAGCACAAATGCTTTCAGTACCTGTTAAGCCTGCTGAAGGGAGCATCTTAGTCTTCCCACATGGAGAGTGTCTACCACCTCTTTTGCATGAGGGTTCTCCGGTGATAGAGGGCATGAAGTACGTCATAAGGACCGAAGTGCTTTGTAAGGTGTAGTAAGATCATCATCAGCATGCAGGGGACCATTGATGATCATATCCCAACCCACTAATTACCCTAACGACGCCCATTCTCTATCTTCCTTTCTCCGTTCTTTATTTTTCCCACGAAAGCAACGACGATATTAGTACAACTGAGTCATTATTATGCGGCTTCGGCTACTAGAACTCCAAAAGTCTTCTAGTCGCTGCGCATCATGTACAACGATAAAGATACCGATGTTGTTCATCCTGACGAGTATCTGCGCGTACTGACTTAGTTGAAACGAGCAGCATCGTCATGAGAGCGAGGACGATGACGAGATAACGAGCTAAAGTGTGGTCCAGCAAAAACATTACTCGTGTGACCTAAAGAGTTGCAGTTATATTGAAAAAGTCATCGCGATCGCGATGTTGTCGAGAGGTGTCTGCTCTGTGAACCCGTTTTAGCCTCGATGAATAACGAGTGTGGTTCTTAAAATTTACGAGCAATTTTGTTCTGTGTCTCCAGTGAGCAGCGTTGTGAGAATTGAGCGACGTTCTTACTTGTTTTTGACCCCAACATTTAACTCCTTGTACCAGCACACAGGCATTTTCCTGATGATGGAGTGAAATGATCCTGGCATGCGGTGATGAAAATAGCAGATGTTGATGTTCTTCATGTTGTTGTTGGGTCTTTTTTGATTCACGTAAATATTTAGTCTCCTTCTTCTAAGTAACAAGAAGTCCTTGGTAGTTTTGATGTATATTACTAGCTTATATCATTCCGCCGAGCAGACTGGCGTCTCTGCGGGTGTCACGTCCCGTGATCGACATGGAGGAGGAGCGACCATCAACTTCTGAGCATGATGAACCTCCCGGTGGAGCAGGACAGAGCAAGCAGAACAAGTAGCCCCCGCCCCAACATCACAGATGAGTACTTAGTTCTGTCGCAAGCTAGTCGCAACTTGTCTTACTTCTGAAAAGGCCAACGTAGAACAGCAGTATCCGCCATGTATAGAAGGAACGAAGGACATTACAGAGGATGGGTAAGTACATTAGAAAAGTAGACTGAATAAAGAAGGAAAAGGAAGAAAGCAAGATGAAAAGGAACAGTCGGTCTATTTAGGCTGCCAGATACGTTACTCACGTCGTTAAGCAGTCGGCCCTTTGTAGCTGCCGTGTCTCTAATCGGGTCACAACGGAGCCAGGCCGTTACTCGTAGCTGCTACGTGGTTCGAATCAATGAATGAATGAGTGAATTATTGCTATGCAACTTCATATTTTCCTAGTCCTGGATTTTTGAACTTTTTTATGACAAGATGTATGCCTATACTCCAGTTGTGGTCCCCTTATAAAGATAGTTGAAGTTCTAGTTCTGTAATGTTGGTAAAACATGTATATTATAAGATGCTAGTACTACCCCTTTATTGTTTAATATGATCTTTGTAAAACCAGAAGTAATATTTCTCGGTTCGATAGCTCTGGCCATTCATATTTTTAGCAGAATCCGCGACCACCTTATTTCGCAGAATCCGCGACCACCTTATTTCTCTACGTCTATCCTTCGCTCTTAAGTCGATTTTGGTTCATGATCATAAATATGAGGACAGTTTGCACAATAAACCTAGTTTATCCGCGTTGGGCTACTCGTAGAAATGAAAGGTAGAGAAACAGTAACAGAATGACGATCGAGGAGGATAGCATTCTTGTCCGTCGTGAACGTGACCCACCGGTGGGCACCGGGAGAAGCAAGCATGTTGCTGGCGAAGAGCATAGCAGCCTTCAAGTAAATCAACAACATGCTCGCAGCAACATAAATATCGTTGGTGTTGGTGGCGCGCGCGCGGCACTCAACACATCGACTCTACTTGGCACTTCTGCGGACTCGCTATTATCATCTGGAGCTAGTTCATCGTATGAACTTCACGAACAAGATGTTGGTCTCGGAAACGCTAATGGGGAAGGAGTCCACCAGACCGTGGATGACGAGAACAGAGCAGGGATTATTAGGAGTTTGAATGATCATACCTTGAATGAGGAGGAGGATGACGCAGTCGCAGAACAAGACTTTAAAAACTTGAACAACATTCCTGCCGCTTCTTTAAAAATAGAACGATTTTTGAGCAGCAAGAGCAATGCTTTTGATCCTTCTAGTAGTTCATCGTCTTGCTCTTTTAGCGCCACAGAAGATGAAGATCGAAATCTTGACGGAGAATTTCAACTTGGCCTTGGCGGAAATGACTTGCTTGAAGATGAACTTCATGCGGATCGACGTATTATTGAAAACCTAAGCGAGGAAGGAGGTGGAGTCAAGGATTATATGGTAGAGCCCACAAGCACAAACGACCCAGTGAAGGTGAACAACGACATTAACAACTACAAGGATTTGTTCCTTGGAAGGAACAGAAATACGGATGTAGCCGACCAGGCCATGAGCAGACTGAGATCGATGAGCAAAACAAGTACCGGTTCCGTCGCGCATTTTTCTAGGCAAGTGTCAGAAGACAGCTCGACAGGTCCACGTGCCTCATCCTTAGAGGCGCCAACGGTGGAAATGTGCTGCATTTGCCTGGACGGACCACCAGACCCACGTCATATTTTACCCTGTGGCCATGCCAACATGTGTGGAGGCTGTGTCACACATTTGTTGAGTAAGGTGTACGGGCGTTGTCCCTATTGCCGCGTTGCGTTTCGACGCAGGACTCCAGAGGAACTGGCAAGTGGGCAAGTTTTCTTCACACAATCAAGTCTCCGTTACAGTAGCCACCATGCGAAACGACAACGCGGTGGTGGCGGCGGCCAACAGAATATTGGGAGGAGAACGATTTCACGTGGAAGTTGGGAAGTAGGTAAGGCAACTCAAAATCTGGGAGTGAATGATAGAAGTTTTTCGCTTGATCCTGGGGCTTTCACTTCGCCTCCTTCACGCAGTGCTGGACCCCGTGCGCCTTTAGATGCAGAACAAGACCCATTTACCTCTAGTTTGCCTCTGCAACGAGGCCATATACGAGGACGAGACCACAACTTCGAAGAATATCTTGGTGGCGATATCTCTAGACGAGAGCATCAAGATGATGGATCATCCAGTCCTTTCCGAGTAAGTAGTGTCAGAAGACGACTAAATATAGACGATTGTGCTGTTCGTGGTACAGCTGCAAGTGGTGCTAGAGAAGACCAAAGCTGCCAGACCTGTGCACCTACTTCATCCTCACTGCAAGTACAAAATACAACTCCTCCAGCCCCACCCGATCTTGGGCTCTCAATAGCTGCATCTGCACAAGAGAGGGTGAAATCGAGGAGCGCGGAATCTATTGCCGGAGGAGAACAAGATGATATCGAGGATCTTCTTGCAAGTCCTCTCGCAGTTTTAGCTAGAGCAGATGAAGATGCAGGCATTTCTTCCCTAGTGAGGTCCAGGAGCAGCGTTAGTCAGCCGCTTGACACAACTGTGGTGGAAGAGCGAAGTCCATCTGGTTCTACCATTGCATCTCGAAGCTTTCCAGTACAACAAATGCCTAGGAGGACTAATAATGTCAATGTTGTTAATATTTCCGGTAGCACAGGTCTTAGTGACGAACAGCATGGGGAGAATGTAGTTGTTGATCATTTTTTAGGAGGCGATGAAGCTGGTGCAACGGGAGGATCTTCTACTGCGATGCTTTCTCCGATGCCTCCGCCTACTGCTTCTATCTCGACCCTCCTCTCTCCAGAGCACGCAGGAATAAGCGATCTTCGCTTCAGTTACTTTAGTCCCATGTCGAGCAGAGCTACGAGCAACACGATGCTTCACGATGCCAACCAGGATGATCGGAGTGGGCGAGAAGAGGAGGAATCCATCGATGCACCATCAGCACTGGTAGTGGTACCACCACCACAGCTGCACTCTTCAGTTTCTGATGTCGATGATCACGATGGTCCTTCCTCACCCAGCGTCCTTCAGCGAGAGCGTAGCGCCACAGGTAGTTCTTGTAATACGGACAACTCGATCGGCAATCCAGCAAATCTGACGACTAGGGTGTTTCGAAGAAGATTGCCCAAAGGGGCACAACCCTTGTACACAGCCATTGGACCGGATGAATTGGCCAAGCTAGACGCTCAGACCAGCATAGCTGAATTAGGCATTTTAAGGGCGTCGGATTTGGACATGTACCGCGAGTTGCGCAGGACATTCGTGAGATATAGAGAGTTTCAAGACAACGTCAGTTCCAGGACGATCCAGAGTTGTGGACGTACCAGGGTGAGTAATAGTAACGCAAGTAGAAGTGACAGAACGGGAGTAGGACAAAGAGGACATGCCCCCGAGGATCATCAGCGCGACGCCTTTCTTTCTGCACCAGAAGGAAGAAGTGCGCCTCGGGATGCAATTGCTAGTGAAAATGTGGCTGCAACTGCTAGTGAAAATGTGGCTACAATTAAGGCTTCCCCTAATCCATCCCTGTAGACGGCCCTCAAACATATGCGTCCCGCTACAAGGGCGATACTGACGCATATGCCTGAGGGATTTCCACAGGGATGAATAGGGGAGAGCTCTAATACACCTGCTAGCAGTTCTTCCTCTGGAGGAGGTCCTAGCTCGCCAGTTCCCCTGCCCCCGCAACCTGATGAAGAGCCAATCCAGAGACAGACGACAGATACGACGTTAGGCTTTCTTGTCACTCGTCTGTTTGGTAGAGGTGCTGATACGTCGCAAACCTTATCTGAGGCAGCTGCAGCTTCATCTTGTTCTTCTTCTGGTGCGCGTGCGGTTGATCCTGATCCTAGAGGACAACTAGTACACAATAGAGAAGATTTGTCAGTTGCAGAGGCGCATCTCATTTCTCAGATGAATGTTTCTGGTCCAGAACAGCACATGAAGAACCCTAATAAAGTAGAACAACAGGAAGTTCTTGAAGATCTGCTTGCAGAGCAACAGTCGATTTTAGACCTCTTTGCCGAAAATCAGAGGAGAGGCATCATTCCTGCACCTAGTAGGAGCAGGCGTGAGCGCCAAAGGTCAGCAGATGGTGCAGATGGCGGTGCAGCAGGTACAGCGAGGACTTCTAGGAGTCCAAAAAGTACATCGCCAACGGCATCCAGCTCGCTGCAGATGTCCTCATCAACCAACGTGGCGTGCCAAGACGTTCGACAAATCGATGAAACAACTTCACCTAGACTCAAGATCACTGGCACTATGCTGCTGGATCGCAGCCACGTACTGTGTCCGTGTGGTGAAAAAATGGACGTTGTGTTAGCCAGAGGAGCCTATGAGAATAGCAATGCAGCGTACTAAATTTTCTAATACGTAGTTCTGTCAAATAACTCAAACTAACATGTTCACTTTAACTTCTCGCTAGTCCTATTTACTTCCCTATCACATTGATTGAAGTATCATCATTAGTTCTTTGTCGGAGAAGACAAAAAAGGTAGATAATCGGCTTGTGTGTTTCACATGCTAGAAGAATTCAATTTTCGTCAAAAAAATTTCCAGGTGCCCAGTCGAATGTGACTTATGTAGTCATGCTATTCGAGGTCGTGTTTGGCTCTATCATTGCCCAAGCCAGAGGTCTAGGGTGCATCCTTTCGGTTTCGACTTGTGCTGCCGTTGCGCTACTGGCCATGACGAACCTCCAGACAGCCTAAAGACACGGGGAATGCTGAACAGCTTGGGACAGCAACTGGCCGCAGAAGGAAATGCGCAAATTCGAAGAGAGGCAGAACAACTAACTGTTGCAGAGGGCACCACAACGACAACTGGCGGTGCTCTTAGTGCTACTGAGTCTTCATCGTCTTCGTCATCTTTGCGTGCTGGAGATCATCTTAGAAACCATGACGTGTCCACCTCCTCTACAACCTTGCTGCAAGGTAACCCTAATCCGAATCCACATAATTCAAATCCTGTTGTTGAACAGCTTCCTCCAGGAGCAGTCACATCGAATACTAGTACTACATCTCATCTTAGAGCAGTCACATCAACATCAAATACTAGTTTTGGTCCATCTCTTTCTCTTTTTAGCACTCCTACTACTAATTCGAGTACTCCATCTGCATCTCTTAGCACTCCTTCTCCTTCTTTTAGACACTTGAGAAGTACTTCTACACCAGCTACAACTGCAGCCCCAAGAACCCACAACACTCATGAGTTGCCGATAATTCCGGCTGCTGTACATAGCCTGTTGCGGACAGTGAGGAGTCAAATATCTAATATGCGATTTACTTCTAAAGAGTAATTTTTGTAACTACACATTTGAATTTGTTAAAAATGTATCTAATATGCGTGATGTACGAGGAGGAGTACGACTACGACTGCGACAGAACAAGTACAAGAACACTAGCATATTATTTTGATGCTCGAAGAGAACTACGATTTTTCCTCTCCTAGTATCAGCGACGATATTGAAGTTTGAAATTGAATCCACCGTGGTGAAGAACTAATATTCACATGCATTCATAAACATCTCGGTCGTGCTGATTCTGCCCTACACCACTAGGGTTTATTTCTCCCATTGACTTTGGTTACAACATGCTTAAGTAGAGTCAGAAGTGCTGTTATAGTCCCAGTTCTTTTTTGGTTAATTTCCCATTATTCCCAGTTGTAGTCTAGTACTAGTGGTTCTTGTTCTAGTACATCTACTAGTTGAAAAAGGAGGAAGACCGCTTAGGTTGGTATTCTCTTGAATTCTTCGACATGACTTTGACTACTATTGAATAAGAATATGTTCAACAACATGAAGATGTAAGAAGTATTACTGAGGCTGTAAAACTGGAGTTCAAGTAGAATGAATGAAGTATATATTTATAAGAAGCACACAAATCATTAGTATCATCGATGAGCTCCATCGATGATAGGGGCGGTGAAGCATCCATCAACCTATCAATCAAAAAATACGTTTGATGTGCAGACAACTCTCTGCTGTAGTCGGTCAGCTGGGTCCTGATTTGTTAGACGACAGGCAGAAGTTTGCCTCTGCAAAACTATTCTTTGGAAGTGATAGGGAAAAAATTAGGAAATGACTCCACCATATTGCAACACCCCGTTTCTTCAACGCCAACATAACGGCCGGCATCATTGCCGAGCCCAGCAATCTTGATGAGAATCACAATTACATCTATCAACATAATCAACATAACCACCATCTTGACTCTTTGTTTTGTTCAATATTTTTACCAATACTATAATGGTCCTACTCTTCGTTCTACAAGGTCAAGATTACTGATAAGGAGTAACATGTATTATCGGTACAAGGTAGGTCGATAACAAGATAATGAGACTAAGCAGTATCGTGTATGGGAAAGATGTTATTGTTAGTGAGTTGAACAAGTAGTTCTAGTACTAGTTTAACGAATCAGTAAATGAAGCTTTTGTCCTCTACATTACCGGAGCGTTGCACTTTTTCGTCAACATCATCGAAGGGAAAAGAGTTTGACGGTTGTACAGATACTGCAGTACATCTAGATCATTGTGAATAGTGTGATCCTGATCTCGTATTAGAAAAATAATCTCAAGATAGTTTTTTACTAAAAAACTCTATTGCAGCAACGCTAAAGTCGCATTGATGTCTACTCCGCCACACAGGATTATTATTCGCTTTTGTCCACCATAAAAAGAATACTTGTTACCTAGGCACATCTTTCTCTACCTTTTATACCACGTGTGTTTGGAGGGTTAATAAGAGTGTCACATATTTGCAAGTGCACGACACTGACAAGGTGCCGGGGGTGCTCGATGTGCAGGATCCACAACCTGACCTAGCATGACAACTACATTCTACTTTATTACGACCCACCCAAGTAGAACTAGAACTTAAGCTTGAACTTCTAGAACGCTCATCATCATGCACAGAGACAGAGGTGTTTGAATGCTTATAGGAATGGAGAGTCTCATGTTATTTTTAAGAGCGCAGTGCCAATGTTGAATGAGCCTCGAAGAACCATCCGCATGTTGTCCAGTCGTGTTTTTCACTTATCCCAAGACAAAACGGTAGATGCCTAAAACTGTTAGTGAAGCATAATATCCTCGCCTGAATTTCAACTATTGGAAAACCGCAGCAATGATGACTCGTGTATCCACCAACTGCAACTGTGTTCTTTTGTTTGGCTGAAGTAGAAAAGGCAAGGCGAAAGGTTGCATGTTCTTCCTCCTCTTGTTCGACAGTTCCGGTTAGTCTGTCATCTGAGTAAGTCACCAGTATCGAAAAACATGTAATGTAATGTAATCTCCGCTATAATTATCCGGAAAAATGAAAACAAAGTTATGGTCAAGCCCAAGATAAAGAAAAGACAAAGACAACAAAAGGCAATCGTTTTTTACCTGTTAGCACAAGCAGGAGCTGCTTCTGATGTGACTAGTTTCCTTTCTGATTTCAAGCTAGATCATTTCTTGCATATGTCTTGAATCAGGGGTGTAGAACTAGTAAGCGAAGAAACGTCTGTAGTCATTGGTGTGGTCTAACGCAGTAGCAATGAATATCGATGCTGTCGCACTGTCATTTTACTACTGAGACTACTTCTAGATAAAGAAGAACCGACTCGTCACATCGATATGAGAAAAAATATGGAAAGCAAGATCATGTTCGTTTTCATGTCCTTGATGTGCTAACATCTGGCGCAAGCGCGACGCCGAAGAACGTCGACCACATTGGTACGACAACGAAGGAAAACAACTTCGATTTCAGAGACGGTGATCGGTCTAGTATAGCTCAGAAACTAGGACTTAGCGTAGCGCTACCAGCTCTAGGACGTAGTTTTGTTTTTGGCTCTTCAGCAGCCATTCATGTCTGCCAGTTTTCCTGGTAGGTAACCTAACCTAGGGAATTGTAGGTCAACGACAACATATTCGGCAACGAAGGGAATTGGAGGCAACGAAGGGAATTGTAGGTGAACGACAAAATCAAGTGCCCAGTATCTTACTTCAACAAAAGCCAACATCATGGGTGACTTCGTGAAAGAAGAGCCCATGGAGGGTGGAAGCGCCTCCTCCACCAGCAAATTAGAGTGCCGTTTCAAAGATCAAAGCTTGTTCAAGACGCTGCTGCAATGCTCGGGCAGCATTCAGCCGGATTTGATCACTTTCCGAGTACGAGAAAACAGCATGTCATACGTGGGGATTGATTCGAGTCATGTACTGATACTGATAGTAGATTAGTGATTGTTAGTTCGTAGGTATTTTCGCTATCTCCGAGTTAAGTATGGAGGTAATTATGGTGATAACATTAACACTTTATTTATGTAGTTGATCTTGTGAAGAATCTTGAAGTTGAATGAGATGCGACCACAAGCATCACAAATTAATCCCTTCGTCTTAGTTGGGAACAACTCACAACTCACCCCTTGCTCCTCACTCCTCAGTGTGCCCTCGTCAACTGGGAACTTGGACGGGAGGCATTTGAGAATTATTATGCCACTACAGACGAAGAAAACGAGAACGGTGACAAGGAGTTTCTCATCTCAGTGGATCTGGAGCTAATGAACAAGATTTTGAAGATCTGCAAATCGAAAGACGTATTCTTTTCATTATGTCTATTCTTTGTCTTTTAGGACTCCGTGGAGTTGTCTGGACTAACTTAGACAAGCGTTCATGTCGTACAATTCCATCGTGTAGTGTGTATGTGATGATTCGCATTCCATGATTCGCATTCCATTAGAAACAACCCGATCATCAGTCCGTTCATTTGCGGTACAACTCGGAAGATAAGCCCGATGTGCTCGAAGTCACCTTACTCGATCCCAGGGGGGAGCAAGCAATAGCGCCCAAAGAGGAGGAGGTATATTTGACAGTTACGTGCACAAGAAAAAGTTTTCTTATGATTATGTGGATGAATGCACTCACTTAGACTTACTTCAGGGAAGTCGTAGGATCGACTAACATCCTCATCATTTCACGAAACACTAAGCTTCGTGATCCGTTTTCCGCTCCTGTTGTAAAGTCCAAGGAACGCAACTTTCTGATGACATTTTTTTCAATCCTCCTCTAGGGCGCTGGCAGCGCAGGTAACAAAAAGGCGAAGCAATCTCGTGGTGGTGCGGCACCTAGGTTAAACCAGTTCTCAATAACTGTGAAGCCACATTGTGGAGATCGAAGTCTAGAACTTCCACCAAGCAAAGAGGACTGCTATCACATTCAACTGCCAAAGGACTGCTTTCGATACGCACAGGAGAACCTGATGGAACTCAGCGTGAGTACTAGTCTTTATGATTTAGAGTTTAGATGAAGATCCATGGACGAGGTTTGTTGATTAGGATTTTCAATGTGGGCGATCGCTTGTACGTTGTAGTTGTAGTTGTAACTAGTACTATGGTACTAGACGATCATGGATAAGAAATCATTTTCTTGAGATTCACCATCTCAAACTTCGCAATTAGGTGACCAAAAACACGCTACTGTTTTCATGGCTTGCCCCAGAGAACCTATCCGTGATTCTCGGACCGGCAATGTCAAGAAGTGTGACGTTGTCCGCTTCGGTTCCCAGAATCAAAGTGGTGCCATGGCTATCGACTTCCTTGTAGCGGAGAGTTTAGAGGAGAAGAAACCAAAACAGGAAATGCCCGCTGATGCACCTGCAGCTCCATTGACGTCGGCAAAAGTCTTTTTGACAAGGAAAGAAGGCTTCGACGATCAAAGCAAATGCAGATTCTCAAATAGTAAGCTTTTGATTTGCTTCGTTTTCTTGATCACTGGATTACGATTAGTAGAGTAGTCAATCTCCTTCCTACATTGTGATCACCAAATATTCAAATACTTCTTCCACTTTTACCAACAGATTCAAATATTTGGATCCGTGGAAAAAAACACCACTATTCAGACACCTAAGTATATTAGCCAATATTATCATGAATCACGTCTTCCTCATCCCCACTATCCTCACAGAATGGGTCTCCAAGATCGGTCTTGGTCTTCCTATCATCGAGAACGTGCAGATCGAGTTGGCTACGGAATATCCCGCAATTTTCATCTGCCCTATCTCAGAGGGGATGGGCGTTCTGCGATGGGTAGTTTCGCCACACCTGGGAACAGAAGAATTATGGACTCAAACAAGTCACTAGGTGGACTCAGTCAGTAGTTGTCTCGCTTAAAATTTCTCGTAGAAGATGCATGAAGATCCAGCATATATGTACTTGATCTCGAATTGTTGTAGTTTCTCTAGAGAATGATCCTGAATAGATGAAACATACATCCACAAAAAATTCTAAGACAAGAGGGAGCTGCTGACGGTGAGGGTGACGGTGGCGCTGCTGCTGCGGACGACGATGTCTTTGCGGAAGAAGATGAATTCTCTGACGGCTAAAGAATAAGTGACGAATGTGGCAGGGAAGATTGTCATGATATTAATTCTCTTTTTTGAGATTTGAATGTGAAGGAAAAAGCGTTCCCTATTCCACCGTTTTTTCAGACCCCTGCTTCTCGTGCTACGGAGTACCCTAAGAAACCATTGAGCCTGACTTTTTCCTCAACACGTAAGTGTCGTCCACCAGCCACAAGAGAAGAAAGAAACCATGGTGTGGGTACTATTGTCTCTCGACCGCGCTTCCAAGGGAAAAGCATTCTGGTCCATTAGAAAACCGAAAGTTGTGTTGTTCTCACATCCACATGAAGATGTTCTCACTTCGTCTTGTTGAAAAGATTCAGAGCATAAATCGGTTCTTACAAATGACAACAAGAGCAATTATATGCTAAGAAAGCATACAACGTGATCACATGGTCCACCCGCTTGCTCCTCCTTTTGCGCCTCATTCTTCAGCGGGATGTGGACATCACTGGCATCAGTTACAGGTGTTGTGATGTCGAACAAGTGCATATCGGCACTGAAATAAGCGAGTAACTACTTACAATAAGCGATGTAAAAACGTCGATATATGCCTGAGTTCGATCATCATGGTCCGACTTTTTAAACCGAGTTTTTTAACCGAGATGATAGCAGTGCATATCGGCATCGGAAAAATGCTATGACCCAAAATGGGAAGTCAGATGTGATTCTTCTTTGGTTTTGAGCCTGTCATGATTTTTCAGACTGAAAAGTAAAGCTTCTGCAGCTGGACCTTTCTACCGCAGAATGAGTACTAGGACTAGGAACAACAGAGTCCTCTAACTATATCATGCTGATGTAAAAACGTCGATATATGCCTGAGTTCGATCATCATGGTACCGAGATGTCATATCGGCATCGGGAAAATGCTATGACCCCAAATGGGAAGTCAGATGTGATTCTTCTTTGGTTTTAAGCCTGTCATGATTTTTCAGACTGAAAAGTAAAGCTTCTGCAGCTGGACCTTTCTACTTTGTTTGCAGCATGTTCCAGTTCCATTTTGCAAGGCTACAGCATTCGTTCAATTTTTCTTTCGTCTCGACGTACTTGTGTTCCACCGCGAAAATGCTTTTTCAACTATTCAATTCGAAGCTGGTCATTCTTACTTTGCAGCTGACGTTTGTTCTTTCGTTCTCTTGTCTTTGAAATTCTTGCTGGGTGCGAGTGCGAAGTGCCTGTTTTGATTCTTATTGGACGTCAAAAAAAGTCAAATGAAATCTTCATTTCGTGGCTGGTTCTTTCAATCGCTATCCGATCTCTAACGCTCAAATAGCAATGCAGAACCGATACTGAGATCATATTCTTTGAATTGTATACAACATCCACTTTTTTTTTCTACTTTCAGTCCAGAGCAAAATTCAAGCAAGGTCTCCAAAATCGAATCTTCCATCTCTTGTTCTTTCATCTACGTCTTTTCTCATTGTTCTTCGTTTCAACTTCTTTGACCCGGTCGCTTCATCTCTTTATCAACTCTTGTCAGTCCGCTGCTTTGTGCTCCTTGTAGAAAGAAAAAACTCAAGATCTCCGATTTCTCGGTCGTAATCGCGCAGCTTCTCTTCATTTCTATCTTCGTGTATCTCATCCTGTATCTAATCTTTCATTCTTCAACAAGCTTAGCCATCTATTCTTGCGCTATCTTCTAGTCAACAACATCTTCCACCCGTACTTGTTCTCTAGTCTTCTTGTGAAGGTTGAATCTTTCTCGTCCTCTCTTTCTCCATCTTTGCGTTGTCTTGAGTCTCTCTCATTTCTTTGTCAGAGCCCTTCCATCTTCATCTCTCTCCACGTCCAAAATGTCGTCTCTCACTTCGCTCGAGTGCCTTTTCCCAAAAGACATGTTTGGGGCCATTATCGGGGAAAAGGGCGCCCGCATCAAGGAGATTAAGGACAATAACGGCGTGCGGATCTCCAATGACCGGGACATCGTGCGTACCAACATGCGTCGCATCGTGATCGACGGTGAATGGGCTCAAATTTGGCACGCCTTTTGTGAGATCATCCGTACCGTAGCGGATGATGAACGATTCAAGGACCGCTTGGCGGCAGCAGCGAAGGAAGACTTATGAACTTGATTGCATATTCATATCTGGGTTACAACTTTATAACTATACTTGAAGATTGCATATTTTTGAAGCTAGATGTTGACGTAAGGATGCAAAATGAGAAAGCTTGAGTGGGTACATTCATTCATTCATCAAGCTAGATTTTGACGTACTAAGGATGCAACATGAGAATTCCAACGTCCTGTTTTTGTAAATCGTTTTTAGATGATGTAGAGAGAATCCACCTGACACGCACACGAGCGCATAGTATTCTCATCAATGCTCTTGCAACACTCAACATCTGGACATCACAATTATTCCTCATTTAAATACCTTTTCTGCATCCACTTTCATCCCCCGGTGACGAGAACAAAGAGTGCAAATTTGCGGTTGAGATTAAGATTCCCATCATCATCGCAGGAAGCCTGATCGGTAAGAAGGGTGACAACCTCAACGAGTGGCGCAAGAAGTGGTCTGATTGCAGTTTCGATGTCGATAACGACTCGAATGATGATGTTTTCCGGTACAAGCAACTGCATCAACATCAACATGTTCTTGTGATCTACTGCATCATCTTCATTCTTGAATTATCCGAAACAAAATCCTCAAAAATGACGTCTTGCCAGGCACATCAATCAATCTATCAATCATTCAATCATAGGAAACCACAAAAATCCCTTCATACTTACTCTTCTAGTAGATACATAGGCTTAAATCCCTTCATACTTACTCTTCTAGTAGATACATTATACATTATACTTTATACATTCTACGCACACATTATACATCATCAGGTACTTCCGCATGCACGGCGTACCCCAAGACATGCTTCAGGCTGTGCCGACCATTGCTGAAGTGTTGGAGAATAGTTTGCAGATCGTCATTCGCAAGGCAGGCGGTCAGATGCCATCGTTGAACCGTGGAGGAGGGGGACAGAGAGGAGGACAGCAGCAACGTGGTGGACAGGGACAAGGGGGGAATAATATTACGAGGACAGGAATTGTTGACCTTGACATTGACAACTAGATGAACCAACTAGGGTAGGTCCTCGAGGTAGATCATGTGTTACTTGTTGTAGTTGGCTTTTCTTAGTTGTTCCTCGTTTTGCAGAAACTACCTTCTTTAGCTTTACAGAGAGAACAAGGAAACCAAATAATTTTGTGGAATCACAATCCTCGATAGTATATTTTGGCTCCTCTCTAAGTTCCCCGGCAAACGCGGTCGCGCTGACGAAAATATGATGGACCATCAGAGCTACATGGGTGGCAACGGTAACTTGGACGGCGTCTTGAATCCGTTTGGCGGACTCAACAGTATCGGAGCACTTCCTGGTGCGAATGCGGGGCAGAACTACCCTAATATCGGAGCTCCACCGGGCATCAACCCCATGATGGGAGGACAGGGGGTGCAACAGCTTGGCGGAGACAACAAGCGGAGGAGAGTAGAGAGTGGTCCTATACCAGGTGCAGCAGCACAAGGGGGACTCACACCTGTTGCGGGTACTGCCACTTATACTTAATTAGAATATGCTTCTTTCAGTTTCACGTTCACCAAGTAGAAACGCCAACCAGGTTGAAAATACCACGTAAGGAGTAAGTATATTTCACTCGAGGACGAATAACAACACCATTAGCATTAGTTTTAACTGAACGTGAATCTACCTCAACTTCTTCTAGCATACAACCTTCAAAACCACCACGCAGGTATCGAATGCACTTGCACTGTTAACGTGGAGGAACAGACTATTGGTAAGATTATCGGCTCTGGCGGTAATGTCATCAAGGCGATTCGCCAAGCCAGTGCGTGTACGATCACGACTGACAAGTCCGGCGATCGCCCAGATGGAAAGAGGGAAGTCCAAGTACGAGGCGTCGTGCCGAATGTGCTGGTCGCACTGCAAATGATTCAAACAATCTTGTTGGGTGGGATGCATGTGCCATGAGTACTATGTTGATCAACATTCGCTGGAACTGAGGAAGCGCAGTTGCTGGTCTAACGGAGAAATGAGAAACGATGCTTCAGAAGAAAAAGGTCGCGTTTTGCTTCCGATCATATCCTAGAAGGAGGGTGCAGCACGGCTTTGCCTTCACAAGGACCTATGATGATTTGTCTGATAGGCAGCAAAATGATGAAAAGAAGATCATAAAGATGACAAAATCTAATAAGTACAACAAAGACCGCTACGTCTACGCCCCCAACTACTCCTGGTAGAGATTTGTCCCCAAGATTCTACTACTGCTTATCAGCATGATGAACCAAAAAACGATGAACTAAAAATTTGAAAGACACCAACATGTACAAGTACATTGTCGTGATTCAATATCCTCGATATTTATCAACCGTCATATTTGGGTTTTGCTGAACTATCGATCATCGCCTTTCAACGCAGCTTATGGATGAGTGCTCGTCGCAGTCATCTCGACATTTTGTCGTACTAACGTCGTGAGAGAGTAAAGCGAGTCGAGAGGTCCTGAAGTTCTTGGATCGAAAAAAGTCGTGGCTTGAAATCCTCCTCTGCCTTCAACATGATTGAACATCAACATTTTACTTGAAAAAATGAAAGTCAACCATTAAAAACTGTCAAACGAGTGGATGAGAATGACCTTGACCACGACAACATCCAAAGGGCCAAAGACGAAGTTTAGGGTACGAGTGGTGGCACGCAAATTGAGCTTGTCTTTTCATAGTCTCTTCCAAGTACTTAGGAGTAGGTGTAGGCTTCATGATTTTAATAATTTCTTAGACGACTTGGATTAATGTAAGATGCATGGTAAGCAAGAGCAAGAAAGGCTAGGAGGAGGAGAGAATTTTAATGCATATGGTCCTTCAAACTTTGACTCTCAGTATCATCAATATGTCTTGCAGCACCAGAAACTACAGCAGATCAACGGGAGCAGTCATGCCAGACAATTCTTTCCTATACCAGACTCGAAGCAGCTGATGCAACGGTTGAACCCATTTTGGTCGTCATGTTGTTCTCGTAGCAAAACTGGCGATCCAGGAGGTGGAGGAGGTCTACTGCGATCCTCGTCATGCTGTGCAACGATAAAACAGTGCTGGAAAAGTGGAGCATGCCAGGACTTTGTCCAGTGTTGGGTCAAAGGATGTTGTCGATTGTGCGACTGCTGCTTGCGAGTCGCAGGGGTGCTGCTCGTTACCCTAGCATTAAGTGTTTCCGAATTACATCCCTCAGCACTACCATCCTTGGCTCCTTTTCAAGGGGGAAATAGGTCCAGGATGTTCTGAAGAATGCAATTCGGCAACCTCTAATAGCACTCCTGATCCAGACACTCGCTTCCTACGTTTTCCTCCACTACGCGGTCCCAGAGATGCACGGCTTCTGCTTTGTGCACCACGCAGATCACGAGCACGAGGAGGACGAAGTAGAGGAGAAGCTTCAGCAATGGTTGGTCGGAGCGTTCTTCCTTTTCGTGCTGGGTAATGCAGTGTGGAACCACATGGCGGCAGTTTGCCTAAGTCCGGGTCATCCTCCTGCTCATTCAACACAGATGAGAACTGAGGAACTCACGGAGATTTTAGGTAACAACTACAACAACTATGTTCACCGAGTTGGTGGAGAGCAGTGTTCTTGGAAGACACCAGGAGGAGGACGAGGGGGTGTAGAAGAAGGCCAACATTGGTGGACCAGTGCGGGTTCCTCGGGTACTAACAGTAACAGGGATATTAACGCTTACCCTTACAACAATCACCAGGGAGATAGTAGGGATGTTGTATGCACTCCGGCAACGACCTCAGCTTATAGTTCTAGCCAACAACAGTTTCAGTTCTATGAAGATCCGCCTCAGGTGAATGAGAGGACCACTTCTACTCCTGGGATGAACAATGAAACAACAAGTAGTTGTAGCCCAGCAACCTCTACTTCTCCCGACCACAATTATTATAGCGACACTAGCATGTTTTTCCCAAGGATTTGTCGTAGGTGCGACCGCTGGAAACCGGAACGTGCTCATCATTGCTCCGTTTGCGGCCAGTGTGTCCTGAAAATGGACCACCATTGTCCATGGATCAACAACTGCGTAGGCTTCGGCAATTATCGACATTTTTGTTGTTTCCTCTTCTGGCTGTACATCGAGACTTGGGTCATTCTCATTAGCTGCTACGCACAATTCGCCGAGGTCATGATCTACTACCGCAGTCGGCACGACACCTTTGAAGCAAGGCAATTTGTCTGCTTCTTGTACGTGATAGCAGCTGCGGTTTCCTTGGCGATTCTGGTTCTAGGGAGTTTTCATCTCTACCTAGTTTTGACGAATCAGACTACAATAGAATGGCAAATGGCTTTTGGCGGCTTAGACGACGATGAAGAAGAGCCAAATCCCTATCATTTGGGGACAAAATGTTTGAATTTCAAGCAGGTCTTCGGCGATCGAGGTGTGGTACTAGGACTTCTTCCTTGGCTTGCTGAGGGGAGTTTCAAGCCGAAAGGGAGGAAAGTAAGCGAAGGACTCTCATTTCCAAGAACTACGAGGTTTTGTGTGTGAAGAGTATGTTCATGCATTTACATTGTCATCGATAGACACGACTGGTACTGGAACTTCTCCAAATAAATATAACTTAATCAACGCTAATGAACCGAGAAGATCAATGAACAGGAACTATTAACGCGACTGTTGGGCTACGACTTTGCTACACAATTAGGACTTAAGTTTAGAGACTCTCTTTGTCATGCTTGATCACTGATAGAATAAACTGCAAATTGAAGATGTCATTATCACAGCTGTTGTTCTAATCAATCTCACTACAGTTAAGGGTAGGCTAAAGGTGCTTTTGTTACTGTTTGTTATGCCTCTCCTAAGGGAGACAGCCATAACAAGCGGGACAAACGAACACCAGAAGCCTACCTCTATTATAGGTTGCGTTGCTGCACCTAAAAACCCATGGGAAACGAATTAGATCATGAAAAGATATGATCACCATGGAGCAAAAATTGGGGAGATCCTCCTTTGTGTTGTCACCAAAGATCCCACGAGCGTTCCCAACGAGAACAAGATCTTATACAAGATGAATAAGATCTTTAAATCTACAAAAAGATGATCACGTAAGTCATCTCATGCTGATTACTCGTCTGCAAGCTAAGGACAATTTCCCGCTTCTGACTCAACTACAGGAATCGTCTCTAATGAAGATCAAGATGTATTGTAGAGCAGCTAGAGTCCCATCTTCCATTTTTACGTTTTAGTTTTCCCCCGACAATAAAAATAAATAGAGAAAATAGAGAATGACGATGCTTTCCCCGAAGCGACGTCGCGTCGACGACGACGCCGATGCGTCTGGCGATCATGATGATCTCCACAAAGACTCTAGCATCAGAAATGCCGACAAACCTACGACAGCCACCACAAATAACTCAGCCAAGCGGCACGGTTACGACTGGTACAGCAACACTTTAGGCCAACCACGTCACATCTGTGCACCTATGGTAGACCAGAGTGAACTACCTTTCCGTCTTTTGTGTATAGACTACGACACAGATGTCTGCTACACGCCAATGATCAACTCGAAGATGGTCCTACAAAGTGTGGGTGGAGGACTGTTTGAAGACTTGCGTGGTAATCATGTTGAAGGATGTGACCAGTTCTTTGAGTCGCGGCTTCAAGAAAGCAGTGCGTATCAAGCGATGGCACAGCAGTTTAATCCAGTAGTGGAGATGTTTCCAAGATGGGGAGACCGAGGTGAAGAGTGTGGCAACGACGGGATGCACGTTGGACCGACCAGCGCGTCGGCTTCCTGTAGCAGCTCCAGCAATAAGTTCCTCGATCGCGAATTTTCGACCTCCGATTTAGAAAAGAATCGTGTCATTGCCCAGTTCTGTGGTGACAATCCGAACACTGTCCTTGCCGCCGCCAGACTCGTGGAACCTTTTGTCGCAGGCATAGATTTGAACTGCGGTTGTCCGCAAGGCATCGCCAAAAAAGGACACTACGGCGCTTACTTGTTGCAAGAGCCGGACTTGATCACGAGTATCATCTCGAAATTGCACACAGGTCTAAGAAAAGTTCCAGCCACCTGTAAAATCCGAAAAGTGAACAACAGCAACAGCTACCAGGAGACGATGAACTTGGTTCAGCAACTCGTAGATGCTGGTGTCTCCGCAGTAACGATTCACGGTAGAACGAAAGAAGAAAAGGGACAGCACACCAGAGCTGCGGATTGGGAATGTGCTAAATTGTTGAAAGAAAGATTTGGAAAGAAAATTCCGATCTTCTGCAATGGTGGGATCGAACACTATGGAGACGTATTACGCTGTTTCGAAGAAACGAAATGCGATGCAGTGATGAGTAGTGAAGGACTGTTGGAAGATCCACAATTGTTTGCGAAGGGACTGCGCGATCCAGCAGCTTTGACCACCTCACCCAGAGTCCCTCAGGACATCATCTTCGAGCAGTACTGCTATTATGCCAAGCGCACTGGAACGAAGCTAAAAACCGTCAAAGCCCATTGCTTCCACATGTTGTACGCAGGATTGCAGACGTTCACAGATCTGAGGGCGAAAGTTGGTCGTGCGAAATCGATCGAGGAGCTCGAATCTGTTGTGGTGAACGAATTGAGGCCAGCACGCATATCCTGGGAACAGCGAAAGAAACAAGTTGGAGAAGCTGCGAAGATGCTGAGTTCTGAGCAGGCGAAGATAGTAGACTTGGACGCGGTGATTACTACAACGACGACGAATGAAACAGATGCATCAGTTTCAGCAACAACAGCTGTTTCTTCTTCATCTGCGACAACCACAACCACAACTACCTCTACTTCGACTTCGACTACTACTTCCACTGACATCAACGATTTGCCTGAAGGCATCGCGAATGTGCTGCAGTCCCTCGACGAATTTCCGAATTTAGGCTGGTATCGGAGGTACAGGAATCCTATTGGCGGTAAGAAGAAGGACAAGCCGCTAAGGAAAGATGAGATTCTTGATGTAGACGGGGAGAAGGAAAGAAGTCCTGAAAAGGTTGTAACGGTGGGTGGGGCATGATTCGATCTTCACGACTCTTTCTTTTGTTCATCTAAGCAAAACGTGTCTCCACTATTTCTTGAAACCCCTTATAATTGACTCCACCTTTTCAGACGATCTAATGCGAACTGGGTGCAAAGCGCCTTATTTCTGCAGCAGCTTGACATGATTGATCTTGGAAAGAACCCGTGGAAATGAAGACGATGACATGGTTAGCACCTGGTCCTGCGCGAGCGGCACCGCTTGTTCTTGTCTGGAATAACCCCATGGAAGGCTTCGAGAGTGATGAATGAGTCAAATGGTGGTGCTGGAAACGACAGACAGGTTCTGGAATGAAAAAGGGTAGAGATAAGAGAGGCTACTGAGCGAGAGAAAAGCGCGCTCACCACGGAGGAAGTTGAGAACACGACATGAAGCATGTGCATAAAGAGTTTTTCGATACAACAGCACTAGCAAAACTAGTAGTAGCGCATTTAGTACAGAGTAATCTTGCTAGCCTAAGCATCTGCCTCATTAAGATGAAGCTTTTCCTTGTTGGTAACAGTTATCTGTACTACCACAACTTGCAGCACCTCCTCCGTGAATTCCGAAGCGAGCAAAAGCAGCCTAGCAAAGCCGCCAATGAAAAACTCACGAGGATCCTACAACTGACCGAAGGTGGTAAGAGTCTCGCTGACCTGGCGGACGACTTCGTTGCTATCCTAAATGGTGGCTTCGATCCTGACGCGATTATCCTACAGGATTTCTCGACTGGTCCTAGTAATGCTGAGCATAGACGAAAAATATGCGACGTCTTGAAGACGAAGTATGTCCCGGCATTGACAAAATGGTTGGAGATGGACCGGCAAGTAGGTGATGAACAAGAAGCTAGTTCCCGTAGTGGTGCAGCTTCAAGTTCAACTAGCAGAATTCAAGACACGAGCAAGAAGTACAACAAGCGTGTCTTTTTCTATTGTACACATGCTCGTGCGCAGTACATGCTTGAAACTGCAGAACTACGAGCTCGCTATAACTGCGCAGACTTTCGATCAACTTCAGAAAAGCAGATGGGAGAAGCACTCGAGCAGGGCTATCTAGAATACATCTCCGTCTGTCGCGGCAGAGGCATTCCTGCGATCCTGATTCCTGTTGGACGCGCATGGTTTGAGTTTCGCGAAAAGATCAAGAGAGATGCTATCGCGGAAGAACTGGAGAAAGAACGACTCAAGGCCGAAGCTATTGAAGCTGAGTTACAGAGAAAACGGGAGAAAGTCGGAGCACCTAGAAGTAGTAGACCTGGAACTGCTAATAGCGCTGCAGGAGGAACAGCGACATCCGGTTTCTCGTCGTCTTCAACAGCACGACAAATTCAAGAAGTAGAAGACCAACTGCAGCTACAAGAAGAGAGCAGGTTCAAGTTCAACCCCGATAGCCTATTTCATGACGACTCTCGCGCACATCCATCAGTTTTGGGGAGTTTTTTCATCGCGTTATGTCTTTGGAAAGCTCTTTTTCGTGTGGAAAAAGTAAACTGCAGTAGTGCTATGTGCACATTGGGATATAACTGTGGGGTGTTGTTAGATTTAGATAGTCCTGATGATACAATTATGGGTTCAACAGAAATACAAATGAAGAAGAGAAAAACATCAACAAACATGGGGAACAAGGTCGAACCACCGGTGCCTGTGCCACCTACCGAAAGTAGTAAAGCTAAAGCTACAATAGATGTGCAAAGCACCAAGTCATTCCAGCTGGGCTCGTTACATCCAAGCGTTTTCAAGAAGAAAGTTGATGCTTTGAAAGTTTTCATCAACCCTTCTAAAACTGAAGACGATGGAAGCACTGTTGGGCAAAATGCGTTTCAGATGATTCGTGACTACTTAGATGCTCATATCGTTTTTGGTCACAGCGAAAGCATGGTTGCGTCATTTCATGTCAGGACTACTTCGTAGTTATAGTCGGAGAACTGCTTCCAAGAACTTCAACTTTGAGTTGTACCTGCTTGCGCTTAATTCGGCAGGTCGTGCTTGTGTACATTACAACATGCTCGTGACAAGATGCGCGCTACCTGCTACCCCGTTAGCTTCTTTACCTTTCTCGAAAAAGGTGATAACTCTCGTGAGACTTTTGTTCATCGACGCCTCAAAAGAAAGTTACTTGTTCAAGAATTTTTATCGGTGCCATATCTTATCGGTCGTAAGCGAACCATGTCGTAGAAGATGAAACAGAATCTGTTGATTGTGATTCAGGGGCCGAATGTACGGCCTCTTCGATAGATGTAGATTTGTGGCCGATTGTACGGTCTTATGCGCACCCAGTATGTAATTTGGATGATCTTATAAATAAGGGGGTAAATAATTGATTGAATGGGTGGCGGCATATAGTCCTAACGCAAAAAAAAAAAAAAAAGATCGGTGATCATGAAGGATCATAACAGAGAAGCACACATGACATCGGTTATCCTTATCTTCACTCTTTGAAGTACTCACCTCGACATTCCCGCGATCCTGCTACCATTACCCAACTGATACTGTCTTCAAAAATTACGTTATGGTTCTGCCAAGGACCGACACCAAAAATAACTAACTTATCGAGTAGGATAAAGAACTTCATCAGGCGGACCGAAGCCTTCATCAAGAACCAATACTGCACATCTTCTGTTGTTCTAGATGATCATGACACCACCTCGTAGAAGTAATGCAAGTTTCCGGACAGCAGGTTGAGCGTTCCTCGTCTGCTAGGGAGGACGCGAGTTCCACTCTGGGAAGAGTCGCTGTGCAACCTCCAAGAAAAACGCTCGCAAAAGCTGCTCGAAAGCGCGATGCTTTTGAACTCCTGATCGAAAAACGAAGTCGTGGTGGTGGGCAAGTGGCTGGAGGTTTTTCGGAGTTCAAGAATAACAAGGACTCTCCAAATAGTCCAACAAGGGTGCTAGCTTCTCGGATCAATGCCGAGCTTGACGCTGAGTTAGAAGAATACACTGTAGCGAAGGAGCAAGCTGCTAGAGCTAGTGCAAATACTAAAAGTACAAGTGGACGAGGTGGCGCTGCGGGTGACAAACCATTTGCAGCTAGTGGCGGAGGCAGGGGAACGAGGAAAGAACGACTTGCCGACTGTGCTGTAGTAGAGATACGATGACATGTTTTTACTATAGATTGCTACAGAAATTCTTAGGATTGTTCAATTTCATTTTCATTGAATCATCATGGTCAATCTGTTTCTGTGTCCTCATCTGACCACCATCTTGAAGAGTCTTCTAATCCGCGAACCCGCCACCGAGCGCAAAAAGAGACCGCCACTCCGACGATACCTGAATGACACGCCTTTGCGGAGGCTTGTTTTTGAGGATTTTCGAGAACGAAACAGGTTCATTTTCGGAGACTTCCCAGAAGCGGACCGCCTAATCAACCTAGGAGAAGACTACGACAGCGATCTCGATTCAGATGCCCTTAGTTCTGTCAGCTCGGACTCAAGTCTTGACGAACAAGACGTAGCTGGAGGACAAGGGGAACAAGAGAACAATCGGTTTTTGCTGGACGAATTGGAGGAGAATCAAGGCCAAGAAGCAGGTGAAGGACAACAAGGTGTTGTAAGTACTCTAGAAAATAGAAAAAAACTTGCGTCAGAACGCTTTGCTGAAAAGCTAGTGGACATTTTGGAAAGTTCTAGTACTCAGGCTACATCTTCAAGTCGCGGTCTTACAAAGATATTAAACAAAAACAAGATGAAACTACATCAAGGGAAGAATAAGGATTCGAATGTCGAGAAGTTCCTAAAGAATAGGATACTCGAGCACATTGCACATGGGAAGAACGAGAAGGGCTTTTTGTTCTACGACCCTGACGTCGATAGAATTGTGGGCAGGAGTACGACACAACTAGAAGAACCGGTGCGAATTTCAGAGGATGTAGAGGAATACGGTGACGTAGGTGACTTGGTAAGGGGAGCAGCTGGTGCTTCTGGAGTGGGTGAGTCTGCGGCTATCGCATCCCTTATCACCTTGATGAAAAACAATCAAGAACATCGACCGTCGGGCAATGCGAATAGAGGAGGTAACAACATCACCGGTAGATTATGGGTACCGTCAATGCATCTCTTACGCCATCGTTTAGCCAATTTCAATCTGGAAAGTGCTAAAAGATGTTCCAAGAGATGGGTTGTCGGTACCTCTAAGTACTAGAGGTGGCAACTCTGCTACAACTACTTCAACTTCTAGGGGCAAAGTGTCGAACGAACAACTGCAACATCTTCAAGGCAGAATAGAAGATCCCAGACCTAGTACTCTAGCTCATGGGAACAGGGGTCAGGGAGGTTCCTATAACATAATGCAACGAACATTGTCTGCTGATAGGGATGAGGATAATTTTCTCGGCTACGAAGAGATCTCTCCTTCTACTAGGAAGCCAAGACAATCATCGTCTTCAGAGGGAAACAAGAAGCAGCGTCCTAGCAGAGGTTTAAAGCAAAACTCCTACGAGTCACTTGGACAGAGTGATGAGGTGGAGATACTAGAGGCACAACAAATAGCACAAGTAGTAGGACAACAGGGGAAAGCGAAAGCGCCACTTCTTACAAAAACCATCATGGATCAGGACCAGCACCGGAAGATGCCGGGATTGTTTTCTCTCGTGAGAGGAGACGCAGACCTCCAACATATGCAACAGGAGGAAGATGCTCGACGAGTTGTAGGTGGGCCAAGAGGTGGAGGAGAGAAAAAAGGTAAAGGAGGAGGTACTATGAAAAAACCTTCAGGCAGACGTAGAAGTTCTTCTGGCAGAAGAATACAAGGTAGTAGAGCAGATGGGAGAAGCGGAATTCCATCTCAGATCTCTGATGCAACGATAGCAGAAATGGTGGATGACCCAGCTTTACTGCAGGAACTGCAGGAAAGAGAACTTGCTCTAAACGCGCTTGCAGCTGCGCAAGCTGGTGATGATGGACCTCAAAGAACGCGAAAAAGTACAACAACAACTGGAAATAAAGTGAGTAGGAACTATGGAGCTGGAGCTGCTGCTCTTAGATCCTATAACCCGTCAAGTCGTGATGTGCTTCAATCATCTGCACCAAATAAAGCTTCACATCAACAGCTAGCTCTCCCATCGTCGCCTGCGCTTAGACCAACAACAGGGGAGCTTTTTGAGAACGTCTTGACGCGCTCTAGCACTTCAGCGACGAATCGTGCTTACAGGGAGTTACAGACGGAAGATTTTTTTAAGGCTTCCGCTGGTCCATCTTCGAAAGCATCTTTCTTAGTTAGAGACGTTTCCTTTCAAGAAGGGGAAAACCGGGAACGGTCTCAGGATGCACTTCGAGATGGATTAGAGGAAGCTCTAACTTTTACGATGATAGATTGCGGGACGTCGCTCGTATCGTGAACGAGCAGAAGCAAGCACAACGACAGTTGGAACGAGTAGAAGCTCGTGTTGGGAAGTCTCTGAACAGGAAAATGCTGTTATGGCTCCTGCATGATTGTCTTACAGTGTTGAAGGAAAAAGACAAACGGTATCTTCGGGAGGCTGACTTGATGTATCTTCGGGAGGTTCTCCAGGAAGCTCTACATCAATCAGCACTTACTAGGCATGGACATGGAGGTCGTCTCCGCTGCTAGGCTCTCACCCTCCTTTGAACATCCGTAAGTAGTATCTCCTACATCTTCTTAGATATCCTTCCCACCTAATAAATCCCGCTCTAATCCCAACTATGGAGAAGGAAAAAGACAAACGGTATCAAGCAGAGATGGACAACCAGAGGCGTGCTTTTCTCACCATGGTAAATCGCATGGCGAGGCAGCATCGTGACGATCTGAGTGACCTGAAGAAAGCTGGAGAAGCAAAACTGAAGAAACAGGTAGTTCTCGCTTTTTAGGATAATGTAATCCATGATTATGATTCATCATACAACAATCTTCTAAATCTCTCAAAATGCTTGGATGTGAGTCGTATTCACACGTGTTGTTTTTTCGTGATAGTTTGTTACATGCTCCTATCTCATTTGTCTCTTCAATTTTCACCCACTTTTTCAGATCGTCGACGACGACAAGCGATACCATGCGTTAATGAAGAAGGACCAGCTCAAGTTCGACGAATTGTTGAAACACGAAGAAGAACATGCGCGTAAGGCTCTCGAGATTCACAAAGCGGACATGAACACGCAGAAAGATTAAGGCGAGATATTGTACTATCAGTTTAACTCTGTTGTACTAGGTAGCTTCGATTCATTTCATTTCAATTGTCAACTACGTACAACAATTTCCTGGCCCGAGTACATGACCAAAGGACAACTAGGACAACTCAAACCCTAGTAAAGTAACAAAAACAAAAAAGTTTCTCTATCTGACTAATTAATCTGTACACGTTGCAAAACCTTTTGATCTAGTTCAAAAGGTACCACTCAAGACCAGGTAAATGAATGAATGAGTGAAACCTTCTATAAGCCTACTTAGCGGATCTAATCCACGCGCACTGACGTCTTCCTGGAATTGCAAAAGTTGCGCCAGACAGATTTCGCGGATCCAATCAGGGAACAGAATGAAGAGTTCAAACGATTCGAAGAGGAGAAGCAGGAGGAATACTTGAAGGCGCTGCGCGAGTTGAGGAATGAAGACAACGTCGAATTGGATCAGCAGAGAGAGGTACTTTATGATTATATTTATTCTCGTCTCGGATTAGGTACAGGTACTATAAATCTCGTGATGTCCGTGCACGTGGCGTCCTGACTTGATCGAGGCCAATGAGTTTGAAACTGATAGCGCGTTCGACGTTTATCGGCAACATCGTCATCAATCTTCTCGATTTGTTTCCCACCACAGGCGTGGAACATGCGCATGGTTTCCTTGGTACAAGAATTTCAAGCGGCAAATGAAAAGAGGCAAGCCGAAATGGAAGATCGCATGTTCGAATTGATGAATGGCCAAATGACCAACCTCGTAGACGCTTTGGCTAGTTTGAAACCCCCAGACAAAACGCTGAGCAGGAGAGCGGGATGGGGTACTACATGTTGAAGTGGCAGCTAATTTTACATGTGTTCTGTGGCTTCTCGACCATGATGTTGACCTCGACATAATTTTGACTGCTTTTTACTGTAAGCAGTTTCATCTTCTTTTTATTCACTCACTTTCCTCTCACTCTCTGTCCAGGTTCACCAACCAAGCTGACCTCCCCAACCAAAGGAGAAGATAAACCCACCGGGGGCAGACCATGGGGACAAGCCGGCAAGTGGACCGTGCTCGGAGAGGATCCCCAGTATGATGACGAAAAATACTGGACGCAGACGATCATACCTGTGCCGAAGGAGATGCAGGCAGATATCTACTCCGGAAGTGAGGCAGCAACGAGTGATTGTCTGGTGTCCGTTGACGGCATGTCACTGCCTGATAGCGAAAGAGAGGACCGGAACGATCGTTCAGGACGTAGTCATCAGTTTCCAGCTGGCTTTGCGGGAGAGGGATGGAGGACGTGGACAGAGCAAGAAGATCAAGATGATGATTCGAGAGAGCAACAAGTGGTTGTAACAAGGAAGAGGAGGATGTCCGAGGCTCCTCCAACGCAGCCAAATGCTTCCATGATTCGCAGTGGTAGAACAACGGCGCCGTTTGGTCTCGCCTCACGCATGGGTGGACAGGATAGTCCACCGGTGCCCGGCTTTTCGTAATGGACGGGAATGTTGAATTTGAGACTTGCTCCGAGATGATGCAAGTTTACTAAGATGATATCTGAAACTCGCTGATCAGTGTATTAAATGTACAGACCCATGTCTTTTGTTTATCAACAATATCTTCATGCACAGATTGTCTATGTGTAAAAACAAATGCTTACCAACCTAGTTGTATTCTCTTATCCGTAAAATCTGGAAATTTTAGCTATTAACTCTGTATCTAGGACTAGGAGTCAACCTGAAAATAAAAGGAGAAGTGGTATCGCAATATTTGACCAAGAAGAGCAGAAATTCATATTCAATCTCAAAAATCTCAAACACATTTAGAATTGCATCGTCTATTCAATCAATCGTATACAGTTGCACAGTTCTGTAAAGTAAAACCAAGTTGATTTATTTCGAATTTACTCATGAAGTGTATAATATTAGACTGCATCGGTTTAGATAAGTAGTATTCTTGGATGTGCTAATGACAATCTTGTAAGCAAATTTGGCATCTCTATTAACTATATCGAGTTATGATAGAAAACTATTGGGCACGAAGACGATTCATTTTTGGAATACGGACATGAAGAAGAAGTAGAATGAATGAACAAGAAAATTCATATGAAAGCGATGAGGCTGTTGACAAAACATGTTTCTGGAGAAATGATCAGACTGCTTGATGGTCGTGGTGCAGCGAAGATATGTCGTCAGACCTACATCTGCGTGATGAATCGTCTCGTATGCGCTTCTGCTTCCGGCGCTTGAAATCGAATCCGGATGAGTTGGTAAGATCGGATATTATCGATTCCATTGTGGATGCTCGACAGTCGATTATCGTCTGCTTCCCGCTCTCAAGTGGATACAACAGTGAGTCGGACCCGTCAGAAAGCAATGCCAGTCCTAGAGAAGAGTGAGAAAAAGTGAAGTTCCCGAAAAGCCCAGGCCCACTTATCGTCAATAATAGAGAACTACCGTAAAAAGCTAATTCTGTTGGCGAAAACAAGAAAAAGATGGTTCGTAATCCTCCGGAAGCATACTAGGAAATGCAAAGTCCTCCCAGAAAACTGATACTTGTGCATTGACTCGTCTTTCCACAAAGGTAGCTCTGATTTGTAGTAGAGGTGCTGATAGAAAAGTGATGGCTTCCTCACTATTTGAGCGGGACGCGATCGCGTGATGCAGTTCTCGATACGGTAGTTGTAATCGACAATGCGGAACACGGTCAACAGGAGTTACACGTCTCCTTCGGACGACACTTCGTCCGATGTTTCACGAGACGACTGTATGGCTGGCATCCTGCGTTCACCGGGAGCAGAGGTCAGGAGTCGAAGGCAGGCGGCGGCGAAACAAAATCAGCCTAGCAGGACCTCCTCCTTCGGAGGAAGTCTGACAGTAGGCGGCAGCAGTAGCTCAACTTCTCGCATAGGTGCGCTAAGGGAACGACAGGGACATCAGCATAGGTGGGTTCAGAAAGTGGCACCGGACACCAACTCTTTTTCATCGATGTCGTCACCAATGTCGAACATCTCCGACTCCTGTCGTTTGCAGGGACCCGCGTCTCCTCTTGACAGGGTCTCTTCAAAGTTTTCGTCCACATGGGAGGAAGGGGAACAGGAGTGGTCTGGAGAAGATGCAAAGTTTTCGTCCACATGGGACAAAGGTGAACAGGAGTGGTCTGAAGAAGATGAAAAGTTTTCGTCCACATGGGACAAAGGTGAACAGGAGTGGTCTGAAGAAGATGAAGGGGTCGTCGATGACGTGGATGCCGGTGGCTTCTTGGGAGCTGAAGAACATCATCTTCAATATCGTGAAGCAACTAGGAAGAAGCGTCCACCAGCACCAGTAGAAGAAGACCTTGCTTCTGCGAAGTCATCTTCTGGCCCATCTGGAAGTAGTCGTATGTCAGATATCGACAGCACCGAGCAGTCTTTCTACAAGCGCAGTCGGCTGCCGCCTGCCGAGTTCTATGTTGAAGAGAATCCGCGAGACTTCTTAGAAACAGCATCTCTAAAAAGAGCACGAATTGCGCCTGTGCCACCTGAAGAAGAAGACTTCTCCGAAGCTGTTGATGCAGATACAGATACGGAAAAGCATCCAGATGCGGTACAGCAGTTAGAGGATGTTGTAAAGACAAATAGTTCGCAACCACAAGTCCAAGTGTCGCTGTCGCAGCAGGTTTTCCTCTTTGCTCCTGGCGAAGAACAAGAGCAACCATCTTCTCCAACAAGCAGAAAGTCTACTTCTCCTGCCTCATCTTCTTCGAGCGGAAACTATGCTGCCTTTCTTCCAGCAGTTTTAGCACAGAAATGCGGTTCTAAGGAGCTGCAGAAGTACGGATACACAGGTTGGAAACAGAAGACGATTGATGCGGAGATACTTAATAAGGCGAAACCTGACGATCCGGATAAAGCAAACATGCATGGAAAGCGGATTTTGTACGACATGTTCGGTCTCGAGTTGAGCTGGAGCACCTTTCCAAGAGTCAAAGTAAAACATTATGGCGCATGGTGATATTGTAATTCTTGGTCTTCTTGTAACTTGTTCGAACGGACTAGGACTATTATTTGAAGATTATAGACTACGTGCTACTACTTCTACTAGGCACAAATTTTTCTAAAAAACAGGAGTTGTTGGTTGTTGTTGTTCTAATCGCAACTGAAGAAAGGCGGCCGCGCAGCTAATTCCGGTGTCGTAGCTGGGGACTACCTTGCCACGATTAATGAGGTTTACAAAGTCACCGATATTGCGAAATGGGCGAAAGCAGAGCGGGAGAAGCCAGACTTCAATCCGAAAACAACTTCTCCTGCCGAAGACGCGATAGTGTCGAAGATGAAGGAGAAACTAGCTGAAAAACAGGACACAACTGGAGAAAAGACTAGTTGGGGATTCGTCTTTCATCGTGCGAAATATGCAAAAGGCTACTTGCAGATCAAGATGCCAAAAGACCTGTTGGCGAAAGTGCGCAAAAGCGCGAAGGGGTTTAGCGACAACGCAGCTTTGCAGCGTTTTTTGGGGTTGAAAATGGGAGACGCGGCACCTGCAGATAGTGACGAAACGGCAAAACAGCACAACCGGGTTTTCGAAGTGCTTGCTGACGAGGTCGACGACAGTGGCAAAGTAACTAAAAAGCACAGTGACAAATGGGCTACTGCTTATGCGAAACTTCACGCCGGAGACGAAATCGTTGTGATCAGTCGCAGCCACCTCGCTCCCAAACCTGCGGACGAAGCTCATGGCTTCAATGGATTGCTGAAACGCGGGTTTACGGAGTCTAACTACGGCAATGTCGACTTACTTGTGCGCAGGACTGCCGGTGACGGATTCGCGAACGATGAAAGATACACGAAAATGGACACGGGTCCAGGCTACGTAGTGGACATACGTCGCATCTGGATGAAAGTGGACGAGAAAGGCGTTGTGGGCACGAGTGCGGAAAGAACTGGCACCAAAGAAGAAATAGCTGATAAGATGAAGGGTGAGTACTACAAGAAAGCTGAAGATAAGATTGCATCGGATTCCAAGACCAAGAAGGAACAGGAGAAAGACAATGAACTAAAAAAACGTCTAGCACAGAAACAGGAGGAACAGTTGCACAAGCAAAAAGAAGAAATCAACACCCTGAAGCGGAAAAGCAGCCTTCTGTCAGAACATCGTACCAGTTCTAAAGATCACGAAGATCCAGATGGAGAAGAAGGACAAGACAACGAACAAGATGAAGCGGGTGCTAAAAATCCTCTGAAGCAAGTTCCGCAACGCGCCTCACCCTACACGATGGATGTTGTGGAGCAAGGATCTTCTTCAACCACTACAAACACAGTCCCAAAAGAAGTTCTCCATGCCTTAGAAGACAAGCTGCTAGCGCGTGAGCGAGATCTGAATGCCAGAAGTCGTTCTCTCAGCCCAGAAGTACAAAAGACTGCCGTAGATCTGATGTCTCCATCGGAACGAGCCGCACAAGCACAGCAGCATCGCTATGTGCAAGCAAATGCTGGAGCAGCTGCGGATGTTAGCGACATGACTGATTTTTTGAATCGACAAGCCATGCAAGAAACCAGTAACTTTGCTCATCTTCAACCTATTGCTGAGAATCTTGACGTCGAGATGGATCCAGGGGACAGCTTTCCAGCAATGGTCACAGTGCCGCTTAGCAGTCGGTATGCAACACTTGAAGCTGGCTTCAATGGTGACCCTGACAGCAACTTTCTTCCTCCGTCTGACATTCTCAAACCTGAACGTTCCACATCCACACAAGCACCACCACCAGAAGCTCTATACGTGTCTTTGTATTTGAAAACGCTGGATGATCGTGCTGGCATATTCGGTCGCTTAGATCAACAAGAGAAGCAGGGCTTGAACAAACTAGCAGGCGGTCCACGCATGCAACTGGAAGCACCATGGCAAAAGTATGATGCAGGAAAAGCGTCTGAGAAGCTCTCCGCTTTGAAAAAGCGCTACAGCAGGGTTTGTGAGTCTAGAAATGCTCTAATCCGGTTCCAGGAGTTGATAAAGCGAACGGCACCTGGAGGGCGGTCTAGTAACTCCAACATTGTCCCCGCGTTGAGTGCCAGACAGCGCGCTCTGGTAATGGGCTCCTACGATCGCGACACGGCTCAGTGGAAGGCGCCTGCTGATGTCGGACGAATCGGCGTTCCGGATGCCGAGGATCTTCGAGGTGATCATGATGGGGCGTCTCAAAAGGAGAACTTTCGTGGCGATGGTACTACTTCTGCGAAGGATGTAGGACCGCCATCAGGGCCAATCATGCCAACAAGGCAAGTGCCACCTCGCGAAGATGCTTTGCTTCTGAAAGACGGTTTGGATATGACCTTCATGCACTTGCGGAGTCAAGCTGAGCGGTTGACTACGGTTGCGGAGGAGGTAACGCGAAAAATCACTCAATCCCTTAACGACGCGACTGCGCAACAGCTTCTTGACGCCAACTTCATCACGAACTCCGAGAAGGACGTTTTACAAGAACAAGAAAGTATGCGAATTGAGCACGGGCGCATGAAAGACGAACTGCGCGAAGCGTATCAGGATGAAGAACAAGCGCGGTTTTTCGTTGAGCGACACGCGAGACAGAGCTTCTACGACCAGATGTTCGGAAGAGGGGGAACTACAGCTCAAAAACAGCAGCAGGAAGAAGCATTCTCTTCTTCGGGTCCTAGTGAGTTGGACCCAGAAGACGTGATCGTGGTTCCGCTTGATGCGGAGACACGAGAGTTGAAGATTCCTCCGAAAGAAAAGCCTCCGAAATGGCAACGCATGCTGGATGGCGGGGTCGAGCCGGATGCGGCACCAGTCGTCTTGAACCCCTCTGCTCTGCGGGAAGCCATAGAAGATATCCGCGAGGAAGTGAGACAAGAACAGCAAACTACGGTAGAAAATGCAAGAGAGTTCTATGGGATGTTGAACAAGACTAGTACTAGTAGCAGTGCTCCACAAGCACAACAGCAACCTCTAGGACCGCAGGTCGACATCGATATCCACGCTCTCGAAAACGTAGTGAACTTGTTCCAAGTACGTTTGGGTGACGTGATTGTGAGATTGCAGATTTGCAGCGACGACTGCGGAGACCCTAGTGCCTGGGGTCATGCGCTGAAAGGCGACAGCTTGACATACGCACAAAGAGCTTGCATAGTCGACACGAAGCATTTCAGCACGATTCGGTTGTCTTCGCTTCACTCGAATGTGGTGCCCTTCCATCGCAGGTTGTTTTTTGGGTTAGGAGAAGGTGGAAGTAATTCTTATTCTGGTAGTACTTCGAAGACTGTGGATGCCAATGCGACTGTTTGGCTACATCTGACGTTCTACGAGGCTTTGCAGGAAGTGGACAGAGAGTTTCTTCGAAACACAGACAAGGCTTCGCGAAATAAGGGAAAAGACTTTGATGTTGAGGATCCACTTGCACAAGCATGTATTCGTCTGCACAACGGAGAGCCAAGCGGAAAGCTGCATGCGCTTCAGCCAATCTATTCGACGAAGGAGAAGAAACTGCTACAAGCATTTGGCCACGACGCGTGTTTACGTGCACGGGGGGTATTGCGTGATCCTCCTCCTTTATCTGGTAGTCCAGGTTTCAGTGACGATGCTGCTGCTGGTAATGGAGGTATGTTCATGCAAGACCAGAGTTGGAACGCGTCGAATGCCGCAGATCAAGTAAGTAACAAAGCGATTGGCGAGCGTTGGCGTCAGTGGGAGCAGTCTGGTTTGGAAGAAATTCCTGCCAGTGAAAACATTCTAGCCAGAGCAGCTGCTGCCGAGAAGCGTGGAGGACTGAATGACGACGACAGTGAGCAGCTGTTGAACAAAGCAACGAGCGACTTTTTTGCCTTTCAAAAGCATCAGGATGATACGCGGATTGCGACCTATCGACGCATAGACGCGCATATGGACGAGAAAGCTGCTACTGCAAAACGACTGAGAGAGCGAGAAGCAGAAAAGCAAGCACGTGCGAAGCGAAAAGCTGAGAAACTTCAGGCTAGGAACAGGGATTTTACGGAGAGAGGAGACGGACCAGATCATGGTGAAGCAGGAATAGAGGAGAAGGGTGGAGGTGATTTCGGTGCAGATTCGTTCAAGAGAAAGCTTCGTATGATGGAAAAAGCAAGGAGAAAACAAGAAAAGATGAACAAGAAAGACGTTCCTGCTGCAGGGACGACAGGAGGTCCAGTTAGTGCAATGCAGGAGCAGGGCGTACACGGACAAGAAGGCACTAATGCAGGCTACGACCCCCACCGGGACGGAGGTCACGATCCTCCTTCTATACTAGCTAAAATGTTCTTCAACTTCAATGCGGCCCCACTCCCAAAGATGCAGCCTGACGAAGTAGAAGATCGTCCAGTTGATGTGGATGGAGATGGGGAGCCGATTTCTTCTGATGAAGATGATTCAGAGGAGCTTGAAGACGATGAATCCGATGAAGATGATGGAGAAGAAGGAGACGATGGTACAAGTACAACTGGAGAGCCAGGAGACGGCACTTCTAGTAAACCTTCTACTCGTACTCACGCCAGGGCTGAGAGGACAGATGAGAACATAAAGCATCGTCATCCTTCTACCACAGAGGAAACAGCGGAGCCATCAGAGAAGGGAATGACAACTATCGAGTTAGCGAAAACCATGTTGGAATCGAAATCCAAACGTGCTGAATTCGAGATGGAGGTCCGCAATATGCGAGACGAGGTCCGAATTCGAGCTGTGATGCGGAAGGTGGCTGCTGAAGAAATGATGCGTGTTAGACTGTTGAGAGCATCGCCTGCTTCAGCAGCATTTGGAAGCAACTCCAGAACATCTCAAAATGGACCTGACACGCTCCATGCAGACGAGAAAGTTGAGTTGCGAAAACGAGTCAAAGCCGCTGGTCAGAACGAGCTGCGCCGTTTGAAGAACGAGCGTGGGCAGCATGGCGAATTACCGGTGACTGAACAAGAACTGTTAGATCAGGCAATCCGACACGCTGAACCCGTCATGCGGGAAGCCCAAAGAAGGGCAACCGATGCACAAGGATCTTTTTTGCATCATGGCGCGGATGCAGTACGAACTGCGATGATGGACGCGAACAATGTCGTTGTGCCGCTTGAGCAAGTGCTTGAAGTAATGGTGGAGTACGAGGAACATGCTAAGGAGATGAAGGCTAAAGGTATTGAGGAAAGGGATCTCTTTCATGACGAGAACGGCATGCTGAGGAATATCGACCACCTTCGTCAAGACGTTATCGGAGGAGGTAGCAGTAGTAGCTTGAAGAACAATGATGTTCTTGGACTTGGTCGTGGTAAAGGTAGACGAGGACCTCACGCTCACCGTGACCACAGTGCTGGCATTGCATCAGAAGAGGGCCCTCCGGATGAAAACGCCCCACGTCGTCCAGTTTCCGATGCCCATGTGGTAGTCTCACCAGAAGTTCGAGAGGCAGCGAGGAAGCGCCGTGTTCAGATAGACGAGCAGACTGAGCAGGAAGATAACAAGGGTTTCCTAGGCAATTTTGGTCAAGGCATCTTCTTTTACCCCGAAAACGAAGAAGATGATGATCATGAACATCGAAGAGGAGGAGGAGGACACACTTCAACTTCAGCAACGTCTAGAACAACCTCATCCTCTGCAACGGCTGAACAGTCACATGATTGCTCTTCCAAAGCGAAACCCAAGAAGCGTACTTTCAAGATCTGCACTTCAGGCTGGTGGGGTTGCTCGGCTGGTGAGGACAGTGATGACGATGCAAATAATGGCGCGAACAGGAATCGTGGCCTGAAAAACAGTCATTACGACAGCACGACGTCTGCTCAACTCCGACATCGTCAGCTTCAACAGCGACTTGGCCCTTCGTTTCTAGACGGTCGTGAATGGAATGGAACCATGGACGACTTGGATGATATCATGCGACAAACAAGAAACCTTCGCGTTGACGTTCCTGCACCAGACGTCGACATCTTAGACCTACTCGAGAACGGGGAAGTTCCCAGTGCAGAGATGCTAGCGCAGTGTGCTCAACACGCTCACAACGAACACATGGAGGAAATGGAGACTCGACAAAAAAGGTACGGAGCTCATTTTCAAGGTTACTACTTGAAGGAAGCGAAGAAGCAGTACTTGGTGGAGGCACAGATCGACCATGAGGACTACTATGAAGAGCTGGAGCGGCGTGCTAGTATTGTAAGCAGTGACGAAGGACAAGAACAAGAGGGCGGAGGAAAAGAAGTAGATCTTCCCTCCTCCAGGTACACGACCACTAGCACTGCCAACAACAACGAGGACGACGGCCGCTACACTAGATACGTCGACGGAAGTTCCACTACAGTAGATGATATCAACTATCGAGGCACGGAGAGGAATTTCAGACGCATTGTCCCTGGAATGGTCATTGAGGACGCGCGGATCAGAGACACGAGAGACGATGAGGGTGAAGGCACTATTGCTCCTGATGATGTCGGTGCTGGCTATGGTGGATTCTTTCCGACGAACTTCTTTGGCTTTGGAGTTGGTGGAAAGGCAAAGGATGATGAACAACCACGCACAAGCAAGAAGAGCACAGCCGCGTCTTCAACATCAAACTTCTTCGGATTCGGGAAGAACCTAGTTCCATCTACTGATTTTGGCGGAACGATCGGTGCTGATGTGGCCAATGCGAATGCAATTTTAGGAGGAATCTTTGGCCAAAATGGTCAGCGACAAGTGAACTTTGCTGATGATGTGGTGGAGATTTCTCCAGCATCCTCGTCTAGATCACCTGGCTCTTCTCCAGACGACGTAGCCTCTCGTCTGAAGCGCGAACTCCAACGCAAGATTGTCTCGCCGCATGACATCGCTAAGCCGGACATGAGTTTGCTTGGCGCAGACAGCTTGAGTTTCGGAGGTTCTCAGACAGCGAATGAAGTTCTACGTCGCCGTAAAGCAGCTGAGCACGCGCAAACTGCGTATGAGGAGTTTCGCGCCAACAAGGCTAAGGAGAAGAAAACGCGTCTAGACGCAGAGAAAGCGAAAGTTCATGCAGAGCGATCAGAAGTCGCAGAAGGACATATTCGAGAAGCTAGCGCGTTACGTCTTCCGCCTAAACTCCAATGGGTAGGCATCCCGACGCCGAATGTCTTGCCGATAACCCCTGACAAAGCAGCGTGTCTGATTGAAGATTTTGATCTCGAATTGTTCCCAGATTACGAAGACGCATTGGATTTTCATAATGTCTTGACAGAGTTGCGCAGTGCAGACAATGTGTTTCAACTCCTCCAATTCAAGAAATTTCGCCGATTTCGCTACAGCTTGACGGATCTGTATTCGAAGTTGTTCACTTTGCAGCATGACGGGTATTTAGCTCGTGGCCCTGCTGCCCGACAGCAAGAACACGCACAGTTGGTTCTCGAGTACGCTTTAGCGGTGGCGCGTGAACCACGTTTGCCTTTTGGCAATCTGGTCAGTCAAATCGCAGCCTTACTCATCGACTGTCTGCGTAAGTTCCCCTGTAATCCGTTCTTGCACTTTTGGGGACTGGAGGCCTTGCTGAACATAGTTCGGCAACAAAAGCAGATGGACAAGTTAGCGGTGATGGAAAGGGATGCCATGGAGCTGAAAGCGGAAAGAAGGTTAAGTAGAGAAGATTGGTTTGCTAATTGTGATTCAAGACTTTCATGTAACTATAATTTCATTTTGAAAGAAGGCTAACTAGAGAAGATTGGTTTGGTAATTGTAGTTCATCAAGACTTTCATTTGTCGCTCGGTTTGCTTGCTCTTCTTTGAAGGTACAGGCAGACTGAGATAACCTCCCACTCAATAAGTCAATTTGAGCATCGAGGTTACATGACATGACATGACATACTTAACTATTTAATTTCATTTTCACTAGTACCTCTTGCTAGTGCTACTCAGCAGGAGGAACACATCAAGATCTTCAATTTGAGATTCTTCTTCTAAGACCCCAGTTACAGGCGATGACCTCCGCGACGGGGGCCATGACCGTGACGCACGTTGCAAACGTTGGCACCAAATACGAGAAAGTGAAATCCACAGCACCAATGGTTGAGACTGCACTGAGTATTTTGCCACCAGAAGTGCGCACAGACGAGGAAGATGCTGACGCAGTTGCTGCGACTGACAAAAACCCCAACCGCATGCGCGATTATCTTGCAGCATTTCTGTGCCGTTCTGAGTATCCTGAGGCGCTTGGAGTGATCACCTGGGACTCGATGCAACTGGAGAAGGCTGTGGTGCGGAACAAGGACACGACAGCGCGTCAAAAAGTTCGTGATCTTTTCGGCTTCGTCTTGGATTGGCGCGATTTTCCTAGGGTCAGGGTTCAGAGCGTGGAAGACGAGAAACCGATAGTCTTCAAAACCACGCAGGAAGACGAGGACTACGCAGCAAAACACAAGACGAAGAGCGGTGCCGAGAAAGCGGCCGTTGCGGCACGAGCGGAATTGGAGGAGGACGCACCGAGATCAGCGGCCAAAGCTGCTGGGGTTGGAGAAGGGGACATTTTGCTCAGAATTTGCGGTGAAAAAGTGTCGAGTATGATCGACTGGCCTGGTGACAATCCCGATGAAGCTTTGCTTGCTCGCTGTGTCCAATGTGTGGCGAACAAAAAGCCTTACTCTTTCCACCTTTTGAAGAGGAAAAACGAAGCAGAATATTTGCAGCTCGAGGCTCACCGTCCAGACCTAGGTTTCAATGTAGAACTTGGTCCGAGGGGCTTTTTGGTTACGCGTGTAACCGAACGGACCGGTTGGGCTGCGCGCAATGGTGTCCGATTAGGAGATATGCTTGTCGTTTTGGGGTCCACACTGTTGGAGCCGTTAGGCATCGTCGACTGGGGAAGTCTGGAACATGAGGTAGAGATCGAGCTGAGCCTGAGTCGTGGGAGACGACCGCTGTCCTTGCTGTTTCGTCGGCCGATTCTGAAGGCAGCCACGTCAGAGGATGAAGGTCTAGAAGACGGAGATAAGGAGGACAAAAAGCAGGATGCTGTAGGTGGCTACCCAGACGCTGTCCGAAACGCCAATGAGCCGGATCTTTCGCCAGCTATCATTCCAATCCGGTGGCGACATGCGGATGAACACTACGCGTCGATCGTGACTCGTGGCAGCCTTGCTGACAGAATTTTTAGTATGTCCTCAGCACTTGGAGGCAGTAGTGTAAAAAAGGGTGTCGATGATAAAGACGATAAGAAGAAGTCATCTTCTTCTAGCAAGGACAAGAAAGAGGACAAGGACAAGAAAGATGACAATGATAGGAAGGAAAAGAAAAGCAAGGATGACGACAAAAAGGACAAGAAGGACAAAAAAGAAAAGAAGGAGGAAAAAGAACCAAAGGCTGATGGCGTCCAATGGAGCAATATGCTATTTTACCCTGAGAAGAAGGGGAAGCCTCCAGGTGGCGCTACGGGTAAACCTCCAGGTTCTAAAGCGAAAGCTAAAGGAACTGGTAAGGGTCCAAAGGGAGGAAAAACTCTCCGAGGCGGTAAAGGTGGCAAGACTCCCAAAGGAGGTCTGAGGCCTCCTGGTGCTGGCTCTCCTCCTGGGGCCAGAGGTATGGTTGGCGGCAAACCTTCTTCTCTCAGTTCTCCTCGAGGAGCAGCAGCACCTAGTACTCAACTTCTCAACATTCCTTCTAGTACAGGACGACAAGGCGGTCCTCCATCAAGTGGAAAACCCGCTGGTGGGATCGCGAGTGTAGCAGCAGCACTGTCAGCTTCCGCGGCTCCTTCGAACAGCAAGAGCGCCATTGGGGCAACGGCTATAGGCGCTACGGGGGTTGGAGCAACCGCCATAGATCAGAACAATGACAAGGGCAATCGAGAGGAGCGGAAAAAGGCAAGGCAAATGCGAGAGAAAGCTGAGAGGAATGCGAAGCTAGATGTCGGGAACCTCCTGGAGGGCACGAATAAGGACTTGAACGAAGACGCCGTGCCATTTATGAGAGGATCTCTTTGATCGAGCGAATTCGTATAGGTACTCACTCTTTCATGATTTGGACTTGTTTGCACTCAGTCGAACAAGCCTTCTGAGACGAGCCAAGATCGAATACTTTCTACCTGTATTACTGCCTCACCCCGAACCCAGCCAAGGGCAAGAGGAGATCTCCCGGTCTTCTTCTAATCCCTTCCTCCCGTCCACCAAGTCCAAGAGGAGATCTCCCGGTCTTCTTCTAATCCCTTCCTCCCGTCCACCCTGGCCAAGAGGAGTTCTCCCAGTCTTCTTCTAATCCCTTCCTCCCGTTAAGTATTAGTGCCTCACTCCGAACCCAGCCAAGTCCAAGAGGAGATCTCCCAGTCTTCTTCTAATCCCTTCCTCCCGTCCACCCTGGCCAAAGTGAAGCATGAGAATCCGAAGGAGCTAGGACTTACCGGCTTCAACATCGACATCAAAGACTTCGGTACTGGCGATTGCTTGAGGGACCCTAGCTTAACAGCATCAGAGAAGCTTGTCCATTATTTCGGCCTCGAGTTTTCGTGGGCGGAGTTTCCGCGCGTCCGGGTGACCAAAGTGGAGAAGTACTCACCGCGAAGAACGCACAAGAGGAAAGCGTTTTCGAGAGGGGTGCAAGAGGGTGATTTGCTAGTCGTTTTCTCCGGACATCCGATTTCCAATGTCGCAGAATGGCCCACCACTCCGAAGTTGCAGGATACGGACGCAGCCAGACGACCGCCAGCACTGTTAAGTCACGCAGGCAAGATGTTGGGGGTTGCTGGAGCTAGATCTCTGGACAGCGCGAACGATCCAAACGAAGCTCTGATTCAGAAATTCATCTCAAACGTCAACGCGCGGAAGAAACCCGCAGGAAACTTCATGTTTTTGAAGGCGCTGTACCAGCAACAGTACGTACAATTCGAAGTAAAAGCGAAAGCTGGGATGGACCTGGGTTTTGTGCTGAGTCCACCTGCAGAGATCGATATATTCGATGAACCATTATGGATATTGGTTACATAAGTTGCTCTTCAACATTCTTTCGCCTCTGCAGCAGTAGCAGAAGCAGTACGTCGACAATACAACCATAAGCAAAAATAAAGTACAACCCTATCATGTTGTAGCTGTTGCTTCAAACTTTTTTGTTCTCATTCTAATCCACCCTCCCAAATCCAGAAAGCCAGAGGAGGTTGACGAAGCCACAAAAGCAGCACGGGAGGGGAGCTTTTTCGTCACTGCTGTGCAAGAATTAGTCCACCCCTCTCTGCGTGTTGCAAGCAACTCCGCTAACAAGACCTGGGCCTACAAAAGCGGCATTCAAATCGGTGATCGCCTGGTTGCTGCTTACGATATCGAAGGCGACGAGACTATCATCTCTTCTGTCAACGCCAAAAAGATGCTACAGCTAACCGGTATCTACGGTAGACGGCCTTGCCATCTCTTTTTCCGACGTGGTTGTAAAGGCGCGCCGAAGCCGAAGAAGGTGAAGCAGCCAGGAGACTCGGACTCGATGAGCGGCGCAAGTTCTGAAGAAGAAATACCGTTGGATCAACGTGGTTTCCCCTTCTTGATCCAACAGCACTGCTGGAAGGCGGTTAAGGACCAACTCGCAAAACTTCCCACTGCTTGGCTCCTACGTGGAGCGGTTCTCGCGGACGCAACCGCCGAAGCAGAACTTCTGAAACAACATGGAGACCATTACAAGGAGTTGCTGGACATCCAGGACCAAACTTTTTTGACGGGTCGTGGCGCTCCAGGACTACTTTCCGTCTACAAAGGCCGCGACACATTGCGGAAGAACAACTTCGGACATGATCCACTGCACGTTGGTCCCCAAGCACAGGTGAAGCGGACAAAGCAAGTTGTGCAGGACAGGCTATGGCAGGACGTCGAAGATCTGGAGGATTTTGAGGAGTTGATAGCGAAACACAAGGATGATCCTGAGAAAGTCGCCGAACTGAAACGTGAGGCTGAGATACGGAGAGAACGAATTAGGGTCATGCGGGCTGAGTTGCGAAGTGGCGATGGAGAACAAGGTGGAATTCTAGTAGAACACAGAGCAAAAGAGAACTTGTCTTGGATGGAAGCGGAACGGATGAAGGACCCTAACTACAAGAGACAGAAGGAACAAGACGCTGCCAAAGCGAAAGAAAAACCGACAAAAATTTCCTCCAGTTTCAAACCGAAACATCCTTTGGAAGATTTGAGCTCAGTACCAGTGCCGCATCACCGTCAGCAATTTCAGATCGTGGTTTTCCAGTACTTGAGCATAGGGATGAGGATCCAAGAAGAAGTTTTACAATGGCGAATCTTAGATGCTTTGGCAGAAACGATTCACCCAGACTGCATCATCACTCACGAGCACATAGATTTTGCACTAGATTTGCTCCAGGGCAAAGAACGGATCGCTCGGAGGCTGGAACAAGAAGACCGTCAGGCAGCGACGGCGGTCAAAAGCGTAGTTGCAGAAACTAGAAAAGCATGGGGAAGAGGAGGTGGAGGTAGCAAAGATAGCACTAGCATGTTGTTGGATGAGGCAGGAGATGACGTCGTATCTCTGATGGATGAGGTCGTGGGTAGCTCTAGAAACACCGAAGCCGAAGCGAAGGATGAGGAAGACGCAGCAAAACAGCGTGCGAAGAGGGAGCGCGAAGCTAAAAAGCGCGGCATCGATGCGGATTTGATCGAGATGGGACCAGCGGAGCTGAGGGTGATAAATCGGAAGCGCGAGAGAGAAGACGAGCTCTTCTGGCGGAAGTACAAGGCGGTAATGATGCACCGCGATAGTCAGGCTGATGCGATTTCTCTAGGTAAAAGTCCAGAATATTCCATTTCGCTACGACAGGAGCGACAACGATTTCTCACGGTGCAGAGCTACGAAGTCTTCTTTTCGATTCTCCTGAGCGCGAAGACCGCCCATCGGCTACTGGAACAGCACGCTTTCTGCCTGAGAGCACTTTTGCGGTACAAAGCAGCACCTCGGATGCTGACCAGAGCTCTTCTAGTGTTAGGGAATCTGTATGAATTAGCGTTGGTTGTCTTGGAAAAAGAGCAAGATAATGTTCTGCTACTCCGACCATTGCAGATGCACGGAGTATCGATGGAACAACGGACGTTGGATGGCGCGCCAGTTCATGCAAGCGCGATCGAGCCAGAGTGGCGTTCCGAAGACCAACGCATAGCGCTACAACTCCTCAAGCGAGCTGCTGATGAGAACGTTTTGCTATTGGGCACTGGTGATGTTTTACTAGACGAGGGATCAACATCTTGGGTCAAGAAGGGCTTTCAGCAGCTGTTCGGAAGCAATCAAGTATTAAGCGGGGGCTCAGAGTAATTCATTTCCACACTTCATTCTTCATCTTCTCTTTTTTGTTCTTCTTCTTGAAATACTGAGAACGAGAAGATCGATGAACCTAGGAAATGAATTTCTTGAAGCTCCTCTAAAAGCGGAGGCTCTATCCTCAACTGACCGAACAAGAAAAGGTCTAGGCGTAGGCGGAATAGACCCAGTCATGTGGATGGATGATCCTGCTGGGACCGGCGACGGTTTGTTTGACCTCACAAGCGTGAACTTCGAAGGTGGTGGGGTCGAAAAATTTGCTGCAGAAGCGCGACAAAGAGCTAAGGAGCAAGAGGAAGCGCGATTGAGAGCTGCGAGACCCGGTGGAGGATCGTTTCTAGAGGGTATTGGATCTTTTTTCAGTGGTGTGATAAATCGGGTCGGGGGAGCAGGTGTTGGACGAGGGTCGTCTTCGACTGGTGGTGGTGGAGCTTCCGATGAAGTAGCATTATCTGGTGACAACTTGCGTAAAGCAAAACTGCTGAAAGAGATTACAACCACGAATCTACCGTCATCGAAAAAAGTAAACAATCCACCTACTGCTGTTCGGGAACATCAATTAGATGCACCTCAGATTGGAGGACGAATAACCTTTGCAGACCAAATTCGAGTCCAGAGAAATCAACATCGGAAGATTGCATCTCTCATGGACCTAATGTGTCAAATCCTAGATCTCACTCCCGACAATCGCAAAGTCGCCGGGGCTGCTTTGCGCGTAATGGCTTTGCTGTGCTTTTTGTCAAAGTCTCAGGTCGTACACGTAGCAACCAGTAGTGTCAACACAGGTGGAGGAGGAGGTGCTCTAGGTGGAGGAGGAGCTGCAGCAGCCAGTACATCTTCTAAGGTTGCAACTGCAGCAGGAGCAACTACATCTTCTCCAACGAGCAACTACATTGGCTTTGGAGCTTGTCTACGGAGTGTCCATTTCGCTGTGAAACGCCATCCAGATAGTCAATCGGTCCTAAAACATGCTTTGCAGATCTACCATGCCGTTGCCATGCACGATTTGAGACTTGGCACCTCCTTGGGGGATGTCCTCAGAACCTTAATCACGATGGGAGGACTATTGAAGGATGACCTCGAAGCCAAGCACTATTTGGTGAACACGATTCGTATCTTAGCAGAGGGAGCAGAGAACGTGACGGAATTTGAACGTCCACTAGGTCTTTCGTTTTTGAACATGTTGGATGCCTATTTCGCAGGACCAACGGGTCATCTGAAGAGTGCGTATGTACTCGATAGTACTATGGGAGAAAAATGTGGTCTAGGTCTAGCTGGTGGTGGGAAAGACAACAACAACGTCGAAGAACAAAAGCAAGACGCTGGGGACAAGAATAACCAAAGCAATCCTTCTTCAGCCAGCACTATAGAACAACTTTTAATCCCTCTGCTCGAAGCTCTGACTCTATTTTCGCATGAGAACGCCAAGTTGCGTGCTGTCCTGCTGCCTGGTCTGAAGTACCCTGTCCGCCTGCTCAACGAGGACCGCCTACCACTCAGCGTGCAAGCGAAAGCCGCCAACTGCATCAAAGTCTTGGCCATGGCCGCAAACGACGAGCAACTCCAACATCCTTTGATGCACGTATTGGCAGAGAACAACGGCTTAGCAGTCATTCTCAAGAGTGGCAAGAAATACGTCTCTGCTTCGACCCCAATGTGCCTCGAATACCTCTCAGCATTGGCGAATCTGTTCCACTGTACGACGATTCGGGACACGATATTCGGCAAAGAGTACAAAGAGCAGTCTGAAGCGTTTGTTGAGTGGGTGATCACATTGATGGAGGAAAATGGGATTGCGGATGTAGACGTCGTTGCGCAAGGATTTCGCTTGTTTGGGTCGCTGACACGCTACGAAGACAACGAAAAGTTGGAGGACGAAGTCATTGAAATGTACTACTTATTCCATAATTTTTCATCTAGTGACAGAAAATGATTATGTTTCGAATTCAAAAACATCGACTGGAAATCAAATTTTTTTCGATCAAAGATGTTGTAATGAAGAGATGAGTGCTCTTCTACCTAGTTCTCCAAGACCCTCTGTAAAGGAACTACATCTGCTTTACCTCAGGTTTGTCCTCTCGCCTTCGAACATGGCCCGTCTGCGGTTGTTGGTGAATAATTGCCTTCTCCTAAGGAATATCGGCGTGCCTCCGTTTCAATTTCTGGAAGACCTAGCAAGGCAACAGCTAGCCGGTAGACCACTCGCAGGCCGCATTCTGTCGCCAGAAGGCCACGTGCTATTGGAAGAGGAGTTCGAAAAAGAAGATTTTTGGCTGTAGAAAGTTAGCGAAACAAGATGTGAGAGAACCTTTTTGATGATTATTTCAGATACGATGTCCTCCGTGACCGTGTACAGTTTGTCTTTGTCAAAAAACCTTAAATATGATTCCTTCAATACTGGTGTAATGAATCCTAGTTTCCGTTTCGTTTTTGTTCTTAAACAAAGATAACGCCGTAATATCATATGGCCGGTCAACATAACTATTTCCGAGATTGATGAGTTCTTTTTCTCTCTGATGTTTTCTATTCCGAATATCCTACCAAGCGAGTGATGAAATTCTTACACATCATGCTCCTTAGAATTGGGTGAGAAAGACGAGCACGAGTAGATCCAACTTCAATGAATACTTCCAAGATCATGCTGCAACAGGTAGTGATCATGCACCAGGCGGTGTTGGTGGTAATAGCACTTGACAGATGCACAGTTAGATCACGACGATGAGAGCCTTTTACACTGACATTAACAAGTTCCAAGAAATTAACAACAGAGACAAAGAAAACAAAAACATTAACAATACTTCACATCCCACTAGAATCAATTGCAGCGACATTCGCACTTTGATGTTCGAAGCAAGGGCACTCTTGTGATGTCGTCCTTGCTTGACAGCGAACACAAAGAAATGCAAAGATCTTGTGTGGTAGAAATGCCAGCTTCATTTGCAGATCTTCTGATTCTGATTGAACAGACTGAGAGCACCATAGAAAATGAATCTTCAAGTCAATGTTGTTACCACAAGAACCACGATCCCTGAAGGCATGAAAAAGAAACACCTTGAGATCCCAGTTTACATCCGTTATCGAATCTGGAGTTGAAGTCCTAAAATGCAACATGAAGAAGATCACAACCATAGTTACGCGGCTCTTCCTTCTTTGTTAGGAACAAAGACGCGTTTCTGATGAAGAAGATCCGACTACAAGTACGAATCTGAAGATCACAAGCACAAGCAACGCGTTACTGTTCAACTCGTTCAATACACATCAAAATGAATTCAACAGCGACACCCATACAACGAACCGGCAACTACAACATGTTGTTCTTTTGTTGATATCTTATCTATGATATATTCATGCTCTTTTTTTCTGGCGTAGAGGGAGCTAGAGAGAAGGACCCTCCTCAACATTCTCAGTAGCTCTTCATCAATGGCATGATTTTAGAGGTTGTAGAGATGTTGGTGACGAGTCAAGATGTTCAGATCATTGAGAAGTCATTGACTTCTATGCACTGGTGATGTGGAAGTGCAACTCTGAATGTCTATGTCGCTGTGATATACTAGAAAAAATTGTCTTGGTTTTCAGCAACGCAATTGCTGTACACGAGAACTGCCCTTCTTTCTGCTAACCATCAACGACGCCTGAGTGATTTCAAAGCGACCTATTTTTTTGGCACCCACGACGACAACCGCGACACATTTTTTTTCGAGCGAGCTGCAGAATTCTATTGCGCAATCTACCTAGTAGTAGTAGAAGTACCTGACGACAAAAAGAAAAACGACGGCCACCTGCTGTTACACGAAAACGAATCAAGTTCAAAATTCGCATCATCATAAAGGTCGTGGAAACAGCAGCCCGAGCATAAGGTCAAGAAGATGACAGAGGTTTGGGTACCTCGCGACTGCTTACCACGATGTGGGACTCACCACAAGGATACTGCCCAACTCGTCGTAGCTTTGTTCGATGAGATTATGTACCACCTGAAATGCAAAGAAATTTGCGCAAGTTACGACAATGCTGCTGAATATTTGCTGCAGAACAACAAGGGAGCTGATGCTGGTTCAGGTGCAGGCCAACGAGGACCAGCAAGGAGGAGTAAGGAAGACCTGATGCCTGCAAGAGATCACGTTATTGCACAGTGCTTTGAACTCAAAAAGGAGAAGGTCATAGTGGCTCAGTTCGCAAATGAAGAACTCGCAGAAGCGGCAGTGGAGTACGGGGACAACGTCTATCTGGGATCAGGGTATACTTAATTTTTTCTTAGTGTTTTTGAGTCAAAACGAAATGGACAACAAGAACCTGGTGCAGTATCAGCACCTAAGTAAGTCGATAAAGAGCATCAATTATTTATAGACATGAAGCAGGAGAGTGTGCAAGGAAACGTCCATCCTTTCTTATCACAAACAAGAACTTCAAATCTCTTTTCCTCACATCACAGTATTCAACACTACTCGGAAGTATCACTCTCAGTAGTATCATTCCCCTCGACCACATCCAGGTACGACATAAATGATCGTTTTTGCGAGCTGTATTTTCGATGTTTTCTTCGTCCAAACGAGGGTGAAGAATATCCGGAGTTGGAGGACTTTTCGGAAGAGGAGGAGCTAGATCTAGGGAGCCTGCCGAAATGGCATATTCCGAGACGTACTTCTTATGTTGTGATTATTGAGTTTGCTTTGCACAAAGTAAATTAGCCGGCTAATTTCCCTCGATAGTTCGGAGGTCATTCGTAATTTGCCAATATTGGCAAATTATTGCGTTTGCGTTCTTTCCCTTTGCGTACTATTAATTCGAAACTAGGTAGCAATGTCACTGAACAATGTTAATCTCGTCAAGAAGACTCCGTGTTGCTGCAGGAGATAGAAAATTATAAAGCAAAACAAGCGGTTAGTTTTCACCTCTTCACTATAGCTCTATCGTCCCTTCATGCAATTATAATTGAAAGATACGACCACATTACCTAGTCGTGAATATAATTAACCACAAAACCCAAAACAGCTCCGCCCGATGGTCCGCCGCCATGCCAAATTAAGTATGCGAAGTACAAATGCCCAAATTGGCACACGGATATGGTATTGGAGAATCCGCTGTACAAAAAGAAGCTTCCAGCGGACATTGATGACAGCCTAGATCTCGAGACGCTAGAAAAAGAGTACTTGGCGAGCCCAGAAGAGACAGCCAAGTCTTCTAAGAAAAAGAAGGGGAAGAGGAACGCTAGCGCAGACGAAAGCTACGAAGATAACGATGACGACAGCTCAGGGGATGAAGAAAGTATTCTCGTTTTGCAATTGCGTGTGCTACAAGATTATTCTTGATGATATTGGTTTTCGCTTTGTATGACTTCCACTCCCCTCACTCACACTTGTTCCACAATCTATTAGGTAGCAACGATGAATCGTCCGACGACGATGCTGAACGCATGCCGCCACCAGGGATTCCGCCAAGGAATAGGAGAGTGCGAAGAGCGCGAGCTATGCTAGACGAGTCATTCGCCTTCAGATCAGCCGAGACCGGACTCTGCTTGATGCCAATGGATGGAGCAAACGGTGGAGTGATAGATCTTGCTAGTGGAGGAGGTGCTCGGGCTTCCAATCTAGTACACCAAGGGAGAAGTGTTGTAGGTATTGGTGGACAAACAGCAGCAGGAGCTAGTGGTAGTGGAGCACAAGACGCTGCAGCTAGTAGTGGCGCTGGAGGAGCTTCATCATCTTCAAAGGGAGGCGGTAATAAAAAAGCTGCTGGAGGAGCCTCTGCTGCGCAATCTGCTTCACAGAAACAAGACCAAAGCAGTACTAGGGGGAAAGCCACTGAGGCATCTTCGACTAGTAACAAGCAAACTGGTGGCGCAACTGCATCTAGTTCATCCAAAGCAAATACTGCAGCGTCAAAACTAGCAGCTTCCAAGCAAAATCAGAAAGCAGGGAAGGCTGGCAGCAAGGTTGTATCCGCCAGTGCGAAAGCGAAAAATAAAGCCGCTGCTGCTGCTGCAGCCGCTGCTGCCGCTGCTGCCGCACAGAAGAAACACACCACTGCAGCAGCGACGAAAGGAAAAGTAGCTATGAAGAAAACCCCAGCTGCATCGAGTAAAAATGCCGCTTCGACGAACAAAAAGCAAACTCTCGCAGCTATAACGAACGCAAAGAAGAAGCAAAATGCAAGAGCTGCTAGTGCCGCAGAGAGTCCTCCCAGTGCTAGTGCGAGCGACGCTGAGGACGACGCTGCAGGTTCGGTTGATGACACTAAGGACGAAGATAACTCGCCAACAGCACCTTCAGCAGAGGATGACGACGACACAGCCAACAATACGCAAGAACAAGCTTCTCCTGCTGCTGGACCTAGAGGGAATACTAGTGTCAAAGACACTCCAGGAGGTGCTGGAGCAAGTAGAAAGCACGCTGCTTCGTCTTCTAACAAAAACAAGGCGTCAATGTCTGCATCAAATAGCAAACAAGCCAAGACGAATGACGTGTCTTCATCACGGCCATCGTCGAAAGAACGTGGAGGAGGTGCTAAGACCAATTCTTCAAGCGCATCCTCCTCGACCGAAGTCCTCACCAGCCTATCTGAGGAAGCCTTATCGTCTCTGCCTGTCGTAAAGAGTGACGAACGAATGACAGAGCTTATCAAGGATAACTCCCTCCATCATACATCAACAGCACCTACACCAGCAGGAGGAACACTATATGCAGGTGGAAAAGGTGGAGAAAACAAAGGCAAAGCTATGCCCGAAGAGGATAGATCGAAATGGGACGAGAAGCGATGGCTTTTGCAAATCTGCCACGACATTGGCAAGCGACAATTTATCAAGGAGCATCCAGGTACATTTTTTCATACAATTCAAATCTGATTCTAAACTTTCGTCGCCAGATCTACATAATTTTAGTGAACGCTTAATCCACCTTCGTCAATTTTTAATGATCGATACGAATAAGATATGACTACTTATTTTTTTCGAATATTTTTTTTTTGATTTCTCTCGATGTCGCTGTCTTTCTGTTACCTCAGAAATGAAATTGAATTAAAAGGAGATAAAATCAAAATTTGTGTGATTTGGTACTCAATTTGAAAATTTTTGCCATTATTCAGGTTGGATATCAGTTGCTTTGCTTTCTCTTCAGTTGAAAATGAATTTGAATGAAAGTCTATAAAATCAAAATTTCTTTGATGTGCTAAAAAGTACCTAAATTCAAATTTGAAAAAATGCAAACTACTCCGATTTCTCAAAAATTTCCAATTCACAGCTGAGGCCGGAGGCAAAGACATGCGTAAATTCTACGGTCTTTCACGAGATCATCGTTGGTACGTTTGTGTCAGAAAACATGAAGAAGACCCGACCGGTCTGGCTTGGTTTATCGAAATCCCGGATGCTCAAGCAAAAGGCGGTTTTAGATATGAGATTGCTCGAAAGCATGACGGCTCCCGCGTAAACTACAAGACTAGGTGGGAAAGTCTTGAGCATTGTCACGGTTACGAAGCTGCCCTCGCTCAAAAGGGAGACATGCTACGTCGTGCAGCAGAATATGGAGGTGGTGGAGCTTCTGGTGGCAAAGGAGGAGCTGGCGCGTCATATAAAGGAAATGGAGGTTCATGGGGAGGTGATCATGGGGAGCAGCACTATGCATACGGCGGTTCATCCTCATCAACATCCTGGAACAAAGAAACTGCTTCCACATCAGGTGGTTACTACAACGACGGTGGAAAAGGTGGCTCCTATAACCATCAAGACAGTACTAGTGCGAGTACTAGTAAAAAACAAACCGAAGCAGAAGCTTATGCGGATAGTCGGAACTGGTATTGGTCCGCTGAAAAGCACGACTATGTCTTCTGGCCTCCTACTGAGCATCACGATTCTAGTACAGGAGCCTCTACTTCGTGGAACCATCAAGGACCTGGAGGAGCGGGTTCATCGTGGGTTTCTGGTGCTACTACGACAGCCTCTTCTCCTTCTAGTGAAAACATCAAAAGGTCTTCTAGAATCATGCCGGAACGGCCACAGATGTCTTCTTCGATCCGCGCATACGATGATCAGTGGTCGTATGATACTCACACTAAGGAATGGCACCAGCGACAGTGGGAACAGGACTACGAAACCGGTGAATGGCACGAAGTCACCGGAATACCTAAAGCGGACCTTGAGCATTACCATTTTCTTGCAGAAGAAGCAAAGAAACGTGCAGAAGCAGACGATCCAAGAACAGGTACTAAAAGTACCAGTGAGCGGCCGTGGTCACCGCCTGCTAGTCTTCTCGCTTCCTCGAACGGAATGTTGAGCCGAGAGCAGCAAGAGGAAGCTAAGAGAAGGGGAGAACCGCCATCTAGGAGTCCCCCTCCTCCACGAGATCTTGTGCCCTCTAGGAGTAAGTCAAGAACCGCATCTGCTACCTCAAATAAGGCCCCTCCGCCGCCACCACCCTCGCCGCCCGCTGTACCTGGACCAAAAACGAAGTCATTGCGTGGCGCTTTCAATTTTGGAGCCTCGACTATTGCTAGTACTAGTCGTACATTAGCATCCGCATCAGGCGAGGAAGCCTTCTCCTCTGGACAGGATACTAATGATGGAAACGACCACGTGGAGAAAGAACTACAACAGACCACGCCATCTGCTCTTGGTACCACATTGGAGACTGGTGCTCCAGACTCCGTAGTAGAGCAGCAAGAACCAAATGTAGAACAAGGCGCTTCTTCTAGTATACCCACTTCTGCAATTACTGGCGCAACTCTTGCTCCACCTGGCGCCCCCGCAGGAGCTGCAGTCCCAGGAGTCCCTAGTACCACCACCGCATCAGCAGAGGCGGCTTTATTCGCGCAGAAGCTGAAGAAATTGCGCGACAGCAAAACTCAGTTGGAGAATCAGGTGGATCTTATGCGGGTGACGAACCCAGATCTCATGAAAGCTGCAATATTGATGCTCGAGCAACAAGTTGCTGAGAAGGATGCTGAAATCAAGCAGCTCTTGTTAGAAGCCACGCAGTCGAAGCCTGCTGTAGTTGCTGCAGCACCTGGTACGGATGCTGGTGCTGTGGGTGTGCCTGGATGTGGAGTTGCAGGTACTTCTGCAGGCACAGGGGGTAATGAAGTCGAAGCCGTGGATGTTGAAAGGAAGGCGGACGGCGTCATGGACGAGCCTGCAGAAGTTGTGTCCTCTGCCATTAAAGAGGAAGATACCTACCCAGCAGCGGACTCGACAACAACACGCCTCTCACTTCCAACTACCACCACTAGTCGAAAGGATGATGGTGCTGTCCACGAGGTGGATATTAAAAATAACACTGATGGAGCTAGAGAAGTAGACCGTTCTAGTATTGGCCCTCGCGCGCCAAGCACCTACTTGTTACCGCATGGAGTGACGGCGCCAGCATCCGAGAGTAGCCCCTCTGCAGCCGGGGAGGAACTACAGGGTGGAGCCGCCAGCTCAAAACATGAGGAAACTACCACGAGCAAGCAAAGTAATATGGATCTGCGAAGCGGCTTCGGATTCGGGCTTAAAAATAAGACGGCGAACAAGATGAACAGTTCGGCAACTCCAGGTGGCGCTGACGACAAGACATCATATAGAAATCCAACAACTTCTTCTTCTTCCTTCTCGTCAACAGGTGGAACTGGAGGAGCTCTTTCGTCATCGGACTTTAATAAGTCTTCCAGTCAGCTGCACACTCACAGGGTAAACAAAACGGATCTCCCCTTTTCGTCACCTCTATCGTCTCCTCGACGCATCGGAAAAGACGGCTCCGTTCTGCCTCGAAACAAAACAAACAAGACTTCAGGGACGACGACCACTGCTTCTTCCTCAACCGGTGCAACACCTTGGTTCATGACCGATCGCTACAATCAAAAGAATAAGGACAAGCAGAATGCGAAAGATACAGCCAATACTAGTGCCAGTATTACAGGAACAGGTGGAGCTTCCTCTTCTTCTGGAACAGGAGCAAATAAGCTCGGAACGAGTGGGGCTACAACAACTAGAGATCATGAGCAAGATGCTAAAAATATCAAGGAAAATAAAGGTGCTCAACAGGCATCTTCAGGAGCAGGTAACAAGAAAAACTTGCGTCCTGCCGATAGTCGAAGCCGGAGACAACGGAGTAACTCTAGATCGAAGAGTCCTGCTCGTGGCGGCAGATGGAGTCGCTCCAGATCTAGAAGACCGAACAGAGGTCCACTCAAAAATAAGGCAGACCACAAAAATAGAGGAGGCCAGAACAACAAGACGAGTGGGCCATTGTCCTCACCAGTGCTCCTGGGTGGATCATCAACAGTTACTAGAGACAAAAATAAGGCGACAACTAAGACTGGAACTTTACTGACCAAGGATCGACATCGATCTCACGAGTCAGGAAGTTCATCTCGATCAAGATCATACTCCCGGTCCACATCCTCGAGTCGTAGTAGTTCGCGTGGTTCTGTCGTAGGAGGTGGAAGACGACGGGGCCAAATGGTTGGTAAGGCTAAGACCCAAACGAAGTCATCTACCAAGGGAGACCAGTCAAGAAGCAAAGCATCTTTGGCTAGAGGTCACAATAGTACCAAAGTAGGCACAATGTTGGGTAGTACTAGAGATAGAGATCGAGATCGAGGTCCGGCCGCTGGAACAACTGTGCGTGGCGGAGGAGGTGGGGCGACTACAACGAGACGTCGTAGCGGTGGTCGTGCTCGGAGTCGCAGCGCAAATCGTCGTCGGAGTCCAAGAGGGAAAAGACGCGGCTCTGGAGGACGCAGAGGTCAGCAGAAGAGCAGGCGAGGAGACACGTCGAGGCCACGTCGCCAAGACAGCAGGAGTGGTTCTAAGGGTAAGACCAACAAGAATGGCACGACGAATAAAGCCTCCAATAAAGTAGACCGAGGTGCGAGCAATATTAATAACGGCGTCACATCCCGGAAGGAGCAGACTTCTAAGGATCCAGCTGCCAGTACAACTGGAACTTCTGGTGCCAATGCTAGCAGCACAGCAGCTGGTGCTGGTGCAGAGCCAAAACCATCCCCTTCTCTATCTGCTAGTAGCAAGCTTGGACGTGCATCTTCAGTAGCAAGAGCTTCAATCGCAAGAGTTGGTGCTCCTGGTGTTGTAGTTACATCTTCTACGTTGAACAACAACAAGAAAAGAACGCGTAGCAAAGCCTCTGGAGACGAATCTGAGAGCAGTCAGGTAGATCTGAAGGGATACAAGGGCGCTTGTCGACCGTCGCTTAGACCAGCACCTGAGGTAAGATTGAGTGCCAAAATAAGTCCTGCGGCTTCGTCTCCGTCCTCTAGAAGCAGTCCTCGTTTTGCTGGTGGTGCCGCATTAGCTCCTGGTAGTAGCACGACGGGTGGTGGTCCATCATCTAGTTCTTCTAGCACGCTAAACGCGAACAGCTCCTCTGCTTCATCTGGTGCAAATAATACTACCATTACGTCAACAGCAACAACGCTCGACTCCTGTGCAACACCAGTCAGCGGCGCAGGTCTAGGAAGTATTTCGCACCAGTTCAATTCAGTGAAGAAGCGCAAAGTGACCTCTACAACTAAAGAGGTTTGTTCAGCGACGTCCGCGATGATTGCACAGGCTGCCAAAGGATCTTCCTCTGGTGCTGGCGGTTTTTCCTCTCGGGATGGTGCTTTTACCAAGAATTTGTTGCTATCCACTTGTATGGCCGCTAACAACAACACTTCTATGGCTGGTGACGGTGCAAGTTCTCCTTCTCCAGCACTAAGTTTTCCCGGAGGTGGTGCGGCCACCTCTTCAGCCGCAACTTCTTCTGTCTTAGCTCGCAGCACTTCTTCTTCAAACCAGCAGGTATCTGCTGCAGACGTTCTTGCAAAGACGAAATCATTGCTAGCTGGAAGAGGACAGGTAGGTGGTACCAGTAAGGCGTCACCTATGTTCTCACCACAACAGACACCCCGCGGTCTAGGAGGTTCCTCTTCCCTTACAGAAAGAGCTTCCCTTGCAGCACTTGGCACCTCCACAGGTGTAACTCCAACATCGTCTACGATGAGTACTTCTCTACTTCTTGGTGGAACATCTTCAGGCGCAACTCCATCAACATCATCTACATCAACGCTATTTCCCCTCTCTTCAGCGGTCTGCCCTAAGAAGTTGCAAGCTGTATTCTTGTCTGAAGAAGAGAAATTGGAACGCTTCAGGGAATGGAGGTCGAGGTCCTTGCATCAGGTGGAGCAAAGTACCACACTCGCTTCAGGCAGAACGATCAAAAACAGCAGTAATAGTGCTAGTGCTTGTTCTCGTGACGGAGAAGTGGACAACAAGGCGAATAAAAATGCTACTAGTGATGGTCCTGCTCAAATGACGTCGTGCGTGCGCTTAACTACATTGTCGCCATTGAATGTGGCGGAAGAGTTGAGTCACCTAGGACAGTACTTGCGGAATCTGCATGTAGTTGCTGATGGTTTCGCAGTCGGTTTGCTGGATTTCAGCGGTAACGAGTTGCTGAGTGACACCATTCTAGAAGAAGTGTTTAAGCTCCTTGTCTCGACCAAGCACAGCGTGGAGCGGATCAACGTACGAGGGTGCAAACGCGTCACTTCCTTTCTACCATTGCTGTACTACTGCAAGAACTGTAAGAAGGTCCCAGTTTATGTAGACTACACGTACACCGGAATAGCACAGAGAAAAAGTGCTACCTGGGATGCCGACTGGGAGAAGGAGTTTGAAAAGCTTCACGAACAAGAAAAGGAACGGCTAGAACTAGAACAAGGATCTTCTATGACAGATGAACAAGAAGCGACAGGAGCTTCAACTTCTCGTCTAGCAAAGCCGGACCCTGCGTTTTTGACGCATGCCGAGGACCGCGATGTCAGATTACAAAGCGACCTTGCATTGCTACGAAATTTGAAGGAGCATCCAGACTATCTAACACTATTGGACACCCGCTGTGGCAGTGGCCGTTTTCGAAATCTCTTTCGCACGCTGTTCGACATACCCGATGATGCATCAACAACTACACCGAGTGCGAGTTCGTCTACATTTACATCAATGACCGGCGGTAGATCAGAGTTTAGTCCAGAGCTCGAGGAGGCCATTCGCGACCGGTTTCTTCGGGATGTGCAGGCTTCCTTACGTACGTGTCTCGAATTTCAATTGTTTCAAACGGAGATGAAACACGCCGCCAAGGAGATCGCAGACTATAGGGAGGGCACGCCGCTCGCCTGGGTCTCCCGCGTCCAATCGAACTCTGTTTCACAAGAGCCAGATAACATGTCGAAAACAGATCTGCTCGGAGAGGCAGCAAGGGGGGTCTTCTTAATCAAAGAGCGGGAAGATGCTCAACAAGCGAGCAGCAGCGTGGAAGATGTGAAAGATGATGCAGTTGCTGATGAAGATGGTGGAAGACGAAGTTCTTGTTACCCTTCTTGGGAGGAAATTTACAATCAGCTTAGGCCAACTGGCATGATGACGTACGGCATCTCGATGTCTTCTGCCCTCCTACTGAGGTACACGCAGGATCAAGAAAAACAAGGACAAAACAACAAGCCAACGACCTTCAAAAGACGGAAGAAGATGAACAGGGCTCTTGGAGAGAACCCAGGAGCTCTGCCACCTGCAGCTACAACTTCTAGTGGTACTAGTGCTGTACTAGGTCTACTAGGAACCACGGGAGGAGGACTCCTTCTGGGTGGTACTGGTTCTACGGACGACATGACTCCGTCAGTTCGTGGGCTGACACCTGGTGCTGGGACAAAACCAATCAATACTGGATCAACAGACAAGGACCTAATAGCGCCGACATCTTCTTCTATAGCAATACGAGACGGAGAACAAGAAGCAGGAAAGAGAACTTCACCTGTACTGAAAGCGATAGAAGAACATGAAGTCCTGACTTTGCCTGCCTCTGCTCTAGCAGACGACTTCAGAAAAGAAGCCCCTGCTCCTCTAGTATCTTCATCAACTACAACAGGAGAATCTTTGCCAGGACTGACAGCATTGGCCAGTCTGGTTGACGCACCTCCAGACTCCATTGTCCTTCTCGATTCCGGAACTGGAGCGTCAGCGACAATGATCTCAACAACGTCCTCTGGTACAACTAAAAATTGCCTAGCAGACCAGTCAATACCTAATGGAGGAACAACAATATCAACGGTAGCTCCTCAGGCTTTGCTCCTCTCGGAAGGAAGTAGTCCGGTTGTCCTGGGAGCGTCGAATGCCAGAGCAGTTTGTGGGTTGCTAGATCCAGAGGAGTCGAGTGCAGTTGTAATCCCAACTTTGCCTTCCTCTTCACATGCTAGCTCTAGCACCTCTGGTGGAGCAGGGGGTGGACTTGGAGGCTCAAATTCATCATCCTCTTCGTCGATTCTACCACTCAACAACACCACCAATACGTCTAGTCCTGCGCTTTGTGCTTCCAACCTAGTTGTTGTAGACAAAGCAGGCTGTAGTTCGTTGTTGGATCATGATGGTAGTGGTATTAAATCTGCAGGAGGACCAGGAGGAGTTGTTGGTTCAGTTTCCTCTTGCTCTTCAGTCAGTTCCGTGGGGACTACGAACGGAACGACCAATAGCACGACCGGCGGCCGTCATTCCGCTCGTGACTATGCAGATGACAGTGGCTGCGCAGTCGGGACGCAGCACGACGCTTGGTTCATTGTCATGCAAGCTAGGAAAAATAGTAGTACTTGTGCCTCAGATCCCTCGTCAGGAGACCCTCCTAAAACGGTTTTCTGCTTGGAATTCGAGCATCCAGACCGTCCAGGGGTCGTGCTCAGAGGGCAAGCGAACATGGTGAATGCCGATAACTTCCAAGGTTTCGAGTACTGCAAGCGCACGAAATGTGCTCCGGGTGTGGAGCCACCTGCGACGTCTTTGAGCGAAATTCGACTACGGAAGCATGATGACATGTTCCGAATCGAAATCCTACCGAGATCTTCAGACTCAGACTGTAACGAAAAATACTTCGTCTTGAAACTATTGGACACAGAAGTTTCGCACGTGAGACCACATCCAACTTGTAGTGGGACATTGTCGTTGGGGCTGTAGGATTGGAAACGGATCATGAATCCGTTGTTTCCAAGGAAATTATCGTTATCTTTCGTGAAACCGAAAACAATAACAAGACCACCATCAAGATGTGGAATACGTTGTAGCCATTTTGGCTCAAACCTCTCAGAAAGTGAAAGCAAAAGCGTCTTCTCCTTTTCAACAAAGAATAACCAGATTCCAGATTCCACCAGGAACAGGAAGATAGAAGCCTACTCTTACTCACTACAACCACCTCTAGACTAGGTACAATTATCATCATCTTCTTCGGATCAGGGCATTATCATTATAAGTATAGTTTGATAGAAAGATACAAGTAAGAACTACAGGAAGTAGAGTGGGTAAATTTAGACTACTGCTCCTACTTTTACAACTAGTTGTTCGTTATAATATTTATGATCAGCATCCAAAGATCTATTATCAACATCATCGGGATCTATTGCTCAACTAATTATCAACATCAACATCTTATGATCATCAACTACAACGATTATCCATTATCAAACTGGAATATGAGTTTTTAGCTTACAGAATATATATGATAATAGAAGCAAAGCAGGTTATTTGAACGCACTCACTCCACTCAAAAACAAGTTTAGAATTTAGTGAGAAAATTGATCTAATCTTTTTTTATCTCGCGTCACGGTGCCCCCGGGCGTAGGGAACAAACGGCAACTACGGCCGCGGGGAACGATGAGCCCCGCGGAAGCGCCGTGATGATTGTTGTACTAGGTGCTTTGAACAATGGCTGATTTATCACTCGAGAGGTTGTATAACAAGATTTGAATAGAGTACAAGTAGCAGTGGGGAAGATTATGATCAACATGAATGTAAATGCGTGCTATTTTCTTATTCCGCCTACGCCTGGGTCTTGGCACTTATACTTCTAAGATAGAGTTGGTGGACGAGGAGCAATAGATAGCGGGGCATCTCCTAGCGCGCGCGAACATAAGTAATAATAATAGCAGTGGTTCACTGTTTTTAGGGTTTACAGTAAGAGTAAGAATTTAAAATAATTAGGATAGCGGGCGCAATGCAGGCACTGTTTAGATTGCTGAGGTCTGTGGGCCCTAAGTCATCGAGAACCAAGCGCAGCCTCAGTTAGCAGCAACAACCTGGAGCGATTCGTAACGAATTCAGACCAGAACGCCACCGATTTGACAGAAAGGCTGGCTGGTATGGAGCTGGGCCGGATTCCGTGCTGTGCGAGCTTGTGACTCCTGAAGAGCTTTGGGGCGATGCAAATAGGAAGCGAGTGGAGTGCCAAAAATGCAAAAGATGGCAAATAGATCTATGACTATGTCCGGCCACAATGACCCTGAGGCAACAAGCAAAGCGAGCGGACTACTATAGGCCCCATCTTCGGAAGTGCAAAGGGCGAAAAGACGATGTGTAGTGAAAAAAAAGAAAAAGAAGGAGCAGGAAGAAGAAAGAGAGGGAGAAAAAATGAGATAGAAAGAGAAGGAAAAGGGCATGCAAATAATCATAATGATTAAAAAAGTCTCCCATACCCCAAGATTGGGCACACTACTACTACTACTACAACTACGTAAAAAATGTACCATCAAAGATAAAGATTGTATTTGATAGTAGTTGTAATTGTATTGATGATGATGATCGTCTTGTTCATCGTAATCGCCTTCTTCCATATAGCAGCTCTAGAAGCTCTAGTTGTGTCGAGGAGTTTGAGTTTTTCCATAACTAAGGAGCTAATTCCTCTCTTAAAAATGATGAGTACTAGCAAATTATAAAGAATCTGCAACTTCTGCAGCTCAAGATGACCCATACTAAAAATCACTCAATGTCTATTGTCGCAACCGCAAGTACATAAATAGGACACGTAACTACAACAATATAGAACAATCTAAGTACTACATCTTACGCGGCCTACCTGTTATTCATTTTTACGCAACAGGAAGAGTGAAATGTGACATGATCGATCTAATATGCAAGTTCCACTCAAGGAACGAACTACACAAAATCGAACCTACTGTCGTGCTGAGTCCCTAAAAATTGTACTTTTTTTGAAGAGCATCATCTTCGTAAATTATCTTTGATCGCGTTAGCGACGAAAATCTTAATGACAGTCGAGATGGTGTTGAGCAGGATAATCTTGTCATCATCTTTTCGTACCCCTTATCCTGTAATGTCTTACACTAACGACCCCGCACTCACTACTACTCAATCCTTGAAATTATATCAACATCAACGCAATAGGATCGCGAGATGGACAAATTTCTACTTTTCCAGACGCATTATACCGATACGCTTGGTGTAAGAGATATGCACCTAAGACGAGAGACCCGCAGAACCGGTCTAAACCATGGAAACGTCAAAAAAGTCGCTAGTTGTTCTGTGATGACTGCTTCTGTCGCCGTGATTCATGGTGTTGTCAAACAACTGCCTCTCTAATCTGGTCACCTTGGTGGATCGCACTCCCACAGGAATTCAATGATAAGGCAAGTGAAAAGGTCATGATCTATTGAGATGAAGGTTCAGAAGGTCTGCGTCTCAGTCTCTCTCCTCTGTTCGCTTACCCTTTTGCAGACACAACAGTGACTTGGTAATCGAGATTGAAAAGGTGAAGTTTCAGCTGCATCTTTATCGATATCGGGATTTCTGTCAGGAGTTGTATTATGACAACTCGGTATTGCAGTTACAGAAGAATATCTAAGTAGGCTAAGTAGAGTAAGACAGCAGACGAAATAGAAGAACTAGATCTTACCAAGGTAACAACACTGCAAAATATGACTACTCCTCGTGTCGCACTGCTCGAGCTAGGGATCGCTGAGACTCGTATAGGATGGACTCAAGGTGGAAAGCCTACAGCGACGCGCGCTGGCGTGTTGTGTTATAGAAAAGAACAATACAAGATTGAGAGAGATGAAGGGGACGATACAACTGGACAGGGACTACAACATGGAGCTAGTTGTACTTCTTATGTTCCTTCAGGCTACTTTCTCGATGTAGAGGCCTTGCACAAGTTGCTGGAGACGTTTTTCTCTTTCAAGTTGCACGACCAGGTGGGAACAGGTACTACCAATGCAAATGAGAAAAGGAACGCTGGAGAACAAACGCAGACGCCTGGTGAACCTGTACCTGATACAATAGCAACATCTTCTTCATCTGCTCCATCCGTATCAGACATCAAGAACATAGCTCTTCTAGTCATCGAGCCCGTAACCACAGCCGCATGCTCAACACTACGACAAGATCTGGCGAAGGAGCTCTTCCAGAAATCCTTCGCGTTCGTGTCGTTCTGTAAGCGAGCACAAGTAGGTCTCTTTGCGCATGCCTCTGCAGATGGAATTTTTGTAGACTGCGAAAAAGAAAATGCTGGAGGTGACATGATCATGCAAGCGTCCTTGGTGGAAGACGGCTTCGTCATCGCGAGCTATGATTGGTGGAACGTCGCAGTTGGAGCTCATGGAGAAAATATGATGAGGTCATCTACTGCTACTTCCTCGTCGAGTTGCACGAGTAAGGAGGTTTTACCTGCTGTGGAACAAAAACAACCAAGTTCGTCTTCCTCAAGCTCCTCAACAGCATCAACACTACCACTAGGAGACAATAGTACGATAGCCATGTTCAGTGCGTTAACGCGGCGTCGCTTGTTGAAGAAAGATGTCGAACACCTAGGACCTGTCGCGGATTATTTGGCTGCTATCGCAGATACAGGTACTTCTACAAGTTCGACGAATTCAATTTCCACCACCTCCAATTCTCCTTCCGATAGTTCATCTAGTGCAAAGGATCGCGCTGTAGGAGTCACGCTAGTGGATTCTAAAAAGGGAGGTGAACAAGATCTCGCAACTACAGCATCTAGCAACGCATCAAGGCAGCTACTGCATCGAACGCCCCTACTTTTGACTGCGATGGTACAGCATTTACGGAGCAAAAGTGTGAAGACGAACAAGAAAGGCAGGATTGCAGGGACTCTACCAGTCGTTTGTGAAGATCCTGGGACTCAAGAGCAACTTCTATACTGTCAAAATTTCGGCTACAACCTAGGGACAGTTGCAAAATTGTATCAGCAAAAAGCAGAAGATCATGAGGGTCAGCTACAAGAAAAGCAGGCAACCGAACAACAACATGGGGAACAACGGCAAGGAGAACAAGTAGGAGCTGACCCACTTTGCCAACAAGACGGAGGTCCTTCGTCGCGCTGCGGAGTTCCTGGTGCAAGTACCATTAGTAGTACTAGTTCTACTAAAGGTACTCTCAGCGGTACATTTAGCATCGCCAGAGGACATCAGATTTATTGTACAGAAAGGGCGTCCTGGTTCGGCGCGTGCTTGCTAGCCGGCCTTTACGAAACGGAGTTACAAAGCGCAGCAAAAGTGGCCAAATTTCAAAAGCATATGGTTGATCATTCATGTACTCCTACTCCACCTACTAAGAAGATAAGAAAAGTTGACAAAAACGTTGACCATGACCCCACCTCGTCCTTGTCGTCCTCCTCCCACCCGTCGTCCACCCTGGAATCTGTTATAGCAGTCCAGTGTTGTAGAGCCTTAGAAGAAATCCCAATGTGGGTTTCAGCTTCTGAGTGGAATTTAAGAGGCGTAGATGCGATATTTGCTAAATGTCCATGAGAATACCGTCTTCTTTCGCATCCAACTGAAAACTACAAGAAGAGCATATCCTGCGGCCTTGACACAAGACATGTTGATCAATCCCCTTCCACCTCACAAGTTGTAGACGCTCATCACATATTCATCATCGCTCCCACTTCTTGTTCTTGCGCATTAATGTTGATCCTTGAATCATCAGCTCAACCCCGAGAATGGGTACATCAATCAATCAATCAATCAATCAATCAATCAAGCTCCACACTGTATGCACGCCCACATCACTGTCAGCACCACGCATGGAACAATCCTGCAAGACAAAGAAAAGTGCGTCCTCAGCTGGCGGCGTTCAGCACCTCTTTGACAGCAAAAAAAAGTAGAACAAAAATGCTAGAGTGAAGGGCCAACGACAACATAACGATGACGAGAGACTACAAAAAGCCTTATACGTCGAGAGAATTTGTTGATGCAAAAGGGATACAAATCATAGCAGTTTGAGCTTGCGAATTCTGAGAGAGTGACACGAAAATGAAATCACGAAAGACGCATGACATCATCTATTTTAAATGAAGGCGTACTAACCCAGTATACGAAGCACAAGGAGAGGACCAGTAGTCTAATTAGATAGAAGTATCCTCATCTTCCTTATCCAACCCAACTCATAGCTACTGTTTGAGTTTCAAGAAGGACGCCTCAGCAGAAGTTTTAGATAAGGCGTAGCTTTTTCCACTATTCCTACCTTTCCAGAGGAAAATCTACTAGCAATTTGAGTGATCAGCTTTTCATGATGATCATAGTCTGTTAATCGTACAACTTATCTACATCTACATCGTTGTTATTGACCTTGTTTCTTTTTGAAGGATCTGGTCTGCATTTTTTTGTGTCATCTTTTACTGTTTGCGAAACTCACACGACTCATACAATTTTTTACAGCTACACTAAGCTAATTAGAATTACATTTTTGGTGGACTTCGCGATTTTTTGTCATTTTTAATCAGTCTGTTTGTTATCTGACAAAACCTAAAGCTAAGCTGCATTCCTTGATGGCATAATCGATCTTTTTCATTAGACCATCATCATTTTCGTTTTTGATGCCTCACGTCGACACCGCTTCTTCGTCAAGCAGTGCTGGTGTGGAATTGAGAAAGAGGTTGGACAGCGTTGGAACACCAGACGACAACAACGCAACGACTGCTTCACAGACCAGTCACAATCACGCAGAACCGTTTTATTCTTATGGGAACTGATGAACAAGAAGATGAAGATGATGTAGTGCATTTGATACCGGATCTGACTGGCAGTGGTACCTCTAGTACTAATGCCTCCACAGAAGTGCTAGAAGCATTAGTATGTCGTTTACCTCCCAAATAATCAAGTGGCACCAACCTAGACCTACTTCCGAGCACATGTTGTGACTGTTGATGTTCATCGTCATACACTCCTGCTAATCTTCCTGGTTAGCCTCGTGCTGGCACGATTTCGTTTATCAGGAGATCACAAGCATCTCCACAGCAACTGTAATCGTTCTGGCGATTCACGCGTTCTGCCTGTATCTGATCTACCGTGCTCACGCTTCGACAGACCCGGCTGCCGTGAATTATAACCTTGCGGGGGACTGGTACTCAAATCTGAAGGGTCTGAGATTATCTTCTTCTATGAAAGTGCTACTGCTAGAACCCACAGGCCCTCCACGTCCACCTAAAATCTCTCGGGACCCACCAGACTCCATCCAAGTGATCTTAATCTTCAACCACTTCAACCACATAATTGCAGGTAAATACAGAAAGAACGTCGGTCCCAAAATGCTCGGGTTTTTGGGCGTTTCTTCCCTCTATGGGAAGATGGTACTTGGTGGGAAGGAAGTGGTGACTTCCTTCAAGCAACTGCTTGGTCCAGGCTATTCGGACTTCGCTGAAATTCTCATTTTGGCATTGGTTGCGGTTTCGACGTGTCTGCTGACTCTGGCGGTCAATGCTGTTGCGAAAAAGCTCTTTGGTGCCGGAGAGAAAAAAGGGTATTGTTGTTTTTCATCGGCATTTGTCCTGGTTGATCTTGTCGTAAGTTAGTACGTAAAATTAATAGAGGCTTTACACAAGAACTTTAACTTACTACAGTAAGGAGCAACCTGTTGACTTTGATTTCTCAAAAAAGATGAAGAGCAGGGACAACTTTTTATAGTACCACGACTCCTATACCACAGTCCCAAGGGCAAGGATAAGTTGAAGATGCTGGCGGAGCGACGAAAGGAAAAGAAGGCTGCAGCAAAGCTCGCGAAACAAATGGATACAAGCTCTTCTAGTGCCACCTCTGTGGTCGAACAAGAGATCGTCGTGGAGAAAAAAGACACGAACGAAGGTTTGGCAAAAAAACAAGAAACTTCAACTGCTGCAGCTACAACTTCGAAGAAAAGCGCCAAAGCAGCTGCAGGAAAAGCAGACCCTAGTATTTCTGCCACACAACAAGAATCCAATTCTCAAGCGGAAACTAGTACATCTAACACATCTACGTCTCTGACTACGATTGCATCCACTACAGAAGCGGAACTGCTTGTGCAGCAACAGCAGAAGCAAGACGTTGTCCTTCATGACGGTCCTCGCCTGCCGCGTTCTCAACGTCACAAGGATGTAGAAGTCGAAGATCCTCGTGTGGTGGAATTCAAGAAAACCCATCCGGCTCTTTCTGACGATGATGACGAGACTGTTGATACCTCCAAGGGTGTTCTTGTTGGTGAAAAAGCAATTCCTGCTGCTGTGTCTGTGAAGACTGCTGTGTCTGTGAAGACGACTAGCTCGTCCACGAACAAGTCCGCTGCACCTCCTACTCGCAGTCCCAAGGCGAAGACAGGACAGGCTACTCCCGCCGCGTTCAAAAAGGACCAGAAATCGGTTGCTGTTGAAGAAGAAGTGCCAGTTTCTTATGATAAGTAGACACTGGGAGCAGCTTGTTGTCACGACTTTCTAGTTAAGTAATATTTTTTAGAAATCGAAACATAATTTGCTTTGATAATCAATGGTAGAATGTTGCAAACCACCACACTCTAATCTCCCTCTCCTCCGACCACCACGGATCAATCTGCGGCGACGACTACCGCCACTAGTCCCGAAAAGAAGAAACGCGCAGCGAAGAAGAAGAATAAGAACCAAATTGACAATGATCTGTTGAAGGAGTACCTGGAGGAGGAAGGCGCTCCTGGATTCGAGGATGACGGAGCCGATGACTTCATTGTCGTCAAAAAACCTTCGAAATATGTGAAGGGGGGGAGCAACTTATGAACGAGCAAAACAGTGGTCTGAGGCTTCTTTCCTTGTCCCACGACTATCTTCATCAGGAGTGGTCTCACTCTAGATCATTATTGTAGTTGTTTAAACCGATACTATCTACTTCATGGGATATTATTCCGATACTATACCGTATCATAGGATATTATTCCGATCGGCTTCGAGTCTCCACAAAATGAACTTGAATCTCCACCCACCATGTGAAGCATCGTTTCTAATACAACAAGAGTCGAAAAAAGAGGTGGTGCAGCTGCAAATTACTGAAGAGCAGGTCGTTGTGTCCGGAGACAGCGACTTGACCGAGGAACTTCCTCGTGTGGATAAGGAAGGCGCCACAGGTACTTTTTGATACATCATGATCAACAAACATTCTTAGAATTACTAACAACAAGAACCCTCGTCCTAGAGCTAGAAGTACTAGTAGTAGAGAACACAATAACAATATTAACCGCATCTTCTGACTTACAATGAAGCACCTCTCCATCGTCATCCTCTCTCCTCCTCTCCAATCCCCTACAGACGTTTCCGCGCTCTCTTTGCGTGAGCAATTGAAGATGCAGGAGAAGGAGCGGAAGGAAAGGGAGCAATTGGCTTTGGAAGTATGGAAACTGGAGAAGGAACAACAAGCTGAAATTGAGAGGAAGAAAGGTAGCGCTACCGCTTCTTTCATTTTGGTTTTGCTCCCGTGATATACGATTCACTTCTATTCGTGTTGTAACTGTTTCCACCGATAATTGTTCCAGCCTCTCGTCTTCATCTTCATGTTATTAAGGTAATGATCATCATTACTGAAAAACTCCACCCGCACCAGGTTCCGCCCAGCAAGCCCAGCAGCCCTCCCAGAAACTCCCCGAAGAAAAGGAGTTTCTACGTTTGCAAAAGAAGCTTGGCCAGATCAAGAAGCTGGAGGAACAAGATGAAACTACTTTGGACACTATGCAGAAGGAGAAACTTGCCCAGAAAGAACAAGTGGAGAAGGAACTAGAACAAGCGAAGAAAAACTGGGATGACGCAGAGGAGAAAGCACGACAACAAAAAATCCTGGATGAGATGAATTTATGAAAGGTTGATTGATATTCCTGGCACAACTAGAAGTAGACTGAGGACAGGAGGGATGATTGATATTCCTTGCACTACAACTTACTAGAAGTAGACTCAAAATCTCGGGATCGCATCAGGAACTGTTTTGTCTTGCCGAAGGTAGAGGCTGGCCTTTTGAGACATATTGATGATGATGATGATGATGATGATAGACTCAAAAGTCTGCTTCAAGGACGACTTTCATTTAAAAATGGTTATCAGAAGATGAGTCAAACTTTCGTGACTTCTCCCTCTAATCCACACCTTGGTCAAGAATCTGTCACCGAGCGTTGCTGGAGCAGCCGGAGCAGCAGCTTTTGCTGGCAAGGGAGCCAAAGGTGATGGAGAACGACGCCGATCTTTTGCTTTTATGTTTGGAGGCGTGATGTTGCTCAAAATCTACATGTGTTGTACTAGAGAAGAGTTTTATTGAGAAGCATTTCTTAGGAGTTGTATTGAGAAGCTTTTCTTAGCATTCTTCTAGGTTCAACTTCAACAACCCGAATGATGATCACAAAGCTACTACTACAAATCTCCCTTTCATCTTCTCCGGTGGCGGTTCGCGACGCGGCAGCGAAGTCTACGGATCCCGTCGTGACAGTGTGATGTCAGGCAAAGGCGGCATCATGAGTGGCCGCAACAGTCGGCGAGTAAGCGGCATCAATATGGCAGATTTTTTGCCTCCTTCCGTTTCCCAGAAAGGATCCGCAGCGACAACTTCCGCTGATGCCGGCACCACCACCTCCACCGAACAAACCAATACCAGCACTTCTGCCAAGAAATACATCAACTACCAAGACCACCGCAAAAAGTCCAAGGAAAAGCCACCGAAAACTTTTGATCGTGATGCGTTTCCTTCCTTGAAGGCTGGTGGCGATGAGGTAGCTGTGGAAGAGGCGGAAGAACTTTCTGCTGAGGTTTTGGACGCACTACAGGAACCGGCTCCGGCTACCTCCACATGGGCAGGAAAGATTGCTGGTAAGCCACATTTCATTTTCTTTTCCGGATGGTTATGGTATAGATCGATGATGTAGACGTATATTTACTGGAGTTGCAGATCAGGCGCTTTAAATTTTTCCAGCTTTTCCATCCACGTCCAACTCCATTCCCGCCCTCAAAATCCACCCCTCCCCTTTCCCATCCGGTATTCGACTTTTCCTCTACAGGTTCAACGAGTACGATCAAGGTCTTGTCTAAGGCTAAGGATGGAGAAGATTCCACAGCAAAGGGTGAGGAAAAGGGTGAAGAGGTGCGACGCAATCGTCGTTCTATCTCAAAGGCGAGCAGCCGCCGTTCATCCAACGGAGGGGAGTCGAAATACAAGGAAATTCATGGTCGTCGCGAAAGTGTTGATACTGGAGCTTCGTTGTCACCGGCTCGCAAAAACAGTCGTGGACCCGAGGGGGCGTCTTATTATGGAAAAAAAGTTCAAGTCCATGATGATGATTAACGAGCAATAAGAGAACAAGGACATGATCTTCCAATATAACTATTTTAGACCGCATCTTTATCATGTTCATGTACTTGTAGGGTACAAGTACATGTACTAGTGCTTATAAATTTCTCACTATTGATTCTCTTACCAAGAAGTTAGAATTTCGCCTCCTCTAATCCCTCTCCGTCCTCGCCAGCGGTGACCGCAAGAAGATGCTGCTCTTTGATTCTGGTCGCAAGTCTCGCGGAGAGGTTGAACATGTGCATCTGACCAGTTCCGCAAAGAAGCGGCGCCGTGACGACAAGACTGGACGTGCCGTGTCGCACTCTCCACCGAGTAACCAAGATCCAGCTATCTTTTTGCAGAAGGATCCTGCGGTCGCGGCTAGAGGAGCTGTTGAAGCTGACAGTAAAGGTGGAAAGCGTGGAAAGCGCAGTCGAGCCGACGCGTACAAGGGATGCGATGTTCCTCCGCCTCCTCCTGGGTAATTTTTTGTATACGAGGAAGTTGTATTGCTAGTATTTTTTGTGAATCTGATGGTCGTGTGCTGATTCATATTTTATTGTCATTCTGCAAGTTCAAGTTCATCATGATTTACCTATTATCCATTTCAGTTTCACCACTGCCATCACACCATCTTCCCCCTTCCACCACAAACAGGTATCAATCCTTCAAGGGCAAAGGCTACGATTCCAAAGGTAAGTTTGGCGCTGCTGGTAAGTACGGTGGAGGAGACCCCTACAACTCCTACGGCTCACCAAGCTACTTCTACAACTCTGGCAAAATGAAAGGCGGAGATAATAACCGCGTTGACGAATTGATGGGCATCTTTGACGACAACAAGGGTGGAAAGAACTGGAATATGGATCATCTGTTCGGAAAAGACGGCGGAAAAGGGAAAAACTTATGGCATGGGACACGCAGTTTTCGTTTTGGAATTTATTTTCGGCTGGTCGTCGTATCATTTGTTTTAGATTTTTTCTGCTCCACGCAGGACATAGTTCAGAGTTCTTGACACAATGAAAAAATTCAAAAAAAGATGAAATATCTCTAATCCCCATGCAATACAAAGGCGGCTTCAAAGATGGTGGAGTGCGTCGTCGAACCTGGAACTACCTGGCAGACACGAATATTGACATGTTTGAGTCCATTCCGCATGCGGATAGCAGTACTGGTGCAACGATTCTTGTGGAGAAAGGCTGTGGAAAGGTTATGGAAGATCGCTTTTGAAATTGAAACCATATTTTTGCGCTTTCTAGAGACCACATAGAGTCAACATACACGCTGTCTTTTAGCTGTTGAAATTGTTGAGCAGTAGTTCTTGTTCCACTTGAGGACTTCTAAAAAGCGCGACAAAGGCTTGCAACAGGTGACTACCTTTGGTCTACCAACAAAGCAGGACAACGTTTCCGATGATGCCGCAGCAGTTGTCGTATTCTCTTTTGATAGTTACAGGTATTTTTTCAGCATCAGATGTCTGCGAGATGCAGTCGGGCTTCGTGAAAGTGACCAAAGATCTTTGAGGTTCTCACTCATGATCGAGAAGTAGATTATCAGCACAATCAACAAGAATTCTAAAATCCCTACCCCATCCCAACACATCACCACAGGACGGTTACCGTCGTGGTCTTGAACTTTTAGAGGGACAGGCCGTTTCTATGCCGACTGGTGATCCGTGCCAGCCAGCTGCAAAGGTGCCCTCACCGGCAACGACAAAGCCTCCCGGCGCGTGTACTAATGTGGTTGCAACTTTTATGGCTATTGTTTTGCCTAAGTTGTAGCACGTAGGAGGGAACGTGAAGAGTACTATGTATGATGCACAAGAACAACTGATTTTCATCTTAATGATCATGATGTCTAAAACTTCAAAAATACACAGAATTTCGACCCGCACCTCCGCGGCCCCCTCTGCCCCTCCTCTACTGGATTAAGAAAAAATGCTCCGCCCTCCCCCCGTATCCACTTTTTTCATACCCTCCTCCTCCTGTTCCTCCTCTATCGGTCCTTTTGCGGATGAAGACTTACCTGCGACTGCTGGCCAGGTGCTTGGGGCACCGACAATGCCGTGCATCGTTACGACAGAGGATAAGACACACTGGGATGTGAGTTGGAACATTTGAGGATGTGGGTTCGGACATTTGATGTAGCTCATTTTTCATTCTCATTGAAGAACAAGAAAGTCCTTAGATCAAACCAATTTTCAGCACATGCTTTAGATGAAGATTTAAAATGTAGAAAAAATCTTATCATGAGAAGAAATAATCTATTGTGGTGTCATATTTATTGAGAAAGGATGATCTGTCCTGATACGGAAAATGGGCAATGATGAGTCAACAATTCTTGTAGAGATAAAGTATGTTGTACTTGTTTGTAGCTGGCTATTATTTCCGAGCACGCAGTAATCATGATCGGCAAGTTGTTAGTAGTATGTTGTAAGTACTAGTTATAGAAGTTTACCACGATAGTATAGGCGTTATTTTTTTTGCTCGTTGGAAACAGGGTGTCAGGCTCAGTCTACTTGTACAGAGGTCGACAAGGATATCTCGCATCAACACTTCTAGATATAAATCTTCGTTGATAATTGTAGTGGGTTCGTTCGATTTTGTAGTCCTACAACTAGTTGTAGGTTGATTTGAAATAACCGAGTTAGTTTGAGATTGAACAGACATTTTGGAGGGGCGGGGGTGTACTTGTTCTATTGTGATTGTATTGTCAGCGATGTAGATGTTGATGTATTCTAGTATTGTGCATAGCCATTATAGATAGGTCAAGCAAAAATTTGAATTCGGGTAAATCAGTATTAATTAGTCTTTTTTGGATGAGATACACACGAACCCGTCACTAGAATCGATCGATCATGGAGGTCGCCTTTCTACCATTTTCTATGGTAACCAGGGTGACCGTAACGCAAACGCCAGTCAGGGTGTTTGATATGATGAACAAAGTTCTAAACTAACTGCTTTTTGTAAAACAATATATCCAGATGTTAGCATTCGGATTCACATTGATAACCTGCCATACTATCTACGTCCATGTATGTTGATGTCTTTCTGACAAGTGTTTTTTGCTACATCACATCTATTCAAGAATGCGAGGTTTTATATCGAAGAAGACAATACTCAATCACGCAGCTTTTTTGTGCATGTGGGCACAGTCAAAATCAATAGCTATGTCAACTCTGAAAATTGCTCAGCGGTCACCTCTTTTTCACAACTCAGAGGTATATACGTTGATGACATCCTTCGATCTCTAGAAAACCAAGTACTATGAATTTCTCTTGCTGGTGTTACCTTGGTACCTGTGTCGTTCGTGTGACGACAGAGTGAAGACGACTGTGTGGTGATGTTCTTTCTTATGACTCTATCATGAGAGAAGTTTTTTGATGATGTAGTTTTTGTTTGAGAAAAATGTTGAGAGAGTGAGAGAGTAGACCTCGTAGAAGAAACAGCAACAAAGGAAAAATCTGCCTGAGCGAGTATCTGTCAGTTCGAGATACGAGAGTGATTGATTTTCCTTGCTTAAAAGGTTTTGTGCCTTCGAGAATGGTTTTATTTTTTCCTCTGCCTTATCAAATCTCAATCGGCCACCTTCTTTGAGACCAAGTTACAGGGGTGATCTTTTCTGGAAGGAAGATGAAATGATTATTTCTATTTGTGACACCAGGAAATTGTCTTGTTTTAGAGCGATGAGAAGCAAAGGCCAACACACATATTAAAGATGATTGAGGTATCACCACTGAGATGAGACTCAAGAGCGAAATCTTCATGAAACCTCTTTACCCCTTTCTAATCCCTGAAATTAATAACACAGACGCGATGTGGGCCTAAATCCTAGAGTTTATGTTGTACCCACCGCACCGCTTAGAAGCTATTTTTACTATTTGTGTAATTTTTTTTATCGAAGTACTTGATCTTTTTCTTTCGAGTATTTGTTTTCTCTACAGAAGTCGTGGTATTCTATAATCAGGGCTGTGAGATACGTACATTATTGACGTTTTTATTTCGCTATGTTGCCTAGTTGCTAATCTTATTTGGTTGGTACATCTACCTCGTATTCGTTCTAATACATAGCACTATTGATTCAAGTCTCCTGGTTGTGGCAGAAGCACAAGCAAAGTTTCGTCATTTTTGTATTGGGTTTGGTTTTTGATCGTGTGAATGACATCATCTTCAGAAACTACAACAGAAATCGATCATATTAAGTTCTAGTCGTGCTCTCGCTGCTGATTATACGCGCAACTGAATCTGATTCTAAAAGTCTACTCGGTACGTAGAACGAAATCAGTACTAGCTTTTTCTGATCTGCATCACCATCGGGGTCGTTTGGTACATCGATTTCCGAAGAATCTGAATCTTGAAGAGACAGCACGACACAAAATAATGTCGCTTTAATATGTTCTTGTAGAGACAGCTGCAGTTGTCCATTACGTCGCACAGGAGTTTCTAATCCAATCGACGCACGATCAGAACCTCGTACACGAAATCTTCGTAGTCGTGTTTGTTTGACGATTGGATCAATCTCTATCGTCTTGTGTGGTACTCATCGATTTTTGTTGCTTAGCTTTCTTCGTATGATTCAACTCGGGTAAAAAAACTCGCAGCTACGACACAGCGACAATTTTTGTATCTTTCGCGTGTAAGTGTTGTATTGAAAAGATAGTCTGCTCCTTTCTGTAAATCATGGTTTTTCTCATGATATCGATTTGTTCTGTTACGTGTCCTCTTGAAATATACTTGTCTGGTTAATGATATTTTCTGAAGTGGGTATCCCCGGTTCTTCCAAAAATCATAATAGTTGTGTCTTCGTCCGTTTATTGATCCCTCGTATACGTATTAAAAAAGATTTACCTACAAAACGACGACGACCTGTATGTAAGATCTTCCTGCAGTGAGGACCTATACATTTACACATACGACTTCCACCTTGATAAAGATCGAAAAAAACCATGTCGGGTGGCGGCGAAATAACGTCCGACGATGTGGACCAGTACACACAACAGTTGCTGGAGGCTAGAGGAGCAAAGCCAGGCAAGCTGATACAGTTGATGGAGGCAGAAGTGAGAAAACTTATGAATGGATTTGAGATCTGAGAGAACGAAAGCCCTGCTATTTTATCATCGCGGTTCTGGTCGATTAATATTTGGAAACTTAACTCACTAACTAAAGAAGAGTAAAACACACAAGGACAAAGCTTAACTTTCCTGAGTCTGCTAAAGTTTACTAAGTTACCTCAAGTAGATCAAAACAGTTATTTGGCCGATATCTTCTTGCTCTTTTAAAGTAGAACGAGCCCTATGTTGCGAATGTGATCGTCCGTCTTCCCTCAGCACTTCTCCCGGTCCCATCGGCACTTGTCCCACCTCTAATCCCCTCTGCAACGCGACACGGATGATTGTGCTGTCACAGCCAGCCCTTCTCGAACTAGAGGCGCCACTGAAAATTTGCGGTGACATCCATGGACAATACCACGACCTGTTGAGACTTTTTGAGTATGGAGGGTTTCCACCAGAAAGCAATTACCTGTTCCTAGGTGACTACGTAGATCGCGGCAAGCAGAGTCTCGAAACGATTTGCTTGTTGATGTGCTATAAGGTACCGTTATTTTCGATTAGGATTATCCAGATCTCGATGAACTTATGATCGTGATGAGCTTCAGGCGACTTAGGAACTTCACGAGTTCGAATGGGAAACAAAGTGCTGTTTATGAGTAGACCTTCCGCAGGTTCCTCCCTACAGAATGCTTGCGTGCGTGGAAGCCGGCGCACGTCCATGCACTGTAACATGAACATGCTATCTACAAAGGAGCGAAAGAAACTTTCATCACAAGCCGTGTCTTCACCTCTGAAAGACACCACCTCACCTCAGGTCAAGTACCCGGAGAACTTTTTTCTCCTCCGAGGAAACCACGAGTGCGCCAGTATTACCAGAATTTACGGCTTCTATGACGAATGCAAGCGAAGATATAACATCAAGCTCTGGAAGACCTTCTGCGATAGCTTTAACTGCTTCCCAGTAGCCGCAGTAGTAGACGAGAAGGTATATGATTATATATCTTTATCTTATTTGTCTTATTTGCGTGTCTGATGTGAATATGATCAAGATAATCATCATACATCGTCTCAAGCACAATCTCATCTCGTTGTACTGCTGTAAAGAAAAAGATCAATACAACCCCTCCGCATAGATTCTTTGTATGCACGGTGGTTTGTCCCCCGAAATTACGAGCATGGATCAGATAAAGAGAATAGTTCGACCAACTGACGTGCCGGATACGGGGTTATTGTGCGACTTGTTGTTAAGGCTTCCGGGAAAGGGAATACATCCATCGTAAAAATAATGCATCTTGAGGCACCACGACCGGACCCCTCTGCCTCTTCTAAGGGTGGAAAAAGAGAGGACTCAAGATTTTATGACTTTCAAGATGTATTCCAGGAATCTCTAATGTTGTGGGCGGATCCAGAGAAGGATATCACTGGATGGGCAGAAAATGATAGAGGAGTTAGCTTTGTCTTCGGACCAGACGTAGTGCAATCATTTTTGAGAAAACACGATATGGACCTAATCTGCCGAGCACATCAAGTCGTGGAGGACGGGTGCGTTATTTTGAATGCGTTTATAAACTTTGCTCTCTTGTACTTAGTTGTTACGACTGGAAGGAGGAGTACATCCTTGAATAGGCTTCACCTCTCTGCATACTTAACAGCACTGGAGGGTACTCTCTCACTCTCTCTCTCTTACACGACGAGGACACAAGAACCTACTTCTTATCGCACTGTACCAATCTACATCTATCATATCCAACTACCAGATACGAATTTTTCGCAAAGCGGCAGTTGATTACGTTGTTTTCGGCTCCGAACTATTGCGGTGAGTTCGACAATGCTGGTGCGATGATGACCGTAGACGAGACATTAATGTGCTCGTTTAAAGTCTTGAAGCCGGTGAAGAACGCAAAGAAACCCTAGTTAGGTCTTCTACTTCATCGAAGTAGTGAAATTATAAATTTAGGGGGAAAGGGAAACTACTTATATCTATATGATAGTACTAACATAGTTTTAGACTTAGTGGAAGTAGGAGGTTCAACAAAGTGGTAGCGTTCAAGTTTGTATTCTCGTACTCGAATGGAATAATGGTAGCGATACACCTCGTCTTTCAAGCTTTCTTACTAGATCAACATCAACATCTTCAAGTTGGTTCTCATCAAGTTCAAGAGTTAACTAATATTATCTTCAAAGAGTGGATTCCTACTTATTCAATTTTCGTTCTCAACATCATCTAGTTCTAGATCTATTTGCGTTACCGGGTTTACTCTTCTATGTTCAACAGGATCAATTATGCGATTATTCAGTTCAACACCTTATCATGAATCAACAACAAATATAGTCGTCGTCCAGATGAATCAGATGGGCGCTTAAAAATGTATTTGTATTATACAACAGAAGTCTGCTGATCAACAAGATCAACCTTTCGTGATCAATCGTGGTAGTGTCGCAGTTGTTGTAGTTGTTTAGAGAAGAAGTTCCGCCTCTGATTATTTCTACCGGGTTGACAAGAGATAACTTCCTCCACGTGGGTCTACAAGCAGCGTAACTGTGCTGGTCGGTATTGTGTGCGCGCTGTCACCACGTCATGACCACATGAATCACAGCGCACAGAGAGACTGTTGCAATGAATATGGACTAGCTAAAAATATTTTTTTACTTATAATAGAAATACTCAGTCTATTTTAGCTCACCTTCGCGCCTGGTGTGACTGTGATCTGTCATAAGGTAAAAAATACTTGTAATAACCCAGACTGAGAAGTTAGTACCAGCCAGCTGCATTAAGTAAGATGAGACTGAGATGAGAAAAATGAATTTTTCGATGTAGTACGTGGTGACGGTTTTGGTTATTACATAGTTAGTCTCTCTGGTTATTTTTCGGTCGCTATTCAGAAGATACGCCCTCACGCTGCATACACCCAGCAGCAAGAAGTGTCCAAAAAATCAACCCGATAAGATCGCAGGAAGTTATGGTTGCGCTGTCGAGAATAAGGATATTTCTCCAGGCAGCTTGCCATTGCCTCGCCTTCGCTTGGGGCTGTATTATTGGCAATTGATTGGCGGGGCTGTCCATAGAAGTACATGGGTAATATTATGATTTTGATTATACCCAACTGACTCAGACTGAGACTCTCCACCCTAGAAATCTGGTGAGATGATTTCAGAGTCAAAAGCTTCAACAACATGTAGTTAGTATTAGTTTATTAGCTCCTGCTAAATTTCGACGGTTCTCTTCTTGTTCGCCTACAACATCTTCATGACTTTTTTTCGCACACTCGCACGCTCGTTGAAATTTTTGATCTTCACCTCGATTAGTTGATGATTCTGGTAGTACAACGTTCATCATCTTTAAGATTAAGATACATCGTTCTCCATATGAAATCCAGACGCAGACCCCGTTATGATCACTATTTATCGTGTTCGTTCGTCCTACCTTTTCGCTCAATTAAAGTGACATTGATCATTGCAGCAGGATACGCACGACATTGAATTGTGGTGCCAGGATGAGATACGATAAAAAATCGTGTGTGTGTCGTGTGTGAAGATCAACATTGCAACTTCAACCACTAAGGATCACTTACAGAATTTCGCAATCTATTGTCGTTGTAATGTTGTATAAAAGGTTGCAATTATACAACAAGTACTAGCGGGTGGTACTTCAACTTCTAGATGATTAATTGCAATAATTCTTGATGTAGTCTCGTCCAAAAATGCTCCGGGGAACGCAATCCTTTATTTTTTCTCTCATCTCATGTTTATGTTATTTGGCAACAATATCATTATCATTATAATTGGTACTAGAAGCTCTCTCGTCTCAACATCAAGAAGTTCAATAGAAGAAGTAGATCTAGATGATTTCCATTGTTGATGCACCTATAGGTATTTACTACATTGTTATTGATGTCTGAGTGTCTAAAAGCAAGAGGTAGGAGGAGCCTACTGGTAGAACAGTACTACTACACAACAAAAGGAGCAGATCAACGAGCCTACTGGTAGAACAGAACAACTACACAACAAGAACAAAAGGAGCAGATCATCTTCGTTGAAGGATTCTCAAAAGGTGATCGTTGCTTCCTCTTGCTCCTTCATCTTCACATGATTTCAATTTCGTTCGTAACTACCCAGAAGATCTTCTACACATTATCGACCAGGGATTGTATCTTTTCGCATATAAAAAACTTCGGGTTATTAGCTAGCAGCCATAAGAACTGACTTGTGTTTGAAATATTGATATCTACTTCATTATAAATCAATAATGCTAACAAGAATATCGTCCTTGCTATTATGCTAACCACAGTACTACAACTACATAGGATTAGGAAGGATTATGACGAAGGACAGACATTCACATTCTCTCTTGATGATATCAGTCGATCCTTCTACCACCTGCAATTATGCATCAACGTCTCTGGAAAAAACGATCGAATGAAACCAAGAACGTTGGCACAACACATCAAGATCTTCAAAGAGAATGAAATCCGATCTGCAGGCACCTGACAGCTCCGTTTCAAGGTTCCTTTTTGCTATGAGAAATGAGCAACACGGCAGGTGTGTTCACACAAGAAGATCGATCTATTTTACTTTGATAGTGAAGTCGATGATGAGGAAGCATATTTATTTTTTTCGAAATTTTATATTTATACTTTTCTTCGGTGGAGCACCAGTATGGTAAAGACTTCGAGTCGACGACGTCAGCACTAAAAAGCATAAGCTAAGCAGGCACGCTCTGAGATCAGGAGGAAGTTGCGAAATAACCCTGAGGGAGGACTATCGCCAGAAAAAAACTACTGAAGAAACTACTTCTCACTACTTCGGAAGAACGTACTACTACTAGTACAGAGCAGACGTAAATAACTAGTTTCCCTGGCTATATTTTCCTACAGATTTGACTGGATCTTGAAAAGTCAAAAAAATGCATCAATATGGTCGTACTTCATCTGGGCGAGAATAGACCATGACCATTGTCGTACTTGAGTAAACAACACCGCCAACTTTCACTTGCCTTGTCCCGCCCAAGTCAACATTATGGTAAAAATATTTATCTGGCGCACCCCACAAGCACAACAAGTTCGACTGGTACTAGTCTTTGCTTTTCTTGTTCTTCATCCTTGCCTTTCTTCATCCTTCTGTCTCCTCAAACGTTACCGAAAAAATGCAAACCAACCTCCCTAATGCTAATTAAAACTTCTCAATCACTACTTCATGTCTGAAGATTGAACATGAAGACACGACCTTAATGATAATACGCAAACTCATCGAGTACATTGGAGCTCATCAACGAGGAGTAGGAAGGTCCTGACCTTCTTGATTTGTTCGATGTGCATTTTATCACAGAGAGGAGTGACCGTGCATTACTAGAAAATTTGTATGTTTAGTACAACTTCACGAAAAGAACAGAGAAAATAGTTGACGTCTTAGACCATGAGCAGAGAAAGCATGCCAGTAAGCCAAAGAGAGAACCCTGAAAAAAAACCCTTGACCCCTCTTCCCTTCTTTACTTTGAGCTCAACGCCAACGGTGTTAATTTTTGAGGTTTTGAAGCAACATAAAGAGCAAGATGAAGAACTGTAATAGAAATCGTAGTAGTACTAGATGAAGAATATTCTTGAGAGGGAATAAAACATAAGTCTTCCGCCCTCTTAATATTCATAAGCACACCCACAAGAAGCAGAAGGAGCAGCTTCAAACTTTCTGACCAGGAACGTTTCAACGGCCAAAAAAGGGAGCAGCTACTTCCAAAGAAGCATAAAAATGGCATCCTCCTCGTCAGGTGGCCTCCATGTGGCGCCTGCCGAGTTTGCGTCTTTGGTGCACAGCGCAGGCCTTCCATTTTTATGTTCTCAATTCCAAAAAAGGTTCTTCTAGAAAAAATCAATATCAAGCTTCCATCGAAACTAGGTTCTTCTTGAAATCTTCACACCCCCTTCATACTGCCCAGCAAGCGGAGAAAAAGGAAAGAAAACGACGATGATTGTTTATGGCAAAAGAAAAAGATGTCATATTATGTATGAGCGTTGATGTAGAAGCAAGAAAGAATACGCATCAAAGCAAAAGTCAAGCAATTCCATTCTCGCCTCTGCCTCTAACCCGCCTACGTAGTCCGACGTTGTGGCTGAGTCCTCTGAATTTCGAATGCGAAGCATCTGTGTCATGCCTATGCAAAGCTGAAGGCGGATTCACAGGATGTCGCTTTGGTTTTTGTGTTGAGGAATAAAGAACCGAAAGAAAGTGTCAAGCTATTTGAGAAAGCAGTACTTTTAAAGGCTTTATTTTTGATACGCACGCCGTATTTAGACATAGAAGAGCTACTTTTCTCTTTCATTCTACATCCTCGTCTACGTCTACTGGAATTAGCGAACTACAGCAACCTCCAAAACATGATGATCCTCCCCCATCAAAACAAAGGTCGACCTTTCTTGCTGTAGTGTCTGTTTCGACAATGAGGAGAGCGTATGGTGGAAAAGTGTGCAGGATTTTGGGGAGAAGGGTAGGCCCAAATACACGGTAACCTTCTGGAACGCATTATTGTCACCTTTGACGTGGCTGCGATATATATGTTATGAAGAGCAGCCCTGCTTTGTAATACTAATAATCACGACGACTGCCTCCTTTTCCCATGAGAGGATGACCGATCCACTGTTAATCTTAATACCAACAACAGTTATGGCAGTCTGCACTGAACTTTGTGCGAGAATAATTGTATTGTATTGAGTATTGTAGAACTATAAGGTCTGTGGATAACCGTCTATCCTTCTCCTAATAATAATATATCCGAAGCCTCCTTTCTAATCTGCGTTCGCCGGTTGTTGTGGTCGCCGACTCGCAACCTGGTCACAATGGAACATCAAGGGGAATGGCGTGAAGCTAGGAGGATGTCTCATTCTACGACCGGGCAGCGTTGCCGCAAAAGATGCAGACATTCTATGGAAGAGACCCGAAACAGCCATAGCAGATTTCCCTGAGGGTGAGCATGTTGTGAGAAGAGCAATGTCGGGTGGGAGTAAACTGTAGTAGTTGATATGAAAAAGGTGGGACGACTAGCACCTTCACTACTAGCACTGCTGGTAGCAGAATGTGGATGTTACAAGTCAGCGATGACAGACACGTCGACACCTAAAGATGCATGTTTCGATACTTGAGCAGCCAAGTCATCGTTGGAGTAGTTCCTCTTCGTCAATCTTCTACGAACGTGATTCCCTTGGAGATGAAGCATTGCACCTGTTTGATTCATCTTGTTGGGATGATTTCATCGCGTTCACAACAATTTGGGGACGAGCTCTCTTCGATGTAATTTGGTGCTACAAAGAACTGAAATTCGTCTTCACGACGGTTTGCTTTCGTGTTTCATTTTTTGAATACTAGATTGAGAGTGATACATAAGCATAAGTTTGTTGCATTTGCAGCTGGGGTTAGCTCCTACGCTTGCGAGGTTTTTGAGACGAAGTGTTCGCTTGTTTCCTCACACTGCTCGTTCTTCCTTCTAAAAGTAGGTCCAGCCACAAATTTCTAGATGTAGCAACAGAGGACTGTCACGTTGCAGGAGAGTCCACCTCGGAGTCTCCAAATAGCAAATAACATAGCACTGCGCGGCTCCTGTGAGGAGATAGTCCACCTTCGTCTTAAGAAGAAGATGAAGGTGAATGCTTCAGACAGTGACACTGAAGCACCTGTGGCCCAATATATACAATGGTAACTTCATTGTGGTCCCGGCGGGAGCGGCCTTGCAGGTGGAGCCTGCGAGCGGCCTTGGAGATGGCCCGTTCAAAAAGCACGTTTCATCTTCTAGCCTTGCAACTCGCTTTATTTTTTCAGCAGTGTGCGGGAGGTGCAACAAGGCCTTCAAGCTCGTTTCATCCAGCATGCCCTGCCACAGGCACCCCAGAAAGACCAACGCCGAAAACAACATGCCCCATTGCAGCTGAGATTGGGATTTCCGATTTTGAACCCCTGGAAGTCGGGCACATACAGCGAATAGACGCACATTTCGTCGAGGGAAGGCTGTTGCCGCGTACATTGGAAGAAGTCGATGCATTGTTCTCAACTGCTCCTAGTACTGCTGCCACGAGGATTTCTAGTACTTCTACTAGAGAAACAAGTGGTGCCTCCACCTCCACCATTTCACCACCGTCATCCTCATTTGTATCAACTACAGACGTTGAATCAACAACTTTTTCTTCCACTTCTTTCCTTTGTCGGTATTTCGTTCCCTTTCTCAAGGCAGTTCGTGTCTTGGTGAAGAAGAAACTGGTGCAATTGGAAAGGTACGAGACGGGACCTGGAGTTCTTCCAGAGGATATAATTACTTCCCCACGACGCACGCCAGAGGGAGAGGACGCGGCAGATGTTACAACAAGTACAACTACAAGAACACAAGATTATCAAGATGAATCATCTTCCAGTTCACCATCCGCAGAGGAGCTCGCGCAGATGACGGAGGCTATGAGGGCGCTGCATCGTTCCAATTTCGTGGGAGAAGCAAGTGTGCCTCGGGAGGCGTCTCTCATCTACAAAGTGTTCAACTACGAACAAGCAGAGGAAGTTGTTATGGCTTAACTACCAAGAAGAACGAACTAAAGTTCTGTTATAATTCGTAGACGTAGTAGTAGTTATCAATCAACACAGTCTCCGAGGACTACGTGGATTATTATTTGCTGATTTAATCCAGACTTCATTCTCCCTCAGGAGGACCTGCTCCACCCTATGTTGATAAGTTCTGCTACATCTTCTTCTCACTACCTCTGTCTAGTACGTACTAGAAGTTCTAAAAATCCAGCTTTTGGTCAAGAAATCCGAGATCTCTTCACCGGATGCGAGAATACGGCAGACTTTTTGATGCTTTTCCAGATTTTGGTCGAATACGTCGCGGCCTATGGAGCAGAGGTTGGAGAACTAGAAAGAGCACTTGAGGAGTCAGAACTTGGAACGGACGACGGTAAGAGCAATGATCCCAACAATATCAAAGCTACAGTTACTACAACTACAACCTCGTTGTTTACCCCAGAGCAAACTTTTCTTTACGAAACCACCTTGCCGCGAGCCTTGCGTCCACTAACAGTGTTAATTCCTTTATGGGACGATTTTGCAGTATTCGCGGATGAGGTCCATGCCAAAGCTGTTTCGTCCAAAACTTTGCGAGGAATGTATCTCGGATTGACCGGACGGTTTCTCCTACGTCAAACAAGACAGCTGCGAGTCTATTTCCCAATGGCATTTGGCAGCTGGTTCGATCATGAATTTGGAGTCACGATATTGCAGATGGAGGTAGAAGAGGATCAGCAAAAACACAGCCAACAAGCACCTCCTGTTAGAGAGATCACTGGCATAGTGTTCGATGATGTTGGTATGCGGGACAATTTGATTCAAAGGAAGGCAAGGGAAGAAGCTGAATGGGAGAAAGCTTATCCATCTGAACCTGCCACCGCATCTTCATCAACAATCTTCTCCGAGGCCGTAACAACATCTTCAAGCAGAACCTGGACTCCCAACACCACCCATGATTCTCCACGTATCAGGCGTTTTCTGCAAGGTGGGGACCATTCAAGAGGGCAGCGTGTCTCAGCACAAACGGATTTGCAGTTTTTTTTCAAAATCCCAGTTTTCATGGACGAAACTGAGGGATTCGATCACCCGCATGGGAGGTTGCAAAACGTCATAAAAGACGTTGTGACCAGGAGGAATAGTGAGGTCGACGATGCAAGTCGTTCGCTTCAACTAGAAGCAGGTGTTCAGGCGGAGCAGGCAACAACATCACAAGAACCTCCTGTATCAATCACTCCCAGTCTAGAAACTTCTCTCATAGCTGGCTTCCTTCTACGTCGTTGGCACCCCATGGCGCAAGTTACGTTGTTTTTCTGGTTTCTGAAGCATTGCTTAGCAGTGCTCGAGAAGGAAGTGCGTATTCCTGCGGGTGCGTACAGCCAAACGTATGCGCGTCTAGAAGACTGGGTCGCCAACGGAATTAGGTACGACAAAGTTGCTGAAATCCTCGAAAAGGAGTTGCCCCAATGGCGATCGCACTATCCGAACGCGGTAGACACGAGCCCTTTTGTGCTGTTGCGGTTGCTGGGTGACCGCAAAAAGTTCTTGGACATTTGGCGTTTTCTTGCAAAGTTTGGAAAAACCGACTTCGTCTGGGGTAGGTACTTGGACTTGGGAGGCAAAGCGCGGGACGACGAGCCTGTGGAAGCAAGTACAGGGAGGAGAAAAAATTACGGTTCAGGACTTTTGTTTCCGAGAAGCAGAAGACGAGATGATGAAGCAGGGGATGAGCTGGAGACTTCTGGACGCAGAAGCAATCGCCACGAGAATGGGAGCAGGCAAAATGTTAGTCATGATAGTCTTACCGTTCCCCAACTCGAATCCATGGTCGATCGTCGATTACTACCTGCGGACAACTCTGCAAGTGAGCTGAAGAAAGCGTGGTGGCCTCATAGTATCGCGGAGATCTGTGAGTTTCTGTATGACATAGCCTCCGCTGCCGTTGCCGAGTTCATGTTCAGAATCCATGAGATGCCACGTTTTTGGACAGCCTACAAACAACTGCAAGTAGTGAAACCTGCGAGAGTCGAGGACGAGCTGGATGAAGTTGAAACAGATATCAACGAATTCGGAAGAGCCATCAAACGAACGATGAAGAGCCTGCAGTTGGATGGCGAAGCTTTTGTGGAGAGACAACTCACTTGCCAGAGCAGAAGCAGAGAGACAGCACCGTCAACATCTTGCTCTTTTCCCGTGTTAGATGGAGAGCGAACATCGCCTTTCATCTTCGATGGACCACCGCCTTCGACGACTACTTCTGAACGAGTAGTAGAAAGAACAAGTTCTGACGAAGGTCAAGTACACGACGCTGAACTACGAGAATGGTACTTCGACGACTACAATTCTGGCAGAAAAGACGGAGCAGACGATCGGGTAGACATTGCCAGAGAAAAAGAGCAAGACGAGGACTCTTCCGGTGCTTCTTCTTCTGGAGGTTCTCCATCATCTTCGCCGGCTTTCCGACGCATGTCCCCAATGTTTGAGTACGTTCTTGCTTTAGAAATGCGTGGCCACCTCGACTTGGGAGAGATGGGAACCTGCGGAGAGACGACTGGTCAAATGCAGCCGCCCACCGACGAGGAGCTAGGTTTTAGTAGTGATAGTTCGTCAGCAGCGTCCCCACTTGTGCACATGCGTGTCGCTTTTCAAAGACGTTTAGACAGATTAGTGTTTGCGGATACGGTGTATGGGTGGGCAAGAAGGGCAGAGGAAGAGGAAGTACAGGAGCAGGAAGGACATGAGCAGGAAAATAGTCCTAGCACAGCACTTGAGCTTGGTGAGAAAATGAAAGAGGGGGCCTCAAGAAATTCCCAAGGACTGGTCCGCCAACATAAGCTGCATCGTTTAGCATTACAGCTTACGAGATCCAAAAACCCGACTAACCTTTGGGACGATTGTGATCAGGCGTATAGTTTAGTGCGGAAGTTCCTGAATTACGCCCAAGACTCGATGGACCAGGTTTTTCAGAGGATATTTCAGATTTTGGATGACAACAAAGCCAAACAAGAGAATCAGAAGAGATTCTACGTCGATGTTGGCGTCGGCCCCGCAGGTGTAGAGCACTATACGCGCTTCTTCCGCACGTTTCAGCCGCACAAGTGGGAAGGGGTTATGCTGGACGTGGGGCATTCGTATGCGCCAATCGGGTACTATCCCGAAATGCTCAGTGTGGAGGGTGTCGAAGCGATTCTTTCACGTCATGGCGTGCCACCAGAGATTGACTTGCTGGTGATGCAGATAGACTCGTTTTCTTGGCACGTTTTGCGGCGATTGTTCTTAAACTCAGAACCGGAACGGCGAAGAAGACTTCGGGCAGAAATCAGACGTCGAGTGGAGAAAGTGTTCCAGTATGGGCTTACAGGAGTTGGTACTAGTAGTGGAAGTTCGTGTGCTACTAGGTCTAGAACTAGACGAAGAACTGGCGCAGATGCAGATGAAGGATCATCATCTACAACTACTGTACCATCTGGGAGCAGTAAGACAACCATCAAGACAACCTCTACCAAAAGAACCTCGAATATACCAAGAACTGCAAAACAACAAGAACAAGATTTCCACTACCCCAAAGTGATCCAGATTGAGCATATTCACAGCTATTTCTGGCCAGATCATATGGTTCCACTAGGTTTGAACTTGGTTCCTGCCTACAAGGCAGATGGCACGGCTGGAGAGTTGTTTAGGGACTCGATGGAGAGGACAGGGGAAGACCAGGCGACAATTCTGAAAACAAAGCACAGAAAGGAATGGCTACGTGATGTGCTGCATGAGTATGTAGTTGAGAAGAAAAGCAAATCTTCGGGCATGAGAGGCGTTGAAGAAGTAGAAAATCAAGTTCAGGATACGAGAGTTACAACAGCTCCTGTTGAGAAGAGCCACGACGAACCCTTGTCCATCGCTTTCACAGTGGCAAACGACTATGATACTAGGGTCGCTTCTCAAATCCGCGGATACTTTAAAGCGTATATTGCTACGGCTGAAGCTGTTCGCGTCTTAGCTAACGCTTTCGGATATGACGTTGTCTATCTTGGTTGGTGGAATATGATTCTTGTTGATAGATTGGAGACAAGTCGGGTGGAAGTAGCAGGTCTTGATGAAGACGAAGAGCAAGGCGAGAGTGACGAGGGGGTCGAAGACTGTCTTCAAAACACTGCTCGTCCTGGCGCTGAAGAAACTGTGAACGAAGTCGTCAATCAGACTGATTATGCTTCTGCTAGTCTCGCAAATGTTCTCGGAGATGATGCTGCTCCTGGTATAGGCGAGAGTGGCTCCCTGGAGGATCAAGCGCAACAAGTTGCAGGCGTAGCAGACTCGGATGACCCTCTCGGAGATGGCGACGCAGAGGCAGATGCCATCATTGACGCAGTGACAGACGAGTTAGTCGACAACCTCGATGACCCTTTGAATACCTTTGATCCGCAGTTTGTTGCTGCTAGGATACAACAGAAACTTGACGATAGCGCTGATCCTGATGGACAAGGACGGACTACGTCAGATGATAGTGCTGCTACTGGAAAAACCAAAAGAACATCAACAAATACATCACGTATTAACAAGAACAACCTCAAGCAGCTCAAAATTCGCCACTTGTTTCAGCATAAGAACGACTTGAAGACCTTGTGTCATCTCTATTTCCGCAACACTCACCGCCACTATTGGCAAGTTCCATCGACGTTTTTCCTGCACAAAAATCTCTGCACAACGCCAGAGAACTTGATCGTTGGATTCAGCCAGGAGGAGATCAACGCTAAGTATTTTAAGGCGGAAGTTGGATATGTTCCCATCTTCTTGAAACGAGGGATTTATTACGATCTAGATTTTCAGACTCTTAATTTTACTCATCTTCTTGAAACGAGGGATTACGATCTAGATTTTCAGACTCTTAATTTTACTCGCACTAAGTAAGACAACCGGTTAGTTTAATCGCACTAAGTAAGACAACCGGTTAGTTTTCACCTCGACAATATTAGACTTATCCCGTGCAGCAATATATTTATAGTGCGATTGCAAATACAACTAATACTGATTTACAACCTTTACCCCAACCTCTAACACTCGGCTCGACTTCCTGATGAATGCGCGAATTGGCAGCTATGGACACGATAGAGGACCGAGCACGCGCCCTTTATCAGAAGAAAGCGTATTAGCGGAGTTATTGGAGAAGGAATCGGCGGAAGGCAAAATTGAAAGGACACTGTCAAACCTCATTCGGGATCCGAATGTAACGTTTTGATGAAGAGTGTAAGTGGAAGTTTTGTTTTCTTCAGGTTTTTTGATTATTCAGCATCCAAGAACAGACAAGACGGTTAATAGGAATTGATTGCATCATATTTCATACTCAATACCAATGATATTAGAGACGAGTAAGCAGCACCACTAAGTCTATTAAGAGGAATAAAAACAGATAATAATTCAACAGAAATTTTTCTGTTATTTTCGAGATCAAGCTTCAAAAGATAAGGAATTTGTACGAATGTTTATATTTTCACGTGACGATAAAGACGATAGATGGGCATGGTAAATAAAAAGTGTGGTTGGTTAATCTACTGTTTGACCTCCCGCGGTGGAGCAGGAAGGCGACGTGTTTCCTTACAGCTAGAGGATGAGTTGTCTGCGGTGTCAAGAGATTTTAGTAACCGCGAAGACCAATAAGACTGAGACCTGCGATTATTCTTGTAAACGCAAGAATACGAAAAGAGATAAAATCAAGAAGAAAGACAGCAATAGATATAGATCTCCTCCGAGGACTCATCTCTTGCCTTGATGCCAATTTCACTGAAAATTTAGAAGGCCGCATCAGACGTGGGCTACTTGTTTACCAAAGACGTAAATGACACTAGTCCTAGTGGCCGCGGCTATAGAAGTGAATAAGTCTGCACCAGAGTTGTTCTTTACGAGATGAGATGCACGACATCACCATGGATTGACGCCACGCGAGGCAAAATATGATGTCAATGAATCCGTCTCCTTCCGTGACACGCGTCGGCAGCGACTGAGAGGTGCATGGACGGGCAAAGAGACGTCGGCTGGGAACAACTAGCGTAGTGGGATCACGGTGCTACCTTTCTCGTTGCATGAGCAGCGAGAGGAACGTCATTCGAGGCCGACGTGAGTCGCTGACGGGTTGTTTTTTTGGGTCTTTACTTATAAGACAAATATCGCGGACACGAACAACGAAGTGAATCCTGTCGGTGTTGCCTCAAAAGAAGCAGAGCACAACATGCAGCGCACACGACCTATCGGGACCCGCCTGTACTGCAGCTATACAATCTTACAGAGTTATTTTTTCGTGTAGAAAATGAATATTCAACACATTTTACTTTCATGATCTCCTTTCACTTTGTCTACTCAGCAGCACCTTCTTCACCCTACAGGTACGGCATGGGTTTCGTGTGCACGGTGAGCGCGCTGATATTCACGATATACGGGATTTTCGTCTTCGTTATCGTTCTCCCGGAGATGAAACTAGTGATAAAACCTGGACATTTTCAATATTTCAACGTGCCTGGTGACGGACAAGGCGACGGAACTGGCAGCGACTACGTCGATCAGACAGCGCCTTCGGATACCTACGCACCAGAGCGAAGAAGGGTTCTTGGTCCTGGTCAGAACGATGAGAACAAAACGAAAGGCGTGATAGAAGGAGGCACTATAGTAGGAACAGTAGATAACGCTGCAATAATAGAAACAGTAGATGATAACGCTGAAGACGCGATAATTATAGGTAGTGGTCTACCAAGAATAGCCGCTCAGAATAGGGAGAAGAAGGAGAAGGAAGTGCGACACAACGAAGATGCCGAGAGGAGTAGACGGAATAGAAGTGACGCTGAAGTTGAAGTTCTCGTTGATGGGGAAGAGGAGCAGACTTCTTCAAATAGTCATAGTGCAGCGGCGACGAGTAAAAAAATAGATCCAACAGTAGATGAACCTGGTTTTGACGCAACAGGAGCAGTCACATCCTCTAGGGAAAGAGTAGCGGCTCCATCTGCCGCTGAGGACGCAATAGAGAGAACCATGGCAGCTAGGAAAGCGAAAATAGTAGAGACTCTCGCGCACCGGCCAATAATAGGAGCTGGTTTAGCGAAAGTAGTAGAGACGTTGTGGCATGGCCATGCGATACCAGCAGTAGATGACGTGGCCAGTGAAGCAAGAATAGACGAGGACTCGTCAGCCGCTCTTTCGCGAGATAGAAAGGAGCACTCAGAGGACGACATCGATAGAAGCGAACAAGAACAAGATGAGAGCAGAACATCTTCAAGCCGTAGAACGTCGGATGCTATAGCGCGCACATCTTCCTCTAGAATAAATAGACAACTTCAACCTGCACCACAACCTTCAATTTTGTGGGGTCGAACGAGCGTCCACGACTACGAAAAGTTCTACTATTTTATGACATCAGGAGGTCGTTCAGGATTTCATCAAATCGCATCCATTGTGTATGATTTGTACTAATATGTTGATGATCTTCTACGACTCCTCCTCCACTACGGCAGCTGCCAAGGCGAACGTCATGATTCTTTCCTGCTCATCATCAACATCATTCTAATATCCACTACGTGTACGTCGGCGGCTTCTACGTGCTGGTGTTTTTTCACATTATCTTTATGGCAACTACAAGGATCCTCCTCCATCTTCTACATCTACTAGGTTCTTCTTTTATTCCAATCTACCCCAGCAAGCTCCTCCGCTGTAGAGAGTGGCCATTCATATCACTGAAGGAGAAAAGCCGCTCAGAGGTTTTCTCTTTTCGAAAACTAATAGTAGTTGCACTGACACGAAAGGTACTAGGATCAAAAAAATATGAATCTTTCTCTTTCGTCACCCGCTAATTTGTTTATCCTGGACTTGATAGCCTTCTGGAACGCGATACGGACGGATCCAGGGATGGTCCCAAGCAATTGGGGTTTCTACATGGGCGAAGAGACAAAGCGGCGACGATATTGCAAAATGTGCAACGTGTGGAAACCTGATAGGTACTGACCTAGATTTGACAGCCTAAGTGTAAGTATGATCTCCATGGTCATCATCATGGTCTTCATCCGAAAGAGCATGCATGACTACAAGTCGACCGACGGAGAGCGCCGCCCCACCACGGTCGAAGTGCCTGGCTTTGGGGGCTCCCGAGATGCCTTGAGCTTGAAAAACACCGAAGCGGACCGCCCTGAGGAAACGGCCAGCGCGGACGCATCCATCGCAGGCGTGCCCTCGGACGTTGACCAGGTAAGTAGATACCCTGACAAAGAAGAAGAGGCGCAACCGCAACCGCGGGGGGCCTAAGCATGCAACCCATCGCAGGACTCAGCGAAACTGCCAAAGGGGCGCCACGGTATGTACTGCAGTGCGAGGCCCTAGCGGTTTGGGACCCTTGGAAGGAAGTGAGCCGCCTCCTGCGGAGCTTATACGCGAAGCTTAAACTGAAAGCACCGGAGGCCGGGAAACTGCTCGGGGCCCGGGGTTCGAACCCATTGAGAAAACGCGACGGGGTCAGCACTAAGCCGAAAGGGGTTACGCGGTACCTTGAGCCAAAGCGGGGAGCCGTTTCTGAGCTGGGCTGCTTGGGGTTAGGCGACAGGGCGCGAAGCCTATAAATATGCGAAGGAAGCGCCGAGCAGACGCAACGCAGTACGCAGCGAGGGCGAAGGCGTTGGCTATCGTGTATGCTGGCAATTTTGTGGGGCAGTCCAATCGTTTTGGTGTTGATCAATCTACATAGGGCGCCCGCGGTTATTTTGCCATATCCGGCGGAGGGCTAACTTGCTGGGAGAATTCTTTGCGCTCTCATTCCACGGGCGGGTGACCGCGAAACTCGGCGGGCACGCCAATGCCTTGGCTGGGTGCATGTCTGCCGCCGAGTTTGTAGCGCATCCAACCATGCCAGCACGCTCTTACTTACAGACTTCCGGACCGCCCGCAAGCAGGCGGCGTGGAGGGGAGCGAGGAGGGTGCGCGGGATCTGGAGAGAAATGCAGGTGAAAGTTTTCTTACACATAAAGCACAGGATGGCGCCCCTTCATCATTGCAGCTCCTACCATTAGCTAGAGGCCGCCCTCTCTGTCTGGTCGGGGTGTCTCTCTTGATGTTAGAGTAGCTATTTTCATCATCGCACTTTCCTCCTGCCTTGATCTTCCTACAGGACACACCACTGCTCGATATGCGGTCGCTGCGTGTTGAATATGGACCATCATTGTCCATGGATCAACAACTGCGTCGGATTCTACAATCGCAAATTTTTTATGCTCTTTTAAGGCCATCAGAAGATGAAAGGAAAGTGACTCTCTTTATACAGCAGTAGGTTGCATAAGTAGTCTCGGCCTCAGTGAACTTCGACTTGCCGAACTACTCGTTTAATCAGAGAGGAAAATCACCATGATACTCTCTCTAACAATCCGTGATGTACGTCTGGACATGTCTGCTAATGGTTATCGCATACAGCGTGCCGATCATAATGGACAAGGTAATTCTGATTTTATGATGTTGATGTTCCTTTTAACGTCACTTATGATGTGCTAAATGAGACCAGTATTGAGAATAGCTGGAGCAGTCTTGCATTGTTCAATTAACGGTAACTACCTCCATATTGTCATTCGTCTGCTCGAGCAGGAGTATGATCCTTTTCTGATAACCACTGACACATTTATCTTCTCAATAGGTGTTCCAGTATTGGTCACTCTTCGCGCCAGATAGCGGTCCAGGCTTTGACGTGGGGGGCGGCACCCTCTATGATGTCTTCCAGCTTCGGCATTTGGTATTTTCTATCGCTTGTTCGATCGTTCCCGTGGACGATTTTTATCTTCACAGGAAATAAAACACAATGAATCAGTTTTTACATATACACTCACTACATCTACATCAAAAATGCTGCAAATTTGAGGCCTCACAAGGCATGATTTCCTTTCAACTAGCACCAACTTCTACTTCAGTTCATGTTCTTCGGATGGGGTCTGGCTGCCTTACTCGGTGCAACGCTGACGAATTTTATGCGGTTTCACATGCGCCTGATATCCGAGAATTTCACAACTATCGAAAACCTAGAAAGAGAAGAAGGCCAAAAAAGCAAGTATGACTTGGGCGTAAGAAGAAATTGGGAACAAGTATTTGGGACTAACGTCTGGGCATGGTGGATTCCTTACCATACGGCTTCAAGCAGACCTGTCGGTACTTGTTCTACTTACAACTATGCTCTAACGTAAACATTGGAGGTGGAGATGTTGTTGCGCTGTCTTGTTTTATCTTACGTCGTTGAGTCAGCTGAAATAACAAATTCTTCATGAGCAAATCTTAACTCAAACAAAGGCGACGGCGTCCGATGGCGAGTGCACTACACGCGTGTAGTTGACGAGGACGAAGAGCTAAACGAGGAGGAAGCTGCACAGCATAACAGACGGGGATTCCTCCGAGGATGATGTAGTTACAACTAGGTCATTTTTTAGACATGATTCATGATTCAATGTGAGGAAAACAAACTCAAAAGCTCCATTACAGGACGATTCAGATGCTGAACAAAGCTACTCATTCGAAAAATTATCAATATCACTCTGGTCCAAGGATTAGAGCAAGACTAGAGTTGTGCGCATTCGACTCGACATCAATGGCAATTGTGTTTCTGTCCATTTTCATGTCGATCCATAAAACGACTGACGAGGGTGCTTTTCCAAAGATTGTTGTCACAACAATTGAAAGACCTGTGGTCGAGGCGAAAAGTTGTTGCCACATTCGTAGGTGGTCGACGGCAGCGACGTTAGGAGCTCCTCTTTCTGCATCGAAATTTCTTTGGTGTTAGAAAAATGAGCACTGTAGGATTGAATTCACAAAACGAAAAACTGAAGAGTATTCCTTCCCAATGAAAATGTATCATGAATCAAAAAGATGGTGCATGATGAACATGGAAAGGCTTCGTGAAGATCCTGAACAAGAGTGATCAAGATGTGGAAGGAGCGCTCGTGTACAACAATTCTCTATTCCAGGTGCAACTACAAAATGAACTGCAACTTCTGGAATTCAGCGTTCGCCCTTTTCGCGTTTTCCCTCTTGCCTGGACAGGTTGTACAGCACGTCCAGGCTGTACTGATTGATTTCGACGAGCCACGAAAGGGACCGATATGCGTGGCTACTAGGGTTTCCGACTCCGTCACTTTCAAATGGGAAGAATATCACAACTTACATGAACTCACTGACGAGAACGCGTACAGGTACTGTAGTTTTGCTTCTGCAACCAAGTTGGCAGATGCGGCGCCGAATTCCGGCGTGAGCGTGCGACTAGGTTCTACTCCGACCACCCGGTACTTTTCGTGCTCCAAAATCTGTTCCAGTCATGGACACAAAGTAAGACTATGCGTTGTGGGACCGAGTGAGCCGCTGTCGTGTCCGTGTGCGGGAGGCAGGGAATTTACAGGTGATGTCGTTTCTTCAAAGGCGTCCAGGAGGAACAGCTACTCAAAACTGGATGGCATTTTGTGGTGCGTCGCCTATGTCATGATCTTCTTTTGGACACGTTACATTTCTTTGGCGAAAAGTCAGACTAGGTAGTCACATTCATGATGGCGGACGTGGAAGAAATCTTGACCTGATCTTTCCACTCATGAATCCAAGCAATCAAGATCTCTCAAATGTTGAAAAAAAAATTCCAGATCCCTCTAAGAAAGGTTGAAAAAGACTGAGAATGGAAATCAGTCATATATAGCATGGATCTATGAATTGCAGTTCAGAAACAGAGACAGGTCTCATCAATGAAGGATACCAGTAGACATCAGACAAAGAGTGATGAAGATCTCCAAATCAGATCTTAAATTCAACAAAAGATCTGGCACCAAGATCTCGGGAGAGAGGTAGCAGATCTTCTTGATCTAAAATCATGTGCTGAGGGTTGTGGGAGTGGGGGACGTTGGTGACATTAGACTAAGTAAAGTACTTCCTTAAAAACGAGAGGAACACCGAGAGAAGTAAAAATTATAGTAAAGCGCTTAGACTTACTTCTTGCTATCCTTATTTGGCTACCCATGCGCACACGCACTTACTGTATACTGCAACTGTGCCGCTGCGAATTATTCATCTAGATCAAAACTGAGACTGTGACTGATCATGATGTACTGGCGTTTTTCTTTCTTCTCAAAAACAAATCAGAGTCTACTTGTTGGATAAATTGGCCTCTCAATATTTGGACTACGCGGGAAAGCCTTTCGAGCTCAACCGCGTCTCGTCTTTGCACTTATTGAGTCGAACAAATATCTGAATCTGAGTTCAACGAATAAGTCGTGGACTCTTAATCTTAACTGCTCAATTACTTTTTGCACATCGTAATTACGTTATCGCATAATTAGTATCTATTATCCAGTTTGTTCTTCCAACGGATTTCAATTCTTGGAGAACTAAGCCCTTGTATTCATTGCAAGTGCACGACCGGTTCATAAAAAAGTCCTAAACCTATAAAGATGAAGCAGTTTCTCTTGCTCTGTGGTGCGACCGCTGTGGTTGTCAGTGGTTCAGCCGCTCCTGCTGTGCCAGTTGTACCCTCTCCTTTCGTGAATGGCGAAGCCTTCCTAGGAAAACCCATTGAAGAGGGATCTGGCAACGCTGTGATTCCCAAAGGCTGGGCCGATCCAGAGGATCAGAGTGGATGGGATTACCGTGTCTTGTTCAAGACTAAAGGCGGAAACGGTGCAGACAAGAATTTTCTTGAGCGGGATATCTTTGAAGTTTATGATTTTCATTTTCGAGAGGGAAAGGAGCTTTATTTTATCATCTTGTTGTAGTTCTACTTTGTTCTCAGGTCTATTTCTGACAGAAGAAGTAATATCCGTGGAAATCAAGAACCTTCACACAGACAGGCACAGGAATGAGTAGGTGTACTTACGTAGAAAGTTGCTCTTAGATGAAACTTCCCAGCACATTGATTTCCCTGAAACAAGAACTCCCTACTTCCAGTTCCAGTTACCTCTTCTAATAAAAGATCGATCTGCAAGCATCTCGGGAAGCCAGGACTGCTCCAGGGTCAACTGGAGCTGCAGGCCAAGGGGTTGAGAAACAACAGCGTCAGCGTTTCTTGGTGCTCCGTCACACCGTTTTGTCCCCGAAAGTCGTTGCTGCTATTGGAGATTTCAAGCTTGTTAATGGGCAAACGAATACGCAGATTCCCTTTGGCAGTGGTGCAGACATTGAAAACGCTATCAAAGAGGAAAGTGGAAATGGTGCAGCGACTTTAGCACAGACTTTGGGCAAACTCAAAAAGTGGAATTTGACTTTTCCCGAACGCGTGGCGAACAATGCTGCCAATGGAGATCCGCAGTTATCTGAGCTTTCCCTCAGAATCGGTCGTGGTCGTGGAGTTTCGAATACAGTTGTTCCTGTTTCTCCGTCGGTTGCTGGATCGACACCTACAACCACTGCGCTGAATGTTGTTCCCAACAAAAAGAGCTTCGCAGAGCTTGTTTGGGACACCTATTCCTTGCCTTTGCGCGACGAAGTTGAGGGCGCCGCAGGTGGTGTCAACATCTTGTCTTGGTCTCCGACGCAACGAGGCTCCGTTGTCCTCTCCCACTTGTTGGTGAAACTCGAACTACCCTCCACGCCTGCTCCTTTCGTGGCAAGTAGCCCAACTGACGAGCCTCAGTGTGTGAGTGGGAAAGCTCTGTCTATTGGCGGTGTAGTCGAGTGGCGAGTTGAGGAGGGCAAGACCGAATTGTCTTTCGTCAAAGGCCTGGACTCAAGTGCGACTCAGCTGTCGCTGCCACGTGGCATGCGCACCACTAGGTCATCTGCTACAACAACACGAAGTAGCACCTTCCCTTTGAAGAACATCTATCACCCCTCTGACGTGTTCATGTTGCAGATGGCGGACAAGGAACAGAAGAGGTTGGGCAGCGTCGCTCTGCGTCCAGTCCTACTTCAGTTGGTGCCCGATCAAATCTTCCCTGAGCCTGCACTTTTATCTTCTACAACTTCTTCATCTGGACAGGGACAGCTAGCACAACATGCACAGCAACAAGCACAGGAGTCTGCAACACAACAACATCAGCAAGGACAGGTTTCCCATCAACAAGCTTCTGCGGTTTCTTTTTCCAAATCTTCAATCCGCGTCGTAGCTTACACCAAATCTAGATTGGCGAAGTTGTCTTCTCGTGCGAATGCCAATGATCCTTCGCCTTACCTCGAGCCAATTCACCTTGATTCTCTTAACCTCCCGGACGGCGTTGAAACCGTTTTGGTCGTACAACTCCAAGCCGATCCAGCCTTCAAAGTTCCCTTCAAGAGAAAACTCGGAGGATCAACTGAGGAAAACGATCCAACAATCGTGAAGATGGCTGCGTCGTTTGCCCAGTTGCCGGATTTGAAAAGACCGATTGGCTTTGGTAGGTCCAAAATTTACAACAACGATGATGTAGTCGATTTCGACCCACAACAGGAGAAACTCTTTCTGCGCACAGAGGAGGCTAGAAAGAACTGGAAGACCACGAAGCCGACCGACACTGCCAGAGGCAGCGACATCGAGATGGCTTTCAAACAGGTGTCCGACTCTGACCGTTGGGTGAAATCGTCCTTGCATCCCACTATGTGGGCGTTTTTTGGAGTGGTCATCTTCTTCGCGTTTGTTATCGCTGTCAAAGAGCGACCGGATTGCAGCACGGAAGAGGAAGAAGACTCGGACGTTGTCGATGTCGAAAATGAAAAACGTAATACTTTTGATTATACTCCCGAGTGCATTTCTTGCTGCAAATTTACTTACAGTTTAACAAGTACTAGAAACATATTTATAAATATTTATATGTACAGATTCTTGATATTATACAAGCACAGAAGGGTAACATCCTGCTAAATTTATTTCCAAACCCCCACTTTCTCACATCACTCACTACAGGTACGACCGTCTCTGACGGCTTCCGCCGATTCCAACTTCTTTACCTCTTGGGTTGGTACTTCTGCATGTTTTCCGACTGGTTAAACGGCACGGTCCTGTTTGAGGTGATAGTATTCGAGTACGGTTGGTCCGACCCATCGCAGAAGAGGCATTACTTCAACGAACTAATGGTCTGCGGTTTTTTGACGGCTGTGCTTTTAGGAATGTTCATTGGTTCCGTTGCAGATACGATCGGCAGAAAGGCAGCCTGCCTCACTTACTGCGTCATGTACTTGTTTACATGTTGCCTTCTTGTTGTATCTTCTTAGCTTTGATCCTTATTGTCTTTTTCGATACTATCGGACCACACGGACTACTTTGGATAAGAAGTTGCATTCATCATTCATCTAAACTAGACTTACTTCCTAGTTTTCAGCACAAAGAATTACCTCAACATCCTCAGTTTGTCTTATCGTACTTTCCCCACAGGAACGGACTAATGGCCTTGTCGTATTTTTTCAATTCGTATTGGATCCTCGCCGCCGGTCAGTTCGCAAATGGTATTGCGACTCGTTTGCTCCATTCGACTTTCGAAGCTTGGTATGTGAGCGAGCATATGAAGCGAGGCTACAGCGGGAGACGTCTAGGTTCCACCTTAGGTTGGATGTACTTTGGTTCGTCCTTGTCTGCCATTCTCGCTGGCGTAGTATCCCAAGGACTGCAGAATTTGAACGGCAACCCGTCGATCCCGAATGCGGTGGGCAGCAGTGGCGATGGTGACATTGGATCCTACACTGGTGGAAAGCCCTTTAGCCACATTTCCGCACATTTTGGCGGTAGATTGAACGTGTACGCTGCGATGCTCGTGTGTCTGGCCATAGGCTTTTCCATCATTCTAGTGGGGTGGAGGACAACCAAAGACAACCAAGGCAATGACCAGTACGATGGGAAAGAAGACAATGAAAAGTCCGCTAAAGTCGCGGCTGCTGGTGATATCGACGACGAAGATGAACAACCACTCTTCCTTCAACAATGTAGTTCCTCAGGTCAACCAAGGTCGCGAGAGTCTGTCATCAGTGTTGATGCCGGACATCCTCTTCAGCGAACATCAATCTCTTCTTCCAACAACAAGTGTCTCCTTGCTGCAGCAGGTGGCAATGAGAAAACCACAGGCAGAGCGAGTGCCATGTCAGTAACCCCTAAAAGCCAAGACGGTCAAGAAGCAGATGATAAAAACCAGCCACCAGGCGTGTTGCGCTCCATCAGTTTAGCGATGCGACACATGACTATTACTGACCGACGCGTCCTTTTAGTTGGTGGAGGCGTCGCCCTGTTTGAAGCGTCGCTCTACATCTTTGTCTGCAACTACTGCGACACTTTTTTTGTGGTGGATGGATACCTAAACATCCCAGCAAGCGATCATAAGTTCAGTCAGCCGCTCGTTTTTTCGACATTGCTCAGTGGTACTTTTTACATATTGATTTTTGTTTCATCTCTATTTGTTGGGACTGCTTCTAGTCCCAGCTAAAAACGCGTATAAGAACCAATGTCTTTCAACAGTATACTTCATCGGGCCCGATGGAAATATCCTCCACCTGCTTACAACAGCCTTCCCTTGTTATATATAATTACCTCGTCCAACAAGTACAGCTAATTATTAGTAGTTGTCGTTGTCGTACAACTTCTACAATCCACCAAATAACATAATCCACAGGTTTCCTCATCGGCAGTTGTTTGTGCAACGTTTTCGTTGGCAAGGGGTTTACTGTTAAGGGAATGTCATCAGGCATTTTGCTTTTGGGAGCTCTCGGCCTCTCCTTTCCCGCAATCTGTGTCAAGGTTCTCGAAACTCAATTTGTGGAAGCTAGGAAGCTCCTCTACTTACCGGGAACCGAGTTCGACAACAGCAAAACCATATTGACGCTGCAGCTGGTACATCTACATTTATAACCTATGTATTTGCTCGCAGAATATGCATATTAGTTCCCTCTGTTGCTTCAACAATTGAGGATGAGTATGAATCTCACTCTAGTACATGATCTACTTTACCAACCACTACAGTTAATCTTCTTCGGTTTCTTCCTGTTCGAGATGGCTGTCGGAATGTACTTCCCAACGATGGGAGGGGTTAAGGCTTCCCTTGTCCCAGAAGAAATCCGTGCTACGCTGTACAACATCTTTTACATTCCCTGCAATATCCTCATCTGCTTGGTCTTGTGCTGGCACTTTCTTTCGGGTGCCAGACTCTCCCTCTTCGCCAACCTTTCTGTGGCTATCGCGGCTTTGGGCATTGGCTTCGTTTTGATGCTCACTTTTTACCTGTTGGCAAGGAAAAACGACGAGCAAGAGTCAGATGCGGAAGCGGAGGGAGAAGATTAAGGCACTGGAAGAGGTAGAGGAGGAAGAAGAGTTGACCTTTCTGTTATTTTTTTCAACATGGGTGACTACCTCGTTGAGGACTGTGTGTGAAGCATCGTCCTTGACCCAGGAAGATACATTTGGAGGAAGAAAGAGGTTTGATGCAAGCCTGTCTGAAGATACATGGATGAAGCCCGACTAAACTAGATGATTGAGCCTCGTGCTGGGAGCCAAAAATCGCATCTAAGAAGAAGCCGGTCTGCAGTTTGTAGACGGAGAAAAGCAGAACGACAAGTACTATCAGTTGCAAGAGGACCAAATGCTCACTGATGAAAGCGATTACCAACCTGCAGGCAAAACGCGTCGATAGACGATCGACGACATTGGTATGGGACCGGTTTCTCTCGTACCTAGGTTGTGGAGATCCTCTTAAAAACTGATGTCGACGAGGCGCAAGAAGAAATCTTTTTCTAGGTATTGAATGAAACAACCGTGTGAAAAGACAGAAATAGAAATCTAGCGAAAAATTTAAGAAGATTGTCCTGATCTTCATGATTTCTAATCTACACTTAAATAATTGTTCTTGACGTTGTTCTAGAGAAAGATGAAGAAGTCAGGTGGTATCCATCGTGATTGAAGGAACTTTACAGTATGAAAAACACACAGGACGAGACGCAGGAGGAGTAAGAGTATGAACATCAAAAGAATTATGAATCACATGACATAGATAGAGGTAGGATCATTATGGCGCACAGACACTTCAATAGTGGCAATTCATAACGCATAAAAATTGCCAAAGAACCATACATGAAGCATGTGGTGGGCTTCTTTGCCACACTGAATCTGAAAGTTCGTTTACCATTTATAAGCTCTTCCTGCTACGAACAAGAACATGACCTCATATTTTACTCTTTGGCCCCATGATAAAACAAGATCTAAAGATGCGAACTATTTTTCCACGAATATCCCTCCTGCACAAGCACATGCAACACCTTCAAGAGCCCTTTAATCGCATATAGTAAGCCAACTCCAGCCTATACGTGGTCTACAAAATACCGAAGACCTTGTGTTCCTTCCTTACTGGTTCTTGACACGATGATCTAGTTGGTTCTTCAAAATCAGAGAGAAGATAATCACTTTAATTGTAGTATACTTAGGAATTCAGATAAGAGAGAGATGAATATTCGGCCTGAATACGTGAAAATTGCCGTCCGTGAACAAAAATAGCTTTTCTTCCGCAATGTTCCGGTGCTGTACTAGTCGGTCATAATTTCTCGATTATTTTCTTAGATGAACAAAGGATGACGTGATCAACGGACAAATCCTGAGACGATGAAAGAACAGCTCTGTAAAGAGTCCCCAATCCCGCCTGTGATATTCCTTGTTCCTTTTTATTTGCGATTCAGCCCCCCGCATTCAAATTTGTATTTTTGTTTCATTGTGCAGCTCCCTCATGGCTTTCATTGCTATTTTAATCGAATTCACTTGCTTAGCAGCATTATTGATTAAATATAGACATGGTTACTCTCAATCTATCTGTCTTTTTGGTTCATCCTCAACACCCAGGCAGTTGAGTGAAGAGGAAACTCCGACCACTTGATGAAGATTACTTCACCATTCGTAAGTAATTAGTTATACTCTTTCTCCTTGTCCTAATATTCCTTGGCCTTGTAAGAACTTTATAGGGAAGTAGAAAAAATAACATGTCGTTTTTCAGCAGATCCCGTTCTCCTGTTCCACTGCTCTCTTCTTCGTCTCACGAAGAACTAGTGCATGATGAAAACGTTTTCGTTGGTGTATCTACAGGACTGCAAACCGAAGACGACGACCTCCTGTCGCATCTTCCGAGCGGCTATTTTAGTACAAGAACAGGAGTTCCACGTGGTGGAGAAGTTCAGCCCCTACGGTACCCCGGAGGTGGTCCGCCTACAAGCGGACTAGAGGAAGCCTTGCAGACGGGACAGTTGCTCTTGAATCTGACTCTCCTGCGTCCGGTGTTGATGGCTGCGGAATGCACTAAACTAGCTGCCCAGGTGCGACAGGAAGTGGAATACATCAGACGAGAGATGAATCAGAATCAAGGTCGACCTTTTGTTATGGAATCAGTTGGCTTGTGATTTTCAATCAGACATCTCTAAATTTGATGAATCATCGTGAACGTAAGTAGCTGTAGAGCGATAGTTTTAGAAGTTCTGCTTCTTCACATAATAATAACAAAAACAAGTACGTGGCAGTAAAACCGTCGATGTTGTAAGTCAATGCAAGCGCCCTTGCTGTTTTTAGATCTCCTATCTCCGAATCCACCTCTAGCTCTACTTGCACCTTTCATACAACTCATGGTCGCGACGTATTCGTCGCCCCCAGCCTCCACGTCACAAGCAGGATTTGCTTCCACGTTTGGTGACATGTTAACCGCAGTGCGAGAAGAAGTGGGTCTGGTACGAGAAGCCGAGAGCGATCGGGAGTTCGTTGAGCGTCGCGCACACGAACTACGCCAAAAACTCGATATGCATGCGACAGACCTTCGGGAACGCGCGCAAGATGCTTTTCGACAAGTGCAAGAGACTATTTCATCCAAACGAGGAGCTAATAGACTGCTCTTCTCGTCGGAGGACGAGGTGTCACGTAATCAGGGAAACGAGCCTGAAGAACCATTTCTCGGAGGATCGCTTTTTCCCGGAGGAATGTCAGGCGGAGGCGGCTCTTCTTCTTCCTCAAGCAGTAATTTCACTCCGACCACCGAAGAAGCTCTCCAAAATGCCATTTACTCTGTCGTCGGCGCAAATGCCTTGTTCTTTGCCTGTTGGCGAGGCGCTTCTTCAAGGCTCCTTGGGCCTCATGTTCGAATGCGAATGGAGGATTTCTGCTCTCGGCATTTTCTCTGTAGTAACCGTCACCTCAGCACACTCCCGCAAGCCTTGTACACGCCACTGACGGCGTCGTTGTCGCATCAAAGGGGCATGCACTTTCTCTTCAACGTTGGAGCACTGTGGATGCTGAGCAACCTCCTCTGTTCCGACTTGAGGGTGTTTGACAGCGTCGCGAGGGGCGTTAATCAAGGAGAATTCGATAGAAGGCGACGACGACGAACAAAAGAAGATGTTAGTGCCGGAGACAATCTTTTTGATGCCTTTCCTTCTCCTCTCGCCTTCCCGAACTATCCAACGACAGCCGCCAGCGAGTACCTGAAGTTCACCCTTGCAACCGGGGCTCTGAGTATAGTAGCGCATTGCGCCTCAGGGGCAAAACGTGCGGTGATGGGCGCGAGTGGGACCTTGATGAGCATGATGACGCTTGCTGCCCTAGTGGATCCGACGCGACAAATGATCATGTTTTTTCCGATTCCAGGATTGCAGTTATCCATGTCCCAGATATCCGATGTGAATATCTTAGTCAACAGCGTCATGGCCCTAGCTGGGTTTGTGGCGATGCGGGGGAGAAGACCTGGAGGCGGGCTCTTGAGCAGCTTTAGTAGAGCAGGTAACTTTAACTCATGGAACTACAGGACATCCCAACGACAAGGACTAGGACAGCAAGGGGGACTATCCTCGTCAACTCCATCCTCTCCCTCTAGCGAGTCCAGCGTAGCTTGGACGTCCCATATGGCAGGAATAGCTCTAGGATTTGCCTATTACTGGTACGGAAAGAATCGACTTGGTCTATGGAAGCATTCGCCGGACGTCAGTCATACGCATTCTTGGCCCTACACCAGCCGAGAGTGGAATCGAACGTATGCGCAGATTGAGGTTACGGCATATTTTTAGGTTATACTCAGTCACTCGATAAGGAGCATGGAGATGGACAACCAGGAGGTAACATTTTTCCTATAAACCATCATATTATTTCCATAAACCGGATTTAAACTACAAAGCATAAACAAAAAACGTCTACTCCATCCTTGTCGTGATTCTTCTACTATGTCTAATCGCAACTTTAGGGATGGCATTGCTGGCCGTCGCGATCCATTGCCATTCTACAATAGCAGAACAACTACTTCGGAATCCTTTTACTATTCCGCCGGTGCAGGGGCTCCCTATGTTGTGGAACGAAGGACAAGCTTTTTTTCTTTCTGATGCAAGGCTTTTAGTCTTGTCAAACAAAAGATATCCATATCAATGATATCATGAAAAAATTACCTGTCCTCCAGGCAAAGCATTCGCCGCACCGCTACTACCCCTGTTGTTCTTAAAGCTAGTATGTCTCTACAAAGATCTCATACGTACCAGGAAGCTTTGACGCACATTACCATGAGCCACCAAGGTCAGAAAGATGAGAGATGAGTAGGAACGTTTGCACTTTTCAGGCTGAGTGTAAGAAAGATGAATGTGAAAATATACTGGCCTCAGCAAGCGAATTATATCCCTTGAAACGGAAAAAAGCAAAGCTTATCTCCCTTCATCTCAGAGAAGAAAAGCCATGTTTTCCTCTCTCGTCGGTGCGAGCGCGTTTGTATCGCAGCTGTGGAGTGGGGCGCCTGATGCAGCAGGAAAGATCTCGGACGTGGGCGTAGTTGGTTCTGAAAAGATCTCTGATCTTCTGGTACCGGCTACTGTTGCAGTAAGAGAAATCGAAGAAGACGATCTTGAGCGCATCAAAATGAATCCTAATGTGCTGGGAGATGAAGAAGACTCTTCATGGAGCCGGACCGCAGATGAAGAAATTGCAGGCTCAGTAAAGCGCGACGAAATAGAGGTGGAGGCAATATTAGGAGCAAAAGACGGCATAGCAAATAGCACAGCGAGGAACATCGCTATTCCGAAAGATGACGTCGACATACACGTATCAGATGATGAAAGAATTCCATCTCCAGCTGCAGCGTCCGCTCCAGCCCCAGAAGTAGCGGAAGGGGAAAGAGCAGAAAACAATGGGGACACTATTACAACTTCATTTTCTTCTAGCTCAAAGAAAGAAAGTGAGGCTTCATCTGCTTTAAAGGCCAACGAGCCGCAACGGGCGGAAGAACATGAACAGGAACTACCTTCAATCGAAGTAGAACAAAAGCAGGTAAAAGAAGGTGAGACCACTCAGCCAAAACTACGTGAAGATGAGAGAGCGCAAAGACAGGAAACATCATATGATCCCCCACCATCACCAGCCGCTCCAGTGGTGACAACTACGCCAGTGCCTCCATCAGGCAATGACGTCTTTTACATTACGGAGAGCAAGGTGGGTGCTACCATCGACATAGCCGCTCAAATAGCACAGCTCACAGCTGGAGGAACGGTAAAACCTAGTAATCCTACACCTACACAAGGAAGATCTACTTCAAAGACAACAACTACAAACAGTGCAGGTGAGCACTCGAGGCAGCAAGCAGAAGTGTCCGAGTCTACGGCCACTTGCGGCAAATCGTCATCTAGTACATTTTCGGGAGATGATACAAACAGTATTTTTCATCCACCTCAGGGACGAAGTTGCGCTCGAGCGCAAGTACGCAGCACAACAGATAGCATTAACGATGAGAACGCGGATAGTACTGGACAACCGCGAGCAGCATTATTGAAGGATGCTGATACAACATCAGTAGATCCATCTAGTTCTACTTTTCCCAGTGCCACGTCCTCCGATTCAGCGGAACAAGAACAACAAGATGATGATGAAGCACCTTCAATCGAAGAAGAAGTAGCGTATTTCGACCTCACGCAATACCTTGACCAGAAGGGCAGCAAGAATCTTCAAAACACCTTTGGCGTGCTTGGCCCGCCTCAAGCTTCGGAGATACTTGATAAGTACATCCTACAACCAAACAACACCTTCGATCTCGTTTATTTGGCGGAACCACTAGCCACGACAAAGGTGGCTGGCTACTCCATTTTCTCGCAGATAGGCGATGTCGCGATACGCCAGACGCCCCCAATGGATGAGAGGATTGCACTGCTGTACGTTCCTATATTAGCTCAGACGAGGACGAGCACAGGTACGGGACAATATGGTGAAGACGTGGAGGCTAGTGAAGACGTGCGGCAGATGAATGACGGCGTTGTTAATGACGATTATGGTCATTTGCGTGTAACCTGATCAAAATCATGTGCAAGTGCATCCTTGTTACTATTAATTACGTTTTTTACAACTGACACTGAGATCATTATGTTAATATGAACTATTAATTACGTTTTTTACAACTGACACTGAGATCATTATGAAAACTAGATTCTTGATCCAGCACTCTAACATTCGAGAATATCGCATGTTGCTGAGACGATTTTCCTGAGCCTTGCGAGTACCTATTCGCAGATGCTTCCGCCTGGAGGAGTGACTGTTACTTATCTGAAACGCGCGGCAGGGGACGTGGGTCAAAGTTAAGGGTATAGTCGCTTACCGTTACTCAAGCAGAACAACTTGGCAGGTTGTACTTGTACTCTCCACTTCGACTATGAAACGAAAAAGTGAACTCACACTCAAGGAATTGGCTACGATTTAAGTAGGAAAGTAGCCACTTTTTTTGAGTGTGAGCGCACTTTCTTCTTTCATATCCACAGCTCCACTTGTTCTACAGTAGTACTTGCACAGCTCCACTTCCACTGGCACACTGAAAATTATTTCATCAAGCTTCCTCTAAGAAAAACTGCTCAGCGATCTCGGTGAGGGCCTTTTCTACGTGGATCGGCGCAGCGGGGAAGCACAGAGGAACTTGTTTTCAAATCATCAGCACTAACGCTAGAACAAGGCTTGCACAGAGTAACAGAACCAATGAGGCATTCAGTTTGAGCAGGTTCAGGAAGTTGAATCTATTTCGAAGACCTACAACTTCTAGCGGTGGATGTATCAAAGAAAAAGAGATAATATGTTCCAAAACCAAATGCAAAAGCAAGAGTCTAAGTCTCCGCGTTATTTCTTCGCGACGGAGCTTCCACGTGGGTCTTCCTCGTTGTCGTTCGTTAGCATTCCTGCAAAATGGTTTCGCGTGTCATCTCGAGGAGTCGGTACGTCATCAATCTATTGATCGGTTTTTACTTTGGAAGCTCGTCGCAACGGAAATCTGTTCATCATTGTGATTGTTTCGGGAGAAATGCCACTGTAGAGAGAGTCTGTTTAGAACTTCATCAAGAGAGTCGACTGCCGAGTTTGCGAGTCGGAATACATCGTCGGACGCGAAAAGTAACCTTTGTCGTTGATAATTGATTTTGAAAAAATCGTCCCAACCCCGAACCCAACTCCAGCAAGTTTGCAGTAGTCAGTAACCCCCGCCACGCCCACGTCCCGTTTCATCGGTCTTCTACTTGTGAAGTCGAGGCAGTGCTTCATGCTTCTCGAACCCTGAATTCTCTCAAAAGTTGAAATTTGATGCTGTAGGGCACCGGTTTTTGTGCATGCTTCCGCGAGTAGGAACATGTTTATAGAAGTACTGTACAGTACTTGACAAGGCTGTATGCACTAGTAACGCTAACAGCGGCATTGCTAGTTGTATGGAAGAAGTTAATTAGAACAAGGACAAGCGCTATCTTTGCTTGATCAAGATAGAATCAAAGACCGAAGAACATGACCACCCCAGCAGCACCGCCATCACCGGCAGGTGCGAATAGCACCGCACCTGTCCCGCGCACCAACAACAATGCCCAAATACCAAGAAATACCCGAACGCCTCCTGGCGTACAACAAGCCACATTCCTGTTACCTCCGATAGGGCTAACGAAGCCGGTCCAAGGTGGTGCCTGGACTAGAGCACCGGAGTGCACTGAAGAAGAGAAGAAAGTGAACCAGGCGATTCGCGCAAAGTACTACACTAGTACGCGAAAAGGAATGGGCAGTTCTTTCAGCTTCGGGAGCAGTCAGTCGACATCGCAAATGCTTGGTGGAGGAGGCAGTATTACTCTACTCAGCTTAATAAAACAACCTACTCCTTCTAGTTCTACACGTACACCTACCCTATCTCTAAGCCTAACAACTTGCCCTTTACATCATGAACTCCAGGTAAGCAGACAATGACGACACAGAGTGCATCGAAACACGCCATAAGTACGAGTTCCGGCGTGATGACATCGACACAAGCACTTCCTGCTGGTAGTCATGTGAGCTCTGCTCTTTCCAGGACAGCTCCTGGTGGGGCGTTGACTTCTCAAGCAGCTGCTCATGGCTCCACCACAACAGTCAGAACTACTACGAGAGGGAGCCCCAGAGCAGGCTCCCCACCAGGCACAGAGCAAGTCGGAGGCAGCTCTTCGAGTACCAGCCGCTTTCCCTTAGTCCCCCAACCAATTGTCGGATACGAAAATTTCACGTTGGAACAATACGAGAAGATCTACTCCGAACAAGCGAATGACGACCTCCAGGAGGAAAGGCGAAGGAAGCAGATGCAAGCTGGTCCCGTCGCTACATCTTCGAGTAGTGGAGAGGAAGAGGGTGGCAACGGCAAGTCGAAAGGTGGAAAAGAAGGCTTCAGCAAGAAGTTTGAGAGGATAAATGTCCAAGATATAGTAGGCTCTATGGAACGAGATATGCGGAATATCAGGGAGTTCAAGAATTTCCAACAGTACTTGAAGCAAGGTGGGGCGGCGAAGGAGAACAAGGGAGAAAATTATGGAGTGGCTTTAGAGCATGATGAACTTGATTTTGAACATCGATGTGAAGTAAGATTACAAAAAAGAAAATTGACTCCTCTAATGATCACAATCCTCCCCAGCAGACGACTCAGGAGGTGAAAGGACTGGCACGTCGGGTGGACGGAGGCCGTCACCTGACGGAATGCAGGAACCCTACGACGCAAACAAGCATAAATCGAAGCAGGATATTGTACTATAGTTAAATAGCTTAGGTCGTTAAGCTACGGCTATCACCAAGCGAATCTTGAAGATCTTATAGATACTTTGGTGCCTTCTTCTTGTAATATTTTGTGTACCTCTACTATGAGTATGACGTCTGACAACCTTAGAAGATACTCAAAAAATTCTCCATTCCCCACGTCGACGTTTCCTCACGCAGCGGACTCTTGCTTTGCAGGTGATGTTGCACGTCGACGAGCGTCGTTCTTTGAAACCTGCCGTACTCGCGGAATTGCAGTTGCGGGTTCCTTTTCTAGACTACAAAACTCCTGGCAGCAGTGAAAAAATAGAGCTCGTAGACATCAGGAAGTTGGCGCAGAATGCCATGTGCATGGGCATGAACGGGAAAACGCCATCATTAGAGCAATTGATGGTTGCTTACAGGAGAAAGAAAAAAGACGAAGAAGCAGAGGCAAATGGGAGTTTGGATTATGCTGGAAGCTTTATTGATAGTACCTCCATAGGGCGGGTCATTTACAGTTACAGTGAAGTAGGAAGTGCAGTTGTGCTTCAGAAGTTTCAGGAGGAGAATCAGAATGTGATTATGCATGCACCAATCTAAATTCATCGAAGTACTTACGACAAGGAATACGAATAGTAGGCGAGTAATAAGTTTTACTTTTAGAAGTTTTTCTCTTAGTATTATAACATGATACTGTCTGTGTCCTTTACTCGTCTTCCTCCTCCTCCTCCTTCATCCCTCCGATACAATCGATTTTTTGAAACGGAACAAGAGTTCTGTGCATGCGCACAGTAGGAGTGGTTTGGTTCCTAGGATATCCCAGGTTGAGGATGACGAGTGGTACATTGAAGCCTGGTGGAGACGGAAGTATGCGTTTAAAGTTAAGGCTTTGAGGACACGGCCATACTCTCTCATATCATGTGTACAGTTGCGTCCCCTTTCGCTTTCGTAACAAATAGAGAGTACTTGTTTCAACAAGTAGACACAGGGTACTTAGTCACTGTCACAATTTACCCCGTATTAGAAGTTCCCTCTTAGAAGTTCTTTGATATCGGTGTTTACTCTACGTCTAGGTCTTGTAATACAGTCTAGTACATCTCTAGCAACTACCCCAAGCTGCTTCATCTAATATGCACAAAATCGAGCATAAGCATGCAGAGCGTCGACTAGTCAAAAAAGAGAAGCGAGATGGAGAGATGGCGATTTTACGGGAATTGGAAGCCCAATTTTTGGCGAGTCAGCGAGCATGGATAACGACCGCAGCGATGCATAAGTTCTTATTGTCGATAGACGAAATACGGAATTCTAAGGAGTTGAGAAGAATCAAGATGATGAAGAGGAAAAAAGAGAAAAAAGAGAAAGCGGCGGCTGGTATAATTACTAATTTTTTCGAGTACTTACTACTTTGCAGCAAGCATTCCTGATAATGGTGAAGTTTTGATTTTTGCCGTGAAGTTTGGATTGTCTAAGTCCAACAACATGACAAAAATTTCACCTGTCTCTCAACTTTTCAGTGGCAGACGAAATCGAAGGAGGTGAAGAAGGTGCCGCTAAGCCTGCTGCAGGTGGAGAGGAGAGTGATAAGGATAGTGACCTAGAGCGCGCACAGAGGACGGACTATTACTACTCCATCCTATTCTACGCTACGAAATTCCTCCGAGTCCTCTACAGGCATCGGATGAAGAAGGAGGCGATGACACGCATTATATGGCTCTTTCGGATGGTGGAGACGAGCAGCGCTATGAAAAGAGCGGTATTATCTGTTCGCCTTTGTAAGTAGCTGGTGGACGAGTTAATGTTACCATCTGCAAGTGTAACTGTATATTCATCATTGACGACGCTGTTGTAGTTGTTGTGTCAACGTGACATTTTTCTTTTCGCTATGATCCATATCCTTCTTTCTCTCCTCCACTTCATCAGCACTCTGTCATCAACGTTCTAGGTCGTCCGCTTCGCCACGACCCTCCGTTCCATCCCAGTCCGAGCGAAGATCTATCTAGCAAACAAGCGAAAACGCAATGCAGAGATGGAGGAGCAGTGGGAAATCTACGAAGACGACATGCTAGAAGAGCACTTTAAGAAGATGCGAGCAGCAGTCGTGCGGGAGGCGATGCAAGCCAGAAAGAAAAGCACTACGTCAGCCAAAAAAGGAGACGATACCATGATGGAGATATTGGAAGGAGGAGGTACATGGTTTTCTTTTTGCATCATGCTAATACCTCCTTCTCGTCCAATGTACTACAAGAATCTTCCAATTATTGTTCTCCAACTCCATCTTAAAAAACAAAACCGCGCACGGACGACAGGCGGCGTCAACTGGCGTCAATTCCGCGTTCCCACTCATCTGCGAGCAAGTTGGATCCAACAGAGCTACATCGAGATGATGTTGTCTAACCAGAGAGCGGCTGCCCAGTTGTACAAGTCTATCAAACGAAGCTACATGGAGCAAGCTCAAATGGTGAATTTTCTACGGAGAATGGGCGTCGAGGAGGATGAAGTGGACAAGGCGAAAAGCGAGATGGAACCTGGTATAAGAACTCCCAGTTGTACAACTGGTGTAGTAGTACTAGACTTCTATTATAATTCCATTTTAGTCTTAGAAAATAACAACTTGAGGTACTAGAAGTAAGTTGTAAGTTGCAACAGAGCTGTACTACAGTGTAGGAGGACAGTACCAGGAGTAGGAGTGTCTAGTGGTAGTTGTGCCAGAGTTTAGGTTCTGTACTTCCAGTTGCTACAGCTTTCCATGATCAACAACATGATGAAGATTCGCCATCCCACTCGTCCTGAGTTATAGATACAACCCATCCTCCATAACCATCCATCCATCCCTCTACAACAGAGTACAACCCCTCGATGGTGAAATTTTGGCATCTGCAGGATGAGCAGATCAGAGACGCGATTTCCAAGATTATCAACGAGCACTGTCGCGAATGGGTTCAGCATCCCCTTTATCTGGACGAGTTTGAGTTGGAGAAGAGAGGTCAACATCTCCAAAAACCAAAACGATTAGAACCTGACCACGAGTTGACAGCTACGAACGGCTCAGCTGGTGCAGAAGGTCCTTCTGCGAATGTGGAAAGGATCGATGATCCTCGTGACAGAGTGGTAGACGATGACGGCGACAGTGAGCTTGATTGGTTTACTGACTCGAAGAACATCATCAACTTCAAAGAGCCAGCTCCAAGATGACCATAAATCGGGACTATTTTTTGTTTTTTCAAACGATTCACTTTCACTACCTTCAGTAGAAAAAAAATTAAAATAAGTAGAAGTACTAGGATATTCACATTTATTTCGAGAGTTACTAAGAGCAATAGAATACAATAATGAGTATCAATATGCATGGTAGACGAGGATATGTTGAAGACCTACCACATGATCTTCATACATTACTTGGGAGTGGACTTGTTACAACTACTGAGCTATATTTCTACTACTTCTTCTTCTATTTTTGACGCGTCACAGAGGTCAGGGTCACGTCCAGGTCATTTATATTAACTTAGTTCACAAGCAGATTCTGCTTAGCAGAAGCACAGAAGTTCATCAATCGCAGATACTTAGCAGAAAAAACATGTTGTACTAATTCTAGATCTACTCCTTACTCGAGTCGTTACCGTGTGAATGCATTCCTATTGTTACAGGACGAATCGTTACAGAATGAAACTAACGCGAGTCAGTTCTTAATCTATCCCTATCTTAGAGTATGCCGATTTTGAATGATGCCGATAGTTAGAGGTTTCTGTTTTTCCAAACCCAAAGTGAAAGAATGAATGAATGAAATTGAAATTAAATGAAAGAACCCACCAGGGGCAGGGACGCGGTAATGATCGTGAACCACTACATCGGCGAAATAGACTACAACAGATACAACCTACAACATCATCACTAGTATTCAAACAATACAAGATGAACAACGTCACAAAATTTGTGAGTGTACAACAAGAGGAAGAGGAGGACAAGAAGAAGAACACCGCATAATTACTTTTACAGACAAGAACAAAAACAGACATCGTCCTGATGAAGACAGAAGCCTTTTCTTTGTAATTCACTTGTTGAACCCCCAACATCAACATAGAAGCACATTGTGTGCCTCGCATAGACCAGTACCATTCAGCCTCGATGTTAAAAGCCGATGTAACGTTTCTTGGCACTACCGATAGTGCAGCCTATGTCTTCATGGCAAATGGAGTAGACTAAGAAAAAGAGGGATGGCAAGTTTTTTTTCGAGTTTTTTCGGCGACACAAGAAAGTAAGTAAACCTTGTAGAAGCAAAAGCTACAAGTACAACTACAACACGCTTTCTGCATTTGTATCGTGATCTAATTAAATCCATTCATCATCGTTGACAAGTCGTCCATCCTCGTGGGTAACAGGAGAACCAAAACCATCTTCCAAGACGACACCAGTCATCAAAGAAATGTCAAGCTTAGTCTTAACTCCCCAGCTTGTAAAGCTGGAGACCGGAGAATTTGATCTCGGCACTGTGTTTCGATTAGTCCTCCAAAGGCGGAAGGTGCGAAGCCCGCTTGACTGTCTCGAACGGTGCGTTAATTTGCGGTTTCTGGACTTGTCACGGAATGAAATCACTACATTGGGTCCCGGTCTGAGTAGGTTGTTGCTCTTGGAGTACCTAGACGTGTCGCACAACAAGTTGGGAACATTAGCGGGCTTACCAGGCCAAGGCAACCTCTTGCGGACTCTCAGGTACTTATATGCTTTTTAAGGCTTAGAGTTAGACGCTTCTGTGAGTCACAACATGGTTGTCGAGCAGGACGACGCTCATCCTCTTCATGTTTCGGTCCTTCGCCTCCCATTCTCACCCAAGGAGACTGGAGATTGGAGTAAGGAGTGGACGTACCTGCTAACCCTATTGTGTGCTCCTGCAACTACTACATTTTCAATTTACAATTCCCATAGCATGGCCTGAGGACTGCGACTGATCTCACCTGTCTTTCTCAACTACAGGCTTCAAGGCAACCAGATTCAGCGAGTTACAGATCTCGATGCATTGCAGGGTCAGACGACGATCGAGCATATCTCGTTTCAGAACCTTGACAATACAGCACCGTGTCCCGTTTGCTCTCATTCGCAGTATCATTTTTGAGTTCTTGAGTTCTTCATCATCTAGAGAAAAATGGCAGTAGCGGCTGCGTCTGCGGCATTTCAACTAATATTTTGCGAAAGAAGCTCACTAGTAGGAAGGCATTGACTTACATCCTTCAACATCTTGCCTAAGTATGCTAACTCCTTCCTTTCAGTTTCACACCACCTCAAATACTGGCAGGTACCGCTCAGCCCTTTTCGATAAGAAGAAGCTACCAAACCTGAAATCGCTCGACTACGTTCGCCTTCACCTACCAGACCTTGACGAAAAAATAGAGAGGATGAAAAATTACAACCCAGATGCGCTGTTTAGCAACTCCAGAGGTGGTACAACTAGTACTGAACAAGCAGGTGATGGGGGAACAGGGAACAGTAGTGGGAGTTTATCTAGTGCTGGAAACAACAACTCGAACTCTTCATCATCATCTGGATCTGGAGGGTGGTTTCTAGAGGAATTGGCTGCAGGTGGCTCGTCATGGGAAGCGTTGAGTCCATCATCGAAAAGACAAAGAGATCAAGCTCAAGATGCGCTACTAGCGGTGCTGAAAAAATCTAAGGACTGCATTCGAGAGGTCTATCAGATGGTAGATCAACCGTTGGAGATCGAGCCGCGAGGAGGTAGCAAACTTTTGAAAGATCATGACGGGAGAGACGAAGAGGATATCGCTAGGCCAATTGAGGAGGGTGGAGATGATAGAAGTGGAGTAGAACAAGCTGAAATCGCGGGGCAGGATCTACGCGACGCAGCGCAAGAAGGAATAACATAAGAACAGCATGCCGACCATTTATCTTATCTTCCTTGTTGTTTCTCTTTATCGCATATCCATTCCGATACTTGACTCGCCAAGTCAGGACAACAATGACCACAATAACAGGATCAGCGCGCGGCATCACGTATTAAGACGCCCACCTTGACGATTTCCACTTCCAATTCTTCATACGAACAATGAACATGCTCAACACGGCCACCACACGCGATCAGCAGCTTAACGGTAGCGCGGCATATCAAAGGATTTCGTGATCCCTCCCATCTTCGGTGAAAGAATGACAATCATCTACTAGAATCAATATCCTCGAACAAGAACCCGGAGTTGTTGTACAACCGTTCCCGATCCGACAGTTGTCATATCAAGGTGGATCACTACGAGCACATGGCACATGATCAGGCTGATGCGCCTCCAAGGTCAGAAGTAGGCTCAGGGGATCATGATGCAAATCAAGATGATGCGTTGATATTTCCGCTGCAAGCATTCATTTCATTTTCTTTGTTGGAAGTAGGCATCCCTGGTTTTCATTCCCTAGCTCTCATTTGAATAAAGGCATCAACAGCTGACACCGGTATTTTTCCAGTAAAATGGACATATCCTCATCATGGTTCTTTACTATGTGACGTCTCTCTTGTCTTAGCTTCCTGCAGCAGCACACTAGCATCAAAATGCGACCTCAACGACGATACTTCGTTGTCCAGCTAAGCAATTTGGCTGGAGTTTCACCCCTTAGCGGGTCACGCGGGCTTTTCTTAGCGAAGGAGGACGTTTTATGGAGTATCCGAGAGCAGCTCGCAAGATGTTTCGGCGAATTTGAGGTTGCGCGGTCACAACTGAGAGCACTGCATGACTCCGCAAGCTCTGGGAATGCTCTGAAGACTTCCTCCTCTAGTGGAAGCAGTGCTGGACAAATCACGGTGGTCCAGAAAAACGAGCAGTTGTTTTTCTTCGTCTGTGCAAGAAGTAGTTTTGAAAAGGTGCATTTCGCGATAACAATGCTACGAGGCGTAGTAACAGGCAGCGCAACGTCCAAAGCTGCATTAGCTGCTGAAAAGATCGGCGATTCATCCTTGTCTCTTTTCAGCCACGACGACAAAACATCAAGCGACATCAACGCATCAGCATCGTTTGTTCCTGCCCTTCCACGTCTGCGGTTCAATGCAGGAGCCTTGCAGAAGGCATTAGCGCAATACAAAGAGCTGTTTAACAGCGACATCCTACTACTGGCTCCAGCAACAGAGAATCAACGTGGTCAAATACTAGAGCAATGGAACGCCAGTATGAAAAGAGAAATTGACCAATTGATTGGGGGAACTAATCTCTAAAATCCGTGACATCGCCCTCTTCCCTGCGACATCATATTTATAGATACATATTTCCCCTTCCCAAAGAAAGATTCACAGAATAAAGATCCATACAAGTTGTATCATAATCAATTTTAACCGGAAGAAAAACAAGAAAAACAACGGCTTTTCTGTTGTGTTGATAGAACCTCGAGTTCTTAACAAGGCCCTCGCTGGGGGATTATAATTTAATGTTCTTATCGCGAGAAACGTAGACCCAGGCACCAAAAAAAAAGATCTTTTTGCGAGCACAGAATGAGCGAATGAGTGCGGCTTTGAAGAAGAAGGGCCTCCTGTTCTCGCTGAATGTCTTCTGTTGGAGGTTCTACTTCTGGTCGCTGACCTCGGTGTACTCTTTATTGAGGATCCCGCTTCTAGTACTACCGTGTTGAGATGCCGAGAGCACCCGTATGCGTATGGAGAATATTACTGCCTGAGTTCTTGCTTTGATTTTTGGTTCTCGAAATTTTTTGCATGCATGTCAATAGCACCCCCAGTCTCCTCGGTAAGCAGACGCCCGTTTTAATCAATAGATCATAGTAATTACATGATGGATGCTGTTTGCAGCAAACATGAACAAAATTTGTTGGCATCTTTAAGCCATCTTGTCTTTACGATGGTATGGACGTGCAGCTGCAGTCCTAGCGCGGTAGTAATCCAGGCCTTGCTGGAAGGTTGCATGAGGACATGCATGATCTTGGGTCGCGTGGTGGACCATACTCTCGCACTTCCATCGGAAGTGACGCGTGCCACTGAGTCGGTCACAGCCACGAAAACGAACGCCAACGCGTCGCGGTCGAAATGAACTTAGTCGTGCGAAACCTTTTTGACGGTTGTGAACGGCTGCGGCCACAGTAAACTCCCTACAAACTGCAACACCATTATTCCCAACATCCTGACCCTTGAATCTCAAGCACTGATCCACCAGCACTATCACGTCAAAATGCCATTTCGTCACCGTTTTAACGAGTACCAGTACACTGCAGTGCTGGGGTCGTTTGGGAATTGTGCGGCAGCCTTTCGAGGAATCGAAAAATCATGCGGCGAACTACACTATTGGTTTGATACGACGGCCAAAACGAATGCGCGCATGATCGGGAAAGCCGATTTAATAGCCAAAACGTTGCATGAGATCAATACCACGGTGAGCGAAAAAGCGGCGGAGGTATTGATACAAGTGGGAGGCACCTTCCCTGCGCTCTACCAACATCACGACTACATTTTTCACTTCCTCACTCTGATGCTGGTCTTAAGTACACTACACCATTCTTTACCCACAAAAATCAGGCCCAACAAGTAGTCGACTCCTTACTCGATGAAGCCGAGTTACAGAGGTCGAAATTGGAACGGATGATCGAAAAAGTGAAGATAAAAGAATCCGTCGTTGCGGTACCGAATGAAATCGCGCTTATCATGGTGCCTGTGGCTGTGCTTCTTACGGCATAAGCTCCTCTACTAGACGTCTTTATGTATAATTATACTAGGCCTGATGTCTACTTTCTTTCTATGTAGATGTCCCTCTTCCTTGTTTTTTCTATCTTACTTTCCTAGGTAGGTTGGCTCCACCACATATTCATATACTAGGCTTATCTTCTACTTTCTAATCTCCTAGTCGCCTTGAGTCTTTTCAACGTTGTCTTCGGCTTCGCGATAGGGACATTAGATGGTGTCTGGGACTTCACGATTGTTGGCCACCATGTGGAGGATAAGGGCACTGGAAGTTTTGGGCCGTTTTTGACGATTTTTAACATCCTGCACTGTGTCGGAATATCTGGATTCTACATCTGGATCGGTTTCGAGATGTTAGTGAGAAGGTATTGCTCAGTGTTTTTTTGATTGGGGCACTGATTGGACTTGCTTTTTGTTTGTTGAAAGAAAGAGCCAGATACCTTTTTGATAGCTTGTTTGATACTTGAGAGCAACAAGAGCATAGCTCATCTATCCCCATCCACCTCTATCCCCACCCTCCCAGACGTAACCGACGAAAGAAACTAGCAATACTACGAGCGAGGCAGCGGAAGGCGTTTGGCACCAGGCGTAGCATGTTCAGGGGAGGGACGTATAAAACGTATTTTCACCGTGCGAGCAAGTTCATTCGGGAGAACTTCTCGCCTAAGACGACACCATTTTCCGCAGGAGGAGCCTCGAGTGGCGACGATCGGACAAGCGGAGCAGCAAGCAGTCCAACTTATAGCCCTACTAGTCCTGCTCCTGGTTCCAAAACTACCCACACTGATGTGGGAGACCAGTCCAGTAAGGGACGAGGAGAGGCTGGAGGCTCTCCTAACGAACAACAACAAGCCGACTCTTTAGGCGGAACAAGAGACGAAGGTGCTGGAGAAGGAGCTGTTGAAGGAGCATCCATAGTACCACACGACCAGTCTACAAACAACGCTAAAGCTCCTGGTGAACCAGCTAGTTCTAGAGTAAAAAAAACATTCCGAGATCGTCTAGAATCCTTTGCCAACGCAGCATCTCCTAGGCGCTGGATGTCGCGCGCGAGCAGAAGGAGTTTTAGACCTAGCGTGTCTTTGCTGGACAGGATAACAGGTGTTGAGAGTCCCAGTCCTATGACTGCTACTTCAACAGCTGCGTCTTCGCCGGCAACTTATCGTGGCGCCGATACCTTGAAGAGAGAGTGTGGTCGCCCAACTGAAGATTTGAGAGCGGAAGTAAAAGCTGCCAAGGAGTTTCTGGAGAGGACGAGGATGCTACGAGGAGCAAAAAGTGGAGCTCTTGATGCTGAGGCAGAAGTCGGTGGCTTGTCGAAAGATCAACAACAAGCAACAAGTGCTGGTGGAAGTGGAAGTAGAAATAGTGGCGATAGTAGATGGAAAGCTTGGCCTTCTTCGCTTCTTCCTAAAGGATTGCGGAGAAAAGATGGAGGATCGCTTGAGGCTCCGGCTGGAGGGAGGGACTCCATGTGGTCTGCGGATGATGAAGCAAGAAGCACAAAACAGAGCAGTTCTGGAGATCAAAAAGCAGAAGGAGGTGATGAAGAGAAGAAGGACGAAAACGAAGCAGAGAGAAGAACTTCAACTTCTATTAAGGGCCGTCCTCGTTGTGATACTCTTATTTTTTGTGGCCCGGGTGAGACCTGAGTGTTTATTTACAGGGACAAAGAGCCAGGAGGTGACCACTTTTATACTCTGTAGTGCTGCTCCAGTGGCACACCGACTACTTCTGTCATTTTCAAGTCTGATGAAAGAAGCATGAACAAATGTTGATGAAACTTCGAAGCTCTAATGATCCCAGCAAGTCCTCCAGTATCCTTGGCGATATCAAGATGCAAAGCCTAAAACGAGCAGAGCTTTTGTCGAAGGAACGAGCGAAGGGCAACGAGATGTTGACGCAGGAGCAGAAGAAAACGCAAAGAGATGTCGACACCTTATTAGCGGAAACAGAGGCAACACATCGACGCATTGTGAAAATGTTGCAGGTTCAGACCATCGAACATTTGATCGAGCGAGATACCAGCGAGAGTTCCCCGATCACGTCACCAGATAGTCCACAGAATGGATTTCTCAGTCCAAGCGGTGCCCAACTGACCAGTCCATTGGATTCTCATTTGCAGGGAGTGGATGACATGATAAACGTAGGAGAAAACAAAAATCTCGTTAACGCTGGAGAGGATCTTCAAGACCACGAGCAAGAACAACAAGGAGTGAATAAAGGCGTTGGTGGAGATGGAGGGGCCTCTAGAGTATCGATTAAGGGCCTCTAGAGTTGCGCTTTTTCCTAATCGTATCAGCATCGATCTTCTTCATCTTCTCATTTCATGTTCTTTTTCAACACGAGCTAGTAGAAACGAAAAGCCAAAACCATAACCAAATTATCCACCAATACTAATACTCTAATGCTGCATTGCGTGCCCGCAAGAGCCGTAGAGAACGCGGATCACGTGCGAGGTTTGGCCCGAAGGTTGCCTCCGTATCTGCAACAGGTCCAAAACGAAAGTCTCGAAAAACAACTACAGTAGATAATGTCTCGAGCAATTCACTAACGGCACTCAATGCCAGCGCCCCTTCTCCTGATTCTGCAGTGCTTCCGTTATCCGGTGACGGCATCACGGGAACTATTGGTGGGGAAGGTGGTGCTGGAACAAGAGAACCTGGAAGTGGACAACTGCCTATACCTCCCAATCGCAATCCTATAGCCTCAAGCGGCGTTGGTTCTTCAACGTTACAAAGTCAAATCTCAGATAAAGACTCGTCTGCTGGTTCAGGCCCATGCACTCCGCCAAGACCAATCTTAGCCGTAGAATCAGAGAATCGGTACATTAAGATCCTGTCCCAAGTGAACCAAACGATTGAAGCGAATATGGCAACTGCCAAGTTCAATCAAAATCGACCTAATCCAAACTTCTTACGTACCGCTACCGGTGGAGGGGGAGGTGCTAGTGGAGGTCAATTTTCTCCAGGAACAAGCGGTGGTCATGCTGGCAGTGGGTCTAGTCCGTCACTGAGCGCTGGCCAACAAGATATTTTGCCACCAAATGCGAACATGTCTGGAACAACGTCGCCCGGCGCGCCAGTGATGTTCACAATTCGTGGGAACAATTCAGACCTACAAGGTAGTGGTGATCCATTAACATCGTCGAATTATATTAGTGGCCCATCTGGTGCTCCTGCTGATCCAATGTCATCGTCCCCACAAGCCGTAGCAACTACAGTGGCGCCACTTAAACCAGCTGCGAAGGCGAAATTGAATCCAGTTTTGTTCTCAGATAGTCCGGTTCCCGGTTCTATGGTCCACGTGCGGTCGCGCCTTGTCCGGTCCATGCCAATCGCGAAGGACGATGAAAAAGAAAAGTTCTACGTGCAGTCCGAAAAACAGCCGAAGAACCTACCTGTGCCACCAGGTCAGCGGTGGCGCGATCACAACTGGCTCTACGAGGCTCCTTCAGATGCCCACCACATGGCGAAGTGGGGTGAACAGCCAGGGGAAAATATTATAGTAGATGGCACTGCTACAACTGGTGGAGGTGCAGGAGCCTCCTCGTCGGACCAACAAATGGCAGTTTTACTAGCTTCACGAAGAAATATCGATGCAGGACTTACTTTCCAAGATATACCGAAAGACTTGAATCCAAGGAGTCCTGCGGCAAGGAGTTCCACGCGCGTCAAAGGCAAGGACATTGTGGTGCGTCGTGATGGCATCGATTCGGAACCGTTTTCTGTGGAGGAAAAGCAAGACATCGAAGCTGGTGAATGGCCCTTCTGGACAGGGATGCGAGAGTACATGTCGTTCCTAGACAAAGCAGATCAGCCGCGCGAGACTTTTTCACCAGCTGTAGAGCGCGGGCGGGCAGAAGGCTCCTTTGTCGTTCCAACGTTGGAGGAAGATGAAGATGCGAATGATGTCGACGTAAAGGGGGATAAGATGGTCTTGAATGGAGCTGCATTTGGTGGTGGAGGTAAGAACAACAATATGCTTGCGCCTACCGTAAGCGGCACTGCCGCTTCTTCTATGGGAGCTGCCGTGCCATCTAGTAGCAATTTGGGAGAACAAGAGCACCCAATCCCAAATGGACCCGACCCAAGGAAGGGATCTCGACCAGGAGAAGGAGCATTCGGCAAGGACAATCTAGGGCCAAACGATAAAGATCATGCTCCACTCAAATCTACTGGTCGCCGCCTATCGAAAGAAAACGTGGAACTTCTGATGAATCAACTTCACGTTCAGGGCTCCTCGAAAAATACTACTTCACCTCCCAGTCCAAGTGCATCTGGAGCTGCACTGCTGGCACCGAGGCGGCAGAGGTATGTGTGTGCTCATACTTCTCTTTTTGGTACCACGTCACGTCTTTGTACTCCTACTCCTTATTATTTTCTTCTACTTCATGTGGAGCATAGCTATCTTGATCTTCTGTGCCACGTGGAGCATAGCTATCTTCTGAGCATACTGATTGAGGACAACGTCGAGCAGGGGCACGATATTTCATTCATCTCTAGCAGGTCCTTCTCCGACTCGAGCAACGTCTCTGGTCCCCGTGCGTCTGTCTGCAGATTGCATCCGCCTGGTGCTGGTGGCATCAGCGACGCCAATATGCTTGCTGAAGGGGAGAGACGGAAAAAGACTGCTCTTTTTAGTGACAAGGTGCGCATGGAAGATGGCGCATTGGTTAGCCGAGGCCCACGTCCGATCCGTGGAGCTTCGCGTTTTGTGCCTGGGGACCATGGTCCTTTCAGGGAGGTAGAGACAATAGAGATGGATGAAATGGCAGCCCCGTCAACTGGGGACGTACAACTACAGTTAAGGCGGTGCGCCCCAGATGAACAAACTTGCCTACTTAGTCTTTCTGGCACTTATCTCACGCTTAACACGTCATCTCCAAGAGTCAATTTCTTCTTACAGCGGTCTGTTGAAGAAATGGACACGCACCGACCTGAGAAGAAATGGACACCTCTTGCTGTTTTGAGCTTTTGTTCTAATAAAGGGTGGAAGTGGACTGTTCGCTATGGACGATATGGACGTCGATGAGGCAGTTGCTGGAGCAAATTTGCAACTTAAGTTAAGGCTCAGCTTTCAATGGTCATTGGGGTTGGTCACTGAGATCGAAGAAGCGACCCCTTTAGAGAACAGGGGAAAAGGAAGGGAAAGGGGAGAGCTTTGAGGGGAGCAGTCTCTTCCCTTCAGCATTATGGACAATTGAATGCTGAGCTTTAATTGAGGACGAACGAACAGTGGGAGACCGACCTGGGTTTATGCAATTCAATGTGACCGATCTTTACAAACGAGCAAAGGAGGCAGCACGTGGAGGGGCCGCAGATGTTGACTCTCCCCTAATCAAGAGTGACGCACGAATCAAGAGCCCACCAGGGAAGCGACAACGTAGTACGACAAAAAGGGATCATCGTGATGTAGTTCTGCCAGGAGAAGGAGGTGCTAGTCCACCTAGTGAACCTCCAAGACCATCTTCGTTACCTGCAAAATCGAGTGAAGTGGCAGCAAGAGCAATACCTGCAACAACATCTTCGTTCTCCGGAAATAAACAACCGCCGCCACCATTGTTGAATATTCCAGTGCCCGGTGGTCCTCCTGGCGCAGAAAGTGGTCAAAGCAAGCCCGATTTTTCTGGGTCTGCAGCAAATAGTAAGGACAATATTAAGCCTGCTGGTGCTGGAGGGCCTTTGAGTCCAGTTTCAGGAGTTCTTAGTTCCTCTATCGGTAGCGGGGACGCAGCGGCGTTTGGATTGCCACCAGGACAAGAACATGCGGATCATTTATCCTCTAGATCAAATTCGGTCTCCGGAGGCCAAGAAATACAGAATAGAGCAAGAGGTGGTCGTGCATTTGCCTCCTCTCGATCACGAAACATAGCAGGAGGCACAAGTGGAAGTGCATCATTCACCTCATCTGGCAGTACCAGTAGTCACGATGCTGGCTCTTCTGCGAATTCCTCTAGCAATGCGAGTAGCGATACCAGTGATCCAGAACTTGCAGACCAGCTGCAGGGTTCCCGAGAATTAGGTAGTGCTTCTTCCGCAGCAGGCAGTTTTGAAGTGTCTGCATTTTCACAACCACTCCAGAAGCAGCGATCACCAATGGGTTCTTTGAATCTAGGGGATGCTTCATTGTCATGGCGTCGTGGAGGTGATGTTGGGGCTGACGGAATAATTACTGCGGCGCCATTCATTGCAGCACTCGGTGATCCTCAGAGTGCGGCAGGTGGAGTATCAGGAGGTGGTTCCGCGAGTTCTGGTTTGGGCGCTTCACCAGGAGGAGGAATTATCCGCCAAAGTAGTTCTACTAAGGAAGAGCAACAAGAACTACCTGGACGAGATACATCTTCCCCCACTTCTGGTGCTGGTCAAGATTTACTGGCCCCTGGAGGTGGTCTAGGATCCTCTGCAGGAAAAGCAAAGCCTCCTGTCTCTCCTTCGCTCGCAGCTTGGAGAGCCGATTTGGATAAGAGAAGAGCAGCAGAGGGTCTCGGACCCGCTGACCAGAGTCGATCGAAACGTGTACGAGGGCTCCTCAATCTCTCTCCGAAGAAGAAAATAGCTGAAACTTTGAAGGTTTTCCAACAGCAGGATCGTCTGCGTGGAAGTGGTCGAGGTTAAGGGAGGTTACCGAATTTTTACATCCCGCACCGCCATCCTTGGCTCATTTTCTACTTGAAAAAGCCGCCAGGGATGTTCTGAGGAATGTAATTCTGCAACCTCTAACAAGGGCAACATCGGGGGATGCAAGAAAGGGAGACAAGTGAAAAATCGTCGACGCTGTCGCATCAGATTGTTCCTCGATTCTCTATTAGATCTCCTCTACGCTCACTACCAGGGTCAGGAGTTATGTCTCCCGGGGACAGCAGTAGTTCGGCCACAGCGATGATGCACGAAATGACGCCAGGGACTACGCCGAGGACGCCTGGAGGAACTCTGATGTTATCGAATGCTCTAGCAGGAAGCGGTGGAGGAGATGTAGCTTCTGGTGTTAAGGCAACTAAATAGACAAATTGTCCCTACGCACAGTCTATGTCTATCATAGCGTGGATCCTTCGAGCAAAGAAATACTTACTTCTACTACTTGCTCACAAAATACTAGGACTGAAGCTAGGGCATGGGCGTTATCACCGTTGTATCAAAGGGATGGATAAAGTTACTTAGGATCAATGACGTACTGTACCAGCGTTCTGTTTCTAATGACTCTAGAGTGGAGTCATATCCATCAGGCGGAGAGCGAGGAGGAGGACATAATCTACAAGGACCTTCTGGTGGTAATCTACCGCCACGCTCCGGATCATTTAGTCCTTTACCAGGTGGGACGTGCAGCTCCCCACAGGATACGAAAGTGGAAGCGAGTCAGACGCAGTCTTTAGTTTAAGGCGTCGAAGGCTGTTCTATCAAAAACAGGACGATTTTGTTCTGAGTCAGAGTCACTAACAAGCATGGAAAAATATTGTCTCTCTTGTTTTCATCCCCTCCCCTTTGGTATAGTTTTTGGAGGTGAATACATAGATACATTGTAAAGCTAAAAACAAAAAAACTTTCATTTTTTGAAAGCCACATGCATATCTGTGATCATCTCTTCTAATCTTCAGGCCGAGCGCTTACTGGCCGATTGCCTGGGCTCTCCTTGTTTGCCAATATCTTTGATGGCGGTGGCTCATCTGTAGGGGGAACGTGTTCGCGTTCGCAATCACAACCCGTCTCAGCAACCACCTCCGAACGAAAGGCAAGTTTGGCGTCAAGCACCGCCAATTCTAGCAGTGCAGCCACGTATACCTCAGTGGGCTTCGTTCCGCCATCTACTGGGTTTCTTTCGGGAGGAAGATGAAGGATGCTCATCACATTGATGTCATTGTCATTGAATTTTCGAATTGGACAATGTTTCTTGCCTGTAAGTACTTGTGAACCACGCTACAGGTAGAGGTACAGTTATCGAAATCGCACATCGTGTATAGAGTTAAAGAATTTCAGATTTGGATGTATTCCTATTCATCTTCTTGGTGTATTATAAGTGCTGTTGTATTTACTTTTACCTTTACGTGGTCCCAGGAAAAGTTGATCTTACTGACTTCTCTCATGATAGTGTTGCTCGTTTATTCTGCACAGTCGTTGAATATTTTTTAAGGTTTCAGTCGTCTACCAGGTCTCTCTACTCTCGAATGTAGTTGAGTTCTTTGTATAATCTAGTCTCCTCTTCTTCACAATTCAATCCGAATATAAATATTATCTTCTTCCACGACTAACATTAAGACTACTGAGTAACATCGATCATCTGCCTGAATGTGAGTGCATAGCGATGGTGCAAAACCAAGACAGAAAATAGATGATAGGAGTACTCTCTGCAGGCGCAGCACGACCTTGGTGCAGAGATGGCCATATTTGGATGGCAAGGTGGTGCGAGTGCACTGCAACTCGCTTGTTGAGCATGATATTTAAGCGAGTGCACTGCAACTCGCTTGTTGAACATGATAATCACTTAGGAACATTATGCCTTGATTGCGGCTTATAATCTTTGACAATCAGCGAAGGAACCGTGGAGAAAATTTCTCTGTTATCCGGTGCGTAACTGGCTGTTTCGCAAGCTGCCGCGGCTACACAAAGGTGTCAAAGATATGCTTTCTCAGACGTCGTTTTTCCTTGCAAGACACAGAGTGGCGTCTTCTATGATCGACAAGGGAGACCAACTTTTTTTTCTTGTTTTTTTTGCATCTTTCATAACTCTACCACGAAACAGAGGACAATCAATGCACAGTGAAACTCGATATCGCGCATAGTAGATCTGGTGGTACTAAAATGATTTTTCTAAAGATGCCAAAAAATTGAACTTGCAGCTCTCATCCTTAACCCTCTGCATTTTCTCATTGTCGACAACAACATGAGCCGCCATAAGTGGAGGACGCCCCATGGCTCGAGATTTCGGGATTCCTTGCTGCATGCTTCCTGCAGCATGTTGTTCCTGATAGCGGCTTCATCGCAGACGTTACTCTTATGACTGAACATAGTCATAGTCAACATAGTCACAACAACGTAGTAGTCCTTGTCCTGGTCCACCAGCATCACAACAAGGCAGTAGGACTTCATGTAGTCCAATGTCATCAGTGAATTGTTCCTAACACGAGGACTGATGGTTCGCTACAACCGTGTAGAAGACGCTTCTTGATATTTCGTTCCTCTAATCCTCACCCCAGCCAACGCCGCTCCCGTAGCATTTGGCTTTGGCTCGTGTGCCAAGCAGGAACATGAGAATAAACCATGGCGAACTATCGATCAAACTCTGAGCACGACTAGTGGAGGCAGTGAGAGTGATAGCAATCATATTAGCACGGATGATAGTAATCATAGCAAGCTTCCTTTCTTCTGGTTAGGCGATGCCGCGTATCAGAAGAAATCCAACGATATAACTGCAGACCACCTCACGGATCAGCAAAGCGGACCTTCCGAATATTCTCTTTTTGCGGAAAATCGCGAGGTTCTGGGAGTCTGGGATGACCATGATCTCGGTCTTAGCGATGCAGTTGGGACGTTGCTGTCTCCAGAGGTTATGGGAAGGAGAAAGTGAGGATTTAGTAGATCTTAGTGGTTGTAGTTGTACAAGAAGTGCTAAAAATGATGTTTTTACGTCGTCCTCATAGAAAATTTGAATTTGATTTGATTTCTCGTCTAGTACCTCCACGAACAAGGTACTAACTCTTACTTCCCTCGACAGATCTAGACTATAGGAAACAACAATCAACAGAAGCATATTGACCAAGAAGTTCGTGTTCGAGCACGAGAAAGGAGAAGAAGAACGTAACACAAGTCTCGAAAAAATGAGCACGAGCCCTATCCGTATCCTTATAATAGAGTAGTTTATAGAACGGATGTAGGATGGACTTGGATGGATCGGATGGACCCCCCTGATTCTTCCGATCCTACTTGAAAGGGTGGAAAGTCCATCCGATCCATCCGATCCATCCCATCCCGGATCTGGCACCCCTATAAACTGCTCTATTATAAATATAAGTCCACCAGCTGCAACCTTTTTTTCTAAGATGAAACTTCGCGCTCGCCAGGACATGATGAGGGATTTCTTCCCCGATGTCCACACTTCGAACTCTTCGGATATACAGTTGGGACCAGGTCTCAGTTTCTGGAAAAAATTCCAAGGAGAGGTTGAGTACGACGAAGTCGAGGTGCCGGATGTTGTTGCTCAAAAGGCACAGGGTCGTGTGGCACAGAAGGGAGGTGCAGAGGACGGTATTAAGGGTAGGTTAAAGGTGCTTTTCTTACCGCTTTTTATGCTTCTCCTAAGGGAGAAAGGCATAACAAGCGGGGTAAGCGAGCACCAAAAGCCTACCTCTAACGGTAGTATAGGAGGTGGAGGAGCAACTCCTGTGACTGAAGAAGATGCCGAATTTGATGTCCTCTTCACTCCTTCCTCTACTCCGCCAGCGTCTGCCGAACGCAAGACAGGAAGGAAAATCAAGCGGAAGTATGAGGTATAATGAGATTGAGGAAACGGTACACGAGGATAATTTTTAACTTCCTAATGCAAGACCACGAGCAAGAGTAGACACTCACTAGGAACAGCAGTTAGTAGGTGAAAGCGGAGCAGAAGGATCTCCATGATTGTTCATTGTATCAACTTCAACTCCCTAGTACTCGTCCTCGACGTCTCTCATTCTTCAACACACATTCAAGCTCATCGCTCTTAATTCAGGTCCACTTCGTCGCCTTGGACTTGCGGTCTTTTAACGACCTGTGTGTCACGAACCCGTTTTTTAGTTGGATGTATTCAACATCTAACACATGGAAGCCTGGTCCGTTTGTGAATGCATTGTTATGAACAGGGACAACAGCATTCATAGAAATATGTGTATCATTCAGTGTGAGCGTCAGGTTTCTGAAAATCAAATAGAAGGAATAGATCTGCTGGAATCATTTAGATCTGCTGGAATCATCAGTGCCTACGTCTTCATTTCAAGCCCGAACGCTGCAGTATTACAGTCGCAAATTGTGGATCCCCGTGGCTGCACTTCTTGGGCGAACGAAGAGCAATCTTACGAAGGTTATTGTATATTCGTGCACACTTCTCAACTTATGCACCTACTTAAGAAGAGAGGGGTCAGGAAATAGTTGGCTTAGTTGTTTAGGCGTTGGCCTGTTCACTTATCAGGAAACAACGGTGACGAGAAATGACGATAGTGATGGGATGATATATTTGGCTTACCCAGCACGAGTTCTACTCGTCTTTTACTTCTTCACTCCATATCATCGTCTTTGTTTAGCTCTAAGAACTACGCAAATATCAATCTTGTAGGCACTGAGCAATTTGGTTGGTTCCAGAACACGGTGAGGCAAATCTTTGATGACGGCAAAGACCTGACAAAAATCATTGCTGACGCAACGGATGAATCAACAACTGAAGGTAAGTACAAGTAGAAGTAGAAATACTTACTTATATGTAAATATGAAATTATAAGCAACATCAAGATCAACAACAACTACCATCACTATGATAGTATCACTTTCACGTGTGACCAGGTAAACTTGCCTCATCACGAGGACAACTACGTTTGAGAAAACTACGTGACCACTTGACCAGGTGATGACATTCCGAAGCTTCTTGTGGTAGGAAGTTCAGTCCAGGTGTTGACGAAAAACCCGATTTTTGAAGGCTGGCATCATAATACCCGAGACCTCGAACACCTGTTCAAGATACTGCGACCCTATAAGAACTATGGCTTGGGTCTTGGTCTTAGAGGACTTGACTCATCTGAATCTTAGAAGATCAAGATGGGTCCTCTTCTCAAAAAAGAAGGCCACATTCAACATACTCACAACATGCTTTTACATATAATTATTGTTTGTCGTAGAGGAAGTTTCCGGTTCCACTGGACCTGGAGGTAATTTTTTAGAGGTGGGATCGAGTACTACGCGTAATACTGTCTCTGTTTCGTCGGGGTGTAATAGTAATTACACCCCGATAATTTGAATTTGCATGAACATTTTCTAATTCCTACGAGTCCTCTTTCTTTCTGGTGATGTGCACTTTGCGGAAGCCAACACTGACGATGGATATCTGGAAATTACGAGCAGTGGAATCACGCACAAGGTACCTACCTACTACACCTATTTTTGTTTAATAGAAGTAAATGCTAACCTAACATTGCCTGTATTTCTCGGCTCTTATCTCTTGCTTACCAGTTAATAGAAAGACTTTGTTCGTTTGAGAAGATATTGCGTCCTTTGGTCTTCTACGGTCCACCTCTTTAGTGCCTGCTTCTATTGGAGGCATCGCCTCTACCTTATTTTGCACCATCTCCTGGTCGAAGAAGCACGACCCCCCAAAAGTATACGAAAGCAAGTGTGCTACACACAAAACAAGCTGAACAACACCCAACATGATCAGCCCTTCAAATTCGATTTCAATGCCCAACATCAGCCCTTCAAGTTCGATTGGGCTACAGAAGCGGCCTTGTGGATGTTCCAGACGAATCGATGGAAAGGCCCATATGTTAACCACAATTTTGGCCGCTTTCGCGTTGACGAAGGAAAGCTTATCGAAAGATTCAAAGCGGAAAACGTCGAGAGAGTGCTCGCGGAACGACGTAAGGAGGCACACGAAATAGAGGAAGAAGCAGTATTTGTTATGGCGTATGGAATTGCTCCCAATTCAGATAAAAGCATGCAGTTGATGTAGTACACCTGCTTATTTATCAGTCTTGGATAGAATCAGTCTCGGAGGACTCCGAGGTAGTTCTTCTTCATCCTTCTTCAACATCTACTGTTGAACAACAACCAAGAATACGAATAACATAAGTAGTTTCTTCTAACTCCTTCGAAGCTGAAAGAGACAGCCCTGTTGAAAAGGGACATTCGTCGGCTACTTCCTCTCTTGACGACTTGATGCTAGGAGAAAAGCTGTACGAGGAGATGCATGCAAAGAGGATGGCTGTACCCTATGCAGTGGACGTCTTTGGACTTACGCAGACGAGGACGAGTGCAGAGAAGGAGTCGGATTATGATTGGGTCTGTGAAAGAAATTTTGATGATTTGGTGGAGGGACCGCTGAAAATCTTGAAGTTGTTACTTTTAGCTTTAGTACAAAAGTGTCTATTAATTAAATTACCAGAATGAAGAACTCCCCGGGCCGGGTGCCCCGGGCGACGTTTAAGAAGGGAAAAAAATATGCTATGGCGGCGGCGGCTCACCCGAATGGTTTCACAAGGTGCCGAAGGGCGCGCACCCCCCGGCGCGCAGGGGAGGGCCGTTGGTTAAAGTAAGGGGGAAGCGTGGCAGTACTTCCACAGTTTTCCCTTAGAAGTGTGGCAGTACTGCCAATTTTTTAGGTGAAAAGCTTTTGACGTTCTTATGATGATCAGGCAGGAAGATCAGCGAAGAGATCACCACTAAATCACCACTACCGACACGCCAAAGAGCTGGGGGCGCCCAGTCTTCAGACTTGGCGGCCTTGTGCGCGGCGTTTTTTAAGCAGTTTTTTCAGCGTTTTTTTTCTTACGGTTTTTAGCATAGAGCTTTTCGGTGTTTTTTAAAATGTTGGCGAAGAAAATGACGCCTGCGCAGCTGAAGAAGGTCGAGCAAGGGAAGCACGGCACGAGGGTGCTGCAGGTGATTGACGGGGCAGGGCGGACGCAAGCGGTCACGGCGGTGGCGGCTGGGCTCATGGGCTGCAGTGACGTGAAGGCACAGGGCTGCGGCGCCGCGCTTGGTGTAACTGTAATCCTCCGGAGAGAGCGCCACTTAAGGGCAGCGGCATGCAAGGAACGCGCCAAGGAGCTGGGGGCGCCCGGTCTTCAGACTTCGCGGCTTTGTGCGCGGGGCAGAAACGCCGGGCGAGGCAGTTCGGAGGCGGCGGACGTGCTGGAAGGTGAGAAGAAGTGGGCCAACGCGCGGGGCCATTGTTTGCGGAAAGCGTGAAGGGAATAAGAGAGGGAAGGAAAACGCGACGAGGAGAAAGGGGACGAGACGCAGGAGGGCAAGGGGGTAAGGAGGAAAGAGGAAGGCGACAAACAGGAGAAGGGGCGAGACCAAAGGCAGCGCGGGGAAAGACCGAAAGAGCGGCGAAGGTTAAAGAATGAAGACCGGACAAGAACAAGGAGACAAACAGAGGGACGGCTCACCACTATGAAAAGAAAAAACGCGCGGGGCCTCCCTAATGGGCTCCAATTTTTGGCGTGCAGCTTTTCTGCCAGTGTGTTCGTTGCATCGGTGAGAGTGAGCAAGCAAGACAGGAGAGAGAGAGAGCGAGGGGCCGCGGGCGCTTTGCATAGGTAGCGAAAGAAAGAGGAGAAGCCGCGGGTGGTTGTCTGTTGTCGGTAGTGCAAAGAAAGCGGAGGCCCGTGAGTGTGTTTCGGTGGGGTGGTGTGGTCGGTTGTCGTTGAGGGGCGCGGGCTGGTCGCAGTGAGCGCGGGTGCTTGTGGTTCTCTTCTCTCTCTCTGTCTTGTATGAATGTTCGTGGCCCCGTGTCTGGACGATAGCGGGCAACAAAATGAACAACTAAAACAAAGGAAACGGAGGCCCGCGGGGGCTGTCTGAAAGGGGTAGGTGGGAACCTGTTTCCAAGGTGATAGCAACAAGCAACTAAGCGCCGGCGGGCAGTCAAACACGGAACGCCATCCATCGGCGTGATTTTCAACGCGTTCGTTGGCCATAGTTGTCGCGGGTGTCTGTGGGTTTTTTCTCTTTTCTCTCTCTGTCTTGTTCGTGGCCCCGTGTCCGAACTATAGCGAACAGCGAACAGCCTGGAAGTGTGTCGCGTTTTAGAAAGCAGCACACGGCGCGCCTGTTGTTCTGGTAGGGCTAGGGCCTTGGGCTCGGCCTTACGTACTTCTACAAGTAAAAAAAAAACGCGTCTAACTCAGGGGCCAGCACGAGCAGAAGTGGACTGCAACTTCTGTTTTGACGGTCACACAGGAAGAATTTGCTCATTTTGAGAGTGAGGAGAGGCCAAAACTAGCGGCACGTGCGAGATCAATGCGAGCTTCCGCAAGCTATATACTGTTCTTATGGCAGCAAGAAATGCAATATTTCTAACGGAAATACTACTTGGTTGACACGTTTGTGTTAAAATCATGGGTCACTAGCAGAGAGACAGAGAAAAAGAAATCAGCTTCATTACCAGGCACGTCCTCGAACTTCTTGTCTTCTTTGAGGAGATAAGAGATTAGAGTCCAACGCGAAACAAGAGGAGGTGACTTCTAACCTCCTTGGTTTTGATATTATCGTGCAAGCTGTTCTTCCGTTACCGAAATACGTGGAAAGCCTACTGGCAGATGCGGGAAATCACAAAGGCGAAGGAAGCCTTGGCAAAAAAACAGAGAGCTGTCAACAATGGAAGTGGATACGAACACAAAAAAGATGATGATCATGACGAGAATCAGGATGGGGATGGTCATGGCGGAAAAGATCATGGTGAGGCCGCTTCATCAAGATCAACGACCAATACCGGCAAATCAACAGCACGAAATCGAACAAGCAATTCGAACACAAACACTTCATCAACATCAACTTCGACTTACGCACAAACTGCCACTTTGAGAGCAGCAACAGAAGGAGACCAACACGACCAAGGACGCGCTGGAGCAGATATCTTGCAGCGAACAGCTAGTACTGGTGGTGGTGGTGAAAACGAGCAACGGGCAGTACTACAGCCAAGCAACACTGAGCTGCAACCAAGACGTCGCGTCTCGAGTTCGTGGATGAAACAAGATCAGTCTCCTAGTAAAAGGGAACTACAACACGTTAAAGATCAAGAACAAGGTCTTCAGGAAGTTATGAACGACGAGGGCACAAGTTCGTCTTCTTCTTCAAGACCACCAAAGAGGGATGGTGCATCCGCGAGCACGAGCACAACTGATTTCCTACCTACAAGTACATCTTCAAGTTCTTCAAGTGGTCAACAACTACATAGTGGAGGGTCTATCTCGTCATCTTCCTTCTTAATTCCTGAACAAGTAGAAGTATTAGAGGACCCTGTTTTCGCATTTGGAACACTCGGCGGCCAACTCGATTTTCCGGGAGCACCACCAGGACTCGTCTCATCAGGATCACCGTTCACGTTTGCCCCCTCGCCTTCCTCTTCTCTATGATTGAAAAAGGATAATATATTATATTAGTAGAAGTAGCTCTAGTTTTGTTTTATCCTAACAAAGATGCTTATAAGGAAGACAAGAGTAGTTGTCCCCTTCCTCGATCCTGGTCGTGGAAACAGTATGTACGAACTACTCTTATCAACAAGCACAGATCATCAACGGAGTCGAAGAGCTAAGGGCCAGGTTAGGGTTACTCCTGGTCCTGGTGATCAAAATGAAAATTTGGTAGACTAACTAAGACTTGACTCAAGTTCAAGGAGATACAATAAGCTTCTACATCTTCTCGGCACAACAACTAGTACTGCTACTGCGAAAAAGACATGAAAAAGCAAATCCATGATCATGATCATGCATTTTCGAAAACTGAAAATCAAAATAAGCGAGTTACTGACTGAAATAAAATAAGAGTCTCTACTACCTTCTTCTTCTTTCAGTAAATCCCTCTTTCATTCTGTAGCTGTTCTAGCTCTACTTTGCTGCCCAGTTTGGCTAGTGTACTTGCTGGTCTGCAGAGCAGTCGTCCAGAAGGCGGTGCTCCTAGTCGTGCACCAAATGCTATCGGCGTACCCACGATGAGTTCAGCGTCTTCGTCTTCGACGTCACTGAAATTAAGGACATTCATTCATTTGTGTCTTAGACAGTACTACTCCACTGCCAGCAAGACAAGATAGTAACGAACGGCGTGTCTAAGAAGACGGCCGCGGGACTATTTACCCTACATGAGGGGGTGACGGATCAGACCTATACCTGGTTCCTCTGGAAGAGAGGGGGCAAGGTTTGTAAGGACAACGAAGACGAACTAACTCTGACAACTTATAAGCAAAAAACAACTACCAGAGAGTAGCAGAATCATTTGTATGTTGTGGCAAAACTACAATTGTGTTGACAACTATCAAGATGTCTATGATCTTCATGATGCCTCGTCTAATGAATCTAGTAGCAAATACAGCGGCTTCTTCGTCCACGTCCTCCAGCGAACCTCCAGATGGGGTAGTTGTACAGCCATCATCTGCTCAGCAAGGAACACGTGGGCAACGGACTCGGCGTGTTGGGGATGTTAATCTTAATCCCCATGAACAAGATAATTTAAGGCAAAGGGACTAGTTGTTCGTTTTGTGAATGCTTGTTCTATGCGTGGCATATGGGTGGTCTCACACCAGAAAGTCTCTCTAGTAAGTCCTCCATTTTTTCAGTGGCCGTGGAGCTCCCTGTGATTTTTAGTGTCTTGGTAATCGTATGGGACTGATCATCAACATCTGCTAGTAGACATCTTTTAGATGAAGTTGTAGATTCTAGGGATGACATTCTATTCTCTATTCTCTATGTACTATTCATTCTCTATCTCTTCTAAGTAGCAATCACGAGACCGCTCCACGACGTCCTGCGCCTCATCGCGCTGGGACGGACAAAACGCGCTCCCCAGGTCGACGCGCGCATGAATCCTCAGCGCAAGATATGGCGTGTTTACAACTACAAAATAACTTGTGTTGTAGTGTAGTCTTTTCTTTCCTAAAGAATAAAAAAAAAGGTTCATCTACCACCCGTGGTATGATCATGAATCTTTTATTGACTAAAGAACATGATGTTCTTGCTCCTGTTACACCAGGACGATGATATCTATGTCTTCTGCAGTACCAGTAGGAATAGAATGGATAAAGATCTTCATATACAGAGAATCTCTCTTGACTTCTTCTCCACCTCATCCACCTTTTGATAGGATTCACGCACTGAGTTCTCTCCAACTTCAAAGCTTCTTCTCCACTTCATCTTGATCAAATCCTTTTCGACTGACTTCATCTTAATAGAAATTCCACCTTTGCCTACTTCGATTGGATGAAGCTATAATAAAAAGTAAAACATCTACTAGAATCATAATTTTTTATTTATCATCTTACTTAACCCAATACTCTCTAATCCATGAGGTGGTTACTCCCCACCATCGACGCTGTTGCAGGACGTGGATCCCTTAGAAGGAGCACAAGGGGATCACGGGGAGCACGTGGAGGAACGTCGTGGTCGCATGCCTTGGAATCACGATGGGCTTAGTTTTGTGCAGTTAAGAACACATTCAGTTGTAGTTCTTGTAGTGCAACAGGGATCTTCAGTTGTACTTACAGTTTTATTTTTGTTTTGCAAGCAGTTAAGAAACTCACTTGTTGTGCAGGGACGACCTTCAGTTATCGAAATAGTTGTGCAGATGAAGTGGCAGTTTTTTTTTCAGAAATAAAGTTGGTAAGTATGCGCAGACGTGTAGTGTGATTTGGAATGTTGCTTTGGATCAATTATAGTACATCTTTTACGTTTTCGGCTAAGTGCAGAGCAGAACTCAGCATTTTTTTCATTCTTCAATAATTTCAGATGCAGAATCGTTTATGCCGTTTTCAACTAGAATTATTTCCGTCTATTTGAGTTTGTGTTTCGTGAATTTCTGATGAATCAGTAAATTTTTGACTTTATCTCGTTTTTGGTAGAGTTAAATCCAGACGATGGCTTCTACATCGTTTATGCAGTTTTCTACTTAAATATCTTTCGTGTGACTGAATATTTGTTTCAGAAATTCGTGAAATCCAGAAAATTTTGATTTTATCTTCTTTTCAATGAATTTGAATCCAGACGATTCGCTTTCATCTTTCTTGTTCTTCAAGGAAATATAAATTTTGACATTTTGAGACTTTGGTACCTTTAAATGCTTCTTTTTCAACGATTTATCAAAGTCTGCTTTGTTTTTCATCTCGCCGTCGCTATGCAGATGAGTATTTCTGTGGATTGTGTCTTATATATTTAGCTTTGCTGATAATGTTCCCGTTTTTCGCCCTTCACCGTCCAGTCTAATGAAGCAGGGCGGCTCACCGAATAATGGTGGACCAGAGGTTGGTGGGAACGTCTTAAGGTCCACAACTTCCAGACGGACGAGAAATGGTCAGCCTGATGGTCAAAACAATGAGACGATATTGTTAAGGCAAGTTGTAGGCAATTGCTGTACTAGTCGTGTACAGAGAACAGGAGTGAACAGGACTGAACTTCTTGTAGCGTGAACTTGTACTTCTTGTAGCAAGAAACAGGAGTGAATGTGAATTTGTAGCAAGTCGTGGGATTAAATCAAGCAGGGGGGTTGTTGTACTGCTTATTGATTGAAAAACTAGAGCAGGGAAGATTCCTGTCCATGCACTAGTGTAGTACGACATGATTAAAAGCTCGTCACAGAACCGTTCTAATATCGACCCAGGTTGAAGACCAACAAGAAGCGCAAGTGGAGCCAGCATCGCAGCACCAGTTCAACCTCGCTGATCTTATGGGCCTTTTCTTAGAATCTAGATCGTGCTGCTCTTACATAGATCTTGCACTTCGAACTTCGACCCTTGCCCTTCGCTCATTACTTAATACAGATGCAGTCTCAATGTTATCCTTCCTGTTCTACTAATCCTTTTTACTCTCACCTGCTTATCCCACCATCAAGCAACTGAGGACATCTTCTAGTTCTACTAGCGCTACTATACTTCACTTACTTGCTGTGTGAGTAAATAACTGTTTAGTGTTTAAGTTAGAAAGCTAACGAAGATTGATAAGTCCACTATCGTCTAGAACAACTGCAGTACTTGCTTTGTGAGTGCCGTAAGGTGAGGCTGCAGAAGTGGTAGCTAACACTTTCTCCCCCTTCCAATACCGTGTCTCCTGCTATGAGGCATCTAGTTCGCCCTGCCGAGAAGGGTGCCAGGTGGATGCACCAAGGAGGAGCGGGAGGTCGTAACGCCAATCAGGTTAAGGCTCAACACAGCAGTACCTGTACTGGTGTCGTAGAGCATATGTTAACTAGTACCTTTTTAGGGAAATCTTAGACAGTCCGCCGAATAGATTCGTATTATCATATGTTGACTAGTTTAATTACCTCTAGGTCATTCTTCATCAACAGGTCACTTCTACATGACCTCATCTCAACTTTTCCCTATTCCTTTCATTTAGGATTCATTGGCAGAAATGGAGTCACGAATGAATTGATAATTCAGAATTGTTAGTTTTGAGCGCTAACCAGGGTGGCGGACAGCGAAAGCGCGGATCGCGGAGAGACGGGAGTACAGGAGAGACGGGACATAACGCAGCAGCCTCAAGAAGTAGCGGGTCGGTTGGAGGTGGAGGAGCTAACTTTATGGATTTTCCTGTCTAAGGATCATGGAAGACTCGAATAGATTATCCTAAGAGAACTCGAAATCGAATAGATTATCCTACGAGACTCCCACTCTAATAGAAGAACCTAAATAGTTTCTCTGTGGATATCTTCGAGATCCTCTCTCGAACTCGACATCGCTCGTAATCGTATGTCGTTGATCATGAATTATTCCACCTTTTCTGAACATTATTTCAGTATCTTCATGAGACATCACCACTTCGACGACGCTTGAGTTAGGATTATATTTGAGCTCGAGAAACAGACTACCTGCTCTAATAGTAAACAAGCTGGTCGATGAAGAATTGAAGATAGAGGCGTGGTCATCGTCACAGAGGACTAGAAAAAACGCAAGAAGAAAAAACGCGGTGAAGGCTAGATGTAGTTGATGATTCGCGAACAGAACAGACTGCGACTGCGTGAAAAGAAGTGAAAGTAGTACGCGGCCTCTTGATATTCATAGTAGATACCCCCCCAACGCCAACGATAATAATAATTAACTGACTCTAAATTAACCGTTCATGATCTACATCTACTGCGTGCTTGAATTTTTTCAATCTATCATAGAAACGGAAAGAAGCAAAGATATTGATGAACTGAGTCAAAAAAGATCATGATACTCCTACAGCTGAAAGAACCGATGTTTAGATCATACTTGGGACTTAATAGACTGACAGACTCCTGCTCCTCTGAACGCCGCTTCTGCCCATCTACTTGTTACATCGGTCGACTGCATCTAGTACGTCAGCCGAATGAAGATTACAATGTAGAAGTTCTTAATGTACTTTAATGTACTTCGTCTTAGTAGTTGTCACAGAAGAAGTCATATTGTACGTACATGTCCATTTTTGAAACAAGACCTCACATGGTACATGGATACGAAACGCCATGCTGCAAAAGAATGGATCTTACCGTCACAAGAGGTTTCGTGACACAACATGACATGGCGGCTCTCAGTTGTGACTTCTGAATGTAATTTCTGTGATTTAATTGACCATGAAAATTGTGGAAAAACTGATGCTATCAATTGTAGACCCAGGTAACAAAAAAAATCGTATTTTTCTTGGTGGCAGCGTGATGAATGAATGAATGAATGCATGAGCATTGATCTACATCAAGAACCTCAACTTCTGCGCTACTGTATGTTGCACATCATTCATCATCACATTGGCATGATTGCCTTATTGTTGTAGGAGAAGCTCAAGATCAAGTGTGTTGTCATAATTATCAGAAGGTGTGGTTGTAAGCATGAGTATCATGAGACACTGGTCTTCAGCCGCAGCTATCCTGTTCTCGACACTGAATCCCCAACGAGAGTAGTTCGAAGCAGTCAACAAGAGTAGTTCATGAAATAGAACTTCTGTCTTGAATATTAACCACAACACTTCTGTGATGAGGTCGTGGTCGTGAATGGAGAAGGCGTTTGCTTGTGAGAAAGCCACATGTTGATTGAGCAAACACCTCCTGCTAGGCACATTCGTTCATCATTCATTCATCGACTATGACTGCAACTACCAAAATGATCTGTAGTGATTGAGACCAGCACCGACATCATCTGTCATTGAGAGTGATAGTGAGACAGAGAATTATTCGAAATCTGGAAATACACGAGTACGAGTGGCTAACTGAAATAACCGAGTATCATAAAATCTTATTCTACTCTGGGATACTCGGTTATCATTTCAGTTATTTCTCGAAGAATTTATTGAGGACCGATTGAGATAGATTTTCAATCGTCCCTCAATAAATTCGGAGTCTTCATGAGGGAGCCGGATGATCCTGATCTGTTTGAGAAAACTTCTGTAGGAAATACATGAGTAGGGTGTACTTCTAGTTGTGACTGTGAGGGCTGAGAATTAAGAACTTATCGCAGAGAGGAGCATCATCATCAGCAGGCTCGTGATCATGATTATTACTATGTGAACAAACATAATCAGTGTTGGTCAGTTGCCACTCAAGCTTACATCTTCTAACTTCAATAAACCTTTTAAGTAGAATTATTAGTTCTTCATCTGAAATAAGTGAAAATATTCTACTCGTCACGCGCTTGCGCAATTCACCTCTATTCTTTTCCCCACTATTGCAGTTGCTTTTTACGAGATTCTGGTTTGCCTTGCATCCCAGCACCACGATAATCGCTTGTGAAATTTCTCCGAAATTCACCAACTTTTGTTCCCCACTTCTGTCTCCTGCATCATAAACTTAAATATCCCCTTTTTACAGTTAATGTTAAAGGAGTATAATGTCCTAGGTCGTAGCGGGTAAGCACTAGCTCAACTAGAACTACAGGCACTACTGTGTGGTCGGATGGTTTTAAAGTTGTGATGCTTCAACTTTCATCATATTGAGTACCTGAACTGCAGCAGTCTGTAACTAATGTTCTCAAATAATCTGAGTTTTTGTGTCAAATATTGATACTCATACATCTACACTCAGTCTCAGTGTGGCATCGAAACGACCCACGTGACAACTAAAGAATCTCTCATCGAGACTTCACGAAAACATTAAACTATTTTCAGTCGTCTATCCGTCCTTCTACTAGTACCTTACACGCATTAATAATCGCTTGTGGATTATTTTCAATCATCAATGTGAATCGCAAGATTCAGTAGAGCTGTTAAATTATTACCACTCTTGTGTCAATGTCAAAAAGTTTCTTCTCGGCGATTTTCTTCCAGTGCAATAGATGGAGCGGCTAGTAGTTGTCTTTTTTTCTCGTAGTGAAAAATATTTCTTTTGTATGTAGCGGTAGCCGCGTTGGCGTTTGATGACAGAACTAAGTGTAAGGTGTCGCACTGCGTAGTCGGCTCCTCGTCCCATTTAGATTATATCTTCTTCTCCAACTCCTACTCCATCATAGACCTAAAGAATTCGTTGTCTTGTTCATCGTCCCGAGTTGAATACGTTTGCTGTTCGTGACTTCTTTCGCATTTCATATAGAAGATGACATTTGTGTCTTTCTCATCACCTATTGGCGACGATCATTATCCCAATATTTGCAAGTAGTGTCAGACATGTTAATGGAAGACTCTCTCCTCGAGGAATTGACGCACTAGTACTAGTAGTAGTAAAAAAAGAAAACTCATCTAAGCCAGCAGCGACATCTGCTACGTTGACATCTAGTACTATGGCAAATGAGCAGGCCTCATATGATTTGAATTTACCATATTTCTCATTGATTTTTATCCTTTTATCGGCGCCGTGACAGTTTCAATATTAACTCCTCCAACCTTATACATCTAGCGGCTTGCATCCACCATGTCAACCAACAGGGCTCATCGATCTCCCAAACACAAAATTGTAAGAGTGGTCCACGCAAGACTTTTGTAGTTATCTTTGTTATCTTCTCACAACGTCGTCCGATAGGAATTTATATTCATCACATCATATTACGTCTTCTACTTATTATTTTTGTGACGAGACAGACCTGCTGAGACTACGCACAGTTTGATCTTCTAACTAGTAAGCAGTAAACAAGTTGAAGTTCGTTCCTGAATGAAGAAGCGCGAAACTGAAAGTGAAAGCTAAGGTGGATTCTAACTAAGAAGTAAATAAGTGCGCTCTTTCTCTTACTAAGGACTAAAGTACTAGTGAATCCGTGGATTCTAACCTCCAAGGAGCAGTAAACGTAAAGTAGTGCTCCGAAGGGCGTTTTATCCAAAGATGACTAGCTTTAGTGGGGGCGGAAAAAACACTAGAGCTTCAGCCGACGTCGATGTCGGTGAAGAAGCAGCCTTGCTACTGGAGCAGGACGAAAAGTGCGGCACTATTGACTTAGTCAAAAATGTGCGTGTTCTGTATTTGGAGGAACCGCCACTCGAGCGCTTATTTTCCTCGCTCCTGCCTCCGGGTTCGTGGCTCTGGCAGATCTATGTCCGTGTCGCGCTGCTTTTCTTGATCTTCTTCTTCGCAGTCGACATTGTCGGTGGCGGTATTGTTTTTCAGATGCTTGTCGAGACCAGCACCAGCGCGCACCATTTTCACCCTGCAGATGAAGTAGTCGAACTAGATCCGGGAACACCGAACTACGGCCTCCACCAACATTCGGTCTGGTTCGAGGGTGGACAAGGTGGAAACGAAGCTGGAGGTGGAGATGAAGCAGCTGGAGGAGGGGGAAGCCCTTCTTTTGAAGCGGTGAGTGCGCCTTTGCTCGGAGGCCATGGTGACACGACACCAGACAGGAACACGACAGGCATGTCGGCGTTTGGCGAGGATTCGAAAAATAACGTGGCCGGACCGTCCACACAACTCCTGCAGAAACCAGGGGAAGCACACGCAAGCAGCGACCAGCATAGAAGCAAACGAGGTGGCGACGCCGTCAGCGGTCACAACCACACGGCGATGTCGGAAAAGGGCTCGGGCGATGCCGGACGAAATGGGGGCGTCCCTATCTTGCCAGCAGGAATGTCCGTATCCCGCAAGCAAACCGCGTCCGGCGAGCGTGCTGAAGCACACCCTCTTGATGATGCCACACGGAGCGCCCAGAACCAGACTCTTTTCGCTGCTTACGGTTCGGGGAGTAGATCCGTTCTGACAGGTGAAGGCCCCGCTGATGATAACGGCCCTACTGTGGCTGCGGATTCGGTGCGGTTGAAGGTGGATGAAAGCGCTACAGCCGCGCCGATCGGGGCCTTCAGCGTGCAGCTAGCCGGCCTTGTCTCTCGCTCTCTCTCGTCTGATAAGAACGGCGCCGGCAGTGGTCGCTCCTTGCGCAGCGTAAGCAATGTGTCTGCTGTGCACACATCGCCGCCGCACCTGAATAATGGTGCCGACACCGAGCGCTTCGGCAACGTGAGCGCCACTGCCCATGCAGCATTTTTGGACATGACCAAGGGGACGTCATCGCCACACCTGGCAGAGGATCGCTTGAGAGCAGTCACGACTCTGAGCCACGTTTTTGACAAGACAACGGCAGGCCAGGAGGTGACGGATATTGATGAGCATGAAGAAGAAATGGCGTTGCAAAAGCTGTGCGAGTGGCGACCGCCAGGGCCGGGTGGGCGTTTCGGCCGGCTGGTTTCCCTTTCGCGTCTTGTTAGTCAAAAAAAGGCAAAAGATCGTGCGTCGGGGTGTATCACAGAGGCGAAGGAGCTGAGGGTTCTCATGCACGATGTGACCCAGCAAGTCTTCTTTGCGACTCCGAAAGTTTTTCAAGGAGGTGGCGATATTCATGGCGGCACGCTATTTCTGCACGCACTTCCAGATGACTACAAGGTTGTGGACCCGATCACATGTAGCTCGCAGCCACCAGTGGCAGCTAGAGGCCAAGGAGCTTCTTCGAACACCGTGCAAGGCCAAGAACTTGGGCCAAAAGGATTCTCCTGGAGGTGCCTCTGGCATAAGTTCGAGACAAATCTGAACCAAGCCGAGTCGAAAACAGCGGCTGTCGTCCCTCTTCCGAATAAAATCCACCCGAATGGCCTCTTTCAAGGATGGACCGTAATGAATAGCGACACATGGCGTAACCTTCCGCTGTCGCTTGATGCGCTTTCTGCGATGGCGTCATCTGCGAAGCCTGCAGAGCTGACGAAGAAGGGTGTCCTGGGCTACTTGAGGAAAGCAAAGAACAGGATCGCGGCAAGGTTCGAGAAGGTTAGGAAGACGGTTTCAAAAGGGTGGCTGAAGATTATTGGGAGCAAGAAAGGCCCGCCAAAGGCCGACCAAGTGGAACACGGTGACGATGCTGGCCGCAGTCCCGGTGGGGCGCAACCTCCCGGCCAGGCGGATCCTTTGAAGCGTCTCGGCGAGTCGGCTGCGTCGCTCCAGAGTCAAGCAGGGAAGAACCTGGGTCCCAACGAGGTCGTGATTGTAGGCTTTGGGCCTCAGTGTTTTGCTTCCCCTAGCGTGGAGGCCAATGCGGAGGTCGACGCGCTGGTCAAGGGTGCGACGGTGGCTGTTGCCGAAGAGGCGGCACTTGAAGGCTCGATCGAGGACGCTGCTGCGATGGAAGAGGCGTCCCAGGCTTTTGCGATGAAGTGTGCAGACCCAACAGGAAAATCTAGCAACAAGGGCACGGCTAGCGACCTCCTCTTAAAGATGAGCGCGGTGAAGGGTGAACGTGAATGGGGCTCTTTTCCTATTATACCCTCTAGCCCGGGAGCGCCGCGGGGGACTGCTTCGACGGTGGGTAGCTGGGAGGTGTCTCAAGACTTGGGTCGTGCGCCTGTGAGCATTTTGGTCGCCAGCTATGCCTTTGGTGAAACTTCAAGTGGGGCCGTCGGGTCTGCCTCGTCTTTTCTGCGGGTGATGGATGATCGCCCACTTTATCAAAAAATGCGGACATGGGGTTGGAGGCTTTTGAGGGTCTCGCTGATCATTGGAGTGTTGGGCGGCATCCTCGCGTTGCCACCGGTGGGCTTGGTGGTCGTTGGGGCTGTGGTATCGGAAATTGCGGCAGCGGTGTTTTTGGGTTCTGTTGTTACCCTTGTGACCAGCTTTCCGGTCGCTTGGGTTCCGACGACTGATGGCAAAAAGGCCACAGCGGCTAGTGAGGGTCGCAATCAGGACACAAGGACAGCTGAGACGCGGGTGGCGGGCACTTCGGCTGATGCGGTTGCTGGCAGTACCGGAGGCGGAGCGGGAGGCACGCGTCGTGAGGAAGCGCCTTCCCCGGGGGTCGGCAGGCAGGCTGCACCTTCTAAAGCGCCGACGATAAAGGGCCCCCCGGCCCCGGCTAATGCGGTTGCCTCGGCTACATCTTCTGACGAGGAGGAGGGGATGGACCACACCCCGGTTACGGCGGTTGCCCCGAGGGGCGCGCGAGGTGGAGGACCTTCCCCTGCGGTTGGTGGTCCGGCTACATCTTCTGGCACTACGGAGGGGATGGAGAACACCCCGGTTAATGTGGATGAAGCCTCCCGTCGCAGTGGTCCTACCTCTAAGTCGTGTTGCTAGCCCTGAACTAGATACGATTTTTTATAGTAAAAGAACATTATTTGAGAAAAAAATAAAAAAGAAAAAAGTTCTGACTTCTTGTTGATCTAGTGAAGATGAGGGTGACGGGACTGCAATATGATAATGCTGTTGTTCTTGACAATTTTTTGCAAATGTATGGAGAAGCAAGGATCATTCAAGTTGAATAAGTAAAAAGGGTAAGCTAAGTATAACAAACCATAATGCCACCAAGTGTCAAGAGTCACAATCTTCTTATAATATTATTCATCACGGTCTGTAGTTAGTTATGTAAGTATAGTTCTAGAACGACATCAAAGAGGGCGATTATATCAAAAAAGAAATGAGCCTTGGACGCAAGAGACATCTCAGCACATCAGGAAGGCGAAAATAAGTTGCAGCATCTCTTTTTTTGTTAGTCTCTACGGTGGTCGCGAATTATGACCACACACAAATGAAGACATCCACATCCTTCACTTTCATCTTTCTCATCACTAATCGTAGCTCAGTCCTAGCGTGGACGTGCTCTGCACGAAACAACTGACGTCGAGCACGGAATCCGTATGTACGGTCTGAGGTGCCTTCCCAGAGTCGTTGTTTAATTGTTTAAAATGTATGTAGTTGTGCAACATGCCCCTGCAGGTGTGCTGACTTGCTCACGGGGCCCCGCTGCGTCGGGTTGCGCCTTAGTTTTTCTACAGGGGTCGAATGTGCGGCTTCTCCGATATCCGTAGATTTGTGGCCGAATGTACGGTCTTATGCGCCCCCAGTGTGTAACTTGGATGACTATATTAGTTCAACTGTTGAACATGTTAATTAATTTTTTGAAAGGGCGGTGGCATATAGTCCTAACGCAAAAAAAAAATAAGTGGCCGCTGGATGGCCTGCGACAGGGACCCACGCATGACATGGGGATGAGATAAGAGAAGCTGTGTATGATAGTCCTGTGGAAAAAATAGCAGCTGCGGGGAGGCATTATTTGCCTTGTGGAGATACCCTGACTGATTGAGTACCTGATTGACAGCAAGTTTGATCTTGCAGTAGTATGTAAATGCTCAATGATTAATTGTGTAAAAATTGATTAGTTCAATATAATTGTGTAAAAACTGGACTTGCACCACGCACCTCCCGCTAGGCACATTCCTTCACTCTTTCATACCTAGGAAACTTGAGAATGATAACAATAAAACTCGATAATTATGACAACAAAACTCGCGAATGATTATAACAGATAATTTGCTTCTCATAAGAAGCTGGATAAACGTAGTTCTTCGTTCTAGTTCTATTTCAATCATGAAGATGTGAAGATATCAAGATAATGCCACATTCATAATGAACAACGTAATGTCACAGCGTGAACCAAGAACGTGGATAGTTGTACGTCGCCCGTCACTTTTTCAACAAGGAGTCAGAAACAAAAAAACACTGTGCCACGCACTTCTTGTAACTGGTGCACTTATTACAGTTACAGGAGCTGATGTGTCTATCATTTCTGAATGGCGCTGGCGTTTGGTAACCTGCTTTTGATCATAAGGAAAACAAGAAGGGAATCCTTGTGATCGAATTCAGGTTACCACATAGCAGAGCCATACAATTTGAAGACTCATGCGGTCGGTTTCTTGGTGCTGTTCGAGAGGGGCCTTAGGGTTGTTTCCTGCTTTCGTTCGTGGACGAAACTTCCTGACCTCTTGATATTCGAAGATCAGAAGTCGCAGCTCCTTGATCCTTGTTGATACTGCAAGATGAGACTGACTGTCTTCTCTGTGTCCCTTGATTGTCCGGTGAGAGGTCCGCTCGAGAGCGTGAGCGCTCTCACTCTTGTTTTTATGCAGACGATAAATAAACTGAGAGCTGGAGTTCTGAATCTCTTGTTGATATTGGAAGAGACTAAGCAGTAGATGAAGAGCATCTGTCTCCGTAGCCACGCCAATTCTGTGATGAGGTCGTGAGGGTAGATTGGACTACATCTCGGGAGACTTGGATATTTGAGATGTAGTTTGAGGCTTCTTGAGATGTAGTTTGAGCTGCCTCCATTTTTTATTTTGAAAACCGGAGAGTTACGCATCCCATCGCAGGAAAATCGGTTGCCTTCCAACTTGTCATTGTGCTTCAGGATTCTCGCAGGGTAGTTAAATGTTCGTATTGCGAGGAATATAGACCCAGGCCCCCAAAAAAAAAGTCGCAGGAGGGTATCGTGACTGAATGAGTGAATGAATGAATGTGCTTTGGGGAAAATTGTGTTTGTTGTAAGGGATGATCATAGATAAGCAGAGGCTACTTAGTTCGTTGTGAGAACGAAGCATCAAGGTAAGGAGAAGTAATTTGTTGAGACCTCGTCATGAGGGACATTCATTCCTTCATTCTGAGAGGAGGAGCATCACGAACACAATATTCATGAATTCCAGTCCTTACACTTTATTGTGAATGTCGCTAGTACAACTTGTAGTACTGGGAGTGGGACAACAAGAGCTTGTACTTGTCGTGTAGTCCTTGATTAACGTAACGGCAACCATTTTTGTTGAGCTTGTACTAGTTGGTTGTGCGCGGGCGCCTATGCCGATGAACCAAGACGTCGTGATAGAAGATTTCGTATTTTTTTTATGGGGCAGTCGTGTGTGAGTATTCTTGAAGCCCTTCCAAGATCGTTTCCAACGCAGCAAACCCCCAAGAAATGAAAAGCTCTTCGGGAGGGTTCTATTTCTAACTTTGAGCTAGTGCCAATGGAATGATCTAATTACGTGGAGAATCTCTGAAACTGAATTTTACTGAGGTAGATACAATCGACGCGGCAAGCACGAGATTATTGCGAAATGAAACTTATCTTCTGACTCTGGTCGTCCTCAGCTGAAAGACAGGAATCTTATCCACCCTGCTGTTCTGTGGAATATCCAGATCCATGTGTTCTATCTTAGATCGCTTCGCCGCGTCGCGCTCCTCAATGATCGAGTGAAATGCGTTGTGGATGATGCAGGTCACACTGTGGACGGCGAACCACCTCCTATCCTCTCCTAAAAGCAGGAGCTCTACTTTCTACACTGGGCAGCACGCAGCGCCATGTACAATGATCAGGATATTATTCTTGAAATTATAAGAATAAGTGTATTTTTGAAATAAAAAGTACATGTCATATATGTGTATCAGCTTGATGAGGACGTACTAAGAATACTTGCGTTTGTGTTTGTGACATGACAACAAGCCATATTTATTTATACTTCGTCGAAAAAGAATAAAAAGAATGATAATCGTCATAAGTACTTGCTGATGCTTTTTTGTTCCGCCTAGAAGCTACAAGAACCTTTACTAAAAGGTGGCACGAGGACAGGTGGAAGTCTTAGAGTTTTAAATTTTGTGACTTTTTGTTGAAACGCGAAGCAAAAGCTGAACGCGACGACCCCGTACTAAGCTGGACAAACAGCAAGGACGGCATGCATGAATATTAGCATCAAGACAATGAAGATAACGCCGTCTCAAATGGACATGTTCGGTCGGTGCCTCGTTATCATCTAACGACTCGTTTCCATCTCAGAGATTGCTTCGCGAGGGAGTGGGAGTGCTTGTCCGAAAAATAAGACTCTCGACATCCACGAAAGCAATTGACAAAACAAAATGTCGGCTTATTGCATTGAGCTGTGCCAGAAGTTTCAGGTAGACCCATCAACATCAAGATTAGCTACGTTGCACTTTGATATTATTCGTGACGAGATAAGTTCAGGTTCTTGTTGTTGTAAACGTACCAAGTTGTTCCCGTGCATCACCTTGTTGTTGTAAACCTACTTTTCTTTAATCGTGTGCATCAGTATCCTCCTAAAGAAGTTCCTGTGCCTCTGCATCCTACTAAAATAAGTGAAACCAAATAAATAACGATTATCAATCTTCATTATCCTCTTCTGCAGGTAAGCAGTGTCCACCAGCTTACTTGGTCACATGGCTGTAACTCCCGAGAAAAGTTGAGGGCTGCGCTGAACAGCGATGTTCATTTGATCGAGGCAGATGTCATGCTCGGCACTTATGACGACGTGGACGAACCTTCCAAAACTACGAGCACTATGGGAGCCTTCTTCAGTACGAGTACAACTACTAGAACAAGAAACCCAATTCCCGGAGGTGGTGACTATGATCCTAGTGTTGAAGTTCTTGATGCTCCTATGGGCAGCAGAGCCGCACCCGCAGTTGGTTCTTCATCGACTCGAGCAATTGCATCTTCTTCCATCTCTCCACGGGCAGCTCAGACAACAACACAGCAGAACCCACCACGAGGAGGCGCAAGTGGTATGGGTGGTTCTACACATAGCGCTCTGGGCGACCGCACAACCTATTTTAGCGCGACTGGAGCTTAAGACAAAGACTGGTGGTGGGGTGTTGATAATTGAACTGGAATAATAAAGATTAAGATAATTGATTCAACTTGAACTTGTTACCGCAGTGGAGAAGGATAGAAATACTCTATGATAAAAATCGCCTTTCGTCGTGGTGTAGCTGATGTTGGTAGTCATTTCTTTAGAAGTATGATGTAAGTTTAATCACAACGAGCGAGAACATAAGCAACTGGTGAAAAATGGCTTCAACAAGACCTGTTTTCGCGAACTATCACTACCTAGAACTATTCGTTCTGGAGCTCCTAGTTCTGGAACTGGATCGTCCATGTCATAATGAAAATCAAAAGATATAGACACCCACACCCTCCTCTAAGTATGCGGTCGAATTATGGGAGGTGCGGGATCGCTTTCTCCTGTAGCCGCTCTCAACCGGAGCCGCGCGCAACAGAATCACATGCGGTCGGGGGAAGGTAGCAGCGAGAATCCTGTTCCTGGTGCACCTGAAGATGAGGTGGAGCAAGGTAATGAAAATGAAACCACGACCACTGGAGCTACTAGTACAAGTCCACGTCCACCTCTTCCTCTTCCTAGAACAGGTTCCTACACTGTAGGTGGATCCGCCCCTTCAAATGCATCGTCGAAAGCAGGAGATTTGATTCGGCGTATGTCGAGAGAAGAGTCTGCGAACGAGGATCCTTTTCTCGACAATACCGCGGCCTCAGCGCCTGCTTATGTCGTCCAGGCAGTTGAACCGCGCACAATCACCGAGTTATCTTCATCAGGAAGACGCCGACCTGGGGAAGGAGAAACAGGAGGACCTAGAAATTTCAATCCTGATTCTAGAGGAGGCGGCGACGGAGTTGCTAACGGAGGAGGCTCACCTGATGGAGCAGGACCAGGAGATGTAGGTCGACAAGGTGAACAAAGTACCATTCCCCGTCCCCCTCGAGTCTCCAACTCAGCTCCGAATCTGGGTGGCCAACAAAATCAAAATCAGCGTCCTCCTCCACCTCCTTCCCAACAACAACAAGCCCCACCACCGCGCAGTCGAAACCTTCCACCAGGAAAGGAAGTCATTTTAGCACATTTTCCCAGCAAGCGAAGTAATTTAACGTTAGAACAGTTTGTGCGGAAAATCTGCGCTTACAATCGCAAAGTGTGTCCCGAACTCGCGCATGACAGAAGAGAAGACGTCATCCGCCACAACACAACTTTATTGGAGGGTGTGGAGCTGCCAGAAGATGTGTCTCCTTTAGAAGAAGCAGACAGAGACACGCCAACGGACGATGAAAAACAAAATACAGGAACTGTAGCTCGATCTACTGGCTCATCTAAAGCTAATAAAGCTAATGGTAATCACCGCGGTCCTTCCTCTGTAGCATCCCAGTATGCAGGTACAACTTCTAGATCCTCAACAGGAGTCGGCAGAGGGATGACACCAGAAATGCAAGAACATTTGGGTATGAACACCGTAGCACCGCAGCGTCGGAGGAAGCCGAAGGGCATAAAGCTCGACTTCAAGGACATGGCCGCAGTGAAACCAGCCATTGAACTGTTGATGCGGATGAATGCGTGGGCTAACGTACTTAGACTTATTTAATTTCGTCTAAATCTATGCTGTTGAGTTTCAAATTCCGTAAAAACGTAGTAATTCTGATTCATCCACAGTTCCAGGTGAAATACAGTTATAATAGATTAGTAGTTTCTTCCACCATCACATCCGCAATATCTCGCACATGATGAACTAAGGTCGTTTGTGTTTGGTTGAACGCTGACGTTGCCGCAGGACCTGGCTTTCCGCCTCTCGGTCGCAACTGGGTTCTAGATGGGCGTAAGTTTTTACAAAGGTGCTGCCGCATCCCTGACGTCGTGCTCTCGCTTGGTTGGTTTTCCACGGAGCTTTCAGCCACACAACAGTACACCAAGACCATGATTGATGACATGCTGGAACTGGTCCAAAGACCCTTTCTCAGAGGCAAAGACTCCTTCCTCTACACTCCCGCTGCCGTTGCACACCACATTACCTTCTGTGTACAAGCGCGGTTCGCAGTCAAGAGTAAGCCGATACTCAAACAATTGCTAGAGCTAGTTCCGAGTTCGTCACTGACGATTTACACGGGTTTCGGGTCTATCGGCATCGCTGCCCAAGACTTGAGAGCGATAGAGGAAAACTTCGACACCACGAGGTTGTTTATCGATGTGTGGAAACACGCGGAAAAAGAACAAAACAACAAACTTAAGCCCCTCATAAGATAACAAATTATTATCTTCAAGGACGAGTCATTTGCCTCAGGTTCCTACCCTTCCTTCTTGGATTCTTAGACCACTATGAACAGAACTTATTAATAAATAGAATGTATCGAGGCCCTCAAGAATGTGAATTTAAATTATTCATTGCGACTAGTTCTAACAAGCGTGCTGCAAGAATAACAAACGGCCCAGGAGGAAGAGGTGGAAATAACCAAGACCCAAATGCTGCTAGAGGTGCCCCAGACGATGGTCGTGCAGTAACGGAGAAATGCAGCATCATGTAGATGTAGTCATTCCTTGTACAACGATGGATGGCCGTAAAACTACAAAGTTGTTGCGATTATACCAGAAGGAGCAGGAGGACATCAAATAAGATTCATTTTTGCATTTTTGCTCCAACTCCACCACACATAACCCTTATGAAGACGTTGTGGCATATTGTTCACACCAACTACATCACCAATTTCCCTTCTATATCCATTCCTCCTTCATACTGCGTGATGACTACAACTTCTTCACGAACATGACTCAACATAGCAGTCGTCCACCTGTTCCTGGACTCATGATTCCTGAAATTTGTTTTTTTTTCAGTTCATACGATCGACAACGAAATGAGATGAAGATGTTGAACGACCAAGGCGAGGCCGCGCACGTGCATGAAACGGAGAAGGAGCTTTTTTTAAGCCATAGTTCATTTCCATCCTTCTGGTCTGGTTCGCCGACTCGTGTCTGATCTGCAATATGTCACATTAAATCTTGCCGCTTCCGATTCCGTCTGTCTTTCATGCGAGTGTTGCCTGTGATCCTCTTTCCGTATGCTGTTGATCCTGGTGATCGGCTAAGCATCTGCCTGATATCAGAGGAAATCAGTGGTCCACTGTTCTGAGACATAGTACTAGAAAGGTACTTGCAGTTGTCGAAAAAGTTATACATAGGAGCAATCGTGATATCCATATATCACAGGCTCCCGAAAATCCCGCCTATAAACGTCCCCATACAAACCTTTTGATGAAGTAAGAAGCCTGTACTTCTTTTTCTACGTCGTCCAGGTGCTGAAGAAGAAGACTAACTACAGTCGTTATGGAGCATAACTCAGAGCAGAGCAGTAAGTGTCAGTCTGTAAATGCTACTATTTAGTTTGTTCTAGATCACGCGGCAGAAAGAAACAAATTGTGAATACCTTTGAAAAGATTTCATCAAAGTAAAATAGAGGATCACAAATATGTCCGCCACCAGCTCCAGCGCTTCTCTGCAGTCGGCTCAGTACATTCTGCCTGGAGGGGATTCGATGGTCCAGATGTCAAGCCGGTCGCTCCTTCTTAAGGCTTCTTGGTTTTCTTTGGAATTGGATTTTATATTTATTTATTTTATTGCAAAAATGAATTTGTCCACAAGGTAGATCGACCACATCGGAATATCCCGTTGTTCTCTTTCTCAACAGATACGTAGAAATTTATAGCTCTACTTCTACCACCTCTAATCTTCGAGCAGTTTCAAGGCAGAACCTATATCTCGCTCTCGGATTCTGCACGCTGGCGCAGTTGCTCGAAATGACGTGGCCTTGGATCTGGGAGATAGGTTTGCAGTTAAGACCGGAGCATCGTATCCGAAGAGGCGTGTCGAAAATAGTGGCTGGCTTTCTAGGTTGTGTCGCTTTGGGTCAATTATCAGCTGTCTGGTGTTTTTCAGGCTCCTTTGGGAGACGAGGGATGATAGGTGGAAATATGAATCACTATCAACATCATGGTCCTGTAGTATTGCCTCATCTGGCACATGACATATAATGATGATTTGTATGAAAAGTTACCGACCTAAACAAATGTATTGAACTTCTGCCGTGCAGCAGCACACTAGGCCGCCTAGGGCGTTGTTAGTGTTTGCAAAAGCAAAGCGTGTTAGAGCGAAATGAGTGATTGCAGTATCCCTTTCTGATGTTTGTGGTGAAAATCATTGCTATTGCGTGTTCCTCCGTGACTACATTTTGATTAAGCTTTGCCCAGGAGAAGTAGACGGACATGTTGACCAGTACCATATGATACTTTAGTTTTTCTTCGAGTTAGTAGCGGTGCCACCTCCACTAACGAGAGCAACTACAATGACCCTCACCAGTCAGAGGACGAGTCAGGAGCTCCAACTGTAAAGATTTCTTTCAGAGCATAGAGACTGCAACTCATCTACTTCAACAGGTTCTTGTAGTTCCCCCGCCTCCTCATCATATCCTCCTCCATTCTTTCTCTTAAGAAATATTTTTCTGTTTTTTCCTTCTGCTCGTCTCTTCGTGTGATAAAAGTTCTTCTGTCTGTCGCTGTGCTTCTGCATCAACGCATAAATTAACTTCTAAAGTTTGAGGTTGTTGTCTAACGTTCAAAATCGTTGGTACACTATACATAAATCATAATCAGTTTTTTAGAGTATCGCTCCTTCTTGATCAACGAAAGGTCTCCGTGTAGGCGTATTTATGTAGCCCCAAGAATACTTTCAGCTTTAGGAAATCGACTTCACCATGAGGGTCTTCATTCAGCAAGAGAGTCGGGAGGAGCGGGACCGGGTGCCTCTACTAAGCCGTCGCCGCTGAACTTGCTACAGAATTTTCTAGCGACACCAGAAGGCCGCCACGAAGATGAGTGGCCAGGATCCTGGCGATGACGAGCGGGAGGCTGCCAAGCTCCTGCCTTCACGTGGTGGCCGTGGCTCCGATGTAGTTGAATCTAAGCAGTCTTTGTCATTGCTAGGTGCTGCAGATGGAGGACGGAGCAAGCAGTCATCTCAGTACCCAGGTGAAAGAAAACCGAAGACGGTTCAAATCGTCGTGGATTCTGGCGCCGGACAACGAGATGAGACAATTATGTTGACTGCTGTCGCTAACGGAAAGCATGTTGGAGGAGGAGCAAACGGTGGAATTCTCTCGAACGAGAAGGCGTCTCCCTCAACCAGTCGAACGAAGATGTTGACTTCAAACACCGCAGCATCTTCATCCTCTAGCTCATCTTCTGCGGCCCGACAGATCATACATCAAAACGATGCTCCTGCAGCTCCTGGCACAAGAAGAACAGCTTCCATTTCCCGAGGACAAAACAGTTTCCATTTTCCAACCCTACTTGCGGAGAAATTTGAACTCGAGAAGCCAACAGAGATTAAGTGGGCACACGCAGTCAACACGAGAGCGAAACTAGAGGAAGCGTTGCAAGGAGACTGTCATATGATAGAGGCTGACGTCTATTTTGGACCGTACGATGAGGATCGGGAGCCATCGAACACGATTTGGAATGCTTGCAGTACTTTCTTGCTTTAGTTTTGCTTGATGTAGAAGTTTTATTTTGACTTTGATCGAGTTGTTGAAAAAAGAGGGTTGTCGTTGTTGTTCTTCACACTCAGGACAATTTAGAGTAAAAATCGCGCTTCTTACTAACTTATGCTGTAATGGCCATCTTCAGTCATTTTCGTTTTGTCCACATCGATCAACGGACGACCTACTCATTGTATCAACTTCAATCAGCCTCTCGCGGTGAGTACGGACGGAGCAGCAGTGGCTCCGATCTTGACCTTGAAGCGGGTTTCGGTGCTACGACATCGAATGAGCTGCGAGTCGGTAGTAGTGTAGCTGCAGTTAGCACAGCCGATGGCAATGGAGTGCTTGTTCCTCCTTCTTCTGTATTAAGCTCATCCTCATCCTCAACAAGCCGTAGTCGCAATGAGCTAATAATGGCGCATCCACCTCAACAACCTGGCAGTAATTTGTCCTTTCGCCGGTTCTGCGAGAAATTGATTGCACACTCCATCGCAGTCGAAAAGATGGCTGAGTCAAGATCTCAGCAGACTCCAGCGGCAGCGGTTTTGGAGTCCATATTCAGTCACGAGCAGATCGAACAAGCGCGTCAGCAGATAGATCGAGTTTCAGCGTGGTTGCCGAGTTCGCCTATCGCAGGGAATCTCTCAAACCTTCTTCCTAGCTCAGCCCAAAGCAGTCGGAGTCCGAGTAAAGATGGCTTGACTGGACAACGATACAACGAACAAGCTGGCGGTTCCTCATCTAGTACTGCTTTCCGACTCGTGGAGCTGAATCAGGAGGGCGATGGAGGCCTTCATGAAATTGATCTTTCTTCGCCGTCAGCAGGTCTTATAGCAAAGGAACACACTGGCACACTGCGGAAATCGGCAGGAGACCTGAGTCAGGAGTCTCTGTCCACTACAAGCTGCTCTTCGACGAGGACAGGTGCAACTGGAGGAATGCTTGCGAGAGGACCAGTGACCACTGCAGAAGTACAACAACAACAACGGCATGACTCTAGACCACCTGACACTCTCGTTCCCGAAGAACACTCCTTTCCCCTTGCGCACCAGTTGAGTTTTGATCTAGATTCGATAGAAATTGTGGCGAAAGAGGTAGCTACAAAGACCGGTGAAGAGGTGCAGCGTCTTTCTAAAGCGGCAAAGAAAGTCGGGAAAGACCTCAAACGGAAAGTAGAAGGAGCGTTGGGTATATCTAGAAGACGAATTTGTTGATTACTTGTTTTTCTAGTATCATGAAGACGACTTTGTTGTTCTTGTTTCAAAGCAGGTTCCGCCATATGGTCTCTTATTCAAACGGTTTTTCAAATTGACTATCTTTCTCTCCTCCCATGATCTCAACAACAGGTCTCGCCATGTCCCCTAAAGGAGTGAAGCTCGACTTCAAAAAGTCCGAATGCGTGCAGCCAGCGATTGAGATCATACTTGAGTTGCGGTTGATGGACTATGTCCCGTGTCTCTTGCTCAATGCGGATATTCTTTATGGGCCTTTGGGTGCTCCCGGAATTTTTGCGCCACGAAGTATAGATGGAGAATTCTTTGTCAAGCAGTGCGCCAGAGTCAAGGGAGCGTGGCTCAGCTTAGGATGGTCGACAACGGATTACGCAATTCGAAATCGACATTACCGGTACTCTTAATTATTGCCATTCATCAGGTGCTACAACTAGCAATGGAGTATTATATATAAGTGCCTGTGCCACCGCGGCGATAAATATAAAAGAAAAAGATTGCTGAGTTTGAAATTGTAAGCAGAGAAGTCAGTCACAGTGTCAAGTTTGTTCAAGTGCCAGGTGATCACCAGTACCACTGCTCTGCTGCTCCACGTCTAATTTACAACTATCTACTATGTATTCTACTCGGCTCTTTTTACAAATGAATCCAAAACTCTTTCAACAAACACAGAACCGCTTCCATCGACGCTATGCGTACCCTTTGCGAAGCCGAAATCTGCTGGGACCATTTCGAACAGCGTTATCAGAAAGTGACAGACGCGGTCGAGCACATAACTTTCGCCGTCAATGGCAGTTACGTCCTCAAGAGCAGAAAAAATCTGAGATCCTTACTCCTCGACCATTTGCCGAACAGTAGCATCACCGTATTCACCGGGATGGGCTCTCTCGGCATTACAGAAAGCACATTGGCGAAGATTCTGGCGGAATTCGACAACGAACGACTATTTCTAGACGTCAAGACGCAAACCTGGTTAGGCCTGTTCTGCGGTTGCTGCTTTTGTTGCAGCGGTAGCAGGCGTGGGGAACATCAATTGCCCGAACTTACGGACCCAGGAAGCACAGAAGCATTACGAGCCGAGCTCTACCAGAGAATCATGCGCATGAGAAGCAGCGTAGCCCTGCTAGGTGGTATAGATCTGAATAACGGAGGTGAAGCTGGGCCCTTCGTCGATGAGGAGTTGCAAGACGAGCTCTCAGACGATGACGACACGCGTGTGCTGGTGCATCATCAAGATGGCAGAACTGAAATCGACACAGATCATTACAGACCGCCGGGACTGGTGTCTCCTTCAGGAGGACCAAAGATCAAAGCAGGTGCAAGCGTAGAGCTTAGTGCCAGATCTATTTCTAGTACCAGTAAGAAGAATGGCAAAGAAAATGCAACGAGGAATGTGGGTGGCGGTCGCATCTATGATGAAGACGCTGGTGCGGGCAATAGCTCTTTGTTCTACTACCAGAACAAAAGAAGTAGCGGCGCAGCAAATGCAGGTGCTCCAACTGCCTCCTCTCCTTCTAGAAAATCAACAGGACGCAACAGCAAGAAAGATAACATCAAGTACACAAGTCTCAGCAACACTCCCTTAGAGGAGATTCCTAGTGAGGCAGATCTTCAGAGGTTGATTCCAAGCAATAGAAACAGTCCTGCGAATCGAAGTCCTAGTATTTCGCCTACGATCGCCTCCTCAAGTAATAATAACAGTCCCACAACTCCTAGTACCACTATGGCCGTAGCTATGAGATCTGCTACAGGAGATGAAGTTCTTGTAGATACAACATCTACAGCTACTTCTCACCAACAAGATCTGCCACCAGCAGAGGAGAAGAGCAAGCTTCTAGGAGAGCGAGAGGGCGAACACACAGCCTTTTATCAGCAGAGGAGTCCAGAACCAGAGAGCCCTAGGACGGGGTTTGTCAGAATACCTTCGGAAACCACTGATAGAGGATAGCGTTCATGGGCTTGATATGAACTTCGAAGACTAGCGATAAGGATAAGGATATCCACCATGTAAGAAAATTTAACGAGGACCAAATAAGAGAATAATATCGATAAAGTGAATAGGTTGACGTGCTGCATGGTCAAGCAAAAAAAAGAAAGTTTTTCCAACCAAGCTTTTCTGAGCAGTGTCCAAGGCTCGTGGGCTACTGTACGCAAATCAAATATTTTTAACCAACATCTCGCTCGCTTATTTGATTCCTGTTGTGATGAATATCTCGCACTGATTCCTGTTGTGTAACCTATAGATACCTAAAGATCAACTACGTACTACATCATAGTAAGCATGAAGAGTTACTAGTCTGTCATAATGAACGTGAACGGTGAACCTCATCGCCATCACAAGATTGTGACTGGCCGCTTTCAAATAATGAGCTTCGAATTTACCCCATAATTTTTTTATCACTCTGATAACATCAAACAGTCATCTTCTTCTTCTTCTTCTTCTTCAAGCAACATCGTTCCGAGTAATGCGATTTCTTCGAACTACTGGGATCATGGCTAGCAACACAGGTGGAACATGTCCCCAACTTCTCGATTGTTTTGGTCTGTTTGTGATCGGTACACCTGCAACAGGAAGATCTGCACCTGCTCCATTCTTCTCGGTCTTCGACGAACCATCGGTCTATGTCTTATTCCAGCTTGTTCTTCATAACGTAGATGATAGTCAAACAAGTGATTCTGTGCAGATCCGTGATTGTCTTTTCTGCTCTAGAATTCCACGTCCTCCTCCGTCGGTCATTTGAGACCTAGGACTCTCACCTCTTCTCTTTTCCAATTTTTCTCAGAGCCTTTGAGAGGGACCCGAAATTCAGATTCACCCACTATGATCATACCCTGCAGGATCACCATCCTTGGGTGTAAATGTGCTGTCCCGCTAGTAGCCTTCATCCTGGTATTAACTTCGGTGAAAAATCAACACCAGTCACGACAACCATAGTTAGAGCCTCTCTTCATGACCGTAGGTAGGCGTAGTCTTCGATCAATAAATAGAACTCTTGAAGAGAAGGCTACGCTGAGGACATAAACATCAACCAAGCGGACGCTAAGCGGGGAAAACCAAGAAAGATGTCCAACGATTCCTCTCTACCAAACGATTCCTCTCCACCTTCTTCTCGAGGATCTTCTACTTCCAGTTCTCAACATCACCTGGTTTTTCGAGCCTTCAACGCAGCCGGCGAATGCGTTCCACTAGAATTTGGAGAGTGGAGAGTTGTGAAGAACGGTGTGTTGGAAAAGAACGAGGAAGTTCCTACAACTACTTCGAGAGGTAGTACTGCTGGTGCCATAGGTTTAGCTTTAGGAGGTAGTACTTCTAGCGCCAGTAAGAACAATAGCAAGAATTCCACTACATATACGGAACCTCCACAGTTTTCGACCCCGCCGTCTCGTTCTGGGAGCTATACTTCTCCTCCACCTCCTGGTGATGCAGGAGCCGTTGGACAGCTGCCACGAGCAGCTGCTGTAGGGGAGGGGGAAGCTTTACTAGTACCTGGTGCATCTAGTCATGAAGTAGGTGAAGATGTTGATCATGTTGAAGGAGAGGACGAGGAACAACCTACTCGTAGCACCTCTTCAACAACAGATCAGCTTCAACAAGCCAACTATTTTGGTTCCATCGCATTAGAACGGGATCCCATTCCGAGTAGACCGCCGATTATTGTCGGTGAGACTCCATCACCGACTGTTTCGCCGAAACAGAAACCAAGAGAACTCCCTTGTTCTCGAGCTCAATCAGAGTCAATCACCATCGTTGGGTACAGGACGAACAGGAACAATGAAGATGTTCCTGTTCTTGAGCAGATGAAAGTAGGACCTTCTTCCAGCAGCACCACTGCGAAGAACCCAGCTGCATCTTCATCACCTTGGTCGTCCCCGTCACATTTCACAGTGCGTCATGCACGCGAACTCCTTGCGAAGAAACTTTCAGAGGCAGAGGGGCGCAGCGTTCCCGTATCTCTGTGTTTCTTTGTGCACGATCACGAGTCGGCGTCTGCTGCGGAGGAGCACCATCATGAGGCGAGGACTTCTGAAGGCAACTACAGTACTGCTGCTGAGACCACGGAGGTGAAGCCAAGTACTGCTCCAGTAGGTGTTGTAGCGTCTGCTTCCTCTGCTCCTCCAGAACCACCCGCTTTCGGCGATGTCATAGCAGACGACTTACCCTTGTCCATCCTGCCCACCTCAAGCGCCAATTTCGTGATCAAGTATCGAACTGACATCACGAACATCTACAACGCGTTGCAAGATGCAGAAACCTTGGAGCAAAGTCGCGAGATAGTCTATCACATGACTCCCACAGAGTTGAACCAGTCCTTTTATCGCATTTTTCGCTACTGGGGACGCGTCGGAATCAACTTGCTTCAAGGCTGTTTACGTGGTCATGGGCCTTTGTCATGGAAAACGAGTCAGATTCAGGCGATATTGGAAGACAGCAGGTTTTCTCGCTGGCACGAACCCGATGCGATTACCAACAGAACGATCTTCATGGACGTTGTGTTTTACCTCGACAACGTGTTGGCAATCACGAAGTTGCTACTCACCAAGTACGAGAAACTACTATCGTCTAGTGAAGTAGGACAGAGCTCGCACAAGAAAGGTACTAAGCAGGGTGGAACTTCATCTACATGTACATCTAGCACTTCAGGTACTAAGTCCTCAGAGATCAACAAATATCTTGGTCCTCGTGGCGAGTTCTGGTGGTCCCCTGGGGGACATAAGTACACTACAATCCCTTTAGCGGGAAGCAGGAGAACAAGTTGTAGAACGTCCTCATCGCCAAATGGGCAACAGAACGTCGAAAATAACGCGACTGCTCAGCAAAGTCAGACGACCGCGGCCTCTCCTAGCAGTGCACAAGCAAATAATGCTTTTGTCGATGTCGAAAAAGGCAGTGGACAAGAGGAAACTAGTACAATATCTACGACTAAGACTAAACAAGGCACAACTTCTACTACATTTCAACCACTTTCTCGTGGTTCACCTCCTGTTGTTGGACCACAAGGGACAACTACAACAACGAGGGAAATTGAGGAGGTCCTCGACAGTCCTAAGATGCTCTGGAGGGAGTCTCCATCGTATTTCGCTAGGGCGTTGGCAGATCCAGATGGTGCGGCAGCAAGGCAGAGGGCACTACTGGAAGAGGTGGAGCCAGGAGTTAGGCGATTGCCTGTGATTGATACAGCCACAGGAGGCGCGTCTCCATCTTTGTCTTTGCAGCAACACATGACTGTGAGCACTAATCCAGCTGCTGGTGGCACGGCGCAGGAAGTTGGGCGGGACGCAGAAGTACGAGTAGGAGTAGGAGGTGTAAATAAGAAAAACACTTCTACGAGTGGAGGCACAGCAGGTGAACAAGGAGGACTCAACGCAACTACGAGTACAACTACTTCCTCCGGAGGTAGTTGTACTGGTCCCACTCGACGCACATCCACTCCCGCAGAGACAGCTCTACAGCACGAGCGCGTCGCTTTCTTGTCAAGCGACAACGAAGGATTGACTCACGACGCTTTTGTGCTGAAAGATACTAGGTCACAAGGGAGTAGTTCGGTTGCAACCAGCGAAGATTCAGCTTGTGGTCTCCTAAAAACCAGTGGGACATCAACCGCACTTTTGACTAAGATCGAAGAAGCAGACATCGAGCACGACCCGCCTCCAGCACCAGTGACAGGTGGACTTAGTCGTATAAAGAGGAAAGACTCAGAGACGATTTTGAGGACGAGTCGGTTTCTCAACGAGGGTGGTGGAAATGATCCTCCTGATGGTGGGTCGTCATCCTCTTCTGCGTCAGGTTCGGGATCAGCTGAAAGTTCTGCGGCGAGTGCGTCTGGCGCATCCTCTGCTGGTTCGTGTGCATCCTCTCCTCGCGGTGAGGAGTCGAAGAAAGACCTCCGTAGTTCTGAGCATGAGAACAAAAGCAAACAGACGAGTCAACATCCCGGTGAAGAGCCTGCGTGTTCCTCTTTCGAGTCTAAGAGTGGTCGTGTTATAACACCAGCAGCGGGAAATAAAGGAGATGCTGCTGCTGCAGGTGACGCTCCGGCTCATCCAGTAACGGCTTCAACATCAACTTCTTCAATAGTAAAATCTTCTTCCTCGTCTACTAGCTCCGCAGAGTTCAAACGCGATCCGATACGTGCGCTTTTCGCTCATAAGGATCTGAAGGGGATGACAGCTTTCATGCTTGGTGTGCGGAGGCACCATATTGGTCTCGTGCACTTCTTGTTGAAGCAATACTTATGGCCCGTGGAGAGGTGCAGGATCATGACTAGTCACTGTATTTACTTGTTTTACCATTTTGTTTTTCATCTTCCAGGAGATTGATGATCATGAATTTTACGACTAGAACTTCTAAGTACATCATCATGCTGAATCCATCGTAACCTCAGTTACCTCTGTCTTCTAACCCTGGCCAACGGTAAATACGCGAAGGAACTCGTTCTCGCTGTCAACGAATATGCCGGAAACGAAACCGCCTTTATGCTGACAGCAAAGCTGGGATTTGAAACCATCCTGTCACTCATTTTATCCTGTTGTCAGAAGGGGATGCCGTTAGAAGACCTCGACATCTGGACCGACTTGTTAAATGCCCGCAACACGGAGGAAAAGTCCGCAATTATGCTGGCATGTCAATACAACCGAGTCGAAATTGTTAGGCTTTTGCTGCATTTCGGGCGTGGACGTTACAAATTGAGACTGTTAGAGCAGGAGGATATCCAGAAACGTACTTTGCTGGAAATTGCGAGAACCTACGAAGCAGAAGGAGTTTTGAAACTGTTGCAGAATTTGGACGTTCCTTAAAATGCACGGTGTTGATGATTCAATCTCGATATCTCTATGCTTTGATTTTTTGAAATTTTGTGATCTTCAGATCTTCCCATTTTGTTCTTGTCAAGATGAAACTCAAACTGCTATTGCTAGTGGACATCTACTCTTCTTTCAAGTGAAGACACATGCTTTTACAACTCCTTTATGCGTAGTTATATACATTGACATTGAAAGAATTAGAATGAGACCACCCTAGCAGTGCACTTAGAGATTAAACCTTGATGATCTAGATTTTGATTACCTCTAATAGTTCTTCGGCGTACGGTATCTGTAAACATCGGAATTGTGAGAACAGGCATTCCTCCTGGGATCTAGTTCTGTCCTAAGAACTCTACCAACATCAGGATCAGATTTAGAAGAAGCATTCAGAACAACAACGTCGTGAAGCTTACTTGCGAACGGGAAATATTGAAACTATACAGATTGTGTTTTCGTCAACGGCATCTGCTTTCGATTGTGTTCGAGGAAACATTGTCGGTTAGAAAAGTTCAGTCTTTCGTTTTCGGTAAAAATCGGAATTATCGTTCTTTTTCGTCCAAATAAATGGCACCAAAAGATGCTGTAAAAAAGGCATACAAGTCGGCCTCGGTCGCACTTCTTGTTCTTTTTTCTTTTTGATCGTGACAAACCAAGCGGAAAGTGAAACAAGAAGAATCTTCCTTTTCATGCGTTTTTTCGAGTGATAATCGTTCCTCGCTTTCTTCCTCGGTGCAGTTTGTTTTTTTTCGCCTCGACATTCATAACTCATCTTCACGGTATTATTAGCGAAGTAGATAATCAATCGGAGTCGGACTGACACATCATCATCATTGAAAAACACAACCCATACATAGGGAAAACTTTGTGGGGATATACTCCTCAATTCCCTTTTTGTGAATCTAAAAAAAAGAACTAGAAGAGCGTTGTACAGAATTACAGGAAACTTGGACTACTTAATTAAATACGAACCACAGCATTCTTGAATCTTCTTGAACTTGTATTTGAATCCTTGAACTTGACTATTTCTTCGGCACGATTACTTTGTTGAGATCAAATCTAAAGTTAGTTTTTGCGAAAACATTCATCTTGAATTCTTCACACACAAAGCGTTATTCTAAATTTGTAAAAAATTCCACAGTTCGGTTGTCATACTGAAAAACACTTCCTCCAACTCGTTAAAGTAAGAAGTCTTACTACCTCGTTCGTCCTGTCACACCTAAAATTATAAACAAAGTCGAAATATCCCCCAAACCCAACTAAAACAAGATGGGTGGCAAAGGTAACAAGAATGGCAAAGGCCGTCATCATGGCAACACCCATGGTCATGGGACGAACAACCAGCAGAACTCGAACTCGCAGAACTCTCAAAATCCGGTCAGTCGTGGTCCCGCTATGCACCAGCATGAATTCGTCGATCAATCTGACTCCATCGAACGTGACTATTTGAACAGTCTGTTCCACAAGAATCAGAAGGGAGGTGGAAAACATGGAGGAAAGAACAACCAGATGAAGGGTGGTGGTGGTAATGGTAAAGGCGATGGAGCAGGTGGTAAATCGAAGTCCGGTAACACCAGTGGCACTGATCAGGATGCTACCCCTCGTGAAACTGATTATACCTCTGTTGACAGTCAACATGGCGTTGCTAAAGGTGGTGATCTCGACACCCTGGGAGAGGTCTACGATCATCAAGGCTACCACGGTTTTCCGAACGTTAAGGCTTCCCCTAATGCATCTTCCTCTTCGGCAGCATCCTCGAGAGGCTTTTCATTTTCAAGGGGAAAAGGAGCCTAGGATGCATTTCGAGATGGATTGGGGTGAGCTCTAAGAACGCACTGGCTGGCGGCAAGACTGGTGGTGGTAAGCAGAGCTCGGCTGTCACGGTTGATGAGATTCGGGGTTCCGAACTCCTCGCACGTCCGACTGGCATGAGCCAGACGTCCCAATCTGCGGCTTTGCAGGCTGGAAGGTAATACAACTACGAGGTTCTTGTCGTAGTCTTAGTCAGAATGTATCTCTCTTCTAGTAGAGCTAGGAGCAGTCAGCAGAGCTACTACGTAGATAATTTGTTTGTCGTGGTGGTCGAGGAAAAAAAAACTTGAAGTAAGGTGTTCTTGTTGTTCATCATCTTCCACCAACTCGTCCACTTCCACAGTCCCTACAAAAAATCTTTCTTACATCTCATCTTCCACCAACTGCTCGTCCACTTCCACAGTCCCTACAAAAAATCTTTCTTACATCTCATCTTACACCAACTGCTCGTCCACCTCCACAGTCCCTACACCGCTTTCGGCAATGCTTCCATCCTTGACGGCGCCAGTCCTCCTCGCACCTATGGTGCTCCGCCACGCACGATCACTTCGCAAATGGGTGCTTTCCATCCGAGTGGTACTTCTGATCAGGCCTCCGCAAACGGAAATTCTGGCAATGAAGAACAGGTTGAGTTCGCGAACACCTACATGGTTGACCATCCTGAAGCACACGAATTGCTTACGGGCAGCGAAGGATATAACACGGGGAATGAGGGTGGAAAAGATTTTTATGGTTCTCATTGATGTTAGACATCCTTTGTTATCGTTCTCTGCTAGTGCATGCTCTATTTTTGAATCACCAACTCTAGCTCAAACTCCTTCAAGAACATTAAGATGCACGTGAAGGTGATGTACAACGTGAACTACCAACTAGAAGTGCGTTGGTGATTTAGAAATGCAAATGCTGGAAATGTAGAGGAGCTCTAAAACAACACGACTTCTACTCCGGATGCCAACACCACACGTGGTCAAGAATCTACTGCTACGCGCCCCACCGCTTGGTACAACCTCTGGAATTACGCTAGCGATTTAGGTGGTGGTGATGCAAGTGCTAATCAACAAGCTACTATTGGTACTGGTGACATCAACGTCGCAGGAGATCGCGATGCGACGTCTGGACGAACCACTACACAGCCTACCGGTCATGCAAGTGCTGCCTACGCTCGTGGCCCCGACGGTTCTGGTCGTAGCCCGGTTTCTCTTGGTTACGGACATGGTGAATCGTCTGGAAACTTGGACAAACAGGGATCTTCATTCTTCTCCCGTTTGAGTTCTCGCGTTGCAGGTGCGTTTGGAGGCGGTGGATCCCGCACGGAAGGTACGAATGCGATCTCGATGCGCGCCTCTGTTGGACAACAAACTGGAACTGGTGGAGCACCTGATTTCAGTATTATTACACTTCTTGTTCTTTGCTAAAAAGTGTTAAATTAATCTCTCGATACAACCAGTGTTCAAGTCTTTCAACAATAATATCGAAAATTTGGTGAAGTAGACAAGAACAAGATGAAGATTCTGATCTGGTGTCTACCCCTATCCTTATACCTTCTTATATACCTTTTACCTAACCTTACTTTTTCTTCCTAGTTAGCTTGGCTCCACCCGTAATATTATGCCTCCTCCTCCAGGTGGCTCTTCAAGCGCTCTGAGCCGCAGTTTCGAAGTCGAGAGTCCGAAGAAGATGTTCGATGGCAGCACCGGTTCCCCAGGAACCGAGCAAGCCCGCGGAGTCTCCACTTTGTACGGCGCAACGATGACCGGCCAAAGCCGTGCTGAAATGATGGCGAACGAAGCAGCTATGCGAGGAAGCACTGCATCTGGTGGGGAAGTCGACGCGCGTGGATCGTCGTTCTTCAGTCTACAGATGTTGACATTTGGCTTGCTTGGTGGACCTGGCGAGGCAAAAACTACTGCTGAAGATGGGCAAGGCGGAACTGTTTCGACATTGTCTTCTCCTACTTCTGGTGCAGGAGGATCCGCTAAGTCTTCTACTTCTACCTCTCTTCTCGCTCACATCCTGTACGCTTTGGCTCTGCTCGTCGACCTCGGTGCTTTGATCATTCTGGTCGCCAGTCCCTACGATTCGGCAAGTTGCGACATGTCCCTGTTTTTCGCGTTGCACACACTCTGCGGTTTGTTACTCGATGCCGCGCAGTACATCGCTGGAGCCCGCGCGAAGTGGCAGCGCATGATCAAGGCGGGATGTTCCAATCGCTTTTCCTCTACATCGGACGATCCTTTGTCGATTTCGCTGAGAAGTACTTCTGTGAGGACGAATGTCAAGGGTGCTCTTGTTGTGCCCGATGGATCTCCTGCTGCTGCTGCATCGAGCGCTTTCTACGGTTTGCTGTTGAAGTACTCCATGCTGACGTTGTATGCGACATTCATCGGCTTTGGCGGCTATTTGCTGATCACGTCTAAGGGCTCTTGCGGAAGCAACCGTCTGTACTACGCCGATGCCGCATTGTGCGCCAGTGCCAGTATCATGCTCTTGTTGACGGTCGCTGCTTCTTTGGCTGAATGGTGGGCAACGACTGTGACCACTCAAGGAGCCGACAAGGTCGCTTCTGCTGCTGCTCGTACGTTGCCGAATTTCGCGGTCATCCTTGGTCTGCCTTTGGTCTTCTGTCTGACTGACCACACTTGTGAGTCCAAAGCCAACGCTGTTGTCGCTGGAACACTCGCCTTCGCTGCTGCGATTGATGCTGCTCTGTGCTGGGCCAGTTTGGGCAACGACACCACGACAGATGCTACCGACACCTATCTGTCCAACGTCACGGCGTTCGCCTTGGTTGCTGCATGCGGCCTTACTCTCGGATTCTGGTCTCCGGTCTGTGCGAACGCGACTTTCTACGCGAACATCGGTGTGTTGTCCTGCATTCTGCTCACTCTGTCATTGAACTTCGCACTGACGGCGTTGTCTACCATCACCACGCGTAAGTCGGCGTCGGCGAGTTCTCCGGACACTGACGCTAAGACGAACCCTGAGGACGAACCGTTGTTGGCCTCGCCTGCTTTGGAAGTCTAGACGATTCGATGAATCTTGGAGGAAAAGTGAGGACTTCGAAAACTACTACAACAACGGTCACTCGACGAGACAATGAGGAATCCCAACACTTCGACTCGACGGAGACCACCGAGCTGAGCTGAATGCGGTGGAGGACAAATTCAATCATTATCATGTGAATATGCCGAACTTCATCAAACAAGATGCACAGAGCTGAAAAAATACATACAAAAGCAGATAGAGTAGAATCTTGAACTTTCGATTTCGCTTTTACCGCGTGCGAAAATCGTAGCCTTTCATCTTCCTGTTGATAGATAGAATGTTGATAGATAGAATAACAATTAAAAAAATGAACTTTTGTTTTTGACCACATTCATCGATGAGAAAGTCTAGATTTGAGTTTGAACTTGTTTTTGCACCAAAATTTAGATAAAGTATGCAGTATTTGAAGAGAAAGAGATATGTCGTGATTATAAGTGATCATGCAACCCAGTTGTAACTACCGGAAGAATTCGCATTCTCATACATCAACTGTGATGTGTCGAGATTACCAACGAATTGTCACTATTATGTCAAAGATAAATGATTTCGACTTCCTATAATTCACATTCAGCTAAGTAAGAAATACCAATAGAAGTAATGAGCAAGTAGTTGTATTTGTAAAGTCGTTGACACATATTCTAATAGAAGTATACTATTATTTCAAAGTTTATTTCTGCACAGTAAAATCTTCAAGGTAGATTGAAGTAGAACCTGCTCTGAGTACAACAAGCTGCATCTCAAAAAGTCATTTTGATCGAAAATAAAAGAGAATGTGGCCCTATCGTGAACTACCAAGCAAAATCGGTTCAATCGTATGGGCACTGCAACGAACAAGTAGTTGATGTCTGGCATTTGTAATTGCTACATCTATTGTTTCACACGAATATAGACCATTGATTGATTACTTAATAATGGGGGGAGGAAAATAGAGAATGCACGACTATCACGAGCAGGTGGACGGACGAAACTTAAAAGATAATGTTGACCATGACCGCATTATTACAGTGATTGACGAATTAATATGACACTGCCATGGGAATGGCCTCATTTTGCAGAATAGCCTGGCAATGCGGTATTGCATCAATTTCTCGTCTCGTTTCAAAGAAAAAGTCACATCTGTAGTCATAGATTAGTTTGAAGATGATCGTCTGTCTTGAAGTAATTTCGTTTGATGGGAAGATGGTGTGCTGATGAAGAAGAAAACCTAACTATTGTAGCACTTACTCATCACCATGATAATTAGGGATTCCATGCCATTTCTGATTCTGATACTGATTCAACAGAACGAATCGTGGCAGAAAAAAAACATGACGTTAACTTTCGGGGGGGCGAAACGAAAGATGACAATTCTTGTTGAGCTTGAAACAAAACTCTTTCTAACTCTCAAGACGAAGTCCTTTTCTTATATGATGGAATCAAGACTAGTGCAGATGATTAGAGCCTCCTCGTCGTCCTCAAAAGGCTTCGATGAGTGCGCCTCCATGTGTTCAAATTTTTCGCAACGGATCCAGCATAAAGTCAGATCGATGAGTTGTCTTGTATCCTTCGACGTGAGTGCTCCTTAGGAATCTTCTGTTTAGACGAATCATGATGATCTGTCGAGACTTCTTCAAGAGTGCTGCGTATCCATCATGATCATCTGTTGCGACAAAAATATCTGTTCTCGAGTGAAGAACTACCAGCTCTGTCCTGTGAGTCTGAGAAGCGGATCTATAATACTACAAGAACGATTTTTCTGTCAGCCTTGAGCAATTTGTTCCGGAGCGAGTGATCTGCTCCTACGATAAGATTTTGACCAACATAGATTCCCCACCTCAACCTTCTTCTAGAATTTTTAGATGAAGAACACACTCTAATCTCCTCAACACCTCAGGCATCCTTCAATTGTTACTTCCCCTCCAACCTCGCGTTTAACCAATCGACCAATTATCACCGAGAATTTACTTTTCAGTTTTCACCTCTTCATTATCATATCGACATAGCTATTCAGTAGAAGACGGCTTTCCAATTATTCTAAACGACAACACTCATTCATCCGATTTCTCGTAAAGAGACTCGTTCGCGTTCCACAACACCAACAAGATGTCGGACAAAGGAGCAGGAAAAGGAGGCAAGATGGCCTCGTTTTACAACCTGAAGTCAACGGCAGGCCCGAAGGATGACGCTTACACGGTACTTATCATGAACTGATGATTTTGATTACCTCATGTTGCCTATACATGCTTCGAGTCATTCATATGAAGTAGAAGTGGATTTTCTTCGTTTAATGCCTACTACTACTTCCTACTACCCTCCTTGGAATTAGAATTTGATGTGAACTAATAAGTCCTTGAACCATCATTTCAATCAGGCGGTACGCGTACATTAAAATCACAAACTATGACAAGAACAAGAAGAACTTCTTCTACATCTACCCATAAGCATAATTATAACGTATACAACGTACTATAATATATATCTCCATTAATCACAACAACCAAAGCCAAAATTTCAAAAAAACTCTTCTCAGATTGCATACATGGATGACGATGGTGCTGAGAGGGAAGCTTTGCCGTCGTACTTGCAATCCGGTGCCAGTCGTGGCTCTGCTGCCGAAGCTTCTGCTGGATCCCAACAAGGAGCTGCTGGAGAAGAAAGAGTGTCCGGTGCTGTAGAAGAAAGAGCGTCTAGGTACTATAATTTGTTGACTTCTTTTTATCGTGGTTCTTCATCCCTTAATCCACCTCGCCATTCTTTTACCATGATGCATTTCTATGCTTTTTAAGTTAAGTACCAGGTATAATAAGATAAGTACATGATAGAAGTTGTAGATCAAAATCGATCAAAAATTACCACTCGTCTAGCATTCCAACCGATCTCTTGTTTTCAGCGCCAGCACAAGTGATAGAAAATCCGGGAGCAAGAAGGACGATCGCCCGTCAAAGAGTTCCAGCTCTAAGAAGGAAGGCCGAGGATGCTGCTGCCCGTGCTAAGGACATACGTATTACGTAAGTCGTAAGTATTACGTAAGTCGTGCTACGGAATCAAGATCAAGTGGAGAACAAGAATCTACTAACACGAATAAGACGTCGAATGAATATTTTGAAATTTATGATGCTGTAGCATAAAACTGATGTATAATTGGTGGTAAAGGAATTTTCTTTTTGCATCAAGAGGTAGAGGACGAATAGCATCTTGATCTTGTAACTGAACAAAGAGATGAACATCTTGATCTTGTTCTAAGAACTAGGAAAAAAGAGCTTGCGCATAGTAATCAACATATGGAAGGAACAATCAACGCTAATAATTGAAATACTATAGATTTATGACTGTATACAATTTGACCAACAAACTAGTCGGGGTAAATAAGGTTGTAAGTAGATAATTTCTTGCAACGTCACCATCTACGTCGTACTAGCAACATCCCTACGCAAAACACGAAAATGAAAAGGAGCCTGAGACTTGGGATGTAGCTGGACAGTACTTGTATTTGGATAGAACGAATAACAGTAATTCATATTTGCATAGAAAAATAATTGGATTTAGGGACAACGACAATAATATCTTGATTTAGGGAATAAGATGGAAGAGATTATAGAGTAGATACTAGACCGCTGGTACTAAGCGTCTACTTAGTCCCACCAGCGACAGCTTGTGCGAGGGCTGCGATGGTAGTTGTCTTCAGGCCGTTACCTGTCCAACGCTGTGCTGTGTTTCACGTCTGAGAAGAGCGCCTGTCATGAATATCGTATCATGCTTTCCCCGATGACCAGAGAGCAAAATCAACAGACGAGAATACCAAAAATAAAAAAGCCAACGTGATAACACTTCTGTGCTGAGTTGCAGACATATCTGTCCCACTTGAGAGCCGACGATATTCGTTGTTGAAAAGTAGCAGAGCCTGAGAGAGTATTCAAAGATGGTAAAAAAATAATTTGTGTTTCATGATATCTCAATCATGCTTTCATCTTGAAATCGTCACTATTTTCCCTCTCGCTCTGCACGACGACCTCCAGGAAATCGCATAATCTTTGAGACGAACAAGAATTATCCTGCGCAACTGCATGACTTGTATTTGAGAAAATTTCTTGCCCATTTGAAGTGATTGATCTTCAGCTTCAGTGTAAGTCTATCTTGTTGTCTCTTTATGCTGTACTAGGTTCATCAATTATGTACTATTTGTAAGATGAAGATCAGCTTTTCAACAACGTGAAAACCATCTTCTATGACACATAAGTACAGCCCTCCCTATAATCGCTGTCCAAAAAATCAAACAAAATGAGTGACCAACCAGCTTCCTCCGGCAAAAACAAAGGCAACAAGCGTAGTTCTGGAAAGTCGTCAGGTGGGAGTGGAAAAGGTGGCAAGAGCAAAGACTACAACAAGCATGTGAATCAACTCCCGGATTTGCTCGATGACGTGGACGTTGACCCAACGTTGGATCAGAGCAAGGTGATCACAGTAAGCGCCGTAGCCAAGGCTCCAGCGAAGCAGGAACAAAGGCAAAGTGGAAAGGGACAGGGAGGCAAAATAGCATCAAACTACGCACTGTCATCACAGAATCAAGTAGGCACGGAAGGGATCACGAATATGGAGGTACAACATGATCCTGCTAAAGTTTTTTTTGCCGCAAGATAGATGAACCACTTCTTTTTAGATCACTTTTTGATGTTGTCCACCTTGAATTACCTTGTTGTAGCTTTTTGCATCATCATGATCGTCATCTTCCTCAACATCAACATGATAATTACAACCTTCCAGGTCCCCGGCAGTCTCGGTCAAGGTTCTGATCTTACCGAGGAACAAGCCCGTCCGACTTATTTGCAAAGTGAAGGTTCTTCTGGAACAAGTATGATGAATAATATCAGCAACAAGAAGCAAGCCACATTTGCCGGTTCATCCGGTTCCGGGAACATTCCAGATTCCTACGACGAGCAACAGCAGGGTGACGCCCTTGGATCGATGGTAAGCGGTCTTGAGAGCTCGATGAATCGTCCTACAGGTGCCGATGTATCAGTCCCACGACCTCGTGGAGACGGGTACAGCTTCTTTGGTGGCGCAAAACCACAGAGGATTGGAGATGATGTTGACAACAACACGCCTGGAAGCAACAGCAACCTAAGTGCACGTGGGGTTTATGAGCTGCAAGGTGATGGTGCTATTGATGAAAAGGGAGCGCAGATGTCTTCTGGCTATGTGGCAGGGTCGAGTGGGTCGAGTCCTCAGGTAGGATACGGTGGAATGGCGAACACAACCTATCCAGTGCCGGCTTTGGATAGCTTTAGTGCTCGCAGTATGCGGAAAAGTCAGCAAGAACGAGCTTCGCAGGCAAAGAAAGACGAGGATAAGGGGAGGGGATGCTGCGGATGCTTCTAGTAACTTTCCCTTTGTTATTGTTTGGGAAACCAAGACACCTGAAAGAACCTGAAAGAATTGATGCAGCCTTATTATGTTTGATGAAATTGAAATTGCAACCTCGTACAGTTGCTGTGGCCCAGAACGTAATATAGATTGGTAAATGTCGATGATACAACATTTTTTCGTTGTACTTTGTTTTGATTTTGTGTAGTTGGAGTTCTTCATCACGTTCATGTAAAATGTCATGGAGGTTGAATTGATTATTCAGAGATATGGAATTTGCTGTTCATGCTCATGGTTGACTATGCAGTTCGTTATTGACAAAAATACACGAATCAGATATGTAGAATAATTTTAATTGCTTGATAGCAGTTTGGACGATTGAACGCTTACGCTCGCGCTTAGTCATCTATTTCGATTTCCGATGATTTAACATAATGATAATATTGAATAAATAACGCTGATACATAATGATACCCGAATACTGCTAAAGGGAATTTCATGAAACTGAAATCACTGATGCCGCGGTGTTTGACATACTTTTCGTGCGCAAAAACAACAGGAATCATGATAACAGGTAGTGGCCACACTGCCTGCAAGTCCAAGTCATGACTTCTCAATAATTTATGAACCTACTAACGCGGTATGCGACTATATCTGAATCTGGTATGGTAGTATTTCGCAAAATAACTGCAGCTCTTTAGGCCTTTTCTGCTACAGCCGAGCTGATCGCTCTATGATTTACAGATGTTCTCTTTCTTCGATCCTCCAGAAACAAAATTATGAAGCAAAACCAGACCTCAAAACACGCGAAGGAACCTACGGCCCCCATGTTGAAGCGTCTTCAAATTTACAACTTCCCTTGACACCATCAACAACCTCTGCTTCACCAACTGCGATGTCGTAAAAATTACACTACCACCAACGCAAGTAGAAGTAGCTGCATGCAGGAAAAAGATGCGTTTTCCAACGGAACGAACTACATCACAATGACTACAACTTTCGCGAATTACCCTGGTTTGCAACTGTACTGTTCTTGATCAAGAACCATGTGACGCTGACGGCGTCGGCGAGTCCGGGGATGATGGCGTGGCCCGTCAGGGCGAGGCGCCAAAGTATGCCCCCGCGTATGGGCATTCCTCCGAAGATGAAGATGAGGCTGGGCGTTCCTCTGAAGATGAGGCTGGGCAAGAAAATATTGCATCTCGTCGTGCTCAGCTCCGCAGCTTCAAAGACCACAACAAGTGGTCACGAAATCGCTGGGCGAACGGCACTCTTGACTGCGTTGGACGAACACTCCTCCGCAGATCCATGGGGTCAATTGTCGTTGGAGACAGTGAAAGCAGGCTTCTTTGAGGGCGCTTATTCTACCTCTCTGCTCCTCCGCAAACTACTCCATCGAGTTGGCGAGCTGTATCAGTTTATGGGCGAGAAAGTGGCAGCGAAGGGCTGTAGTTCTGGCGTCTATCACTATCTGTGGATGCCTGAAGACGAAAAGCGGAGTCCCAGATTGGCACAATGGCACTCACTAGCAACCTCTGGTTCGGCAGCTGAGGGACCAGTAGAAGAGAAGTCGGTCTCTCTTGATGCACTTGATGTTGTTGATGATCCAGAAGTCGAAGATCAAGAAAGTTCTACATCTTCAGGAGTAATCGACGTAGGAGCTAAAGCTTATCAGCTGACGTTTGTGCTCGACACTCTGGCAGACTCAAGCCAGATCGCCATGTGGGATAGGGAGTCACGTGCAACAGAAGAATGGAATCAGCTCGTCGCAGGTCGCCGAAACACCTTGGAGGGCTTTCTTCACGGATGGCGGGATGAGTTGAAGGCTCTGGCTGAGATTCTCGAGCAAGAGGAAGTAGAAGAAGCTGTTAAAAAGGGCGAAGAAGAAGAACAAGAACAAAGACGAGCAGAGGACAGCGAAAGCGAAAGGCATCATCGTCATCAATCTTCTTTTGCTCAACGAGAAAAAGTCGGCTCATTGTTGGAGCAGATAGACGGGCAAGAGACTGAGCCTAATCCTGACGAACAAACAAGTGAAGATGAAAGTACTACCTCCAACATCTTTTCTTTCGTTGAAACTGCATCTTCCACATCGAATCACGACCACGACAAAGCTCATCGCCTCCCCATCCACGTGAGTCCAGTAGTCGACTGCGAAGCAATCAAAGAAGATGTGAGCAAGAGAATCTTGCAAAAAGTTGCGGAGACAAGCCAAAGCAGCACACCTTCTACTAGAAGCAGCACAGCTTCTCGACGTAGATCCAGCACTCCTAGTACATCCGAGAACAAACTTGACAACCTTTGGTGCGCAGTGGAGACGCTGAATAAGCAGATTCCAGTCATCGTTGCCACAGTAGATGATGTTGATTCTGGCGGTGCATCAGCATCTTCTAGTAGTACCACATCTCGCATACTCTCGAATGTTCCAAAGCTTGTTTCGCAGGCTCTGTGGACTGTGAATATTGGACAAGACCTTCTGATGATGGAAGTTTCGCATTCAACTGGGAAAACGCTGGCTGGATCTTCTACAGCTTCATCTTCTTTCACCAGTAGTACAACCACTAATTACAACCATGATGCCTTACAACATGACTTCGCTACGCATGTGCAGCATGAGGATGGTGGAACTGGAAAATCATCCCTCTCTGCTTTCGACACTGCTTTAGAACACAGTCTTGAGAGGCGAAAGGCGCTCCGACGTGCAGAAGTGTGGCAGCATGATCCACAAGGACATGGTGGACATGAAACGATGAACAACCAGGACCATGCGGTCGTGGTCGACGAAGACGACTATAGACTCCGCCATTCTCTGCAATTTCTGATAGAGCAGAGGCTTCGCACAGATGATGATTTCTCGGTCTTACTTCGCGACGGCATATGGGATCCTCCTGGTGCAGAATTGGCACAAGGCGAGCTAGGAAGCGGGCGGACGCTGCGCTGTGACCAGATGCTACTAGGCTTACCTTTCGGTAACGCGAAACAACGATTAGAAGATACTAGTTTGACATGCAGAAACGGCCGTCTAGTGTTGGAGGATTTGAAGGGCTCGGTGTTTGGAGGAGGTGGTCAGGGTAAAGATGCACATTCCTTGGCTTTCACTCTCTTCAGTACAGATCCAACAGAACTAGATAGCGCAGTTCTTGCAGAACAACACGATGGTGAACAAGAACAACTGCAGGACCTACTATCATCAAGTGGACCGGGGGCAGGCGCTTCATCATCTATTGTTACAAAAACTTCTTTAGTCTCGATTCTTCGAGCATTAGATACCAGTGAAGATGGGAAGGACGTTACCTCAGACGAGAAAGCGTGGTCGGGTCTTATTGACCGCATTTTTCGCGAGAGTCTTCACAAGGCAGAGATAAACTCATTCGCATCCTCATCGTCTGACGGAGATGACGCTTCTTCTGTAGATGACATGAGTCGTGCGAGTGGAGAAGATGCGCACCAGCAGATGCTACAATTAGGCGGATCATCTTCCTCTTTTGCGAGTTTTCAAGACTCTAGTGGGGCCACTCCACCATCGACCACGAATCACGATCCATCGACGGACCACTTGACAACCACGGACGCTCACCCGACTGACCAGGTGACAACCACTCACGCTCACCACCACGACGACGTCGCCATGCGAGCAACCAGAACTAAGTCCATCATGCACAGTGTGTACCAGAATGCGGTCCTAGTATCGTTGAGTAAAGGAAACGTCTGTGCGGAAGTACCGGATGACTTGAGCTATGCCGGCGCTCATGCTCAGAAGGGTCGTTCGGATACGAATTATCTTCATGACGACGACGAGGACCTAGACGACGATAATTCCCCTGGAGGGGCTGATGTTCTTCAACGTGTGGAACATGATCCTTTGGGCTACTACGCTGTCCTTGGAATCGATTTGAAGACGGAAGGACATCTCTTCAGGCCTACTGGCGTGAATGGCGCAGTGGACCGTCAAGCAGAACTCGAGAGGAATGAGCTGGTAAAGGCACGCTTGAACGATCTGAGAACGCTGTATAGACACTACAGAGCTCGCAGGAGGATGAATAGGGGGAATTTACGAACAACGTGGAAATAGAATGATTCAGGTAGACTATCACGACTACTTTTGTGGATGTCATCCTCATTGCAGGAGGCCCTTTCTGAGTAATTTTAGATGTCTAGTTTTTGACTTGAGCAAGACGCCATCCTCCGTTTTTGACTTGAGCAATGCTACGACGCTAACGTCGCACCAAAAAACACGTTAACATGATCAAGTCATCTTGACGTCATCATCTCTAATCCTCGTATGGCTCCTACCAGTCAATTTGCTGTGGCAGCTGCTTCCAAAAACCGCAGCAAGGCTTACGCTGGTGCAGCTAGCAGCGGCTAGACGGACATTGCGACTACCAACTCAGGCATCGGATTGGACATCACAGTCGTCAACGACATCCTCTTCACATCTTCACTCTCAACATGACGACATACAGGATCAACATGGCGTAGAATGGGCACTTGGTGGTGAGGAGACTGAAGTCGCACAAGGTCGTGACCATCATGAACGTCAAGATAGCGCGAGCCAAGTTCTGGATAACGCCGCTATGCCAACACGGAGTCCCCACTACGCTCGACTTCGAGATGACAAAACTAGAAGCGTCGAGTCGATCATCCACAGAATTCCCGGTATTCAACGGGAACTGAGACTTCGACTTCGTCGTGAAGCAGATAGTGGTGATACTTCCTCAACACAGGAACACGAAGCCCAGCCTCCACATCAAGCAGAACATGGCTCCTCTGTCTATACAAAATTAGAAACTGCAGAAAGGGTGCTACAGCAGATGCTACATCATTCTCCACGTGTTGGAGGTGAAGTCGTAGGCGTCGTAGCATCAGCAGATCACAACCACGAATCTCTACTGGAATCGCAGTTCCATCTAGTGGAAGAAGCGTTTCAGCATTTATACGAAGAGCGAGCGAGGCGGTCATATGAGTTACGGTGCGTGACACTACCTGTGGTCATCGAAATATTTGCACCAAATATGTAGCATGCATGCAATCCGTAGCGGTTCCAGTCTTGTATTCTTCTTTTGTTGAATTCAACGAGGACATACAAGTACAAGAACATCTGCAGAACACCTACCTTAGAGATAAACATGCAGAAGAAACTGAAAAGTTTTTCATATACTTACCATCGATGGATCCATCATCATGTCTTCTCTTTCATCCTCCCGTATGCGAGACCAATATATCCTAGTGGGGAATCATGCAGTAGTCGTGGCGTCCTTAGCCCAGAAACTAGAGCGAGTGCGACAGTGTTTCCGAGTCCCGAAGTGTTTTTGGTGCAGTGTATTGCCAAGAAGCGATGCTGGGAAGTGTCTCCTCGACTCCACTCACGGTCGTGCATTTATCGACCAGATCTCTTCGCCGATTGCGCCACTGGAAAAAGGATTGGTCCATTACGTGCATGAACTTGCAAAGGCACAAGGGGAAACTAGAAATGCTCTGGAATCCTTCCATGCACTAGACGGCAGCATTGCGCGATACAACACGAGGATGGACGAAGCAAGGACAGTGTTAGACGACTCGATTCCGAAATACTTGCATAATTTAAGGCTCAACCTGGTCGAGAAGTACCGTACTATGTATGGTTTAGTATCAGAAACGGCGATAGAGTTGAAATTTACAATTCAAATGCTAGAAAGGCAGGTAAGCGTAAAGACATGAAGTTCTCGAACTCGTCAGTCTGAATCTTTCTAAGCAGTATGGGTATCCAAATGGAGAGATACATGGGTGCAAAACGTGACGAGCTGACACATAACCCCAAGATGTACGATCCAGGGGAGCTTGATGGAGGCGAAGAAGATAGTTATGATATACAACTTGGTACCTCTATCTATTGCTGGAACGTGTACTTGAAGATAGAGCTTTTTGCATTGATGAAGTTGAACAAGAAGTTGTAGGTAGATTTCCCAACTACACACCGTTCCTGTGCCTGCTTCATACTATCGATTCCGACGACGCCGAAGAGGATGAGGACGACGAAGCGAAGTCTCCAGACAATGCTGCTTCATCCAAAAAGAAGACGTCCAAGAAGCCGAAGAAGAAGAAGAACAAACCGCAACAGAAGAAGAAGCCAACCATCGGCCCTAAGGCTACTCCAGTGGTGGAAATGGCAGGGGAAAATGTACAAACGATGAACAGTAAAGCGATGGAGCAAGCTGTGGAAACGCCTGAGGAGAAGGAAGAGAGGGAAGCCGAAGAGGCAGAGGTCGAAGAGCAAGTCGGAGAAGCGGCTAAGGAGGTACAAGAAACACTGCAAAAAGAACTGGATAAGGAAGAGGAGGAGCAAAAAGAGGAAGCGAAGGCAGTGGCGGAGGGAGACGGATCAAGGGTGGACGCGCTGGAAAAACTTATGATTGAGACGATGTCTTAGTTTACGTCCACCTACAGAAGTAGAAGCTATAATACAACAAATACGACAACTTACAAATTACTTACAATTCACGATGTTGATCTTCAGATGCTCATTTCTAACACCCAACTGGACGACGAGGAGAAGAAAGGAAAGGAGGAGGAAAATAACAGAGGAGATGAGGAAGAGTCGAATAAAAAAGCGAATGCTGCTGTAGAAGTAGAGCCCCCAGATGAGGACGATCCGACAGAGGAGGAAATAGAAGAGCTAAGGCGCCAGAAAAGGGAAAAAAGGCTGAAAAAAGTTAAACCTCCTGAGCCAGATGAACCTGAAGAGGAAGAGCCTGAAGAAGACGAAGAGGATGTTGAGGAGATAAAGGAAGAAGAAGAGCAGGTCGAAGAGAAAGAAGGAGATGCTGATGCTGATGCTGGTGAAAAAGAACCCACTCCTGCCAAGAAAGAAGAGAAAAAGGAGAAACCTCCAGAAAAGGACAAACCTGGAAAGAAAAAGACTGTCATGGACCCACGACGAAAAGTTTGGCATCCTTATCGATTAGACCAGGCACATCCTCAAATCCGCACACAACTGCTCGAATTGCACAGCAAGTCTAGAGGACAGATGCTACGTACCGAAGGCAGGCCCAGACGTCGCAAAAAGAGTAGTACTACTAGTGGTGGGCAGGAGGAGATGAAAGTAGACACGCTAGTACCTCTTGCAGCTGACGAGAACAGTGACGCTATGTCTAGTTCATCTACAACAGGTGCAGAGTATCATCATCGTCATCACCATCATCACAAAAAGAAGAAACGACACAGCAAGAAACATCACTATCAATCAGAACAGCACGTGGAGGAGGAAGATCTCGTAGGAGGTGGAGGGGACGGGAAGTCTTCCGAGAGCAAGTCCGGTTTCACGTCTAATGTGCACAGCCTATTCTCTTCCTTTTTCTCGCGAGGTGTCTTAGGGTATCTCTGACCACGAGCACAAGAATTTATAAATTTTGAATTCTAATCTTGTACCTCTACTTGGCTATAGGTTAGATGATGACTTGCAGTTGCAACAACTCTGTTTGATTTTGACAGTCGCATTCCGAAAAAACTCACTAAGCTTTAAATACCTGATTGTCTGACGAAACTCACTTCGACCACCGCGATGTGCATGAAAAATCGATTACAACTCGCCTATGCAGTACCAGTAGATTGTAAATGATGTTGGCTTCTATAAGAAGTACGCCTTTTATTGCTCTATTTTTCAATAACAAGTGTTAGGTAGATGAAGTGCTCATAGAAACAGCTGGAAAGACTGTGAACCCGTGCACCCGATTAAGCACTTCGGCTTCATCTTGCACATCGGTCTATATCTATAACCTCATATCATCTGAGGATAGATCACAAGCTGTTAGGAGCGAGTTGGGAGTAAAAGTGAGTGTGCCCTCAGCCTGAGCGCATGTTATCTCGATGTCCAAATAAAAGCTAGATCTAGGTAAATATGTTCGTCACGTAAAGGATGCTTCCCGCGTCGTTTGAGCCCCGTTCGTTGCTAGGCGTTCGTCCAGTGCCACAATGACCGAGCAGCTCGATCCTTGTGTTCCACGCTGCAACAAGGAGCGCCTCCGCTTGATGCTGGCGATGCCTCCGCAGACCTCCTCGGACAGCAGAGCCTGATGTAGGTATGACCTCTCTCGACGGCAGGACCACGATCATTGGGGTTGGGCTCATCACCTCCTGAAGAGAGGTGAAGACTCCCTGTGGTCCCTACACCAAACAGAATGGCCGACATCCTCGTCAAAGCCACGCTTTACCTGCTCTTCGCCATCTGCTTTTCCCTATGGAATGTACTCCAGCTCTCGGTCAGCACGACGAATCAGGTCTATTCCTCAGTTGCACCAAGATTCCTGAAACAACCATGGTTGTTTTCAACGGAGGACAAGCAGAGCGCTCTCTCGTCGAAAGCGGAGAGGTATTTCCGAGACATCCGCACTACGGATGACGTATACCTGTGGCTCCTGAACGTCTTCGTGCCCGCTTTGTATGGTTCCAAACCGGCGCTCGGGGATGAGTCGTACTGTGGAACGAGTTTAGGGAAGATTGAGGAGCAGTATTTTCTCCGTGTGAATACAAGGACAAGATAGCACTTAGACTTCCGAGCGCATTAATCATGACGATCAGTTTGTAGATGTGCCAATTCAGAAGTAACGACAGGACATACGATTTTTACCACTTGTTCTTGTTTCTTCCCTTCATGTCCCACAAAATGCCTCCTCGGCGAAGGGCGCGTCACACCTGGTCAGAAGCAGTGCCATGAGTACTTACAAGAGGGCAAAGCGAACTGCAACCTGTGGATGGGGCCTGGAGCAGCTTGCTGTGAACCATGTGAAAATCGAGCGGTCACTGGAGGAGCGCAGCACGACTCTCAAGAATGTCCGACCTACAAAGTCGATGACGTCCTGCACTTCTGGGAATTCGATAAGCGTGTTGACGACCTAAGCAAAGCGTGTGCGGTTCCTGATGTAGCGCCGGCTTATTTGGTGGATTATCATGCTGGTACGTTGAATGATAGAAGATGCTAACGCTCTTAGAAGAAACTTAAACTTCATCTGCTTGTTTTTCACCTTCATCTTCGTGTGTCTGAGATGAATGTTCTACAGAGCACTCGTCCCTTCATCTCCTCTTCTCTCCTCCCCAGGTCTCGCCAACGCAACTTTCTGTCCCGAACTACTCTCTACAACGCCAACGTACAAACCAGTGGCTGAGTTCAACGCCCTGCTGTGGGTCCGCTTCACTCTCAAGCGCTCAAAGTTGGCCACCTTTGGCAACGAGAGATTTTCCAATAGCTACAAACATTAAGGCTTTTCCGCATCTTGCACTTACTGACTTTTCTTTACTTACTTGCCGCATCTTGCACTTACTTACTTATACTTACTTGCTTACTTGCTTCCTTCCTTACTTTCTTACTTTCTTACTTTCTTGCTTATTTCCTTACTTCCTTCCTTACATACTTCCTTACATACTTCCCGATCCTGACTGACTGACTACTTACCTACTTACTTACTTACCTCCTTACCTGCCTACTTACTTTCTTACTTTCTTTACTTACTTACTTACTTACTTACTTACTTACTTACTTACTTACTTACTTACTTACTTACTTACTTACTTACTTACTTACTTACTTACTTACTTACTTACTTACTTACTTACTTACTTACTTACTTACTTACTTACTTACTTACTTACTTACTTACTTACTTACAGAAGCGTCTTCGATTATCCGCATCGCCCATCGCCATCTACTTTTAGGAATAGAAGAGGCTTTTTCCCCCTATTCCTGAATTTTTTATCCATTTTTATCCAAGGATACACCGTAGGCGTCGGATGGAACGAGCAAAGGTCTTCTAAAAGAAAGTAAAGCTAGTGCCGAGTGGGAGTGCGGACAGCAGTGGGGATGGGGAAGACATGGCGTCTTTTCCCGGAGGCAGGAGTGGGAGTGCAGTAGAGTATCTTCCAGGTGATGGCTATGCGGATCGTGGAGGCTTTGTGGAGTATCTGCATCCGGACTTCAGTGCTGTCCGCTCGAGGAATCGGCTGATTGAGATGCAGCAAACAGGATGGCTGGACGCGGTCAAAACGGCTTCTTTCGTCGCAGAAGTGACGCTGTTTAACGGGAATGTCGGAGCGCAGTTTTTGCACTTGTCGTTCATATTCTTACGTGGATGGGTTCTCGTTCATCCTTCTTACCGTTGTAACTACAGTACTTAACTACATCAACTCCTTCTTGCAATCAATGTACATAACTCCACCAACTTGTAGTCGGAGATCATCTTCAAACATCAACGTCCGTCTCATCCTTTCATCTCTCCACTTTCCTCTATCTAAGTCTTGAAACCCAGGCCAACGGCCTTGTGAAACCGCGTTTAAGTGTCGTTCCCTTTGGCCTCAACCTCTACGCGCACGCGTGGGAGACGTATTTTCGGCTGATCTTAGAGATCTGTGTGGTGTTACTTTTTTCCTTCTTCTTGGTGGACGAATACAACAACTTCTCCGATGCGCCGGTGCAATATTTGAAGAAGCCGCTGTCTTGGCTTTCCGTCGGCAACTTGGCGCTTTGCTTCACCTGCGTGATCCTCTACATCTACTGGGTAACGAGTCACAGTTTTTCGAGTATGGAACTTCCGTTGGAGGGATTGCAAGAAGGGGGAATGATTTCCAAGCAATGGATCGAGGGTGTCAAAGAGCTTCAGTTTCTCTCCGAACGCGCACAAGCGGTCGCGACTGTGGGAGGAGTGAACATCTGTTTCATCTTTTTGCGGTTGCTTTATGGCATGGCGCAATCAACGCTTCAAGTGATTCATGATGAGCATGAACTGAAGAACCATAGTTCACAGGTGGACAGAATGTCCTCATCATCATGGACCTTCTAACTCGGAACCCTGATGTCCGCAGTAAGTCCTAATCTTGGTTTGGTCTTGCAGTCTCTGGGCCAAGGCAGCGAAAGCTTCTCCTGCTTCACCTTCATCTTTCTCTTGCTTTTCTGCGGTTTCGGACTGAGCGGATACCTGCAGTTCGGTGGCACCGTCGAACAGTTCTCGACGTGGTACGGGGCTCTTCTGACCTGTTTTTAAGGGCAGGTTAAAGGTGCTTTTGTTACGTACCGTTTGTTATGGCTCTCTCCCTTAGGTGGGGACAGCCATAACAAGCGGGAGAACCCACGAACACCAAAATAAACCTACCTCTAATGTTTACGCATGACGATTGGGGATTTCGATTTCAAGGAAATGCACTCAGAGGCTCAGAACCCGTTTGTGGCTGTCATTTGGTTCGTCATCTTCATGGCGATTTTCTTCCTCGTCTTGTTAAGGCAAGAACTCCTGCTATTACAGTTTCCGCCTCTATCGCGGCTATCCAACAGGATGAACACCAGGGATCTCTCAAACACAATGAAATATGCAAGGGACGAAAGGAGCCTACTTGAGATGAAGGATACGCGGCTATAGCGAGGACGGACTACTGGAAGTAGCTCTAATCTTGGTGAACATGTTCCTATCCATCATCGTCAGCTGTTACAACAAACAAGTGCGCTATTTGAACGAGCAGATTGAGATCCACGGCGAAATCGACAGCCTGAAAATCTTCGCAAAACAAGTCTTGCAGTTTCTGTCCAAGACGTTCAACTTTTTGGAGAGGTTAAAAATGTTGGCAGCCTTGAACGCGAGCAGTGGATCCAAAAAGCTCAATTTCGAACTGATCAACAAGCTACGAGCCAAAAAGAAGGCCCAGTCGTACCCAGGTTCGACGCACTGTGTGGCGATATCGACCTTGTTCTTACTCTTCTTTCTGACAATCACGCGAATAGCAAGAATAAGAGATTCGCTGACGTACCAAGTGTCGACGGGGTCGGACCTGCAGAGGAGTCACTGGACTACGATGCTACCTGATGCGTTCGCAAACCCACAGTATCCTGCGGCTCGTCGTGCAAATTTCTCAAGCGTCACCCAAATGGCGGAACTGCATTTATGAAAATGCAACGACATCGTGATCCTCATAGAAGAGAACCATTTCGTCTCAGTATAGTCTTTTATGTTGTAAAAAGATATGTCAAAATTCGAATTGCATTTCGCGGCCCAAGTCCATCATCTAACCCCCGACTGGATTCGCTACAGCTTGATAGACGAAATGTACAGCTGTGTCTGGGATAATGCTGCTTCCGTTGCCAGCTCAAAAGTGGAGGATTGCTTTTATGCGCGTGACGAGTTACGTAGAAAACCGGAGGTGTACCGAACAAGGGAACAGAACTACACGTGGCTGTTTGCAGGGAACAGTTTACAGGGAAAGCCTGTGGTATTGAGTACAGCGAATGGCACTGTGTCCAGAAGAAGATTGGGAGAGATGGACGACGGAGAGGGTTACGTTGAGGATAGCCTTCAGCAAGGTGACGGCACAACAAAAGGTGAAGCCAGCTTGTTGGATTTGATGTCGTCATCGGCAGTGCCTGTTGAAGAAGAGGTCCGAAGTCGCATGCAGGAAAAGGAATATAGCAGAGAAACTATCGAACCGCGTGGAGGTACAAGCACTGGACTAGCAAGAGGATTAGATGAGGAGGATCGAATGGCACTTCGAGGCTTGAGGTATTTGACGAGGATAGATCTTCAAGATAAAAACCAGGATATCGAGGCAAACGCACAAGAACCTCGTGCAGACGAAAGGCTCCTCACACCGACAACAGCAGCCAATAGCACCACATCTTCTACTTCAACGACAACTACTGTGGCTGCAGAAGTTTTACCGTTTTCTTCTGCTAAGACCGTAAGTCTAGGATACGTTTTCGATCATATGCGTGAGTCAGCGGCGACCAATCGGGGTAATGCTGCTGCAACAGGTGGCACGCAAGTTTCTCTGACTAGTTTTACTCCGCGTGTGCGGGATTGGAGTGTTGGATTCATGCGTGACAACTTCATCCGACTAACGATTCAGCCAGCTTGCTATCGGCAAAACGACGCAGTGAGGTGGCGCTACGGCTATCCCTTTGTATTGGAAACTGAGGATGAACCAAAGAGGTACGTCGAGGATAGCAGTGCCTCTGGAAGTTCAACTACTTCAGGTGGATCGTCAACAAGTGCGGCTAGTACGACCAGCACTTCAGCTAGTACAGTCAATATCAAAGTAACCAAGCCCTGCTTCGACTTCAATGGGCAACAGGTGCAACTAAAGGAGCTCACCGGAGAAAAATCTGGCGCAAAGTACGTGTTTGAGACAGAGACGTCCTTCATGAAGGAAGGCGGTTACGTGATCGGGCTAGGGAAGACGAAGGCAGAAGCCCAAGCGGCTTTGAGGATACTGCAATTGGATGGGTTTTTCGCAGAACATAGAACTCGAAGGATGAGTTTCGATTGGATGCTCTACAATCCGAATTGGGATTTGTTTTCGTACAATACGGCAACGTTTGAGGTGTCGCCGACGGCTGATTATGACCCACATTGTTCTTGATGTACTAGTACTTGTATGTTGGTTCTACTACTTGTACTAGTACTTGTTGCAGACTTAAGTTTACAATTTGTCTGTTTTTTGACATCGCTTTTTTAAGCTTGTTCTTCTTCTAACCAAAACTAGAAAAGAAGTTTAGTTCGACCGTTTTTCCAGTGGCGCACATTTACAGCGGAGGCTCAACTGAGGACCTAATATCCGACCGCGCCTTAAACACGGTGCTGATGATTCTCTACGTGCTTCTCGTCGTTTGGGTGACGCTTGTTATGAAAAGTGTAAGTTTGCTTTTGCTTTTTCGTGCTCGTGTAGATGAGGAATGCGTTACTACGGAAGCCCGACAAGAACTCTTCCTTCTATTCTAACCTCCGCGTAATGGTCTCCGAGCTGCTCGTGCAGCACCAGATCAGTTCAGAACTTGGGAGACCGTTTTACGGCTTTATCTTTGACTTCTTTGACGAAGACAGTTACAACTACGTAAATGCTCTGGGTGCGCTGGCAAACATCATGGTTATCGTGTCGTGGTTGCAGTTTGTGGCATTGGACGTCCACGAATTGATACTCGAAGCAACCGGAGCTGCAAGCAAGCTGAAAACTGATAGCAGTATTTGGATGTTTCAGATTCATACACATACTTGATGGATTTCTTCTACATTTTGTAGTTCAAATTTAACATGCTTGGGTGATTTTATAGATACATCACAACCACAAGAATCCTTTCTGTTTTGGAGTTGCATTCCCTTGTCTCCACTCCCTGGAATATCTTATTCCTCCAAACACCACCACTCAGTGAACTCCGTCATATCCGGCGATTTGGTCCAACACGAGAGATTTGCTGAGGCCGCTAGCTCCTGGAACGTGTTTGTGGGTTGGTCTGCGATCAATAGTTTTTTGCTCGCCTTGCGCATAATGAAGTATTTTGGCGAGATTTCAGCCGTTGCGAACTATAAGCAGGATGAATCACCAGCGGAAGAGGTGGAGTACGAGTTCCATGAGGAATTAGAAAAAGCCTATGTGTTAAGGCTCAACTTTCAATGGTCACCATTGAGATTGGAGTCACTGAGATCGAAGAGGCGGCCCCTTGAGGAAAGATGGGGGGAAAACGAAGGGAAAGGGGAGAGCTTTGAAGGGGGTCCCTTCCGTTCAGAGTCAGTGACCATTGAAGGCTGAGCTTTAAACGTGGGTCCGAATTCGTTTAAAAACACCTTCAACGCCCCTGCGGAAACAGCCGGCGTGCGTCCTGGGTGGGTAGTCGATAAGATCAACGAGAAGAGCTTGAGGGAGCTTTTGCATCGGGCACGAGGAGAAGCTGAAAATTATGGCTCCTGTGAGATCATCACTAAATATAACAAGAAGATACTGATACTGGCTACTCAAATATTATGTCCACAAAGAATCCATTTCCATTTTGAATTCAAAAATGAAGCACTTACTAAGATGCATAGGTCATCTTCTAAGAAAGGAAAGGCGAACCGTTTGCGGGACGTGTCTGGTTCGATAACTACATCAAAGGTGTGGAGCCGCCATGCCAAATCGTCTTCAAGTCTCAGACGGGAATGACAGGGACCTTAGTGAAGGCATTGGCGAGATGTATTTCGCAGGTACATACAACTTCTTGGACTTTGAAAAACAAAAAGCTAAGCTTCTCGTTTTCAGAGGAAATATGATCTTGACATGTTCTTGTTGCTTTGTCCCCTTGTCCTATCCTGTACTAGCACTAGGAGCTTTATTCTTCCATGTCCACCCTAGACGTTCTCAATCTCACCACCAGGTTCTCCGTTTCACGATGATCTTGATGATACTGCTCCTCGGTTTCGCAATCCTGTTTCATATCCAGTTTGGCACACAGTTCAAGGCTTTTGCGAATCCGGCTACGTCCATTATCAGTCTCGTCCGATTCATGATGGGAGACGTGTTTGCATTAGAATCTTTGCTAGAGGCGAATTACCCTTTCACGTACGTGTTATTTAAGGTTGCAAAATGTAGTTTCCATATTCTTGTCTGGTTCCGTAATATCTTGATGCCGTTTCTCAAGGGAAAAGACGAGGCACAAATATTTATAGGATGCATGTGAAGAAGATGAGTCCGCTTTTTGATGCTGGTGGGGCTTCTAAATCATTCTGGGGCTTCGAAGTGGTGTTTTTCTTCGTCTTGTCGAAACAGTTCCTTGCTGTTATGGTGTACAGCTGGAAAGTCCACAGGGAAGAAACGCAAGTCTACGGCATCTTTCGAAACCTGACCATGCTAGCCGAAAATGCAGTACAAAGTAATCCTGTACTGTTGAAAATTGCGACGAATGTGTTGAAAAGCTGTAGTTGTGGAACGAGTTTATATGGTGGCAGCGGCAAAGGGGAGGGGGGAGAGTTATGGGCTACAGTGTTACTAACTTTGCACCAGAACCGTTCATTATATAACCGGAAAGGTCGCTCTCCCCTGGAGCTACTTCCCTACTGGATGGCCTCACGAGTAGACACCTACTGCTAAAAAACAGGCGCCATGTTGACATGACATGAGGATATGTTTCCATTCATCAAAGTGGGCCTCTGATCTCAGCTTAGAGATGACCTCTATGGCTTTTAGTGGACCTCGTCCTCTGGTCACTGAGCTCTCTAGCTCCTCTGGTCACTGGGCTCTCTAGCTCCTCTGGTCACTAGCTCCCTATATCATCAAAGTGGTTCTCCTGTCCTCACGGTTCTGCTCCTGTGCTCTAAGCTGAGATCTCGAAGCTGTGGGTGAAAGCTACTGGCGACGGTTTGGCGTATTGAAACAGCTGTTGCATTTGCACGAGGACTCGTTGACAGTGGACACCGCATCGATGGAACTGCATAAATACCTGGTTTTGCATCCATTGGAGGAAGAAGAGGAGGAAGGCAACGACTTATGTCCTCTGAAGATCATGAAACCTCAAAATCCTGTCTAAATGAGGCTAAGTAAAAGTAAATAACGTGAAAATTATGTGGAAGAACTCTACTTCACTGTACTAACAGAAGTTCTGAAGACAACTCTTCAAGAAAACGATGAGAAACAAGCACAACGACCTCTAAAAAATCAAAAACAAGGAGCGAGCACACCTGGAAATAAAGACCCTGGAGGTGAGGGAGGTAAAGCATCACCTGCGAAGAAGGGTGAGAACGAACTACAAAAGTTAAGGTTTAGGATCTACATGACAATAGAAATGTCTGTTAGTTTCTTTTTCCTTTGCCATTGCCTGCTTGTTAGTTTCTTGCCGATGATGCGAAGTCCTCCTCTTCGTGCTCCGGTTTCTGCGGAGCGACGATCATGCCCGCTGCCTCTAACGCAAGCAGGAAAAAAATCGAATAGCAAAACTCCCGCAGCAGCAGTGAAGCTGATCAACTCTAGACTCGCTGGACCGCAGCAAAACCCCTTAGATCCAGCCATCCAGGAGCTCGCACAAGAGTTGCGAAGAGCATCGAGGCAAAAGGAGGACGATTTCCGCAATAAGCTGTTCGAACGAGGCGACATAGCGGAGTTCGCGAGGAAGCAAGTCACGGAGAAAATCCGCGTTGGAGTGATGGATATCTGCCTCAAGCACATATGCCTCGACACTACTGACGGCCTCAGGGAACACCTAGTTCGCCACAGGCTCTTGATGCAGATGGGAATTGTACGGTTTGATGACTTCAGAGCCGACTCCGAGATTAGTAAAGTGCAAATGCCGCAGTTTTTAGGGAGAAAAGAAGTGGTGCATATGGAGCATGATCTCGAGAGCGAATATGCGATTACTGAGCACCAAGAAAATGATTTGGAAGTGTTAGCCACCAAACTTGCGATGCAGAGGGAGCAAAAAGCCGAAGCAGAAAAAGAATACGCAAAAAGCGCTGCTGGAAAAGAAGCGGAAAAAAAGAGTAACAAGTTATGGTGCAGCAGCTCACTCAAACTCATTATCTTTGATGAATAACAAACAATGAATTAGGATGATTTATTCGATTTCACATTGCCTTACCTCATTCAACTTGCTCTATCTCATTGTCCTGTAAATTCAACTTCAGCATCAACTAGTCTGACCTCCTATTCTAAGTCTCCACTCTAGTACTACGATGCTGGGAAGTGCAGCCTCAGCATCCCTTAGATTTGCAGGACGCGTCATTGGACCAGGATTTTCTAGGACGTTTTCAAGTCTCGGAGGAGGAAGCGCAAGCAGTAGTTTTGGAAGCGGTGGGGCAGGTTCAGGGTCACGTTATGGCAGGCTTCAAGATTGTTGGACTTCACTTCTCAAAACTGGTGGGATATCAACAACACACACTTATGTCCCTCACGACTCACGTCCACGACCACCTCTCTAACAATCGCTTTCCCTCTTACGTGCTGGCACTGCTGACTTCGCACGCGCAAGTCTTCGCAAACTGCCGAGCGGTCTTCATCTTAGATCGCCTGGTCGTGATGCAGAACATGAGGCAGCAGTGCTAGAACTAGAGCAGCGGAAAGAAAGGGATAAACTGCGCGCACTGTTGCCGCCAAGCCCTTCCGGAGATGGATTGGCTATTCTTTTATGTTCTGGTGTTCATCGTTGCTTTACCCTCAATATAGCTAGTCGTTCATGTGGTTCATTGTGCGTGCTGAGTAAGTAGATAGAAATCAGTGAAAGCTAGTCTTCAGTTTCACAGCTCCTTTCAAGTTCATCACTAAAAGGTAGTCCTCTTCAGTTTCACAGCTCCTTTCAAGTTCATTATTCATCGTTTCTCTCTAATTCACCGCGAGCTACTCTTGGACACCCTATTGACTTCGCTAGAGGGCGCCCGCATCGTGCAGCAGCTTCGAGAGCTGTTTGAGCGAAAAACACCTCAATTCGAACCCGAAAATAGCAAGGAACGCGCTGTCCTAACCAAAAAGGCTCTGCTAGCGGGCAAGCGTTTCGAGCTCTTTCGTGCCTTTCTAGAGGGCAAAGTCCGGCGAAAGCTAGTTGCAACCTTAATCGAATGTGCAGAGGCAAAGAGTCAGATCAATAAAGAGCAGACTGTCATACTGTACCGTTACAGCCAGGAAATACAGAACCAGAGCTCGGGAGTGGAGGATCAGATACAGGGTCTGATTAAGGCTCAAAACAATTCATTTCTACACGCTATTTCTTCTTGTTTCCTTCTTAGGCTCCTTGACATTGAGACGAGAAATGCACGCAAGAAATGAAATGTTTCGAGCTCTAAAATGATGGCAAATAAGAATGCTCTGGAACGCAAGCTTCGGCCTTTGATTAGCGGGGAACCTGGAGCTTGAGCGTGAGCAGCTTGATGAGGGTGGCTGAAAGTCTTTAGTTGCGCTATTTGCGTTGCGTGTATTCCTAGACTAAGCACATCATCAGCGTTACACAGTAGTCATTTTCACTTTTCACAATGTCATATTATCAATGTTGCTGTAGTTACTTTGATTTACGAAAATGTCAAGCAAAAAGAATTTCGATGATGAACTAACACTAACTAGACGATGAATGTAATTATTTTTGAAAAACATTCGTGGTCACGCAATGTGGTGGTCATTGCTGTGGTTGCAAAATTGAATCCTTATACTTACGTTAACTTTAACACTTACACTTCCTCATATATCAATTGAACAGTATCATGCGATGCCACCATGAATCCTTATCGTATTCAAGTGGTAAAGGTAGGTGGCTTAGGGAGTACTAGATTAGCTGCATTCAAGAACCGGTAACTCAGCGTGTGCAACATGCGTGTCATTTGAAAAGTCTGTAACGGAAGAAAGAGACCAGTGAAAATTTGTCCGCTAGTACACAGCCCATTGCCATTCATCACGGGACTACTCTGCCTCGTGCCTAGCAACATGTTGGCAGCGATAGTCAAGATGCGGCTACAGCAAGGGATGATGATCTGTTTTTTCCGCTATTAGAACAAAAGCATGCTTGAAGTTGCAATGAGTAGCGAAAGAACGTCTCTGCTCACCAATGTAGTGGAAATCAATCAAAAAACGATCTCCTAGTCCTGATTGTGATTTTGCAGATCCTTTTTCAGAATTAGAACACTTCATCTATCTAGTAAAAGCACGATGTAGAACAAGTCTTCATCTATTCTTGCAAGTCGTGCTGCAACAACATTCACAAGACCTGGCGAGGCTCTGGAAAACAAAGGGGCGCTGGAAAACAAAGGTGCAACGATGAAGGATGATCATGACCCAAGTTGTGATATCATGCTGTCGTCGTTGGCACATGTCATGGCGGTCTCCTCTGGAGAGGGCCAAGCAAGTTCCTCGAGGCGACGGATCAGGAGTTGTGGCAGGCGATTGTCAGCGACGAAGAAGATGGAGATGGCCTCAAACATCAACAGCACGACGCCTATGCTTAGTGCAGAATGTAGTAGCGATCGGATATCTTCTTCTTCGCTACTTTTTCCTGCTCATGTTGATAGAAGTAGGTCTCGTGCTTTGTTTAGGAACAAGCGATGGACAAGTTGCAGCGGCTCAACAACAAGATCATCGAGTAGCTCGACCACAGGGAAAGAAAGTTACATACGCAGACTTCATTCTTGCAAAAAAAGGAGGATATCCGATTGCAACAGAACATCGAGATATCCGCCTAAACTGCTCAAACACCTTCTTCTTCGAAAACAGTTTCATTTCCACACAGGTGGGCCTGGACTTCATTTATGAACTTCTGGCGTTATGATCATAACACAGCAGGACGAACTACTATTTATCATCTAGCAAGACGAGCAGCTCTGCCAGCTCCTGACAGCTGTATTTTACTTCAGCTAGAAGTGGTAGTTCTAGTTGTGAGCTTCGTGTTCCTTCTTCATTCTTTCACAACGACCTTAATCGATCCACGTGGGTGGTCTAAGAACTACCGTAACCGTAATATTTCTAACTTCCGCACCTCTGGCTACTCGCGTATTGTCCAGGAGGCTACAGCCATACGCCTTTAGACCTCTTGATCCGTCATGGGCAACTGCAGCGAGTCAACAGCTACGGCGGTTTCAACAGTTGGTCCATGGAGTTTATGGGCGAGACGGAAGAGGAGTTGTTGAACAAATTCATCCCCGTCTTCAACGAGTACAACTACGACATCTTTACGAAAAGCGCGAAAGAACTAGGGTTAGAAGAAGAAGGTGTTAGCGGAGCAAAAGACCATGGTCCACCGCAAGACGTAGTTGTCGCAGAGCAAGATTTTTTACCACCAACAACAGAGTTTCACAACAAACGACCTTCGGTTCATATCTTGTTGAGGCAGATTTTGTGGTATCACGTTCAACTTAGGTTGAATGGACACCTGAAACAACTGCGCATTGAGGAGAAAGCCAGAGAGGAAAAGAAGCGAAAAGAGGACGAAGGAGAAAAAGGTAAAGGTTTACCACATCCAGATGACAAGAAGACTGGTGAGGCAATGGCAGCCTTTATCGACGTTCCTGATGAGGATCAGTACGTGGAGGTTGCCCATACCCTATCAACTTCTACTTCGACAAAAACTACTAAGGTGGAAACTTCTAGCAGTGCTACCACTAGTGATAATATTTATACTACAACTTCTGCCAAAGGAACACCTTCAAATTCAGCCTCGAGTGGAAACCTAGCAAGCGTTGACGATCTATATGCCGCGATTATGGCTGATCTAGGTGGGACGCTTCGCAGCCGCAGAGTCAAAGCTAGGCAGAATTGTGAGACTGGAAATGTGGAGCCGAGTAGGGAAAGCGACCAAGATGAGGGGATGAACATCTGTTGGTGGAAGAACTACGCTCATGAGCATATACACGGAACTCGGCAAGCGAATCTGTATGCGCCTACCTCCGGAGACTCCCTCATGCTCCAGAATCCGCAGCTGTTGTCGCCACCTATGAGCACCGAACGGCCAGCGCTTTTCGACATACTAAGAAAAGAATATGATGTAGTGATTCCGGAAATACCAGGGTACTACAGGCGCTATTTGGCTTTTCTTGAGAAGACAGCACCAAAGCACCAGGGTGGTGTGAAGGATATTGCCAAATCAAAGGGGATAACGAGCACCTTGAACACATTGAACGAATCATTTTCGAACACATCCTCTTCCTTTAGTGCTCCTCAACCGACTGAAGCCTCTTCCTCTGTCGGAACAACTTCAAAAAGCCCCCTGAGTCTTAACGTTTTCGCACGTAGTTTCGCGCAGTATCTTCGTGGGTGGCAGGTTCTTAGTCATCGCTACGGGCAAACCGGCGGTTACGTCCAGCGCCTCATCCGAGATCCAAGAACTGACCCTCCAGCACTCCCTGTTACCTTCGACATCACCTACAATTTCTTGGGGAGAACTCACTACGACCCTCACAAATTGATCATCATCGACAAGGAGATGCGGCGATTCGACAATCGACTCTACATCATGATTGGAGAACTGCGGAACATCTCGCATTTCACAAGATGGGCGTTCTGGTTGTACGAATTGCTCGCTAGTGCCTGGTTCGTGGCTTGGGTGAAGCGGGAGCAACTGAAAGTCTTCGTCATGTTAAGGCCCAACTTTCATTAGTCATTCAAGTTGGTCACTGACGCCGAAGCGGAGACCCATTGAGACAATCTAAGGAAAGAAGGGGAATAAAGCTCTGTAAGGTTACAGCCTTGTCCCGTTCAGAGTCAGTGACCAATGACTGCTGACCTTTAATCATGGGCACGAAGTTTTGGCACGATTGGAGAGACACTCTGCCGCACAATAATTTGCTAGTGGATGTGATTGTGCGTGCTTTGACTTTCGGGAATACGTTCAGAGAGGAAGACTTGGGAAGCGCAGACGTGGTTGTGACTGATGTTATTAAAGTAGTTCAACGTATGATACGTAAATACCTACTCACACTCTAAAACATGAATTTTTTTGAGAATTGTTCAGTAAGCAACTGCTCAAAAAGTTTCACGTTTTAGAGTGTGAGTAGTTTTTTACGTTCCATACAACGAGAAGGCGTCGAGAGGACGTCCTCAAGATCAAGAAGTGCAAACCTGTTTACAACGAACGGAGAACAAGCAGAAGCAGCATCAAAAGCCCAGGCTCAGGATCGCTCTTATTTCGTCGGTGCTGAGTTTTGCAATGGAGGAGAGAATCATAGGTGCCATAAATGGTCCCCTGGGGAACAGCGTGCGAAGAAGACTGGGATTAGCAAGGAGAAAGAAAGACGGAATCTCGCACTCTATCGGATACTTCAAAGGTGGCGGACTGCGATGGCCAGATTGGCAGGACAAGAACAAGGACGCGCTTTTTCTAATGAAGGAATTGTACATACTAGTAGTAGTAGTACAGTTACGTTTACGAGCAGTTCTCACAGTAGCACTAGGCAACTGGTGATGCAAGACCTGTTTCCTGAAGAGGAGACGGAGAGCTCGGACTCGGCAAATCCTGTGGAGGTTGTGCAATCCTCTATGTCACCAGTGTCCTCAGATGCAGCAGGCACAGCACAAGAAGATCGAGAATCCCAAGACGTCACGTGGGAATTTATAGGCTGTTTTGTTGACGACCAGGATCGGGGGTTTGAGATCTCCCTCGGGCGTGTCGCAGATATTGCTTTGTGTGCTAGTCATTGCCGCTACGAACATCTTTCAGCCTATTTTTCTCTGCAAGATGGAAACTTCTGTTTCTGCACACGACGCGCTATTTCAGTCAGCATTGGCGTTGGGTACAGATCCACACCTGCCGAAACCGAGTTCGAAGAAGAAGTAGCGATTGGACATTACGACATAGAAAAGTTCTACAAAGTGCCGGATAGTGAGTGCACAGTTATGGTCAACATCTAATAGTGTCCATCTTTCTCAGCATCTCTTCGCTACCCTTTTGTTCCCGTTGAAGAACACAAAGGAAAAGGGACCGAGAGGAATAAAAGCCCACTCTAACGCAGCGGGTTATTCTGGGGTCCGACCCGGGCCGCGGGGGGCAGGCGAGTGCGACCCTGACATATTCGGTGGATACTGTGGTGCCCCATGGCGCAACGCCATCTTTCGCTTCGTACAAAGGAGACAGGCAAAGAAGATGGCAGCTCCAAAACTTTCAGCTCCTAAGGCTACTCAGACTACTCCGGACGAGACGCTTCAACATCATCTTCTCCAGCCATCAGTTCTAGCGCAGGGCGATTCGATTGTGAGAGAATTCTGTGAAAATGTTGAGGATCCCCCGGCGCACGGTTCCGCTCTAAAAAGTGCTGTCCGACGAACAGACTGCTACGCAGAAGGCCTCGCACAATTGATGCATGTCATCAAATTTGGAGGAGAGGACCATGAGAATTCTGGTTCACCTCAACAACAAGGTCAAGGGAGCACATCAAAGGGCTACTTAGACGCCATCCTCGATCTTGAGGATACGGAGACTGGCGAAAACACGCACGAATTCGTGACATGGGACGATGCAGAGTCGAATCTGAGGAGTATCACTTTTGCAGTGGCAACAGGTTTCTATAGTCGGCATCGGGTGAAATACGTAGTGCAAAAAGCGCGGGATCAACTAGGCTGCCGGGACGAATCTGCGCGAGCCTTTCGTCAATTGGTGTGGGAGGAATGCGATTGTGGTGCTGAAGTAGGGGAAGGAGGAGAACTTAGTAGGAGCTTGAGGAGATGGAGGAAGGAGCAAGAAGAAGTATCGGCGGCAACTTTAGGCTCGACTTTACAGATGCCCGAGGATTCTGATGCGGAGCGCACAGGAGAGCATAACCAGGAGGAACAAATATCAACCGCCCACTCTACTGCATCTTCTGCCGCAGCACAACCCCTCGAGCGCCGTTGCATCCTCATACTTCGCCATGGACGTTTCTCAGGTCAGCGACAGTGGACAAACCTAGATGAAATCGTACACTATTTTGAAGATAAAATCGGAGTTCAACGATCGCCAGCCGAGGATTGTCTCAAAGAAGACCACGAGATAGCGAATCCGAGGACTCAACTTGTGAAGCGGGGTGACAACAAGATTTCACTACATGTGTTGAGGATGATCGATTTTTATGGCCTTAAATAACTGTCGAACTCGTACCTACCTAGATAGAAGAAGACTCTTCAATGGATTCGGAGGCTTTACGTAGACAAACCATCACAACAAACATTAGTAGTCGATAAAGTGAATCTATCAAATCAAAATCCCATCTCATCTCTAACCCTCAACCCCTTGTGACCAAGTCCGCATTATGCGCCGTGCGATTCTAGTAGTTGCCAGACACGGAGCAGACCTGACCAATGTTCTGTGGATGCGTCCTGACTCTATGTTGTTGGAGATCAACTTTGAGCAACGATGCCACGGTTTAAAACCATACATGTGGCAGACATTAGACGCCTACGCAGAACGACAGGATTCCGATAACCGCATCCATTTTCAGATATCAGGAAACGATGGCAGCCAGGTTTTCGACAAAGTATTTTTGAAGCGCGAGATGCTTGGGTACCCGAGACGGGTGTGTAATGAAACTTATGGGCGGTAGTTGTCGTTTCACTTTCTCCAACAACCTTTAACATGAATTCGCTCATCTTCTAAAATGTAGGATCCGGTGGCAACACCCATCGCAGTCCCGGATATTATGCCGACTTTGCGAGAGGAGTAGGTGTCTACTATGACTCTCTAGAACTGCAGGTTGACGTGGAGCAGATCCTCGAAGCTGAAAGACGGCATCAGGAGAAAATGAGGCAGCCAGGGAGTAGTGAAGAGGCACCACGTTTAGTTGTCGGAAAGCCACCAGAAGAGGGGGTGGTGAACGAGAGGTCTACTCCTGTTCAGAGTTTCGACTACGATCCTCAAGGGAGGCTCAAATACGCAGACTTCTTTCTTCCGATTGCTCCTTTAGATGCTAAAGTCGGCGCTTTTTTGAAGAAAAAAGTCCTGCTGGGAAGCTCTACATCATGATCTTCGTACTTATAGCGAGTACAACTAAAACTATGTTTCTAGCTAGTTGATGAATTTGTAACTCATTTTTTTCTTGTATTTTTTTTCATCTTTATTCTATTATTATTGTTCTAGTTTTTCATCATCTTTGTTCTTGTGTTTCTTTTTCGTTTCAAGAATTTCTCGTTCAGGTGACTTTCTTGTTTTTCATTGTGACTTAAAACCACTTACAAATTACTGCTTTTCATTGTGACTTGAAACCACTACATCCAACTTTCGCTGTTCCTCAATCCAAAATGATACTGCTATGTATGTATATTAAAAACTCAATAGCGAAGCCGCATGGTCAAAGCAGCTGCAGCTAAAAACTCTCTATTCTTGTTACCATTTCAAGAACTTATGTGCCAACGTCGTGTCTAGAAGAATCAACAGACATCTCTTGTTGTGTATTCCCTATTCAAAATTATGTATCCCTTCTCCTCTCGTCCTCCCCTCGAGGTGCACATCGAAAGCCGCAAGCATGCGGCGTGATTCCAATAGAGACGTTCACGCGCATTACGAGACGCTTGATGAGCGCTAGAGTGTATGAGAATGAACTTATCTATGATGAAGTATGTAGTGAGGGTACTACTTTTGGTTTTGACGCTGACTAGAATTCGCTTTCTTGTATGCTCGAGCTGAACAAATTCTCATGTTCTTGATGGAGCAGCCACTCTCTCGCTAGAAAAGTCCAAGAGCCCCTCTGTAGTCGAAGCTTCCTAGGGAACGACATTTTAGTTTTCGTACCAGTACTATTCGATTTATAAGTAGATTTTCTACCTCCAAGATGGCGTCAGCGAATGCAGGGACGCTCTCGGTGGCCGAGGGCGGCAGAGGGATAATACAGGCGAAAGTACTGACTCTACCATTTTCGTTTTGCTTTCCCTTTCCCACTTTCGACCATTCCCTTCTACCATTTCAATTTTGCGAAAACCGCCACCTCCTCCTCCAACAATCCTCAGGCCACCGACGCTGTCTCCACATCTTCGAGAACGAGCTCAACACGCAGTGGCGAGCTGGATGAAATGACCGGTGTAACAGTCGTCGCGTCGTCTCGGTCATTGGCAGATGTGGATGCGACCAACACTTTTGGCCGAATAAAGAGTGGGACGCAGTTATGATCTACGTTGTTTCATGGTCACCCAGATTCGAGAAGAAGTAACAAGTAGAACTTCGGCACCACTTTTCTCTTTGTATATTCTACAGTACTAGAAGAAGATGTTGCAGATGCAGATCATCATTATGATTAATATGGGTAAGGAGCAAGAACACAGCGACTGATGTGATTGAACAAGATCATGTAGTACCCCGCACCCGCTTCATACCCCCTCACGGACCAAGTCTCCTTCGGGCGACTGACCGTCAACATGGTCCTCTGCGGTCTGGGGGCAGGCATTTTATCCCTGCCATGGACGACAGCTGGTGCAGGGCTAGTGAATGCAACATTAAGGGTAGGTTAAAGGTGCTTTTCTTACCGCTTTTTATGCCTCTCCTAAGGGAGAAAGGCATAACAAGCGGGGTAAGCGAGCACCAAGAACCTACCTCTAACAACAGTCTGGAACGCTTCGATATTAGGTTTGTCCTATTACACTATGATGCTCATGGTGAATGCAGCCGAACGACATCAGGTCTACGAGATGGAAGGCCTTTTGGAACGTTGTGACAGTTTTGGTGGCCGACGCTTTTCGCAACTCATGACCGGAGCACGATGGCGGCTTTTCTGCAGTGGCGCTATCTGGGTGTCGTATTGGATGGCGTTGCTGGGATACTTGATCATCATCTCTGACTCTGTGGTTCCGACGGTGAAGTTTCTGTTCGGAATGAAGACGTTTGACCGCAAGATTCCCGTGGTGTGTGGAGCGTTGATAATACTTCCGCTCTGCTTTTTGTTAAGGCCACTTCTTACAACCACTACTTCTATCTACGGATCAAGATCATTATTTAAGCATCCGATCTGTAGATCCGTAGAAGTTGTGGTAACTAGAAGTACTGGCGTGCTCTAATCTCTAGCCAGAAATCTCTAGCAGTTACGAGCTTAGTCGGAGTCTTCAGTAACTGCTTCGTAGTTTTTGCAGTGGCCTTGAACTTCTTCGTCGGAAGCAACGTGGGTGCAGATGCAGTGTGCTTGTTGGGATTCACGAGTGGTAGTATGTCTTTTGATCATCTCCAGCAGAGAAAATTTTCAAAAAAAAATTTTCAATTTTCATTTTCAAGCACGCTGGTTAGAAAGTAGTACTCTTGTTCGGTCATACCAGAAGAACATCGCTCATCCTCTTCTACTTTCGCACCTCAATTGCCGACACAATGAATAGGGAACATAACCTACGTTTCTGCGATTTGTATGGCAATGGTGATCCAGCCTTGCGTCTTGCCGATGTACGAGACCATGGCGAATCGGTCACCGCAGAACTTCTCGAAAATGCTAATAGTAGCATTCAGCATCCTCTGGGTCATTTTCACCATCTTCAGCACCTTCGCTTACATGAGTTACGGAAGCAAAGTGGAGGGGAACGTATTTCAGAATGTTTTTATATGCTTATTCTGCAGTTGGAACTTGCATCAAAAGTGATAGTAAGCGTAACAAGGTAGAAGGTACTAAGATCAAAAAATGTACTACTTACTCAATGATCTCTCAACCCAGAGTAAGCATCTTGAAAAATCACTTTCCATCTCTCTCCCCATCCACCTCAGGTCCTAAACAACCTTCCAAGCAGTGCATGGTATGCCGTGACGGCTCGTGCAGGGATGTCTTTCGTAGCAATTGGGGTTTACCCATTGATGCTCTTCCCTATGATCGCGCCTATCAAACAGAGGAGGTGGAGGACCATAGCCATTGCAATCGTTCTATTGTCGACAGTACTGGCAGGGTGCGTTGCGGATGATTTGGGTAGTACTCACAGATGTTGTAATGTTGCCACAGTCCAATAATTTTATTTGTTTTTGTTCGTCTAATTCTAAATTATATCACAGGGTTAGTTGCTCCTTCAGGCCAATGAATGAGATGAACGCTGCTCTTCTTCCCTGTGCTCATTGATAAGTGAACAGGCCAACGCCTAAACCACTAAGCCAACTGGCCTGTTCACTTATCACTCATCGACTTCTCGTCCCAACTCACAGTAGCATCAACCCAAACCCAAAGGCGTCCTCAACGTAGCATGTGGTGCTTTATCAACGTTCTTTTTCATCGCATTATTTCCCGTTGTTATCGGCACTTCTCTCGGCAACGCAACGAAGGGCGTGGTCATGGGAACTTTGTTCGTCTTGGGGACTATTAGTGCGGTTTTGGGAATCTCAATGTCGACTGATATTAAGGCAAAATAGTCCGTGATCATGATGACATACAATAATACATATTTTTCTCGTCAGCTCAATAGAATAGTATAGCGGTGCTGAAGATAATGTTCTCACAGACTTTTTGAAGTAGTGCGTAATGTAGATGTAGGACGATGGATAATTGAATAAAGTGTAATCAGGAGAAAATCAACCACTGCTAATATTCACGGTGCCGATAAGCTCGTTGACCACTGCACCTGGAGTTTACACAAGCCTGATACCCCAGCACCAGTTCCCCCAATAAATGGCACGGTTGCAGCTAGTTGGGAAACTATGTTTGCTAAACAAGAGCAAGGTGCTTCCACATCAAGCAGCAGTTCAAGAACTGTCGAATTAACCGAAGCTACAAGGGAACATCACGCGGAAGTCGGACAAGAAAAAGGGGGAGATGAGAATCAGGTCACTGGCGAAAGTACAAGTGCATCAACTGCTAGTCTTACTACACCAACCTCGACAAGATCAACATGGAGAAACTTTATTTCTCCTCTCTCAATACTGTCTTTGGTTGACGAGAGTGATGCGACGCAAACACAAACAGACTTTTTGAAACCAGACGCAGACCAAGCGCCACAGGCACAGCAAGGAAGAGTGAGTCTGAGTTACAACGAGCCAGTAGTCGTTACGGAAATAGAAATCATATTCAACCGGTTCTTACGCAGATTAGGTGACATGTTTTGACACAGCATGACGAATTTTTAAACACGTGACTTGCTCTACCGCGATGAGAAACGCGACTTCTACTTCATCATGTTGCTCATACCATTTTCCATTTTGATCATCTTTGATGCATGATCAGCATCAACATAGTAGCTACATTCATTGTAGAAATATGACCTTACTTTCACTCACTTGTGCTGAGATCCTCGTTTCAGTATGACCTCCACATTTGTCTTTCAAACCACACACACGCACTGGTGTCACTCCCCACTCGTTCCCACAACTCAGCGCCTGAGTACTATTGACGATTGACCATTCCATACAAATATTTGTTTTTGACAATTTTGCTTTTGAAATGAGAAAAACAGGGTTCAAACCTGACTAAGGATAGATGACAGCACAATGCCAATATAGTTGTTCTAGAATAAACGGTTTTCAGCTTTTCTGTGAGACTCGAGAGGAAGTCCAAAGCGGGGACATGCCAAGTTACTGCATCACCTTCAGCGAGCTCTACTTGCGGAAAGAGAATAAGTCGAAGAGGATGAGCAGATAGAAGAACGATCATGAGTATCGGTGGAATGTGTATTGGACTGGTGAGATAGTCAAGATCTGTCTTCTATCTCATCCTCGAGCTGCCTGGTTTGTTTCTGGAAGCGAGAGAGAGAGGCACGCTGCTGCCGTAGAAGAAGAAGGCACCTCTCCAATATCTCCACCGTTGTCAAAGCGCCGCAGGATAGAAAAGGACAATGCGTGCCTAGTTGTAACGACTCTTCGCCCTCGCTACTCCTACTCAACGTTCGATCATTCGATGAATATTCGCTGTTGACAGCCATCAGTTCCCTGTATTTTCTGGGCGACACCCACCTCCGCGTAGAAGCAAGAACGTCTCGACATCTACCAGAAGAACAAAGGCATCCCTCTTTTCGCAGTGTAGAGGAATGGCAAACACTGTGCTGCACTACGCGCGAATGTCTGGACTAACGCGATGATGTGTACATCCTCATCTACATACTCGGGCAACCGATTCATCCTCGGAGTCGAGCCAGGTGCCGGGGGGCTTCGATGTTGTGCAGGATTCACAACCTAACCTAAGCTACTATAGGTACTGCTTGTTCCCATACAAGTCATCTCATGAGAAAAGATCGAGGTTCAACTTCGACACGAAGATGCGGCTCTAGAGTTGACTACTTGGTATTTGCTAAGTTGAGTTCTTTTAATGCTTGCTGTCGAAACGCTACTGACGGACATGGACCAGGAAGGGGAGGGTGCTCCATTTGGTGCGGACGAATTCGCGAAGAAGTGCCTCACCACTGCGAAGATCTCAGACGAACAGGTGCAGAAGCTGCGCGCTTTCTGGAAAGAGACAGGCACACTCCAAAAGCTCCAGGACATAACGAACAAGGAAGGTAAAAAGGCTCCGGAGCTGCGCGTGATCTCAAAAATTGCTCCGGATGATCCTGAGTGCATGACATTCTGCGCAAAATATGGAGATATATAATTGGTGACGGACGCACCTCGGTGCATCATTTTCGATGTAGTGACGGTAAGTATAAGATCTTGATTGAAAGGGCTGGCAGATCCCTAGGAAGCGAATGCTTGGCAGGAGCACAGTTGGACCCCAACGTGGTGGGGGACTGTGCAAGAGAATTTCTTTTTGGTCCGGTATTTGGGTCCCCGTTTGTGGGTGTTTGTCTCGGGGTTGCTCTCTTTGGTTGGTCCGTCTTAGGTTTCCCACAGTTGAGAATGTGTGCGGGGTGCAGTCTCCCGTTTCGTGGGTTCTTCGGTGGTAGCTTCGGACGCTATGTTTGTTTTGCGCACACCACTCTGGCAGGCCTAGCCTCCGGGCGTGGCCGTGTAGGTGTGAAGGGAATGGTGTGCTTTGACCTTTCTGTTGCACTCGGCTCTGGGCTATGGCGGTTTAAATCCGTTACTCCTACGACCGGTTGTTGGTTGGTCTTTGCTATCCTGGGGCCGAGTGCTCTGGTTTCGGCTTGGGAATTAGGTATCTCGGATCCGGCAGGGAGATGAATTGTAATCTTTGGCTCCCCTTAGGCTCTTTGGCACTCTATGGAGAGAGGCTAGGTTTGTTTCTGGTGTGTTTTTGTGATCTTGTTTCCTGCAGCCAGTCACATTGGCCAGGACCCCTAGTGTTGTGCTTGCTGCCCCCTATCAGGTAAAGTGTGTTGATCGACCTTTGCTCGAGAACAGGGGCTCCTGGCTGGGATCGAGTCTGAATCGTAATCTTGGAAAGTGTCCCGCCTATCAAGGCTCTTCACTTCAACTCTTGAAAATTGCCAGGAATAGTGAGCTCTGACGAGATTGGCGGTCCGTGCGTGGTATTAAAACACACAACCGAAAAACTACCTAGGAAATTTCGTTGGATATTTTCAAACAGGAGGAACCGCTTTCGTTAGGTAGGGAAGACCTTGCTTTAGGTAGGGAAGACCTTGCTTTCGTTAGGTAGGGAGGACCTGGAGCCACGCTCACTCGTCGAAAAATACGACCGAAAAAATACCTAGGTAATTTCGGTCGTTATTTTCAGATTAGATGGGGAAATCGGCTATAGAGTCTACGACCGAAAAAATACCTAGGTAATTTCGGTCGTTATTTTCAGATTATATAGGGAAATTGGCTATAGAGTCTGAGTGAGTCTACGACCGAAAAAATACCTAGGTAATTTCGGTCGTTATTTTCAGATTATATAGGGAAATTGGCTATAGAGTCTGAGTGAGTCTACGACCGAAAAAATACCTAGGTAATTTCGGTCGTTATTTTCAGATTATATAGGGAAATTGGCTATAGAGTCTGAGTGATTAACCTGAGAACAGATTGCCCGTATCCTTCGCGGGAGACCCGCGCGGAGTCTTGTTCGCTCCGGATGGGTCCCGGAATGGGCCTCAGGCTTCACACGCCAGGGCCTGGCAGAAATTCCGTGTGGATCATGGCCCGCCCCGAGACGCGGAGGTAGCCATTGGCGACCTTCGGAGGTTTGCGTCCTTCTTGTTAACCCAAGAGCGGGGTGGGTACTCGAGTACGAACGCCTACCTCGACTCGGTGGTGGCGTTGGAGTCGGAGAAGGGGTCCATTAGGAACGTGCTCTTCGAGCGACAGCTTCGGAGTTTGAAGCGAGCGGTGTCGCGTTATTTGAAATCGAACCAGATGCTACCAAAAAAGGCGTGTCCTGTCCATTTCTCTGCTTTCGGAAGACTTTCGACAAGGCAGAAAGCCATCGTTGGAGTCGGCTGCGCCTTAGGTCTGCGCGTAGTCTCGCTTTGCAGCATCAAACGGGAGCAGGTCTTCCTCTGTTTGGTTGGTAAGGGCAAGAGGCGCCGCGTGCAGGAGGTGCAGGTGCATGTCAGGAAGGATAAAACAATCCAGCTGAGGGAGATGGTTTTGAGATGCAGCTGCATGACTGAGGGTACAAACTTCTGCCCAACCTGTGACGTGGATGATTGGGTCAGGCTTTTTCCGATTTCTATGAGTGAGGTCATTGAATCGACGAAGACACTCAACACGACTCCGCATGGTCTGCGTAGAACGTGCGCAATAGGAGCGAGGCTTGCGATGGAGGTCATGCCTGCAGGGAAGGCTGCCAGGGCTCGGAAAGAAACTAATACTCGACAGGGTTGGACTCAAACAGGCAACACTTTTGAGGACTACTCTTTGGACTTTGAGGAGCACTCTTGTGGCGGCGGTTTGGTGTGTGGTTGGCTGCCAGGCTGTGGTCTATCGTAGAGGCTCCTGACGTAGTCGGCTATGTCTATTACTTCTTTTCTAAGGTGATCACGTCGAGTGGGATCTCAGCTCGTTTTATAGATCCTAACTCATCTCAACCCGAGCCATAGGCTGCAGCTCAGAATGTCCTCCATCATCCATATGCAACAACCCATGATGGTGAGATCGTGTCATGTTAATACTGATCCACACCGTAGACGTTGCGGCTCTCGTCTAGATCTTCTTAGATCTAATTTGTGGACTTGGTTCTGGCCCCAATTTCCTCTACGTGGAGCCTTTTTCCTCTACGTGGACTTGTTCTCTGAGATCCTCTCCTTTGTAGGTACGATTTCGTCTTTTTGTCATTTATTCGTAACCGACACCGTCTTTGTCTCTTTGTTTACTCCAGGGAATTTTTAGGTCGAAGGCCTTAGTCATAGGAGGCCTCGTCTCAAGCTTGCAAAGGAAGTAAGGAAACCTTTCCACGGTTGTCAAAGGATACAATATGGCTCCTCGGGCGAAAATGAAGGCCGCCATGAAATCGACCGGGAAAGCTCAGCTGGTGGCAAAAAAGCCCGCCCAGGCTTCCAAGGCCAAAGGGCTCCCAAAAAAGGGCGCAACGAAGCCGAAGGCCTCGCGTCAGGTGTTGTGTGCTGCGGAGTTGGAGGCCCTGGAGGACGAAGACGAGTCTACTGGGGAGGAGGTTGGAGCGCGCGCTCGTGGTGATGAACCAGGAGGAGAGCTTGCCAGAGAGAAGACGGCCGCAAGCATGCGCTCCATGCTAGGCGCTATCGTCTTGGAGGCGTCGCCGCTTGATTCGCTTTGCTCCCAGGTCGTGGGTAAGGAGTCGCTGGCTCGGAAGATTCTCTTCCACAACGAAATCAAGAACTTGGAGATTCTCCCCGGCGTCGAAGCTAAACGCCTACACGGTATTCAAGGTCTACGAGCAGGGGAGGTTGCCTGTTTGAAGCTTTTGATGCAGGCGGCGGAGAAAATCAAGGGTCGCCTCCAATCGACGTCGAAGCTTGGGGTTTACTTTGCCGAACATATCCACCGCGATAAGGCGTCTGAGGTCCGTACGTTGGCCGAAGCAGGAGCTCCGTTGCCGGACCTATCTACGGTTGTGGTAGACGATTCGGCTAAGTCTTTAAGCGCTGCACATTTCATGCTGACGATCCTCCGCGCTCTACGCCTCGTTGAAATCTTCGGTGAGGCGGATTTCCACGATGCACACTCCCTTTTCATCCGCTTGAACTTCTCTCCCCAAGCGCTACAGCAAGCTGTAGCAGTTGAGTGCATGACTGGCATGACTCGGCTCGGTGCTCGCGTTGTCGGACGTTTGTCGCAGCTTGCTCCGACACCGAAAGACTACGGGATGGGACGTAAACCGAACGGCAAAGGCGACGCGAAGGGGTCTGGGAGTGGAGGCGGAAAAGGTGCCCCGTCGGTGAAGGTCTGGTCCATCTCGAAGGGTAAGACGGTGGACATTCCGTGTCCGCCAGGTATCTGCGCTGCTTTCTTGGCCAACAGCTGCACGAGACCGACCTGTCGCTTCTCGCACTCTGTGCCGGCGGGGGCGGATTTCGCGCGAGTCTGTGACCACCGCCGTGTCGATGATTCGAAACTAGGAAACATGCTGAAAGGATAAGGAGGCACTGTTGAGGTTGAAGGCGTTTCTCGTCTATGCTTGTGATATTTTTCTGTGAGCTTTCCCTGGGGTCTGGGGTCAGCAGCTGTCTCCTCGTATCGCAGACCTGTTCTTCTCCTCTCGGGTTCCCAGGTCGGGCCATTATGAATTGTTGCGGTTCTCGACTCCACTGACTCAGACAAGCTCCTCGTCGCGTGTGCATCATCTTCGCTTTGGGTGGTTCGCCCCCCTTTCTGTGGGGAGGTTGTGCCTCTCGGCAGGATCTGAGAATGTCGACTTTGACTTGTATAGGTATGACACTGACTTTTCTGGCTCTACCGTTTAGCGCCGCGGACCCACTTGAGGAATTTGGGGACGTTTGTCTCATGTTCCATGTGTTAGAAAGATGGAGGTCCATAATGATAGTAGCAGCTTGTTTCTGACTACGCTCGGCCACCGAGTTACAGAGGAGCGCCCTTAGTTCTCCAGTTTCCCCTCTATCTTTCACCTCCACAGGCTCGCTCTTCGTTTCTTTTTCTTTTACTTTAGTATCTATCTTGAATAGTGCGTAAGTTTGATGCGTAAGCTTAATCCTCTCGCTGTTTCTTGACTTTACTTCTCTTCACTCCTTAGTAGTTCAAAATGGTAGCGGCTCCTGAGATCTCTGCAGCGGCTCGGGCGATCGACGACGCCGTGCGGCGCAAACTCGGCTCCATTGAGTCAGATCGACAGGCTTTGAGTTCCCCTATGGAGAATGGGCCGCGTTTGGTCTCGGAGCATAATGAAACACTGGTCAGGGATATGGCATCTGGTGGAGTAGAGGGGATGGAGATGAGGATTCTACAGGGTGTTGTTTGGCTGGCTCGTCTTCGCGCGAGCCCTGGCGTCAGAGATCGCGCTGCAAAGTACGCGAGTTCCGCCCCGGAATTTACGCGAGTCATCTCCAAGAAATTCAACTTCGGCGCTCTTGAAGCAGTGGGTGTTGCTTCTTGTTATTCAGGCTGGGGCGATGTTTGGCGAATCTTATTCAAAGGGGCACAGGCTAAGGGTGTGACTCATGCGCCTGAACATTGGCCAAAGAAGCGGCGCGCTGACACTCCAGCCCCGGTTCCGTCGCCGGCTGCTTTCGAGCCGGGTGCTTCGTCGCAGCGGTCCCAGGTCCATCGCTTTCGCACGCGGAGCACCACGTGGATGGCCCCCGAAGTGGCGCAGTACGTTTGGGATGAAACCCTGCGCGAGGTGGATAAAGGCTGGCTGACGGGTCCCTTTTCTGTGGATGAGCTTATTGCTAGTGGAACTCGTGTTGCTCTGAATAGATTTGCGAACCACGAGCCGGACAAGATCCGCCTCTGCGACAATGGTAAGCCGTTGAACCTTTTTTCCGAGATCTCGTCGCTCTTACCTATTCCGTCCGTGCACGTTACGCTCGCACTTGCGACAGCTACTTGGGCAGCGTGTGACTCGATGCGTCCACGTGCCTCAGTTCCCGAGTCATCCATCGTGACTGCTCCGAGCATACCTGTACTTTTTCGCCGGGACTTGCGGAACTTTGGCCGTGCAGCTACTGCCTTGGAGTGTGAGGCTTATTCCTTCTCTCCCCTTCGTGACTGCTGCCATCCAGCGGGAGCCTCGCTTGGCTTCCCGGTGCCTGACTTCGACATAGTGCAAAAGTTGGACTTATCCTCACTTCGAGAGGAAGCAGATGCGGCTTTGCAGCACCTGCCTGCTGACTTCCCATTGACGGCGGACCTTCCCCTTGCTTCTCAAGCACCTGACGACTTGATGCAGTGGCTTATCGATGTTGGGAATGCTTATAAGAACATCGCGATTGCGGAGGACGCTGCGGCTGACAACTTCATTCTGTGTTTCTGCCCGCAGGAGAGGAAATACTTCGGGTTTGGTTCTAGAACGATGTTGTTCGGAAACGTCCACTCTGTGACTGAGTGGCTCCAGGTCGCCCAGTTCCTTGCTTTTAGCATCAGGTGGGTTTTCGGGGTCGCTAATACGGTCTACTTTGTCGACCACTCGGGGACTACTTTTCGGGGGGTGCGAGTCCTCTTGATCCGGGCAGTTTTGCTGCTGCTTGAAGTCTACGGTTTCCCGTGGAAGCTGAAGAAGATCAAATGCGGCACGCATCAAGTTCCTGTTTTGGGGTTGGATTTCGACCTTCGCGCCTTTCCTAGCATGCAGCTGAGTAGCACGAAGGTGCAAAAGCTTCGGGATCTCCTTGGCGAGGTCCTTGCGGCAGGATGCCTTTCCGCAGCTGACGCCTCGAGCCTGGTTGGACGTTTCCTTTTCCCGTTGACCCTCACGCTCGGACGCCGTGTCAATGGCTTGCTCAAGCCTCTTTTCAAGCGCTCGGCCTACCCAGACCGGAGTCGGGCCCTTTTGCTAACGAAGGCAGCGGAGTTCTCCTTGAACTTTATGCGCGAGTGCCTTTCCAGGCTCCCCCCTGTGCGCTTTCGTCAGGTCGATCTGCCGTCGATCATAATATACACTGATGCTAGTTGGCGCCGTGGGAAGGGTTGGGTTGCAGCACTCTTACCAGTTGAGGACCGCTTCCAAATCTTTCGCTGCCGCATCACGCGGGACCTCTTCCCGGAAGCTCCCTGGGCATCCTTCCCGATCAATGTGTTGGAAACCATCACTCCTGCGGTCGCTCTGCTTCTCTTCGGGGATGCCTTTTCTCACCGACGGGTCATCTTCCGCGTCGATAACTCCACTGCTGTAGCGGCACTCAGAAATGCTTCGGGCGGCACTAGTGCGCTGTCTCTTGCCGCTTCACTCTTTTGGAGCAGGGTCGCTGCGTGTGGGGCTTCGCCAGTAACTGAGTGGATCTCAACCAATGACAACCCAGCCGACATCCCTACGCGGGAGGATCTGTGGCAGACTTTCCTGGCAGAATATGGGCACAGGGTTGACGACGTTGCCCAGGATGCAGGTCCAGCTGTCTTGAGTGCTGACCTGTCGCTTGTCGCGACTCGTGAGGACGACCTCTCCTCCCTCTTTGGTAACTTGGATTTCGAGGCCCTCCTTTCTCCTGCATGAGTAGACCGGGCTATCGGGATGCGGCCTCTTCTCCTGCATTGGATCCCTTCGGGGTTAACTATACACATGATCCCTTCTGGATTATCACATGGAATGGATAAACATCATCTAACCAGTTAGTTTTATGCACAACTGCGTCGTGGTATGTCCGCGGGCCTCATCTCTCCTTCTCGTTCGCGATGCTTCGGACATTTCTTAGTGTGTTCTTTCTGGTGGCTGCTCTTGGCGAATGGCGACTTCTTTCGAGGCTTGGTGACCTTCCTTTGGGCCACCCATCCCTCTTCGTAAGGAGCCCGGATTCATCTGCCTTGCTGGGTTCTCCGGGCCGCCGTGGCAGCGTGTGGGGTGTGAGGAGTTGGTGGCCCAGGTTTAGGATGGTTTAAGCCGCCTCTCCAACATGCCGCCTTGTCCCCATCGGTGGCGTTGTGCGGTAAGTAGGATTGCACGTTAGGAACGCTTCGAAAGACGGACGCACCTCGGTGCATCATTTTCGATGTAGTGACGGTAAGTAAGATCTTGATTGAAAGGGCTGGCAGATCCCTAGGAAGCGAATGCTTGGCAGGAGCACAGTTGGACCCCAACGTGGTGGGGGACTGTGCAAGAGAATTTCTTTTCCCGCCCGCCCGCCCAGCATGACGCCTATTTCCTCGCGCCCAGGGGCGTTCGGTCTCTGGTGACAGAGGAATTTCCAGGGGGTGTGAGGAGTTGGTGGCCCAGGTTTAGGATGGTTTAAGCCGCCTCTCCAACATGCCGCCTTGTCCCCATCGGTGGCGTTGTGCGGTAAGTAGGATTGCACGTTAGGAACGCTTCGAAAGTCCAAAATAAAAGCGATAAAACCCGGTAAATTAGCGCTCCTCTAGGAGGTACTTTTTTGCTGGCTGACCTCATCGGTAGTCACGTGCAACTACAAACGAGGTTCCATGACATGACAAGCGATAAGGTTAACTGCTATGCTGAATGTATGTCAATATGGGAATACGTAGCCAACAATGATTATAATTATACAGTATCACTTCTTCCACCGACATTTGTTCCCGTTGATTTGATATAAATTTCCTGTTAGGTTTACGTACTCTGTTTACTTCCGAAGCTCAATCTCTAGACGACTTTCACAATGCATATCTATTTACTTTTTCTGATCCGTTCCCCGTCGTTCATGATCATGTGACACTAGTATGAAGTTAAAGTAGAACTACTTCAACCTCGACCATGTAATCTAATCTTTGCACCTCCATTTGATTCGCTTGTTCTTTTGTATTTGCACAGTTCCTTCTCCCTGCTTGTTCGTTGCATAGAAGTTCACATTCCGAAGAACAAAGTAAGAGAGATCAGCTACGACGATTCTCGAAGAACGCTTTTTACAAAACGAATATTTGTTCGGTGGATGCAGAATCACACACGCCATCGCACTCCAGACCACCTTTGAATTTTGATAACTGTACAGGTCAAGAACGGCTAAACCACTAAGCCAACTGCTTTCGAGGTTTTCAGCTCTGCTCAAGCAGCCTCTTTCTCTTATGTCAAGTACTCTCAGTGTTCCTGTTCTCAATGTTGAACTTGATAAAGAGTCTTGATCAATGTGATCGATGTCAATAGAAGGGACCAAAACGTAAACGCCGAGTTCATGTTAAGAAACAGCAAGAACCGCCATCTTCTCAAAAACATCAACAGAATATGCAACAGAATCTGTAAAAGAACTCAGAACTTCTGAGCGAATTAAAGAACTGTTCCCACCAGAATCAAAGAGTTGCCCAAATTTTATCCATAAAGAATACTGGATAAGGAGTGGAGAATGCAATGATGATCGTCGTTGGTTTTTGCCTTCTAGCTGTAGTTTTGCTGGTTTCGAGTGAAAGATTTCTTCTCAAGAAGCACATCAACGTGATGATGATACCTGATTATGAAGATAACGTTTGTAGTTGGGTTTGGCATGTTTCAGAAGTTGAGGTAGTGGTAGAACTTGCTCCCTTTGTGATTAGTGCCTTGTTGTGATTTAACCGGCAGCAGGCCCCTCCCCCATCCCCACCTCCCTTCGACATGACACATAGCACAAGACAATGAAGATCAAGATGTAACCCATCAGAGCAACTGCTGATGAAGACAAACTACCATGCTATATGCTCTCCGCATTCTTAATTCTATGTTGATTGACAATGACCGTGATGGGAATATTTCTCCTAGAGTGTCGCGATTGAGAACACTGCTAAGGGTGATGACAGTGACGGTCTCTGTCGGTCCAATTTCTGAACTATAGCTGCTGCTGACGATTATGAGGCAACAACAACCGATATTAACGAATATGCATGAACAAGAAGCAGATGGCCGTGTGGCCACTCTCACGGCCGCTTGTAATTGGATGAACAAGTACGCGAAAGTTAAGGGTGGCTTGGGCTTTCAAACATGATCTTCATACTAAGTTAGAAGTATTACTAACTTGTATTATACTAACTTAGTCTTAGTACTATTACTAACTTGACTAAGTTAGTCTTAGTATTACTGACTTGCTTTGCCTAAGAATTAAGAAAGAAGTGCAAGAATTGAGGTTGAGTTCTTTCATCTCAGCTGAAAATATCTGGTACTGCTTTGGACATGAACAGAGAGTCTAGTCCTCCAGCTTCAAGCACATGCGATCTCCTGGGATGACGATAGTCCTCACTTGCTTCTAATCTACGCGACAGGGTCTGGGTTTTTTTCGACGGTGGCCTGAATGGATATCACCGTTTGAAACAAATTGAGTCGCTACCCACAAATGACGAACAACCGGGCACGACGGGGGCAGCGGTCGCCGTCGCGAAGAAAGACGATAAACAGTTGTTATGGTGATACTTTAACTTTTTTTCTTGCGTTATAATTAAAACACTTTCTTAGGAGCGAGGCGCGCTATGCCATTTATACGTAGGCCAATCACGGACTACATGGAACATCTCTCTCGTGCTTGTACTAGTTGAACAACCTGTTCAAGCTGATGTATGACAAGACTAAACTCACTCCTCTAACGAAAATCCCGAACGCGACTGATTGCGTCACTTCCTCCGACGAGGACCCGCAGCCATCTTCTAAGAAGGCGAAAACAGACGCTAGCGAGAAAAGTCCTAGTGCTGCACAGCTCGTGACCGCGGAGTCGCAGAATGGTAGCATTGCTGGTGCTGGAGATGCCAACGCTGAAAAGCAAGCGCAAGGAGAAGTGTCGCATATTAGTACTAGCTGTACAGAAGCTGGTGGAGATGGAGATGCCAACGCGCAAACGCAAGGCAGCGGGGTAGGTGCCGCAGAGTTGCTAGAAAACGACGACCGATGGTGGGTGCCAGCTTTTGGCCTGAGTCACGGCTGGGTGCTTGGGACTGTCACTAAGGTCATACTAGATCATCAATCTTCTTCGGACGACGCGGAGAAGACCCTTACCTCGTCTGAGCAAGAAGAAGGCCTAGTAGCTGATCGTGAGCAGAAAAGCCATTCCGGAGCAAGTACACCAGGTGGAACCTCTTCACCAGCAGAAGCAAAGCAGTCTGCTGCTGCGGACAACAACACCGCCTCTGCAACCTCTACAGGCGGAAACCACGCTATCGAAATGCTACCTTGTATCGAAATCTGTCTCGATGGCGTATTTCGTGAAGGAACTGGAGCGACTCTAGTACGCAATCTGCGCTATAACGTCACCGACCCAGCTTGGATTATGCCAGAACAAGCTGGTGATGGATTTTCTGCAGAAGAACAACAAGGTAAAGGCACCAAAAATGTAGTTCAACATCGACCGCCACCGCCTCCGATTGCATCTTTATTCCTAGCACGGTGGTTTGATTATTGGTCGGACCCGCGACGGAGCGAGTACAAAATAACGCAGAACTGGCCAACCAAAGCGCTGATTGATGTCGCTGGAGTAAAGTCATGCTTTGGCGCCAGATTTGAAGTTTACCAGCTGTATGTCCGCAATGAAAACTCATTACGGAACTTGGACGTCAACGCACTCACGCGCGCCATGGCTCCAGCGAAATACAAAGCGGCTTTCTATTAAGGCATCGAGTGACTTGAGTCTTTCTCTTTCAGTTCTCGGCCTCGGTTTCAAATTCAAATTTGTCAATTTCATGGTATCGATCTTCTAGCATATATTCGGTAAGCTCTAATCCAACTATCTATGGCCGACGCAGAAGCAGTTAGAAGGCAGGTGGAACGAGCCCAATCAGGTCACCGGTGTTACGATATCTGCACCACCTGTCGCATCTCCTGCAGCTACGCTTTCTAGTGCCGGAAGTTGTGTCACTCCTTTGGCCTCTACAGCTGATGCTGTTGCACAACCAAAGAACGATGGCCAAGAGAAAATGGTGGAAACAGCTACAGCCTCTAGTAACTCTAGTAACAAGAGGAGCCGCAAGGACCACAAGAGCAAGACAACAAACAGTGGCCCATCCTCGTCAATCGAGCTCCATCTTCTGCCTTCAAGTACTACGCAAACACCTGAGTCCGAGGAGGATGGAACGACACCAAGCAATGGGGAGGCCTCAACATCTAGTACTAGTATGCCAGAGCAGGAGGACTCCAGCACCGAGAATTCATCTGCTAGTGCACCGGCTTGTTCTGTGGAACAACTTCCTCTTGCGCAAGCACGCATAGTAAGTCCTGCAGGCACGGCAACGTCACAACAAAGCGCAGAAGCTGCAGTAGTAACTTCAGAAGAACAAAGTACTAGAGTAGAGCAAGATATAGTAAACGACAACGACGTTAGTACGAGCAGTGCGCCAGCTGATGTAATTGCGAATGAGTCTACTGTCTGGCCTTTGCGTAGCCACAATGATGCTGGCATGATTCAAGAGCGGGCATTTTTCGACTTTGTGGAGCGTCTAGAAAGTGCTAGCATCCCAACCCGCTATCCAGCACCAGCCAAGTTGTATCGCCAGTTGTGTGGGAAGATGTATTACAATGCGGCCTGTATCAATCCGTCTTTGAAGACACCAGTAACCGTCTCTGTGCAGGCTTCTGACGTGCGCGAAAACCCTCTGAAAGCTGCGAGGAGTTGCCTGAAGTCGTTGAATAGCATTCGGAAGAAAGTTTGGGGAGAGGGATTCAATGGCGTGAACAATGACAACGCAGCATACCCATTCGTGAATTCTGGTGTAGTGAAACTCGGCTTCTCTTGGATGGGCGTTGACGTACAACGATGGGATGGCGTAGAATTAGGGCTCTAACTTTTATTGTTCCTACGTGGTTCTTACTTCGCATGATGTGAAAGAGTAGTTTCTCCTCGCCCACATAGCATCATTTCTGACTCTTGTAATTTATCTCTTTCCGACCACCACCGATTTGGACCTTTAGCAACCTTGTAACCTCTAAAAAACGAATTAGCGGAAAAGCTGAAGTTTTTTTGCGATGGAGACCCTCGCTGGATTGGGACAAATGTGATTGTGCAAGAGCTTGTTCCCGACCGGGTCTGCGAGCTGCGAGTACACGCATTTTCCGTACCACCAGAGGCCAGAGTCGACATGAAGGGCCTGAGGGTCTCATCAACCAAGACTAATGATGCGGAAGATATCAGCGACATGAAGATACAACTCATGAAAACAGATGATGACCAGTCATCTAGTACAAATCCCAAAGATGAAACAGCATCATCATCTCACCTACCATCTTCACTCCCCCCACTCCAGCATACAGGAGAGCAGGAGACGGAGTTTGATTTGAAGATTGCTTATCTTGGTCTGACGTCTTCTTCGGCTACTACTTCTAAGGAGTTCCAAATGACGGGTCATATTCCATTTACACCAAGGGATGCTTTGGCTACTGTGTGGCAAGGTGATGAGACCCTTCAGAAAGAGATGGAAGATGAAGCAAAGAGGCTAACAGAAAAGTGGCTGGCTTGGTACTAAGGTTTTGCTTTTGTTTCAGTTAAAAACCCGAATGTGCTTGATTGTGGACCGAAATTCAACGGAACAATTGTAATCTTTGATATAATTCCGAGTAATTGAAGAGTTTTTAGTAAATAGTCATTTGCGCTGCAGTTATTTCATGCTACTTGCACAATATGCTGAACAGCATGATCTCACTCTTTCATCTTCAACCTGAACCTACGCCTTGTTCTCCCAGGTACGAGTCCGAGTGGGGTGAGTACTTGTGCCCTGCAAATGCGCGATTCGACTTTCATGTGCGACAACGCGACAAAGGCAAGAACGACAAGCAGATAAAGCCACAATTTGAATTATGGATTTGCGAGATTACCGAATGTGGCGCCAGCCTTGTCGGGCTACCAATAGAAGCACGAAATACAGCAATCGTCAACAGTTTGCTCGCTACATCTTCGTGTAGTTCCGAACAGATCAGTCCCTTGCCATGGCCATCGGGAGATTGGTCGCAGTTCTACGGTGAGCACGAGGAGGGAAGGAAATCATATAAATGGCCATTTCAGTAGCTGGTTGCACCCTAGTATCTCAAGAGTGCATGTATCCTTGTTATAGAAAAGTGCTTCATTCCGAACGTGGTTTTTCGCGCTCAGGTCATTTTTTGTTGCTCCAAGCAATTATATGATCGATATCCAGCTGCAGCTTTGTTCTACAAACTAGTAAAGATCCCTCTTTCCCTTACATCAGTTTCAGTGTCGTAAATCAATTGGGCGTTTCTGTTGCTTTCACTCCGAGGGAAACTTTCTTGTTGTTCGCTATCATCAAAGCTACAATTACATGCACATTTTTTGGATTTAATATCGCATCATTACAAATTCAAAATCCTCATACGTATTATGACTGTTTGCGGGCAGTCGTTGAATGATGGAAAGATTTTTAGCTGCAAAATATCTTGTCTCCCATAACAAGCATATGTGTTGTGCTACTCCTACCCGCTACTTCACTTTAATGTACCAAAAGAACTTACTCTTCCTAGCCCGTCAATCTTCATCCCCATTTTCATTTTGTGCGTAATTTTTTTTCGAATTTTCGGATCGATTCCAACGGACAAGGAAGTTTGTACAACGTTGATGAGGATGATTTTGAGCGCATCATGAGCATGATCGACTATAATGCACTTCCTTCTATCAATATCATGGACAAGCGCTTCTATCAATATCATTGACTTGTCAAGTAGTCTCCCATGTTGTTACCTGCATCTGAATCATGCAAAAAATCTACCCAACTACACTACATCGTCATGTTATTGATTACAACCTATCGCGTTCGCGTCCCATATTACCAGTGATAATATCACGACATGATCAGAAGTGAGAGAAGATCTTCACTTCAAGAACAACATGATCTTCATGATTCACATCCTCTTCCGAAGAGCACGCGAACCGAACAATCTTCATTTTGCAGGAGTATCTTGTGTCATAATATTCTGGGACAGAGTGCTACTACGTTGACGGCCGTTAGTTACGTTGAAGATTTTTTGACAATGCTGAGTTTGCAGAAAAAATTGCACGAAAGAGAAGCAGGTCTGAGAAGTGGTGTATGAGTTTCAATGCTGCCTGGGGGTGTTTTCTTTTTGTCAGTGACCACAAGATGATGCGAATGGTAGCACAGGTGAAATTTCTCTGGTGTGCTTGATGACTGATGATGAGAATAGGCGTATTAAGATATGAGTGAACGCACTATGATATTTGGAAGAAGTGAGAGAGGACTTCGGAAGAATCACATAGTTCTCTTCACAGCTTTATCATATCGTTGACTTTGGTTATCGTCTTCTACGAATGATTTCCATCATTTTTCTCTTTCAAATCTACCTCCCTCTTAGGAGCGAGTGTCAGTCGTGGTCTCTCTCTTTTCCCACCGAGAGTGCTCTTCGAGAGTGTCTTTTCTACCAATTCGTAATTCCAAAGAAGCCTCGTTTGCGTCCTCCCGTTCTGTGTCTTCTGACAAAAATACGACAAGTAGAACTACCTAGTAGTTTGCTTCTTCTTCTAGGACGAGTAGCAGGAGCATCAGCGGCAGTAGCAACAGTAACTTAGCCACGGCCAGCTGAGGACATCAGCAACTCGATCCTTGCGTGATTCGCAGAAGAAGTACTAAGACAAAAAAGTTGGAGATGAGCATGATGGGATCTATCACTATGGCTGCCGGAGCGGCCATGCTGGCGAGTGTCAATGCCATTACACCCAGCAAGTTGATGCAGAATGCATTGTTGCAGGTATGGGAGAAGAAACAAGTAAAACCCATTGAAGCACGATGTGTTTAGTGTCACTCAGACGATATTTGATGGAGTGGAAAGAAAGAGAAGAAGATGCGCCCTTGTATAGAGATATATAACTACAAGGACATGGTGCTACTCAGTTAATATGAAACTGAGAGCGTCCGCCTTCGCATACAACACCAAATATTTTGAATGCCCAGTGGCCTACCCAGACTCCTAATCGCTCCATCTCGATCTCTAACACAGGAAAGCACCCTTTCAGCTGCAACTGCGCCGAAAAAAATGACTGCTGTTATCAAGATTCTAGAGGACATGCGTGATCAAATCGATACGGATCAAGCTGAGGATGAAAAATCCTTTGCCAAAATGGAATGCTGGTGTAAAAAGAACGATATGACGCTTAGTGAAGCTCAGGTATTGATTGGCATGTGCTTTGGAGAACAATAACAAGTAGAGTACTTCTGTGAAATGAAAGAAGTACAAGTACACATCACGATCACATTTGAATGGTTTGACGCAATATAAAACCTCCTTATTTTAGACTCAGAGCTTTTCGCTCCTCTACAATCATGAGGAAAAGGCGTTCGCCTTCGCTTGCTATTTTCATTATAAAAAGTAGCGGGAAGGCTTTCATTTAGAATTTCCCGTTCTTTCACCTTCTCTTTTTAGGCCGCTGCTCAAGCCGAGTTGGAGCGTCTACGCGCATCCGTGACGGCCAACACGGCTGAAGCGGCTGCTCTCGGAACAGAGCTCGTAGCAATGGAGAAAGATTAAGGCCAGGAATAAATCAAGATTGCATGCATTGATTACATGAGAGTTTTATTGCAGAGTAGTTTATAGCACGCATGGTGCATGGAGTGCATGGAGCGCAGAGCTCTAAGGGGCGCAAGAAGCTCGCCCTTTAGCTCCAGTCCATGCTACTCCATGTGATCCATGCACTCCATGCCATGCGAGCTGTGAAACCTTAGGAGTTGCTCTGTTATTGCTATACTTATCCCAAGTTCGTTGCTGATGAAGATGATAAAGTTTTTTTGCTACTCTCCCTCGTAAGTGCGAGTATCACAGCTGGACTGCGGATAAGTTAGAGAGAAGCTGGATGTCTAATCAAAACTGAAGCAAGCACGTGAATCTGTGGATGAATTGATCACGATGAACACAAAGACCGTAGAAGAGGACTCCAAGACTGTTGCAGAGTACACCGAGTCCGTCACAGCTTTGGCCAACGCCATTACCGTGTTGAGCAAGCACCAGCCGGGCTTGTCGCAACAGAAAGTCGTGTTGTTATGGTGTTGGCTTTCGTTTAATCATGTTTCGGTGATGAAGCAATGTTGATGTTAAAAAATGTAGTTAAGGAAAAAGCTGAACAAGTGCACAAACATTCCCATTCGTTATTTAATCGTGGAATACAATGTTTGTATAAGTTAATGTTTGTTGTTGCGCAAGGGTCATAACCTCGGAGTGACAAGAAGAAGAATTATTCCTTACTTTCATTCCCTGAGCTCCGCAAGCATGTTAACGCTCACCAAGACGTTTTGGACGCATTGTTAGAACCGGGGAGCAAGCGAGCCTTGGACGCATTTCTGCAGAACGGACAGAACCCGAACAGTCCAGCTTTATGATGAGCCATTTAATGCGTGATCATGAGTGAGTGAGACCGCGTGAAAGACGACAGAAGCTTACGACTAGCCAGTTGATTTGTAGCTGTATCGTCTTTCCGTGACTTATTATTGTCAATTTTGCATAAAAAGTCAACCCGTCCAACACTCTCTATCCAAATCCATGCACAAAGAAATATACACAACAGGGACACAAATCCCGCCACCGCCTCCTTTCATATCCCTACTCTTCGCAATCCGGCCAAATTTTTGGCATTCTGTCGGAGATGAAGGACCAGTTTGGAGCCGACCTCTCAGCTTTGAAAGAAAAGATGGCCTCCGATAAGGTCACCTACGGAAAGCTCAAGAAGTCGAAGGAAGAAGGCATCGCAGACTTGGAGAAAGGAATTACTTCAAAGACGTCGAGGAAAGTTATGAAGACTGAATTGTCCGAGATGTCTACCAGCCGCTCCAATTCATATTCATTGGACAAGGAGTGCGTATCTTTACAATCCGCAAGACTTCATAATTTCTCAAGACTTCATAATTTCATCTTTTCTAAGCTTCCCGAAGCCAAACAGGAAGCTGCTGATGCCAAGCAACAAATCGCTGACATCGAAAAAACAATGGCTGCCGATCTCGAATTCTTGGCTGAGGTGAAGAAGGTTTGCCCAAAAGCCAACGAGGAGTTCGCCAAGCGCACTGAGGATAGACACATTACGAAAGGCTCAACAAATAAAACTCAGTGGCATTATCTTGTCCTCCATTTTAGTAACTGCATCAACGTTACAAAGCCTGACGTCGTGCAAGAATTATAATGTTTAAGCATTCGAATTTTTATATTGTTTTCCAGATGAGAAATCAACAAGAACTCAAAGTTTGTCTTCTTGATTATTTCCTCAAATTGATCTGACCTCTCTAACTCCCTGGAAACCACTGCCATCGCCAAGGCCATTGATATCCTGGGAAGTGATGAGAGCCGTGATATGTTCGACAAGACCGTTGAGCAGGGACCGGCGATGGTGTTCTTTCATTACGGTCGCACATCAAGGTGTATTTCTCTTCAGTGTCTATTCTCATACAATACATTAGCTTCTTCTATCCCGACCAAAAATTTCTGTGAAGGCAGTTTTCCCTAATGGAAAATCTGTAGAAAAAGGAAGTAGAAGGTACTTCTGATGAGACCTAGACTCTTTCCGCTTGCGCTTGATTATACCTCTAATCCTAGAAATCGATCGCCTCCGCAGCTGAGCTGGAGAAGAGAAACGATGTGGGACAGCTCTTGCAGAAATTGGCCGCATCTGACAGTTATGGAAGCCGTTTTGTCTGTGTGCAAACCTCATTCTCAGGTTTAGTACTAGTTTTTCTGTTTTTACACTCTTTCATTTTTTAAATCACGGTAATAAACGAAAACATTTGATTTCGATCTTGACCTCATCAACTTTTAATCACGGTAAACGAAAACATAAACATTTGATTTCGATCTTGCCCTCAACATCAACTTTTTCTCTTCTTGAAGGAGAATTCTCCCACGCCCTCCTCTCGCCCTCAACAACTTTTTGTCTTCTTGAGCCTTCTCCCACGCCCTCCTCTAATCTCTCCCAATGCCCTCCACGCACAACGCCGCGCTGAAGTTGATTTCCGCCAGTGTCAAACTAGCTCCTTTCACCCGCGTCGTCGAGGCCATTAAGACCATGATTGCGGAGATCAAGGAGAAGAAGTCTCTGGAGACTGGCCAGAAGGATGAGTGTGCCGAAAAGATGAACGATAACGAAAAGGAAACGGCAGCAGCCGAAAACGAGTTGGAGAAATTCAAGGGACAATTGGAGAAACATGAAGGTATTGTAGCTGAGATCTAGATTCGATTATCACCACACTGGTAGAAAAAAATTGGTACTACCAACTGATTATGATTTCCTGATATAAATTGAGTAGCTTATAGCACGCATGGTGCATGGAGTAGCATGGAGTGCATGGAGCGCAGAGCTTTAAGGGGCGCTAGCTCCATGCTACTCCATGTGATCCATGCACTCCATGCCATGCGAGTTGTGAGACCTTGCGAATTGCTCTATAAAATAAACATTTCTATTTTCTTCCCATCAGACTACAGCAGCTGTATCCATTTCCATCATCTTCCATCAAAAAATATCACCTTTTCAGCCGACCTCGCCACAAAAGTGGATGCCATCGAAAAAACCAAGACCCAGATCTCTGACGCCGAAAAGGGCCTCAAGGACCTAGAAGAAGATCGCGCAGAGGCCTTCAAGGTCTTCCAGCAGAATGTTGCTGATCAGTCTACTGCTATCGAACTGCTTGGCAAGGCTATTTCGGAGTTGTCCATGGTCTATGAGAACTTGGCTAAGGGAGGGTCTTTTGTGCAGGTCTCTCAAGAACCAGAGGGTCCAAGTGCAGGGTTGACGCACAGTGATGCTCCGGAAATGGGAACATACAAGAAAAACCAAGCGGGAACTGGTAATATCGTTGTTAGTTTATTTTATCATGTCTCCTTGACGACGTCGTTGTGGATGACTAGAGCATACATCCTGATAAATCCTCTTAAAGTTGAGTGGAACGGAAAGACAGGGTTCAATCATATTTTTCTCGTTTTCTCTCTCTTTGGATACAGTAAATTGACTCGTTTGCGGTTAGCCAAAGAAGTTAGGTCGTGTAGCAATTATTTTCTTGCAGGAGATACATTCGAAGTAGAGAGAATTGTAGTTACAATCGACCACCATGCTGTAGATTGAGATTGAGTAGTCTCCATCTCCCGGTACAACGGATGGGTACTTATCTTCCCTTTCAACAAATGTTCATCTTCCCTTTCAACAACAGCATTCCCCTACGCACCGTCTTACTAACAACCACCAGGTGTCGTCGCTATGCTTCAGGGTATCCAGGATGAGGCGCGCAAGACCTTGAGCGAGTTGCGTATCGACCAAGAAGAAGCCAACAAGGACTTCATGAAACAGAGGGATTTGTTGACGGACGTGAAGCAATCCTCGGAATTGGCTCTGTCGACACTGAACTTTATGGGGCTTGTGCTTGTGGTTTTGTGAAAGTCGTAGTCGAATCAAGGAGAGCATTATATATAACCATATTTTGTTAAAGTATTTTTGATGTCCTCGAACAGGTAGACTCAGTAAAGGTGTGCTCGAACAACTCGAGAGGTACTAGTTGATAAAAGGTAGATCATGACCATGAGGCTCTTTATGGTGAGACAAGTCGTGCTCTGCGCCTGCGGTCCTAGCGATTCTTGTTGTTAGTGACAGATGGTGAGGGCGCTCGCGAGCGCGACACGTGCGAGGCGGTAGGGCCGTGCGCGAAGATAATATTAATAATAGAGGTTCTCGGCCCCTCTCCTTATTATCCTCTTTCATTTCCCTCGAGAAGGCCGACTTGGACAAGGGCATCTCAACCGCAAACGGCGATATCAACGACAAGGTTGCGGAAATCGCGAGCCTCACTGAGATCATGAAGAGCTACAGTTATGAACGGTGGTGATGGGTGTGTGGCGTTGTTCTTTCTCTATAGTACTTTTGTGAATATGAAGATCCCCAAGAATCTAATTACCTCCTAGGTATCTGATTACCTCCACTAATTCTCTGGTATCTAATTACCTTCTAGCTCCTACTGTCGCTCCATGTATTAAACCTTCTCTCGGCTGCACAGCTCCTTCACTACTTGGCTTGGAAATAGTGTTCTGAAAATACAAATAGTCGCCTGCTTCCTCTAATCCCCAGAAGAATGCGATTTCCTCCTGAAGCACTTTGATGTCCGACAGGAAGCCATGACAACGGAAGTGGAAGCCTTGAACCAGGCTATCGCGATTTTGAAGGGCTCCGATGCCGGCGGCGAAATGCAGACCATCTACGCCAACCCAACAAGCTTCTTGGGACAGAAGTAGACTTCGACCTCGCTCGATGATTTTAGACCGTGCTCTCCTTCAGTCCCAAAAATGTTGTTCGCGTTTATGTACAGATATGACGAGTAGATACGTGGATTCGACTAGAGCTACTTACTAGCATTTTTTCCAAAGAAAGCGATTAAAGATTGAATCGTGAACCTCATATTTCTCAGTGTGTTTTTTCGTTTTTTCCAGATCATATGACGATATCGACAGTTACGACGACGAGGATTTTCAAGATAATAAATACCATTCATTGTGTTGATTCTTGTCATACTCATAGCCATAGGTAGCCTTTCCGTAATAGAAGTGATGAACTTCAAAGGCAACAAAGAAGTTCGAATGCTACTGCTGGATGCTCGTCTCTGTGTTGTTAATGAGATCGTGGTATTGTCGGTTTTGTTTTCAACATCGGCCTGGATTTCATCTCCATCTTTGTTCGGTCTCGGTTTTATTGACGTCGGTGGAAGTTTCGACGCCCCAAGCCTATAGCCCTCCCTCAATTATATGTCCTCTCCTCTGTCCTAGTATCGCGTTATCGCTGCAAATAAACGCTCAAGACAACTCATCTATCTCTATTCCCTTCGAGAATCAGCTTGCTATACCGATGAAGTGTATGAATTTCTGAGGTGATCCTCCAGATTGTTCGGAAAAAAACTGTTGTTCTATGAGCAGGCAGCTACTACAACTCCTACAAGAAGAACAAAAGGAACGAATAAATGGGTTGTGGTTCCTCCAAAGCTACCAAGAAAGCTCGACAAGAGCTTGCGGAGCTACAGGAGCATGTGCGGGAATTGATGAATCCAAACGTCTTTTTCTTCGACCCAGATGCTAGTGAAGCCGTTCACGTGTATGGGGAAGGCGACTTGGGAGATGAAATCATCGACTTGGATGCGTTGCAGTTGGAGGATAACTATGGTCACACATATTTATAATTAAAAAAGCTCTACCCCATGAGTGGGTACATCAATCAATCAACTATATGCGGCCGTCTAACAAGCGGCGGTGCTGGATAACGGAGGAACAAACAGACCCAGGGCCAACCCTGGACTGTGCAAGTACATCAATCAATCAATCAATCAATCAATCAACGCGATGAGGAGTTTTAGCGTGTCTACGTCTATTTAAGAATATCTGACAAAGGAATATTAGAAAGCATCTATCTACAGTGATTAGATCTGGCGGAATAGGAATAGGCCCCCTGTGTGTAGTTTTAAACACGATCTACTAGAGGTAGGAGCATAATCTTCCTCTAACCTCGAACCGGCGACCATTCCCCAGAACGCAAGAAAGCGTCCTCCGTCAATGCGAACGCTGCGGAAGTGAGGTATGCAGTATTAAGAGTCCAGACCTTTGAAGAGGTGAATTTCGAACAAGGGGGGCGTACCGGCAAGCTGCGACCAACAAGTGTGACGCGGACACGAGATTTCTCGCAATCGGATATTCCACCATCGTTTGTGGCTGGTACGAAAGGAGGAAGCTTGGCGAATAATAACATTATGACTCTGAGGGAGTTGTTGTGGTTGTACTTAGAAATAGAATATCGTGGTAAATGATGTATGGCTCTGGTATTTGGTAACCTGAATTTGATCATAAGGGTTCTCTTCTTGTTTTCCCTTATGATCCAATTCAGGTTACCAAATACCGGAACCATTCAAATAAGAACAAAATAGACCTAAATGAGAAACTCAAACACATGAAAATTCTATGAGAGAAGTAGTTGCATACAACTCCTCTAACTCCCTCACCAGTCTTGACGATCCCGACGAGCAAGATGTCAAAGACCATGCAGCTGCGGATAGCATTGGTCTAAGGGACATCATATTTGGTGGTTTGACCTGGACCGGAGCTCGGCGACAAGGAGAACTGACCGTGAGTACTGCGTTATCAGAGGCTCTAGCCTGTGGATGGACGTTGGTGGATAGCAGTACTACGAGAACCTACACGCCACATAGGATTGGGATGGGCAGAAGGCTAGTAAGAGAAGAAACGTTCACCTTGTACAAGAAGAATAGTGAAGCACCAACGTATAAAATCTGAAGTAGAACATGGAGAGGAATCGTCCTATAGAATCTGATATCAACTTTAATTTCTGACCACTTGAATTTCATCTTCGTAGAAGGTACTCCCTACAATGTTGGTATAATAACCTGCACTCTGCAGAGCTGCTTGTCAATACGGAGATCTGTTCGCTACTTAATAAAAAACTGCTCTTTGTTGTATATTTAGTATTGATTCTCCTCAAGATGAAGAAGAAGATGAAGTTGAAGTAGACCATACCCCTCTAAAAGACGACTCGTCATCAGCACCAGCACGATTCTGTTAAATGCGAACTGGCACCTAAGAACAGCGACTTAGTTTTGTGTTCGTGAAGACGGCACTCTGTACCTGTAGTGTTGAGTTCGGGAACTGGATCCGTCGGGAACTGGATCCGTATTCGGTGTACACCTTCAAGAAAGACACTCTAAAAAGCAAGACTTCGTACTCCATTTGCTTCAAAAACAAGAAGATCCTGATGTCCTAGGACTATAGATAAGACTCTTTATTAGACTTGTTGTGAGGAACCAACTACCGAACACGAAGTGAACAGCGCGAGCACAACTAAGATGAAGCCTCTGCTGAGCGCTAGCTTTACAAAGAACCACCGTGAACAACAGCAGGCACAGGCCCAACACCAACGACCTCAAGAGCAACTCATAGACGAATTGCTCTGTTCTACACCAGCTGCTCAAGCGTCGCCTGAGCCATTTCCCGAGATTATGGAGAACATGGATGCTTCCCACGATTCGGATGATGACTTTACGACGGAGTTTGAAGAAAGGGGAGCATCAACAGGTGGCAAACGCAAACAGAAACAGGAAGACTCTTCAGTAATAAATGTAAAGGAGAATCTCCGTCTCTCTCAGAAACATGTTGGTGATGCAGAGAGTGGCGGAAAATCCATGGTCGAGATGGACTTGCTTGATGCACTCACGCCTCTAGGACCGCCTTCGACTGGGTATCAGTATTACCCAGACCCACCTGCAGGAGGCGATCAAAGAAACGGAGATGCTCACGATCCGAATGATCACAGAGCTACCATCATGGGTAACGATTACGACCACGAACAAGATGACGGTACTAAGAGTTGCAGTACGATGGATGATGTGCGAACAACCATGTTGCATGGATTCGCCCCGTCTTCGACACGAGGTGGAGCTGGAAGTCTCGCCAACAGTACAAAAATGCCCACTCGGACTACGTTTGTACGGTTGCCTCGGAGTCCGCTTTCACCGCCGAGTTGCTCTGTAGATTTTCAAAGCAGGGGTGTTAAGGTCGTTGCAGCTGGTGGGAATGAGACGCTAAAAGTACACGAGGATGGTGTCTCCTCGTCTTCTCAAAAAGCGAAGCCGAAGGAAGACCAAGATCAAGAGGCGACGATGGAGCGGCTTCATCAAGGCCATCAAGACGGGGCACAACAAGCCAATGGGAGCGCCAGCTGTGCTGCAATAAAAACAAAATCAGGCACGACCGCTAACTCCGTTCTAACAGCAAATGCCGAGCAACTTGCAGCTGCCGCGGCTTCATTGAAAACTAAAACTGCAACTTTGCCGTCTAGGATTGGTTTGGGTTTCCCGTTTTTATTGCGTGGAGGTGGGAGCTCTACAGGAACTATGTCAGCGAGTAATTTCAGAATGTCAACAATGCCTATGCCCCCTTCCACGAGCAGCAACACGATTACTTCTAGAACCTCTTTAGGTGGACTAGGAGGTGGAGTTAATCCATTCAGTGTTGGACAAGGACAACGGCAAGCACCAGCACTAAATCTAGGTCTACAAGGAGCTACGAGTACCACAACCACAACGGGAGCTTTCTCCCCTGTACAACATCAGATGACACCAGCACACTCGTCTAGTGTAGTTGCGACCGGAACAGGTGTAGCTTTATCTTCAATCCATCAACATAAGGCGTCTGCGGCAATGACTGCGCGTCTGCAGTTGATGAGACGAAGTGCTAGTGAAAGCATTAGTCCGAACACGAGGCGAAGGCGACACAGGAGTCTCGGTAGTAGTCAACAGACCAGGACTGCTGCCAGGAACATCCAACCCACTTGTAGTGCCGGGAATAAAGACAATGTGGATCATCTGGATCCTATCAATTTTCCGGCAAATCCAAAGGTTGAACAAGAACAGGATCATAAAACAGACTACAGCTCACAAAAGGACCAGCATGCAGCTGCACAAGCTCAAGCAACTACGCCCGACAAACTACAGAGTATCAATACTTTATCCTCTGTTCACCAATTCCAGCCTCCAACGCGTTCGCAAAGCGCAGCACCTGGTTCAAGTGTCTTCCATCGCAGTCAAAAGCTCTTAGAGACGGCCCATGCACATCTCAAGAGTCGTGGAGCTATGATTTCGAATTCGAATACACAATCCTCTACTGTGATGAACAACGTGTTCGCAGCTGGCGGTCCTAGGATACTGAGGGCTTCTCCTGACACAATGGAATCTTCTAGTAGACATCAAGGACTTGCTCACACCAGCACTTCCCCTGCTTTGGAAGGGTTGGTAGGGGCATGGGGGCGAGCGTTGGACTCTAGAGCGGTGGCTGTGACGCCGCAGGTTGTGGTTGGTAACAATAGTTCGCGAGGACCAGTTGAGAAACGAGCAAAGAGCGCAGCAACAACGGCCTCTGCGACGGCGGAAGAAAGTACTGGAAGTGAGACGGTAAACCTCTTTTCCAGAGCAGAAGGTGAAGGAGGCGAAAATCTGCACAATCATCCTCTAGTAGCTTCAACTTCAACCACTAGCAGCGGCCGAGGAGGGATGGGAGGAGTCGGTAGTAGCTCTAGCTCCTTACATCGCCGTGCTAGTCTCAAAGACCTTCAGGAGGCACTTCGGACTTCCTCTACCTCATCTGTAACAGGCAAAGAGAACAAGGCAACGTCAAAAATGATTCTAGGGAACACTAGTTCATCGTCTACGTCCTCGAGCAAAAAAACGCGGGCACCTCTAACTGCAAGTGGAGGGACGAATAGTAAGATAAGCGGTACAACTACTATAGTTAAGGCTCAACTTTCAATGGTCTGTCTCTGTGGGGTTGGTCACTGAGATCGAAGAAGCGACCTTCCCTTGAGAGTAGAACAGGGGAAATTATAAACGAAGGGCAAGGGGAGAGCTTTGAAGGGAGTCTCTTCCGTTCAGCATCAGTGACCATTGAATGCTGCGCTTTAATATAGGCAGCACAACAGAGAGCAAAACTACACCTACAGGGAGTAAAATGAGTGTGAATAATGCTGCTTCCAAATCAAGCACCTCAGGTTCTGGCGCAGCAGTTGTGAACAGTCGCAGTGTTTCAGTAACCTCTCCATCGAAGCGACGCCCTACAGGAACGACGAAATCCAAAAGCATTTCAAATTCAATGTCTTCTTCTCAGATGACAGGTACCGGCGGAAAGATGGTAGGTACTCGTACCGGCATTAGTACAGGAAATCGAATGTTGAAACATCAAGAAACTACTCTTGCTGCAGCAGGTGCGGCATCAGCGAGTACAACTAGAGGAGCAAACAACGACATTACAGTGCTGACAAAATTGAATCTAGAACAACAACTCCTGGAAGGTCACGGTGGATCTGGTGACGCCGATACAAATACGAGCAGTCCTGTGGTTCCTCAACTCAGTAGTAGATTGGTTTATCACAATGTCGCAGCTCCTGGTGCTCAGACTTCTTCTACTGCCTGTGGACTTGGAGGAGGAGGTCTAAGTACAAATACGATGCTAAGTGGGGCTGCGACTACGACTGCAATGCTAGGCGGCCCTACGACATCCGCAACCCCACTATTCCAGCAACAACAACGAATCAAATTCAACTTCACGAAACCGGTTCTATCCACTGCGATGAGTGGTGGCAGCAGATGTAATGCCCCCCAACTACATCAGGCGCCTAGTGCTAAAGCTAATGCTATAACCTCCTCGTCTGTCTTTGCACGTGATGGTGGTGCTATGGAAATGGCTATTGGAGGTAGAGGAGGCTCGTCCAAGACGTCCAACGTCGAAGAAGGAGCAAGAGGACAGCAGCAGGCCTCTTCTTCTCATTCGTCTCCGAGGAGATCCCGGTCGCAGAGGTCTAGATCGCAGAATCCTCCGTCTAAACAAGCCTCAGAACAACAGAACGCAACAACTCGCAGCGAATCGCAGACTAGACGGGTTGCAGATTTCTTGGCTACTTTGCAATTAGACAGTCTAGACTTACCTCCAGAGACGAGAGCTGCGATTGAGGCACGCTCACGAGCAGCTTTTGTGAAGGCGTCGACGGCTGGGACGACGCGCAAGCCAAGCGAAAGCCCTAGTAGACCTGTCCGCTCACCAGTGCCTTCGCCTGGTGGTGCTGATCACGCTGTTGAAACTACAAATAAGCCTGGAAATGGCAGAAGGTCGAAGTCTCCAGCTGTGCAGTCACGAACAACCTCAAAGCAGGAGAAAAAGGACACTTGTTCTGGTCGTCTTCTCAAGCCTTCAAGCAAAAACTCAACAGGAGAAATAACTGCTTGTTCGAAAAAAACTGCCGTGGGTGATCGTGGCAAACAGCAAGAAACACAACACCTACATCACGTTCAAGCAACGAGAGCCGCGTCTCCAGCCGGAGTTGGAAACCACAATGGGGAGGCCAACCCCAACGGCAGCAAGAAATCGCATCATCAACCGGGAGCTTCGACTACGAATACGATCAGTAGAAGTGTGTCCCTTGGAGCTCGCGGGTACGTTAGTCCACGGATTTTGAATGCTTTTTCTCCAGGAGCAGCGGGACATAATATCACACTAGGAGGTGGTGGTGGAGGTCAACAGCTGCAACCACGAGCTAGTCCACGCACTGCTACAGCTCTACCTTCGTCAGCCGTTCTCCAAAGACCACTAGCACTTACGCAGCAGCATTTTTCATCCTCACCTGGCGCATCGTCGCCAGTATACGGCGGGAGACTCTCAAGTGCACGACAGATGAATGTCGGACCTATGAATCACCAGAACACTAATGTTGGTGCTCCTCCAGTTTCCAGTGCTGGTGCGTCTCCTGGAGGTGGTATCTCTATTCCTGTCATACAAACTAGAACTACAGGAATTATAATGGGCTCGTCTCCAGGCACAAGGAGTCCTATGTTGTTGAATAGTGCTCGAGCAACGGCAGCGCAAGCAATGAGCATTATGAGAAGTCCGCGACCACCACCAGCTGTGGTGGAGAATGGTGAAGGTGGAGGTGGTGCTCCTGTCCCTGTTGTTGCTAGTGGTCTAACACAGAGGACCAGGAGATCGCCAAGCCCAAAACAAAAGTACACTTCTGTAGTAGAACAAAATCAAAAACCAAGTATTCCAGCATCTAGTGGTGCCACGACATCGTCAGGTATTGATCCTAAACTACGCAATAGCTGCACTAGCATCAAAACAGGGAGTAGAGTTCTTCCTCCTGCTGCGCCTGTTCCTGTCGCGCCACACAAGTATTTGCAGCTTGGAACTCATGATCCTTCATCAAACAAGAACAGCTACGCGGTGAATTTTCCCCGTGGCACTGCGAATAAGAGTCCAGCGCCAAGCATCAGGAAAGGGGCGAATAAGAAGGGCAAGGGAAGCGCACGCACCTTGAGCCCGACTGCAAGGAACGCAATTCCTCGTAGGGGTGAAGTTGAGACTCTCGACAAGGAAGGCCTGGAAGGTGCGGACATCAAACGTCCTCTCCCATCTACCACAAGCACAAATAGAGCAGGAAAGGGCACAACTTCTTCTGTAAACAATACACTGGCGACTAGAAATAAGAAGGCACCGCGTGGTGTTCTTGGTGGCCCGACTAGGAGCAGTGCTGGAAATGGGATCATATCCCCCAATAACACGCTAGCGGTCGCGGTCCAACAACACGAAGGTCCCCATGAGCCACCACCTATGGTTTCATCTAAAACGACCATGCCACCAGGTGCATCATACAAGAGTCCCTACGCTTTCAGCGGCAACAATGCAGCTAGCATGAGCACCCAGCCTTCAGCTGGAATAGCAACCATGCCTGCTCCGTTTTCATCGACATCAGCATCATCGTCATCCGCAACTAACATTAAGGGTTACCCTTACCACATGGCATTCTTCACCACCATCCTTGGCCTTTTTTCCAGTAGGAAAAGGGTCAGGGATGATCTGAAGAATGCAATGTCGCAACCTCTAATAACAATCCAACAAGTCAATTTCAGACAGCAACTAGTACAACATCATTCGCAGATACGAAAGGGATTATCCTCGAGACGTTAACGAAATCGGGTGACAGCGTGAATCGGGCACAGCTGTCGGAGATTCTAGAGAAAGCTGTTGTGATTGTTGAAGCTCAGAAGCCACGCGGTAGTAGTTGCACCGATCTGGTTGATACGCTGACAAAACGCGTTTTGAATTACGGCATACTTACGGTTGTATAATCAGTAGCTATGTAACTAGGTTAGTAGTAGTGCGTAATCTCTTCGGGCACTGCTAGTGCTAACAGTGTCATCAGGGATCCACACATACATCAGGTGTGATTCCCGTGTATTAGAACCTCTACCTCCACGCACGACAGAGACAGAGTGCAGCAGAACTACTAGAGTTGAGAGCTTCGCTTGTTCTAATACCCACCGGATTTCCTTGTCGAGCCTACACTGTGCCGGAAAGCTATGCGGATTTTTGTGCATTGTGTCTACCACGTGAAGTCGGAGCTTTTGCGAGCGGCAGTGTTTGAGTCGGTCATCGCCTTGGTCGAAGGTGCGGCCGATCGAGGTGACCCGCTTATTGACCACCAAGCAATGCTGGTATTCGCGAACGGCCTGAAAGCTGGAAAAATACGCATTGGACTCTTCTCGAGGGCGGTAAAACAAATTATCTGCTTTGTATTAATCGTCTACGTATAGTCCCGTATCGGGGCTTTGGCTCTAGCAACACAGTTCAGAGAAAGAGAAACAAAGACCCTCTGCGCCACAGGCGTGCGTCGTTGATGATCTTCCGGGTCCATCTCATGCACGGCAGGCGGCTGCTGAAACGATGCGGGCAGGAATTTCCAAGAGGGCCGGCATTCTGGCGGAGGGCGGGCCTGTGTGCTCAGCGTGGCATCTTCGGGCGCGAGCGGCAACTCGTACTACGCCTACGGCCGCAGCCTCTGGTGCGAACAGGCCTGCGGCTGCTCTTGCTGCAGCTGTGACCTGGCAGGCTTGGCGGCGAACTGCCGTCACGGGGTTGCGCCCCACGGTGGGCGGCGCGCTTGTATCGTGCTGCAATTCGCCCGCAGATGAACAGGCGCGACCCCAGTGCGCCGGCTTCTTGCCACCGGCAAAAAGCCAGCAGGGGTGCCTGGGCAGTGCAGACCCCAGGCGGCTGGGCGTTGGGCGTGAGAACTGCACGGCAGCCTTTTCGGGGTGCCTTTGTCAGTTTGCTCAAGGGCTTAGCTGTGGTAGTCTGGGCGCTTATATGGAACAGGAAAAGGCAACGCTCCAGCGGCTGATCGCCCACCTTCTGGAAAGTGGCGACTCTGTCTTGGCGCGCTCTAAGTACTCACTAGCAGCCGCAAGCGACCCAGGCCGGCCGCCTGAGCGTGTAGGCGTCTGAACTCCGTGGTGCTTGGTAAGGGGAAAGGCGAGCCTGTATCGCTTTACTTCGGACCGCTTTGCAATGGCTGGGCGGATCATGGCGCGAGGGTGATGATCTTGGTGGGCTTGGAGCTTGGGCACCTTCAGGCTTGCCGGATTTGGCGGAAGGGCTCGAAATGTCTATGGACATTACTAGAGGGGCCACCGGGCAGGCCGGACGGCTCGCAGAGATGGACAGCGTTCGCGCCGCTTCTCTAGGGGTGGCGGCATGGCAGTCTCGAGCGCTCGACCCGCCAGGCCGGGGCGCCTGCGTTATTTAATCCTCTGCGCGTCAATTCTGCGGCTGGCGATACCGGCGGCAGCCGCCCGAGCTTGGTGGTCTTCGTTCACCTTGTCGGGGGTGACCTTGGGCCATTGGTCTAAGGAAGGCGCTAGGGGTAGGGATTGGCCACGACACTAACGGGCTGGAGAGTGGGCTTGCGCGTGAATGCGGACGGAGGGACGTAAGAGCAGAAGGGCGTGGCCTCCCTAGTTCGTTGTCTGCGCTTTTCTTCTCTTCGTTTATTTTTCTGCGCTTTGCTCTCGTGCTTATTTCTCGGCCCGTTGGCGCGTGACGCGGGCTGCGCATACGGTGGGGCGAGGGGTGCTTGGTCGGCCGCCTTTGGCCCCCTCGTGTCTCTGTGTTTTTTCTCTGTTTTTTCATCTGCGTGATGGCTCCGCTTTTTCTGATCTTCTCCCCTCTCCTTTGATCCTCTGTCAGTATCATGATGCATGGACCCGCACACAGGGATCTTAGTCGTGATGAGTAGGCGTAGATGATCAGCCTGAGTTTCTGCTTCGAGGCTTATTCTTTTCTACGCATGGGGTAAGGTGGACGTGGCGTTCTTTATCTTATCATCATATTGAGGTCTACTTGCTGGAGGAGCAACAAGAACAGCGGCGTGCTTTATGATGACTTTGGGCAGAGAGAGCTGCCAATGTCAGTCCTCAACGAATTATATCTCCCACACACAGGTCCGACTCGCATTACAGACAGTGGGTCCGTGTCGTGAAATTTGTTTTTTTCTGACGGAAGCTGCGACACGATATGGGCAAGAGTATGGGCAAATCATCCTGCGATTGGGCTGTCACCGCATTCTACAGCAAGTGCCAGATGAATTCATGAATGAGAAGAAGCTCGCACTGAACGCGATCACCACAGCTATTGAGGCCAAGCAAGTCTTGCCTAAGGACCAAGTGAGATTTTGGACGGGGACGCAGTCACCAGGAACTGTAGAGTAGAAGACAGAGTGGCTCAACATCTTCTGTTGGGGCGAGTCTTTTTTAAGGACCGATCATGGTTGCTTGGATTGCACAGACCACGAGATGGCCGTAACAACTGCGAGCCTTGTCGCCATGCCCTTAAAGATGTTGGAGATGCCTTGTCATTTTTTTAGAATTCAGAAACTTGAAGGTATGCTGCACCACTGTGAAGAAAAACTAAAACCGATACCGAACAATTTAAACTAATAGATAAGAATAAGTAGCTTTCCTAAGCCTAACGATAGAGCGATCATGATGATCAACACCTTTTACTCAAACACTATACCATGATGCTTCTTCCCAAAAAACATCCTAAACACATATATCATTACATTTCTGCCGAGGTTAACTGAGACTGTACTACTTACTACTGATTTTTTCTTGTCGCCGACAAAGGAAAATAATCGAAGCAGAAGCAGAACTATTGAAAACGAACAAGAGAAAACGTCGCTTTCATCTGTGCTTACCTCTATGACACAGTCTCAGTCGATGAGCTTGTATTTTTTATTGTAAGGTGTTCGTTGCCTGAGATTGCCCAGCTCAACATGATGGGTTACCAAGAAAAGTACTTCTTGGTGTTGCATTTTTGAGCTCTTGTTCGCATCATGCTATGAACCAACGCATTCACAATCGACATCGGAAAAAAGTATATCTATGCTGTCTTTGGGGCGCGGGCGGCTCTCACACTCACTCATCTGTCGATCTTTCTGTTATCGTTCTTAGTATGTTACTCATCACATACACATTCACAAATCTCCCACTCTTCCTGCCTCTCAACAACCCTCCTAATCCAAATAAGGTAGAGGTAGAGTATGTGTATCTTCATCAGTGCAGTGATACTCGAATACTCAAAATAAGCGAGGTACTGACTGAAATAAGAGAGTCTTCTTGACTACATTCCTCTTCTTTCAGTTGTGTCTCCCTTATTTTAAGTAGTTACTCGCTTTTTATTTCAATTTTTCGAAATGTAAATAATGTTCGTGTCGTCTGATGCTCTTCATCAACTCTGAACTGCATCATGTGTCTCTTATTTCCGAGATCATTTTTCGAAATCATAATTAGGAGTGAGACCACCACGTGCACAAGGAGAGCAGTAGTAGTTGAGTATTTACCGTTCATACAGGCAAGCTAGCACATCAAGAATTGCACGAGCAAGAGGATGACTTCCACATCATCCTCCACGACCTTTCGTTCACCGCAGAAGTACTTGAAGCGTGATGAGGATCAGGCTCGATTGGTCCAGAGCGCGGTCAAGCGTGCTAGGGATCGCGCTATTTCTCGTGGCAACGCGTTTGCGGAGCAGAGTGACTTGGCGACTGCATCCCTGTTTAAGGCTTAATAGTACCCTAATCCATCTTCTGAAGCATCGATCCTGGGGCTACCTTCCCATACATAAGGAGAACACACCTCCAAGATGAGGCTCTAATCTGTCATTCCTGAGCCAGATGGCAGGTGCAGGTGGCTCCTTCACTGGTGGTGGTGGATACCTCAACTCACCTTTGTACAACGGCCATGGGCTAGGCCATAGGACGAGTGGAGGAGTTTCTTCAGGAGCTGCCAAGTCGCTCGCGCCACCAAGCACTAGATCTATAGGAGGCGGAGGGAGTCGTAGTACTATTGCAGGTGCGCCGTCTGGAGCAGGAACAAGTAGTACAACCACATCTTCCGCCAACATGACGTCGTCAGGCTCACGAACACTGAAAGCGTTTCAGAGCTCGTTGAGGAACCGGTCTTCGCCAGTGAAAAAAGTGGAAATGGGAACTAGGACAGTCACCAGAACTACAGGTGGCGGTCTAGGAATGGGCAGTCGTGGTCTAGTTGCAGAAAACAAAACGAGCTATAATGGCACAGGAGCATCAGGAGCAGTGGGAAATACCTCAGCAGCTTCAAACACAAATAACAACCATGACTACCGAAGTACAAGTACGTCTTTTACTTCAAGCAGTGGCTACTACAACGGACCGCCTTGGCCTTCATCTTCCTCCAGCTCCTCGAACAACAGGCTTGCTTCTTCCAGTAGATATCGACGGCGTTCGAGTTTTCACTCAATTTCACCAGTTCGCGATGTTGCAGAGGCCTCATTGTCCCCTAACAGAACCAAGAGAGTAGGACCTTCAATGATGTCGACGAGGAACTACAATGGTAGAAGTACTAGTACAAGAGCAGTAGGGACAGGTGGAATAGCAAGTAGTTTGCAACCTTCAGCTCCAGGAACGAGATCCGCAAATAATTCGGCAACATCTGCTACTACTACTTCAAGAAACATCAACAACATAGACACACTTCGTTCGATTTCATCCCTATCAACATCATCTAGTACGCCCCGTGCTGATCAAGCGGATGTGAGGGCACGCATTTTGAAAATCCTAAAATTGACAGACAATGAGTCTCTCGAAAAGAATAAAGTAGTAGAGCAGTCTTTCTCCTCGAACGAGCAGCTGCATGGTCACGGTGGTACATCAAAGCCAACTAACGCTGTTTTTGCTGAGTATGTACATGAGCATGGGATGAACATCAACGAGAACGATACTGTACAACTAGACGCCGAAGAAGGACACGACAGATACGATGATGTCAACGAAAAATCTGTATCGTCTACAATGAATAATCCTCCAACTCCCACAGCCATAGCTCCATGTCTTCCTTCTCCGCAAGACCTCTTTCCACCTCGAAACCCAAAGCCAATTTCCAGCATTTCTTGTTCCCAACTACCAGTACCAATGACATCGCCGCTTCTTGAGTCACCAAGTGTCGTCTCCGATTTTTCACTCGCTTCGTCTCCGAGTAGTATTCCAGCTTCCTCTCCTTCTGTAGTCGAACTCTCAGCCGCAGATGAGGAGCGATTCGCCGGTCTCCGTTGGATTCTGGAGCGTCGCGGGTGTAGCTACTTTCATCATCAAGAGGCCAATGATGGCAAGGGGCAGCTGTATCATGTGGTACACAATCATCATCTTGATCTACTTCAAGCAGATCTTGTTCAACCTGACTCCCTACATGAAGAACATGGTCATCTTCAACAACGTCAGCAGTTTCCAACTCTAGTTCCTCTCCACAAGAGACTGCGGTCTCGAGAAGTACACTGGATCGCGCTTCTAGGAACATTGACAGTGGTTATGGGGTTGTTTTTTCTGTTGCAGGACCACCTAGATGCAGCGATCGAAATGACGCTTCAACAATGTGCGAAGTTGTACGTGGACCGCTACCGTGTACCTGATGTTGTGATAAGACCACTGGAGGTACAGATGAAGAATGCAAGTACTAGTAGGTTGCAGGACGGAATAAAGATAACTTCGGCGCAATTGAAAAATGATGGTCACGTCGGAGGAGTGGTTTGGGACAGTACAACTCGTAGTCGCGGTAACAACTCAACATGGGCTTCGGAATCCTCAGTCGATCCTTTTCCCTACAATTTCACTTTCACGCTTCCACGAACACTTCCGGTTCCATCTTCATCGAGTACGATCAGTACAACTACTCCTCCTGTATCAACACCTACGATCAACCATGACATTTTTGACCTTAATATGGTCGACATTCAGGCGATTCCAGATGCCACGATTGCCGATCATCTTCGTGTAGGTTTTGAGGGGTTGACGCGTGATCTTCAAACTTTGTTTGTCTCGAAGAGCAACTGGAGCAATATGTTGTCCAAGACTTCTGCTTTCAACTGCCTCATCAAGAGTGCAAGCGGAAGTGCTCTCCATGACAACATCAATTTGATCGGCTTCAAGAACCATGTGTTCCATCACGCAGACGAGCTGCTGTTCCACCTACGCCCACACCTTGAGACTGTCGACGCGACGCTGAGACCACTGGCAGGGAGAGCAAAAGGCGAGATCCTGTCGTTGAAGTCGGAGGTGTATCGTCTAGGGAAGCGATCTCTGCGTGCAACGCAAGAACTTCTCGATTTCCGTTTGGTTGCGGAGAAAGTTGACGTTTTTGTGAAAGATTTCGGTTTCGATACACGCAAACTGGAGGACTTCTTTTAAGTTTTTGTTGTAGTTTTTGTTGTAGTTCTTGTGTTCGTGATTGCGACTACAACTAGCTGCTCAGTAACTGCTCAGTTTCTCACTTCTCTTTGACTGTGAAAGCAGTACCTATGATGTATTTGCATCCAGATCTTCCACTCCCTAAATGTACAACAGCCACCTTCCTCTAATTCCCCACTTCCCTCTGGCGATCCATCATTTGGGCGTTTCGGAAATTCCAGATGGCGCTCGACGCCTTGATCGCGGACCTTCAGGCCTTCGTGGAGAACGACTTGCTTCAGGTGTATGTGAAGGAGTTTCAAGCGACGGCGATGAACGTCTGGCAATGTCTTCTGGAGAAGGCTTCAGAGGTGATGGGAATGGTGCAGGAGAAGCTATTTGGACTAGGTGAGTTTTGAAGACTCTATGTCTGACTCTATCTGGAAATTTGATGAAAGTATGTTGATTTAGGAGATCAGCTACACTGAATTTCCTACAGTAAAACACTACTACTCCACATGATGTTGATGGCAGTTCCTTACGCGTGTTCTACAATTACAAAGAGCACTGCATACGGAGGTACACATAGGGTCGTTTTATCTAGTTTTGTTTTTTCAATCATTCACGGGTTAGTACTACGAAATTTTTGTCCAATTTTGGTTACAGAAAAATATTGAATTCAGTCAAGGACCCCTTCCTCACATAAGCACGAGCGGAGTCGCACAACTTCGCTTCATATTCCCTCATACGACCAAAAGTGTACTAGAGTTGTTACCGTTTGATGTTATTGTGCATAAACCAACCGACTAAGGACATCAATGTCCTGTTTTTATTGCATAATTATGATGGCCATATATTTCACAGCCCTCTTGTTCATATTGTTGTATCTTCCATGTGAATGTCTTTCTGCAAAACACTAGCATTTTTACCGTTACCCGATTTCAACTTCAAGATCCCACCCAAATGGTAGTATAACTATTAACTAACCTCTTAGTCTTGCTAAGTAGGCGGAACTTCATGACGTCCTTTCCCTTGACATTCTGCATGGAACGCAACACTCCATAAATGTGACAGAGATAGATCATGAAAGACTTGCTGGCCAAAATGTTTCGAGCGCCTCAAGGCACCTCTGCGCGTGCTCTGATTCCGGGAGAGTGACCTGTTGGCAGCGCGAGCTGAATTTGCTCAGTTGAAAAATTTGGAAAGCGAAAAAAAACAAGACAAGTGAACTGCTGTACTAGAAGAAAACCTCACAGATGAATATGAAGGCTGCAACATCTAAGTCGTTTGTTGTAATTAAACCTATCAAAAAAATGAGGCCCCGATACCAAGGGCACGACTGAGACCAATGATTACAAGAACATGACGCGCAATGTACTGTGCAATGCCAATGTTTGGAGACTGGATCTTGTTGGATCTGACGTCTCCAAAGGCTGTGGCGCACCCCGACGGATGCTTATGATAGGATCGTCAAGAGCTTGTGGCTCTTCTTCAACGTCGTGGAGGAACGTTCGCGACAACACTTCTGCTCGATGCATGAGGGTGGATCATGCAGCCCGCCGTTTTGCATGGGCACATCAACCCGCGATACTACATCGATGCAAGAACGATCCAAGAATCAACCCATGCAGTCGATTTCGGGCTTTCAGCACTACAGTATGCTCGCCCGCCTCAACGGAAGCTGTGTCTGCGTCGACACAACCAACGCCAAACCGATCGTCCCGACCGGTCTACGCCGTAGTCTTATCCTCGATCGTCCTCTGTGGTGCACTGATAGACAAAGGTCGGCGGCGGTCTTTGCTGTTTTGGAGTACGGCTTTTCCAGTGTACCTGCACTACCGAACGCTCGATTTGTTGTACGTATGGCTGTAGAAGATGCAGTAGTTGTAAAGGAGATGCTTATTTCAACTGACACTGTTCCACCATGAAAATAATAGTAAGTACACAGAAGTTGATTGTGGTAGTGAACAAAATGGATTGCGCAGTGGTAGGTTTGACCCGCCAGCGCCACCTTCATTCATTGCAAAACTATGCAGATGGTGGCGCGCGCTCTTCTTCCGGTGACCAAAAAAGTGTAGCGAGTGGGAGGATGAATATGATTGAAGACGACTCTTCCAAAGCTAGCTTGGATCTCCAGCTCCGTTCTTTGCTCAAATCCAACATCCTGTATCCTCTTTTCGGCGAACGACAGGAGATTTTTCAGAGACTGCACAATTTCTACTCGCCTACTGTGCGAGACCTGTGCATGCGCTTGCGTGGGTTGTATCTGAAAAACGCGCAGTTCTTATCCCTACGCGAAGACGTGGTGCCAGAACCTTATCTGAGTTGGTGTCGGAGACTGCAACACGAGGCCCCGACGACACTCGACAAGGAGGAAGCTCGAGCAATAGTGGAACGGGAGGTAGGGTTAGGCTATTTCACTTCATTGGACTTGGATAAGCCCATTGGAAGCGCCGCGATCGGCATGGTGTATCGTGGGACGATAATTATGAACTGGAGTTTCTCTTTCACTTTCTGATGAAGGGTGGATTGGGACAGCAATAGGATTAGGATGTTCTTGTTTTACTACATCTTCATTTTGTACAAGTCTCGAGAAAATGTACTACATCTTCATTTTAGTATTCTGTTTCTTCTTCTTGTGCGTCAATAGTTGATTCAGATTCAATTCCTCTCAGCGACGAGTACGAAGTAAGCGAAGATGTTCAAAAGTGATTTTCATTTTTGGAAACCCTTAACATCCCCCGCCAACACACCGATGCCAATGGCGCAGGAGAAGGAGCTCCTGTTGTCCTCCCCGTAGCAGTGAAAGTGCAGGTTCCGGGAACAGAGGAGCAATTTCGATGTGACATGGCCACCATGCGTTCGTTTTGTCACGTGGCTTATCCATCCTTCGTTCCCCAACTAGCGGAACTGGAAGCTATGTTTTTGACTGAGTTCGACTATCGCAGAGAAGCCAGAAACATCAAGCAGGTGAGGGATAACTGGTTGAGGAGGGGTGATGGTGGTGCTGGTGGTGCTGGTGGATCCTCTGAGGAAAGGGAAACAACTACGACAAGCGTTGGATTCATGAAACGGTGGCTCTGGAATGCTCTCGTAGTGGCTCCTGTGAAGGCGTTGAAAACGATAGTCGTTCTCAGCAGAGCGGCTTTGACAAGTAGGATACGGAACACGAGCGAAGACGACGAACTTCTAGTCCGTGACCTTCAAAAACTTTTTACTATCGATGCTCTTGGACGCGCTGGAGCTGGACGCGTTGGAGAAGTAGCTAATGATCTACCTGATAACGATATGGCAGCCTTAACGCGTTACTTTAGCAACAGCAACACGTTATGGAAGAGAATTTTAATAGAGCAGTTGTACTAGAATCCTGAATCCAAGAACCAGCATGCATCTATAACGCGTTGCTAAAGTATCGCGTTAAACCTGTCATAAACGACAAGCGCACAAGATCGTCAACAAAGCCAGCATTGTCAAAGCAGGACTTTCGGTCACTGATCACGATTCCTGACGTGCATCATGCGAGTCAGAATGTTCTCGTGATGGACCTAGTGGCTGGAAAAAACTTTGTTTCGGGGTTAGAGGAACTGACGGAGACGATTGTTAAGGCTCCTGGTGACTAGTATCTATAGTCACAAATAATAACAGTTGTTCTTGTATATCCATCCGATTTAGTCGCGGCTTTAATTTTTGGGTTTAGGGCAAGAATGGCTTTAGCATTAGCTACATCGAAAATTATGAACAACCTCTAACCTTCCCAAACAGCAAGGCAAAACGACAGAGCAAATGCGCGCAGAGCTGAAGACGAGGTTGAAGAAAGACGGCTATGAAACCTTGGAGGAAGCGAAAGTGCGATTCTGGCTAGCACAGAAAAAGTTCGGAAAGGCTACAACTAGCAAAAGCGGTCAGGAGGAGATGTTGATCAATCCAGCGGTGGTCGTAGAGCTGTTGCTGCACTTCTTTTGTCACCAAGTGCTGATAGACGGCGCACTACAAGCGGATCCGCATCCAGGGAACTATATGGTCATTATGACAAGAAAGCTATTACTTTACATTTAGTACCTTAAATCAAAAATTATACTTTGCTTCTATTATAACAGAACAAAGGAGTGATGTACTTTTTACCAATTGGATTATCTACGATCGCAAAATTGCGTATCTAAAAGAAAATATGCTGTTCACGACCGTTGCCATGCAGGGAACTAGTTCTCTAACTCATGCACACCAAACAGCAGCACCACACCTACAACCGCATCCGCAAGTGAAACCAGCAGCACCGGGAGTCCAAGACTTGGCTGCATCGATTTTGGTCAACTCAAGGTTGTGCCTCTGGAAAAACGGCTTGCCTTTGCAAGGCTTATCCTAGCACTGGCTGAAGATACGGAGGAGGGTGACGCCGAGGCGAATTTATGTCCAACATTTAGTGTCCATCATTCTCCTCGGCGTCTTGGTCCCCTTTTGCCTTGTTGTATTCTCATGAAATACAACAAGGGGAACGGGGTCGAGATGAGGGGACCAGGATGCAATCTAGAAGTTCTAGCAGACTCGTCTAACGAATAGGATAGCAGTCTCCGAACTTGGCGCACGGAGCGAAAAAATGTCAGATCCTCTTCGTTTAGAGGTGTTGAGGTTTTGGATAAGCGAGGACCATCCAGACTTGTTGTCTGGGAAGGAGAATCTAGACTCCCTGGTTCGCAGATGGCACAACGAAGATCCTAGAGGGACGATAGATAACGACATCATCACAGTGAACCGCGCAGCGTTTATGATCCGGTCACTGTGCCTTGAGTTGGGGTTTCGCGTGAAATTATTGGAATTTTGGGTCCCATACGCGAAGCAGTTGCTGAGAAGTCAGAGAGGACGAGAGCACGTTAGCAACACGGTGAAAGAGAGATCATCATAAGCAGGGGTGCGACTCACTACAGTGAGTAGTGAAATTTATTGTACAAGTAGTCGTAGATGTAGGTGTAGAAGGACGAGAGGGAGAGTCTCCAGTTGTTGTATTAAGTCAAGTAGTGTATTAGTAAGTTAAAGTTCCAGGTGTTGTACAACCTGCACTCGGATGAAGACAAACGAGCAGTGGTCCTCACAACTTTTACATGAGGAATGACAATGATGCGAAATCCGATTGACAGTATCGCGTATTCTAGTCGAAGTCATCTTCTTGTTGAAGTTCATCAGTTACTTTTTTCGGAACATCAATCAGAGGCATACTAGGGAAACAACCCTGTGCGCGAAGGGCAGGAACTTCAACGAGAAAAGACTGTGTTCAGAAGTATGGAACGTTTGGTACCCTTCGAACACGAGACGTCGAAGTGAAGCAAGAAGGTCGGCTCTTCTCTAGTTTTCTCTCGGAACAGGATGATTTCTTAATATTGTACTTGAGAGAGAGAAAGAGAGAGACAATAAAAGTGAAGCCTAGCATGTCAGATCTCGTCCTGTAGAAAAAAATTGATGAAAACGCGAAAAAAGGAGCAGTAGTGAGCAAAAAAGAACTCAGTCTCATGACATCACTGAGTAACGACTTTTACCCCGTTTCGTATCCTATTTACTCTAAAGACAATAGGACCTTTTCTTCTAGGTGATTGTTCAAAGTGGGTCGAATAATTTTAGTTCAAAGCTGAAATGTTCTAGTTTCATTACAGTACAATAATGGATAAGGATTTGAATTTGTTGTAGTGTTTCTATTGCATCAATGAAATCTTCAGTATACAATTCTCAGTATTACACTAGCATACTTTTTACAAGTAAAGAATACCCACTGAATTTTTTTCGAAAAAAATGGTTGATATTCTCCATCAGTTCACTGATTCTCAGCGTAGTCTAATACTGCTCTTTTGAGCTTCACGACTCATCAAAATTTGTATTTACTCGTCCATAATTCTCTATTTTCCTACTCCTGACTAGTAGTTTGCACGTGGTTCTTTGTCTTCAGCGTGACAACTGCTACAGAAGTGTTGGTATACTATAAATATTGATCATCTGTAAAGCAAATTTGAATGGTCATTTCCCGTTTGTATGCAATTTGGCGGGTATAGCAGGACCAGAGTCAAGCGTGAGGGCGGATCGAAGCATAGTCCTGTAGGTCGTGCGAGACATTGTAGAGGAGCATCCTCATATTCTACAAGTCGCACACGGGTGGCAAGCAGAAAAGCGTGTTTGTACAAGTAGTTTTCGTGATTTCTGAAATCAATGTTGAGATACTAAAAAATCGATTGACCTTCTTCTCTTTTTGTGATACCTCAGAGGTTGTACGAGGATTAGTAGTTGTCTTCCAAAATTTGGAGCGCAGCTCTATATTATAATCTCGTTCTTGTATTTCTGTTTTCACTTTGAACATCAACTTCAAGTTGCCCACTTCTTGTCCGTGGAGGTTGTCTGTTGTTCTTTTTTTGTGGCTGGTTTAGTAGTCTGACTTTGTTCTGATCGACATCGACAACAAGCAACCAGCACAAGCGAAGTACAAGTACAATAAGAACAGCGAATCATCTACGAGAAGCGGAACAGTACAAGCATCTTCATCCGAAGCAAGAAATAGACGAGATGACGTCGTCGCCGAACAATGCTGCCTCAAGCGGCCTGCTCGTACGCAGCTGCAACTACCATTTGCAAGGAAAGGCACTGTTGAAAAATGTCGACTTCGACTGTGAGGCTGGGCAGTTGACCGGTATCATCGGACCGTCTGGCGCTGGCAAGAGTGTTCTCTTAAACATGCTCACTTTCGGCACCAACATGCCGAAGGATGACGCGTTGAAAGAATTCTTGAAGAGCAAGGCCGAAAAGGAAGACGAAGCGCGCACGGCTTGCAGACCGAGAAACTTGCTGCAGGTCTTGACGTTTTTGAAGATACTATTTTTCTTCATTGAAGTAGAACCTTTCTTGTGAAGATTACGTCACCTCCAAATACGTCGTATTACAGTAAGTTTTTTCTTGCAAGAACAGTTTTTGTACCTGATACCATCTACGAGGAAAATCTCAACAAATTCAGGCGGACCTTTTCTTCACCTCCGTCGGAGAGGATGGAGCCAAGACGACGGAGAGTATGCAATCTTTGCAGGATTTCACACAGCATTGTGCCTACGTCCCAGCAGTGGATGCGCAATTTCCGACTCTGACGTGTCGCGAAGTGCTTGCGAACACAGCGGCTTAAGGCTCTATCAGTATCCAGAGATGAAGATTACTGAAAAATGAAAGAATAAGTAGCACTAGAAATTTCCTACGCAACTACATTATAAGTTCTAGTAGTTCGAACAGCATGCTTTAAGAATAAGATCGTAATCGTAAGAGTATCTAGCAGCTAGTATGTGGAAATAACTCTCTAATCCCGAATCTTATCCAACGACACGCCCGAAGAAATCGCTGACCGTGTCGAGGCCTTGTTGGATTTGTTGGGGTTGCAAAAGTGTGCTGACACCAAAGTTGGAGGCTACGTTGGCATGAAAGGCATGAGCGGCGGGCAAAAGAAACGATTGGCTTTGTTATGGAAGAACACGAACAAGAACGCATTGTATTTTAGAAGTTCTCTCATGATTGTCATTGGTAACGAAATAAATGCATGGTAGGTACTCATTGTCATTGGTAACGGAAATGCATTGTATTGCACCTCATTGGTAACGAAATAAATGCATGGTAGGCATTGTCATTGTCATTGGTAACGAAATAAATGCATGGTAGGCATTGTCATTGTCATTGGTAACGAAATAAATGCATGGTAGGTATTGCACTTTTGTATCTTCATGTGATGCCTCCAGTCGTGAATGTTAAATCGCTGTCGACATCGACCAACTTGAACTTCAACTAGAGTAACCACAACTCAACATTTAGTTTCTACCCTTCTAACACCCGGAGTCGCTTTGTTGCGTGAGCCGAAAATCCTCTACATGGATGAACCCACAAGTGGATTAGACGCAGCAGCGGCTTTTCATGTGATGAAGGTGATCAAAGATCTCGCCGAGCGCTTTCAACTTTGCGTCATCGCCACTTTGCAACAGCCTCCAAGCGCTGTCTTCCAGATGCTCGACAAAGTGCTTGTTTTGTCCAAGGGACAAGTGGCTTATTCTGGCGCTCGTTCCAAAGTTCTCCCGTGGTTCGAGTCCATTTCCCAAAAACAGTGTCCGGCTGGCAGCAATCCCGCTGATTTCGTTTTGGATCTGGTGAATGCCCGCTTCGATCAAGATGCGTTTCTAGAGCAGGAGTTGGAGACGGTTCCCAAAGACGAGGACGGCCCTTCTGGCTATAAGTTATGGATTTGGATGTCGAGCTCGAGGTTGAAGAAATATTTAATATAATTGATTGGACTTGGATGTACTGAGGTTGCACTATCATCTTCGATAAACCTTCGGCCGTTAGTAGAGGTATCTTCCCTCGAAGAAGAAAGGTACTTCAAAAGACCATTTCCAAATTTGACCTCTACCTCTAAGGACCGCACAAACCACACCAACCGGTGGCGTCAAAGGTCGTGGTTCTGCCAACGCGGATATGCCTGGGATCACGATGATGGTCGATAAGATCTTACTTCAGTGGTCTGTCTTACAGGCAAGCAAAAAAGCATGGTACAACACGTTGGATGCTAAAGGCGCTGCCTTTGCGGCAATCGCTACTGGAGGAAAGGACGCGGTTGCGAAAGCTAAGACTTCTTCATTTGACTCGTGAGCGTGGTAGTTTTAGAATCTTTGGATATAAGGATATAAGGTATCAAAATGGGGCTGACAGGACGACGATAGCGCCGACGCTTAGTTAGTTTTAGCAGTTAACAATAACAGGATACTTTAGGATACTTGTTGATAGTTGCCCTTTTCTCTTTTATATCTTCCTCTGGTCTGTCTTTTTTCTAGTTAGGTCGGCTCCACCACAAAGATATAAGGTATCAAAATCTTCAAGTTGTAGTAGTATTTAACTAAATCGACGAGGAGTACGACGAGAAATAGGATTCATTTCCAACATCACTGCTGCTTCTAAGAAGCAAGACGAGCAGCAAGTTTACGAGCACGCTTTGAAAGCGGTTCCGCGTAAAAACGTGAGTACGAAGGCGTCGCGTCTGCGTGCAGTCATGAAGAGGGAGTGGAAGATTGCTACCACTGATCCGATCTTGTATTTGATGCGGGTGGTCATCATGTGGTTCACGAACGTGTTTATGATAGCGCTGTGGTGGGAAGGAAGAGATTACACCGTCGAATTCGTCATGTCCAAAGTTTGGCCGTTGATGATGGTATTTTATTATTTTTTCCATTTTTTTAGATTCATACATCGTCTTGATCTTCTTCATTATAACAAAAAAAAAACTATCTCCTTAGTCGTGTCAGCTCCAACAAACAGCATCTTCACGACACACCACAGATCCTGACGTCCAACTCGATCTATTCGATTGTTTGCGTCTATTTCTACAAGCAGACCTTTCCGGTCGTTTCCCAAGAGATTCGCAACGGGTGCTATTCGACCATGGATTATTTGTTTGCCGTGAATCTGGTGGCGATCCCGGCTCATGCCATACTCGCGGCCGTGTCGATGTATGGTTCCATCTACGTGCCTTGGTATGGCAATTGGAATCTGGCAACCAGTCCATGGGGGTTCATCACGCAATTTCTTTATGGCCAGTGTCACTGAGTGATGAAGAAAATACAAAGCAAATTTTTATACTAGTAGCTATGTATGTTGTCGCTATCCGTATCGCCTACCCCTACGCTACTTGCATTGATGATGAAAAAGCTAGAGCAGACCTTCTTCAGTCCCTCTTGAAGCTAGCCCTTTCCATCATAATACTTTTCAAAATTTCTATTAAGTCAGGAATATTATAGTTCTTCTTGTTCTTACTCTTACAGGTGCTTCACTACCACTACCACTAGCTCCTCCTCTTCTTCTTACAGCTGCTTCACTACCACTACCACTAGCTCCTCCTGTTCTTCTTCTAATCAGAGCTGATTCAGATTTTCGATGCCGTCGCGAGGGCCAGTAGCATGATGGGGCATATTGTGATCGGCTTTGGAAGCATGGTGCAGTTCTGGTACGCTTCGTTCTTATTTTGCGCCATGTTCTTGGAGCCGGAGTTGGTTCCGTGGCCTTTCCGGTTCTTCACCTACGTGTCGCCTCATCGTCACGCCTTTCCGTTGTTCATCTACTTATGAATGTGAAAGATTCTCTCCTCTTCGACGAGTCCCTCTTGGTTCTCGTTGTATTTTTCTCTGTTGGAGTCCTACTTCTCGGTTCAACATCTCGCTGTTGTAGAAGTTGATCAATGAATTAGTATTTAAGCTGCTTTGTTCAGCTTCTAGTACTACGCTACGCCTACGCTAGATCAGTCAACACAACGACCCTCCTGTAAGAAGTTATCTCTATCTCATTGATCAAGGTAGTATTCCAAAGACCTTCTCCCTTCCTCGTCTAATCAATCCTGAGTTCTCTGAGCAGGACAGCTGGGAGGGTGCGGATCGATGCGCTGCTTTGGACTTGGCTCAAGTTGCACTGGGCACTGTCACGCCAGACGCAGCGTGCATCTACCCGGATGGCTATGGCATGGTGGGTTACAAATGTCCGGAAGCAGCCTCGAAAAATTTCAACTGCTGGGGAAAATCCGGGAAAGAGGTATTCTTAATCTTAAATTACGAGTTGTAGCTTTTTCATATTGTCGATTGTCGTCGAACTCGAAGGAAACTAATGTAGTAATCCTAAGTAGTACGTAAGTAGTAGACTATCTTCCTAAGCAATGCTGTCAATCTTCATGTCATCCCATGCACATCACAGATTCTTCGTTCTCTCAAAGCCTTTTATCCTGCTGTGGACACGACTTAAGGCAGAGTGTGTAGTCTTTCATCATCCATTGTGAGGCGTCGTGAGTGGAATCCACCTTCATCCCCCTTGAAGATCATCTCCTTAAATTTATTTTATTCCGAGGCTAATAGAAATAGAGTAGTCTCCTTCCACTCATAATTCATGTATTTTGAGGGGAAGGTGGATGAGGGATGAAATCATTATGACTGCTACTCACTGGAGTGAGAACAAAGCCATTCACTCGGCGGCACCAGGACGTTGAGCACTGATGACTAGATGATAGACTACTCAAGTACAAATTCTAAGGTATGGATGAGCACTTGGGAACACGTCTGATCGGTCTGGTTGCTGTTGCCTTCTATTAAGGGTCGTTTCCACTTTGCATCCTTCACTCGTCCCATCCTTGACTTATCTTCCAGTGGGAAAGAGGTCAAGGATCATGATTCGAAGAATGCAATGGCGGAACCTCTAACTTCATTTCTCGCTCGTCCACTGCTTCCTCTTCACCAAAAATGTGTGGGCTTCTGCGAAGCTCAGCGTATCGGGACAAGGACCGCCCAAGGCTATGGGCGGTAATGTGAAGAATATGGCTTCCTCTTGAAGATGAACTACTTATACCACTTGCAGCTGTGTGTATGAGTACGTGTGTTGTAGGGAAAAATATTTAAAGATACATAGATACTTGTTTTTGCTTTTTTCTTAGTGTTCTCGTTTAGATCTTAGCTTCATTGTAGGGGTAGTTCTAGTCCTACTACTGATTACCGTCTATTCCTGTTATTATCATTAGTGGTAGTAGTGCTTTAGCTTTTCTAGGAGGAGGTATCGTCTTTCGGCTCCATAGCTCCATCCTGCCTCCTTATGTGGTCATGTTTGTATTCCTGTCGTGATTCAACTTAATCACCTAGGATACTTGTATCACTACATCATGGAAGTTCTGAAAGAGAAAAACAGCCTGCTCCTTGTCCACTTCCTCCCCACCTTCATAAAACAAGAAGCAGAGGAACCTGCGTCGACCGAGGTCGTAAATGTCGACGTTGTGCCGTCCCTCAAGGAAGGTGAGTCTGCTGCTTCCACCGATGCCAGTGGCAATCCGCCTGTGCCCGCTTTGGATACCGAGGCAACTAAGCGACAGCAGAGTAAACAGTAAGGCCTCCACGTACTGCTCTAAAAAGATTCTACTTAAAATACTGAGTATGTAATGGTTTGAAGTCGTCCCTAACCTCAACATGTCTCTGATTTCTAGATGATATTTCTACGCGATCAAGAAAACCTTAGATGATCATGAAGTCATGCTATGAAGACAGAACTACTAGTCAGTGGAAAATAGTCTTCTGAAATTAGTACTAAAGTAACTTCTGAGTACTCGTCGTACTCCTTCCCCCAAGTAAGATAGATGAAACAGAACCAAGTACAACGGAAGCCCATCTGCTATTCTAGCTGGATGATCCCAGTATCATGTCCTATCGTCCTACATCATGGTCATTTACATAGCTACTTACGCTCTTCTAAGTCCCATCCGAAATCAGCGAAGCTGCCGCCGCTCTGCATCAGATTCGTGCTTACAATCCAGAAAACGCCGTTTCTTTCGCTTGTGAGAACCTGTCAGTGCAGATCCGCAAGACGGGCCAGCTACTGGTCAACTTATGAGCTTAGTAGGCTTAGGCATTGGCATTGCATCTCCATCAGTGTTGAGTCATCACATCTGTATCTGAGAGAGAAAAGAAGGAGCGAAGAAGAAAAAGGCACGACTTTTCACGACCCAGGTGAAGTGATCTCTGAAACAGATGCATTCCCTATAGAGACAAACCATTACTCACACTCAAAAACCAAACACATTGTGAGTGTGAGTAAAGGTTTTCCGTCTATATTCCCTCCACCCAGATCTTGAGCTGTGAGATGCATTTGCATTTCCAGGTCATCTACCTCTAATATTCAAGGTGTCAGTGCGCGCGAGTGGCGGACAGCTCTTCGCGATGCTGGGTCCGTCGGGTGCTGGTAAGACGACCTGGCTCGATGCAGTAACCTTCAATTTGGCAGGAAACCTTAAGGCTCTCTGGTGAGATGTAGTAGTGAGTCGAGGTAATATCCCATGCATGATCCTATCCTATGCATAATAATTCTAGCATGGGCTTTTAGTTCTACAAGGAGCTCCTTTTGATGCATCCGTTTTCCACATCCCCCACGACCTCCTCTAATCCTCTGGAGATGAAGGCTGACAACATGCTGGTCAATGGCCGCCGCATCACGAAGCTCGAGGACCTCCAAAATGATTGCGTCTATGTGCCGCAACACATCCTGCTGATCCCTACGCTTACGTGTCGCCAAAACCTGGAATTCACTGCCAAATTGGTTACCGGCTGCACCTCGAGTGAGGATCCGAAGGTGCAAAGTATGGTCGATGACATGTTGCCGAAGATGGGTCTTGTGGAGTGCCAAGATCAACAGGCTGGTGGCCTTTTGGGAAACAGCGGACTCACACCGGGACAAAATTATGCTCCTCATAGATGGCGCTAATTTATTCGAAAACTCAAAATAAGCGAGTTACTGACTGAAATAAGGGCGGAGGTAGCTCTAGCGGGCTGCTCTTCCTTGCTCACTCAGTATCTCGGTTATTCTGATCAGTTACTTGCTTATTTCAGTTTATCGAATACACTGATTCAGTGAAAAATACACGACATTCTTTGCGTATTATACAGTTATGATTCTTCAGAAGCAAAAAAGAAGAAACGAAGTTATTTCATCGATTAGAGGACTCGAAATGAAACGTGATGTTCCTATTGTAAGGTCTAAGTAGTAAAAAGAGTATAGCGTGCTCCTATTCTTGTAAGGTCTAAGTAGTATATATTATAAGGTAAGTGGTAAAAAGAGTATAAGTATATTAAAAAACCAATCAATGCCAATGCACCACCACCGCTATACAACCATCTAAAACAAAAAACGTCTCTCGGTCGCTTGTGCGTTGTTGAAGTCGCCCTCAATTGTGCTGTTGGACGAGCCGACTACTGGACTGGACTCTGCGAGCGCGTTTGTGATGATGTACTATCTCCGTAAACTTGCTGCTGAGCGCAACATGCTAGTGGTTTGCACGATTCATCAACCGAGTTTTGAACTCTACACTTTGTTTGACGAAATTGCGATTCTTAAGGCTACAACAACCACTAGTAATAGTAAAGCATGTGGTCCTTAAGTACCACAAGTAATAGTAAAGATTCTAAGGAACACTAGTAATAGTAAAGCATGCGGTCCTCAACAAACACCATGATGATCCTTGGCGTTGGCTCTTTATCTTTTTCTACTTACTTGAACAAGACGCCAAGGATGCTACAGCATCCTCAACATCAACACCATGATCGATCGCTGGCTCTTCTTTTTCTGCTCGAAAAAGAAGCTTCTCCCAAGGAGTATATGACTCCCACAGAAGTAGATGCCAATGCGGTAGCTCTAAGATTCTGGCTGCTGGTAACACTGCAGTTTGCTGTCCCCGCTCTAGCGTCAAGAGCCACTTCGACAGCATCGGCTATCCAGTCCCGGCCATGACTAATTTATGTTTTTGTTTTTAATGTATGCAGCTTTCCTTATCTATCCATTTGAGCTGTAACCTAGTATATATAGTCTTTAATAGAAATTGAAGAAACATCACATTCACGACAATTATCTGACTTTTTTATCCTTGCACACAGTTGTTAGTCCTCGTCGAGACGATCACTTGATCATGAGTAACTACAACAGTCCGTCGCTACACTGGTCGTAAATTCACGCTGCTCCTCCTGTGACTGAGACTCTGTGCTGCTAGCTATTTCTTATTGGTGACGTGCGCGGTGGCCAGAATGTAGTGGGGATTAGTTTACCAACACATATTTATACCTAGTCCTTTCATCATCATGTCCACCTGTGTGCTGATAGCTATTTTTTATTGATGACGACCCACCATGGTCAGCTTTCATACTTTCCAGCCGAGTACTACCTGGATCTGGTGAACGCTGATTTTTCGTCGAAGGAGCAACAGGAAAAAATCTTGGCGTCTTGGAAGACTAGCAACTATAATGAAATAGCATTAGCTGCTACCACGAAGGGAGCCGCTTCTCCTACCAATTCCACTACCAGTCAAACATCGAAGAAGGAGACTGCCAGTGCCTTCACTCTGTTCCGCATTTTGCTTGCGCGAGAGAGCTACGTGACCCTTTGCTGCGATCCAACGTGCTACATTGCGCGCTTTTTAAGGCTCACGCTGCTCCTTTTATTTTCTAATGAACCCTCTTCCTTGAGAACGAACACGCAACTTCCAGAGACTACTTTTCAAGAAAGGGAAAAGGGCTCTTTTTCTTGTTATACTAGAAACCACAGGTGAAAGTACTTCTACTTCTTATTTAACATCATTCTTTCATGTCAATATACAAGACCACTTTTTTTCGAAGTTTTTACTTATCTCGAGAGTTTCAACATCGCTTCCACTTCCTCGTCTTGTGTCCTCATCCATAGCTCTAATCTTTCCTGTCTACCTGTTTACCTGTTTGTTCTTTTCCGTGGCCTACGCCGGACATTGGGAAGTGAATCAGGAGAATGCGATGTTCAAAGCCTGGCTCATGGGATGGTGCTTGTGTTATGAAAAACTGATGGTCGTTTTGAAGATATCTGAATTAGAGATGATCATGAGGCCTGCAGGCAGAGAGAAGCGGAAACTAACTGCAACAGCAGAGCTTTATTTATAAAAAGTGAGCGAGGAGTCACTCGTCGCGCTTCCAACACGATAGAGAGACTCTACAACTCCTAGATAAAAAGCACAGACAATATCACTCCACCGCTACTCCCACCTCCTACTCGGACTTCTTCTAATCCTCCGGCGCTACTTTATTCGCTGCTCCGGCAACGTTGTACTTGTGTCAAGGTTTTGGTTTGGTTAAAGCAGAGATCCGAAATGGCTACTACCCAGCCTGGGCCTACCTTGTGGCGGTTACCATTTTATGCTTGCCGATCTGCTTTCTGCTGACACTCATCACCACGCTTTTGCCGGTGCATGCCGCGGGTACTGAAAAGATTCTAAGTGAGTAAACTGAACCTAGAGATACCATTAGAAATGATTTTCTCTTCTACTAGTGTACTAGGATTAGCATAGAACTAGAAGTTAGATGTCCTAGAAAAATATCTTCTACCACACATGATATCTACAGGAGCCTAGAAGGACAATATACTGTATCTTCCCCACAAGTGAAGCTGCTCAAGATCAATGATCACACATCCACACCCACACCTCTTCATCAGGTAACATCTGGTTTAAATGGGGAGCTTACTCGATGAGCATTTTAAACCTGACGGTCTACTACATCGCCTTCGAGTTCTTCTGTCACTTGGCGTCGGTGTTGAGCCAAAACATTCTTGTCGGACTACTTGCGGTCATTGTTTATTGGTACTTTTTCTCATTTCTTCGACTTCTTGGTGTTTGAGTGGCCTTAGAAATGATTCTGTATCTTTAATACTTGAGCATGTAACTTGTAATATCACCCTCGGCCTCGTCATGGTTTATTCTCAGCTGCGTCTTCGCCGGCAACTTATCGTGGCGCCGATACCTTGAGAGAGCGTGGTCGTCCAACTGAAGATTTGAGAGCGGAAGTAAAAGATAAGTCCCACCGCCTCCACCACTTCATAAAAAAAGGTACACCGCCTTCCTCTTCTCAGCAAATAATTCCCACCGCCTCCACCACTTCATAAAAAAAGGTACAACGCCTTCCTCTTCTCCGGATTGCTGATCAACCTCGATGAGATCAACTGGCCCTTCAAACTGTTCACGTACATCATGCCAACGCGTTGGTCTCTCGCCAACGGCATGTATATCATGTGGGCATGGGAGCCGGTCACAGTTCCTGGCGCAGTCGAATGTCCAGCAGTTACGGCCTTCGTCAAGTGAAAGACTTACTAGACTGTTACAACTTCCATATCCATGCATGATTCAATTTACTTAAGTCTAAGTAGACTTCTTACACTCATCTCCAACTCCAACTCCAGCTTTCGTATGTAAATGTAGCACACTCAAGAAGAAAGAAGAACCCTTGACTTCGACATCTCTAAAGCAAGCACGAATCTAGCTGGCTGTGTCTATACCGAAGGAGCCGGAAAAGCGGGCTACAGGTGCACGAGCAGCGACCCGACTGAAATCTGCATGGGCCGCACTGGAGAAGAAGTGCTGTCACGTTTGAATGCATTGGCGTTCTCTACGTTTGATTAAGGCTCGAACTTCGAAGAAAAACTTGTTGTACTATAGACTACTTGTGAACGTAGAAGTTTGTTTGTTTGTTTGTATTGATGCGCTCCGGGCAACTACGCGTATGATCTCACCAGGTGTTTTCTGTGCTTCGTGGGTTTTGTACTTATTCTTGATCTTGTAGTTGTAAAGATATTGAAGATGAACATGAACAAGATGAACAACATGCTTCTTGAGTGGAGGTTTCTTTGTCGTGCATGGAAGATTTATCTCTTCTAGGGAGTGTGTTGTCGTTGGACGTCGCATTACTTTCTCATCATCATCGTCATCATTTGTTCCTTTCCTATCCCTATCATGCATACTCCCTCTTCTAATGCAAGCCAGTGGACAACGTCTGGGAATTCATCCTCCTCTCAGGAGTTATCGCCATTGCTTCCAAAATCGGCCACATCTTCCTCTTCGTGAAGAAAGTGAACCAGGCACCGGTGCTTGGAACAGAATTCGGTGTCGGAGGAGGACCGGCGGTGGCTGTTGCGGGGAAAGCGGCTGTTGAGGCTGTAGCAGAGAAGTAGAAGGAGGCAACATATAGATAAAAAGAATGAGAAGTTTAATTGGTAGTACAGTTGGGAAAAAGGAAAGAGGAAATAGAAGAAGTAGCTTGTGCTTGTAAATGACGAGGATATTCTGTCTTCCTGCAAGAACTTATCGAAAGCATATCCTAGATGGCCGGGCTCTAAATGGCTCTGCCGAAGAAGATGTTGCGAATGTATCTGCCTTCCTAAAAATCCATTACAATATACAAGGCACGACTATTGTTCAGTCTCCATCATCTTCCATCTTCCAAAATATTTTAATTTTTCTCAAATAACTTAAACTTCTACATGTTATAATTTACAAAATCGATGAGCACACAAAAAAAGTACGACACATCGTATACTGAAAACTAAGAAAGTCTGAGTGTTAATATTTATTGAACTGTCGAAGTAAAATGAAGATGAACATCAACAGAATCTTATACAAGAACTCGACATATTTTGATTTCTGATGACCAAGGATAGTGCAGTTATCTTCACATGCCATTTTTGATGTAGAAGTTGTCCGATCTAAGTACTTAGAACTACCTAGGTCGTGAGTCTCTAAACATAAGTTCTACCTAGGTGAAAAGTCTAAACATGTTCGGCGTGTCGTCATGAGGGTCCTTGCATTATCCCACGGTAGGACCATCGGACTCAGAGCCAGATTTATGATGTACTAGATGTACATGATGCACTTCGTTGTTCCACCTCTCTATAGTAAAAAAGTCCGAAGACTTGTTTGAGGTCGACCGACGTGCGTCTCCATCGTTGTGCTGCCTGCACCTGCGATTTATTTCTAATAGATTTAGACTCAGCAACCAATTGAGTAGATATATCAACACTATGAATTCGAATGATCTTGATCTTTATAGTAGAGTAAGTAAAATGTCGGGTTTCGAGTTACTCGAGTTGCAACGAAAAAAGAAATCCGTGAGATAATGCTAACGAAGATGACGCCCTATAATTGGCATTGGGAGCGTAAGACCAACTCCTGGCTGAGCGCGTGAGTTTGAGCAAGATAACAGCCGGCATTTTCAACGTGCTCGAGGCCGGCCAGGGGTCGCGGTCCACAGTATTATGGATACAATGTCGTCATTATAATAAAAAGACAAGTACTTATTTTTTACACAAGCTAGTCTACTACATAAACCGAAATACACTAAATGAAAAACATAAACAACTCAACAGGATGAGCGAGTAGTTGCTTTATGATTTTCAAAGAAGAACTAGCAGAAGGATGTAAAAGCTAGATGAAGCACAGCCACAGCCCACAGGCATCCGCATCGAGATATAATAGCATAGAACTACTTGATTGAAAGAAAAAACTATGGATAGCGGTCCTCCTCTAAGATATAAAGGTACTTATTGCATGTCGAAACCGAAAGGCCTCAAAGTCAAATCCAGTTTACTACAGGCTTTCGTCTTCAGAGAGGTACAAAAGCTAAGGCATGTAGCTAAACAAAATGGAAATATATAGAGCATACTTGTTCTATTGGAGTTTTTTGAGTGATTTTTTACGAGCACCACAATTTACACGAGATGTCTGTGAGTCTGACATCACAAACAGAGCCGCGACGCGACTGTCACTGATGTGTCAAGGAAATGGAAATTATGATGAAAGCTAGTACAGCTTCAAGTTGAAAAATACTTCGATTTTCGGCTTGATCACGACAAGAACATCTTATGTATCTATCAATGCTATATTCAACAGAATTATTGATGTTCTCATTTTTTTGATTTTTGTTGTCCTCGTCTATGAAGCCTCATGGACATGGAGGTGGACTAATATAGATCATGTATCTACATAGTTACGCTTACGCGAAGACGAAGGGAAATAAGGTTTTCATGATCAATCGCTATCAGTGTCAGAACTAGTTTCTACGAGAACTTGTTGGCGCGTTGAAATCTTCAACACATGTTGAAGAGGCGCCTCTCCTTCGTGATTGCCGCTAGACTAGTAGTTTCCTCACTATTTTTTTCCTTTGTGAATAAATAATGTTGAGTTAAACTTAAACGAGGGAGTGCATCAGTGTCGACCGCTGGCGATCCTCCTCGAACTAGCTTTCTTTGAGTGAAAAATATTAGGCTATACTGAGTAAAACCGCGAGGCTTTATGAATCAAGCCTTCCTGGGCTTTGCTCATTCGTGCGCTAATATCCTGGGTACAAGGAGGTAGCGGGCCTTCTTGATCTTCAACGACATCCAAAAATATGAATAGTGGAGAGCTGCTCTTCCTCAACCTGTTCATGGAAGGCTCCCTAGTGAACAGTGAATGAACACATAGAAGCACTCGTCATGGACGAAAAGAGCACTACAAGTACAAAGTAAATCAAAATCTTATGAAGAGAAGAACTAGGCGAACGCGATGGTGGAAGGTTAGAAGTGTTCTCAACTGGGAAGTGGGAGTGTGGACGAGTGGGATAGCGACAAGGAACGGAAAAGTAGCAAGGGGATCATCGGTAATATTGCCCGAAGAGTGTGCGAGTTGGCACTAGAAACACGACCGGGCGGACGACGCGGATCTAGAATTTTTAGAATTTTTAGTTACCAAGAAAAAATCAAAATGGGTCGTCCTGTTCTTGTCGTTCGGAATAAGGCTCTCGCTCTTGCTCTGTTCCCACTTGCCTCCATTATCTGGACGTCCACTATCTGGACATTTTCCTTCGATTCCGTTCACGCAGCATCAAGCTCTGTAGTGGGATCAGAATCTTTTCTCAAGCGAGGTGGAGCAGCAAATGAAGGTGGGCTTCTTCCAGCTACAGCCGGAGCATGGCGAGCACCAGATCACGGAGGTAGGAGAAGATCGTCCTTCCAAGAAGGGTCGACCACTGGGAGCGCGCGATCATGGGGTTATGATAGCTGTTGCGCTTCACAACGAGGAGTAACTAGACCTACTACAGAAGTTTTTTCTAGCCACCTGGAGTCGCATTTATTAAAAATTGAAGCTGCATCTGCGAGCTTGCTGCATGGGTGTCACAGAAGTAATGACAGCGATCAAGGCGAGGCTGGGAAAGCTTGTCTGAATGAGTATTTTGTTAGTCTTAGTGCAAAGCTTTTCCGATTTCGATTTTCGAAACGCATCTATAGACAAGTAGTTAGCAGGGTTACAGCCGTTACCGTCAGAGTCTTCACAGTGGAAGAATTCCATTTTTCTAACATTCCGGACAGAGTCTCGCTTCATCTAGTACGTGGTCTTCGCAAGCAACGTCTGTGAGTGGTCCAGCGACATTGGACGACCTTCGGAGTGTTGCTGGCAGTGGTCTGCCAGCATCACCAGTAGGGTCGATTCCATTTCCAACACCGTCGATTATGAACAAGAATTGCTGTTGGTCTTGAACTGTATTTCGTAGGGCTAGAGGAGGTGTTGAACAAGAATTGCTGTTAGTGCAGAGCTAGACGAGTTGTTAGAAGAGCTGTGTGAAAGAGTTGTTAGAAGGTTAGAAGAGATGAACGCGGTAGAAACTAGAACTAGTCGCTGCGGGTGCTACGGACAGCACCATCAGGGAGGACGGACACACGACAGAGATAAAAGGGTTGACGTTAGAAGATTAGAAGCAGGTGGGCGAGCAGCAGTAGATGGTACTAGGAAGAGTCAACGAGGAGCAAGTAGAGGACGAGGAAAGGAACTTGCATGTGCATGCAGCTTTCGTCGGTGTAGTGGACATGGGAGGGATACATAGAAGAAGAGGCTCTCAAGCGAGCATGATGAGGTAAACGCGAAGCCCGGCAATTGCAGTAATTGCAATATGACTGTTCTCTCTAATCCTTCTTGTTGTCCAGCACAGCTGCCACAATATCCGGGAGGTGACGGAGGGCAACTGATGCTAATGAGCGGAGACGATGTGAGATCAGCAAGGAGCTGTGGTCCTCCTACGCAGAGTACCGCTAACATCATACGAGCAGCCAATGGAGGGCAGAACAACAATGGTTAAGGCTGTAGTTCATACTAAGTATGTATTAGATTCTAGTTCATACTAAATTAGATTCGCAAGCATGCACGTTTCCGTTGCATCATAACAAAATGTCAATGTAGGGGTACTTACAACTACTGAACAATAAGATTAAACTCTAAGACTAAGCAGGAAACTATCTCAACAACAACTGCAATGGGGCACAAGCACAACGCGGTAGCACACCCAGAAGTAGTGCAGCGCCAGGAGGAGCGATTTTGACACGATCAGGGACAGGCCCTACTACACGATGGAACCGTGGTCGAGGTGGCAGGACCGTGAGGTCTATCCAAGAGCAAGAGGATGACCAAGAAGATTGGTGCTGCTGTTTCCGAAGGCGTGGAAGACGGAACTTGTAAACTTTCTGGAGGCGGAGACGAAAGCAGTGAGTAGTTGTAGGAAAATAGGGAATAATTCAGTGACCTAAAGCAACGGGCCAGTGTCAGATCTCACGACTTGCATATTTGCATGCAGTTTCGAGAATACGGATCAATCCATCAGTCCTCACCATTCCATCATCATGAGCATGCAATCAACCATCATGAGCATACATGCAATCAATCATTATGAGCACAGTTTGGAACTTGAGCATCGTCCTGAAGTATCAAGAGCACATCCACGAAGAAAATCAAAATATATTCGCGATACTTCAGAAGAATTTTGTTTCGCACAGGAGGAGGGGATGGCCTCACTTTATTCTTCTGCCTTAGCAAAACGCAATTCACGATCTATTCAATTTTGTTTTGAACGGTACGAGTCAACCTCACCAGACATAGTATGACACTGGCTGTACTTGTGTTCTGCAAATGCGCCATTAGATTGCCAAACGCATCATAATCTACGACGACAACCTGTCCCAGTGACTTCAGCAGGAATATGAGATTAAGACTTCAGCAGGAATATGAGTTTTCTCAGTGTCACTGCCAAAAGCGACGACGACGAGAGCGTGTTTGATGAAAGCGTGGCACAGTGAAAGAGACAGTCCCGAAGTTGCAGACATGATGAGGCGATGCCACTCTTCGGTGGGAGAGCAAAGAGTGCGGCCAGGCGCTGGAAGGCAGACAAAACGTCATTGACAAGGTGAAAGTCCGTTGTCCGTCTAGAGTGGTGCGTGTGAGGGAGAAACGGAGAACGAGCTGAGTACTGTCTCGTTCGTTGATCTTCACTTGCCAAAAAAATGTGCTATGATCTGTAGCATACATGCATGCATACTACTCCGACTCAGACACTCCATGACGCAACAACGGAGCTACCCGCTCCCTGTCCCTGTGCTTGCTTGTCCTCTAATATTCAGTGAGAAAATTGACAAAATTCAAGCATTCCGCATGTCCATGTGCATGGTTATGCTTTAATTATTCACCTTGTCCATGATAAAGCCGCTTCAGCGTCTTGTTCTGTGACAAAGTTGTTCTTATGGTTCCTTCGCAGACAACACAGCACAATATCCCCAAAAAGCATTAGCATCTTTGTATTTTCTCGAACTATCTACTAATCTCAATGGTCATAGATGATCACCGATGGCCATCACTCTAGCACTAGCTTTATTCTCTTGAAAAGACATATGTTCCACAGGAGGTATAGAGTAACAACTCTTTTGTGATAGTATGCGGATGTCTACATTTTATAACGTTTTGTACTCGTGGTCATTGTTAAGAATGTAGTGGGTGTCGATGTAGTGCAATAGATCAACATGTTGATGTTCATGACCCGGATCTATGGCAATTCCGTCAGGAACGTGTCTCTTCACAACGTTCCTACCCAGGAGGAAAAGGAATATTCCTCTTCAAATTTTCTTTTTCACCCTTCCCCTTATCACTGCAATCACTTTGGTAAGCCGCCTCGTCAGAGAAAAAACGCTGAGAGGCCGCAGCTCTGCTCCTTCGCACCCGCTGCGAGATTGCAACCTCCACCTCCCTGGCTTCTCTTTTTTAGAGCTTCTGACAGCGACTCGAGTCTATATGATGTTAATCCTGAGTAGGAAGGCTACTCCTGTTTCTGTTGTCTTAGTCCTGGAGTTGTCCGATTATGGCTTTGTATAATCATGATCGGCCTCATCCAAAAACAAAATCCATGAACAAGCCTCACCTGCTTGCACAACCTGCCTCGTCCTGCTGTCTTATCGAATCAAAAAGCTACTTATAACTGAGTGTAAGTGCCCTCCTTTCATAATTGTTTCACAAGACCACTCCTTTGCTGAAAAAACGGCTGCGGCTGTCCAATTTCTTCTACGCTGTCTACGAAATCTCTCCGTTGTGGCTGTGGCTGTCCTTGGCCTGGTAGGAAGTAGTTGCCCTCCAACCGTCCTCGCATGAAATACTGCTGTTGCTCGTAAAAGTCACCTGTCCTCGGGTTTACATGCGCTCGAAGGAGAAGAGGGTATTAGAGCAGCGAAAGCTGCTGCGTGTACTTGTTGTACAGCATCATGGCCACTGAAAAGAACGTCTTCTACTTCAAGTTGTAAAGGTGCCTCAACGACAAAAGGATTCTAAGAATTGCTCTCCGCTACTCTATAAACACGCGCTCCCGCCAAGTAAACATTCTTGTTTTCTCGCACTACTTCTACACTTCACAATTTCCTGCTTCTGATTACTTATTCCCAATCCCACTTACAACTAGCACGACTAGGTCTTACTTTAGCCTCTACGTCTACCTGTCATAAAGTAATCTCCGGAACGCGTGCAGCCTAGCAAAGTGACCAAAAAACATTTGCTGCCAGAGGTGGAGAAAATTTTCGATAAACCAGGTGGGCAAGGTCCGATAAAACTGATATAACATCCATCCGCGATACTCATGCGGTAAACGTGGTGGAGGTGCCGCGACGGTTGTCTCGTTATTTCCACCTGCTCCGGACTCGGGCTCCTGCATGTTGTTACTATTACTGTTTTTAGAGCCTATACACTTGTGATTCTCGGGGACCATAAAGTGGTCATGGAGGAGGGGTTACAACTTATATTAGAGTAAGTAAAACGTCGGGTTTCGAGTTACTCGAGTTGCAGCGAGTTGCTCGTTTTGCCGAAGCGAAGGGCTTCAATTCTGGAACGAGTTGCCACGAGTTGCCGGAAGATATCCGCCCCACCAGAATGCGGCGGAGCCGGGGGGTATGAGAACGGTGCCTGCTGCGCGAAGTGAAGAAGTGGCTGCTTTTGTTGTTGCTCTCTCACGAAAGGGGCAATCGGTTGCGAAGGGCTCCCCAGCGAGCCCTTCCGGCTTTTTTTCTTGTAGCGTGTGGGCGCGCGTTTGAAGCGCAGGCATTTAGGGGCCGACGGCTTGCTTCGCCTCGTTGCTGTTTTTGTTTGAGGGGAGGGAGTGTCGCTGTGGCTTGCCGTTGGGTCGGTGCCCGTCTGGTCTCTCCCTTTTTTCTTCAGATGTTTGTGTGGCCAATGAGTCTCTTTTGGGGCTGGGAGTGAGCTCCCGCCTGCTTTGGAGAGCGGCCCACTCAGCGAAGAAGGAAGTGAGTAGCCTCGGGCATGTGGTTGATGCCTTGCGTGTTTGATCAAGTGGCTGGGAGGAGTTCCCGCGCTGAAGGTGGTTACTCCCTCTCGTCTCTGGTGCGCATTGATAGATTAAGAAGAACGCCAGGGATCGGAGGCATGGCGTGGAGTGTCGTACGCTCCTGCTACGAGTCTCGGAGCCTCATAAAGCTGCGCCCGAAGGGCGCCGCGCAAAAAATTACGGTGGGCAACTCGAGCAACCCGAGAAACTCGACCCGTGACGGGCTAAAAAAATCCTAATTCTATTATATATTTCTTTCCACCAACAAAAAACTCTTTCCACCAACTACCTCCCCGCTGTTCCAAGCACCTCCTGCCCCCTCCTGTCCCGCCTCACGAAGAAGATCGCCTTAATATTGTTCGCTGCTGCCCTTGTACTTGTTGCCCTTGCTGCTCTCGGTTTCGTGCAACACGACGGCTTCCCCAAAATCGACGACGGAGAAAGTCCGGATGACGATCCTGTTGGACTGGAGCTTTTTGATCTGGAAAGTTGCCGGGAATTAGAAAATAAGCCTAAGCTAGCTCAATCTTGATTCATTGCCACGACTGCTAACCTGATTTCACATTCTTGCCGCTGCTACCCTTCGACGTTCTTAGTTCATCACTCCAGGTCACATCTTTTCAGGTCCTTGCCACCGCTAACCTTTTAGGAATAGCTCATCAAACACCAACGAATATTAGATACCCGAAGAACGCCAGAAAGAAACCACTGCTTCTACTCCCTCTCCCCAAAGGCTTTGCCATAACAAACCCTCCGCCCAGGCCCAGCTCAGCAGGCAAGTGTGCATGAAGACCAAACGGCAACTGTGGCGCACCATGAGGAGGTTCTAGATAATGCTCCTCTTGTAGTTGCATATTTTCTTCATCCGCAAAGCGAACGCGAGACCCACTCCGACTACGGGCGGATAGGGGACGACGAGAGATCTTAGAAGATTGAAGTCTTTGTAAATCTAAATGCTTTAGAAATTGTGGCGGAGCCGACTGACCTAACTAGAAAAAAGAAAGACCAGAGGAAGATAGAAAGGAGAAAAGGGCAACTATCTAAATGCTTTATAAATATATTTTCTAAGAATAAAACACTGCCTTTAGTACGTTAAGTGCCTCGGCCTCCTTGCTTCCCTAGTATTCCTACTTACTCGACGAGGCTGCAACTCCCTCTCTCTGTCTTGCCGTCATAACATTACCCGCGCCAGCACCTCCACCAGCACTGCTCTGATAGAATCTCGAGTCCAGTTTTCGGAGGACCGCAGGAGTATTCACCGGGTTCACGATCGCATGTAACCGTAGCTGCTTTAGGTAGGGTTCCAGAAAAACATCTTGCAGATGCGAAGGATCGACACTTAGAATGAAGATGGACGTCAACTACATCAAGATTGCGTTCATCGATCTAATATGGCTTTACTTTCTTTTCGCCTCAAGCAGTAGTACCCTCAAGCAGTACCCTAGCCTCGCAAGGGGATCGAGACTCGTCACATTGACGTTCGTTCTTTTACTAACCTTTTTTTGATTTCACTACCTATATCCACAAAGAAATATGACACTAGCATCAAGCAGGTAAAACAAGTCTAGCAGGTAATCCAAGCCTTAAAGCAAAATCGCTCTCCAATTCCTCATATTTGACGAAGTAAGTCCGCTGCTTCCACATACAGCGCCAAAAATTCATCACAACCGGACCTTGACAATTGACCAGGTTTTAGAGGAACAAGAACTCGGAGTCGGAGCGCGCTATCGCGCCTCACTATATCATCATCGTCTGATCCCAGAAGTAATATGAGTATCCTACTTAGTAAATCATCGTCTGCTCCTAGAAGAACAGGAATCCTGAGAAACATTCTCAAGCAGGCGCTCCTCCGCGTTCCCTCTAGCTGCAACATCTTCTACTCGTCGCTGCTCCAAAATTCTCTCATACTTATCTTATTAACATGGACTTCCACATCTACTTCTATGTATGATTAGGATACGGGGGAGGGGATTAACGTCCTTGCCTTAAATATACGTGCTTTGAATCACGTTATGATTGTCCATCAGCAACTGGCCGAGCACGTTGGCAAGGGAGAAAATGTCGAAGGTTTCCAGTGCGTGTAATGCTTCCTCTCCGGAACCGTTTTTTAGGAGAGAGTTTGAGTTTCATAGGAGAGTCTCTAGGTAGAAGAGGGTCTAGGTAGAAGAGAGAGCACTAGGTAGGAGAGAGTGTATGTAGAAGAGTGGCACTAGGACTAACATCAGCTGTATAAATTAATTTACATAGTGGATAGTTGTAGTGCCCTCTTCACTGAAGAGTAATTGTGACTCTAGACACTCAACAACAGTCTCTCACTACCACTCACACTTCTCAGTCTACAATGCCTGAAAGAGAAAGTGAATGTGAAACTAACTTAAGTGCTTACTTTCTCCTGTTCAATTCTACTTACTTACTTACTTACTTACTTACTTTCTCAGATTCAGATGGGCTCCTGCCTCACCAGCCCTGCGCATTCAGCACCGGATCGGCAGAAATTGGACTTTCTCCTTAACTCTTCTAGCTCCTTTGGAGCAAAACCTGGAGTCCACAGCGTAGCAACCCCGTTCCCGAGTCGTCCAAGCTCTATCGCTTTTCGTATGTTCACCATAGCACCGTAATCGATGATTTGGATTGGAGCTGTTCAACATATCACTTGTTAAAGTTAAGCGTCGCCGTAGGGTAAATCATCACCATGATACTTAAGCTTAAGTGATGACGATGTTAGTCGATCCGGATTGGGCCTACGACTAAGAACAATTATGACGAACTGCGCTTGCCCCTGTTGAGCACACTACTTTCTTAACTTGCTTCTTCTAGTTCTACAACGACTGCTGGGTATACAAAAATAAAATAATATAAGGTCTTACTCTAGACTTATACTTAACTTGACAGCATTGTGTTCGACCGAAAACAGCAAGTTGTCCGACTTGAGGTCATGATGAGACGCACCTACCACGTTGTTGAGGAAGTGGACTGCCTCGAACAGCTGGCGGATGATTAAAACCGGATTGCGCGTTGGGCGAGGGGTATTGTTAGAGCTGTAGTCGGATCTGGATCAGTGCATTACAAGAGGAGTCGACTGAGTAAAAACGACTACCAGATGAACCAGAACTCACTTCTACGGGCCACCTTCCGGGTGGTCTCCTTCTACAACGTCTTCTCTATCCACCATAAGCTCACTCCTCTGCGCATCTGGCAACGGCGAGCTGGATCGAGGCCTTTGAAGACTCTGTCCAGTGACATCGACTTTGTTGAAGCTAATCACTCCTATGCTTGGTGTACTAAAGTTCGCCTGTCCTCCAACGCCTGCACTTGTTATCTGGTTGTTCCGTCCAACCTCACCACAAAATTGATGAGGGCACAGCGGTGAACCAACATGATTTTGAAGCTCTTCTGGCTCTGGGGCTCCGGGAGATTAGAAGTAGTTCACCACGACGGAGTCTCAGGGATAATACCTACATCCTTCCAGTTTCAACGCCAAGGTCATGCGGTTGCTGCGGTTGCTTAACCAACGCCAGCCTGAACTTCAAGTTCAACGCAATATGTATGTAATCATGAGTAAAACTAAAAGCCGAGGGATAATAAATTTTCGGATTATACAACGTCTGGGTAAGTACTCAAGAAGAGCGATGCATGAAATATACCCTCCAGCATAAGTTGACGTGATTAATTTTTCGGAGACGTACTCGAGCACGATGTACAGTTCGTCTGTAGCATGACGTGGTAGCTTTTCGCTCTTCTGTCGTAGTTTCATTGGTACAGGCAATCCCCCAGGTGGAAGATGCACTCCCTGTGGCAAGTTGCAGTGATGAAGGAGAAGATGGAGGACGAGTTTTAGTCTCACGGTGAAAAGGAAAGGCACAACAAGGACTGATATCGTACGAAGGGAAGTTCAAGATATCGACAGCAGCTCTGTCCATAGTCATAAATTACCCGAAAAAAACTGATATGAACCCCTCCGCATGCAGATCCCTGGCTACCCATGACCCAGCACCCCTTTCGCCACCTGTGCCCCTACTCCGACCCGATTCACCCCGCGCCCAGCCCTTTAAAGTAGCTAGCTAAAGTCGCTTTAGATGACGTGGCGACTTAGATGAGTGGACTGAAAAAATTTTCGTTGATTTGATAATGAAAAGGGTTTTTTCTTCTATAGTTCTGTCCATAGTCATATTACCCGAAAAAAACTGATATACTTATTGAATATTGAGTTGTTTACTGCAGACGCAGCCGCTACTCCATTCTGTACTAGATGATCGAGTCAAGAAACCCAAAGCCAAGCCCAAGCCTCGTCCTACTACAAAACTAGAACTATTCATATTCATCACCCCTCCATCCAATCGATACACCTGTATAACGACCGGTACTTGTTTCATTTTAAAACTACATTAACCAACATCACCCCTTTCAATCCATACACTTGCACAGCCGGTACTTGTTCCATTTCGCCGATGTTGGCTGCATAGCATTTGATGAAATACCTTGCTGCTTCGTGCCCAGTCGCCTCAATCTTCTGCGCCCATCTACATTCCTCTCTTGCCAGATCGAGGAGTTAGAAGAACCGTTAGGAGAAGATGAAGATGAATGATAGATGCAAGACGTAGATGAGAAGCGGAGTTGCTAAAACTTTGACTGAAGATAGGAGGCCAAACGATCCACTGCCAGCCTAAGATTCTGAAAACAAAGAGCCGCTTCCACCTCATTTAATCTGAGTAGATCTGAATCAATTTCACTTCATCAACGCGCAGAACAGTCGTGAAAGATGCCTTAAATTTCCAATCTTTTTGTGCCTTTCAGGTAGTCTTCCCACGTGACAAATCTAAACTTTCCTGGCCGTTCGAAGCTAGGCGTCTGGTAACGCTTTACTGCGACGCGTTCTCCTGTCGCCTTCAAGGTCGCGGCGTAGACTTGGCCGAAAGCGCCAGCGCCAAGTAGATAGGCGGTTTTTGTTAGAAGGACGATAAGAAGATTGATTAGGAGGCACCTAGTAGATCATAGGTGGTTTTTGTTAGAAGTAGAACTTTGACTTTGAGGACTATGATGAACATGAAAATCAACGCCGTGAATGAGACAACTATTACTGCGCACGACTAGTGCTCCCACGACAGAACCAACAGGTACTTAGTTTATTTGACCGAGAAAAAGGAACAGGAACAGCTACTTCTATCAAAAAATCACATCCACACAGTTCGTTGGACAGCGACATTTCAAAACCACCAAGCATAACTCAAGATCTACTACTTCCTGTAAAGGTGCACATTCATAACTCAAGATCTACTACTTCCTGCAAAGGTGCGTAGGTCTGGGACTTGTGGACCTGTTCCCTCACCCATTCCTGAAACGTTGCCCACAAGTCCGTTGGCGATTGTATTCTCAATTTCTGCAGCTGCTGCCCGCCTCCAGCAAGGTCGTTTGTTGAATTAGAAGAAGGAAGATGAACTTCTTATGCTAGCCTGGGTGGACAAATGAACGACCTACTTGCATTCATCTACTTCAACATAAGTAGATGAATGCAAGTAGGTCGTTCATTGCTCCACCCAGGCTAGCATAAGAAGTACAAGAACAGTAGAGTTTAGAAGAACAGAAAACCTAGTAGTACTTCTTACTGTTCTTCATCAACTACATTCATGACGAGATGAACCGACGAGGAAGACCACAGTACTTTACATGTACATCTCTTTCCACATCCATAAGCACTGCGTCCTGAAGAAGAGCACCATTCTCAACGGAAGGCGCTATGGCGCGACAAAACTTCTCCTCATTCGGCCATCCTTCTGCCTGTTCACATTGTAGCTGCTCTGACGCAGATAATTTTAGAGCTGTGTGATGAATCTCACACTCACTCTCAGTAGACAGTGGTAGTGCTTGAAATTACCAATCTCTACTGAATAAATTCCTTGCTTAGTCGTTGGCGTTTTGCATCCTCATCCTTCAATTACGATTGTCTGCCTGGTTCTCACTGTTGACACAAAGAACCACAAATGCCAACATGGAATTCCTTTACCTCGTGAAAGAAGCCTTAATGGTCCTCTTGCTGACTTGGGAGGTGCAGTGCAGCAGATCAATTCTACTGCGCTACGCGCATAGACATTTCCTTGCGCAGGTCTGTTCTTCAACATTTCTGCTAGTTGTGCTTAGAATGAACTCATCGATATCGAAATCGATCTATCATGTGTCTAGGGGACAATCATACATCTTGGGTTCTTGAAGATCCTACCTTAGTACCACCTGAATACTCATCTATCTCGAGAACAAAATTGAAACTACTACATGTACTTCCTAATGCTACTTTTCCTTTACAACTCAGTTTCAGGACATAGTTGTTCTGTCTATTTGAGAGTAAACCTGAACCTTGCACCTTAATGTGCATCCCGAAGATCTCCCCATAGTCTTAGACATTCGTGGCACTTTTTGGCTTCGTTGGGTTGCCCCAACCGTGCCATTCGTGCCAGCCGTCATTCGTGTTATAAATTGTTCTGTTAAATAAACTTCCCACCTTAATGCGCATCCTGATCTCCACAGAGGCCCCCATTCTCTGCGAACTTTTGTACCACATCGATATTGGCACAACCAAGTACATTACTAGGATGTGGGACTGGGTGATGTCCGTCTGCGGGAGTTAGAAGGCGAGGTAAGTAGTCTGAAAATCACTGTCACATGGCCTTACTGTGTACGAAAGTGTTGTTGTTGTGTTCATTGATTCGTTGTGGAAAAATAAGAACGCTTATTAATATTAACGCAGCCAAGGGCCTTACATCGACAAAAGAGAATAGCGTCGGCGGCTCCGCGTTAGGGCGCTCTTACTGCTATAGTTGTGGTGGAGCAGACCTAACTAGAAAAAAGAAAGACCAGAGGAAGATAGAAAAGAGTGACTTAGTACTGCGCATACAGCTCGCATACAGGAGCTATCTACGGCTGTTAGTACTTCATCTATCTATCCACTAGACTACGCATCCAGGAGCTGTACTTGTACTTTTGTTTATCCAGGAGCTGTAGTACTTGCACTTGTACTTTTGTTTTGAAAACAAATACAAAGTCCGAAGAATATCCAGTTAGGTAGATAATCAACAGCCTGAAGAGATCGATTTCACTCCCAACAGGAACAGATCGAGTAAGAAAGTAAGTAGCAGCTGCAAGCAACTGCCTGGTTCAAGTTGTGACCCGAATAGAGACACGGCAGGAGCTGTACTTGTACTTTTGTTTTCCCTGCAACTTGTTGTTCTACTATTCCTCTTTTATTATGGAGAAGAGGAATAGTAGAACAACAAGTTATGACCCGAATAGAGACACAACTTGTTCTAGTATTCCTCTTCTCCATAATAAAAACCTTCTGCGCGTCGCATTACACGGACATGCTGCAGCGCATTGCTCCATCATACCCGCTAAGCCTGCTGTGCATACGCTGTCCGAACACATCCCTACAAATGCATCAGTAAGACAGCGACTACAGCTTTTGTCTCCAGACATTTCTTCTACTGATTAGAGCTGTTGCTCGTCGAGGAAATATTCCTTCATGTGAGTGCCTATGATATAGCCCTTCGTGGTCGCCGCATCCTCTTTCACTCATTATCTTCTCGTGAGAGATGAGTTTCATCAAGTAGAAGGAACAACAAGAAAGGGAGAAACTACACCAAAAGTGGCCTGTACTAGTGAAGCGAGTGTGTATCGATTATCTCTGCGCCTTAACTCGACAATTTCCGGATGTCTACGCCACGTGGAATTTCGTATTCGTGTGTGCCGTTCAAAGAAACGATCCTCCGCATCCCTGGGGTCGGACCACGCGGCGTCTGCTGTGGGATTACACACAGCTTTGGGTTAGAAGGGCTAATAGCTATTTCTATTCTTCTACGAAGAGCTAATAGCTATTATTTCTTTTCCAAGAAGTTGACTTAGTCCTCGAATAAAAACAAAAAAATACTGTCATATGACCGAGGACTACGCCGACTTCCTAATATTTCGGTCTTTTAGAAGAGAACCCTTGCGATCGAATTCAAAGGATCGCAACATGAAGCGGACACATAGAAGACATCTACCTAGGAAGTGGAAGTCGACGTAGTCCTCGTATAATTGCTACAAGTACAATGTAGTGAGAAGTGACTCCATCCTGAGAAGTCATCCTCCCATTGGTTTTCTCCTCAGGAAGGGCAAAGCCTGAACCGATACCGGCTCCGACGCTAAGTAGCCCTGCCTGCCTTCATAATGATTCTCAGGATCCTGATCTATGGATATCGTCACGTCACCATGATAGAGATAGAGCGACGACACTAGTAGTAGTAGGAGTAGTACACCCAGTCCAGGGGTATGTCAAAAATTTGGATTTGGGGAAGGGGATACTTATTGCTTTATAATTTCTGAGTGTAAAAGTAAATGCATATTTTGTTTTAATTTGCACTAGTAAGTAGAAGACCAAATAATCTCTTAACTTGTGGTCTGCATATCAGAGGGTTTCCAACACGCCGTGGAGGTCCTGGTGATCGCGACAATCGTAACGAGAGAGCTACAGCATTTTCTTGCCACATTATAGCAACACAGGAGTAGAGCAAATGTGCAAGTCTTCTAGTGCGCAGCAAAAAAGTCGTAGGACGACAGAAAAGGCGGCGCAGGGAGGCACCACGACGTTGAAAAAACGGCATTCTTGTTATATATCTGAAAAACAAAGGATAGATACGCATACAGTCAGGTGGACATCGAGATAAATCGATGCTAAACACTAGTGGGAGCAAGACTAAGCTACTTACTGAATATACTGATTACAGGTAAAGTAAAAACAAAATAAAATAATCTATAGCCACGCTATCTTTATTAATGGTTTGTCGGACTGACTTCATCTTTTTAGTCTTACACCAACGAAATAAATGGATTTGAATCCATGTACTTATGAGTAGAAAAGAAGTACCAACTTCTTCACACGGGTACACAACACACAGGCAGGACTTTGAAGTCGAAAAAAATGCTTCTTCTATTCCGTTACCCAGGGATTCATCTAAATAATCGGGAATTGTCTTCAGTCTGAAGAGCCTTTTCAGTATCCTAAGCCCTCGTTGTTCCGGAGCACACAGCCATCATGCCACGAGTAGAACAATGAATCGCTCATAAGTGCACCGAACTGGCCTTGTCACAGAGATAGAAATACCGAGAAAAGATCATGAGGAACTTACGTCTTACAGTAACTGGATCTCGTTCTTTCGCTTCGTGTCCACTCTCAATCCTCATACTTTCCCTTTTCAGCCTCTCTGTGATCCATCCGTTCCTCTCAGACGCAGAAAACTTGCCACGCACCAGTGTAGCAATCGCCAAGGGGTCTATTTGTAATATTTCTGTGTCCTCTAGGCCTACTCTGTGGTGAATATACTACGTACAGGGTCACAACGGCTGATATTCGGTGTATTTCGTCTTCGATCAAAAATGGCATGCAGTTTCTTCATATTCTCTTTGTTCCAAAAAGTGGTAATTAAAATCATTCATCATTGTCAGGTCGGCAAAGCCTGAAGAATCAGGAGCAGCACTTGCACTTCTGCTATTCGCTTGCCTCGTCCTTCACTTTATTAAGCAGCCTCTTCAGAATCAGAAGAGAGATCTTCCTTCACTTTATTAAGCAGCCTCTTCAGAATCAGAAGAGAGATCTTCCTTCACTTTATTAAGCAGCCTCTTCAGTAGAGAGATCTTCCTTCACTTTATTAAGCAGGCAGCCGAAATGCTATCCATGAGCCAAGTTCTCTTCCACCGTCACACAGACGGAGACTGAGTGGGGACTGTTTCTCAGTTTCTTCTTTCGACAAACGCCTCGCTGGAGTCCTCTTGCGTTTTCCCGCCTCCTTGTCCTTCTGGCCGGGTGTTTTGTTAGAGGAAGGTCCGTTATACAAGTGTAAGATGAAAATTCAGTCTCTGGCTCGACTGGATCTTCCCCGAATTATCTGGAACTCCGAACCAGCCATGTGCTGCTGGCTCTACTAGATCTTCCCCGAACCAGCCAACAGCAACACATGTTCCTAAATTTTCTTGCTTCAAAAACCACGCCTACTGCCCTGTCGTGGTAACAGTGCATGGCTCGCCGTCCCGTTTCCATTTGAAGTTGTGTAATTTTGTAATGAGCATGCTGCTAGGCCTCGGAGTCGTTTTCTCGGGAATAAGTCTGCCAAGACGAAGATGAGGATCAATTCCAGCCATGACTTTCTCGGCAAACCAATTCTCCATCCATCCACGGCGTGCGAGAGCAGCCGTGAGCGCGTAGTACACTTCTGCTCGTGCTCGATGATTAGAAATAGAATTCATTTTTGCGACTCTCTCTCTTGGGAGGTTCTACTTCCAATATTGCTTCATCGCGAAGCGAGTACCAATAGGTTTCAGTTTTTAGCCATTCTTTCACCACCACCAAAATCCAAAACATCCTCTGCTTTTTGTTTGACTCATGCGATTGCCATGCCCAGTGCCATCATCATAGTCCTACTTGAATACAACTTCTACACTAGTCTTCGAAGGTCATACTTCGTTCTTGTCCTGCTCTCTACCCCTATCAGAAGTGATACACGCCTCCCTTTCCTCATAATCGTTTCTTCTACCCTTTCGGGACCTCCAGAACGGTTAAGATACATATACTCAACACCAGGGCCAAGAGTGCCGACCTCAAACACCAGTCCTCGCGACTTCCAACACCAGAAAACAATCGCGCCAAGGAGGTGCTGGTGGATTTAGTGGTGTAGAAGTTGTTGGAGGTTTGTTCTTGTTGTAACTTTCTATTCCTATTTCAGGTGATAAAGTTGTGCGTGTGTCCTTGGAACTGGATGTTGCATTTTTTTTTTGTATTTTTGGTTTGGTACTGTCATCACCTAGGTCACGTTCATATTGCCAAGGAGTTCTTTCCGTTGCCTGGAAATATATCGAGAGAATGAAGACTACATATAAAAAATAAGAGCCATAACATTTTCGGGCGCAACAACATGACCTTCTCTATACGTCGCCCTACTTAGTGTCGGCGTCGATGTCGAATTCGAAGGCAATGACAATGCTGCTGCAACATGCAAATATCTGCGCTCGCGCTCGCGGAAAGTTGGAGGAAGAGGCCAACTATAACACACATCGTACAGAAAAAGAGGAGGCATGGAGGAATCCAACTCGTTGGCGATCAGTGTTGGATCAGTCGAGGAGGAAAAGAAATCGTGGCCCTCCACGGTAATTATGTCAGCAGAGGACAAGCCTCTACTAGTTACTGCTAAGTCAGGAGAGGTCGTGGACACATAGCTAGCGGCTGGTGGGTCACGTGCATAGAACGGATCTCTGGTAACCGGCGTCCCGACTGGCGAACCAACAGCAGTACCCGTCGTGTCACAGACGATGCAGTCCTCGAAGCAGGCCTGTAAAAACGAGCAGCGTCAAAGCTTCTGGACGAAAACGAATGATGCAACACCAAAAACATACTCACGCTCCTCTCCAAGGTGCAAAGCAAGGCCATTTCCATCTATTCTGGCATCATGCTGCCCTGTCGTGACGTGGTTCCTACCACCATATCCAGAACTCCTCTCGTCGTGTTCACCTGGACTGCCTCGTGGTGAAAGAAAGCCCATCATCGAAGACGACCCACCAGGTGGAGTGTTCACCGATCTTTGCGTAGTGCACCAAGCCCTTGATATTCGAAGGTCCTTGCCACCAACTTGACCAGCTTTCAAATCGGTCTCGCCAATAAAATCCGCCTCCCGTGATCTCGACGCATGCACACAGGAGGTGGAGGACAAGATCAGAACCAGTAAAAACATGGCAAAACAGTGGCAGCGCGTCGTCATTCTGGAATCTAGAAGATCGAAACTCTTGGATTAAAGTCAAACACTGATATATTAGAAAGATGATATGATGATCAGAAAATGCATAGAGCCCAACAACAATATTTGAGAAACACACGCTCAGCAACGATATTCGAATATGAGTCGAATTCAGTCTTTATGATCTTAGGCTGGTCTCTACTAGATGTACACTATTCAACTACTCGTCCGAGAAGAACTTCTCCAAATGCGTCGTCTCTCACTCTCAAATGAGCTAAAAATATATATTTGTTTCCTAAAAAAAATCTAAATTCCAGGACCTCGTCAACCGATCAAGATCATGTTTATGGGTGATCAGCCTTCTAACAAATCTAAGGCTACAGCATGATCAGACTCCTAACAATTCTAAATCTACGTCATGGTCAGCCTTCTAAAAAATCCTAAGTCTACAGCATGATGAGACTCCTAACAAATCTAAATCTACATCATGGTCAGCCTTCTAAAAAATCCTAAGTCTACATCATGATCAGACTCCTAACAAATCTAAATCTACATCATGGTCAGCCATCTAAAAAATCCTAAGTCTACATCATGATCATACTCCTAACAAATCTAAATCTACATCATGGTCAGCCTTCTAAAAAAGTCTAAATCTATATCTTCGCGACTGATCTGTCTTCTAAAGAATCTAAATCCAAACTCGAGTGATCTTGTTGCCCGATCATGAATGATCATGATCACTTGATCCAACATCTCGTAGAAGACCGACGGACGTCCCGCCGTCTTCTGAATCAGGAGCACCATCTTACAGACTCTAGCCTTCAGCACAGGGATAAGTAGGCACAGGACCAGATCGTAACCGAACAACGCCACGTCGTCACGAGACCGCACTTCTTGTGAGTCTACACTTGACCAATGGACGGTCGAACGTGGTGGTTACCATCGTCGATTCGGGGTCAGGACCAGGAAGAATATTGCTAATATTATGTTCGCGCGTGACCCTACCGCCTCACGCATGACGCGCTCGCGAGCGCCCTTACCATCTGTCGCTAAGGACGTCGATGCAAGGGCTCCAGGGACCCTCCTGAAGATCCAGTGGCTATAGTGGGTTTAATGGGAAGAATGCGTGTTACTACACGCTACTTTCTAATATCTACTCTATCTCTATCGCTTCCGCCGCAGAACGCCTCCCTTCCCGCTGCTCTCCTCCACGAACGCACACTACGCGCCGCTGGTTCCATTCCGGAGTTACCTGCTCACGACAAGGCGACGAGGCGGGCAGCATTAGACCGCCCGACAACTCTCGAGCCCCCGCGGGTCCGCCGACCCTCGCACCTCGCCAGCCTCCCGATGTTCCCGTCGGCCCAGCTAGAGACGCGCAAGCGATATCACGCTGCGGCCGCGGGCGCAAGCTACCGAAAGCGCAGATAGCATAAGCACAAGCGCGGACCTCTTCCTTTCTCTCTACGTGTCTTCTCTGCCTAACTGCTACAGCCTCCCTGTCCCCGCAAAATCTTCCCAGTCCCCCAAAAGTCCCACGCGGGGCTTCCTGCTCGGTTCACCGTTGTGTCACGGCGGTGACGAAGCGCGCGACAGCGGGCGTTTCAGATGCTACGCTCAGAAAAGAGCTTCCTCAGTAATGGTAGCCTTCGTGGCCTGGCTTATATCTCTAAAAATTATGACGAGAGGTCTCCCCTTGACTTTCGCGATTGCGCTACAACTGAAGGAAGTAGATCGACCATCGGGATTGAGCTAAGTTAAAAAATCTAAGCGAAACGCAGCAGCTTGATCTTGATGACCGAGCTGGGTCTCGGTGGTAGGTTTGCTTCTAAAAAAATTCATCGCAGTGTCTCTTCGGTCATCATAATTAATTGAATTAAGTTAAAAAATCTAGGAAACGTAACAGCTTGATCTTCGTAACCGAACTGGATCTCGGTGGTTAGTTTTTTTCTAAAAAATTTCGTCAAGACGAAACGCAACAGCTCAATCGTTATGACCGAACTGGGTCTCGGTGGTTTGTTTCTCAGAAGACCTAAGTCAGGAACTGCAAGGCACCGAACTACGGATCTTCTTTTGATTGTCGAATGATGAGGTCATAACAAGATGAAGAAGTCTATGGAAAATAAATCATAATCCAACGAGTTCATGATGTATATGAAAATCTAAAAAACCAAAATAAACTTGAAAATGAAAGGTTCAGTAATGGATCTCAGTCGTCCTATGCGAAACGTGTTTTCTGTGCATCCTACCAGCTTCCTTGCCACTTCCGTCCTCCTCCACCACTCCACACCTCGGCCCGTAAGGGCCTCGAGCTTCCCTCGCCGAATCGAGGTAGCTTCCCATCTATCTCGTGTCTTTATTAGAGGTGGAAGGGTCATCCGAGCTCTAGAATGAGGACCTCTAGATTTCACTCAGGTGTTCTTACTTAGGAAATTTAGAAGAAGGTCGTGGGGCTCCCTTATAATATACCTATATTTTAGATTTCTTATATCTGAAATAACTGAACACGTCACCACAACTCTACGTCTCAACAAGAGAGTAGAGAGAAAAAGAATGAGACACAGTCGTCCTTAATTACTTTATCTGGGGTCAGGGGTCGTGCTCGACTCCTGCTCAACGAGATCCAGAAAGCTGCTCGTCGGTGCCTGCGGATCACGGATACGCAACCGGCTTTTTACGACTCCCGCAACAGAATCGTATGCACGGCCTGTAGAAGTGACATTTGATCGGTGTGAGTGGAGTGTGTACGTCAGTGCCGAAGCCGAAGCTTCTGGAGAAGATTTTTACTTGGTTGGTAAATGGTCGGTGATTCCTATTTCCATTCTCCAAATGAGTAATCTACTGGGGTGCGTTATATTTATTAGAAGTCAATATGGATGGTGAGCGCACTAGTAAAGAAATGGATGAAATTGCTCAGTTTGCTCAGGTCCTCAGTGAAGCAGGAGTAACAAGTTTATATGGATGGTGAGCGCACTAGTAAAGAAATGGATGAAATTGCTCAGTTTGCTCAGGTCCTCAGTGAAGCAGGAGTAACAAGTTTAGAGTCGGGCTTTACCAAGATACTTCCGGATCGAGTGCTGTTTTTCCTTTCGGTCAGGAGCCGGCACTTCGGTGGATGGCTCCTCCGCACCACTGGATGACCCCTTCGCAGCACTGGATGGATCCTGCGCAACACTGGGTGGATCCTTCGCAGCACTGGATGGATCCTGCGCAACACTGGGTGGCTCCTCCGCCGGATTGGGTGATCGGTTCCTGCATAGGAATTTGTGGCAAGGAGGGCACATTGATGTCGGTGAGTGGGTGGAGGGTAACACTCAGGAAGGAATGAGGACCAACGATGTTGCAACGTATTCAGTAAATAAAAGTAAAGCAATTTCTTCTCCGAGTCAGAAAAGCACAGGTAGATCAACATCGAGCCATCTACTCCAGAGTCATCGCAAAGTGTACTGATAGTGATAAGCGCCATCCACCCCACAACACTGAAGACACAAATGTCTCCTATTAGCTTCCGGGGCTTCGGTCGTCGCCCCCCCCCCCGACATATCTTTTGTGGCCTCGTCCTCGTAGCTAATCCCTTTGCTGTTCGTCATCATTAATTTCTTCACAAAGAAACTGAAACAAACAGCAAAAAAAAGCAGTTTACCCTTCCGGCTCCAAACCACAGCAATGGGAGCAAACCCATCCAGGGTCGGCTAGCTTGAGGTCTTTGGTAGCTCGCGCGAAGCTAATCGTTTTTGTAGTGGTGTCGCTGCCAACATCGACAAGCCCTACTATTAGAATACGAACACAATAAGGCAGCAATTTCTATACTGCTCCGCGTCGATCTTACTCGGAATGTTATACAAATGCAAAAGCTTAAACCCCTAAGCCTGTAAGGCCTTGAGGTTCATACAAATCAAATAGCTCCAGGCTTTTGGCGCGGATATGCATGAAATTAGGGGGGAGCTGCATCGGGGATTTTATTGGTGTCATCGGTTTCATGGGATTCATTTGCCTGGGATCTTGGAGCCTTATCGCGATCCTTGAGCCTTATCCCGATGATCTTCCTGCTCAAAGGTTTCAGGATCTCGGTGCCCATCAACACCATCACACCCAGGGACTGGATTGTTAGACTGATCGCTTACACCCCCTCCGGCTCCAAGTCCCAGGTCAGTAACGCAATACAAGACGACATAGCGCGACTCCTTGGCACATTTAAGTAATTACTGTGCTCTTCCTCTTTTTCTTCACTTTCTTCGTCATGCTGTTCCCCCGTGCTGTTTTTCTCCTCTGGTTGGCTTGTCTTCTCGCAGCTCCTAAGCTTTTCTGCGGTTGTTCCTTGGTGTTAGAATTGACAGAAGGCAGCAATGGCGAGATTGAGTTGGATCCGGGACATCCTGACACTACCCCGACGCCCCTAACTCTTAGAGAAAGCCAAAAAACTAAAACCCCACCACCATCCCAACGCCAAAGGCTGACAACCCCGATCACCTCCAAAACCCTGCCCGCGTATCCCTTCCGGAAGCCCTTGCAATGATACCCCGAAACCTCTGCCCCCTTTGCCCCCCGTTAACCCCTTACCCTATTGGCATCATCCCCTTCCCTAATCCCTGGCAATCATCTGGCAACAACTCCCAGCCCACAACTATTCCCCAAACCCCACCCGCACCCCCATCGAGTTCCCCTCGTCTTAATCGTCTTAGACCCGACCCCGAACCCCCCGCGTGTTCGCTCTCATGCTACCCAATCCTGCTGGAGGCATTGGCGCTCGCCACCAGTGAGGGACACGAGGCTGGTCAACCTGCTTTACATCTTTAATCTTTTCCATTTTTCTAGTATGTTCACGAGCAGGCCAAGCCTGGCCATTCATCATCTCTGCTCATTTCGTGTCCGTTGTGGTTGCAGGTAGTGCTGTCGTCATGTTTCAACTGATGGCCTTTCGATGCCTTTCAAACTTCACAACTCAAGTGCGTCGCATTCTTATGGTATAATCTGAAATGTGTCCCGAGTATCGACATCCCCGCGCTTTTAATCCCGACACATATCCCTTACACATGTCGGAACCCAAGTAGTTCTGCTTAGTTCGTAGAATAAACCGCGAGCGGCTAAAGATTTTCCATCTCAGTGGCATTCTTATGATATTCAAGCACTTCAGACGTGAAGCTTATTTATTCGCTGCATCTCTTGTAGTGATTGAATGACAAAACTGCGCCGACGGCGCTCCAGAAGGGCCTTTTAGTGTGTGCGTACAAGTTAAGCAAATAAATCACATCGCTACGCTTCTTGTGCTTTTTCCTTTGCTATATGCCAACGCCTCCTACCGCGGAAAAGATCAAAAACGATTGAAATCAAGAAGGTGCCCACATCTAATGCACAACATTTAAGCCACACGCTTTATCTTATTGAGGCAACTGCTAAGAGCGAGAACCTTGCCACCTGTCGGCCTCAGCTGAGGTCGGCAGAGATCTCTGCGATACTGACATCTGAAATCTCTGAAGTTGTTGACTTATTTAAACCCATGAGCGAAGTCGCCGAAGGTCGTAGATCCCGAAACCATCGCCATGACATTGAAACAATTCCCCTCCCCACTGAAATGCTACGCCATACATCGAAGAGATGAGGAAGTGACCAACGAAACTAGTCGGATGAAGCAAATTCACCAAAGACGTCACTACATTTCTTTATCGTGTTTGAAATGATTGAAGCAAGGCACTGCCCTACAGTTCAAGAACTACACCTAAACACTTTTACAAGCATCAGAATGCCAAAACGATGACAGAAGTGCACGAAAGTACCACCATGATCATGAAGAGAGTGGCAATATCAGACAGGTGAAGAATCTCTGCGCAGAAGTCTCTATGCAGTTATCGATCTGGCCCCAGAGACCTTCACCCGTGGCCATCGTCATGCACAGATCCAAAGCAGTAGGATAGGGGCAATCTGCATCCTTCGCCAGGAGGAGCGCCTGGACGTTAGCAGAAGGCATCTGCGTCTTGGTTTCCTTGCAGAGCTGCGCAATTTTGCTCAAGTTCGCTGCGGTCTGTAGTGGTGAGAACGAAAGAAATCGACGGGGAGTACCAGAGACAACAATTAAGAAAAAGTCGCGAATCTTATGGAGGTAGCTGCAGTCATGTGCTATGTCCATTCGAATCAAGAACAGCAGAGAACTTAAGTAACTCCACTGGTTTGCGTACTGCGCTTCAGCTAGTTCCTTCCTTCTAAATCTAATTAAATAGATTGACTCAGAATTCTCTCAATAAGTGAATAAGTCAGAGATGTGTCAACATTTTGCAAGTTTTCCGAGTTTGCTACTTTCTGAGATAGGTCTACCATTCAAGTAAAAAGAACCTAGCGAACAACATAAAAAACCTGATAAGAGCGCAAGTCTTAAAAACTTGCTACTTTGCAGGAATCTCGTCAGTTTCTCATCGATGAAAACAGTTGCTCTAACACCTAGGGCGACAACAACGAGGGACATCAATAGCACCGCTGGAGTTGCTGCTTCTTCCGCGATCTTCTTGCACTTGATTTCGGCGGGCGGCAAGTTGTGCAACCAAGCGGCGTAACTGTCGCGCGCTGCACCCATGGCATTTGCTGCGTGAGCTGCATTAGCAGCAGCAGCACCAGCAGCAGCCGGCATTCTGTTGTAGTGATTGATGTGATGTAGGTCCAGGAGGTTAGACTAGAACGATCTTCCTGCTCAGATCTATGGGGACCAAAACGGAGAGGAGGCGTAGTTCTCGGCCTTTTTCCCTGCTGCGGAACGAGTTGGTTGTTAGAAAATTGCGGACATCAAACAAGTAGCCTCGCATGTAAGTAGGCTCTTAATTAGAATGGGCGACACAACGAGCGCAGCACGATCCGAAGAAACCCACACGACTGATAGCCTAGCGATCTGCTGTAATATTGATCAACAGCAACGGAAAAAACTACGATGAGCGCCGGCGCTCCTGACTTATAAAACGACGACCCACACGAACGAAAGACCAGCGATCTGTCAGTAGCCTAGCCGACTGCAAAAAACGACTTGATGTCGATGATCTGCCGCGCAGAAAGTCCCGCGATCTCTTCATCATGATCTTGGTGACAAGAAAAGCCAGGGCATAGGGTAGCGCGCTGGTTTCTGTCGTGTCTCGTCACCTAGACACGATCGGGCGCGCGTTGTTCTTATAGCTATAAGCGGGCACCTAGTCTATCTCTGAGGCTACTTGCTTGATGTGTCCTCTCTTAAGAGTGGGGCCAATATCGGCAGTCTCTGATACTGATTGAAGAAAATATGCTAAATGGCTTCGCTCTTTGGTCTTTATATAGAATCCAGATACTACTTCCGATTAGCTCACTTATACTTCAAAAGTGCTCCACCTCCGGCGCTTCGTGTACTATGGGAATGGGAATCCGTTATGATTTTGCTATAAAAATGCTTCATTTTTGAAGCGTTTCGAAGCCTACCCAAACGCGCCGCCTGCTTATGTTTAAGCTCAAAGACGTGACACCTGAAAGATTTCTAAAAGATTTCTAAAAGATTTATAAACTTCAGACTTGTCCAACCTAATCTCTACTAGATTCTTTACTTTTTTCGTGCTAGCTTCTAAGATTTCAAGACATGCGAAATATTCCGAGGATAGACAGATAGACTATGGGAGACTTAAGGAATCCACCTAGGCCAGATCCCAGGAGCAGCATACGGCTCCAATCTGGCCACTAGCTCGCCCATCGAAGGCAAGTTAGAGCTTTTGAGGGATGGAGAAGCATCCGATGACAGTCCCAGATGGATCCCAGCGAATCCCTTCCGAAGGACGTCCATACTCAAATAATTGACACCCTTCACCAATTATTCTATCACTTATGCCTAGCTTCCCTCTTATAAATATCAACGCCAGGCGTCCGCAGTACCAGCATGGAGCGACATCACGACACGGAAGTACGTGCAGCAGAATCAGGCGAAAAGATCGCTGACACCGTCTAGTTGGCTCTCCCGGACGTCCAACAGAACACGCTCAGCATTGCGTCCGAAATGTAGCCGATGTCGTCGAATTTCTGTCGGTAATCCTTGCCCCACCCAGATGCTCTGTCTGCTCGTTTCAAAGCGTCAGCCTTCGCTCGGTTCCAAAGGTCTCGCATAGTATCGAGGTTCGGGCTCCTGTATGATCTGTCACGAAGGTAGTTGTCCGCACCAATGCTAGCAAGTCTCGCCCTGATTCCCCACATTGCTGCGACACATTCAGCCGGCCCCACTAGACCAGAAATGGGGAAGTTCGTCCTGTGTCTCTTAATGATGTAGGCCCTGCTGTGCAACAAGATGGGCGCTGTGACTTCATCCCGCTGCATTTTCAACAGCTTGCCGAAGAGACGGCTGAGACGTGGATGCGCCATCATAACCCAGGCGCGATCTATCTCCTTCCGATCTTGGTTGACGTTACTCCGGCCATGTCCTACACCCAATCGGCACCCATCGACGTAGATCCCCACGTCGTTCAACATCTCACCCTTCTCACGCCTCCAATCTCGAGCCTTCACTTCTGCGGCAAGACAGGGCCAATGATGCAACCACCAGACCACAGCGGTCCTTGCTGCTGAGTGCCTTCTTCTCTCCTGCTTGTTCTTTCCCAAGTTTCTCCATCTCCTTCGCGTGTGGAGGCTTCTTTGCGTGATTTACTTCTACTACTTTGGCAGCGCCTTCCTCTGCTTTTTGCGCCATCGTCTGCTTCTCCACTGCGATATCTGCTGCAGCTAGCTCTCCCAAATAACTCTTCGGCTTTGCGACTTCTTTCATTCTAGTGATTGCAGTAGAAGATGTGGACTCTGGTGCCAATGCAGTAGAAGCCTCATCTCCTAGAAGTAGATAACATTCGTCGCGCTTCATTTCAGGCACTCGCAAATCCAGACCCCAGACGCGACCACCCCCTTCACAGTTGTACTGTTGTCGGATGTCTTTCTCCATGACGACCTTCTTCCCTAGCATCGGCGTGGACAACAACTGCGCGCCATTATCGAAAGTCGACTCCTCCACCTCCCTTAACCAAAGAGCATACGGGCTCAGAAGAACGCCCACCATCATAAACCACGCAGGATTGCCGCCTCGTCCTGCTGGTTGTAATTGAAGAAGAAGAGTCATACTAGAAGGAAAGCCTGGCGAATTTCTCAGATATCCAGACGCTTCAGCACAAAAAAAAGCCAGCGTCGGGATCTTCTTCTCCACCTTGCTGCCTAGGTGCAGCGTCTTCACCTCGTCCAGCACCTTGCTCGCTATTTCAAAATGAAGCGAAACTTCTTTGCTCTTGTGGTTCGGTGGGAAGATCATCAAACAAGTCAGCAAAGGAACCACAGCTGGGCGCTCGCTGGAGATGCGTGGACTGAAGACCAAGAACTTTGCGTCGCTACTGCACCACTTTGCTTGTTTCCAGGTCGATGCAATCTTGTCACACTCGATGAGGCATGCCCTAGTAGTTTCATCTGCTTCCATTCTGCAGCCTACTCCCGCAACGTCCACTCTCTCTGCCCATTGCCAAGCCGTACGGGCCGCGCCCTCTTGTGCTAGAAGTGCTAGAGCATAATGCCGATCGCTGTTGTACTTCCGGAGGAACTCTTTCGCGGGCAACTTGAAGAAATCCGAGACAGCATCTGGCGGGGCTTCCGGTTGTATTTGTACACTGCTACTAGACGAAGACGCTGAAGATGTTGCTGCTGTGATCGAAACTGCCGCCGGAGTGTTGGGGTCGCTAGCAGTAGCAGAAGCGTCTGCTACTTCGCGACTAATATCAACACCGCTCCACGCTGGGGCAACAGGTCGCGACTTCGGTTTTGGTCGCTTTCTGACCTTGCCAGCTGCCATATCTTCTAGCGCCCCCACCTTTTCTCATGTTATACAAACAAAAGCCCTGCTATAGTTTTGGAAAACAAAGAAGATCACGACGCGCCAGGTTTGCGACTTTACATGCGCGACCCCCTACTGCTTGCCCCTCGCTCTCAGCTACACTCCGTCGACATGCTTCGACCGAGCCCCTCGAGCTCTCTCCCAAGCCGAAGCTCCAAACTGCTAACCGAATACGAAGAAAACAGGTCCAAGCTCAACCTGATTGACCGAGCACAAAGATGCGAACAAAAGGACAGCGATCGTATATAGCGAACTTAGTCGCCCCCCACTGGTGTTCTATCTTCCCTCAGCAATGTCTTCAGCATCCAGCCCCAGCCTACCACTACCATTTGTCCCCCCACCTGCTCGACCCTTTCGTTTGCAAGCTTTTCAAACTAAAGCATCCCCGACCCGATCCCTCAGTAGAAAGAACCCAAGCCCACCCCACCTCCCACACCTTCCCGGCCCTTTTGCGATTGGTTTCCAGCTCTGTTTTCGTGTGTTTCTGTTCCGTTCTTACTTATGCCAGCACCAGTCTCCCACCCACCCTGACCCCCCATTTCTTCACCCTGTCACTTTCCTCCCAACCTAATCGCCCCACTGCCCACCCCTTTTCAGCCAGGCTACTTCTCCCCCTTGTTTCCCCGTTTTTTGCTTTTTCGATAGATTAAGTTGCTGCCTTTGGGCTTCATACCATCCGGATCCAAATTGAGACTAGAAGCCAAGCCGTCGTATCTAATCAGCCTACGACGGGAACCCTTCGCGCGTCCACGTAACCACCTTGGCCCAAGACTTAAGAGGGATCTTACTGGGGGCAAGCTACAAGGCCAAGCGGTTCAAGGCCTCGCCTGAACTCTCCGCCTGTTGTGATCTTGCTAAGGGTATTAGATCGGTTCAAGCTGGTGGGAACGTAGTACGCCCTGGCGATTCCTTTTGATGCCACTTCCTTGAATTGATGAAGGCGCCACGGGTTGGGATTTGCTTCAGTCTGGCGGCGTGCTGGTTTGTGGTGGCAAACTTAGCTCCGCCCTGATTATCGCCAGCCATCCGCATGACTGGGCCAAAGGTTAGACCGTGCTGGGTGAGGAAAGCTGTGAACTCTGGCGAAAGTAACAAGCTGCGAAATCTGAGGCCATCCCTGGCACCTTCGGAAGCGCCAAAGTTTTCCGCCTCGCTTACTGAAGTGGCAGCTGCGTGCTGCGTCTTGCATTTCCGCAGCATTTAGTTTCCGCCGATGCAGACTAGAGCGCCGCTACTACTACGCCAATCAGTGCGGGCCTGTAAGGATGCTGGCGGGGGGACACCTTTTCGGAGTTCGCTGCTGAAATTTCTCTGCTTTTTCTCTATAAAATGCGGCGGCTCTTCTCCTTGGGTGGAAATTCTGCGGGCCGAGGAGTTTTTTTCTTGTCAATAAGTAAAAAAAAGCGCGCCAAGGTGGGGCACTTGGAGCATGAAAAACGAAAAGCGGAACGCGATCCAAAAAGCTGCCAGCCTTTTTTGGAGCAGTGTAGGGAATGGAGATCGATCGCGACGCCTGAGGTTGTTAAGACATCGCCAAAACAGCCTCGGCCCCAACCTCCGCGATCGACAACGAGTCACGCACGGAAACCGAAATACAGCCAAAGCACTGCGCGCATTCGTTGGGGGGAAGAGGCGCGGCCTGGTGCGATGTTGTTGCTGTGTTGCAGTGCATTCCCGCCACATTTCGGCGCGTGTCCTCGTTGCGTGTCCCCTAGATTTTTTGCGGACTATTCGCGTGAAAAGTGCACGCGTTTCCGCTTTTGCGTGTCGCCTACAGATTCGCGAAGAGGTGCGCAGCAACGCACTTCGAATCAGCCTAAGGCGAAATCGAATTGAGTGCCAAAAAACAAGCTATAGGCATAGACTGCTTCTATGTTTCGTTTTATTTCGCTATAAAGAAAGTGCCCGAATTCGCGTCACCTCGTGGGGCTACGCGAAAAGTGGCGCACTTTATAAAGCCAAAAAACACCGGGCCCACCTGGGCCAAAAAGTGGCTACTTTTTGGCCCTCGTTTTCATGTCCTCAAACATGTGAAGCAAGAGGAGCGACCAAACCTGAGGCGCACAGATGTGGCTCGTTATGGTGGTGTACCCCAAGACAAGCGGTGGCCGACGCATTAACATCCACGCAGCCGCACGCTAGCACCATTCAGATCCCCCGACGAGATGGGGCGCATCACCTCCGACATTTCGGGCCTTGGTGTCCATAGCTGTCGGCCCCAGCCTCTTCGTCGGTGTCTGCGCTTATTCTACCCGAGAACACCCTCAGCGGCAGCTTCACCGAGGCTGCCAGGCTGGCGCTCATCGTCAAGCACCTAGCCGCCCTGGCTCTTAAGAACCGCCAGCACCTCCAGAGAACTGCTCGCCCTCGACCGGCTCGATTCGACAGCGAGAGACTTTGTATGTTTGTGGCAACTACAAGGTGGCGAAGGGGTTGCAATGGGTGGGACGGTTTTCACCTAGCAAGTGAACAAAGCCAAGGGCGACTGGTGTTTTCGGGTGTGGGAAGGAAACCGACCCGCGGGGTGTCAGGCTCACCACCCCAGTACTGGCAGCCTCTGCATATTATAGAGAAAGCATAGGGGAACTGTAACCCTTAAAATCCAAAAGGCCTCAGCTCGCCAGTAAGGGCGCCCAATCACTATCAGCCCAAACTGTAAGGACTATTCTGCCTTCGAATTCCCCGCGGTTCTTGTAGACAAGTACTCTTTTTGTTCTGAGATAGCGATCGAATGAAACTACGGAGGTCGGCCACTACCTCTTCGCTTGCCTTTGCTGAACTGAGTACCTTTAAGCCAACTACAAGGCCAGGGCGTGTAGCTGTGGCTAAGTACTGCAGTGAGCCTGTAAACCCCACCCTAGGCTTTGCTAGAGCTGGCGCTTCTGCTGGGAGAAGCTTTGGCCGCGCTGTTTCAATTGGTGCAGTAACCCGCCGACTACTTTCCTCCCCTCCAAATCGCGCCAGTAGCTTCTTCACGTATTCACTTTGGTCAAATGTCGCAGCGTGGGTCCCTTTGTTGATGCTCACGGCTACTCCAAGGAGATCGTAGGCGATCTCTGTCGCTGTTTCGCGCTTCAGCTCTTCGACAAGTTTCAGCGAGTCCTTCGTCTCTCCATAATGGTGGAGAATTTCGCCACGCTTACCGAAGTGGAAAAAGTTGCCAACAAAGATTACTAGGAGAGCGGTCCCCTTTATCCAAGTTGTCACATCTTCCGAGCATTGTGCCCAGCCAAGTTGCGCTAGGGCGGCACCTCGATGGCGCTGCCACGCAACTGGTGACAATTCCAGGCCGCTCATAGCATGCAGAACCAACTTTACCAATCAGGTAGCCTAACTGAGTGGCCAGTTTGTCGCCAAAGTTAATTCAAGCGCGCTCTGGGTAGGGTGATCGTAAGAGTGCCGAAGTTGCGCCAGCAGAGAATATCGCGGCTGACCCCTGGCTTGCCACCGTGATGGCGAGTAGCATTCAGATGGCACTCATGTCGCACACATTCGCGAAGGTGCTGAGGCTAGTTCCGAGGGTGGAGCTAAGAATCCCACACACACAAAGTCCGCGCTTTCTTACGTCCACGCCTTTCCGTTGATACATAAGAGAAGCCCCCACGGCATTAGTTGGCGCGTGTAAGTTTCTACCTCTCTGGCTGTTGCTTTTCTGAACACATGCGAGTGGGCCCGCAATTCTTTTGCGATTGCTGCTCTCCACTCGGGGGGGTTGTAGTCCTCGGGGAGTTCTTCTCCTGCTGCGAAGATGCCGGCAAGTTCTTCGCCTTCCTCGAGGTGAAAGGGCGCCGCTATGAAAGCCTGCCGGAGGCTTTCTGCGTCCAAGAACTCTGGGCCCTCTTCTCACTCTGTCTCTGTAGAGCTTCGAACTAGCGTCGAGCAACTGCCCCTGTCTAAGGACATCGGTGCCCGGTAGGGTGTGCAGTAGTTCCCGAATCTGTTGGATTCCTGTCTTCTTTTCACGCCAGTGGAGGCGCCCACTGCTTTGCAGCATTGCTTGACGAACTTCCTCGGGCTTAGCTCGCTCCTGCTCTTTGGGCTTTCTATAGAGTGACTCTACGAGTAGTTCTACGTAGTTCTTCGTTATAAAGAAACCCCCAGCGGTGGCCCCCTTTTTCCTTTAGCGGCGTTCCGTTCGTTTCGGCGTGTCCTCTCGTGGGCTGGTGCCTGAGCCAGGCCAGGTTCTCCAGGTTCAGGGCTGTTGACCGTGTGAGCCTGTTGACCTGGTGCAGGCTGGTCAGGTTCTGCCGGAAGCCCTGGGCCTCCCGTTGGGGTACCCACTCGGGCTCGCGGAGGCGTTGCAGCCTGGGGGCTTTGTTTCTTGTTGTTGTTTTCGCTTGAGGCTGAGGGCGTCCCCTCCGGCATAGGCTTTACTGCTCTGAGAGAGACTACCGAGGGATAGTGCTCCGGTGCCTTTCTGGGGAGGATTTTCGTGGGGAAGTCTACCCGGATCCTATGCACCATCGGAGTGGGCACTTTGCTCACTAGGCAGTGGCCTACTCTCATGCCATGGCCGTTGGTTTTTCGTTTCTTCTGTTTCACCCCAGGCCACGCGTGTGCGTCTGCGGTGATGTGTAATCTCACGCGACTGGTTGTCAGGGGACGAACCAAGAGCACCAGCCAGCTCTAACGCGGTCACTAGATCAGCGCGGGCGCTGAAGTCTGTGAGGGTTGTGCCAGGATGTCCTGCGAGTTCAGGGCCGAAGTCCTTGCTAGTGGCGCGCGTTCCACGTTCACCGATCAAGATCAGGGGGCCCCCGAATGGTCTTCAGAAAACGAAAAGTGCGTAGCGCTGAATCCCACTCGCGCACTTTCTTTCAGTCGTCGCGCGCTGGCGCAAAGGTTCCTACTATGGTAGCAGGATAATGCGGCGACTTAAGAGCCAGCACCGTCCCGCTCTCTCGTCCGGTCTGTTCAAGTTTGAAACGGTTCAAACCCTTACGGACGAGCGCAGCCGTGCCTGCGAATCCGTCGCGATTACCTGCGGAGGCGTGTGGCTGATACTCGGGGGCGAGTTCAGATATCTCCTCGCGGATTTTCTCCTCGCCGTTCTTGCTCACTCGGGTGCTGCCAAAGATGACCATCCCGGGCGTGTTTTTCAAGATGTTCCGACACTTGTCCGCTTGTCCTGTGATATACGTTCGCAGGGTGCCGCTGGTGACATAGAGTAGATCTGTGGAGCTGTCTGTGTCTGGCGCGTTACTATCCTCCTCGGGTAGGTCTTCTCCGTCCTGCTGGGACAAGGGTCCCGCTTGCTCTTTGCTTACTACACCCGGGGCACGAACAGGGCCGCGCTCCAGCTTTAGTCCCGCGGCAAGTTCTGCCGTGCTGACTTTCTGCAGATTATGCAGCCCCTCGCCATCGCTATGCACTCTAACTAGAACGCGACGCAGTTCCTTGGGGAATGTCATTGCGTCTACTGTGGCGCGCTTTCTGATATTCGACCCGTGGGCACGTTTGTAGTGCCCGCTGTGGTCGATAGTGAAAGTCCTGGAGTTGTAATTCTGCTGGATGTAGATGAGTCTCGCCGGGCCAAGCCTGCCGCACCTTCCTCAAGCGGCCAAAGAATTCTACTTGGTCTGCTACTCGGAGGGCTTCACTTTCATCATAGTAAGCCCGGGCCTGTTCTGATTGTCGTCGAAGCTCATCTATATGGACTCTGTCAGTCTTCACCTTTTCTAAAACAGTCCCTGCCTGTCTCGCTGCGTTCTTTGTAGTCCTCAAGTACGACCTGGGGACCGTGCTCCAGAAGGTTTGGCCTGACCTCTTCCATGTCTTCGGGGCGACGTGGTTGGAAGATAGCAGACCGGCGAACGAGTTGAGTCCGGTAAGGTGATAGACCACTTAGCACAGGCGTGGGCTGCTCATTGATACCATCTACGGCGAGGCATATGAGTTCTAGCGGCTACTCCATACACCAGCCGAAGCCTGGCAGTGACTGCCTTGACCGTTCTGCGACGTCTCTCGATCACTCCACTGACCCACTGAGTCTCTCGGGGGCTCGCGTTGGCATCAACGTCATGTAGCGAGCACCAGGATACGAAGTCTGAGCTAAGGAACTCCCTCCCTCCATCAACTAGCACGCTGGCGGCTAGAATACCTGCCCGGCGACATTTTTGCAAAAACTCTACGGCGTCAGCCCCTGCCGGGCTTTTCTTCAGGACTGCCATGTAGGTTGATTGCATTTAAGACATGCGACCCGCCTAGTCTGAACGTATCTAAACTAAAAAAGTGCTGAATAGACATGCCTTCCAATCCGCCGCGCTTCATTCTAGGTTTCGCGATGTTACGTAGTCGAGTGATGTTGTTGGGACACCATTCAACGCAGACGCGTCCTGCTTTGGAAGTCCCTCGCGGTGGCACGAGTGCACGAACTGCCATCCGCAATTTCTGGAAAGTTGGAAGGTGCAGCTGTGTAGCAATTTTACTTGCTTTCCTTCTTAGCTGCTTGCTTTGCGTCTCCTCTTTCGCTACGTTCTCTGCTTCGTCTTCTTCTGCTTGTGCCTCCCGCGCTGGTTTTTCCTGTGCCTCCCGCGCTTCTTCTTCTTCGTCTTCTTCTTGCGCCTCCTGTGCGTCTTCAGGCGCCGCCTGCGCTTGTTGCTCCCCTCTTCTTCGTTGCGGTGGTTCTCCTTCTTCACCGTCTTGCTCTCTTCTCCTCTTCTGTTCTTACCTGTTTGGCCGCTCAGTCAGATAGCGTAGACGCCACCTGCGAGGAGCGTGGGGACCTCTCCCACGCGCTGCCCCTGCTGGAACAGACGGAGTTCTTCCGTCGCGAAAGAAGGGGCTACGCCCTTCTCCACCAATCTGCGAACAGATTGATAGGACTTCTGCCGGGCAGTCCGGGACACTCTGCGCCTCACTTAGCTGAAGCGTGGCGTCTCCTCTCTTAGCGGTCATCTTCCCGACTTCGGTCGCGCGTACCGGTTTCCCGCGGCAAGTCATGAGGACTCTCTTCGAAACCTTCGAACAGTCCGTGCTGAGGTTGGTGACGTGTTCGGCGGCACCACTGTCAATCAGCCACGTGGCGCGCTGGCCTCTTGCATAGCAGCCATAGAGAAGCGCGCGGCGTCGACGTAGGGCGCCGACTCTTCCCTCTCTGCTTGTGCGTCGTGTGCCATCGCAATGGCCACGAAGGCCGGCGGCTGCTGCTGTTGTCCGTGCGTGTTCTGGTTTCCTTGTTGTCCTTGTGGGTGGCCTTGTTGCTGCGGCTGCTGCTGGCTCGGCGCAACGAGGTAGGCCCCGCCGCGGTAGCAGTTTCCCTCCTTCTGCCATCCCTGTGGGATGTTGTTCGGGTTCTGGCTCTGGCGCCGGTTCTGGTCGCGGCCACGACTGTCGCGCCGTTGGCGGCGGTCTCTGGTGTCCCGGTTGCGACTGTCTCGCCGGTTGCGTTGCTCTCGGTCCCGGTTGCTGCGTCAACCTCTTCCACGACTGTCACACCAGTGGCGGCTGCGGTCGTCGCGGCTGTTGCGGCGGTGTTTGCTTTTTCCTTTTCCCTTGCGGCCGTTTCCTCGTCCTGCTTGGCCTCCGTCACCCGCGTAGAACCCTGCCGGGGGGTTCCTTGGTCTGGAGGCTGTGGCGTGGTGGTCGGGCCTTGTATGTTGCGTGGCTAGCTTCTCCACCTTTGCCGCTGAGGCTTGGGCCTCGTTCAGGTTGGCCGGATTGTCTATTATTAAGATTCGTCTAAGAGCCTGCCCGCTGCTCTGTGTGAAGATGTCGGCGACTCTCTTCGGGCAGAGTGTCACGCCGCAGCCTTCAGCCACGTCCGGAAAAGGCTCCCGATAAGATTGGGGGCCTTGGTTCTGCGTCTGGGTCATAGCCCGGAGTTTGTTTACTCCGCAAAACTTCCCCCGACTCGTATCGGGATACGTATTCCGTACGGATTGCCTTCGGCCTTTTCGGTGGCGTAAGATTCTGGGCGGCCACTCCCTCGCGGATTCGGGAGGAGCGCGCGGAAGTTGTCGGGCATTTGATAAGTTCGCCGGCCCTGTCGGTTACAGTGGTGAACCGGTTGAGGGGTTGGCCGTTGGTTGCTCTTGCTGTGAGAGCCTTGAGCCACGCACCAAAGGGGGCGGGCGCTCCGTTGTACTTCGGTCCGCGTAGACCTGTCAGGCCTTCTTCTTCTTCCTTCTTCTCTTCTTCGATGATTGTCGGGCCGCCTTCGCTTTCCTCGGCTCGGCTTCATCCTTTTCGGGCTTCTCTTCTTCTTTCTCTTCTTCGGCTTTCCTCTCTTCTTCCTTCTTTCCGGCCTTCTTCTGGGCTTCTTCTTCTGCCTTCCGCCTGTCTTCTTCGGATTCCTTTTCATCCTTTTCCCGCTGAAGTCTTTCCACTTGCCCGCGCAGTTTCTCAAGCTCTTCTGCCTGTTTCTTGTCGCGCTCCTCTAGTGCTTTGACATACTCACCACGCGCGGCGGCTGCGCTTTTCTCCCTGCGCTTTTTCTCGGGCGTGCCCGATGCACCAGCCCCAGATGGAGGCGCTTCCTTTGTTGTATACTAGTGGGGATACGGTTGCAAGGTGATGGATGGCGGATGATGGTTTTTCTTGAATCAGGTGCAGGAACACAATCAGAACGAAAGCAAGTTTTTGAATCACGATCGGAGGCCAGTCGGTGGCATATGATGCAATTTTTAAGCAGGTGCAGGAACACAATCAGAACGAAAACAAACCAGGCGACGCTTCGAATCTAGTGCAGTTTTTCTAGTGTGAGAGGGCTTATAACTCTATTAGAATACGAACACAATAAGGCAGCAACTTCTATACTGCTCCGCGTCGATCCTAATCGGAATGCTATACAAATGCAAAAGCTTAAACCCCTAGGCCTGTAAGGTCTTGAGGTTCATACAAATCAAATAGCTCAAGGCTTTTGGTGCGGATATGCATGAAATTAGGGGGGAGCTGCGTCGGGGATTTTATTGGTGTCATCGGCTTCATGGGATTCATTTGCCTGGGATCTTGGAGCCTTATCGCGATCCTTGAGCCTTATCCTGGTGATCTTCCTGCTCAAAGGTTTCAGGGTCTAGGTGCTCACCAGCACGATCAACTCAGGGATTGGATTGCTAGATTGATCGCTTACACCTACTCCGGCGCTCTCTAGTGCTGCTGCGCTTCGCACTCCTGCTGGCTGCGCTTGGCACTCCTGCACCCTCCGACATAACAGGACCCATCGACTGAGAGCAGACATCGAATCAGGAGAAGTCTGTGATTATTTACATTAGAAACTAGAAGCACCGCGCTAAAGAAGGGACTGGGATACTACATGTCAGTCATCTGCGTCTTCAAATGTTGCGCAGGAGTGCGGAGAATATATTTCGGGCTTATCGTGCTGGCTCACAATATTAGACGTATATAGATGCAAAAGTGGAATCACACTGAAGAAGAAGTACACTGAGACTCCCACGCTCCCTCCTCTTGAATATGAGAATGTCGGTCGTCTCTAACTTAGTTGGGAAAAACGAGTCACCCTCCCGGTCCACTTCAAGCCGGTAGCCATCGGCTGGAGAAGACAAAGCCTCCACGCATGATAGAAAATTGAGACAAAAAAACAGTGCTCCTACGCGCCACTTCTACATGAAAACTACAGGTGGCGGGGATTTCTTCGCCTGAAGCTTTTTTGGTTGCCACACTTTGCGCGTAGTTACATTACTGTCAAGAGCATAACCTTCATACAGCTTCCTTAGATCGACAATCAGCCTGATTAGAGCGTCAGTCGTTACATCATTCGGTAGATTACGTTGCAGTTGTCTCCAACGGTTCGCCATCCTGACGATTGTGGGAAAGATATCGTTGATGAGAGAACGAGTGTGGACTTGGAAGTAGGTGGGTACGGTTCGCCATCCTGACGATTGTGGGAAAGATATCGTTGATGAGAGAAAGAGTGTGGACTTGGAAGTAGGTGGGTAAGATGACCTACGCAAGGGAAGAGGGGGCGCCAGAAATGCAAAGCTTTGCTTCTAGTAAGACCACAGGGTAACCCTAAGCGTAGATCTCTGACTTTGCTCGCATCTGTCACCTTCTTGATGTCTGACAAAAATGAAAATTGCAAGTGTTTTCAGGTGGACACTCCTAACACTACAAGATAAGAAAGTTGTAAATGACTTACCTTGTATCTCCTCTTGCAGGAGCTGCCATAGTGTCAAGTGCACGGCAGACGGCCATCCTCTTCAAGACGACAAGTAGCCACGAACAGGTGAGAAAGAGAGCATCGCTGAGATTAGAGGACAGTGTGAAAGAGAAACAAACAGGGCTTTTGAAGATCATCGCTTAATTCAGCTAGAAATACCAAATTAATGGCGTTGCCCGAAACATCTGATGTTGGGTATGAGTCACTGCACTTACAATCAAGAGAGGCGCGTCTTCCTGGCGTCGTGATGTTCTTTATGGTCATAGTGGTCAACTCTACTCTACAGCAAAAAAATTGGACATAACTCTGTGTGAAGATGACACCAGCGCCAGGGCTGTCTTCAAAGATTTTACCGCATCTTCATATTGCTGGTTCGCACTTGTGGAATCTCCTGGCATTGTTGTCGCAATAGCTTCCTTCAATTCCGGATTTCGTTAGAACGGATTGCGGTATGGGTATCCTCAATGAAAATACAAAGAAATACCAACACGAAGGTGCCATCATAGTTTTAAAGTGAGTCTTTGCAGTCACCACCACTCACTCACAAATGTCCTCAAACGACAAGAACAAGATGTGTTGCGACACCGATTAAAGGACGAAGTCAATGCACAGCAATGTGGATTTCGGAGGAAGAAAATACTTCACTTGCCACGGATAAATATATAAAGGTTGCAGTTCGACGAGAAAAAATACGGACACAATACGACTTCTAGCGAACGGTTCCTGGGTAGCTTCTACAGTCATAATTGTGAAACGTTGCAGACCGCGTAGGTAAGGAAGGTAAAGTGGATTTGCCGTTAGCGAAATCCAGATGATAAGTCTCTGCCATCATTTTGCTGAGTAGTTTATCCGCCAACCCTACAACCTCCAACGGCTCGTGCATATCAGCAAAAAAGCCAAGCACTTCTAAGTAACCTTCGAACGTCAAGACTAATTTGCGCGGAGCAGAATCAGAATCGTCGTCGTCCCCTCCTTGATAATTACCGAACTCCCGCAACGCGTCTCTCTTCGCAACGCTCAGCGCGGCTTCCAGTTTCATCCTGAAATGAGTGAGTTAATACATGTTCATGAACGAGGCAGAGCAAAAATTATCAGAGCAAGACGAGTTTGAAAAGACTATCGCTTACTTCACAAGAGAGTATCAGATTCGTCAGAGTTTCTTCACCAGAGGGTATTAGATTCATCAGTTTCTTCACAAGAGAGTATCAGATCATTGACTTACATGGAAGGGCTGTCCTTCCCTGATACTTGAGATTCGGGCTTCTCCCCGACACCGACGACGTCCCAACTCGCAAAGTGAAGGTCTCCATCCGAATCGGAATCTTCTCCGCCGAGTACATCAGATTGCATCGAAGCGCTGCCCAGCACGGTTGCCATGGGTTGCGTCCTGAAATGAGTGGGTTTGTACATGTTCATGATCGACGCAGAACATATATCATCAGAGCAAGACGAGTTTGAAAAGACTATCGCTTACTTCACAAGAGAGTATCAGATTCGTCAGATTTTCTTCACAAGAGAGTATCAGATTCATCAGTTTCTTCACAAGAGAGTATCAGATTCAGATTCATCAGTTTCTTCACAAGAGAGTATCAGATTCATCAGTTTCTTCACAAGAGAGTATCAGATTATTGACTTACATGGCAGAGCTGCCAGGCACTGATGCTGGTTTTGTTCCCGCCTGCATTGATACTTGCAGCAAAGCTGTTGCGTTATTTGAATCCCTGATATCGTCCGCATCTCCATCCCATCCGATGGAGACATGTTTCTCTTGAGCGCTGCTGATACCGTGAACCAAGCCAAGGCGCGCCAGCAGCAGGAAACCGCCCAAGCGAAATATTAGAAAAGTACCTTTGTAAATGAAGAGAATCAATTGTGTAATGACGGAAGATGAGGTCCATTGATATTCGTGATTTTTACCATCAAGCTTAGTTCTTGTTTGAAGCAGAAGTGCTTTGTCGCTGACTACGAAAGTTCACGTGTGTGTGTGAAACAAAACTGAATTCATCATCATACTCATAAGAGACTGTGTCGCATTGCAACCTCCCGCATTCTGCTGATAGTCGTCTTGTAACTCTCGTCCTCTAGGTCGGCACTTCGCGATTGATTATGCGCGAAGGTCTGCGCTGTCGTGCCACCTAAAACCGATTCACACGTCCGCAGGATGAGGCAATCGATACACCCATGTATATTTTTCTTCTACAACACCATACCCTTTCTCAGAAACTTTGCCTAGCATATGATGTGACACGGTGCTCTTTTCTGCTCTGTCAGGGTGCGACGTCGCATAATAAAACACCATGGAACAGCGGTGATTTTCTTGATCCACAATCGGGCACAATCGGAATGTCTGTTCAACATGAACATGAACAGCTTTGTGGAGATCTTTCTTCAGATCTTTAGATCTGGGCGTCCCCCATCCGACCGCTAAGCTTTCGCATGGTGTTTTTAGACGACTCCAGCCACAGGACTTTCACCTTTGTCCCCCTAGATCAATCATGACAAGCGTGACAGCTGTTGCCCTTCAGTAAATAAACGAAAGTAACATAAAAACACACTGTTCAGTGTCGACCAAATGCCAGTATTACCGTTTGTGCCAGATGAGAGATAATCCATCTCCTCAGGTTCATGTCAGTTTAGAAAGCATAGAAAAATCAAAACATTCGTGCGTTGATGTGACATTAATATTTATTACCAGGTATTTGTCAATATCAATATCCAAATGGGAAAAACGTTTCATAAGAAACTACTTGTCAGATGCGATGATGTTAATGGGAAGACAAAGTTCATAAATATCGGAAAATCAGGATGTAAAATGAACATTACTATGAGCGCTGGACGATGTGCAAGGCTGTTCATAAATGATCGATCATGAATGGATACTAATATACATCTGCTAGTATCGGTCTCAGTATTATGTCTAAAAACTAGTTTGGAGAGTACCAGTCGGGTCAAATCCATCTTAACGTCGGCGTGGGAAACGTCACGCGAATTCAGTTACACGGCGATGACCGACGTCAAAAATCTAAAAAACAAGGGACGACAACAATTCCCCATAGAATATGAATATCAATCGAAGCTACTCGAAGAAATCCTACTGAAAACCAACTAAGAGAAGCGCCCCTTCATCCCCTCTCCATTCCACCAAAAATGATTAGGTTTTAGTCTTAGTTTTGCCTCCCACAATGATGCAAAATTCTCCACTTCGTTGTTTGCCTCCTCACCTAATATCTTCCCACTGCGCTTTGTCCAGCTTCGTTCAGTTCGAAACCTTAGTCCAGCTTCATTCCCTTCAAAAACGCCTTGGCTTCGTTGAGGGCGTCGATTTCGCCAGACATGTGCTCCTGTCGGATCTCGAAGTTATCGAACAAAAACTTGCAGTCACTCTTCCACTGGTCCAGAGCCGCTGTTTCTGCAGTGTGGCTGTCAGTCGTGAACTTTTTCTTGTCGGGGATTAGAAAAAGCTAGGTATAATTCTAAGCATTAGATGTAACGATGCATAGATATGAGTCTCAGTACCTTCAACCACTGTCAACATCGATTCTTCATGAGCTTTCAATCATGGAGTTACTGACTGATCTAAATCTCCTAAAATGATGGCGCTCAAGTGTAATTACAAGGCGCAAGTGAAAATCAAGGGAAGATTTAATGTCTCCTGTCATAACGTGGTTTCTTGCAGCTTCTCTTCGGAGGAAGCCTTTTCTTCGGTCAGCTGCGCCTTCAGAGCTTTTTTGTCCTTGATACTGTCGTTGCTGTTCTTGACGAACTTCTCGTACTTGGTTTTAGAGGTGTTCATGTTGGTCTACCTACACGTACGTGGACATGTACTAACGGTCGGTAAAAAATACCAATACTTCCTCTTAAAAATACTACCTCAAACTAGTTTTGTCCTTGTCGAGCTCCTAAATATATTTCAGACCCTAGATTATACCCACCTCACTTTAGAACAAGGTCTGCACCCAAAAAAGTAGCTCGATTCTGTCGTATCTCAAAGTAACATCTAGCAACTTTTCGAAGTATTCCATACGACAACTTATCAAATAACGATTCTCCGATACGCATACCAATACTACAATACCTTTTCTCTATCCATAACCTTCTGTGCTGCCTTTTCTTCGGCAATGCGGAGCTCAGCGCTTTTTTCGGTATCAGCAATGATAGTGGCGATCATGGACAGGACCTTGTTGCCTCCCTGGTTCTGCTCGTACGTCTTGAAGGTAGGTGACTGCTGCAGCAACTTCGGAGCGTAGACCTGCAGGGATGGGGCGATGATGATTGTCAGATTTCAATGGATTGGAGGATCGTAGTTGCAGGGTTTACTTCATGATGATGATGCTTACTGTGCTTGTCCGTGTGTGGGGACTAGCAAAAAATATTTTCAGAACCAAGACAATCCCATAAGAAAGGAGGAACTCCTTTTCGAAACAGCATTTCCACGTCTCAACTTGTAAATACTAGTACCTTGGCAAGGACTTGCTCCGCCTTTTTCAGGACTCCAACGCTATCCTTCTCATCCTTGAGGGCGACTTGGAAGTCGGCGTTGGCTTGCTGTCTCAGCTGACTGGCCTTGTTCAACTGCTCCTCAGCCTCCGCGATTTCCGCAGCCGTCTGCTCAATGTTCTCGGAGAGATTAGAGAGGTATAGGATCTGTTCTATGTGGTTGTAATTCTAGTGTAACTGATGATGACTCAGACACCCACTTAGCAGCAGTTTGGAAAAGCCTAAGCCTTCTAAATTTTCTAAATGACGCACCAAAGTAGATATCTGGAACCTCAATACACAAATTGGAATTTTTCATCCGCCTTAATGAGTGTTGTAATAGCCGCGTCCAGCCGGTCCATCTCTGCAGACAGGTTGGTGATCTCATTGTCCAACTTGGTGACCGTCTTCGTCCTCTCGTTGATTTCGGTGGTGCACGTGTCCTTCTGTGCAACATCGTCAGCCATGGTCTTCTTGATGTCCTTGACCAAATCGTCGATGGCGTGGATGACGGGAGCAAATGCGTCGGACTTTACCTGGGCAAAAGTACAGAGAGGTTTAGACGCTCGTATTGCGAGTCCTCTTAGATTTAGATACAAGTTGATTTGTCAGTTCATACAACAAGAGGTCGACCTACTCTCGGCGGCGGTGAGTCTTCAACGCTACGCTTCCATCCCGCCCACGCAGAACAACTCACTCATGAAGATGGTCAAATCAAACGAAAATTCCTAAAACAAGGACGTAAAAACAAGCAATATATCGAATACCTTTTGTGCCAAACTCAGAATCTCTGGGTTGTTGTACTTCTGCCCTGCGGATCGCAAGACCGCGCGAGCTTGGTCGACGGATGAGGAGGTGACCTGAAGGAAGCCAAGGGAGCGTCCGAAGAGGTCATGAGCTTCATCGGAGTTCAGAAACTCCAAGGCCTTCGCAACACCTTCCAATTCCTCGTTGCGGGACTTGGTACGTTCCGAGAATTCTTGGTCGTTCTGTAGAGGGATGAGAGTCCACTTGTAAAAGCCTTTCATTCTTTTACTAAAAGAACGACAGGTCTACTTCGTGTTAGTGTTCATGATTTCTTTTTTTCGTTCACCTTCTATCAGTACAGTAAGATACGCTTGCAAGTAGCTTCTCGTTTTAGGTTTATGTGTTCTTTTCAACAGACAACTAAAGACATCTATACCTGGGTGCATGTCTCGACCGTCTCGTTGAGCAGAGTCGTGTCCTTTTCCAAAGAGTCCTCGCACTCGGCCTTGGTCGCTTCACTGTCCGCGAGCTTCGTTGTCGCTGCTGCATACTTCTGGTTCTCCTTCTTCAATTGCGCGCTTATATTAGCAAAAGAATGCCAGAAGTAGAAGTGGTTCCAAGATGATCGTGTTCTATCTAGTACTGCTTGACATCACACGACAGAATGAAACAAATGATTCGAAGAAAAGTCGTCACAGCTAAAAAGTAAGGATTTCGCTTTACTATGCCATAATATCCCTCGCAATCTGCTCTTCCTTGAGCTTCTTTAATTCCGCGAACTGCTTGACCGCAGCTCCTTCGTCCTCACGGGCCTGCTTCAAGTCAGCGTTGAAGGTGTCCAGCATGTTTTCCAAGATACCGAAAATTTCACCGGATTGAGAACTGTTTTAAGATCAAAGGAGGGCGTATGCATAAGTGAGAAGTTGTCCAGAGTTATCCTTGATTAGCATTAGAATGGTATGAAACTTTTAAACTTCATCAAGGACAACTAGTTCTGCAATTACTTTTTGTAACAAATACATAGTGATACAACATAATGACTTTTCACAAACACAATTACCCGTCGAGCTTGGGTAACAAATAACAGAATTAAAAATCCCAACGTGGTACCTGTACGCCGAAAAGCTTGGTTGCTGCAGGAACTTGGAGAGTGTTTTCTTCTGCTGGGATGAGATTTCACCCAGATGGCGCCTTTCGAACAATTCCATGTTCGTCATAAGCGTATTCCTGACATCCTTGAACTTGCTATCGGTCTGCAAGAAAGAGTTGTGTTTCTTGAGGACCGTGACAGCAGACTTCAACGCACCAATGGCCTGGACCATCTCCTTCTCCTCCGCGGTAAACCTAGGTGACGTCGTGGATTGCGAGGATAAGGACCACCATTCTCTTTTGCTGGGATGAACTAGTGTGCAGTATAATTGCAGTCCTGAAGGAAGAAGAGGCACACGATAGAACTCGCATGACCAAATTTAGAAAATTTAGAAAATACTCTGCAAGCTCCTTCGCACGCATTTCCGTTGCTGTCTCTAAATCCTGTGTATCCTTTTTTAGAGTGGACTCATCTGCTCCTGCTCAGGTCTTACTACCTTCTAGATGGTAGTCCACTAGTCGAGAGATGTCGGAGTACACAGCAAGCAGGTACTCATCCAGTAAAAGCGCATTCGCGTACGTAAAAAGCAAAACATTTACCTCCTCATAACTATTGCTTCTTGCCGTGTTCTCATCGATTTGTACGGTTATGACATTCATAGCTACTACACCTTGTCTGATACTGATTCTGATATCACATAGGTTCATAACTTCTGAATTCTTTCTTCTAGATCGGCCTTGGCTGTTTTCGCAGCTGCCTTGGCGCCGGTTGCTTGCTCAATATCTGCGGTTGCCTTCGCTATGCATTTCTTGTCTGTGGCGATGGCCTCTTCAGTTTCGGCCTTCGTTGTGTCGCACCAGCAACCCATCTTCTGGGATTAGAGGGAGAGATGTCGGGTATCTTTGACTTCTGGAGATCAGCATGTACTAGTTGTGTCTTCCGCGTCTTCTCACAAAATCTCAATCTGGATGAACGTGAGATGATAGAGACCCGACTAGTCGCAATTAAATTGTCCACCTGTTGTGTGGCATCATTCACGACCATCTCTGAGCTTACAGTTAAAAGAGGGGTGAAACAATGATGAAACCCAGAGCTTCAACTCCATGTGGTTTCACTACGACTAATTCTGAACAATTCGCACAAAATGCTTATCCTACAACATCAACAATACTGCTCTATCATAATTAAAGGTTGACTCGTCCTCCTCAGCTTCAGCTTCCATTTGCGCCTGCATGTCTTTGAGCAGCTTGATGACCTTTGAGACAGGTCGGCTCTTTTCAGAGCCATAGGCGACGCCCGCCAGGGCAGTGGTGGTAGCAAGCACACGCATATTTTCTTGTCCCACCTAGACCGACCTTCTAGTTTCCTCTATACAACTTCTACCTAGGTTTGTTTTATTTCGCAAATATCGAGTTGAACCATTGGCATTGATATGACAGGGTTATAAGCAGAAGGACAGAGGTGACAGATTTGCAAAAAAGAATGTGATCGTCGAGAGAGTGAGTACATTGTGTCACGACAAGGATCTTCCAAGGAGCAATCATCTGCCTCCCCTTCTCGGACCGAAGCGTCAACAACTCTGCTTCATTCAGTGTTGCCGTCGTTTGTCCATGATGGACCCCAGAATATCTATATCACGTTTTGGAACATAAGATTGGAAGAGGATCTAGATGTGCGACAACTCCTCGTGTTCTCAAGCAAACACTTTGCACCTTCGTTTACTACCTCTCCTGTCTCGATTTCTCTCAAGACAGAACTGTCCTGAAGATCCCGAAGTACTACCCACTCGCATGATCTTCCAACAAGTCGCTAAGTTTGTTGTAAGCATCAGTTACCAGTCAATGATGCGTCACAACTTGAATCCTTCCAAAAGGCTGCTGTATTGGCCGACATCAATGTTCCTCCCGCTATACCAGAGATACGGTTTTCCTCTTCTGCAACGAACAATAATCTTCTCTCCTCCGCATCCGGATAGATCCCTACAGTTGGGAACTGGCGAAGGCGTCGCTCTGATCGAATTTCCAAGTGCTTATTGTTGTTGTTGCGCCCCACAATACTGTTCTGGTAGTTCGAAGTAGTAGTAGTCCTTCTTCAAAACAAAACAAGTAGTTCGAATTCGTATTTCAACCCGTTCTGACGATAACGAGTTCAGCAGGAAAATCAATCTCATAAGAACATCAAAGTAATCGGTCAAGCTTTGTCGAAAGAACGAGCGGTATTTGAGTCTTCCGTGCGATTTCTGTATTATCAAGTCGCACCGATACGCGATCATAGCGTAAAAAGAAGTAATTTCAAAGCGTTTCATTGTGATTGAAATCGAAAACGCCAGTTGTTGGTCTTGTTGTTGTTCCTTGACATCAAGAAGTTCTTAGCAACCAAAGCTCTTATCCACATAAGTTCCTATTGTAGTCTTACATTCTTGGTAAGTTCTCAATCTTATCCTTGTCCGTTTCCGTTGTTGTTCGTGATCAAGTATTGAATTTGGTTCATCCAGCTCTTATCATTATTCTCACCTCTGACTACTAGTCTAGGCAAGCACTATTTCCCCGCACGCGATGCGGGCACCTGCGTTTCCAGTGGTTTTTGACGTCTTGCCATTCACACCCGGTTCGCTATGATCTCCGCGGCCCAGGTCATCTTCATCGGCGTGGATCATCACTGAACGGCCAATTACACTGCAGAAGTAGATTGATCATTGTCAAGAGATGAATGTAGGTCGTGAACGTGAAGTCCTACTTTTCTTTGCGACGTAGAAGAAATACCGATGAAAAGATCCCTGCGACCCATGATCCGTAGATTCATACAGATGCATTTGCAGTTGAATACTGTAATTTCTTTCACAACGAATCGTCCTGTGCGAAAATACACGACACTGCATTCGTGATCTCCGTCGCATAACAGAATTGACTTTCCACATTAACGTGCAGCAAATGTTGAAAAAATACCTCCACTCGCCATGTTTTAGAGGGGTTCACTTACACTTCTCAGCATAATCATTCAAGTCTTTCGCCCTGTAGTACTGGGGAAAGGGAAGCCGCGACATAAAACGACCTACAGTCGAGCTTGTCTACAACTATTGACGTCAATAATAGTGGTGGAGCCAACCTAACTAGAAAATGACCGAAAAAGGAAGGGACAAAAGGACCTACAATTGAGATCAATAATCTTCATCGCTATTTATTTTCATGTCCCATAAATGCAGTTTGATCATGCGATCTGACATCGATCCTTTGGAGTTGCCGTTTGCGTCCATGATAAGGTTCCCTAAGTCGCCAACATGCCTCTCCTCATCATCCGGTCCACCATGCGTTTTACCTATTCATGATATGTTGTGGGTTTTGTTCATTTGATGTCACCATGCTTACACATTAGGTTTACGTTTACTTACTTACCTTATGGTTGAATCGCTTAATGTCAACATGCCTTTGTGATTTTGCTTAATTATTTACTTGATCACTCAGACCAAGGATTAATCCTATTCACGCGATTCCTGCGGAGGCACTTTAATGACCATACTATCTAGTTCGTTCTATGAGACTCCTGTTGACTCAAAGACAAGCTGCATCTTATGCTCTCCCTCTCCTGAGCAAAGAGAAAGCACAAAAGTCCTGAATAGAACCTTCTGGATTGTAATGGGGTCCCGCCGAGTTGCATCCGTCGCTGAAATCTGCATGTTTTAGAGCAAGTATTATATATAACAGAGCAGTTTATCATATATAAGATTTCACAGCTCGCATGGCATTGAGTTATAAACTACTCTGTTATAAATATAGATACCGTCTTATTTGCTCGACGTGTAATACACTACCCTTCTTCCTCCTAAGAAGTACAACTACACGACAGGAGTAACAGTGAAGACCTTCACGTTGTTACATTTTAAATACAAGAGCACTTGTTTGAAATTCTTCTTAATCTTATACAGTAAGACGTCTTGTGTTGCTCTCAAATAAGCATCCTCCTTCTTCTTCCACCTCATTTTTCTTCTTGCATATAGTGTAGTAGTTCAGGTTGTTCCTAACTTCTCGTGTACGTGGAACCCATGCTTTCCTTCTCTGCCACAGCCAGTGAGTTCCCACTCGATATTACACGTTTCCGCTGAAGGCTGCACAAAAGTCACTTTGCCTACACAGGTGTTGCCCTCGTCCGTTCCACCATGGCATACTTTTCCTCTTGGGCCGACGAAGTATGAAGGAGAAGAGAGCAGAACCACGATATCACAACTCAATTTTTAGCTACAGCTAAATGGCAGTAGCATTCAACAGTGATTTTTGCAATGTACTTATGAAAAGGAATCCTGAAAAATCTTCATACTGGAAGAAGTCTAGACACTCTTGGATATGATAGTACTCGAATCGTCCAAGTCTGAAAAAGTATCCATAAATAGCATTCCGCTTTTATCGGATATGAGGGTGCCGCAGCCGTTGCGAAGGATCGGCTGCTAGTGTTGCCGCTTATCAGTGAGTCACAGCTCTTCTGAAAGACTTCTTTCTGAGCTCTCAATTTTCCTCGAGCGCTTTCCGCGTAGGCTTGTAGCGTGGCGATCATGTTGCTTTTTGATGTGACGAAGAAGGTGTTTGCTAGATGGTTTGATTCGGGATGGAGTTACTACGTATTTGCAAATAAAACTTACACAGATGTTGAATGAACCAGAAACTATAGCGACGAACGTAGTAGAGAGAGACAAAATTGTGCAAAAACTATTTCCACTCTAATTATTTGAGTGTTTGGAAGTCGTGGATGAATTCAATCCGCAATGGAAGAAGTAAGTACTCCCAAAGGAAGGATGTCTCTCACGCAGCATTTAATTCCACTCGCGAATGCGGTTCGATACTGTTCAAAAGACCCTCAACGGCTCCACATCGCGGTCCTCCAGCGTGCTTACGTAGTTGAACGACTCATGGCAGAAGCTTACTTCGCAGCTACGGAAGTGCAAACGTGCTGCTTTCCAGGCACTTCTACTCATTTGTGAAAACAAAAAGTAGCATAAGTTCCTTGAGAAGTCATCTCTTTTTCGAAGGAGAGTTTGGGATCGATTTGTGATGTAATGAATTCATTGTGGCTCTTCCAGGACGAACCAGTGTGAAAATTGAAAATATAATTAGCATCCAGCACATGGAGAGTGTAGAGGTATTGACAAACATCATGAACGCGAAAGAACAAATGATTGAAAAAAGATGAGGTCATTATGGGCTTTAGAATGTCTACTTCTTGGATGTAACATTGCCACCACATCATGCAGCTGGAAAAAATGCATCCCATTCATCAAAGCTTCTTTTCCTCTTCCCATTCAAGGTGGTTACTTTTTTCCACCTTGGGCGTGTTTACCACCAGGCCCGGCTTTGTCTCGAGACGACACAGGCGAACTGATATCGATTACCTGGGGATGGTGTATGTGAAACAGATAATGACAGTGAAGAAGCAAGCTTTAAGAGGCTAAGGTAGTTATGTAACCACCTCTAAGAGGCTAAGGTAGTCAGGAACTTTAAGAGGCTATGTTATGGATGTTTGGATACCTCAACATCCATCTTCGCGTTTCCTCTCGTAGCAGCACCACCTCCACCAAGAATATTCTGGTCAATATTCTCTTTATGCAGGAGGAGTATTGGTTTGCGAGGCTGTTGCTTGTGCCGTTTCGTGGCAGAGAGGCCATCCAAGTCCGCCAGGCCTTTCGGTAGACTGTCGTAGGGAGCTTTGACAACCGCGCCGGCCGCGACTCTAGTCATCGAAGCAGTTGCACTCGCCCCAACTCTTGTCGTAGACGTAGTCGTCGCAAAGTTGGATGAAGACGGAGAAGATGAAGTTGTACTAGGAAAACCTCCACTTCCAGCTCCAAGGAAGGCCGTTTTAGTTGAAGTTGGTGCTGGTCCCATAGTTGATGAGGAAGTATTCCCGATTTGTGCTTGTCCTCCTATCCTTTGATGCGCCTGTAGTCCTCTAGTTTCGCTTTGCAGGTTTTGAATCAGCAAATCGCTTAAATTCGATGCCTTTGCCAGTAAAGATTGGGGAGAACTGATAGAAGTCTCGGCTTTCTTTGTATTCTCAGATGGCTCAAACCCATTCCTAGAAGACGATGACGAAGGATTGTTAGCGCCAACAATCTTACTAGCCGTAGTGGTTGGTTTCGTACATGCTGCTGCTGCTGACGGCGCTAGTTGTGAAGCTGTTCCGCCTCGTACTTGCGAAAACATCGTCATTGGGAAGGCGTCCACTTCGTCCGATACTTCGTCAAAGTCAAGGTCTATGATGTCATCACTTGTGAATGTTGTAGGTACGAAATCCGTTTGCTTTCCACGTGAACAGCTGCCTATGTCATCTACAGCGTCCCAGTCGTATCCTTTGGGCTTGGGCGGACGGGGCATCGGCATTTCAGACTGGTGTTGCACAGAAAGCGGCGGTGGTGGAGGCAGTGGTTTTGACACAGGTGGCTTAGCACTGTAGTTCGTGGTCACTCTGTGTGGATTCGGCAAAAAAAAAGGTGGAGATACAACTACCATTTCTGATGGAGGTCCTTCGCTGAAGATGGTCATTTCTCTTGAGGTACTCGTGGTTGTAAAGCTTCCAGTTATAATACCAGGTGTAAAAGAACGTGTTGCTGAAGATGCAGCCTTGGGATGTGAAGATATCTGATGCTCTGCAGAGTTCACAGTTGTTCCGCCTGTTGTGGTAATACCATTTCTCATGTCCTCATGTTCCTTTCTTGACGTGGGGCTAGTGCTTTTCATGAAGATCCCCCCGTTGCTAGGTGCTCTCCCTATGCCAGGCAGTTGCTTTGCGCGAGTGTGCTCGATCAATTTCGATGGAGACTTGTTTTGGGCTCCTGTAATCAGATATGGAGGAGGCGGTGCAGCCTTCATCTCATTCTCAGCAGTCGTCTTGGTCTTCTGGATCTGATTTATAAACCTAATATGATCGCTAACAGCTGTGATCCCCGTCGGAGTTTTAGGTCTCGCGGGAGGAGGTCCTGCTTTGGTGACTTTCTGCTTTGGTTGTTCGTCCAACTGCTTTTCCATCATCCCTATGGCTGGTCGTGAACTACATGAAGACGACGCCGGCGGGTGGTTCTTGCTCATCTTCTTCGGCGGGTCTTCAGAAGATCTACCAGTACTAGTAGCGGAAGGGCCCAATTGGGAATAATGACCTTCGCCCAGATTTTGGGCTGCCGTAGACGATGAGGTCGCATAACTTGTAGTTGTGCTTTTCAAAGTTTTCCTTTCCTCCAATTTCTTGCGCATGATCCTTTCCACAATCGCAGGGTCAAACTCTTCTGGCGATGGTGATTCTTCTCGTATCAAGAAACCACTCCCACCAGCAGTAAAGAGAGGGCTCGCTACTCCGCTGTTGTGTTCATATGTCGAAATGGAGGAGGAAGAGGAATCATCTATATCTCCTCGCATATGTTGTTGTGGGTCTCCCTTACTAAGATTCTTCTTTGACGCAGATAGCGAAGCAGTCGGTAACAATGGTTGCAGCTTCGACGGACGCCTTGATGTCACGCCCCCAGGCTGTTGTGGAGATGAAGATGGGTGAACAGAAGCAGTAATGGAGGATGTCTGCTGTTTTGTCATTCGAGGAGAGCTAGAGGACGCATTAGTGGCCGCTGTCCCGCTTCTGCTCCCAGAAGTGCGAACAGCAGACATCGCCGAGGCAAACAATTTTGTTGGGACTATCAACTGCTTTCTTGTTGTTGTTTTCCCAGCTTCTCCTGCTGATTTTCTAGGTGATTTTCTTCGTTGAGGTTCGTTCTCTAAGCCAAGCATGTTTTTTATCGAAGGTGGAGCGGCCCAAGCGTCTTCAAATAGAAGAGGCGACGACGATCCAGTTGCACAGGAAGTGTGATACTCAACAGCACTTTTCTTGATTGGTGATCCTTTTTTTGGTGGTTCGTCTGCAGATAATCGACGTGGTTGATGCTCGTGTTCAGAAACTGCAGAATTCAACTCCCCTCCCCGATCCCCTCTTGTTCCATTCCCACCAAGTCCGGAATCAGAAAACAAAGAAGGCGCCTCATTGAATGGATTCAACATCATCTTGTCCTGGTATGAAAAAATCGAAGAAGAATCTTCAACCACAAATGGGGTCATCTTCTCTACATCCATCTTCTGCTCTACATCTTCAGACAGAATCGAAGAGGAATCTTCAACCACTTCCACCGCTGCCAGAGCAGAGCTCTTCGGGACTGCTGTCTTCTTCACAACTATTGTCGAGGGACGCCCATAGCCTGTGAGTGGAACCGATTTTCGCTTGAAGGTATCGTTTGTTGAAGTAGGGACTGGAGGGACTGGCATCTCCGAACCCGTTGTACTTGTGGGCCTCGTGGCAGGAACCACTGTTGGTAGCGCTTCCATTATACTGGTGGATGAAGAAGTAGATGACGATGAGGACGAAGGCAGTTGTGGTATTGAAGAAGATGAGAGGACTTCGTGTTGTGCTGATGCGTTGTGAACGTCAGCGTTAGCTGGAAGGGAAGGACGAGGAAAACAAGTAGGAAGCTCAAATACGCTCTGCGCATCTGCTTTATTTACCACAGAGACAGAGGCCGCCTCTTGTTCGACTCGCTGTCTTTTTGCCGCAGGTGGAAACTCTTCTTGTGGTGCGGCATCATTTTCAAGTTCAACTTGATCGTCTTGCCGCAGAATATGATTCTCCTCGGTCTCCATTACAGATGAAGATGTTAGAGTTCTAAATCCGTCATTCTCCTCTCGGCTGGCGTTGCTTGATGTTGCGCTGTGCTGAGGAGCTACAGATGATATAGCATCAGGATTAAGACTTGGTGCAGTATCAAAGTCAACACGATTTGCTGCCCCAACATTATTCGAATCAGGTATATGTTGAGCTTCCGTCGTGCTTGCGACAGTCTCCCCATATGTGGTTGAACCACTAGGAGCATACAGAGGCTGCATATTTTCTCCAGAACCAGAGAATGCTCCATTACAAGTAGCAAATTCAAAATCCATCTGCGGATGTTGAAAACTTCCTATCTGCTCGTTTCCTCCTCTTGTTTGTAGCAACGCATTACTATCTCGTTGTACATCATCATCTTCTCCTTTTTCACCTCCGACAGGAACATATTCCCTACCACCCGGATCTACGAGCAGCTTAGCTGGTTGACGACGATAAGGACCTGCTCGCCAAGTGGAAGAGGAAGAAGTCGCTGTTGAAGATTTGTTCATCAAGGTTGTAGATTTCGATAATTTGCTGCTCATACTTGATTCCTTTGCTCCAAATCTGCTACTGTTCATCTTCTGAGCCCTAGCCCTACTTGAAGAAGAAGAGGTTGCGCCATGAATAGTCGCTAGTTGTCCAGGACTGAGATCCTCACTATCTGAGGACACTACAGATGACGAGGATTCAGAAGAAGAGCCGGCGGCCATCGGACGACGTCCGATTTTCTTCAAATTCTTGAAGGGCTTGATTTTTGAATCTCCGCTATCAACATCTCCACTGAGTTCAGCTTGTTGGCTCGCCATCGCCTCGTCCGGTAGGTCCTCCAACACCTTCTCCTTCTCCTTGTTGGCTGTAAAAGCAGAAGTCGAACAAATCTTGGCACTAGCTGCATCACCTTGTATTTGTTCCACGTCGTGGTCTTTATCTTTATTATTCTCTCCCGTCGTTTCGTGACTGTGGCCGCTTCGAGCTGACAAAATGCTCTCGACTGCTTGCGGATATCTAGCCAACAGTGCTGCTCGCTGGGCATCGACCGACGTCGCGGGTGTAGACATCACAGTACTCAACACATCGCTCAACTGATCATCACGCTGTCGCAGAGCTTCCTGGTATTCCTCGCGCTCTTTCCGCAACCGCAAAAGTTCGAGAACAGAACCCTGGTTTTTGTGAGGAGGCTTCATAGCACTGATCGCTGTGATCGTCGACGTTGTATGGGCTCCTATTTTTGACGATGAGGCCAGTGCTCCTTTGGTTGTGGTAATCGGCCCAGGCGCTTTGTAATTCTGGTAGATTTTGCCTCCACCTGGCGTTATAATCCCACTGGTCCAATCACCGATACCCAGAGCTTTGACCGTCTCGTCTTCTTCATCATCCTCGTCTGAGGAATAATCGATTCTTAGACGCTTTATGGGCTTATGGATCTGACGGGGAGGAGGGCGACCTCTAAAGTGATCGCTACGATGATCGTAGTCAGTGCCGCGACGATCGTAGTCGGTGCCGCGACGTCGATCATAGTCGTTGCCACGAGGAGCACGATAAGAATCATGATAAGCACCTCCAGATGTTGAAGGAGCTTGTCCAGGTCCTGGTCCACCTGCTCCGCGACTTCTAGAAGAAGTAGAAGATGTAGTACTTGACGTCACTTGCATACTACCCATCCTTGGTACGGCTACACTATTTGCACCTGTCGCAGGAGGATGAGCAGAGCCACCATCGCCACCTCGAGTGTTGTAAGATGATGATGAAGAGGAAGCATCTTCGTTATGCTGATTGTTGTATGAAGTCGTCAAAGACGCGGGTTTATTCGTGTTAAACTTTGAGAGGTTATCTTGCACCGTCTCCAGGAGTGAGCGACCTCCATATCTACCTCCTCGTGCTGGTCCTTGACCGTGCTGGGCAACTGTACCAGAAGAATTAGAAGCATCGCGTGTTTTTCCTTCAGCATCTGAGGTGTTTTTTGACGGAGGTGAGCCAGTTCGGTAATCTACATCGCGACTGCGAGTTCTTGTAGGCTTAGTTTTGTCCGACTGCCGTTTGTCCTCGAGCTCGAAGGTCCTAGGACGCTGGTCTTGAAGATTTCCTTTTGTTGATGCTGGAGAACGTCCTCGCGAATCACGCTTCTTGTGATCTTTGGAGGTTGTACTATTCTTTTCTTGTTCGCCTCTGTCACTCCGATCATCCCCGTTATTTCGGTTCCTCCTCGTCTCCTTCCTGCTCCTACTGCGATCCCGATCACCACGATCTGCAGTTTTCTTACTCTTTTTCCTTCCCTTTTTAGCCTTTTTTACATGAAGTAGTTGCAGTTCCTCTTCTTGCAACGAGGGACTTCCACTACTGCGCTGTGAAGATGATCCACGACTTTCTTCCCTACTTCTAGGATTGGTAAAAGGCTTCACTATTTCTCCATTTTCCCCGTACTCCACAACAACGGCCTCTTCTAATGCTAGAGTTTGATTCTGGAGGTCCCGTAGTTCATCCATCTTAGGGGGTCTCAGATCTTTGTCTGCAGATGACGCTTGCGGATTATACACTCGACGACGTATTCTACTAGACCCAACTGCGCCTGCTGCTCCTCCCACAGGCTGGTGTAAAAGACTCGACGAAGAAAGCTGCGAAGGTGTGGACCTAGTACACTTTTGGTGCATGTAGTTGTCCCCTCGCATGTTGTTCAACAGCGGGTTCTTCATGTCATTATTTAAGAGTAGTTTTACACGGTCGTGACTCAAAGCACTAGATGAAGCAGCATTCTTGTTCCCTCCTTGCTTGTTTTCCTTGTCACTGCCGTCACTGGAAGAAACAGACACTCCACGCGCTGCTCCTGCGGAGGATACTGCGCCAGCCGATGACTCGATATCCTGGAGATCGTCGTCAGCGAGCTCCTGACGTTGACCTCTCCGCGACTTTTTCTCTTTCTTTCCAGTTCTAGTACCTCGTTTCGAAGTCGCAGACTCTTTTGTCTTTTCTTTACTCGCTGCGCGCTTGTCGGTTCCTTTGGTGCGCTTCTTGCGTCTGGCTTTCGACTTCTTGCTGAGAATCTCGAGTTCGACATCATCATCTTCCTGGATTGAAGAAGGGCCAAGGACTACAGCAGAAGCAGATACAACTTGTGCTTGTGGTTGTGAGATAGTTGCTTTGTTTTCCCCGTCTGCAGCAACGACTGCTCCTGTGTTTGACGTTGGCGTAGCAGGTTTTAATGGAATGCAGACATGTGCGATAGGCCTGGCTGGCGGAGGTTCTTGATGGTCCACGTTGATATTTTCAACGACTGAAGTTGTTGAAGAAAAATGCTCCTCCTGCTCTTGCTTCACACCGCTGGTTATAACTCGGACGTCTCCATCACCGTCATCTTCAGCAGCGCCTGCAAGAGATGCCTCCTCCTCCTCTTCTTCCTCAATTCTTTCGAGATTAGAGCTTGCACATACATAGTACGTTCGTCTTCGTTTGCAGAAGTACATCTACATTCCAACAATGAAAAATGGATATCTTCTATAGGTATACGTATACGTAGGTATACTCAATAAAGTTTCGAAGCATCATCTAGCGATGTAGTTTTTGTTGTAACCTTAACAAGATTCTTCGTCTGAGCCTCTTGAACCTGGAGCACGTCTCGCTCTGCAGCGACTTCAGTAACGTGCTTGGCCTTTCTTCGCTTCTTGGTTTTCCTATCGCTTTCAACCAATTGTGAGCCGTGAATATTGCTGTCGTTGCTCCTGTTGTTTGTCGTGGATGAAGTGAAGGTCAGATAATTGAATGTTGAACCACATTTGGTGATTAAGGAGTTCATTCATACTATGAATGAAGAATCAACAAACACTAAGACAAAGACAATCCGCATCGATAGTACAAGTTCGATCCCGACGCAGTAGATGCTCTGCCTTTGGTATCGATTCCCATCGACGCCAAAAGCAGCCTCTTCCGCTCTTTTCTTCTCTCCTCTTTTCGTCGCTTTTTCTTGAGATTAGAAGAGGTCGCTGAGGTATTTTCGTCGCTGGTGAACAAAAAAACAAAGAAAAACTTACCTCCTTTGGATTTGTAGTTTGTTAAGGAGATGAAGAGCTCCCCCCTACGCCGGTAGCTACGCGGAAAATACGCAGGTAGGTTTTGACTCGTCGGAACTCGCTCGCACTACAAAAAAAAAAAAAACCATGAGTTGTATTGTGAATTGAGTCAGTGAAGAGGAGAGCTATACGTTTATCTCCTTGTCATGGCAGATGACAAGGAGATTGAGTCAGCGAAATATATGTTTGTAGAAGTATAATACTATTCCTGCCTTCATCAAACAGAAAAAACTGTTAGGAAAGAAACTTCCAAACGGAAACTGTTTTTAGAAAACATCAAACTTCCATGACCACGACATCAAGCACATCATACCTTCCAACGTCGCCGGAGAATCGTCGTCTTTCCGCAGGTCTTTATCTTTGCTTTTGGTGGCCCATTTACGTTTTTCCTTCTCCCATTTCCGTTTCCGATGTTCTTTCTCCTTCTCCAGAAACAGTTTCCGCTTCTCTCGCATCAACTCTTTATCTAATTCGCGTTGTTCCTTAGCTTTCCTCATGAGGACCTTGTCCCGCTCCAGCTGTTCCTCCATCAGCCGTCTTTTGTTTGGTTTTAGTTGCACAGAGGAACAGGAGAGAGCTTTAGAAGCTTTGTTGGAGGAGCTCTAAACATTTCATTTCTTGCGTACATTGATTTCTCCCAATCGTAAATGAAAGTAAACTAGTTGTCCGTCGAAGTCCCTGATCTTCTGGTAGTTGAGAAAGAGCGAATCGAGGGAGGAAAGAGAAAATAGGGAGAGACGGCTTGTACGTAGAAATGAATTTTTTTTGTTTTGAGCCTTAACTTTGGTTGTCTTGGCCTCTTCTTCGACTGCTGATCGTTTCCTCAGACGCAATTTTCCATGCTCAACAACATCTTCAGATTTCTTCTTCTGAGCAGTCCGAGGGGGAGCTTCTTTTCGTTTTGACGACTCTGAAGAAGACGCTGATGCTGATCTCTTAGATGTCAGTGACACATCACTGCGAGACCGTGAACGGCTTCTCGAGAAGCTGCTTGGCGAGCTAGGGGATGACATCAGACTGTGGGCATCTTCAGACTGCTCAGAAAGGTCGCGTCGTCGATCCACTGGTTTATTAGTTGTAGTTTTAGGATATAGTTTTGAAGGTGGTGCATCGTCGGCGTCCTTAGGAAGATCTAGTTCTGTACCGGTTATCAAATCCCGACGCTTATGCTTATCTGAAGCAGCAGCAGGTGGAAGTTCATCAACTGCAGCAGCAGCATCGCCTCCTGCCGTCTTCTGAGGTGATTTCTCCTTCTCTTTTTTCGTTTTGAGGTTCTCGATCAACGCCTTCAATTTTTTCGCCTCCTCTTCTTCTCCCGGCCTGTGCGCGGTGTAGAGAAGTCCCTTATGAAACCTCTTCGGCTTATGCTTGTTTGTGTTTGCGGCAACATGATCTGGTTTCGTTTTTACATCCTCAGCGTTATTGTCGATAGCATTTGTGCTATCTAGTGGTGTTGCCGACGCGTACTGCTTAATTTAAAGCTCAGCCTTCAATGGTCACTGACTCTGAACGGAAGGGACCCCATTCAAAGCTCTCCCCTTTCCCTTCGTTTTCCCCTGTCCTCTCAGGGGGTCGCCTCTTCGATCTCAGTGACCAACCCCAATGACCATTGAAAGCTGAGCCTTAATTAATGCCATTCTTGCCGTGTTCGTCCTCTGCTGGTAGAACTATTGTGTTTTTCCCATCAGCTTGCTTTGCAACTTCGCCACTCGAAGAAGCCGCACCTTCTCCTGCAGGCACGACTCTTATACTCATTGTAGAAGACACATTATCAGGATCAGCAGGAGCAGGTACCACTACAACATCCTGAACTTCCTCGTCCTTTGCAGGGAGTATTATCGAAGCCGACAGCGACAACGAATCTTCAATGTCGTCGAAGAGGACATCTTCTGCTTCTTGATCAGGTGCGGATGCCTCCAGCTCCACCTCAAGGCGTTTAGATTCATTTTCTCGCTCTTGAACTGGAGGAGGCGTGGGGGCAGCGATGACCTGGATCTTATTGGTATTTGGAGGAGTGTTTGAAGGGGCATCTGCATCTCCAACAAGATTGGCATCCTCATCCACGACAATCTTCTTCTCCTTCTTTCTCTTCGAGGGACTTGACTTGTTCTTTCGTAAATGTTCCACTTCAGCAGTCGTCGTTGCAGTTCCTGTTTGTAGTTCTGTTCCATGCGAGTCACAAGCTGCCACTACAAGTGATTTGGACGGGCTCATGCCACGACTAGTCTTTAGCTCGCTTTCCACTCCTGCTGGTGGAACTAGAGTTCTAAGATTCAGAGCAGAAGCAGTAGTAGTACTAGAACTACTAGATGATGTTTTGTTTTTGCCTTCAGCGTCTTGATCATCTTCACCCAGCTCTTGCTCTATCTCGTTCTCGTGATCCACCTTGTTAGAACGTTTCCTTTTCTTATCTTCGCTCTTTGCCTTTTTGTCCTTCTTCCGGGGTGAGCCTTTCTTTTTCGGTGAGTCCTTCTTTTTCGGAGATGTCGCATCCTTTTCCTGCCTCTTTATTCTGTTGGGTGAGACGTCACCATCATCTTTATTTCCACCCCCTGCTTGGTCATCTCCTACGGGTACAACCTTCTTTGGGCTTCCTGTCCTCTCGTCGTCCCGCGCTTTTTCGAACATGATAGTGTTATCAACAGGAGGTACCGCGGCTGTCGTGGACGTCGAAGATGTAGGATCACTAGGAGCAGGGACAACAACTGATATCCCGGCAGCCCTTTTCTCTTTCGCAGCTGCAAGTTTGGCTCTGAGTTCTGTCATCGAGGGAAAAGCACTCTTATTCACAGGTGAAAAGGCGCCACTAGCTGGCGCAGCGCCAATAGACGTAGGGGTGCGTTGGGTACCAGCAGAAGCGAGAAGGACCGCTTCTAGTGCAGAATTTGACGATGATGAGGTGGAAGAGGACGCCGAAGGGTTGGTGAGAAAACTACCAGGTAGCAACATGGAAGTCGCGCTGCTAGAAGAAGATGTAGCAGTTGTGGAGGAGGAGGTAGAGGTTGTAGTACTACTATAATTGACCTTAGTTCCTCCTCCACTTCCACCAGAACTAAGACAAGAATTGTTCACTCTGGTACTAATACTACTTGGAGGTGGCGCTAGTTGGGCTAAAAGCCGATGCGCATAGTCAGCACGTTTTCCCTGTATGGCAGCAACGGTTGCCGTAGGAAAGCCCTGTGATATTCGTGCAGCGCTTTCTCTGACTAAAAGATTCGAGTCATTGAATTGGATGTTAGAGGGCCATCGTGACTCCAATTGGATGCCTTCATCTTCTTGTGGTAGGCGAAGCTGTCGTGATGAAGACCTGACTAGGCCTGTCGTGCTCGTGCTAGTTTTGATGCCATTTTTCACTTCCAACACGCCCTTTGCTTCTTGACCACTACCAACTCCAAGTGTGGTCGCTTGGTCTCTGCTTCCACCTCTCTGTCTCGCACTTCGCTTTGGACTCGTATCGTTCCTCCCTATACTAGCATCAGCCGCCGAAATGAAAGCCGCAGCCTTCAGTGCTCCGGGACCGCGCTTGATGTTGTTGTAGGCATGTACCAGTCTGGCGGTTCTGGATAGTTGATGCTTTGTAGAGGTGAACCTGAGGATAAACTGGTTGGGTTCCCACTTCACACTCCGCAAAAGCAAAAGTTTCCGGTTGACTTGTCGTTTCTCCGCTGCATCGGATGACGGCCCACTGAGAAGCAAATCGCCATGTTGAAGTAAAGAAAAGTGGAGGTTTTGGTTCATGTCTCGGGTAGAATGGGAAGTTCCAGTGAGATGCTGCAGGTATGCATTCAAAGCGGAAGCCGCGCGAGCCGCAGTACCAGCAGAGGACCATGTCGGCAACGGCATGCGATATGGCTGTAAGCGGTTCCATGATGATATACTCAAACTTTTTTCCCAGTGCTTTGGCTCGTTTACCCGACCTTTATTGCCTTTTCCACTAAGCCCACAGCCGAAGTCGACGTCGGCGTCTTGGAGAAGGTGGAAGTCTTCGTCATTACCCTTCTTCCTATTGAAGGAACTGCTCGCATTTGGTGTTATACCTCCACCACCACCACCAACCCCAGAGGTTCCTCCTCCTCCTCCGAGGATGCTTCTCTTGACAACCCCAGCAGCAGTGCCTCCACCTGCAGCTGGGCCCGTCGAAGACGCACCTCCAACAGCTCCAACATGAACGGCATGGCCATAAGTGGCCTTATCCAGCCTACTAGGTTCAAGCAAAGAAGATCCTCCTGCTGTTAATCTGCCATGATATTGTGGTCCACCAGACGAAGATGAGGAGCTTGATCCTGTTCTTGTCCCGGCACTATTTGATAGCGTCTTATTCTTAGCCAGGGTGGGCGCAACCCAGGTATTATGCCAAAGGGGCTGTGCGTGCGATTCATAGCCGCCGCTCGTGGTCTTGTTACGCAGTCCTTGAAACTTAGAGAGACTCCATCTAGCAGACCCAGACTCGTGTCTGCTTTTCATTCATTCATTCAGGGGGCGAAGCGCGGTAGCCCGGGACTTGCTTTTGTCGATGTATGTACTTAATGTGATATAAAACTACTGGTAAGACTTTGGCTCTGTTTCGAAACGAAACCACCTTCAAGACCCTAAGAAACGAACAAGTAGCCGACTACAAGATAGTGAAAAACCAAAGTACCCATTTCTCCTGAACTAAATGTCAGACGTCAGCACTGCTTCCATAATATTCCCTGAGTGTCCCGCTTTTCCCTTCGAGCTCTTACTTCCTCCTCCGCTTTGCTTACCATGGTGAGCGTTTTGTGATGCTCCATGGTTGTACCAAGATGAGTTCCAGCCACTCTGGTTGTAGTAGTGAGAAGTCGCCCAGTCGCTGTCATTGTAGTTGTTCTTGTTGTAATAACTCATTCTAAAAATAAGCAGGTCAAGAACAACGTTAATGAACCAGATGTAAATTGATTCACTTCCCGTGGTGACTTCAACATCTCAGGGGTCATATAGCTGCAGCCTTAAGTCAGGAGAGTGAAACTACTAATGAGAAAACTGAAATACGATATACTATTAGTATATTAGATGAATGGCCCCAAAGAACAAGAACAATCAAGGGGATACACATACAACAACGGCTCTACGACAACGAATACGCCACTCAATAAAGTAAAAGGCTACTAGAAATAGAAAAAATTATAGAGACTGATTCCTACTAAACGAGCTCAAAGACCATGAATCTCCAAGAACAAAACGCCATGTACCACGAAGACTACCTAAACCCGCGACACCTCTACACCTTCCTGTTGAGTGGTAGTTGTCATTCAGATGATAGATAGATCTCCACATCAAGACCTTGTTGTTGTTGAGTCCGTCAAAGTCAAGGTAGTTGCTGGTGCAAGTGAGCTTCCTCGAGTATGTTCCACACGTTGAACACACCAGGGGAGCACAGGACAAAATCAGCGAAGTCGCGTGCGTCACTTGAAGAATAAAGAAGAACCAACGAACTACTGCGAATTGAAAAGAATGAGTTTTGAGTATTTCCATTCAGCAACATCGGATGTTGTGTTGATCGTCTCGCCTCAAATAGTAGTCTCGCCTCAACCTGAATACTATGATGTTGAGATAACGAGGAACGGGCGGTGGAGTAGATACAGCTATGCCATGTCATGTCATGTCATGCCACGTCATGTCATGTCATGTCATGTCATGTCATGTCATGTCATGTCATGCCACGTCATGTCATGCTACCTCATTTTTCATCCTGTCAAATGGTTGGTGTGATCGCGATATCAAACATGATCATCCTGCGCGCCTTGTCCTACTACATGACATCAGCAATGGAGAAGTTCATTATATTCAAGAAATTTCATTAGCTGTGATTGTGAAGACTCCCAGTCCCAATGAACAAATGGTCTACTTAAACCTTTCGGTAAATATTAACCGACCGCATCCGGTTCACAGAGCCACCAAATCTTCAGAAGGGAGCAAAATTCCAGCATCTCAATCCATCGTGTTCGTGTTGGCTCTAGCTGTTTCGGCGCGAAAAATTTCAGCTTCTGAGATCTCGACGAGATTATTGCTGGCATCGTGTCGCTCGTCCTCTCTTGCTCCATGTGCAGGGTGCTCGTCAAGAGGTGTGAAGGGAGGAAGGAAAAAAGCGGGAAAGAGGGGTGCGGGTGGTCGGTTCATATATTATATTGAATAGGAGGAAGCCTTCCGATGAAGGCAGCACGTACAACACCCAGACAAAAATTACTCAACACTGAGAAATTTAAATGAACGACTTAAACGAACGACGGCTCAATTGTTCTCAAAAATTGTTCATTTCCCATGTATTCTTGTTCTTCCGCTAAACAGTTTTACCAACAAGAACCAAGTCATAACATCAAAAGCGTCAGACGCATGATTATGTTCCTCGTCGATGTGGGTGTAGTAATCTTCTTGACTCAGCAACACGCTCATGTCTCCTTCCTTCGCCGAACGGACATGCTTTAAGAGGCTTTTTTCCGTCCACATCGTTGCAAAGGCTTCACGAAAGACGTCTTCATCGTAGGCAAATTCCCATTGCGGACTATGTTCGTACTGAGCACTTGGGTTTAAGGGATTAGAAGGGTGCTACTACTACTACTCTTTCTTGTGTTTAAAGGGTGCTACTACTACGTTTAAAGGGTGCTACTAGTACTCTTTCTTGTGACCAAGACCACGTCGTAAACAAGAGTGACAATATATCAATATGATCGAAATGACGAATACTATACCTTTGCTTAGTAAAAAATGAAAGTATGTTCTAGTGATCATGAAGACTCTAGTACTTCATCTTACTCCATAAAAAACAGTCCCTGCATGATTGCTTCCGCTATCTCGTGCTTGGATACGTCTGGATGCTTGTAGATGCCTCCTGACACAAGGCAAACCCGCACACGGTCAATTCGTGGAAGCTCTTCGGTGTAGTTGTTCTGCTGCTTCAGGTTGTACTGGTTGACACTGACGACAGCATTCTTTCCGCAGAGTCGGAGTTTTGAAACAAAGTCTGCGGCAGAAGCGCAGTCGGAACCTAGAATAAGTTTACGAATGCGCACTAGAATACAACTTGTAGCAAATCGTTGCGTCTTTTGAAATCGATCTTGCATGTATTCTACAGCTTGTACGAAAATTTTTCAGATGATCATCCCGCCTGTTGTATTATTTGTTCAATAATAACTCCTACAAGTAGTACCTCGTGGTCCAATCAGATACAGCATAGCTGCGTTTTGATTAGATCCCATTGGTCGTTTTCCTACTGGGAAAATGTGTATGAAGCACGCACAAGTTGTCACATCAGACAGCGAAGCTCGACATGAGAGATAGTTCACACCTAGCCGTTTCCGTTGCGCCTCGTCTGCAGTGACGACCCTGTTGTTTGTGGCAAGAAGAAGTCGTAAATGTTGTCCTAAATTTGAAATCGTAACAATGAGAATCGTAGAGAGTCTAGTAAGCGATGTTGGATAGGGATGTTAACTGCTTAGACTTACATGATTCCATCCTTCCTACTGATGACGATGTTAGTCGGTTCGGATTGGAACTACGACTTCCCTGAATCTCTTCTGTGTTCTACGAGTTCCACCCTTCATACTAAAAAGTACTCCATCCTTCATACTAAAAAGTGCTAGATGTGAATGAGTTGTGGGATTCTCTTTCTCGAGGACCCAAGAAGTGAACATTATGCTTACCGATCACAATTTTGGCTCGCTTTTTCCCACAACTCTTCATGCACCGCTTTAAAAGCGTCACAATTGAAGCCTGCAGCCGAAAGCGCACGACGAAATGCGGCGTTTATGGCTGATCCCCCAACAAAGAGCTGATCCGAACCTGCATTCATTGACCCGAAATGCTGCTCGAATTCTTGTTTTTTCTTCTTGCAGCCTCCTTTGTCGCCGTTGCCGCCTCGTGAAGGTGAACTTGGTGGTGACTTGATGCTGCCGTTGGCTGACTCATGTCGGAATTCGTCGTAAATGGGTGTGAACGCTTTTGGTTTCTCCATGAAAATGACGTTATCAGGACGTAACAAAAGCGGGATCTTCAAGCGTTCGGTTCGACCTGAAGGTGGAGATGTTGTGGTTGTTACTCCATCTTTATTGTCAGCTGTTGTGCTCACCAGGTGTGCCTTCTTAGTGCCTGGCGATGAACCACTGGCCGCACCTGGGCCTGGAGAACTCGTTCTTTTCAACATTCCACAACAGGACGAAGTAGGAAGAGACGATGACATCTTCTTGATGATGTCGGCTATAGGGAGCTTTGTACGAAAATGAACAATTTTGAGGAACAGATGTTGGGGATTATGTTACTTTTTTAGAATAAAATCGTAGAGGCACCACTGCAAAAGTTATACTCATCTTGGACATGAAAATTCCTCAACAATCTAAACAATTAGACAGGAACGACTTGCTCTCCTGTATGGGTTAGTTGCGTAGCCACCACCGATGTCATAAGCTACAATTTCAAACGCTGCGCTGCGCTTGTTGTTACAATTGAGTATCAACGTCATGGAGACCGTGATCCTTACTGCCAAATTCTAATCACGTGAAGTCACGTTCGAGTTGCACGGAAACATGGATTGATCCGACCATAGATCCAGTCTCCGACACTGGGATTAGCACGAGAACGTGGTGCAATAAACTCAGTTGGATCATCATCTCACGGAATCAATTATGCGTACGGACTTGTTCCACCTAGTCGACTTCTGCATAGTCTATTCACGAATTTGTATAAGTCCTTGTTGACTGAGGAACACTAAAATGCGAACAAATCTACTTACCTCGTCCGTTGGTGCTGCGCTGCATGTTACTTGAACGACAGCACGGAACAATAGCCATCTTCTAGAAAAGCCTCTACGTAAATAACTTTAAAGCCAAAGAGTGTAAGGCACTGATCTAACGAAATTGCTTAATCAATTCAGTATGTATCTATCAGTACGTTTACGCAATTATTTACGTAAATAACTGCGTAAACGTATTGATAGATACTGAATAAGCTTATAAGCTGCATGATCAAAAACTATTTTTAGTACTGAATGCAATCCGCAGTTGCGGATGCTCGTCTTTTTTCGATCTGTGCGTCCCTAAGAAGTGCGTCTCGATGCTGTGCGTTTCTATCATATTCGATAACAGCTGATGAATGATCACAGTCTCCTGGATAGCCGTGGCTAGACCGCTAATTCGGACTATTTCCTCGCCTTTTGGTATGAAGGGAGCAGGGGGAGAACAAAGAAGTTTACATACAAGGGTTTCTGTGTTCGAACTTTGGCTCTGGCATAGGGTTTGGGGTCTTTGGCATTCTTACTAATGCTTGAGTTTTCACATGAGTAGACTCCCTCTGATCATATTCATAGAGTAAGAATACTAGTGCATAAATCTTGTTTACCTCTAGCAAAACTAAGGAAAACACTCTCAACAACTAACTAGTTGTCTAAAAGCATCATAGCTATCAACTGCCGCATGATCTGTCGGAGAAATACTGGTCGCAGCGTCTCCGATTTTCCGATTTTTATCTCGTTTGTTGGGGCTTCAGGACGAGGCCCAGTCGAACTCGAAGATGGACTATGTGCCGCAACGGGTGAAGTCATTTGCGCTGGTGTCGTGGAGGATGTGGCTCCGGTTGGTGTGACGGCTGCATTCGGACTCGCAGCTGTGGGAGCCATCCCGGCTGTACCATTGGAGGTTGCTCCTGTATTACTAGCCATTATTCCCGGACTAGTTGCAGTGACTCCAGATGAAGGAAAAGTACGACTCGCTGGTTGGAACGAAGATGACATTTTCTTTTGTCTTGGTGATGCGACTGGGTGGAGCAAACTGGTGACGTCAATTAAAAAGACGAATAATGGAATATTAACGAGTAGTAGAAAAAAAGTCAATCAATAATAAATGTGGCCGTTGACAAGGAATGAAACAATTGTTACTCGATGGAGTAATGTCGATGAAAATAGATCTAGAAAACAAGGTGGTGGCTTTGGGTGCGTAGGACTAGGCAACCTATGAAGTGCGACCGCTTCTCACCTGGGCTATTTTCAATTCGCTTTTATGTATGTAATGCTTGTAAGGTGAGTTCGAGCTCATACATGAAGATGAAAATTTTCGCACAGACAACGTCCTGGAGGAAGGCATGATTTTTACTAGCTATAGGGACAATTTCATCTTCAAAAATTCAAGCACAGGATAGTACACAAGAACTACATGGCAGCACTCACAGTTGTTGTGATGAAGAGACCTTTGCAGCACCGATCTTTGGATCTTTAAAATTGGAAGATACTGAGACATCAACATGGGGACATGCATCTACTAGATCTACCGACCCTTTGGTGAAAAACTCTTATGGAAGGTGTTGATTTGTTTTCTCTCTCTATCATGCTCTCCTCCTGATCAAGGCACATGACAACAGTTGCTAATGGTACTGCTGGTTTGGGATTTCGGGAGAGAACTAGAACTTGTAAGCGGACTCAACCAGCAAGTTCACTTACACTTGCATCGCATTTTTTTACATGATGTCCTCTTCCATTTTTTCTTATGGAGAATCACGTTACTTCAGCTTCTTCGAAACGTTGTATTGCTTTGTCTCATTCTGGTGTTTCATACATCCGCCAGCTACCATTCATCTGAATTCTTTGAGACTCTGGCCGCATTGAGGTACGCAAAGCCGCGCTTCGTGTAGCATAATGATAGAAACCGAAGAAGACCAAAGCCTTTTACACTCTTTCAAACAAAAGACTGAGCTTTCTTAAGGAATCAAGTTACGTGAAGTAGTTGTCTAGTTTTTACTTACATGAAAGGAATTATCAAAAAAGTTTTTCTACAATGTGAGAGTGAGTCCATGTCTAGGTGAACAGGACGTCCTTCAGATTGGGATACCGAAGGGGGGAAAATGGGGGCGTGATTGAGGGAGACCACCTATACGTACCGTCCTTTCACACGTACTTGAGGTGGGGTGGCGTACCTCGACACATGTTTTTAATGTAGATCCTCGTAGTCTTTTTGAAAGTTTAAGTTTTAGTGTTGAGAACGACGATGATGTGTTGTCATGGGGTATCATGTAGATGTTGTACATGTAGAGGGAACAATCAATCTTCATCAGGAAAGTTTTTTAGGTCAGGAGCGTTTATTCAAATTAATATGAAGTAATAATCTAAATACTTCATCCAGAATCCTGTACGAGTTCATAGGACCCTTCTTTTGAATCAGTACTAGGCGATTGCTCGGAGTTTTCTCCGCCTGACGCAGAGCCACCTGTTCTACTTGGCGGATTGAAGGAAGCCTCTTCTACTCCAGCTGGTGGTATACTACTGTCTCCTCCTACACCTGCTTCTGCTAATCCACCACCTAGGGATGGAGATGTTCTAGACACTGGCACTCCCGCAGTGCTACTTACTGCGCCACCACCAGGGGAAGCAGCTCCTGCACTAGGTGCCTTTGTTGGACTTGTTGGCGCTGCTGCTGGCGTTTCTGAAGGTGATGTAGCTCCTGGTCCTGTTTTTGGGATATTCGAAGGACTACTAGTCGCAGCTGCTACTGGCGCGACTGCGGCTGGTGCAGTCCTAGTAATTGGTTTTGTACCTCCATAGATGTCGCCGAGACCGAGGTCTTCCCCCCATGCCTTCTCGAAGGCAGCGCCTCCTTGAGCTGCTATCTGTTCCAACACGTTCAGGTCTTTTGTTTATTAGAAGAGGGTGGAGCAGTTACTTCGACGAGAAGTATCTATTCAACCTGAAAAAGAGAGAAAAGCGTTATTCACTCATCAATGTTGACCCTAGTTGTACTTGTAGTAGTCCCTATGTAACTAGTTGTATCTGCTTTTCCTTCATCAACAAGAACTAAAATCGGGAGACATCATTCTAGTTGTAATCACACTCATAAGTTTTCTCCCTCACTGATGTGTATTTCGTTGCTGGCAACACGCTCAGCCTCGTCTTCGCAAATACTTTTTCCGCTAATTTTTGGCTTTCGTAGTCTGGGAACAAGTCCGGACACTCCTCCGGATGGGCGATGCTTCCTGCCAGTTTCTCATTTACAGTCCTCAAGTCTTCTCTCCATAGTCTGACGACTTCTGGGATTCGTGAGGCACAGTAGCTTCTAGCGAAAAAAGCGGCTTCTGGAAGCCTGTTGGTCTCAAGGAAAATGTCTAGACAGGCTTCGACATCCTGCAAGAGCATATAGGCGAGAAAAGCGATATTGGCTTTGCCGCTGGCCCTCGCTTCATCAGCGGTCTTGCGCAAACCGGTTGCGTCACCTGAAGATGGGAAAAAACAAAGGAATGAATCTGAATTATTGATTTTCCCTATAAATAATATGAAAGCATGGAACATAAAAATCAGTTTTTAACATACAAAAAAACCGAACTACCATTACCAAGTGGTTTTGTGATATAATCATAAGTAATCTAGTAAAGTACCCGCCGCCGTCTGAATCAGCAGCAGCGCAGACAAATCTTTGCTCTTGTTGAAGCACTCTGTTGCTAAGTCGAAATCTCCGTTCTCCAAAGCTGTGTCTCCTAGCGTCTTCCACTTGCCTTTGATTGCTGTCTGATTTGTGCTTCCTTCTTCTTGGCTTGCGGCAATAACGTCTCTCGCGAAGCCGAGTTTGCCGAGACTCAAGGCTAAATCCAACTGGTGATCCCGGTCTTTTGAGATCTGGTTTCGAAGATATGAGTTGGTATTCTTGCAGGTGTAGTCGAGGTTGTAGTGGGATTTGGTTGTACTTGTCGTCGAGGTTGGTATAAAAACAAGATTGGGAATTGGTCATCGGAGGTAAATCAATACATAAGTTTTCACTACGAGAAAAGAAATCGTCATCAGACAAGTAAGAGGTAGATTCATCATGCAAAAACAAGTGAACACTCTTCAGCTACGAGTCACTTAGTACCTTCAACGCCTCCTCTGGATATCCCTGATGTTCCAGAAACCTCGCTACTTTCGTATGATACGTCTCCGGCAACTGCAAGAAGTGCTGATGGGACGCTTCGAAGTCTTTTGCCAATATGCACTTTTGATACTGTATCAAAGCCGCTGGGATGCTGTAGCTGACTATATTCATCTCTCGATCGAGGAGGAAGACTTTGCTGGAATCCGCCAGATAGCCAAGCATGAAGTACGCCTTGTCTAAATGTGCAATGTTTTCTTGCTTCCCAGACACCACGAACTGCAACCTCTGGGCTTGGTTGACGTAAACAAAAGTTTCGCCGATCCAGAGACCACTAGTAATTTTGTCGCCGATTTCGCTATGGAAATCAAAGGCGGACTCGATGCCTGGCGGGGAAGCAGTTTTAGTTTATTTGACATGACGAAGAACTAAGTACGTTGACTTTTATACTGACATGAGGACCTATTGAAGGAGTTCGACAATTCTAGAAGTTGTAGTTGTACAAACCAAAAATTCGCTACGTCAATGAGCACCAGTTCTACTTCTCATCTCGTACCTATATTAAATATGAAGCAAGCTAAAATCTATTATCATTATCAGACTTTTCTACTTATAAGAAACCTGATAAAGATAACAGTGATTTGGGTTTTACCATCTTCGTCCGCAACTCCCGTCGTCAATGCGTCCTTGTTGTGCGAGAGGACGAAGCTGGAGTCGTGGCAGAGGAGCGCCACGTAGGTACCAGCTTCGTTCCAGTAGACGTGCTTGGGGCCAATGTCTATCCTTCTAATGAGCTTGAATTGCTGCCAGTCGTAAAAGCAGATGTACTCCGATGATTTCACACCTGTTGAAAACGAAAATAATATAGAAGAAGTAGATTCAATGTAGATGTACTAGTGTATGGTTCTGGTATTTGGTAACCTGAATTTGATCCTAAGGGTTCTCTTCTTGTTTTCCCTTAGGATCAAATTCAGATTACCAAATAGTACCAGAACCATTCAAGATGTAGATGTACTAGAACAAGAATGAAGGTACAATTTGGATTTGCAACATCATTGTCAAGTACCTAGTAAAGTAGGTACCTAGTAATCTTCCTCCAAAGATTTCCTCTACTTGAAAGGGGGGATTGAAGGAGAACTTCTCTGCGAAGTCGTGAAACACCGTAATTTTTCCTACTGCGTCGTTGGTCGCATAAGCGTTACCGTCCCATGACCAAACGAATTCCGTACAACTTCCGAACGCTTTGTTACGAAGGGCCTGATGAGGGACTTGAGGGTGAGAAAAAGTAGTTGGTGTGTTTCTGATCATTCTGATTTTTGCCGATGTAGATATATTTCCTTGTCAAATGAACAAAGGAGTCATGTTTCGAAAAGCAACTACTTCTTATGAGTAACAAAGTTTCAAGCTGTAGTACCTGTGCCGTGTAAACGACGTATTCTCCGTCACCTACTACTGCGATCAAGCGACTGTTTGGATTGTGCTTGATGCTCTGCGGAAAGATCTCGGCTGAGCCCATGTCTTTGACTGATAAGTTCAGCTTTTCACCATCCGCAGCCTCCTCACACAATTTCAAGTTCGCGGTCTGAATTTCGTGGCCCTTCGCCCACACGATCTTACCGTTCGAGGTCATGCTTACCACCGGCTCGTCAGCACCGAGTTTAATAACGATCGTCCCAAGATCGTAGCCGACCGCGACGTTGTTGGAACCTGCTAAGAAGTCGTTTGGGTGTTCAAGGACCACTACAGGCTAAAGAATGGAGAAAGAGCTGAAGAAGTTGGATCGTGAGACAGTAGTTGTTGGTCCTATTTGTCATCGAGTCTATTAAGGAGACACTCACATTGACAAATTAAAATCAAAAAGTACCTTTCAGCGCAGTAACGCACCAACAGCGCTCTAAGAGGTAGTTGAGCGTTGCTTCCAGTCTATAGGTAGAAGAATGCCATAGTCGAGCGGTTCCATCCTCGGATCCGGATATGATAACTGGTAGCTGCGGATGGAACATAACCGTAGAAATATTATTCTGGTGCCCTGATAGCACTTGCACGCACTGCTTCGTCTGGTAGTCCCAGACCCTGTTTTGTTTCATGATGTACGTTGAGAGGTAAGCGTGGTAGGTACCACGAGAGAAAAAATGCATTTCCATACATAGATCCATTTGGTTGCAATTCGAATTCAAATTCATCGTCAATGGAAAACTACTTGAAGCCTAACTTCATAGATAATACAGTCAGATATCAAACTTGTCATCAAATACCTGACAGTTTTGTCATCGCCTCCGGACACAAGGTACGGTTTATCACCGGTTGGGCTATACTCAAGACAGTTGATGCCTTTTTGATGACCGCTAAGGGAAAAGTGGGCACTCATGCTCCCTGACGTTCCCCATACTTTAATCGTTTTGTCTAGGGAACCCGACGCAAAAATGTGTGTATCCTTTGGATTCCATTGGACCTGGTCAGTCGATGGTAGATGTAGAAGGACAAAGTCTATAAAAGAGAGGAACATAGTGGTCCGCATCATCTTGTCTATGCGCTTATCAAGAATCAATTGCTAATAAAGAACCTTCAAAGTGAAAGTAGAGTAGTACACACATGACATAGTGTGCATGCCCTTCGAAACAGGCGACGCAGTTCCACTTCTGCTCCCAATTCCATAGTTTTATTGTCATATCATCAGACGCGGACAGCAAGTGCGGTTGCGTCGGGTGGACTGCGAGGGCGCGAATATAATCCGAATGTGCATCGATGTTCTTCAAACGTTCCAGGGAGTTGTAGTTGTAAACTCCGATCTGCATCTCGTCGGAGGCGGTTACCTTCAATTTGATAGAAGATCGATTCATTGTGTAAATAGTAGACGATATTACGAAGTAAACAATCCAAGCCCAAAGAACAGTTTCTATGATATACGATCCATTGTTTTCTCGTCACAAATTCAACAACATTCTTCATTCATTTATTCATTCTAACCACGTAGCAACTCATTCAAAGCTGGTCCTTCGTTCCAAACACTATGTATGATGTATTCAAAAAATTACAATCCATTGTTTCCTCGCCACGAACTTTGCGCACCGTACTGGGAGATTGGAGCACACTTCGAATTGCTTCACCAAAGTTTGCGTGCTGTAATCCCAGATGTAAACATTTCCGGAGTATAGAGCGGAAAGCACCCAAGGTTCCGTAGGGTGAAAATCAACGGATTTCACCCTATCAGAATGCGCCGAAAGGCGCTTCTTGATGTCTAGACGAAGCGGCATTTTGTATTATTTCTATTTGTAAGTCACCTAGCGCTTACTCGTAGTTCTATCTGGAAGTCGTCGCTTTCAGAGTACTTAAAGTTGAATAGCAAACATATAGGTTAGTTTTGAGTTGTCCTAGTTGTCCGGGACATGTTCTCAGTCGGGCCTGTTGTGGCAGAATAATTATCAAAAAATCAGAAATGATTAGCTCTCTCTCACTAACCCTCTGACACCGATGTTCATCTTTGGAGAGGAGGAGCCTGAGCAGAGACTCACATCTTTCGATCAATCAACATGGAAGTGCCTGTGGTTCCCGCTACCACATTCTCACGCCACCCACCTGTAGTCAGGAGAATTTGTTGATGGAGATGCAGATACAACTTCTTCCTTTGCTGTCTATTAGTCACGGCCCGTGCTCAAATTGACAAAATCTTCTGCCGCGCTGCTTCTTCACAGATAGAATGTCGATTCGGATTTAAATTCACGTGCAGTTTGCAAGATATGCTTGAAAATCAGACTCTGAGAGGAAAAGGATGGCTCTCTGAGAGGTCTGGAGACACCACGACAAGCCAGTGGAGAGAAGTTGTTACGTTGTTCTCATGGGGTTGTATTTTCATTCTTGCTGATATCATGTCGTGTCACACTCAGGAGTGTACTAGTAATGAGCGCATGTAATCCAGAATGATAGCAAGAGAACGAAACATTTTCTGGCTCTGTGTACTTGGGGTTGGACGATTGGAAGGGTTCCCACGACCGTGTACTTGTTCAACTTGTTCGTGTTGTAAAAGAGTAAGAGTTCGAGAGAATTGGTGTATAACCATCCGGTTATAGTTTGATTTCCATTTTTCATTTTCCTTGTCTTCATGGTCTTCATGTTGCAGTAGATGGAAGTAAAACTGTTTTGTTGAATGACCATGAGCAGCATGGTTGTTGTCTAGTTTAATGATTAGACAATAAACGCGACTGAACGTCGTTGTATTTCACAGTCTCTTGAATGATTCTGATTCATGAACAACTTGTTCGTCTTCCGTGAGGTGGAATAAACATGAGTTACAAGAAAATAGTACATCTGCAGTGTTTTTCCAATGCGGAAATACTTAGGAAAAGAAAACTTAAACTGTACCTATGATAGAGTGAGAGGTACTTATGTTGATAAACTTGAGTATAAGTAGCGGCATGAAACAAGTTTGATCAGATTTAAAAAGGTCAAAGAAATACCATCAGTATTCTCCTCCAAATTGCTAATCACCATGATAAGTCGGCCCTCCTTGGTCCTGCTCCGTCTGTTTCGCGCTTTCCTTGGTGAGAACGCCAATCATCGCAGTTTCGGATGTTAGAGATCGTTTTAAGTTTTTTGCAATCTAGACAAGCAAACGCTTGCACATCTAGAAGAAACTACGTGGTCTGCAGGCTAGCTATTGCTCTTTTTGCTCTACAGCAACCAACAAAAGCATCTATATAAGGAAATAAGTTGTCCGTCGTGGTCCCTGATCGTTTATTGTCCAAGTTAGTAGTTCGAAAAATCAGATGTCCGCCGGATATATTTTACATGACTAGACTCCATCAATGAGCATTCAAGGCGTTGAGGACAAAAGCCTTAAAATCAACTCCCGTCCAACCGACGTTTTCTCGCCACATTTGCTGCCGACTTCGAAGAAGACTTCGCCAAGGAGCAATAGGGCTTGTGCTCTTCGTATCCGTAGAATCCATGGAACGGAGGCGTCTTTCAGCAAAAACCGCACCACGTTTTTCACAGTGTCTTCTAAATCTTTCACACAAATCGCCCATGCAAGACGCAGAAAAGCAGGAAGGGCCTGCTGTTCGAGGTCTCCGGTTGCACGGGCTGCGAATTCATGACGTTCTTGCTCGGTTTTGCTCTCGTCTGCTTGTGCTTTCTCTACTTTGCGCATTGTTTTTTCTGCTTTTCGGACTTGCTTCAGCGCGTGGTAGCCGGTACTAGCGATGTTTGCACGATTCGCCCACTTTCTTTGAGAATTAGAGCAGTTTTGTGCAACGAGAAACAGTATGAATAATTTTGGAGAATGACTTCTTGAAGTAGAATTTCAGTGCAGAAGTAAGTTTCAAGTTGTGTGTGTTGTCGTTTACTTTCGACAATCAAATGCACTTCTCAATCTCAGTCCGTCACTGTCATAGGAAAAGCTGCGCGTGAGGCGAGCAATGACTCAGCTCCGAACCGGCTCTTCACTTCGTCGCACAAAAATAACATCGCGCGATTAATGTAGAGTTCACCTTTAGTTGTAGATGTTTGAGATTTGAATGCGAATGACATCAAACGATTCACGTTGTAGAGTTGTTATTGTAGCTGTTAATGTAGAGAGAGAGGTTGGTGTAGCTGCGTACTGACCGCAGGCAGAAAAAAGCGTTTGTGAACACTAGGAATGCACATTTAAACCCTCAAAAAAGCAGGGTAAAAATATTTCCTCCATTTACCTAAAACTTGCAGCATCTCTTTCCCGAAACTTGCGGTTACCAGTTCGGTCCGTGCCTCGTTCTCGATCATATCTGCGAACTTCTGCGGTTCTCTTTGATTCACGTAGAGATCCAGCTTATCTCGCATAAAAACCGCGCACTGTACTTGTCGTCGCCACTGCTGTTTCTTGAATTTGATATCTCCTACTCCACCCAATGGTGAGTAATCATCATCGTCGTCAGAATTGTCGTGGTCTTTATCGTGATCTTCATTTTCTTTTGCACTGGGATTAATTATAGCTGCTGGCTTTGTACTAGTTGACGATGAAGGAGCGCTTGCTGCGGGTGATGTACTAGAAGTAGTAGCACTACTACTAGCTGGTGCGGCCGCAGTTGACGTCGTTCCTGGAACCAGTTTTAGAAAAATGCTCCTATTTGCATGCCTGCTACAAAAAGTGAGTCATTTATTCCTGACAGAAGACCAAAAAGATGAACATTGATGAACATGACATGTACACGAAACACAAGGACGCACATCGAACTCTACCCGACATCTAACTATAATCCATCCATTCCGATTCCGTGATGACATTCAACCTTCCGTAAAGACGACGAAGCTCCACCACTCGACGAACCTGCATCCTTCTTCTTATTCAAGAATCCTGACATGAAACCCTTCTTCTTTTGCGCAGCAGCCATTGGTGGAATATTACCAGCATCGGTAGGCACGACCGGCTCTGGTGCTGGAAGCGCTTTTAATGGTGCTTTTCCACCAAAGCCTCCAGAGGACGAAGAGGAGGGAATGAAAGCAGGATAGAGCAGCCGTGGTTGAGAAAAAAAAACAGACGGAGTGGTGGAATGAATATGAATTGGACATCGAACACCAACACATGATCGTTTAGTACCTGCGATGAAGTGATGTCGTGGTGCAATTGAAAATAATGAAATGTTAAAACACAGATAACAAAATTCAACATCAAGCTAGACCCTGATGACCTACTGAATCACAAACCCAAATCATAACTCCCGACTTCCCCTTTTTGCTTTTCTTTTTGGATCCGTCTTCTCCGCCATCTTCGTCTGTTGCGTGCTTCAACAGTGACTCCGCAAATGTGGCTATGCTCATGTCTCCAGTGTAGCCCTCGAATTTTTCGGAGCCGAACAGTAAAGAAAAAAATACTGTCGGTTGAATTTTCGGGATGTTCTCCTCTCTTACTCCTTCCTTTCCCTGCGTGTCGTATTTCCGACGCAGATCTGGGACTGAGAGGACCGAATAGGCATCCGATAACTCCTGAAACTTTCGCTTCGCTTCAGCATCATCCGGATTCTTGTCTGGATGACAGCTTCGAGCCATCTTGTAGTAGGCTTTTTTAATTTGGGCTTCGTTGGCATCAGGCTCAATCTGCAAAAGATCGTAATATTCAGTTTCTACGACACTGGCACGCGCAGAGGATCCATCTGCACCAGTTCCTTTCGCTCCTTTAGAAGAGGAACTAGATGATCCTCCGTTCTCGATGGCCGCCATCTCTGCTACATTCTTTTCCATGATATCCAACCTCACATGCACCCAAGAGCCAGTTTCCGGATCCCACACCTTGTTCTCGCGCCTAGCCTGAAACCCACGTGCCTCTGCGCGCACGCCTCTGACAATCTGAGCTACACCGCCCACGACGCCGCCAACGGGCATGGCTGTGGTGGGGTAGCGGTAGGTACTAGAGTTCTTGTGGACGAAAGAAACTAAAATTAAAAAGTTGTCGTGAGACTAATTATCCAAAAGACGTGTTACACATACAACGATTTCTTGAGAGTGCAGCAGGATGAAGGAGTTGAGCTACAAGACCCGTCTACCAAGAAATCCAAATACCAGCTCACCATGACCAGCCTACCAAGAAATCCAAATACCAGCTCACCATGACCAGCCTACCAAGAAATCCAAATACCAGCTCACCATGACCAGCCTACCAAGAAATCCAAATACCAGGAGCTCACCATGACCAGCCTACCAAGAAATCCAAATACCAGCTCCCGCGACAATCCCCACTCCAAGACCTTTGACCAATCCCAATGTCTTGTTCGCTACACCTGGCTTCGCATCCCTGACTCCAGTTACCGTAGCCGCACCTAAAACCATGACTCCGCCAGCTACTGACCCTACTATCGCAGACACCCCGGATTTTAGACCACTCCAGGTATCTTTAGGTCGTGTTTTGGCTAAGAAATCACTCACCTGTCGCTCGCTTTCTTCCCTCTCTGCACGCAAGGCGAGCGCTTTTTCTTCTGCCGGACCTGTCCCATCGAGATCCTGCAGAGCTACTGTTATCACGAGACCACTGCGTTGTCCTCCAGTTGCAGTTGGATCTACTACTTCTGCACTTGAAACTTCCTCTGCCCTGACAAGGTTTCCGTCTGCTCTCGCGAGTGGTATGTCAGCAGAAAGTCCTAGATACTCCACTCCATCCATCGACAGGAGTTGTAAAGGGATCTGATGCTGCGCCATAACGAAAGTAGAGGTTCCCGATGCTGTAGTTCCACCTTCCTCCTGTTCCATAACGAAAGTAGAGGTGGAAGAGCCGTTGTTGAGCTTCGTGATGCGCATTTGCTTGCTTACAACCTTAGGAGGACCAGCTGTGGAGGAATCAGGAGTTGGACCTGCTCCTGCTCCGCCTGCAACAAGACCACTTCTTCTATCAGTTGATGTACGACCTCCTGTACCTGTTACAGCCATTGATGTACCATCTCCGGTACAACTAGCATTTGTTGAAGATCCAGCAGAAATGTTTCCCAGCGATTTCCTCTCTTCAGCGTCAAACCCAGGACCCCAGTTTACGCCATTCCGAGGAGGACTCGGATTCTTCTCCGGTATCGAAAAAAGATTGGCGGTTGCGCTCGTTTCTGGGACGGAAGAGATTGCTGCGACTCCGTCAAAGTCGTAGATGGACAAATAGAGAGACCTGCCGTTATCCGCGAGTTCAAACGAACCACAACCGTCTGGAGTGAGATACTTGACTTAGAGGTAGGTTTTTGGTGCTCGCTTACCCCGCTTGTTATGCCTTTCTCCCTTAGGAGAGGCATAAAAAGCGGTAAGAAAAGCACCTTTAACCTACCCTTAATTGACAGCGTCATTGACCTTTTTCAGAGTGTCGATTTCCCGTAAAAGCTCGTAGGGGACGCGGCCGAGCCAGACTTGGGAGTAGCGGCTCGCGCAAAAAGCGAGTGATAAGTACACAGCCTTGAATTTTTTGACTTGCGCTTTGGCTGCGCTCGTTGGGGATGTGGGTCTGGGTTATTAGAGGCAGAGGCATCACAATCAGTGGGCATTACGAGAACTACTTCTTCGTAGGAGGAGGTACATAATGATACTTTCATCTAGAAGTAAAGGTCAAGATATTATAGATAAAAACGAGATTCCAGCATCAAAGAAGATCCATCTAAAAAGAGTGATAGTTCATTTTCCCGTAACTCGGAGGGCTTTGGCTTCCTGTGGGCGATTTAGGACTCCCGCTCCCCACATCTTCATCAGGCAACAACGCCACAAGCCAAATTATGCCGGCACAGTTGCGAGTCGAAAAAACGAGGTCTGTGGTTGCCCCATGACCTGGTACTACTACCGCTTCATGCTTCATGGATAGAGGGTTTTGAATCGCTATCAGTTGATCAGTATCTTCTACTGGCTTTTTCTCTTCCCCTCCAGATGAAGAACTAGTAGACACTTTTCCAGTACTAGGGTCCATAGATGTTTTCTTCGAAGATGAGGCTGAAGACGCTGTTGGAGCTGAAAGTGTTACGCTAGTATTATTTGGTGTGATGCCTGTATTACAGGTTGTAGTTGCCGGAGCAGGAGGTGGCAAACCTCGTCCTATTGTCGTACTAGTTGGAGTTGTACCACCAGTAAAACCGCCTGTTCCTCCGACTACAGGATGAATTAGTTTCCCATTTTTGAAATACTCTCCATCCCACTGAAAAGTGTAACGCGAGTTGTTCTGTATCCGCACTCGAAAAGGCAAGAGACCACCCTCTGCGGGCAGCGGGGTTTCTCCACCTGTGTTGTTAGAGGTTGGGAGTTGGCGGATCTACTATCTCGCATATCTATCCCCTTCCTCCCTTAAGAGGCCGCAGATTATATGCTCAAGAACATAGAGAGGTCAACGACGTCCAAACCTTAATGTTGTTCATCTTGTTTCCGTCTTTTTTAACGAGTACTCGGACTCTTCCACCTTGTTCCCAACGATCCACCTTATCAGCAAGACAAGGAGTGCGAGACACGCAGGACGAGCACAGCACAGACCGAAATATCGGTGCTAACAAACGTTGATAGAAAAGGTCGAGGCCTCTCTGGATGGCGCGACAGAGCTTGGTATCTACGCAAGTACGGTGAGAAGGGGACGGTGCTGTTTGGAGTTGTATTGGAGCTCACCCTTATCCACCCTGAGACGCATCCTGAATCCATTTTCCCCTTGAAAACGTCTCCAAGATGCTTCCGGAAATGGAATAGGAGCAGAAGCCTTAATTGTAGTTGTAGTTCTGTTTCACGACGAGGATTCTTGGGATTGAGTGTTAGTTTACTTTTGCGAATGGGAGGACCGGTCTGCTGTTCTTGTTTCACAGCTTCTGATCCTGAACTATTTCCTGTTCCTCGCGCAGAAGGTGTAGTACTAGAAGCACGACTTGGGGAGTTTGTGCCGTCACCTGCTGGTGCGATATCTGGACCCTTCGCCTTGTTTGCTGCACTGCCACCCGTAGAAGAAGATGAACCACGTATCGTGCCGTTGGTCAGCTCGTTGTTGTTGTCGCTCCCTGCATATGGGGGCCCCTCATCGCGCAGTGAGGGGCCGTTGCTAGAGTCAGAAGGAACTGTCGCTGTCGTCCTATCTTCATTTGTTGTATTCAAAGTATGATCTTCTTGATCCGCTATGTTGATAATTACATTGTCAGTAGCACAAGAATCATAATTAGGTGCATCACTCATGGCCAAGTAATGGGTTATGATTATTCAGTAGTGGAATAAAGAGGTTCGAAGTAAATGGAAAAGTTTTATGTGATATGGGGTCGCGTCATCTTATCCGGAAGTAAGCGGCCAGTCGTGAAAGCATTTGAAATAAACACTTAATGGTGTATGTAGCCGTGTTTTGTGTACTATGCCTGTTCGTCAGGAGGGTGTGTGCCATGTGTTTCATCGTGGGTGCGTTTTTGTGTCCTCTAGTTTTACTTATTACCTTTTGTTGCTAAAGGCTTGCGGCCGTGTCATTTTTCAACTAGATGACCTGTCTTCATTGCAGGTTCGTTCTTCTTCTACGTCTGAATAGGTTCAACTACGGTAAGAAATTTTTTTCGCTCTTCTCGAAAAATTATAATATTCTGGTGATCATAACACGGCGTTTATATTTGATAGGATGAAAGAGCTATTAAAGATCCGAGGATGACGCCGCTTCAACTTGAAGACCACTCTCGAAATTTTTACCTACTACGCACGTGGTTAGCTGCTGCCATTTAGATTTAGATTTAAAGGGGGGCCCGCCTCAGCCCTGCGCATCAAGCACCGGATCAGCAGAAGTTATGATTGAGTCTCGCCGCAGACTCGCTGGCCGGTAGCTCCCCCTACATGCAGCACAAGTACTTATATCTCGATCGGACGACGCCACAGATATCCAAATCCATGACGAACACTTCTTCGTTGTCATTCGCCTACCAAGACGTTTTCTAGAAGTCATCCATCATGATGGATTTCGTTAGGTTTTTTTCAAGACTTATTTCTTAATTACATCTTTATGCAGACATCATTCAGTTTCAATCCTAAAGTTTGTCTAGAATGGACCTTTGTTAACATCCTGTGATTGATGTCAACCGTCTCCATCGTCTTTATCAATGTTTTACTCAGCACGATATCCATCTTCGAGCTTCTGGTGAAGGTCCATCAAATTCCACCAGGTCTAGCCTGTCGTTACAACAACTGCAATTCTTAATTAGCTAGTACAGCTACATCACTTCCTTGTTCCGACATCGATGAAACTAGTAGCCGTCTCATGAAGATGATTTGTCAAGAAGTACACATCCACCTTCATCTGCCTTGTCTAGTTCCAGTTACTGATTGAAAAACAAATCCTTCCCATTAATGCCAATACCTCTTGTTGTATATGGAAAAGAATTATCCAGGATACTAGGAAGTCTGTCACATTTCTTTGTTCTTGATGCTGCACACTCGTCGTCCAACTAAAATATTCATCAGACTACCTACGAGTGATACAACAGAAGACAAAGAATTCTGGAAGGACTTTTGCATTTAGAAGTTATTGCAGCTGCATATTTATCTTTTATTACACTACACAAGAGTGCATCACACGATGATACTTAGAAATCATACACAGAAACAGATAACGAATACGAATGCACGACAATACATAACAAGAAACTACCTTTCACGTTCTTCTCCTCCTCCTCTATGCTAGTCCTGGAATTTGAGACGAAGCCAAAGATTAAGAACATACTGTTCTAGGTAGTACCTACCTATACTGGTGTAGTACCTACCTGTATTGTTGCTGATGCAACATCGACACACTGGGTTATGCAAAAATGAGAGGATCATCCTGCCTTGTGATATTAGTCAACTTATGTAGTTCTAGTTGCCTCTACAACAAGCTTCGAAGAGCAGGAGTAGACGCACTGTTGTACCTGTAGGCTTATCTTGACCTGAATAGTTTCGAAGCCTCGACGTGCGACATGAAGTCAGTATGCTTGCCGGCATATGCTCCATAAATCCCTCCCGCATAAAAGAAGCGCTGTCGAATTTGACTGTAGGAGTAGACGCACTGTTCTTTCAAGAGCAAGAGTAGACGCACTGCTGTAGGCTTCTACTTGGCTATATTTTCCAACGAGGACGATGAAAAGGCTGTAGTTGATGCTGTTCTTGTTCTGTATCATGAGATCATTCTTGAATTCAATGAAAACAAGGCTAATGAGTGGACCCAGTCCCAAGACGAGGGGTAGTTCACATGATACCCAGTCCGATTAGACGAGAGGCACAATCATGAAACCCGGTTATTCGTTATGAGGTTATCTTTAATTTCATTTAAAACATGATGAAAGTTCTGCTCATACAATTAGCATTACAACACGACTTTTCCATGATAATTCTAATTTAAATAAACTCACTACCAAAAATACATCAAAAGACATACTACCTTTTTTTTCATTGTTGAGTCGGAAAAATGTTTCGAAAATCGATAAATAGGGCTCAAAGTAAATCATAGAATCAATTGTGCGCTAGTAGTTAGTACACAACAAGAAAAAGAGACCAACCGGAACTAATCTTTGCCTTCATTTTCTTTTGATAGTTTGATGACATTGGACATTTTCGTGTGCTGTGCAGATGAAAAGAACTATACTTAGATAGAGATTCATTTTTTTTTAGTTTTTTCTATGTGAAGATGTAGTCTAGTAATATCAGTAATTCGACCATGAGCTCTAGTACAACAACTACATTCAACATCCATTGTTCTCCTATAGAAGTTATCCCTTTTTGTATCTCCGTCAGTGTTCATCTTCTCCGTCGTCTTTAGCTTCTTCTGCACTTTTTTTCAGTGAATGCAACCCCCATTCTTCTAATTGTTAGATCCGCAGAATGACTAGCAGAAATTAGTGAATAGCAGAAATCATTTGTACACAACATGCTTCTCGTCTCATCTTGTCTGTAGTTCTGAGAAATAGTCTTACAGGAGAATTCGATGTTGCTGCACAATAGGGTAGACCCATATAGGAGTATCTAAATCTATGTCGCGTACAAGAACATCCTCTTTGTACCATATTTATTAGACTCTAATTTTTCCAACAAAAATGCAAATTCGAAGAAGTAAAAAACACCTTCGACCATCTTTTCTATTACCCATGCCTTCGCACTAAGTCAGTCATGAGAGGTCAAAGATGGAAAAAGTCAAAACGGCAAATCGGTGCTCGACGACACAGAGACAGACATAGATAGATATGTTTTTCTAGTACTTCTAAAGATACAATGTCTCTAGCTTTTTTTGAGCATTGATTTTTTCATTGATCTCTAATATACCTTAGAGCATTAGTTCATTTTTTTTTGTTTCTTTTCGTTTTGAAAAAGTGCTTATCATGATAGCAAGCTTAGTTCTCAACGCCTGAATGTGAATAGACGTTCGTTGTAGTTTGCCATTGGCTTGCAATAACGTTGAAGTATCAAGAAGTAAATAGTTTAGTAGATTGATATACAACATCTGATCTACTGAGAACATCTACCATTTCCCGTCGACTTCGCCCTGGCGAACGAAGGACTCACCCAGAATGACTCCGAGTTCGCGCTTTTCGCCAGCGTTCAGGTCATACTTCGGTCGTCCGTGGGCCGTGCGATAGTTGCAGATGATGGCCAAGTCACCCTTCTCCCAAGCGACCGGTACGCCGCAACTGTCATAGCAGTCGACCCAGAACTGCTTCTCCTCACGGGTCATGACCTCACCATCTCCGAAGTTCAGCTTCAAAGGGCGTTCCCAGTGGGGAAGGTCTCTTACACCTGTTTAATAGATGACTATTTATTATCATAAATATCAGTAGAATTAATTATTTGGTCGGTGTGTTCAAACAACATGACCAGAAGGTGAAGGTAGTTTCGCCTAAGAACTACGAGAATATCTGAATCTACACATCTTCGAACATCAAGATATTAAACCACATCTATGTATAAATGTGCCTTCAAATTCTGAGTACCAGGCCACGAATCGAACCATGCGTAGTCATCGGCGACGGAGGCGTACATAGTGTTTTTGTCGTTATAAGGATCGTATTCGAACGTGTCAACGTAGTATTTGGTGACCTGGGTAGTTTATCGAAGGTGTGCTGGTTTGGTAGTACGACATCAAGATGATGAGGAATCCCTTCATCCACTACAGCCAATCAAGAACCACATTGTGCAAGACGTACTTATTTTCATCTAATAACAGTACTTATGAAGATTTATTTTAGCATTTTCAACATCCAATAAAAAATAATTACCATATACAATGATCGTCCAAAGATTGAGAAAGTAAAAAGTTTTTACCATATATCGTCCAAAGATTGGGCTCTCTTCCCATTCCACTTCGAGTCCCTTCTTGCGCATGATTTCCGCGGCCTCGTCCATGTCCTCAGTACCAGTAGACGTTTGCCAAAAGTTGTAGACGATAGAGGAATCTGTGTTGTTTGTGGGGGGAACAAGTTGTAGACGATAGAGGGAATCTGTGTTGAAGACCATGTTGGGAGGAAATAACAAGTAAGAAGTACTAGCTAGCACTTACTTAAATTGTATTTTTTCGACTTTTGTATTGAATAATATTTGTTGAGAGAGCAGTCAGAGGACTTCTATCAAGATCAAGACTAGAGTATTGACGAGAAGCATTTATTCCGATGAAAAGAACAAGCAAGAAGTAAGTAATACCCAGTCCATTATCCGTGAAAAACTTCTGGTCCGGGAGCTTGCGGATGTAGCAGCACCCCTTTTCGACCAAACGCTGGCCAAACTTGCTATCCAACAGTCGCTCAGTAGCACCCAAGTTTTCGGAGACGTAGGTAGCACCCTTCATTGGGTTGTCAGTGGCATGCAAGGCACCAAAAGCGACCCACTTGACCGAGGTATCAATGTACGCCATCTCATGGTGGTATTGCAAATCGGCTTCACGAGGAGCACCGGTGTCGTAGACGTTCTGTGTGTGTGTGTGTGTGTGTGTGTGTGTGGATGGTGAAAGTGAGGGATTGGTTGATGGTGTCGATCGATTTTGATTTTTGGGTGGATGTGAAACAAACCAAATAGAAGTGATTCATTCAGGTTTTGTTGTATAGTACCTTGATATTCTTGAATATCCTCCTCTACGTCCGATTTTTACTGAACAAATTCTAAAACGTAATAGAAAAAATACCGGCTCAATTTCCTTTCGCAAGTTCGCTCCTCCTTCGTAGTCTGTCGTCTGCGGAAACAGGATGTGCGTCACTGCCTGCATCTCCTCAAACTGTTCCATTCCCGTGTTGTGCATGTGCACCACGCCTACACGGTTGAAGACATCTTCCATGTGCTCGCGGAGCATGATGGTGTCTCGCTTGTCGAGGTCCGCGGCGACCTTGCCTTCGCTGTCGCGCGCAGACAAGATGTTCTTCAAGTCGTACTTGGACAAATCAATTCGGAACTTGTCGAACTCGATGGCGCTCTTGCCGGTCCAGTACTTGACGTCGAGAGGTCGAGGATCCTCATCCTTGGCGTTGGGCATGTAGAACGAACTGGAGTTCTTCGTGCCCCCACTAGAAGAGGAGGCACCAGCCTTGTTAAACGACTGGCGCTGCGTGGTCACGCTGCTCAAGGCAGGAGCGCCATTCGCTGCAGCTGTGGAGAACTGCCTCTTAGCTCCACCGAGCCCACGGCTCAATCGTTGTGTTGCTCGATTCAACATCAGCATCACGTCGAGGTTTGTTGGTGCTACTTTATCATAAGTAGAAATCGTTTTCAGTTGTTATTTAGTTACTCTCTTTATTTTGGGGGCTTTTCGCTAGATAAAAACCCAAAATGTGTAATGCTAGTGTTGTCTAGGCTCTTAGTACTTTTTGCTCAATGAATCGAATCTATTACTTTGATAACACTAGCTAGTTCTACTTGTCAGACAGTCTGTGGTCGTCTCTAAATCACTTTCTAAAAATAATAACACCCTTGTTTATTCCTTTAGTTCTAAATGATCTGTACAATAGTTACAATTCCCTCCCTTCCCAAAATGATTGTTAAAAATCAGGAGTTTCTATTTGTGTAGATTCCAAAACACCTTGTTGAGTTGGGGACCCAAGATGCAATGTTGAATTTACTTATTTTGTTTTAACCCACTTCTGCGAAATTCTAGAAGGATATTCTAGTAAATTTGTATGGAAGCTTCGCCTCTTGCTTTATAGGATAAAACACAGGAGTCACCTCTGCTGATAAAAAATTCTACTCGAACAAATAAATCACTGTACTTCTAGTGGTTAAATCAAGTGATTGATGTAACACGTACATGTACAACAGAAACGAAATCAATAGTGTTCAAAAGTAGAAGATAGGGGGATAAGAAAAAGCTTTTATGTAGAAGACGAATCTGACCGCCTAGTAGTAAGCCCTACACTAGTAGGACTGCTCAAGCCAGATTCAATCTTTTATCAATTAGGGAGGTGAGCTTCCACTCACTTCTCTCGCGATAACACTGCTAAGTGGTTTGTGGGTTGGATTGGTGAAGGATGGATGAAAATGAAGATTGAGGATTTGAACAAGAATTTCGTGTTTGGTGAAGAATGGATGGAGAAATTTGGCGTTCGATTCATTGACTTGTTTAATCGGGATGAAACCAATAAGTCTCGATCTCCCCACACTCACACTCGCGAACAGAATAAGTATATGCATGAATGAAAAAACGACTCTCAAGAACCTGCTCGACAAAGAAACGTCTTGAACAAAGAACAATCGTCACCAATGTGGTCTTGAACTCGAACAAAGAATCTCGAACCGACTTCTCGATCTTAAAGAGACGAATTTCTATTTTTTGCACCTCTCTCGTTACTCGCACAGACTTTCACCTTAATACATTCAGATTCACGCGACTCGCTCCCTCTCTCACCACAGAAAAGTACCTCTCTCTCTCTGGCGCTCTAAAAACCTTCTTTCCGATGCTCACGAAGAACACTCTGTAATCTCAAAAAGAATTTCCATCCGATGCTCACGATTGGAAAAAAATAAGCCAGCTGTTTCTCTGTTTCGATCGATCCTCTTCCTCTAAATCCATCTTCATGCACACTGCCTATCTTTTTATCTAGTCGTGTGTGACAGATCATCTTCTTCCTCTATATTTTTTCATCCATAAACAGCCATGCGCTTTGCTCAGTGAAAGCAATGCAAAACCAACGAGAATTTTCCATAATAGACTTGTACGACAAGAAGGGCGGAGCCTTCAATCCTCCCTCACTTCAATTTCTACACCAAGTCAAAACTTTCATGCCTAGAAGACGAGAAATTTTGCAATAAGTACATTCATATGTGTAATGATCGTTAATTTCTTTCCTCGTATTTGCTTGAAGGTTACGAGATTAGTTCATTTTGAGGCTAGAGCGTACATGAAATTATAACATTAAATGAGTCGGATTTGGCAGTAACGTGGAAACATATTGTTGCGATTAGCTCTGTCATTTTATGCTATAATAGGTCACGAGCACGACCTGTCAACATCAGCAGGATGTTGTGGTACTTGCGAGTAAAATCCTTCGATGACAAGAACAGAGTTGCGTAATCTTAAATTGATAGTCGTTATCGTTATCGTAATTGTGATATTGTGATAGAACTTGTTGTAGTTGTAGTTCGTTGTCGTAGTATAACAGTACTACTATTTGTTCATCTATCAGATGAATCCGTGAAGATAGCTCTAGAATAATTGCAAACTTACTACTCGATTCGGCGAAAAACTGAAATAACAATGTAGAAGCGAGTAACTACTAACTTAGAATAACGGAGAATCCTGAAGGGGGGATAGCCTTAAACTCGCTCTCTTATTTCAGGTACCGCCCAACTCGGTTTTATTTTCACTTTTCGGGTAGCTCTATTCGAGCTGTCCGTAATTCATCTTTCAAGTGCATCCTTGAAAAGTATGGGGGAGCCCTTTCCCCTTAGGATACTCCGTCCTCGTCCATACATTTCATTAAGGATGTGATGTCCAAAGATGTATTAGGTGCAGCCTTATTTATTTCACTTTTCGAGTAGCTCTAGAATCTCCCTTCGTATTCTTAATCGTCGTCTTCAAACGCCTCCTCCTCGTACTGGGGGTCGTCAGCGACCTCCTCGTCTTCAGCTTCTGCAGGACGAAGATTAGAATTCTGCAACATGATGAGTAGCCTTGATGTTAAGCTACCTCCCTTATTTGATTCAGTAACTTGGTTATTTTCAGTTTTGGAATAGAAGAAGAGTGTCTGAGTGAATGAATGAATGAATGAATGTGCCCACTTCAGGGGTAGAAACGACGCTACCCACTACTCCAGTAGAAAAGACACTGACTCCAGACAAAGAAAAAATCCAAGAAATGGCTCATCCTCATTCATATCACGGATAATAGCCTTAACTGTAGAGGCTCGTGTTGGTACTGGGTCTGGTTTCGCAGCTTCTATTTGCCTAGGCTCTGCGTCTGCTCCACCACCACCTTCCGCTTCCTCTATCGCTGGTAGCGCTGGAGATGCTGAACAAGTGTTTTGGAAGACGAGGGAGTACGTAGTGCACAGACATTAGGATGCATCATGAAGAGGATCGAAAACGAAAAATATAGTATCATGGATATCATGTAAGTCCTTAATAAGTGTAAGAACAAGATGAAGTAGTCTTGATCATCAACCAGGAGCAAGTCATCTGAGAATCTATCACATGGAACATCAAATCTGAAAACTAAAGACATCAAATCTGAAAACGATAGGTACATCTCGCTCCCATGGGAGGCTTGGCTTTGTGGGTTCTATGTCGCAAGACGTCGTCATACCATCCATTCTGTTTGAGTGGAGTTTTGTAAATGGATGGTACAACTATTGCCTTTTAGAATTTCAATTTATTAGAAACAATCACTTTTAGGTCGAGGTGGTCGTCAGAAATCAAATAATCACCGTAGATTTGCCTGTAAAAACTTCAATGGTTTCGGCTTCATGATCTGAGGATGGAGGTTAGTATAAAAATTAGTAATTAGTACCCTTCTAGCGCTATAACTGCAATTTATCATGTGCAGCCTGCGCGCCGCTGATTCCTCGTCGAGCCTTTGATTGTTCATTACCTGTTGGGTTTTTATTGATCGTCCGGGTTTTTGCCAAAAAACAAAAAAATTCGTTCAAAAAATGGTCGTCGTGACAAACGTAGTCAATCATTCATTCAAAGAATACCGGTTGGGTCCTCTCTAGTCGTTCCAGAAGAAGGTGATTTTCCATCGTTATCCTAAAAAGCTCCTTCTTCCTCGCACTGTGGTTAAGACTCTTGATAGAACCCGACGCTGTTGTTTGAGAGTGGAGGTTTCTGGTTGAAAGGAACTAACCCTGTTCTTGAAGTGGGAGTACAAGTTGATATGAAATTGGTTGGGTCGTTTCTTCATTCATCTTCATCTGGTATTCGAAGAGTAAATCAACACGGTTCAGGTTCTATTTGTTGAAGACGAAGTTCTTGTGGATGGGTTGAGACAATTTTTCTACACTCACTGCACTAGGAAATCGAATAAACATGAGGACAATTATAACAGTATTTTTAGTACGCAATCCCCTCGGCGCTTCTATTGGTCTCGTCATTGTTCTTGCTATTGCCTGAATCATCTTCAGGTCTTGAAAGGCTGCTTCTGTTGTCGCTCTCTTTCTTGCGAAATAATCCCTACCAAACAACTGCAAGTGTGGCATGGGAGCCGGTGGCCTATTATCAATGCTACATTGCATCTTTCGAAGCTGGTCGCGATGCCTGTTTTGGAGTGGTGTTCTTTGTGTCTTTGAGGATAACCTTTAACCTGGTGTTGAAATTTGAATGGGATGCTAACCCCTGATTTGCATCTGGTCTGCATCTGGTGCCATTGATTCCTGAGATGAACTACTCCTAAAACATAATGTTTGAGTTAGAGTTGTCCTAGTTGTCCATGTAGATGTGTACTCGGGCCTGTTGAGGAGTAAGAGAGCATGATGTGATGCTATAGAGAAAGAACGCCCATTTTTTGGGAGAGAAATTCATCTTATGCTTATCATCATCAGTGCGTCTCAAGTCTTAATCTTTATCGTGATGGTCAAACTACAACACATTCTCCTTCGTCATAAATTTCTATACCTTCTGAGCGCCTTCCCCTGCTCTATATCTCCTATTATTGGGTTGCCATAGGCAACATTTGTTCGCTGATTTGCTCCTAACGCCTTCATCTTGTCCGTGTTTCAGAAGAGGATCTAAAACAAACACAACTTTATTCGTTGCCTTGCTTCTTCTACGACTGACTCGTTCTTCTTCTCCTTGATCGGAAAAGGAGCGGCTATCGCTGTCCTATCCACCTTTCCCCCTCACTTATCACCCCTTATTGAGGGGACATGTTCTTGTTCATGTATCGACCGTAGCGAGCTTAGCGTCCTCTGGTTCACTCTTTTTCTAGAAGTTGTATTATTTGTCGGTGTAAATTGATGAGAGGTTATCTATGCTGGCGAATGCGCTGAACAAGACAAAATGCTGAAGACAAGAAATAAGAAAAAGAAACTGTAACGTTGAAGACGTGGATATAAGCATTGTTAAGAAGGGACTGGGTGGTGGTAGGGAGGCGGAGGCAAGACGAAAGTGGCAGGGAGGGAGGCATCAGGAGTTTGTCTCTCTTTCGGGATATTTTACCTTGTTCTCTCTTCATATCGAGGACAGTAAACGGGTAACGATATCAGCAGATTGTTGCGATACTAGATGATGACAACCGAGACCAAGAACTGACTTACTATAATATGTCCTGACGAGCGCATTCGCATACGCTCGAAGTAGATTTCACGACACGAACATGAGAAGAGGCCGACCGATACGCAATTGACAAAATGAACCCGCCGATGACGTTTGCTACTAACAGAACACTGCACAAGACCATGATCGAAGTAAATTCACGGCGACCTTTAGCACTACTAGAACTAGAAGTACTGATGTGATCACCACGGGCTCCTACGTTATCGTCATGTGGAGGAAAAAACTGACATATAAAATGACCATTCTTAGCCTATGATGTGTCGCTGGGTTTCGGGCTCTATCCAACAGGGGTAGTATTTCAGAGAATTCACATGGCGCATCCACAGCAACAGTTTTCCTTTCCCAGATGAAGCTTCTTTACTGAAGACATCGGCAGAAAGCTCGACACAACCAATACCACACCCCCTTCCGAATGCATGTGAATAGCCTCCAGCAACAACAAAGCCACAAAGCTGTCGAAGTGGCTCTTCCGATTGCAAGCATGAAACATCAGCTGTTGACTGAACTTTGGTCTTGCCACTCATCTTGGCATTCGCGACCTTGATTTTCTCCTCTAGTACGAAGTCAGGCGCTTGTTGCTGATCACGTGCTTCAGAAGCGGCTGTTCTGAACTTTTCTATGTCCTCCGCGGATGGCAAGTACAGGTGTGTTCTTGGCTCAGGAATGGCGGAAGAGAGCGGGAAGACTCGACAGGAAAGGACGTGTCGCAATTTTTCCTGTTCAGCTGGATGATGGGCAACAGCAAGGTTCTGATTATAGTTCCCTCTGTTGCATGGCCTTGAAACTACTGTGTGAGTTGGTACACTTGTGCGAAGACGAGGAGCACTTTTTGTAGAAGCAGATGGTGTAGAGGCTGTGGCGGTGGTTTGTCGTAGAAAAGCAGAAGGAAAAGGTATAGATGGCAGGCTTTTGCGGAGGTCGCGCTGTGTTCCGCTGTCATCCTTCTTATCCACCAGCGTCTCTCGCCGGTTATTGTAGTGTCTCCAAAAGTCTACATCTTGCTCCAGTAACTTCTCCCGACTCTGCTTGTCGTACCAGAAGCCAAAAAACGGCGAGTGAATTCGAAATAAGGCAAAATTAGTCCTCTTAGCTCTTGGCTTCAGGATGAAACTCGAGACTTCCTCACGCTCAGCACGGAGACGCCATTCTTGACCAGCTGGGGTCTCAGGATAGTCGAAGGGAAAATCGGGTAACAAGTATTCGTTCCGGAGAATGCGTCGATCTTGGTACCCGATAACTTCTGCACGAGCAGCAAAAACAAAATGAAGCCAAAGTTTGCGCACTTTGGCTGTGTCAGGCTCATAGAAAATAAGCTCACCAGAACGCAAAGTCGCTTTCTTAGGCCTTGAAGTTCTACTGTTTGTGACTAAGGATGCAGAAGCAGTTGCCCAAGATGCTGTCTCTCTACTTGCAGCTCGTGAAAATTCACCTTCATCTTCATCATCTCCGCAGGAAGTTGTAGATGATTTTTGAATAGGTTGATGGCCACTGCGTCGAGAAGTACTGCCACAGTAGCCCAAACTCGTTGTCGATGTGTCTACCCAGAGTACTTCGCTTTTGGTGGCATCCTCAGACTCGGGCTCCTCCTCAAGCGGAGAACGTAGGTTATAGTAAAGCGAGCCAGAGACAAATCGACCACGACAAGTGGTCTTGGACGATGGAGGACATCTACTAGGAGTACTCTGATGTAGTTGTTCTGGTTCTTGCTCTGCTGTACGAAGAGTAGTTGTAGTCTTTCTCGTACAAATGCGCTTGAATACATCAGTGTCAATGCGGGTACCAGTAAACTCCCATGTGTAAATATTGGGACACCAACACATGTCGATCTTCTTCTTATCGACTTGCGTTCTATTCTGCGTCAGCTGCGCATGAATTTCTTCCGCACAAGAAGCGTGCAGCCATAGCAGGAGTGAAGTTGGTGAGGACGAGGAGACTCCCAAGACTCTACTTGTTGCATCCGAAGCCGAGCCACCAGTTACAACTTCACTTTTTCCAGAAGGTGCTGTCGAAGAGGTCGTCCACAGAAATGGCACGTCTCTGGCGATAAATGACCCTAACCGCTTTGCATCTGGCAAGTCCAGGAGTCCTCGACTTTGCTTTCCAGGACTACCACGATTTGCCTCAGCACACGATGCTGTAAGAAGCCGGTCTCGTAGATGAGTTTGAGTCGCTCCTAGGTTTCTCTCCGCGCCAGCTCCCTCTCCATTGCAGGTACTAAAAGCACCAACCACACAATCCACAATCTCCATTTTCGTACTTCCTGAAACGCGCAGCACACGCATATACGACCGATCGTGCAATAACAGGCCCTCGTTTTTCTCGGATGCGCGCCGAGCGACAGCGCGGGCTCCGATTTCGCAGGAATTTTTTGGTAATCGCCACCCCCAAACGTTTTCCATATGGAATCTCCTTGCGTGCCACGTGTGTGTTGACAGAGCAGTCCATTTTTGAATGGAATGATGACCAACGCGACCATCCTGTTCTGGCACTGGAAGGCCAAGATTCTTGGATTTAGACCGAGAGTCCAACAAGTGCGAAAAAACAGCAGGTCTACGGCGGTGACATCGAAGCAATGGCTTTAGGTCGCTGTTTGCTGCATTAGTCGACGTGGTCCTCTTGCCTTGTTGATGACCATTCTTCCCGTCTACTTCTACTTCAGCTTCTGTTTGTGCGACCACCTTCGCAGCTGCTCTTTTAAGACTGGCTTTGCGAGATATTTTTGAATCCTCATTATCAGATTGAAGACCCAAAAGCGTCGAGAACCGGATATTTGCGAGGTCATCTGGGTTCTCCTCCTCAGGAACCGGGACTACAGCTGTCGATCTCGCGCCCTTCTTGTCGGTCTCATCGAACCCAGTCTGGGATACTCCCAGGAGTCCCAATCTCTCCCGTACAGAGGCATTGCTGAATTTTGGATTCTTTACTGTCTCAGAATCTAGCTGTCGTGGCAGTATACGCGGATTGAAGTTCCGCGCGCGTCTTCGAAGCCGCCGTCTAAGCTTGTAGTCCTCGCCTCCATTTTCTTGTTCCGGTAGAGCATCCTCCTTGAGTTTATTGTTCGTCGACGAAGCGGTAGCGCCCTTCTCCTGTTTTTGATTCTGAGCAGTTTTTTTCAATAAATGATTGACCGCTGCCCAACGTTGGCCAACGAAATCACCAACAGTAATGAATGCTGGCACAGGACCGTCCGTGCTGGTCAATAGCCTCCGTTGTGCCCTGGTCCTCTTGGAACTCGGTCTTTGTTGAGAAGGATCAGCTTCCGCAGTGGATGCGCCACGAACATGGCTCGAAGATGAGAAGGGGGATGCCATTTTGATTGTCCTTTTCGTTGTCTTGCATACCTAGTGCTCCTCGCGATACTACAACACGAAGGAAGCATTACTGAAAAATCCTATTCCATCCTCTACAACTAGGCTATCGTCCTCACATAGATGATCGTCATGACCACAATGCACTAAGTAAATATGTATATGATGGACAGTCGTCGTGAGGACTTTTCAACAACTACATGGACCAAGATGAACATAAAATCCCATCCATCACTTAGATCATAATCTTGTCCTGCAGAAGATTTATTTCTTGATAAATTTCAGGAAGACGTCATGTTTGTATGATATAATAATTGGTAATATTTGTATTTATGTACAATAAAAGGGTAGGTGGAGCCAAGATGATTCGGAAACTATCAGGAACCTGATTCTCTCTGCCACTTTGATTGCAGCTTGATCCGGCTATTGCAGCTTCTTACCGTTCTTGAAGATCGTCATCATCTTCCATTTTGACGAGACCTGCAAGGATGGTCCTGATCGAGAGAAAGTGAGAACCGATATCGAGAATCAATAAGCCGAAGTATTTTGATTCTTCCAGAGGAACGACTAATTGATCTTCTTATACAATTTGAAACTCTAGTATGTAAGTACTCCCAACGATCTTCTTGTGGCACGACTGACGGTCGTGACCTGCTTCCCTTAGTTGCGCTTGGTCTTCTTCTTGCTTCGCCAGTTAGTTTCATAAAAGAGTGAGTAGTAAATCGCATTCGGAGTAAAATCAAATGGAAAAAAAATGGGTCAAGTTGTAATTGGGAAGATTACGAAAATGCATAATTTGCGCTTGGGTCTGAAGCGTCTTATTATAAGAAGTTCATCGTTTGTGTTAGTGATGAATGAATGGCGGGATCATGATCAGTAAAAAATTTCAATCCTTTGACAACTATAAAAGTAGTCAGTTGTAATAAATAGTATAATATATTGGTTTTCAAAACTAAACGACAGGGTTGGTCAGTTGGATAGTTTGTTAAGTAAGTGAAATACAATTGATGATCATGATGATGATGATTATATAACCAGTATTTATTTACGGGTACCTCCCATTGCTGTCTCTTTTCAAGACGGTCGTGGCAATGGCGGTAAAAGCAGACAAGAGGAGGGTAGAGCAATAAACATATGTGATTGAGAATGGATACGAATCGATCAAAGATTGGAGTTGTGTCAGTCATGACACTCATAGATCGAAGGTGAATGGCTTCCGACTTCGATTTTCATTATCTCCTATGTATATCTAAGTAGGGTAGAAGAAGAAACAAGGTACTTCTAATAATCTACTAAATTTTTTTTAGCACAGAAAGACGTCAACGTTAAAGACGGTATATCTGCCTTCAGCCTTAAACATAATCACTACATGAAAAATTCACCGGATGACTTCAAATTCCATACACATCTCTGGTATTTTGGCGTATCTGATTTGCCACAGTCTCAGTGGGCAGCGCCTTGATGCTCGCAATAACGCGAATGACCCGTGGAAGCAGCGCCGGGAAACTGTAAGGGCGGCGTCCGGACATCGGTGGAAGGTAGGGAGCGTCCGTTTCAACTAGCAGCCGGTTGAGAGGAATAATGGTGCGGATTTGACGCATTAATTTTGTTTCCAAACTGAAAGAATCGGGTGCAGACGTTGTTGCAGCTGGAGAGGATGGGATTTCGGTGTGTGTTGAGTCAAGATGAGTGGATGTGGATGAGGAATGGTTCGCCTCAACATCAATCCCATCTTGAACACGTTCATCTGCATCATTTTGGAGCTCTGTAGTTGTTGTTTTTGTTCCACTAGGAGCGGTCGTAGAAGTAGTTCCGAAGTTCTTGGTCGTTCTTATCTCCATGTTTTCACTGGAGAAAGAGAAACTCGGTTTAGCGTTCTCCTCCTCAGCGGCTTCGCACAGTGGGAGGTCTGCCAGCTCATCCGCTTCCTCTGAATAAACGTATCGATCCTTGTCTGCCAGCTCATCCGCTTCCTCTGAGTAAACGTATCGATCCTTTGGGCGCGAGTAATAGAGGATGTTGCTATGATTTTCGACCGCGCAGGTGATGCCAATGTAAACGCGGGTAAAGTGGCTTAGTAGTTTGCGGAGGAAGCCGTCGCCGTTGAAGCAGCCGTGGACATGGATTGGCCAATCACGGGGTATATGCTCGAGCATGATCTCGACAGTATCTGATGCAGTTGGAGAGATTTTATGATCCGGAAGTGAATATGAACGGATGGGGACGCATGATGTACTTAGCTGCTTCTTTTCCGTAGTTCGACTAGCTCTGATTCATCTAAATCTATTAGACTAATCAATATCAACGTAAGAAACAAAGCACAATCAAGACAACAAAAACAAATCATCACATGAGTCATCACATGAACATGGTTGAATCTAAAATCTGTAAGTCTAAGACAAAAGACAAGTACCTTCCTCCGCGCACCGGCTGTGTACTTGTAGCGGCAATTTGTATTTTTCAACGCCAAGCTTGATGAAATGGATGAACGCGGACCGTTCCGCACGACGGATATTATCCCCTAGACTACTGGTCATTACTCGATGCGAGTAGTCTAAGCCAATCTCGCCCCACGCGACAATTTTGCCGCAAGTTAGAAGTGGAGGAAGCGTGTTGTAAGTGCTTAGTTCGTTGGAGGCGATGGCCCTTAAACTACAAATTAAATTATCATATTGATGTTGACCAAGAGAAAAGCCAGACAGTCAACGGCAAGCTTTAGGGCGTTGGAACAAAAAAAACCGACAAGAAACAATATCATATTTTTATATGAATGTAGCGGCCTTAACTCAAATTCCGGATTATTCAGGACATCTCGTTCTAGACGCTCCATGTATCCCAAGAATCCGGGATGTGTGGAGTACTCTTGTTCCGACCCCCAAAAGCCAATACTTTTAGGATGAACGCCGATGGCTAAACGCACCGTCTTTGGAAAAGCTTTGACGACGGTCAAACTTGGTTCTAGACCCATTTCGTCGCAGATCGATGTAATCACATAGTCGCAGACTGGAGAGGAAGTAGTATTGCTAGCGGTGATACTTTCCTTGTTGTTTTTAGTGTCGTCGACGTGAACGTTGTGTTTTTCTTGAGTTCTTATTTCAGCATTACCTTCATTCTTGATCGATTCCGCCTGCTTCATTTGTTCCTGCTGGGCACTTTTGGTTTTCCCTTCATCTTGTGCGGCCCGCGAAGAATTCAGACCCAGTTGCTGTTGTATTTGTTGAGCAGGAGGAGCGTCGAATGACATCTCGCCATCGTCTACTGGAGACGAGCCAGCACTTGAATTCGCAGAGGTAGTTGAGCACGTAGATGAACTAGGAGTTGCCGTGTGTGATAATTTTGACATGATGGCTGACATTGATTTCGACACTGTTGTAGATGTAGTCGAGTTATTGTTGCTGTCCGCTTCCACGCTCAAATCCACCTCAGGAGCCTTGGCTTCAGGAATAAAAGTCGCCACCACATTACCATCTTCCTCTTGTCGAAGGGCGAAGAGTCCTGGCGCTGGCCGTGAAGAAAATGCTGCACCGGTTTCGTCGACTTTTTTCCCAGTCTCTCGCCTACGCGCCGTCTCCTCCACGCTCTGGGAGCTCCCGCTAAGCATCAAATCTGAGCCGGGGACTCCAAGCGGCTTGCTGATGAGGCCTGTGCTGTCTCTCATGACAAAATTTTCGTAGTAGTACTCCAGGTTAGCATCGTAAGTGTAGGCATCGAAGAACCTAGTACCGAATGCGTCTCGTGGTGGTTGATTGTATATGCCTACGGCGTTGAGATTGACTATGCCTCCGCTCGTTTCGTCGTCGAGGCTTAGACGAGTAGGTTCAATTTTGTTAATATTCTTTGTTTCATCAAGAACACCAAGAACAATAAACTTAGACAGAACTCAGGAAAAGTCCGTTTTGTTTTTCTTCTTGCGACAATGACATCGCAAGAAAACTCTCTATTTCGCACCTGCGTACTAGCCTTAACAGACTGCGTCCCTTCTGCATTGCGTAGGCACTATTGTATGACCAGCCGCCACGTCGCTTAAGAGATTCGTTATACTTGTCGTGGTACCCGTAAGGGATTTTAAAGGTCGCACCTCTAAGCAGGGCGTCCCACAAATCTTCCAGCTGCTCAGATCTTATCTTATCGATGTTCGAGATCTCAGCTCCGTCATCGTTACGCCTAGGATGCATGGTGTCGGTGTGCGTCACGTCCACATACGCTTGCCAGAACTGGTACTTCCGATTGGTATCGACGCCTAACATTCTGAGCAAGCGCTTCACCTCGCTTGGAGAAGAAAAGGGGACTTTGTTACTGTGAAGTGGGTGCTTGCTTGGAAACTCTGGCGTCGAAGAGTTTGATGAATATGCTGACCTGAAAGTTCTTGTACTAGATTCTGCAGGCCACGACCACGACTGCCCCTGCTCAGCTTGCCAAGACTTCTGTGGCTGATCGTACTTGTAGTGAGGCGATTGCTTTTCTTGATCGTAAGAACTACAACTACTAGACGCGTCGTTTACGTTTTTGTTCTGATAAACAGGTAGACGCCTGCTAGTCAGCAGAGTTGTTTGCTCTCCTTCGGATTGATCTATTTGGGGTGATGGAGCAACATCTTCTAGGTTCTTTGATCCACCACTCTCACCTGCTCCACTGCAATTGCCTCCTGGCTTATCTTCATCCTCTCCATCTTCAAAGTCGAGTGGCAAGTTCCTTAGCCAATAGGGCACATACCAAAAGCCAGTCCGTCTATCGTAGCGAATTCCAAGACTCGACAAAGCGTAGACCTGGTCATCTATCGCGGATGATAATGGACTCGTCGTGACAATCTGATGTTGATGTAGGTGCTCCTGCTCTTGATCTACTTCACTAGGATGAAAACTCGAAGAGGTCGTGCTTCGGACAACAACAATGCCTCGTCCAGCAGCATCCGTCTGAATCGTTTCTTCTTCATTTTTTGAAGTAGATGAAGGCCACTTATCAATGTAGATATGTCGCGTTTTCCATGAGCAGAGATCATTGATCGGATCAAACAGTTCCTCAGCCATGGACTTAGCGTCTGGCAGTTCGTGTCGACGGATTTCATGGCGTGCGACTCGTTTGTAGAAGAGCTGTAGAGCTTCGTCACTGAGTATTTCTGGACAGTCGAAAATTGGAGTGTTCCTGTAGAGAATCCACGGAGGTGGGCCGTAAATTTCCTCACGCAAATCAGATAACACCCACATATTTTGGCCGCACAATTCCCACCACGGCCGAGTTGATTTAATGGCCGTGGAAGAGGGGGATGAACCTGTTGTGCTCGCTGGTGGTGACGAAGAAGTGCCTAGCGGAAAGGGAGAGTTGGGAGCGACACTTCGATTTGGTGACGTTGATGTCATTGCGGATGAATGATTGTTGTTGTAATTCCTGTTGTGCCAGGAGGTGGGGTTTGGTGTATTCTGGTGCGGCGACCACTGAACAGGAGACGAGTAAGACTTGAAATGTGAAGACGGCGCTCCTGGCGGAGGTGTGCTAAATGTAATATGACGACTATTATAGTCAGCCCTTTTTTCCTGCTCTGAATTCTCAGAATCCGCCGCATCTGCAATAATAGTCTTTTCTCTCGTCAAAGAGCGCGGCGCTACTCGCCTCGTGCGATTCGCTTGTTCCATAAGCTTTCTATCGTTCTCTGTGGTGTGCCTTTCATCTTGGGTTGTCGTGTCCTGTGGACTTTTGTTCATCTTATTATACTCGTCATCAGTAGTACTGGGTGAGTTCTGCCACGACCAAGCCGTCGTTTGCGTCAACAGCAGATGTTTTTTCTTCCTCTGATCGTTTTTCCATGCTTGCCACTCGTCTGGAGTCCACTGCTTTTTTCTTCGAGCGCATGAATCCCATGGGATCCGCAGATGACGAACCAAAACAGAAAACTCAGGATCAAACATATTATCTTCATCGTCATTGGCCTCTTCTCCTTCACTTTGTTCATTCGTCCCCCTACTAGTGTCCTCGTGCGAGTTCAACATCGTTGCGCTCGTGTTGTAGCTATAATCGTTCTTATTTTTAGCATGATCTTCGCTAATATAGGCATTACAACTACTTGTATAATCATGCCCATTTTCGTCAGCTGATAGAAGAGAGCCCTCTTCTGGCGTTGGTTCATGAGCCCGACCACTCATGCCTTCCTGGAAGAAGTCTCCCATTTGCTTTTGTCCTCCACAGAGGTCGAGATGTCGAGCACGCAAGATCGCATTGACGTGCCACGGCTCGCATATGAATTCCCCCCAGTTTTCTGCTGTCACGCCCAAGACGCGGAAATCGGAACGCTCCGCGTGCGTGAGAAGCTTCCAATACCCCACAGAAGCGAGGCCCCATTTTTCGAAGTCGCTGAGTCGGCCCATATCGCGTTGTCCCCATCTTTTCGCATTAGACCAACCTAGGACACGACCTGCAGCTTGCTTTTGCAAAGTCGTAAGCTGCTGCCAGGTGCGATGTAGGATCGGAAAAGTACCGGCATGATCATAGGGATAATAGAGCAGCTCGCGGTTTAAGATCCGACGAAACTTCTCCCTTGTCCAACCGATTTTGCGCCAAGCCAGCCGCTTCTCATCGGACAAAGCAGACCATGGGAGCAAACCATCGGTAATTAGAAAGAGCAAGAAAGTTCTACAGCTTCAAGTCCTGGAGATGACTCCACTCGATGCCAGTGCGCGGTCTGACGCGTCTCACATGAGTTAATGGCTACTCTTACCCGGTCTGTCATAACATTAATAGATCTCTCTCCTCACAGCATGCAGCGATTTCTAAATGGCAGTGCGTATCCACGAAGTGCATTGCAGGCTCCCCCATTCGACCCAGGTCCTCGTCGATAGCTGAGAAGTGCCCGCCACTGCTGGACCCCGCAGGAGTACTTCTAGCTTGATTCTCATAAGTCTTTTCAAAACGTGTGCGGCTTGCGTCCGGGGACGACTTTTCGTTTTCATCCTTTGTGTGAGTGGACGAAGAGTTCCCACTGGGTGCCACCTCACCTGCAGGTGGCGCAAGCATTTTCTTAACAAGAGGCTCCAACTGTAAAGAAAGTAAGTCTAAGCTCGACGGTTTGCGTAGATATTCATCTCAGGCTCGGAAAAGCAGCGCGTCTGCTAATTTCATCAATAGCCAGAGGCGACCGACGAACTCGACGGGCTTCCACCAGGCAGTCCCCCACCCCAGTACTGGTTAAGTAAGCCCTTCGCTAACCTCTTGTTCTTGAGAGTGGTCTTACTTGTTGCTTCATCTTGTTGATCTTGTACTTATCAAAAAAATTGCAGAAATACGACATCGACACGAAAATGCTTCTTTCTTCCTTGCGGCCGCCTGATTGATGGATGTTTCAAAGAATGGCTTGAGCATTGAAGAAGGATGATTTGAGCTACGTACAAGCACATTGAAGATTGACGCAAACTGCAAGGAGCATTACAAGAACGGTAAAGATGAACTTCTGCGAAAAGAAGAGAAAGACTGCAACCGACATCTTCTTCAGTGCCTCTGCTTCTCGCAGAACCAAAATCGTCATCATCGATATCGGACGAGGGAAGGACCAGAGACAACAAACTTCAAGATCAAGAGGACCAGGATCAAACCAACATATAGACAGCACGACAAAGGAACGCATGGCGAGTTGCAACAAAAAACGCTCATCATCTTTGACAAAGACCCACCATCGCGCCGCCTTCTATGCACTGCTTTTTGTCAGGAAACAAGCCAAGTGATCGTAATATACGTGTCAACATTGGATCAGACCCGCACGTCTTCAAAGAACACCGAGATCTTCTATGAAAGAATGGCCATCCTCTACTTCGATGAAGATGTGCCAGCCCAAGCCAACTCTCAGGGACTCCTTTGTTCTAACAATTATAAAAATCATGGGTACATTTCTAGCTCCAGGTGGAGAAAATCATCAGTTCTGCCACCTTGTCTCTTCTAAAAGTGCGGTTACCGTTACGGAGCTATAATCCTACTGGACGAATACCTGTTTATTATGGTTCAAGGTAGAAAAACTAGAATAGGATAGGATAGGATTTGATTCACCGTCCACAGTAGTTTGACTAGAATACAACAAGAACCTTCCGTCTAAAGTTAGAGAGATGGTCGATTCAATCAATATGATCTTGTTGTTGGTTCTTGAGATAAAAAAATATAACTTGTTTCTTCAACAAGGAGTTGCGTTTCGCAAGGCCCGTAGAAACGGAGGGCAGATGAGCGCATAGCTTCCTGTAAAAGTAACGATGTAGTCATGATTGATATAAAATTGCGTTTGATTCCGAAGATTGAGGAGAACATTGTTCACTAGAATACTAGTTAAATTTCGTAGCAAGTAGTTGTCATCTTCAGTGATAGTTCATGAACATCATAGATTCTCGTAGTTTGAGTTTCGCGACCCCCTACGTCTCATTCGACAAAGTGATTTTCTTCTCTGGACAGTACAGATATCCTCTCGTGTGGCAGTAGCGCTGATCACATGTCAGTCGAGTCGTTATTATGTTTTTTACCAGAAGTACCACCGAATATGTTTTTTCATCTTGGCATTGATCTTGCTTCGCTTTTTAGTACAACTAAAAAGTACAGCAACTAGCCATGACACTTAGAATGGCATTTTTCAATGACGGCGACACCCTATCATGTATGCGTCGAGAGCCTCTCTATTTGTATTTCCAATTTGTATGACAACATGACGCCACTCCTTAAGAAGCGATTGCCCGACACCAGCGCGCCCTTCCGCGACTTTGTGTTCTAACTGTATCATGCGAATGGTAGTGTCCTAAACAAGAAACAACCCTAAACTCATCTACAAAAGGCGTCCTAGAAAATGCTGAGTCTGCCTCATATCGAGCCTGCGTCCTGTGGTCGGCCAACCAGAGGGGACGGCCCGAAAGACATCCTCGCTAGACACCGCCAGTGAGGTAGATGATACATCGAAACGGATACCGCCAGAAAGAGGAACACAGTACAAATCACCATAACAAATTGCTGCTAGAAATATCCTCGTTGGCCGTTTTGTCTTTACAACTATGGGATTAGACAGGGCCATCTTAGTAAGTACATCCAGGAGGACCTGAGGCTTTCTAATGATCTCATTGGCCTTAGAATTTAAGAAACGATTCTCTTTGGTAAAATGAAAAAGTGCGATTAGCTGTACTGCTGCAGCTCATGCGCGGAACGAGTAGGACCGACATGGTACATTCAGGAGGACCTGAGGCTTTCTGATGATTGAACCATATTGAACTAAAACAAGCTGCATGATGGATGATGCACCCATCATGTGAAGACACATTTAGAAACGCTGTGTCCTACCCCAACTCCTTATTAGAAAAATCCCGAAAAAAAAAGATCGTCCCCACATCCACACGAATACTCAATGATCAGTCTTGTTTCTCTTGTCTCGTTTAGTGACTAGCACTGCGCAGTCTGCTAGTGTCGTCTGAAAGTCTGCGGTATCGCGCTGCTCGCCATCGTGCGACATCTTCATCGTAATCAATATCAGACTCGTCTGTTTCTTCGTCGTCTCGATCAAGATCATGGTCTTCAAAAGAACGACTATTATCGACGTAGTTGTGATGCTGGTTTCGATGACCTTCGAAATTCATCTCCTCATCAGATGGACCGATATCATACTGCGCATCGTCCACCTCTTGTGTCAGCTCTGCTCTAAAAGATGTCGCGTGATGATCCACACCGCTGTCGTGCTCGCCCTCCCCAGGAGTAAATGCAACCTGTTCGTCCTGCTCGACGTTATCGTTTCTCATCCACGTCCTCGTATCATGTTGATTCCTCGCATCATAATCTTGATGAGCTCCAGCTCCTGCTTTAGAAGCCGCGATATTCAACATCGGAATCGCTCCATGACCAACTACACCAGAGTCGATGTCGAGTTGATGTCTGTGATATTCACGGCGAAACAAGTCCGGATTCAAAGGAAAGTATGTGCCACTCTCCGCGTCACTGTGTCGCATGCCAAACCGTTTTGCTGATGTGGGCAAAGGCCATTCCCATACGGCATCTCCAAATACCACACGCAAATTCTCAAACGTACTAATGCTATAAATATTCGCGCTTGAACGGGTTGCTAACGGAGGTGGAGCAGTCCCAGTCATTGCGGTCGCACCCATATTACCAATTCCCATGTTGAGTGTTCCTACTTGTTGATGAATGTTGTTTGCCATGCCACCACCGTGTAGGTGCATGTGATAAGTGGCGTAATTCGGAGACCCAGCCTTCGGTTCGCAGAGGACTACGGCTTCGATAAGTTCTGATTGTGGGAGACGCAAAAATTCTACCAGTTCTGAAGAGGTACTTCTCGAAGCATTTTCAGGCTTCTTGCGCTTGGTGGCCTCGTTATTCTTGGAGGAACCTTCTTGCAGGGTTCGCCCCCAAAAACAGTTTTGTAGCATATTTGCGGTTGCTGCTCCCGCACTCTCAATGCTGCTCCTAGCATGGAAAGCCGCAGCAACAGCGTATGCTAGCATGTAATGGCAGCTTCTCCAAGGGAATAGTGAAGAAGTTGAAGCAAAAGGAGCTTCGCGTTTCACATGATCTTCATCCTCTTGTTGCTGGTCGTCATGGTTTCTCATTCTACTTCCCAAAAAATCGAGTTCTCGTTCTTGATGAAAATGATCTTCATCTAGTGCTGCGAGACGGGCGTGACCTTCGTTGCTAGAGCAGGAGTCGTGTGTCTTTGTTGCGCGAGCGGTTGTCGACTTCTCAGTTCCGCGACTATGCTGTCTTTGTGCTGCGCCAGGTGTGCCTTCTAGTAGTGTTGAGGAAAGAGGAGCTCTTGGCTTGGTCGTCTCCATTTCGTGTCCTACATTTTGTCTTACTAACCATGATCCACCTTCTTGTTCAACACCAAGGCTTTCATCATCCACCTCATCCTGATGCGCGTAGTAATCTTCTTCATCATGTTGATCTTGTTCAGGACTAGTTGCCACAACATGTTCTTGACCTTGACGAAGTCTGATTGCTCCCGGCGGGAGCTGAAATCTGTAGTCTGATGTGTGCTGGGCTATGATGTCATCCTCAGCTATGATGTCTCCCAATGGGCTCTCCACTTCATAAGAATCAAAGTCATCCTCACTGCCGTGTCTTGTTCTCCTCTCCGGGTTTTTTTGTGTATTAAGAGCACCTCTTGAAGTTGAACCGCCGGACATCGTGCAACCACTGGCTCCTCCTGTTATGTTCTTCATCAGAGACGATGCAGCCCCAGCTGGGTTACACATGAATCTAGAACAACTCGCTGTTGAGGTGTTCGAACTATTCGTTGTCTGTATCAGTTTTTCTTCTTCTTGATCGTTTTGATGTTCTTCTACTTGTTCTCGTTTGGTAATGGTTCTAGTTAAAGCTCAGCACTCAATGGTCACTGATGCTGAACGGAAGAGACCCCCTTCTTTCCCTTCGTTTTCCCCCCGTCTTTCCTCAAGGGAAGGTCGCCTCTTCGATCTCAGTGACCAACCCCAATGACCATTGAAAGTTGAGCCTTAATCTAGTATCCATTTTATTCGTGTAATTCGATAGCATATGATAGGACATCATGTCCACACCTGCGCCATCTGAATTCATCATGCCAAAGAAGCCCTTCTCTTTTTCCACCACCACTTGGACACCATTTTTGACCATAGCATGATGATAATCCGGGTCTCTTGCGCGCTCTCTCGGCACTAAGCGCACTGCGACGCTCTGCGTCAGCATCGCGGCACCCTCCACGAATTCGATGGTGGTGCGGTTCGTCGCTCCCAAGTACATGGTGAAGCCAGCAAAGGGAAGGGTGGCCACACTGACGAGACCCGCGATACCAACGGTTGTGTGGACTAAGGCAAGACCGACATTAGAGGTACTACCGGGAAAAATGCATCTCACAGATCATCTGGGTCCGTTTTCCTTCTTATTTTCTTTCCCCAGATGACTGTGGAGATGCACTTCCTACACTCATAACGACAGGAGATATTGCGCCAGCTCCAACAGCCATTGCTGTTGCTGCACCACCAGACGCAACCGGAACGCTTGCGCCTCCTCCAGTCGTCGCTGCAAATGCTGCCCATGTGCTGATACCACTTCCGTATAGCAGAAACAGAAGAAAGTTTTTATGGTTGTCGTACCCAATCGTGTTATTCATGAAGCCGCAGTAGTGATCCATGCGGAGGACGTTGCGTTGTTGTGTCCTACAGAAATGCGAACGATCGGGTTTGTAAACGCCCTCAGAATAGCACAATCGGTACATTCCGGTCTTGCGTTTACGTTCGAATGTTACGCCCGGCGAAACACGCCAGGAGTGGGGGATGAAGCCAGGGGCGGTCGTTACGGCTGTTATTTTGAGATTAATAGCGATGAGGTTACTTAGGTAATTGAGTATGGACCGGTACAACATCAACAAGTATTTATGTCTAATACTAGGATTTGCTTTTGCACCATTTGTCATATATTAATTTTGACAACTACACCTGTACATAATTTATCAATAAATAAAGTAGTACCTTGATAATAGCTGACGCAGGTGAGTGCGTACACGGTGTGAAAGGCAATCGTAATCGGTCCAAACAGCCCTGCCTGTGCGGCGGTCTGTATAATCGCCAGCAGGCTTGAGCATACGAAGACCGGCAATCGATCCTGCAGGGGCCGATGTCTCAGGGGTAAAAAGAAGTCGCAGCTTCGTCTCATCACTGCTTGATATCCATAGACGATGGGCGCGGCGATGGTTCCGACCACAGCTCGCGCCATTGACGAAAAGACATTCACAACAGCTGAAAAAGGGGAGGTCACTTGTGTTGGGAGATAGGACGAAAGAACTGTTGTACAAGTTGCGGCGCAGGTTGTTTCCGTAGCAGCGACTAGAGAAGATCCAGATTGTTCTTTCTCTGCTGCGTGGGAAGTGGCTTCATTGTCATTTCCTTTGCTAGTATTTTTCGTGGGTTTTCCTCCTTGTCTACAACTCTTGCTGATTGTGCGATCTTCTTCATTCTTAGGGACATAGTTCATCACTTCCACCTTCTCATGATTCTTCTTTGAGCCCACTGCTGCGGCAGTCTCACCACGACCTGGATAAACTTGCTCCTCTAGAAGTGCATCCTCCGGAAAAAATCGTCCGCCTCCACCATGTCGCTCTTTTTTTCCACCAGAAGAAGTTGCTGTTTTCTTCCTTCTATTCGCATGCGAGGGCGCTGATCTGTTCACGTTTTTCACTTCTCTCCTCATGTTTTTCTTCGCAAAAGGGGAAGGAAAAAGCTCATCCATGCTGTAGGGCGTCACATTCTGGGGACTGGCAGTAGCTTGGGATGTCGAATCTTGTTCCGGTGTTGTGGTTTGATTCATCTTCAGCGTCAACTCTTCAGGTGGCTTATCTTCTTCGTTGTGATCCTCTTCTTCTTCGTGTTCCTCTTCTCTCCATGAAGAGATCGCAGCGAATTGCCCGTACAGACTTTCCTTCTTTGATGAGACTTCAACTTGTTGTACTAGAAGATGTCGTAGCTCTTCCCTATCTTCCTGTTGGTTGTAAAGAGAGGGACGTCGTGAGCGCCGAATTCGTTCACCCATTACCTGTCCGAATGTAGGAGGAAGCGAGGCAGCGCGACTTCTACTAACAGTACTTCCTTTTGATGTTGATGTTCCATCCGGTGACGGGGGAGATACAAGGCCTCGAGGACGAAAACTCGGAGTGCTGCCATGGGAGGGACAGGAGGAGTTCCACAAGAATCTCGCATCAGCTGATGCGCTTCGCTGTCGTCCTCGTGGCGTTTCTTCGCCAAGACGTGGTTCTTCTTCGTCCCCATTGTGGTTGTTCCACCAAAGATGTTGAGATCGAGGCGAGGGCTGCTCCCTTGTAGACAAGCCGCTGGGACTTGTTTCGTCTGTCCTCCAGTGGTCCTCTCTGGTGCGTTTTCTTCCGTCTGGGGCAGGGCTGGAAGCCTCACCCACACCAGCATCGTCATGACGTCCTTGTTTTAGACTCAGCTTGGCTCCATCTCCGCCCCCTCATCTTGACCCCTTGTTGTGCCCTGTATTTTATGAGAATACAAGGAAAAAAGGGTACCAAGATCATGCGGAGAAAGATGGATAAAAGCTAACCATAATTGTTCTCCACGACTCACCAGAGGACTTTCCTCTTCGTGTACACCATCCTCAGGAACTACACCTCCATCTTCCATAGACACACCAGTAGCCGCCCCACGACCAGCCTCCTCCTGAGCAGCAGTGGACAAAGCACCTTCATCTTGTTCGATTTCGTCGTGCAATTTTGGATGATCGCGACTCCAATCAGGGTCAAGGTCGACGTCTGACACTAGAGCACTGAGGACGCATCGATACGCTATGGCATCGTAGAAATTGAGAACTCCTCGTAAAAACGGACCTACATCTTTGTGCCAAGGTTGCTGCCGTTCATCGTCGATCATACTAGACGTGAAGGAAGATCCCGTGTTGGAAAATGTGGATGCTCCATCTTCTTGTTCATCTCCGTAGAGTTGCTCTCTTGATGGATCATCATGAGGAGTGTACTCTGCACCCTCTGGTCTACTACGGCACTCACTGTTTTTCCTGCCCATTATAGAACCCGAAGAGGAGGAGTGTGCGGCTGGTGAAGCCGATGATGATTGAGGGCTTCTCTCCATCCCTTCTTGCTCCTGCACCTGCTTTTAGTACTAGTCTACTTCTAGATTGTCCAGGAAAGACTTCATCGTAAGTTCCTCAGAAGCTCCCATATTGCGGTGAATTATCTCAAACGCAATTGAAAAAATATTCCAAAAAAATCACTCATGAATTATTTGATGTAGGGACGAAGGGATTGAATGATCCTAGACTGAAGACGAGAAGGAAAATCTATCATTCATTGGGTGCGAATTCGCGTGGTGGTCAAGGGTAATTACGATGTTCATAAGCACAACATACAGGTTTAAAAGTCGTGCTGCGACACACAGAAAAACTCAATGCTTTTATATTACACCCTATTCCTTTGAATTTCAAACATGACGAACGTAAGAACTTTAAATTTAGTGGATCTTGTACATGCGAGGGGTTGACATGCTCCTTGCGTGAATTATCATAATTATGCTACACCAACAAACGCTACTCATATGAATAATTTTGGATAGTAGTCATGTCAAAGACAAATAAAGGGTTCGTTCTAAAACAAAAAGTGCCTGGTGCAGCTTGATTTTCCAATTTTTTGAAACTGGATGAAAGAGTGCGGTATCTTCTAACGTAGTAGCATCAAGGAACAGAATGTGCTCCCTGATGACGCAGAAGGTTAAGAATAAGACGTTAACAACATTCACGGTCACAACGCGTGCTCGTTGAAGTGAGCCTTCAGATAGAAGGGTACAACTTGTGAACTTTCAAGTATAACATCAGTCAATATATTGTGGCAAAATTCTTCGGCTTGGAACACATGCAGAGCTAGACCTCTCATGTCATGATGATCCATTCTTAGATTTCAAAAAAATCAATTGCTCATTTTTTGAAGCATTGCTGATTTTTTGAGGAGCTTGTTCGTAGCACTCTTATTTGCTGTTTCTCGTGACGAGATTCAAATCTATAAGTTTTTCAGTGCTTTTATTTTAGCTCAGTTGATGCAGCACAACATTTTGTTGTAGTTTATGTATGATCATTCACCATGAATGGTTGAAGTACTAGATCATGAATGCAATTTATTTTGTACGAAGTGTTCGTTGATGTTGAGAAGTTATTATTTCGTTATCCTGGGTCAAAAAACAATAGCAATGTCATGAGGTAATAATAGCAACTGTCGGGATCTTATAGCAATATTCATCATGAGGTAAAAGTTCCTGTCGGGATCTTCTTTGATGACATGATAAAGATCTTAGATCCTACACCAACAACTTTTTGCATGAACCGAATAAAGAGGCCTGCCTTCGTTGATCTGCGTCCATGATCTTTTTGGAAAAAAATTATTTGTTACTTCACCTACAAGAACATGAACAACATAAGGATCACACTAGTAGCATTTTGCTCCTATTTCTCGTCCCTAGTGTTCTAGTATCTATGTAGGCTAGCTTTCGAGACAAGTACTCTAGTATCAATCCCTTTCTTCAGCTGCTGCACAAGGTCACTATTTCAAACCTTTATGCTCCTCCTCCCGCCTGAAGGCTACCATTTTGGCTAGAAAATATACTCGAAGGCTCATGCCTACTATGCTTATGTGTTCGTGTTGAGCTGCGCTACCGATTTCATTTATGTAGTAAGTACCAAGTATTAACTAGTAAGTAGTACACTTGTTGTTCTAAGTTGTATGGCTATGCTCAAATCAAAAAATTTGATATAAATACAAGAAAACTACAGTGCAGTTTTTACATGGACCGACGTAGATGAAGTGAATTCGTAGATTCAGCAGATGAATTTGAATAGCATCATAGAAATAGGTAACAAGCGTCGAGATCATACATGATCATGCGGAGAGCAAGAACTAAATAGTTGGTTATCGTGTCAAAACGTGGTCTTTCATTGAAGACAAATTTATCGATACAAGTATTCGATTTTTTTATCGACTCCTCGTCGGATTACAAACAGCATACAATCTACGTCGCTTCTTGCATGCGTGTTTTCCTGAACAAGACGTTGATGTTGCTGCACTAGTAACTCTTACTGCGCTACGACGTAGGCGGGTAGCACCATCAGCACCATGTTGTACTTCTCCTTAGTACTGTACTAGGTAGGAGTAGAACGTTTTTCCTGAGAAGTAGCACTATGTCCTGAACCTGAAGTACATCATCTACAACTCATGTTGTACATGTACTAGGTGTGATTATGGCGTACTTCTTCTACCCAGCGTGGTAGTTCTTTTTCTTGTTCTTCCCCTAGTGGAACTCTTCTTGTTGCTTCTTCTTCTTGCTCCTCTTCTTGTTGTGGTAGAACTTCTTCTTGTTGTGGTAGAACTTCTTCTTGTTGTGGTAGAACTTCTTCGTCTTGTTCTTCCCCTAGAGGGGACTACCACTACCACATCTTCTTCTTCCCCCTACAGCGTGATAGTTCTTTTTCTTGTACATACTCGTACTTCTTCTTGCTGCCTCTTCTTGTACTTCTACGTACTACTATGTATTATGATCTATGTTGAACCTACAGCATAGAAGACGACGGATCTTGTTCTCCTAGACAGGCCTCACTAGTGCGATGTCCTCGACGTGGGCTTTGCAAACGTAGCACTTGCTTTCGTAGGAGGTGTCTTCGTCGCAGAGGACCCTCTCTGCGCATCCCTTACACCATCCGAAATGACCGCACGGCAAGAAAAGATGGCTTTTCTTCTTGTCGAAGCGTGAATTAGAGGTTATGGGTTGAGATAAAGTTGAGACTCCTCTCATTTTAGCTGAGATGTTGGGATGTTGAGATTTCTCTTATTTTTTTTAGTTGAAGCGCCAGTGATTTTATTTTCAACTCCACGATTAATAGCTTTTAACTTCTTGTTCTTTTTCTACTTATCAACATATTATCGACGAGGACCTTTTTTAGGATGCGTGAATAATCCAAATTGGCGATGTTGAAGTCCTGTTCCTGAGAAGCCATAAATACAACACACAGATCGTCAGAGCCAGAAGCAGCAGCGCGACTAGTAGTAGTACCTGTTGACAGAGTCAGTGAGGGAACAAGTGAGTGCTTTAGGTTTAGATGGTAATCAATCTACAGAATATATAGGTAGGCTACTCCTGCATTACTTAGGATTAAGAAGACATTATATATAGGCAATTTTAGGTAATCTATCAAGACGCGCACACTCAGCTCACTGCCACTGGGGAACAAGACCGAGAGGAGAAAGAGAAAGACGATGGCGCACATAGTTAGACTACTTACATAGGGGCTGCGGGTTGGTTCGTCCATTTCTCGTTTCCGGAGAGAAAAAAGAAGTGAATACTTTCCACGTCCACCAGTGGAGAACTTTTCCAATAACTTTATTCTGGCGAGAAAGAAGCTCCGCTATGTGAGCCGCCAACAAGGGAACACGGGGAAAGCCAGGGCGCAAGGGCATGCCATGACTGAGCAGGCAAAGACTAGCTCCGCCTGTGTCTTCACGCTGGCTCTTGTAGTGCAAGCCACACCAAAAGACTCACCCGCCCCCTGCCACCTAGTACACCAGAACAGGCGCGCCCTCACCCCATCAGATCCTCAGCGTCAGCCAAGTAACAATTATCAAGAGCACATAGCGCGCGACCGAGGCGGGAAGGAAACCAAGAGCAAGCGACACCCCCAAACTCTCGGCTTCTGCAGATGTGTCCACGGCGCTCCCGCCCTGCGCCTGCTCCCGCGCTCTCTCTCTCTTATGGCGCACCCTTCACGCAGCCCGTGCACGATCGAACACCCGAAGGCGGAGGGCCGCGGAGCGCCGCCGCCCTTCATTCTTCTCACCAACCTGCCGGGCAATAGCGGCCAGCTGCAGCAAATACCTCCACCACCAGCGCCACACCAACGTCGGCGCTGCCAGTGCCGCGCCGCTTTTTGCACATGCTTGCCCGCCCATGACTGACACACGCCGCCGCGCGCTTAGTTTGCGCCCTTCGCAAGCGTGCGCAATTCTGTCGCGAAATCTGGAAGGCTGCCCTTCTTGGTTCGCTGTCATTCTTAGCGCTTCACCCATGTCCACCGTTGGACCTTCTAGCGATCGAGTCACTGGGTGGCCGCTGTTGCGCATTGTTTGTGTTTCACCGTCTCGCATTTGCGTGCTGAATCTCTTTCCACGTTTGCACCCCTTGGCAATCTCCAGACAGGAATGCCCGTGGCTGTGGCTGTGAGAATGAGCTGGCATTTTGATAGGCTGAACTCAGAAACTTGGCCGAGGTGAATGGGCGAGCACCTCACTCCTGCCCCCGAGACGTCGAGCCCCCGGGAGGCACAGGCCTGCGCCTGAGAGGTGTGGCGCACCTCCGAAGAAGCCAACAAGACAACCCAGCGCGACAGCCTTCCCACCTGGTAGCGCATACGCCCGCACAGCCGCCGCCTCCGGCGTGATTTCGAGCGTACCCATGAACCCCCGAGGCCGCTAATTGACACCCAGTAAGGAAACTCCAAGCCGGGAGAGCAGTCACGTCGAGCAAGGCCTTCCGAAAATAGTCGACACGCTCCGCGATGCGCTCAGTTCTAGTAGGCTCCTGCCGGCGCTGCTGCCGCAGCCTCCTGGCACACCATGCCACTGCGAAGCCTGCCTTCCTCTGGCTGGGGCAAGGCAACACAACAAGGAGGGGCGCGCGGCGCCTCTCATACCAGGCGGCAGTGATGTATGAGCCCAAGCAGAGCCGTCGCCACCGTTGGCGCCAGGTTCTGAGGGAAACCGCGCGCGCGCTTTCGCCATCGGAGTGGGGTGCGCGCCGAGTCGGTCCCGGGGGTCCTTTTTCCGGACTTTGGCCGGGCTGGCCCTCCGCTCGCTCCCTTCCATGTGGCACCCCTCACACTCCAGCCATGTAATGTTGGGCGCGATGGTCGGCATGTACGGTAGGAGATTCCACGCGCCAGACCTTCGCGTTGGCATCTTTGTTCCGGCGGCCGGTGCTTCTTGCACCTGATCAAACGATTTCAGCACGAAAAAAAATGAAAAGAAATACTAGAAGTACCTGGCTCGGCGCCATTCCCAACACTATCGCGCTGTAGTAAAGATTCGCGTCGTCTTGGCGAACGAGAACGAGAGCGCGAGCGGTCTGGAAGCGGCAGCTCTGAGACGTTTTCGAAGACCTCTCTAGGCTGATTTGCAGGTTAGATGATGGCTATATATTTTTTATAATAATGTCGGTCTAGCACGTCTAGGACTCATAAACTAGGAGTAGTTGAGCTTCAGACTTTATCACGACAGGCTCAATGAATAGCCTGATCATGTTGTAAGACGAGCCTTCCATGTAGTCGCCATGGCATCAATAGCGATATAAAACCTCTGCGGTGGCATTTGGAGTGGCAAAGATAGATTTTAGAAAGCTAGCTACCTAGCTGCACAAGAATAAAGCTGCACAATAACGCTATTAAAGTTAACATAGTTTGATGAGTCTGGAATATAAGTTCGAGTCAATAATTGCTTTGCCTTAATCTTGCGGGGCTATGTGATGCCATTCCCAAAACTCGGCAACCTCATGGTATTAGAAGATGAAGTTTTTGATGTAAGTCACTTACTCAGGAAAAGCAGTCCATGAAAGAATCACGAAGGTAGTAAGTGTGATGACGCCATCATGATATTGATACTTATTTCCTACAGCATGGCTTAAGATTTAGAGAGAGCTGTGGGGAATAACAAGAAAGATCCAGGAGTAAGAAATCTAAGAGAGAAGAAGCAGAAATACAGAACTTCTTCTAAATGGAGCATAACTCATGATCGCTCTGCGTGTTAAATGTCGACTCAGTGTGCTTTTTTGAGAAAATGAATTCTGGTACTCCCTTAGAAGGTCTCCTGTGTTGAAAGTGAGTTTCTTTTCTAGTTCCGGATTATCGAAGTCACGGGACGGCGTAATCCATGCCTCGTCTTCAGGGCCGCAATTAGAGCAGGAGCTCGCGATAATGCTGCATGTTGACCTGATATGTCTATTCTAAGTCCGTGTACAGCTTCCCCGTTGAAAATCCAATCTATTTCAATCAAGAGGAAGCTTCTGAGTCTGAAAAGAACAACTTCCTGAGAGGAGGATTCTCCTGTGAAATATTAGATGAAGGACAATCTAAGTACATGGACCGTAACTACGCGACAATCTCGTCCAGGTGACTCATTTAATACACAAGGGACGACCGGGGAAGAAACGCCGGGAAGCGGAAAAGATCCTCCCGGAGATGAAGCACCGTCAGACGAGGAAGAGGAAGAACCGCCAGAGGAAGCGCGACCATTCTGCTCTGGTGGCGTTGTGGGGGTCGTGCACAGTTGCAGCGCTTGCTATTTCTTAGATGAAGGGGTCTTCGATCTATTCATCTAAGTACAATCAATGATGAGGAATACCAAAGTGCATCATATCTTCTCAAACAATGAATTTTGCAAACCACATCTTACAAGTAGGTTCAGGATTTCACCACACACCTCCACATCTTTTCTACTGATCGATGTAAGAACAGAAATATCCGTAAATTTGTCAACACAAACACAATCAAAACTTACATACGATTATTTCCTGAAAAAACAGTGACAGAAAATTGATGTTAGAGTCTTTATTCTGAGAATCAGTACTACGTACTCTCGTCTTCTCCACGTGAATCAGTCCACCATTTTCTTAACTTGTTTTCTCGAATAACGGTTGACCTCAACAATCTGTTTTATTAGACCACGTCGATGCGCGCGCGAGAACTCATCCTCCTACGATCGTGATTATTTTCTTCTACATATTTTTCAGGCGTCGAGGTGGAAAATGACTCCAGGAGGCTGACGCGATCAGATTTCTTTCGCTGTTTGAGGTGAGGTGAAAAGTCTATATCTAATATCTCAAGATGGCCACACATCATGATCAAGGAACATGTTGATACAAGAAAAAGCTATCCTGAAGAAAAAGAAAGAAGTCATCTTCATGTCTTAATTTCAGTTCCACTCTTTTGTAGAAATTCTGAGTTTCTTGTCTGGCTTCCCGTTCCTCAAGTGCCACATAGTCAGGGTGCCCAAAGTATTCGGTTTTCCAAGTATCGAAGGCACGGATGCGGTCGTCCACTTCGCTCATCCTCATGTGGGGATGCGCCAAGAGAAGCTTGGACGCCCTCCTTCGCGCTTCACTGTCCGACAAGGCCATCCGCGCCGGGTCCTGATAAAAGCTTTCCTTAAGCTTCTTAAATATCTGGTAGCGGACCTTCGCACCATCGAGATGAAAGGGTGTCATCTGGAGAAAAGAATGATCTTCTACATGATACAATTCCAGAGGACGTCGCTCAAGCAGGTGTACGAGATGGGGAGCCTTCTCCTCCTTCAAGATCTTCGACACAACGTACATCACCTCCTCCACGGCCCGTATTAGAGCTGCTCATAGCATAATCCATCCTGAACAAGATCATCCTGAGAGCCTCCAGCCTCTGCCTCTAGAAGGTTGATCCTGAGAATCTCTTCAATCTCATCAAGATAGAAGTTTCCACTCATTCGTCCTGGGTGGAGGACCACCTCTTTTCCCCTTGAAAAGCCTAATATCTGAGATATGGATTGCGCGAGATGAATTATGACAGGCCTTAACCGTTGCTCGGCATTTGCAGGTCCGAGATTGTGAGTAGAAGGATCCAGATAAAATTCCCGGAGCTCATTCACAAGAAAGTCGGGCAGCTCGTTCGCAATTTTTTGAAGCGCCAGAATATTCTTCTCTAAAAAGTGCCTGGCAGCCCTACCAGCGTCCGCGGTGGATGCGCCGAGCTTTCCACGCCTAATGTCGTACCAAGATATTAGAAGAACAAGATTTATATTTTATAAGTACAACATGATAGTGTTGATATGTATAATATATGAGGTAGATCAACTACTTCCTAGACCCTTGCTCGTCGTGCTCCTTCTAGTACAAGTTTAGAGTTGCCGCCTTAAATGATGGAGGATCATCTGATATGCTTTTCGGATTACCGGGACTCGATTTGGTTGCAACTCGGGGACACGAGCTAGGAGTTTTTTGGCCACGCCCATCGCCTGCTCCCTATCGTAGATAGCCAGTCCCCCATCAACATCGGTGCACATCTCGAGTAACAGTTGCAAAGTGCTTAGTGTTCCCGAGCTCGTGCCCGATGCGACCTGGTTATTCGAAGGTCTAACGAGCCCACTGCTACTTGAAGCGGAGCCTCTGCTTGGTGCGGTGTTTCTGCTTGAAATTGCAGTTCCTTTGCTCGGAGGTGGTATACTACAAGTGTAGGCACCGGCCTTGCCCGAAGATGGAGCGGCCTTGCCTGGAGGTGCGGCATCTCTGCTAGACGCAGGGTTCCCTGTTGTAGCTTGACGAGTGGCTGGTGCGACGCCACGTACTGCAGGGGTCTTGCTCGCGCACTGTTCGGCATTTTCTCTGTTCGATGTTGCGCGATGTCCTGGGACGGGGGCGCACGGTTCGGCATCTGCTCTGTTCGATGTGTCGCGATGTCCTGGGACGGGGACAGATGCAACGACCCTGTTCGATTGCGGGAAGGTCAGGGTGCGGCCGAAGATGGCCGAGCTTGCAGATACACCCAGAACCAAGGCAGACATCCCGACGAAAGAACGCAGCACCTTCTGGAATCGCCCTCGTCTCCCTCTTTGAGATGACGAGTGCATGTTTCTGGAAGTGAAGGACATCTTCTTGTTCCTTTCCATGATGAAACGGTGTAAGACAGAACGGAGGAGATGGACAATTCCCTTCTATCTGGATTCTAAGTTCTACTTAAATAAGTAGATACTTGTACCTATACAATTCTTAAACTCTATGGCGCTGGCGGGTTTAGAAGACTTCTACCCTCAGAGAAGTACAAATGTAAATGATGTGATGTTGGCGACTATATCGCCGATCTAGATGTTCTACAGAAGGAAGAAGTTAGTTGCTCTGAGGGTCTCATACTCCTTGATGTTCTTCTTGTCTGAGTGTCGGCAAAAACAAGAAGTGGCACATCAAATGAAAAAACAGATTGATAATTTTCACCTTTTTTTAGAAGACACCTTCTCTGCTGCTGCATAAAGAAATATGAGTTGTATGTTGAAGTAGCCACACCCGCGATCCGCACACTAGAGGAGAAATGCACTTGCTAGTGCTTCTCGATTGACCTAATATGAATGCTTGATATGCATTTTCGGTTTGATAATGTTGGTGGAGCATACCTAAGTAGAAAAAACAAAAACCGAAAAAAGAAAAGTCAGGCAGGTACTTACCTACTACTAAATAAGCGCCAGCGCTGTCGTGCATCTTCGGTTTGATAATGATTATTTCAGTGCTGCCCTTGCTGAAGGCAAGTAAGGCACATCGTGTGGAAAATGAGGAGCGCTGCAAGAGGACAGACACGACAAAACGAAAGATTGAGTCAGAGATTTTTTCCAGAAAGCAGCTGCACGACAAGAACCTGCGATCATGCCTCTCAGAAGTAGACGTACATGCAATGTCTGTAGAGCTGTGATCTTCTAGTCCAAGTTCATACTTGGACTTTTTTTGAGACTTGTGGGTGTGGTGTAGTTTTTCTTTGTCATCTTTCATACCCTCATCCTTCTTGAAGGACGTCACAATCTCTGCACGAGTGAGGAAGTCAATCTTCTTGAAGACCAATTTTAGACATGGCGAACTCCACCTACACACCTACACCTTTTGTTGAGTACCCACTTCGTTAATTATTTAGCACGTGGAGGTGGGCATCATTCAATAGGAGTGAGTTTTCTAAATCTAAAGTATCATGTAAAAAGTGTCCACGTGCACGTCTATCCCATCGCCATCCGATAGGGCAGCCACTTACCACCGCGAAATCTGCCCAAGGAAGATTGACGTTTGGCAACCATAGCTGTTCCTGAGACACGATATTGCGAAGCAGAAACTTCTGTATCATCTTCCGTTCGCAAGCATCGTCTACTCCTCTTAGATTTTTCCTGTTATGTTCCAGCCAGTCGGCGCCTAACCTCTCTTAGAACTTTTTTAACTTTGCCAGTGTTGTTCCTGAAATGATCCTAGTCGGATTCAGCGGTTAACGCTTGCTAAGATTTTTGTTCCAGAAGTAGAACCTCCAAAAGACTATGATTTTCCTGAAGAGAGCCTGTGCCGGACTTCGTCTCTCCATCTGATCGGTCTCCCCGTGTTCCCATCTTTCGCTTTCCGCTCAGACCTTGTTCACTTGCATTTGATAACCTGTGCGAAGACTCAGTTTCAGTTTCTTCCTCTTCGCAATAGCTGCAGATCGAGCTCCATTCTACTTCGTCTCTAATCATGACCATATAGAAATCACTGGCAAGACGAATTGATGGCGCGATATCACGGAGCGGACACTTCGGTACGTTTGATGTTTGATATTATTTGATATTATATTATATAACGGTCGCACCGCAGGTAACACGCTGCTGAAGCGCTAGTACTGTTGCTAAGAATCGCTGCCATGATCACTCAAACGGAGGAAGCTGCGAGGAACTACAGAACGATTTGCGGTTGAAGATACTTAGGTTGTGTTTCGACAGACGAGGTGTACCGATGAACAAGCTTTGAAGCGGAGAGAACCGTGCAAAAGATCGTACCGATGAACAATTACGGACGACTTCGTCAGATCACTAGATGCAACAGACATCACCATAATCTATAATATAGATAAATAGATTGATACTATTGATAAGATTTTGAGTCAGTGCATGCTCGTCGTCCTCTGCTTACTCGTAGGACCGACCAGCTCTGAACAAAGTGAAAGTAGCAAATCTCAATGTTTTATGTTTTTCACAAAACCCAGATTTCCTTGAAATAGAAATGTGGATTTGAGTCTGCTGCATGAGTAAAAAGTGTCTGTTCATCTTTCATCAAGATTCAAGAGCATTAAGAAGATTAACAAGTGCTGAATGAGGACATAAGTACTTCTGTTTATCATCTTCAAGTGCTCTTCAAAACTTTATGTTCCCGAAGAACTTTTTCCTTGCATCTGCAGCCATTTGCTTCATCTGGTCGGCCTGTTTTCCTAGTTGGATGTTTCCCACACTGGTCATCATGTCCTTCAACGGTGCTGGAACGTTCACCCCTGATGCTCCATTCTTATTAGCGGCTGCTCCCATTCCAGCACCTATGCCACCTCCTCCGTTGGTCCTAAAAGCACCTGCAGCTGCTCCGAAGAAGGACGTTGATGAGCTACTGCCGGAAGCTGCAGGTCCTGATGTTTCAGAAGAAAAATTGTACACTCCTGCTTGTCCATCAGAGCCTCCGTCAACTCCATTTACTAGACCATCTGTCGCAGGATGTAGGTCCTTCAAAGAGAGTATTCTTTCGATCTCCTTCTGTCCGATGCTCGGATCCGTATTCAGTCTCCCTACAGCAGCTTCTTCTTCGGCTAGAACCTGGAACAAAAACTCGATCCTCGCAAGCTCCCGCAAGACGTAGTTCGAATAGGCAGGGGGCAAGGGACATTTGCCTTCCGTCGCAGCGAGTGGAGCCTCCAGTAGAGAGCTCTTCACACATCCGGTGTCCAACAGAAGTTGCTGTGCGTGCTTCTTCGACACCCGCCTACAGCGATAAACTTCCTGGATGTAGCGTGGTACGAACCACTGCGCCTGTTTGTCACAGAAGAAGCGGTAGTGCAGTTTCGACAGGTAACACGCGACTTGTTGACTGTGCTCCAGTAGTGTCTCGTGGATTTCACCAGTGAATGGAGACGCTGCGGAACCTCCGTGCTCCACTAGCGCTTGTTCTGGCAAGCCGTCAGGACCGGTTGGATCTGGGAGTGGAATCGTTGTGTACTATGGCGAGATGAGTTCTTACTCTTAGACGAGCAGGTCTGTAAAAATACTTATAGTTATAAATATACTACATGAAACGTCCTCCAATGATCTTGTGATCCTTAGATAGTCAAAAATCTTATCTTACACGAGATGATACATCGTCCAATGAATACGCCACAGGACTCCTACGGCACTGCATTCATCTTCATCAGTGCACAAGGAAGCCGCTAGTTTCTAGAAGGAATACCAGCATTCACTTTGCTAACTTGCGCTATCGCTGGCTCCATTTTCACCGCAGCAACTTTGACTAGCACATCCAAGTATATCGCTGCCGTGATAGTCCCCAGCTGCTCTTGTTCTGCGTCGAAGTCCAGTCTATGGTGATAATCCTCAGAGATATTGTCCTTGACGACGTCGCAGAGTTGTGGCAACATCGCGTCCACGTACTCTAAAGTGCCGATACAGGCACATGCTCCACGCAAGAGTTCTCTTTCGGCAGCTACTAGGGCTTCGGAGCGGTTGGCTGTGCGACTCGTGGTCTTGGCAAGGGGCTGGTCACTTGGTTGGGCGGAGGAGGAGGATGGGGAGTTAGAAGGTCAAATCTAGGATCGATAGAAGCGCGAAGAATCACCAATACAACCGCATGGTTCCAACTACAAAACTATGTATATATGTACCAGGGAGGGAGGCCCCCCCCCCCCCTGTGGATGGATCTGGGGTGGACCACGCCAGAGGGGTCCAGCCTTGCCACCTTATTGGCCAGGCCTGTCGAGGGGCTGCCGGGGGGGAAGGCCTCAAAGCGCCCACTTCTGACCCCTTCCCGCTTCTTGC